CTATTCTGAGTTTCAAATCTGTGTAGCTTTTGATTGGTCCAGCAGAATTTTTAGTTCCATCGATATTGCGGACCAGCAGTGCTTGCAACAGCTACTTGGTTTTGACTTGATTTTTTTCTACAAACCTTTCACTGAGAAAGAGGTTTGTTGCTCCACAGTCTACTAAAGCATTGATGTCTGCTTTCCTATGTTTTCCTTCCAATGTAACTGGCAAGTAGAAATGCTCCTGTTTATTCCCAGAACAAACTTCTGATACTTCTGTAAACATGATAGCTGAGTCACTAAGAATGGAAAAATGATTGTTCTGGTCTAAGTTTGCAGTCAACTTCGACCCTTCTAAAAACCCTTATTCTTTTCTGGGTTATACATTGAATCTGAGATATCTGAGTATGAAACAAATCAGCCAATGAGAAAAGAGTCATATGATAACTGCAGGATGACATAGTATGACATCATGATATATAAGCGATGAGATCATAGATGGAGATTAAGTGATAGGAAGAGAGATCATTCTAGCCCATGGAGTAGGGAATCCAATTGGAGATATGACAGGTGATATGTGAAGAGGTGAAACTGTGACAGGCAGCATAGTCACATGACCAGTTTGGGAACAAGAAGTAACTGGAGGAAAGCCAAGAAACAAAAAATGGTTCATATTGGGAATTCGTGACATTACCCCCTTTTTAGGATGAGCATCCTTGTGAATATAGGATGGTCAGGATGTTTTTTTGTCGCCATTCTAAGAAACCGGGTGTTTGAAGAATTGGAATGATAGAACTAGCGATTCAATGTGATTTTGGGGTGTCAGGATGTGTGGCATAAAATTTGCTGACTAATCTGAGGGAGTTCTTCAGATTTTCTTCTTTTTCCCATGTTGCCTCTTCCAATGGATATCCTTTCCATTTTATCAAGTATTGCAGTTTCCATCACCATATTCGGCTGTATATTACTGCTTGTCACTGAATCCCCAATATGAATCATTTTTCATTTCTCAGTTTTCCTCCAGCTATTTCTAGTTCCCAAACTGGTCACGTGACTTTGCTTCCTGTCACATCTTCACCTCTTCACATATCACCCATTGTATCTCTGATTGGCTTCCCTACTCCACAGGCTAGAACGATCTCTCTTCCTATTTGATTAATCTCTGTCTATGACCTCATTGCTTATATATCACGATGTCATGCTCAGTCATCTGCAGTATCATATGATTCTTTCTCATTGGCTGATTTCTTTCATACTCAGATATCTCCTCTTCAATGATATGTATATAAGTAGGTTAGTTAGCATAAGTACTCCTTAGACTTAACCTCTTCATTCTCTACACTTGTAGCAGGTATTACCACTTGACCATCTTCCCACCGAAACTGTTCCAGCTGGCATGCCTCCCTACCTCGCAATTTGCTATGAACATTTTCTCTCCACAGGACCATCAGAGGCGCTTGCAGTGGTGTTGGGATGATGTATGGGCCAGTGATGTTGGCCAGCACCTTAAGTGCAACACCAACTGGTTGAGCTCGGATGGATACCACTTTGGGATTTGGGAGGTGGCTGGCAAGAAGCCTCGATTGACCATGAAAACGCTGCAAACAGTCAGCGGAGGCTGTCATATCCTGTACCTCCAGATCCTGGAATTCTGGATCTACTTCATTAAAAGTCCAGTCCTCCGTCTTGCTATTCCGCCCGGCGCTCTGCCTTCATCTCCTCACTCACCCCTAACTCCTTTTAGATTAGCTATTGCTCCGGTTACCGGTTATGTCCTATTCTGCTATGCTTACTAATCCATCCATTCTTACTTCATTTCCGACTTCACTGCTTTGATCTGTTACACTTAGTAATAGACTTTCCACATGCTTCATACATAGCCCTTACCTTTGCTGACTGATTTACTTACATGATACCTACAGTATATAAACCCCTGTAATACTCTGGAACTCCTTAGTTTGAATATCATCTTAGTTCTGCTCATTCCTGCAATCTCCGGACTTGAGTCTCACCTCTTGTCCACCTCCAAGTATTAGGGGTTAAACCTTAGGACTAATCCTCTGGCTTTACCTTAGGGTAGTCTAACCTCTGTACTGTTTCTACTCCGGATTTCCGTAGTAGCCTTACTCCGTCCTCACATAGTCTTCCAGAGTTCCACCGAACTCCACTGACTTCTGTCCTCCAGAATTCCCCGGACTTCCGTCGGACTTCCCCTCTGTCCCCCGGAAATTAAGGGCATGTACTCAGGTAAGGGGCACAGTGCACGAGCTGAAGCCAAAGCCCTTTGAGTAACTTCTCCCTTAAGCACAACCTTAACAGAGGCACAGAAAGCCATAGATGCCTTACTATTTTACGTGCAGTCTTTTGTTGCACCCAAGATAGGCACAGCGTTCAAGCAGCATGCTCCAAATCATTGGACGGCAATGCTTAAGTAAGTCGTTTGATATCTGACAGGGCTCGATGTATTGATTGATTGATTTTTCTCTCACTAGGGCGCATGCTCGTGTTCAGAAACGTTTAAGACGTAGCATTCTGGAACATCCCATCACAGGTATGGGAGGGCCATTTTTTGCCCTTGCCGTGAAAGAATCCAGTTCTGGCTTAATACACATTGATTGGAATGATAATTGTGCAATCTACGCATATATTTTTGCAGTTGGAGACTGGGAGGGTGGCAAATTTTGTATCCCACAGTTGGGAATCAAAATTCCAGTCCAACCAGGTCAAGTGTGCTATGAACTGTTCAGCCAAGGTGACATAGTCCAGATTAGGATTGTATCCCCGCTGCGAAGGCTTAGACGTTCATGCTCAATCTTATCCTGTTATCCTCATCAACTGTGACCAGTGGTTGTGTGCTTGCCTTTACCATTCGGTGAACACTGGTCATAACACTGCTTCTACTTCATATTCTTCTCCAGTATGAATTTCAGGGGATGGACATAGTGGGGCAACTCGAGGTGTTAGTGTGGAAGTTTTGTGCAGAGTGAGCAATCCCACATGAAACACTGGATGGATCTGATATGATTGGGGTAATTTTATCTGGTAGTTTAGCTTGCCTATTCACTCGAGTATTTTGAAGGGGCCAAGGTGGTGATCCAACAACTTCTAACTTGGACGCCGCTGTTTGATATCCTTGGTGTCTAACCAGACCTTCTGTCCAACTTCCAAAACAGGTGCATCTTTTACTCCATGATCATAGAAGTGTTTCATTCAATCATTTGCTATTTCTAGTGTTGCCTTTGCTTCTTTCTGTGCTTCTTTCATCTTGGCTACTCTCTCATTGGCTTGAAGAACAATATTAGAGGAATTAGGAGAAATGATGAATTCAGGGTTATAGCTGTAGAGGGTTTTGAAAGGAGAATGTCCAGTAGTTGTGATGGAATTATTGTGTGTAAATTCTGCAATGGGAAGCCACAATACCCAGTCATTTTGACAATAAGATGTGAAGAGTCAAAGATATTGTTCTACTTCTTGATTGACTCATTCAGTTTGTCCGTCTGTTTGAAGGTGATACACTGTTGACATGGACCACTTGGTTCCTAGTCTTTTCAAGACTTCTTGTATAAAATTTGACACAAATTGTGTTCCCCTATCAGAAATCACCTTCTTCGGTGTTCTGTGCAACTTCCACACATGTTTGAGAAATAAGTCCCCAATTCCCTTGGAATTAATGTCCTTGGTGGTAGGAGCAAGATGTGCTTGCTTCATGAAACGATCAACAACTACTAGAATACCATCCTTGCCTTGGGAAATGGGTAGATCGGTGATAAGATCACAGCTAATGGCTTGCCATGGACCTTCTGGGATTTTGTTTGGCTTCAAGGGTCTGTGGGGTTTAGATGGTAACACCTTTGTTTGTTTGCATTGATCGCATCTATCTATGTAGTCATTGACCCATTTCTGCATCTGAGGCCACCGATAATTGCAGGAAACTAATTCAAGAGTTTTGGCACATCCTATATGTCCTGCTGTAGGCGAGTCATGGAAGATCTCTAGCACCGAGTGATGTATTTCTTTGTTGTTGGGAATGTAAACCAATCCTCTGAATAGAATGAGTCCATCCTCTGTATTCCACTCTTCTAGTCCTTTTCTCAACTGTACAGGGGCTTTCTTGAGAGTTTCAATAGCATTTCAGACTTCTGGATCTAGGTTGGTGCAATTTCTGATGCATTTCAACAGTGTTTATCTAGTGGTATGTTAGCTCCATGGGGTAACAGGAAAATGATAGACATACATCTCAGACTCTATGAAAGATCTGAGATGTTTGGTCAATGCGACTCATTTCTTTATAGTAGGGTTAGCATAGATAAGCAAATTGGTGTAACATAGGAATAGACTTTGGAATATTGACGAGCCTCGGCCGACATCATCGTGTCACCTCATCGTATTAGCTAGTTGCGCTCGCATAGTCTCACTTTCATCTTTCCGGTCCATTCTCCGACTCTCCCATTTCACCAGACTTCAACATGACCTTCTCCACAAAAGACAACATCGGATAAAAACTCATAGCATGAGTCACTCCTTTATGAAGTCACTCACAATCTGCGATCTTCGAGCTTCGCCCCAATCATATTTTACATGGAGTCACAATTTTGGTGAGCTTTCTCCGCGTTTGTATTGAGGTTTGAATTCAGATGATAGTAAGTTTGTTGAACCGTTATATACAAATTGCTCTGATCCCGTGACGTTTCCGTTTGATTTGTTGTATGTAGTAATTTCATGTCGAAAGGTATTCCTCGTCGCCCACTTCAGAAGTACTTCGTTTAGATGCTCGGGGAGCTACTCGCTAACGAAAGAACAGGAGTGAACAGAGAGTGACTAGTCTGGACTGACCTTTCTGCCATGATGTATCCTTGTTACACAGCCTAGCAGTGGTTTTAACCCATCGAGGTCAGCCCATAGCTCATTCATTGCGTGGAATTAACCAGCGCCTTGTCCACAGGCAATGCCAACCAATTGACAATGTATCATCCATGATTACTGCATACGGCTTAGGTATCGAAATATCATACCTCCCATTATCGCGAATTGTCTGCTGCCTGCGAGCTTCGACCGCCATGCATCTCCCGTCGACTCGCTTGGAGGTTTCTCGCGTTCCGATCAAGAGTGGCTTGCAGTCTTGCAGCCTATGAGAGAGGAAGGGATAAGGCGGTATTATGAAATAAGACCCGCAAATACGCACCGCTGCATCTTCGGGTCGCAAAGCCCCTTTCGCCATGTTATGTTTACCGAATTTAAGCCGCTTGATACGAGTGGTTTGTGACTTTCCGGCGGCATCTTGTTCCAGGAGGGCTTCACATTCCTCCTGTGTTGCTACGTACCCTTGCAGTAGTGAGAAAAACTTGTGACGGAGGACAGTCTTGATTCTCTCCAGTGCCTGTGCGCTGTACCATCCATCTCGTTCCTACCAATACATTTGATTAGTGAAAGCCCGTTTTCACGTCATCAGCGACTCACGTCGCAGACTTCCCGAAGGTTTTCATCATCTTCTATCATCTCCTTCAACATAGGGTCGTGGATATCGCATAATTGGAACGCGGCCGTCTCTTTAGTGAGAGTGGACCCGTCAAATATGTGTGATTTACTAGTGATCGTTTACGTTGAGCCACACATAGTGACGACCCTGAAAGCTTACCGCCGATCAGCCTCGAACGATTCCTCTTGCTCGATGGACCTATTGATGTATGTGGCAGCCGATCTGCCCTCTTGTCTGCGCGCTACAACGGAAGGCCGTGCCACAGGGTGGTTGGCATTCCGGAAATATATCCGCTGATATCTTTAGCCCCTGACAGTGAGTTGTTCGCCAACAGAAATATGTACCAAACTCACATTCGAGCATCCAATTCTTTCCGGGGGTCGTATTTAAATCGGATCATTGCATCTCGCCATGGTCCATCTGAGAACATATATCCAGCCAAAGGCATGATGACTTTCGAACTGTATCTGCTGGTTAGACTTCCGTGGTTGTGTACTGTAGCGCGTACTTGTGAATTTCTCTCGATTCTGCAGGTGAAAATTGGTTGTAAAGGGCAGCGCGAGTCCACACAGGACGTTCATTCATGAACTGTTCGAATGAGTAGATAATCAAACAAGAAGCGTGAACAGTAGCTCACTTCCAGTATCCGATTCAATAGTTCGCTATTGGCTTGAGCGCGTGCATTGTCAACTGTCGGAGGAGGGCCCTCAGGAACCTGTTGCTGAGAATCAAAAATGTTGTAGAGGTGCAAGAGGACGAGTCAAACATTGGGATCACTGAAAGCGATAGTCATTGGTCCATGGCCTTTCCATCGACCCTTGTTGATGAGTCTCTTGCGCTCTTCACCAGTTTCTTCATTGATGAGGGACGTTACGATCGAAGCAGGGTTTGCCTTGAAGCTGCAGGGAGGTCAGCTATTTAGAGGAGAACGAAGCAGAAGCACGCGCTTGTAGTTTTGCGGTACGTTCTGACGGCTGAACAACGGAGGGGGAAACAATCGCAAGTTGCTGCGAGGTCCTGAAGATTTCTCGCTTTGTTCTGCCAATGCTGGATCCAGCTCGGGTGGATGGATGGATGGTGGAACCACATAGTCCTCCTTTTCCTCCGGAATCGAATATTGTCGGATTGCATCGACTTCAGAATTTGAGATCTACGGATCAACCGACTGAAACGCGGTGCTTACCGTCCATCCGATCCATTGCAAGACGCAGCTGGGCCAGGGGATCATTCATATCGGGCTGAAACTGATAATCCGCCATACCTTATGATGCAAACGCGTTATCAAGACACCTGCAAACATGGATTGCACTCACTGCGAAACCGTGCTGTCTTCGGGACGATGCCCACTGCATCCGCGGTGAACTCTCCAATACATTCTCCGTCTGGTTGCCTTCGTTTCCGCCTCACGACCTTCAACAGAATATTGCTGGTGCCGACTATATCGCCCGGTATTGGGTGAGCAAATGGATTTCCTGGTCGTAGATTGAGCTCAAGAAGCGCCTCATTCTTGGCCGCGGTGCGCTTGAACGCGGTTTCAAGGCGTGAAGGTCCTCCGAGGTTACTCACGGCCAGCGGAACAGATTCGGGTTTGACATAACCCGGATACTCGATAGAATAGAATGGTGTAGATGGCAAGGGTCTTTCTGGGGCTTCGGAATGTATCGTGGACGATCCTGCCTCGTCTGACATGACGGAAAGGATTGAAAGGAGCTCACGACACAAGATAACTGGCAAGTCCCTTATATCAAAGACTAGTAGGTACTATTTACACTACAGTAGTCCATTTCAATTCCCTCCGACCTTCTTGGACAGGCCCATAAGCTCTTGCATAGTATCCTGGCAGAAAAAACATCGGCGAAGAGCGCAAACCTCTGAGAAAGGTTCCTTACCTGCGAGGTGATGTCCACGCCCGCCTTTTGCAACTCAGTGACAACTTTTTGTGCTGCTTGCCTAAATTCCGAGTTCGCAGCCAACTTCATCATCTGCAACGTCGAAGGCGGACTGTTTGCGTCAATCCCTGGTAGTGTACTGCATGAACATTGGTGAATAATCCCCGAGAATTCACGGCTGACCTTGAGCCCTCATAAGTTCCGCAAAATCTCGTAGCGCCATCAAGGCCTCTGGTTTGTCCGCAAGTTTCCCGAATATTGAAGTGTTCTTGAACTGCGCAAGGAAGGCATCTTCATTCTCTGAGGCTTGTAGTCGCGATGAGAAGGAGAACGTTCGGCGACAACGGAGGAGTGCTAGTGAGCTCGGTCGAACCGGTCGTCTTGCGGAAAATAACACTTGACGTATGTGGTTCATGACGGAGGGATTGTTGAAGGTGGAAAGACCGTGCGCGTGAGTGTTGACGTTGAGGCCTTTGTCAAAGTAATTTCAGCCACACACGCGTTTTGACGAACGCGGCCACCATGGACAACGACTACTTTTCCATTGATGCCATACTAGCTGAAAATCAGGTTTGTGTGCTGTACTTGATGTTCTAACACTAAAGTCTGGCCCAGAAAATACAATGTACCTTTAAAGTTGACATCCCTGACATGGGTCACCTCGCAGGTGGATCTGACCGTGATGTACGGGTCTCAATCGCCCTTCCCTTGCGTGCCATCATCGTTAAAGCCACCCTAGATCAAATCCTTATCAAAGGCACCAATACCGATATGGCTGGCCTATATCATGTTATTCTCGTGCGTCTAAAGTCATTTCCAGTGGACACAAGAACAAATCAATCTTCAGAGACTGGGCTGACTTCACTATCCCTACACCCTTTGGCACGCGAGTAAGAAACGCGCTCAAGGCTGAGCCCCGGAGTGTAAAGCTATCCAACTTGATTGGTGCAGGTGGACTATGGTACGGTTTTGGGAAGATGATCATGGATATGTGAGTCTCGCTGCTAATTTCAGGGAGCATGCTTGACTGGCTATAAGTTTGAGTGAAGAGCAGGCGAATGGTATATCAGAAGTGCTAACAAAGGTGCATTGCCTGCATACAGTGTGTAACATTACCAATAATCGTTTTCAGGCCTTCAAAGGGCGGTTGCTCGAGGTGGTTGACCAAGCGCAGCATTTTGCAGCCCTTGGCCCTGCAGGAGGAGGTGGACCTTCTTCCGATACAGCACAATCGTTTAGAGAAGGGCTTGATGGGACAGAAAGGGAATGTTAGTGCCTAAAATTATGGCTTGGACACTCACTCACTATATTGTAGTGTTTGCACTGGCCCAGGAAAGCGCAAAACGGATGAAACGTTGGCATGAAGGAAATGACAAGGCACGTCGATGAGGAGATAACATTCCATGCATTGCATTGCGTCGTGTATCTCTACGATATATCATTGTTCTTTTTTGTCTGTACTCGTCTCCATACTGGTCGTCGCACTTGCAGGAGGAAGTTTTTTAAGCTCTTGCACGAACCTATACATTGGCCTCAGTACGATGTTCAACGTTTGTATGCCCAGCTCGACGTACCATTTCACGCTCGCCCATAAGGCTAGTTGGATGCCCATCAGAACAAAGAAGTGCGGATTGCCTTTCGTTAGGTACGCTGACCAAAGGAAGACGAAGAATAGCAGTGCAAATGCAGCGTCGACTGCGAGAAGAAACGTCGGATGGAGAGATGAACCTGGTTTCAGAATGAAAGAGAAGAACGAGGACTCTTCTCCTGATGCCATATTCTCGCACTTCGGATTGCTCAAGTAGTGGAAGATGCAAGTCAGCCTGAAGTTTGTTGGGAAGTCGGGGTTCGGGAGCAAAGGTTAAGTTGTACTTACCCGGTGTGGAACTGGAAGAATTCCACGACTGCCGACAAACTAACGCCTTCTGGCTGCAAACATCTCATACGAGCGTTACCAATTACATGAACAGTTTGGAAATTCTGCTACGGGAGACTATAAAGCACTAAGGAAATACTGAAGGGATTATGCAGTTACTTCGTTCTACGGATTCCAACATGTGAAGAACATGGGCCGGACTCGACTCGCAATCGAACCTTCAGTGAGGCTATCCCAGGCGAGCCGGACGTGGGATTGAACCCCTACGTCATGACCAGGCGAATGTGATTGCAGGTTCCTCACAGCGGCTGTGGGTTCGTTCTAGAACTTCTGACCACTGCCACATGATATCTGTCTGAGGGTCGCTGCCTTGCTTGTGCAATGTGAGCGTACAACGCTGCGCTCCACTTCCATCAGATGGAGAATCGGGATCTGGGCCGGCTGATGGAATATATTAGCGAGACGACCCAGGAAAAAGCGAATGAGTAATAATACCTTTGTCAAATGTGCCTACCCATTCAAAATACTTGTGCGCCAGAAAAGCGATCGATTCGGGTCTAGATGTTTCATCGTTGCTCTCTTCTCCGTTGAAGACGCTGAAAATTGGGGTTCGTAGGACGGGGAGCTTCAATTTGTCAAGTTGGGAATCAAATAGAGTGAGACGCATTGGCGTTCTGAATGATATTAAACGCTCGACTTATCGATGGAAGACTGAACTGCCATCCGACGCACTGTGAATCCGGGGAAAGAAAATTCACCAAAGCAAAAGCGTGGGTAACGAGCAGGAGATACGATGCGATAGTATGACTTGGCAAGAATCGTTCATTTCCTAAAAACATGTTGCACACAGCATGAGCGAATAGTACGTACGGCTTGTTTTCATTCATGGGCAAAAAGTATGCAGATAGTTCGTGCAAAATAAGCAATGATGGGACTGAATCTAGGGTTGCTTTTGCATCGACAGGTACAGGTTCAGAGGCCTCGTGTGCCCGAAACGCGGATAATAGCACGATGAGGTGATCTGGGGTTGGAGGGTAGCTGAGGGTTGGGCATATCGATCACTTTACCCCACACCCACACACAAAAACGGGGACCAACAAGATGTCAACTTTGGAGCTACTGTGACAAGTATTCCCCGTTCCAGAATCGGTAAGCAGCCATTCGTCGTTATATTCTCGAAGACTGCGTATGAGCGCCTGACGAGAAGAAGAAAGAAGTAAGGCCTTGGCACCCGTTGGAACAGACAAACACATGTGAATTGGAGCTGAAGGGTGGTAATCTCCCTGAACGATGAGAGATTTATAGGGCGGTAGACACGGATCAGAAGAGGGAAACATTCGAGCCATGATGATAGCAAGTTCCTGTGTGTGACAAGTCAAAGGGTGTAACACATCGCATTGGACCACGTGATGGCGTGTACTTTATCCTCAATCGTCGGAATAACATCGAAAAGAACAAGAACTTCCTTCTATTGCACCCTATTGCACCGCGTTGAAGTTATCTTGGGATCTATAGGATAACCGCACTAACTTTCATGCGGTTGGAACAACTTGGATGTTCTGACATGCAATTGGGCGCAAGGATCTTTCCGGAAGGATCGTATGCGATCTGAGCGTCAATCGATAGCCCTTACACGGGTACGCAGGTTGCAATATGCACAGCAGTATATAAACCCTTATTGTGCAAGTCGCACCTGCAATCTGTCTGCTCCTCCTCGCCTTCCCTCAGTTCTGGCACTCAACGCTCTGGGCTTAAGATCATTACTTATGGCCAATATAGCAGCTCAGACGCTTATAGGTGCAGCACAGACAGCTGCCCAATTTGCTCCAGTACCATGGCTTGGAGCCGCTACGGGCTTATTGGTCGCAATAGTCAACATGTTGGCGAAAGCAGAAGCAAATAAGTATGTACTCTCCTTGATATTCCACGGATTCGAGCATTCAACAGTACAACGCAGAAATGGCATCGTTCTGCTTCAAGATCGCTGCCTGAGTCTCATGGTCATGATCAAAAATGAGGGGCAGAACTTGCCCCCGGATCAACAAGCTAGACTGTGTTCGGGTGCCCAGGGGTTAGTGGTCCGGCTTGATCGCCGATCAATCAACTGATCTCCTCATCAGCACCCTTCAAAATATTCTGGACAAAATGGAGCCGTGGTGCTGCATGTCCAAGGTCAAGCTGTTCGTCAAACAGGACGAGCTGGCTGCTACTATTCAGCAATGTCACGTAGATATTTCCGATTGCTTGGTGAAGCTACAGGTAAGAAAGCATCGTTCTGGCGAAATTGTCCTAATATCGCTTCAGGTCACCTCCCACCTATCAATCCATGCATGGCAGGCCAACTTTGAGTTGAGTCGTACACGAGACAAGGAAGACATCATGCAATATCTGGGTGACATCAAGAACCAGCAGGAGCTCATAGCTTTCACACAGATGCAGCAGGCGGCAGAACTTCATCAGATCATGACGCTGATGCAGAAGGTCTCCAATTCCCTGCTAGACTAGTCTTAGTGAACTCATAGCTCTACAGAATCTTCCGGGTCAGGTTCCAACTACAGACCGTGGTATGGAAAGCAACCTGTATCACATACAACATTCGTCACACTCCCTTTTGCCGAACATGAACCTCAAGCGGGGTGAAGTGAAGCGCATCGGGCAGTATGCCGTCAAGGGAACAGGATCGGCGGATATATGGGAAGGCTACTATCTGAATGAGGAAAAGGTGGCCATCAAAATCCTACGTGCCGTTCACTGTGACCCTCAGACGTTGCGGGTACATATTTACTCCCCTCTCCTCAAAGTTACGTCCTCACATGTATCTTTAGAGGTTCAAGAGAGAAGTAGATATCTGGAAACGCGTGTGGGAAGCCGACCGCGGAGAGCATATCCTTCCTTTCTACGGTTTCTGTCAAAACGATGGGCCTTTCCCGTGAGCCCTTCCTCCATATGATTTTCCACTCCCCTTACCATATCATATGACCAGGTACGTTGTAAGTCCATGGATGGTCAACGGCACAGTGGACGAGTATATAAAAAAGTACCCCACCGTAGATCACATTGCTCTGGTATGTGCAAGTCTTCTGAGGAATGTTTGACGTCTTTTTGACTCGCTGCAGATCAAGGGTATTTGCGAGGGTGTGAACGTCCTGCATAGCATGACACCCCCGATCGTGCACGGTGACCTCAAAGGGGTGCGTAGCTTTGATTTTCACTTTGAGGGCCTGACGTAATTGTGTCCCTAGTCCAACATCGTTGTCGACAGTAACGGGAATGCACTGTTAGCCGATTTCGGGTTCGCTAAGGTAGCAGCACATTTCATAGGCCGATCTACTGCATCACTGATATGTGAAAATAGGTCTTGGAAGACGTCACGGGTGTTAATTTCACGATGTCTGCGGGGTACTAAGATCTCCATACTCACTTTACGACGTGCTAACGTATTTGATTCAGAGTTTCGAATTCGCAAAGGTGGCTTGCGCCAGAGCTCTGCTGTGATGGTGGCATGCTTACAACCCAATCTGACATTTTCGCGTATGGTATGACTATACTCGAGGTACGGTGAACGTTCACTATAATACAGTTGGCGTATCTCACAGCATCTTTTAGATCATGACTCATGAAGTCCCGTGGCACAAAATCCGCCACACGACGCACGTCATCATTAAACTTTCTAAAGGGGAAATGCCCCCACGCCCCGAAGATCCCTCCGTCAGCGCAAGGGGCCTGGACGACAATCTATGGTGGTTGGTTCAAAGGTGCTGGTCAGCCCCTGAGAGGAGACCCTCAACGAGAGAAATTCTCGCTCTGTTCGGATAAAAACGTCTCACTGCATTGACATTGCTGTCATCCCCGCTTTCGAATTGCATATCTCACCGTTGTTCTACTACCTTTGCTTGACCTTTGCCATGTACAAGTACTTGCTGTTAAAATCTCATGTCGCATGTCAATGAAGTGAGCTTCCAATGATCCGTCATCCTTTTAGGATAAATTATCGCGCGGCCATACAACTCGAAGTATAGCAGGAACGACTCGTTTATGTAAGTATAGTCTGTCGAAGGGAGACTATTTCAGAAGTTGTATTAGCTTTCAGAAATTGTAAACACAACCGGTTTCGCTTGATGCACCCATTCGCATCCTACGTGCTGCGAAGTTATTACCGTGCAACGGGATGGAACGAAGATAACCTGTTCTCCAACCTAACACGTTCTTCAGACGGTACGCTTTCCAGAAACTCCTTCGCTGGTCTGAGCTGAACCACATGTACGAAACAATCAGCTATACTGGACTTTAGTGTTCCTCGCGGGCTCAATCTGTCAATATCCAAAGCTCCCAATGGGCTCTTCAACACCTCGTATTCCATGAACGCCATGCCGTCCCTCAATGGCTCAGTAGGCTACATATTTACATCCTGTAACCTCGATGTGAAGAGCTCTGGCGGTGTCCGTTTCAAAGATATGGTCGAGCGTTTCAAGGTGTACGACCAGCCTCGAAGGCCAGAAGGAAAGGAGGAGGAATGGCTCGCTGGAGAACGGGTGGACACTCGTGGTGGGTCTGCATGAGTCGCGTGTCTTGAAGTGTTGACAAGAGGGATATAGACTATTTGCTCTATGGCCGGTTATACCTGCCTACGGGTAGACTCGATGCGCTCTACTCTACGCGCTTGTCACCCACTCTACAGGCAATGGTCGCAGCTATATCAGATCCACGGTCCAATTTCTCGTCCGAGAAGCGCTCGCGAGGCGACAATGTCAGCAATGTCATGTTCACCCTACAGCATGACGTTGGAAAATGGTGCTCGGAATATACATACGGCGCAGAAGATGGAATGTGGGGTGTACGCGTCTTACATAACTTTGGAAGGCTCGGAAATCCAGCTGAGCCTCCTGAAGATTTGAACTCGTCCCCTGGAACAAGACCTAAGCGCGTAGACGAGGAAGAGGCAACAGGTGGTGGTCTGAAGGGCAGAGTGTCTGCCGGTGCCGAGTTCTACATCAGCGCAAAAGAGAGGAGCGCTGGAGGTAAAGCGAATCCATCCAGTCACGCCCAGACACTAACCATCAACTTCCAGTCTCAACGGGAATTCGGTTTACAACTCTTCCTGATGCGACCCCACCATCTTTCCAGCTCCCCCCACCATCTTCATCACCACTCTCCCAATCCTCTCGTTCTCCCCCATCTCAACCACCGACGACTATCACCGCTCTTTTTAATCCGATGATGGGACACATACAAGCAGCTTATGCAGCTCGCATATCACGCGACCTCTCCATGTGCTCTCGGTTCGATTTCAACGTCTACAGCTATGATAGTGAGTGGACGATGGGTGCTGAATGGTGGATGCGACGGGCTGCCTCGAAGCATGAAGATGAGCCCGAACCGTCACTTATTCCCCCAGGGCAACCACCAGTTCCCGTTCCACAATTCGAGTCACACGGCACTCCTTCCGATATTCGTGGGGTGGTGAAGGCTAAGATTTCAACGAAAAACGTGAGTTGCATTGCGTTAGAATATGCCGGGGTCGCTCACAGCTCAATTAGAATGTCTCACTGATGTGGGAGGGCCGCCTGAAGCAGATGCTGGTTAGCTTGGGTTTCGTGTCTGATCTCTCCAGTAGGTCAAAGCCAATAAAGGCCATAGGACTCGAGTTATCATATTTCAGCACTGGTTAATATGGAGTGATTGCGTGTAAGGTATGGTACATACACCCGAGATCAGTACAGGTATGAGAACGGAGCAGCTAACAGTGAATCGGAACGCGTAGAAGGGTATCTATTATATGTGCAGACAGTTAAATGCAGTTTTCATTATCCAACAGAACCACAGAACAGGGAAAGGTCGACGCACAACCAAGAAATCGAAGCCGACTGGACGTAAGATGAGCGAATATATATAGCACGTAGATCAGGGCAAGAGACGGAGCACTCGTAACATTCATGAGGAAATGATGGTGGAAATATTTAGTCTTTTGCAACGGCGACACCTTGCGCACGAGGCATGGCTGGCACACCACCGATCGTTCTTGCCAACCGAGATAATGCATCTCCGGTGATGACTGGTCGAGCATGTGGGACACGTTGCCCTGCCCCTCCAGGAGGTGTCGAGTGGTTCCGTGCATGTGTGTTCCCCGGGCCAAGCGGCGAAGTTGTACCCGAACGGGCGGCTCGCTGACTTGCCGCGGTAGCTGGTGCTGCACGCGGATGTGGAAAGGGAGGGCGGCCTTCCGTCTTCGATCGACCATGCGAAGGACTAAATCCGCGCGCAGGAGTCGGGGCAGTCGGGCTCATGAGTGATGGAGCGGAGCGGGATTCTGGGAGACCTTTAGGTGCATGGATAGATGTAGCGAGGCTGTAGTCGCTGGAAGAAGAGCTGAGGGTCCTTTCTGCAACCTCGGTAAGGGAGGGAGCGTGGATAGACTGCGAAAGGTCTTCCCCTTTTTTGGCTGCGATTGGCTCTTCGCCACCTGCGATCGGCGCTGGTTTGGATGGCACCTTGGAACGTGTAGAACTTGCGCGGGGGCCCTCCGTTGCGGCAATCGGCTTGGGATGCAACGACGGGTTAAGCGAGAGCTTGTCAACATGCGCGACAGTTTCAGGCGCGACGATGACGGCGGGAGTGTCATGCGCATCTGTGGTGGTCGCCACAATGGTATCCTGAACGGTTGGTGCATTGGATAGGGGTGAAGAATCCGATAAGTCTTTGGTGATTTCGCCATCACCATCATTGTCTAATGGTTCCACATGATGCTCCTCTTCATCTTCAGCATCTTCTTCCGTCTGAGGTTCCGGTAGTGGCTTAAGCGCATCTGCCAATATCGGTGATATCTCATCCCCTCTGTCGCCTGCGCTTGTACGGATCGTCGTGACGCCCCAATCATCAAGGTCAGGCAACGAATCATCCTCTTCACCCGCCCAGTCGATATGGCTTCCAGGAGTTGAAGGTCTATTTTCAGCCATTGCAACTGCCCTGACACGTTCAACCAATGCATCGATATCGTGACGTTTCTCAGCCTCGTGTGCGGCCGCAATATGAGGTGGGATATCTTTACGTGGTGCTATTAAAGACGAAGTAGATGCTGCTCTCAGCTTCTGCGGAGCCACCGATGTGGAAGGTGGTATACTTGGCTTAGTAGCACCGTTTAGGGGAGGCTTAACATGCTGGTTGGGGCGTCGACGTCGGCTAGCATTATAACCTGGTGTGGAAGGCACGTTTTGTACTGAATCTGGAGTTGGAGAGGCTGGAGCTACGGTGACAGCTGGAACACTGCGAGAAGAAGCGCGGCGAGATGGCGTTTTGGGCTTAGCAACACGGTTGACCGAAGTGACAACGGGCTTTTCCGAAGGAGTAATAGCAGCATCCGGCTTGAGATGGACCCTTACGGGCTGGTGGGGGCTCGGCCTTGGGCGTAGGCACGTCTGTCTGGGATCCGTGGCCCTCAGAGGGTTCTGAGTGCGAAATCTTGCTGCCGCCTCTGATTGCTGGGCTGCCTGGAGGGCGACCGCCTCTTCCACCACCACGAGCACCTCTCCCCCTCCCTTGACCGCGAAAAGCAGATCCTGGCTCCCCGCCGCGCAGCTTATTCCAATCTCGTGGCCGAGATGGGGGCTGGGAAGAGGGGTTTGCACTGGTAGGGGGAGTTCGACTGGTGGGGCTCGCCATGAACCGTCTTTGAACAACGACTTGGCGATTAAATCTTTATGGATTAGCTAGCCTGTTATATTGGTCTAAGCAGCGTTCAGTAGCTGAATGAAAGCGACAAACGCTAACAATTGGATTTGGAGGAAGGATACGCCCAGTCAGATTCTGTACGGAATAGATTGCAATAAATGGGAGAACAAACCAACAACAGGGAGATTGGGGCTATGAGGGCGTTATGGAGTTCCTCTAGTATGGGTTTGACTCCGAACCAAACACTGCAAAGCAACAAACCTGCTCAGCGACCCTGACAGTGACTATCATCTATAATCATGTCAAAGGCATCACAACCAGAACTCAAGAAGGTAGACCTTTATACAAGTCCTGATTTCGTTTGCTAAATGGTTTGATATAGTTTATGGACAAGAAGTTGTTTGTCCATCTGCAGGGTGGTCGCAAAGTCAGCGGTACTCTGCGTGGCTATGACCTTTTTTTGAACCTCGTCATCGACGATGCTCTGGAAGAGACAACTCCAGCTCAGAGGCATCCCATTGGCACGGTGGTACGTTCTTCTATGACGCTTGCAGGCAACGTCCGTTGAATTATTTGCAGGTCATTCGTGGTAATAGCGTAACATCGATGGAAATCCTCGAAGCTGTCCGTTGAATCGGTAGTCACCCTCTTATTTGTTGCACTTAATAGATGGCGCGACGGTTCGGTTTCTTCTATCGTTCCTGGCGTCTACTCACTCTTTCTTCTAGTGAGCTGATCGATGTCACAATATATTCTTCGTGATTTGACACGGCCTCGAGTTCGATCGGGTCCGATGCAGTGTAATGAAAAAGTACACGCACATTGCTGTTGTAATCGTATCGATTTTTTGCAATCAATTCCGCCTGCCCTGCAATAATGCGATTCTCGACAACGCGTTCTGCTATTCGATGACATCAAATACTTTTGTTGCAGTCCTTATTCCTTAGTGCCAGCGAACACGCACGTCTCACACACGCCGTGACACGCACATCCATCATCATTGAATATTGAATAGCCACTTGCAATGATTTGGACTTCAGAACCATCCAAAAAAGTTCACGTGTTCTAACTTCTAACAGTAACTTGAACGCAATGTACAACAAGTATTAGAGTGTGCTGTGATGGTATATGATTGATTTGGTCCTACATGTGAACGGAATACAGACGAAAAAAATATACTTGCTATGGTACTGTAGACTACAACATGTGATCATAGTAATTCCTAGAAAGGAAGTGAACACATTTTTCGTCGGGATCACTTTCACTGGCATCAAGAAGCTTTGAACACTGGCCAGTACTGGCGCCAGACTAATTACTGTTCCATGCGGAGACAGCTTTCTAAAGTCTGTTTTTCTGCCAACCTCCAAATCAATTCCCTACGTCGACTCGTTCATACATCTCCCCGCTGCTCCTCCGCAATAACCCTTCCGCTTCATATTGTCCATGATGCGTATTCCGGCGCAAGCACTACCACTGCTTCACAAGGGAGTTCCAAGGATTTTGTCAAGCAGGAAAAGCTTTCTGCTCTTATGGATGTCCTCTCGCGCGAGACACGGAGTTATTCGAGCGTATGGTCATGCTATGTCGATTTCATGAGCTACGCAGGCTACGATATACTTCCTCTCGAAGTTCATCAAGCGGTTCTTCGCCATTGCGTCCCAAGCTCAGCAGTCCTGAGGTCTTGGACAGCGCGTCGCATGCAAGCAGGCCAAGCCCCTCGCGTCCCTCACCTTTATGAGACCCGCCTTAAGAACGTCATGCGTAATATCCGAGCTGCAGGCGCAGAAGCCACTCTTCAGGACTATCATGTCATTTTGGAGCAGTTCGCTGCCGTCGGTCACTATACCGGTGCAATGCAAGTATTCACCGAGCTCACGCACGTCTGCAAACTGGAACCTACGTCGAAAACATTTGGTCTATGCCTCAAGGCAATCGCACACCGCTTGTCTCTGCCAATATATAAGACGCAGCGTGCGGACTTAGTTGCTGACGCGAGCAAGCTTTGCCGGAAGTTGCTCAAGGACATGTCAGCTCGGGATATCCCTTCCACGCATTTCAACCTTGACTTGGTGATGCGTATCTTGAAGGAGGTTCTAGATCAGGAGGGTTTCTATCAGCTCATGAAATTGGGCTATGGTATAGACCTGGATTATCCAGACCACCCTCCATTACAAGGCTCCAGTACCCTGTCACCTTTTTCTACCACCGCTCTCAATACCACCCTTGACATGCTCGGCCGTCTCGGCAATGTAGCCAAGCTCGTCCAAACTTTCGAGGTCCTCACCCAACCCCTTCCCCCACAAGCCAGCCGACACTATTCCCAAGAGTTTGATGATGAAGATGACTTCGGAATCGCAAACCCCGCATCAACCGAACCACACCGGACTCCCTACGCCCAACCCAATACCACTTCATACAATCTCTTGCTGAAGCATATATCGCGCGCAGGTCACGCTACCTTTGCACGACATTACCTCTACCAAGCTGTGCGCCTCGATCGCCAGGTCGACCGTCTTCTACGGAGTCAGCTGTATCGTGACCCCCATAGGACACCTGCGCCGCACTTCGCTTTGAATCGGGGCACTATCATATCTGTCTTTGGAGAGGCTAACAGAGACAAGAATATGGAGCTGATGCGATGGGTCGGATGGGTAGCGAGGCAGACCATACGGAGGAAGAAAAATGATATTGCATGGTACTCTGAGCTACGCGACAGCCTCCCACCTCCTTCACAACCGGCTTCCTCTAGTTCTCGCAGTGCCCCGCCAGCAGACGTCTCAACAGCTCTGGACGTTGATCTCGATTCCCCTTCCACGCCCCCAGATTCTCGTCCACCGGAGAAACTCTTTGATATATACCTTCACCTAGAGATCCTCCAGAAAAATCTAGACGAACTCGTGACATGGTATGAGAACCACTATGAAGTCGCGCTCGTCCGGGCGACACAGCGAGTGAAGGAGCGACTTGGCAGGCGGGTGTGGGCTGGGAAGAATATTTATTTGCTCAGCGAGAATGCTCGGTTGACGGTGCCAAGGAACGCATGGACGAGGATAGTGAACTTCAAAGCAGGAAAGACAAGGGCTTCAGGGGAACAGGGTGGTCGGGTTTTGCGGAACGGATGGGTTGCAGGATATAAAGGGCTCAGAGCGCCCAGGCCCCAGCCCCTGCAGTTCTGTAGGTGATTTCATAAATGCCATGTTAATGCGACTGATTAAAAATCTTTAGTCGACCCGTCATCGATAGGCTGATCCGACCAAGTTCTAAACCCGATGCCGCCATTTGTTCGTTGTATACTTCTTTTTGCGATACATTCATGTGAAGCACTAAATTCATGAAGCGTCACTGCAACTTGGATAACGTTGATACATGTGGGTTGATTGCGGGTGCAGGTATCATACATGTTGAGATATGTGGCAGAGAGTGCAAGAAGATGACGACAATGCACAAAAGGGATACAAAAATGAGAACGGGGTTTCGATTATAGAAGCTTTCCGTGATCTGCAGCTCGATCATTAAGGACCTTCTCCATCGCGTCCAGCCACAAGCGTATGTCAGTTTGGAACCGGGAGTTGTTGGGATTGCTAGCCGACGTCGATGATGTACTAACGCCCATGCCGATGTATCTCGCGAGTGCAAGAACGGGCAAACGTCGAAGGGCGCGTCCTGAAAGTTGCTGTGCCTGTGGGAGTTCCTGAGCCACGAATGCTGAAGAGAATTGATGAACCTACTCTGCATTTATCAGCAAGAGCCAGTAAAGCCAAGGCAAGCTGCCCTGTGAAGAAGGCAACATGGTATCACTTGCGCCGGAACGATTTCTCTGTTCATTGACAAGATACAGCGCTAGATTAAGCGCAGGAACTGTCTGAGAGGCATTATCAATAAGGGCATCGACGATCAAGATCATGGACGGCTTACCGCCTCCTGTAGTATTCCTTTTTTCACAAATTCGCACAGAGAGCTGCGCAGAATCTCATAGATGGCTTCGCGTGAAGGCAGGTCGACGTATTGGATAATATCTGCTCGATCAACGAAGGCCGAGTCTTTGGAAGGTGATCAGATATCTCGTATGCATGATCCCTCCCCACCCTTACCTATGGCTTTTGCAAGGTTACTTGTGGACATCACCAGCACGTTCTTCTGGTACCTTAGCTTGTCCAGTTGCGTGAGGAGAGCATTAACCACCTGTACTTCGTGAAAAAAATCACATCATGAGACGGACTTGCAGACGTACCCTCAGACCATCTGAAGGCTCTGTGCCTGCCATGGCACCAGCTCTGGCTGCAGTAAGAGACTCTACTTCATCTAGAACACTATAAGCGGGATATACGATGGCCTATGCGTGTGCTAGACTTACCTATCAGCACGACAACGAAACAGTCTTCGTCTTCCACCATTTCCATGATGTTGCTGAATAGACGTTGTACAAGTTTTCCGGACTCCGAGAACCAACGAGAAAAAAGGGAGTGAGAATTGATCTCCAGGAGACGTGACTGGGAGTAACTGTTTGTTGCGAGAAATGAGAAGTGCATAAGGATAGCGCATGTATTGGGCTTACCGATGAGATAATCGTATGGATAATTTTTGAGCGAGTGCTCGGCATAGTGAAGTCTTGCCTGTCCCCGGAGGTCCATGCAGCAATACTACGCGGTTCCATGTTACCAAGTTGACTAGAAAATCGTCAGCATACAATCACGGTCCACCTAACTCACTCACAATCGACATCGGCGTCACTCAGAACAAAAGTTGCATGTATGTAATCAAGTAGCTTGAGCTTTATGTTGTCCGCATATATCAAGCCATCCCACAATCCCTCCCATGCCTTACATGGGAGTTCGCACACGCTCGCAGCGAGCACGTTCTCCTCACCATCTCTACCTGGTGTTCCATTAGCATATTCCTCGACCACATCGGATTCATGGGGTTGGTAAGCATGGATTTCCAAAGAAATCTCTTTGAGGCGTAATGATGTCGATGGACAAGCCGATTCTGATATTGCGATTCGGTCCACCGATGAAGCAAGGGTTAGGTCTGCTTCCCATCCATAGAGAACGGATGGGAGCTGAATTGGATCGTAGTTGTTGGTGATAAAATCTCGCACGAGACCTTGGATGACGTCTACACGCCGTCTAGATTTCGTAGAGAGCCGGACCTCGACTATGTGTCGCGATGAGCTGCTTGTGGTTTTTACTTGGAGTCGAGACTCACCATGTACGGTCCATATTACGTCCGGCTTGCTCTCATTCATGTCCGAGTGCGATGTCGACATCGCGCTACTATCAGAATCTTTCTTTTGGACGGACATTAGTAGTGGAGAAGGGAAGACGCGCAATTCGAAGTAAACAACGCGTCAATAAAGATTGCGTGTCCACGTGACCTATTTATCACTGATAGCTGGACTCATCTGATTCGACATCATTCATTCGCCACGATGGCAGAAATGGCTGGCGCATCCTGTCCTTTGCCCATTGAACAAGATAATGCAGTTTCTAGCGAGCAACCCAAAGGAAATCTTGCTCTTGACTCGTCGACCTTTGTTCCACCAATTCCACTGGTGTCACCCAGCATTATCATAGAATTCTGCGACCGCGTACGCAGTGCTTGTTGTTAAAGCTTACTGATCAGCTCACTGTGATAAATGTGCTATCCAGTGTCGATGGCAAGTGCATGAGTGCTACTAAGCTTATGCCAACTTCATTCATTCCTTGCAGGCTCCATCGAGCGACCTGGGTTTCCACAGAGTTGTTCCTTACATTCCCGCCTCCAGCCTTGAAGGCAATAACAATCATTCCTCTAAACTCTGAGGAAACTGGAGGTCGTTTCAGGGTCTGGCTCAATCTCGAAGGCAGTCTCCCACACTTGATGTGGGACAGGAAGATCGAAGGTGGTTTCCCCGAACTGAAAAATCTGGTTTGTTCAAGTTTCAGTCGCATGCGATATTAATCTAAAGAATGGCACCCCATTCTATCAGAAGCAACGTATCCGCGACCACGTACAACCTGGCAAATCGTTAGGTCATTCGGACAAAAAGAGTGAATGACGGGTCGAAGACCCTTGTGGAAATTATTCGAAGCGGTTTTTGAATACATAAGTGGATTATGTTGCATACTACGTCACAATAGTAGAGCAGTAACTTGGCAGTAACTCTAATGTAAATTATAGTGAGAATGTTGTTGAATGAGCTCGGGGCCTCGGCAGGCGAGAAGGACTTTGTTCTCCGCCACGACGAAACCCTTTGGAACTTACGGAGCTCGCGCTGACCAGATTTGATTCGTGCCCAGTGCCCACCGGATCTTTTTCTCTTTCTCTCAAACAACCATGAGCACTGAGCGGCTCGAAAAGCTCATTAATCAATGCAAAAGCAATGGTTGGTGGTACGCCTTGGGAATCCCGGTCATCGGAACTGACAGTGTCCACAGACGTTGACCAGAAGGTCGATGCCGTGACAAAACTGCAGGCAGAGTTCGAGTCGGGCATAGAAGTACGTGCCATTTATCTAGTCTATAAGCTGGGCATTAACCAACGTTCCTGCTTTCTACGTAGATCACTGAACCAGAACCAGTCATCTCTGCTCTCAAAGCATGTCTTCGTATCTCAAATCAACATCTAACGACCGCCACTCTCTCTGCACTTCCTCCTCTACTTCCATTGGTCGTTTCGCGCAACAATGTTGTCCCAAACGCAAACGCGTACCCACTATCAGCATCGTCCTCCACGTCGTCCACTCACGGAGCGTCGCATGACATGATGGTCCTCCGCCAGGTTATGAACGCGTTCCTTCCCGCCCCTGGCGTTGTCGAGCGCCTCGGTGATAGTCGCGAAAAGGCTCGTGATAAGGCGCGTGAAACGCTGGTTATCCTCGGTGGACTGGCTTTCAGGGCTGCATCTGGTTCAAAGATGAAGGATACCAAGGGTTCAGAAACGCCACTTGCGATATTCGAGCGTTTCTTCAGAGACAGTGGCTTCGGAAGCAAGGTTGCCAGAGTTCGGGAACAAGTAAGTGAGACCTTCTGAGCAGGTATGACAGTCTCTCACTCTCAACCGTAGTCTCTACTGGTCCTCGTGCACATCCGCCGAACTCACCATCTTTTCCCTCTTCGACCATACCTTTCACTACTAGTGGACACCCTGGAAGACACAGACGGCAGTGTTCGCTCATGCGCAACGCCTTCCGTGATTGAGCTCTTCACTGGGCCTGGCGTGACGGACGCTGCTCGCTCGGACCTCAAGAAGGAGTTGACTAAGAAGGGAGTACGCAAAGCGATGGTGGACAACATTCAGACACAGCTCATGCATTCCAGTCGTTCTGCTAGAGCAAGCACACCCCACAGCGAGAGTTCTGCGGGCAGTGGAGAGCCCAACGCAAAGAAGGAATATGTTCCTCCAAGCATGATGTTGCAACAAAATCGCCGGCCAACGGTAGGCTGCGGCATCTGGAGCTACGCCTGGTATGACCAGGGCAGCAAGTCAAGGGAATGTGAGGGAGATTTCGAGACCAGCAAGTCGAGCGGCAGTTGCCTCTCCGCCCTTGTCACAACCTTCAAGTGAAGCCGCTAGTACGGTTGAACCTGCTTTTGTATGCTCTGCTTCCATACCGCACCCCACAGAAATTTATCTGATCAACGGTTATAGATTGCATCCAGTCGAGATCTGGAAAACGAGTTTCTAGCATTTGCAAAATCATTCGAGGTACTGTCGACAACTTGAAAACGTGGTCAACCTTCTTAACTTGCGACATAGGGGAAGGAAACGGAACACAATTGGGCTGCCCGCGAACGTGCCATTCAGCGTGTCCGTGGGATGCTCTCCGGAAACATCCATACCAGATACCCTGACGTATTCCTCCAATGCCTGAAAGACGGATTTATGCAGTCCTCCCTGAAAACAGTAAGCATCTCGAACTTGGCAGAAATTTCTTGTAAACCACTCTCCTTTGTTTTAGCTTGTCAGTTTGCGGACAACGGTTTCTGCGAACACCTGCTCCCTTTATTCCGAGCTTGCCATTGCGTTGGGCCTAGGGATCGACCCGTTCTGTGAAATGTTGTACACGAATTTGCTGCGAATGGCGGGATTTACCAAGAAAATCGCAGCTCAACAGTCGCAGCAGTCCCTCTCAGTCATAATGCAACAAGCTTCACCACATCCCCGGACACTTCTTACCCTCCTTTGGAACACTCTACAAGAAAAGACTGTGCAATCTCGAACCTTCGTATTATCTCACATCACCCACTATATCCAGGTACACGGGACACGAGCGAGATCGCATATAGAGTCGACGGGTGGTTTGGAGATCCTCGAGAGGTCTTTGAAGAAGGCATTGGCTGACCCCAATGCGGCTGTTAGGGAAACGGCCCGCAGTGCGTTTTGGGTATTCGACGGTGTCTGGCATGACAGGGCAACTGTAATTCTCGAGTCTCTTGACCTTTCAGCACGCAAACAGCTGGAGAAGGCATGTCCAGACCCTGAAGTTATTGCTAGCCTTCCTCAAACTGCACCAACTACCCCAAGTGCCAAGAAGAGCAGTGTTGCAGCCGCGATTGCCGCCAGTCGTGCCAAGGCTAAAGCCATTGCGACTGCGCCCCCTACCCTGAGACATCAAGCGACGTCATCATCGCACGCCACACGCGCGACGTCACCTCCAGCAAGGAGAACTGTCTCGCCAATAAGCCCAACGGTAAAAATCTCGAATGGGCACAGCTCGCCATCGCCAGCTTCGATGTCCTCACTGTCACCCCGTTCATCTCTTGCTCCCCTATCGCCATCAAAATCACGCATTGTGGGTGGTACCCTGCCTCGTTCCGTCAGTTCTAGCGCGGTGTTGACGTCACATTCCCGTTCCTCTACCGACTCCTCTTTGTCTTCCAGCTCGCCCGAAGCAAACCGACGCCGAGGATCCTCTCCGCTTGTCCCACCCATCTCTCCTAACCGTCCATCTACCATCCGTAAAATTGTGCAACCGCCTCTTTCGAGTCCCTACCACGAATCACCAACCCCTCGGCGTGCTGCACCTACTGTCCCCCAAGTTCCTGTCCCAGTTCGCCAGTCAACTGCAATGCCCGATATTTATAGCGATGAGTCACTCTTACTGGCAACTGTTATACCCATACCCGACGACAGTGAATCTGAGATGGATGATGAGTCTGTCAACCTCATGTCTTTCTCAACTCCCTACAAGGTATATCCTCCGGCACCCAGTCAACAACGCTCATTCTCTCCCCGCTCGGATCGTTCTACGCCTTACACCGCATCTAATGCATTGTCGAATGGGAAACCTTCCGAGACAGCGCCTGTCGAGGACGCTCTTAGAGCCCGCGCAGAGCAAGCGCAGAGTGCTGCCTGAACGGTTGCTGGAGCTGAACGACCCTGACGGTGAGGATAACCAGCATTCCACAATTCCTCCGTCGCTGCTACTTGGTAGCGGCTCTGCGACGCCAAAACCGAAATCGCCAAATGCGCCGACGATAATACGAAGCCTGGCGCCTCCTGTAACTCCTGACAACCGAAATGCAGCTATCTTCCGCCAGGCCGCGCTATTCAAGAATAGTCCTGCACACGTCAAAGTTGCAGACACTCTCGTAAAGCCAGTTCAGGACCAAGTGCATGAGACTGGTTGGTGGTTGAAACGCATGTCCAGTGGGTTGTCATTATCTGCGAGTCCTTGTTATTTTCTCACCTAGGTCCTATGATGACAGCTCTTGATCGTGCCACACCCCTCAAAGCAACTGCTGCTGATGACAGAGTGCAAGAACTCAATGACTATATTACCGCACTGGAGAGCGATGAAACTGACATTCGGATTCTCCAGAAGTTGGCAATGCTGTGCAGCAGCAATCCCATACCTTCAGACACGACATCTCCCTTGAGTCCTGGACTGGGACTTCCTTCCAGTGTTTCCCCTTTCCTTGGCACCAGTCGCTCTCTTTTTCCATTGATCCCTGATATATGGACGAAAGACAAGAGCTTTGAACGACTATTCAATGCTCTGATCAAGTTCCTTGAGCCTTCAAGGGTGCGCCAGCTTTCTTTCTTTTTGGTGACATCGGTTGAACCTCATTCAACCTATTTAAATAGGATGCTGAGCAACTCGAATACGGCCTCATAGTTCTCTGGGAATTACTGAGCAGTCAAGCACCATTCGTGGAAGGTCGGGAAGCCGACATATTCGCGACTTTGCTTACTGTGCGGTATTGTAATGCCATTGATGTAAATCCCTTTCATCACTGGTGTCTCTGTGTTCACGATAGTTTTAGGTTCTCGAAGCGACTAAAACAATACGCGATGCCCTTGCAACACGTATCGAACCCGTTTACGGTCTGACTACGATGCACGGTAGTCTGCGAGCGTTTGTGGCCGAGCCTTCATCAGATGCAAGCGCCAAAGATGCATCGCACGCCTTTGGACTAATCGCTGTGGGCAAATTTGTCATGCGTTTACCCGCTGAAGTACTTGAGGAGGAGCTGCCCCGCTTAAAATCTACCTTGATCGCAGCGCTCAACGACACCACTCTCGTCATTCGCGAAGCCGCATACGCAACTATTATTGCTGCGCAGCTCGTGCTCCGCGACGAGACCCATCTCTTCGCATTGCTCGACGGTCTCGATGACAACAAGAAGAACCTGCTCACATACTACTTTGACAAGCACGACGCCAGGGTCATTGGCATGGATGGCAATGGCGTTGGAATGACGAAGCTGGAGGGTCAGATGGGGAGGCTGGACAAACTGATGAATACACCGCAGAAAGGCCGTGCATCAGAGTGAATGTTTGCGGTGTTCCATGTTACTTATGCATATGTTCGGGACTGATATATTTCGCAACTACTACACTCGTTGATCGGTGTCTATTGTTTCATCGGTCGCTATTTTTTATGCTGTTTGATTTGTATTACTGGCGGTGTATATCACGTTCTTTTTTCTATTCCACACAGCGCGCCAGTCATGTTTATATTACATCTCATACATATGCTGCGTAATAGATTCTTTTGGAGATGGTACAGTTGTGACGCATCAGGCCGAAATCAATGGTTTCACCTGGCCTGCCGGAGAATGGTATATCGAAAACGACCATTTCTTCGCAATGCGCGACGGCCTTCAGGGAAGTCATCCAATGTCAAATGCAAAGTCCAGAGTTCTTCAAAGCAGCGAGGGGCTCCTAACAATGAATCTCACCTTCCCAACTCGGATGTCTCCTTCTCGTCCACCGATCATTCCTCGACATTTACGATCTGCCAGTCGATCTGCCTGCTGGCCCAGAAAGGTACGACTGTCTTCCCCTCGCTACTATATTCAGCCTGCACGCTCACCCCTTGCACCTTCTGCAACACAACCTTCGGGGAGTATCCACCCGCCGGGATCTGATAAAAGGCACGCCCAAAATTACTGGTAAAATCCGCCAACCTATCGATCGCCCCGAACGAATCGAGGAGGTGCGCGACGAGGGGGAGAAGGATGGGGGACGTATAAATTCCAGCTGCGCATCCACTTGTCGGTGTTGCCGTCGATTTTGAAAGGATGGGGTGAGGGGCGGAGTCAGAGCCGAGAAAGAATTTCTTATTGCCGGATTTGACAACTTCTTGGAGAGCGAGACGATCGTTTGGAAACTTGGCGACAGGTTTGCAGAAGTGGAAAGATTGGCCTGCCAAGTCATCGATCGTTAGGGCGAGGTGGTGTGCTGTGATCGTGCATGCAACATTGTCACCGCAGGCTATGACGGCTTTGACGGCAGCTTCGGTCGTCGCGTGCTCGAGGACGATACGCAGTTTAGGATATGTGTTGGCTAGGTTTGCGAGAACAGGGAGGAAACGTTCTTCAGCATTGAGGACGCAGGTGTTTTTGGAGTGGTCGGATGGGATTTCTCCGTGAAGATTAAGCACGATGCCGTGCACCTCCATCTCTCTGAATAGCTGGTCGTATTTGTCATAACTTTCGATCCCCTGGTCCGAGTTGGTGGTCACGCCGCGGGGATATGATTTGACGCCTACGATACCAGCAGCTTTCCAGTTTTTGACATCGTTGGGATCGAGAGCGTCGGAAAGATAGAGAGTCATGAGGAACTCTACTTTGGATGATCCTGAGCTCTCCCTCAAATTTTTCTGGTATTCCATTGCCATCTCTGTAGTGGTAATTGGGGGCACGAGATTTGGCTGTGATCGCCAATGGATCATTGTACTGAGATGACTAGATTTAGCACGTACCATGACATAGGCGAGATAGAAACCGCCCTTTTGGACATGAGGGGTAACGAGCCTCATTAATGCACCATCTCTGAGGTGAACGTGAAAATCAGCTGGGGCAATAACTTCCCTCGTGTCTCCATAGTTTGCGGTGGACATGATGGCGATGGAGAGAGCCTGAGGGAAGATACTACATCCGGTCATCTACCATTAAGTGGCTGCCACCTCAAAGTGGAGGCGCCTAGGTGACGTCGCCGAGACTTATTACTATGTGTCAGGTACCGCTAAAAAGGTGTCGAGCGGCCCGAGACTTTGAACTCTGAATCTGCCATGATTTTGCTCGGGTTGTCGTTTTCATTGCACCCCGATTTAGAGTTCCCGGGCGGGCATACGACTAGTAAGTGCACTACACGCCAGGGATAATCAAGATGAATCTTTTCAGCTGAAAGGGCATCACACAGTAAATACCATCACAACAGAATTTGGCATGTCTAGCGACGAAGAGCCACTTTCCATAAGAAGAAACCTATGCCTGACAGCATTCCACCGACATGACCTGCTGCATCCGTTCTCGTTCTCTGTGACATCATTTAGTTTACCCAATAGTACAAGGAGTTACAATATTAACTTACAGCATCTGTTACACTCCTATACACGTCAAACGCGAGGATTCCAGGAAGGAACGCCCACGCAGGACAAGGAACGACGAAGAAAATCAAAAATGTCGTTCTTGGGAATGCGCAGGCGTAAAACGCGACAGTCGCTAGTATTGCGCCTGTACAATATTTGAGTGAACGAAGAGGAATGAATGGGTGGGGACAGACCACTAGCACCATGCGAAGAGATGTTGTCATGCTTGTAGAAACGGTTCCATACGAGACTCGTCAAACTGGATGCGATGCCACCTTTTGTCTTTCGTTAGTGAAAGTCCCCTGAGTGAGATGCAAAGAAATACCGAGGAAGTAGAGTCCCAAGAAGCGAGAGTTCCCGAGGACCTGCATGACGCCAGGGGCCATGAAGTAAAATGAAAGCCCATTGAACAATGCATGCTCTATGTCTTGATGGGAGAAGCACGAGGTGATCAGCGTCCACCTGGCCGAGGAATCAGGTAAGCTCCGAATTAATCGCAAAGCACAATAAGACGCACACGCGACCGGAGGTGATGTTATTCCAGTTGACTAAAAAGTTGTTCCGGAGGAAGATCAAGAGTGTGGGGTCTCGAGTGGTTTGCTGCGGACAGCCGTCAGCCATGCTCTACACCTTAATAATGCCTACGAACGTATGTGGACTTGGCTCCCTGCCAGAGGAGAAACACGCCAGCGTTTATTGCAATGATGGCCACGAATATGACGTTTCCGTTTATTGAATCTAACCAGTTCGGCCTGCGGGGTGGGCGACGATATCCGGAACGGAACACGTCTCTATGAGTCGCATTACGCAGCTGCGTACGAACAAATTGAAGGATGCTTGGCAGTGACACAGGCAGTGAACTGACAGTCGTGGCAGGGGTGCGCAATGACGCAAATGTCGAGAACGGTTTTAACTGTGGATGAACTGGCTGGCAAAGGGTGTTGTGAGCCTGCAGGCGACTGTTGCATTTTGATTGTATGATAGGACCTGCTAAAAGTGCGGATGGAAGACATTCAAGCCCCTTCCCGACATGAGCAAGTTCGGAAGAGGTGCGCATGTTGACCGCAACGTCCAAGCTGATGCAAATTCATTAAACAGCGCTGGCACCAGACAGACAAGCCTAATGTCTCATCATTTGTTCCTGCTCTCCCCGTCTGATACGCCAATATACAGTCTGACGCATTACTCTACTAAGCTGCCACAGCCAACGTCTTCGTCACTTTCATCAAATTTGCCTACATGGTCTACTTCTGCCTTTGCGGGCACGCTCACGGCGTTGTCTGGGGCCTCTAATGCTACACAGTCTCATCACGTCCAAGGGGGTAGTGTAAGGATGGGCGGAGGGCAAGATCGACATGTGATACAGATGATTGCCAACGCAAGTTTGGATGTTATAGAAGATGTCATGCGAAAAGAAAGCGCCATGTAAGTTCTATATTCCTTATCATTATGCTCCACTAATCATAATGGTAGGTATCTGAAATCTGTAGATAAATTCAACGAATGGACGGTGTCTGCCTTCATCACTCCAGGAAGTAAGTTTCCCTAGTCATCCCCCTCGTGGTTATGCTCATCTGCCACGTCAGACATGAAATTCATCTTATTGCATGAGACAAAGAATGATGATGGCATTCGGTCCTTCTTTCATGATGTCTGGGAACTGTACCTCAAGGTAAGTCACCTGTGAAGACTTCTGCTATTTCTGATGATATGATGAACTTTGGCAGACAATGTTAAACCCAGTTCCACACGGCACATTCTCCGATACGCAGCATTGTGTTTGATACACGTGTTCGGGCGAGTGCGAAAAAATACCTTTGAGAGCATCGGCAGGTGGCGCCGTTGAGCCTGGTGTGGGGAACAAGACAATAACGATTTACACGGAATGCACGTGTTTAGGACGGTTATTGTAAGATCGAAAGCCAGGGTCAAGGCAATGTATGTACACTGCACTAAGGTGCGATACGGTGATTCAGCTGAAGCAGTACCTAGAGTATGCGAATTCCGAGAAACGAACGAGGCTGTGGATTAACAATATCTTGGTAACGACTTAGACTAAATCAGAGTTTAAGGGTATCAGGGGGAATGGTCTGATGCACTGCCACAGTTTGGACGGTTAAACCAAATGATCTTTATGAGCTGGCTTGCTCTGTTCTCCGAGTCTCCTCCTCTTTGCTTTGGTTTTTCCCTTTCTCTTTCATCATCCACAGCATCATTGTCTCCTCTTGTTACCCCATAAAAAACATCTAAAATCTCTATAAAACAGTATCTTTTATTTCTTTCACTTCAAGCGTCGAAAAGACACCACATATTATAATCATCGTTCAGAGAAACTTCAGAGCGCGCAAAGTCAGCAGCTCAGTGAACCCCTCCCTTGAAGTTCCTGCGAGACTTTTGGAGAATCATTTTATACATCCTCTTTTCGTAAGTTCGTTCGAGTCATATCACCCCTTCTCGCTAACTCCAAGTTTCAGTTGTAACACTTCATTGACTACCAACATCATAATCTGCCTTTTCCAAATAATTCTTTCAGTCTCGTATTAGTACCAAGGCTATTGCCAAACACGCGCTCTCTATTCTCATTTCTTCACTCGGAAGTATGGCCACAATGCAGTCCAACAACCGTGCCTCTCTTCTCAACGGTCTTCGCACAGGAGGTGTGCGCTCTACGTCCATGTCTGGTCCACATACTGCCGCCCTCGGCGGTTCCTTCAATATCCCACGGTTTGCGTCCAACTCATTCCAGCACTCTGTCTTTACAGAGGAGGATGATATGGATGAAGTTGGCGAGCTTTTCTCACAGAACATGTACATCAACAATCAGCCCGTCAATTCCCGTCCTCTCACAGCCGCTGTAGACCGTCCAAACAACCGTTTCGTCCAGCAGCAAATGGCTGCTCAGAGTGGCCTGAACCCCAATAGTGTTCCGTTTTACCCCTCGTATTCTCAGGGGATGCAGGCACAAAACTCAAGCGATGTTCAGTTGCACGCGTATCAGCAGATGCAGTTGATGCAATTGGAGATTGCCCGTTTACAGGTTTGTTGTATTGTTTGATCTTTTCACACGGATGCTGATGACAACAATCATGGATTGTTCCAGACCGAGCAGGCACAGCGTAACGCTCGTGCTCAGGCTATCCTCATTCAGCACGCTTTGCGCCAGCAGATACAGAACAGAAGTGCGAGCATCGCCATCAATCCTCCTGCGACTGCCGGTCCTCTTGAGACAAGTTTTGATATTCGCTCTGTTAGTGGCACCTCGCCTACACGGCGCCCTAGTCAGGCTGAGCTTCTCAAGGCTCAGCTCGGTATCCAAACTCCCCCGCTTGAGGATGAGGTACCAATGACGGCTCCACTTGGGGGACGAACGCGTGTCACCTCTAGTGTCGCATTCCCGAGCATTCCCGAGATTCCGCTTAGGGGATCATCTCCTCCCGGTCAGACTACCGTGATCAGTGGTGGTACTTCGCTCGGCAATTTCCTGCCCAACGGCAATGTACACACAGTCAAGGATAACACGCCTTCCAAGTCAGATGTTGCTGTGTCTTGGCGCCGCGGAAGCACCACCAATTCAGTTTTGAGTGGCCTCCGCACCGTGTCCGCTGCCTCGCCGAGCGTTAAAATCACTCCACCTCCCGGTGAACGTATTTCCCCACCTCCTGGCAATGTCGCTACGCCCGCCAACAAGGCGCGCCCGCGCCCCTTGAGCTTTAATGCGCCTCCTTCGCGCACGCGCCCTGTCATTGTCCTGGACTCTGGAAGCGAGCACGAGGATGCATACTCAACTTCGAGTTCTACCTCGCTCTCCAACCCTCCTACGCCTCATTCCTCATCTTCTTTGGACACATCGCCACTATCGCCACGCGAGGAAGCCACCAAGAAGTTGTACGAGGGGCTGGGAATGGGACGCCCTATCCCACCTGCTGCGCCTATTCCTGTCGTGCATAAATTTATCGGCCCTTTCAGACAGCCTCGTGGTCCGCCTTCTGGTGCTGATGAATTAGGACCCAAGAACTTCGCCACGCGTGTCCGCCGCAAGGCCATCGGCGGCCTTGGTGTTCTCATGGGTGCTCGCGAGCGCCGGGAGGCACTTGAGGCATACTAAACATGCTTGCACTGGCCTACTCCAACATCCAACTCCGTCATGACCCATTTGTTTGGCTTTATACATTCCTTTTTTACGACAAAAACAACCGCCTTTGTTAAACCCGACCCTGGAGCTTCTGGTCGGAACGGACACGCTAGTGCCAACGGTCAACCCAGCCCTTCCCTTCATTTCATTTCACTTTTACGTTCACCTTATCTATTACTCCCTGGCGTAGAGTGTGTTTTAGCTAGTGTGTGCTTTTGATGCGGTTGCCTAGTAGTAGCCTTCATTCCGCCCTCCGTGCTGGTGGGAGCTGGGCTTCCTTGCACGTTGAGCCTACTTTAGCTTGCCATTGTTTCATACTTGTACAGTTGTTCATTTGAGCCGTTGTTCGATTGCTTATGTGCTCCCCCATAAGATGAATTTTGTGAGGGCAGTAGGATCGAAATGCTGAGTTATGCCTGACAAGCCCCTATTTCTTCCTTAGATTTATCCTTTCACCTCACTTGCGATGATGACCGCCAAGTCCGTTGGTAACACACCTCCCTGATACGACTCAATTTCTACGTCTGGATCATCATCAGCGGATGCCATCCAATCCAAACGACGATTTCTCTTTTCAAGCAGATACGGGCCAAATTCGTTAGTAACGCACCTGCCTTGCACATGAGCTCTGGGTCTGCGTCACCAGATTCCGTTTTATTTTGCATCCGTGACCTTGTCTCTGCTCCCGATTTTACCTTTCCTCTGTCGCCGAAATCGTCAATGCCTGTGCCGTCGCTCTCCCCACACAGTGCACAGTTCTCCGACCTCCTGCAAACATCTAACATCGAGGATCATACGGCGTTGTATTGCGCAATTGTGAACGACCGACGAGAAACCTTTTGGTTTTTACTCAATTCATCTCCGAATTTTCGTCTGCTTGCTCTTCCGACTTGCGTCTCGCGTGCATGATCACTAGCGACCAAGCATTGTTTGCACAGCTGAATTTGGGAAATGTTGATGGTAGGTGCATCGTAATGCTCACGCAAGAATTTTCGAGACTACATCAATTTATCTGATCTGCTCATCAGCCAATGACGGGCCTTTGAGACGCTCGTTGGGCTGTCGTCCAGATGAGATTCAGGTATATGAAGAGAACTTGGCAACAATCATTTCGCTGCCTCTTTCTGCATCAGGATGCTCCAGAAACGCCTGCGCGTTACACACACAAAACCCACTACTGCCGTAGCGGGAATATAAACTGTGGATTTGCTGCGAGGTGTGTGTTGCCCATGTCTCTCTCGGTTTGTTCTGACCCTGATATGACACATATATTCCCCGCAGGACGTATATGGTGGTTGCGCTTCCCCAAGTAGAGATGGTATGTTGCGTTGTCTTTCTTGGCCTAGCTTTCCAGCCTGTTCAAGCCAGTACTTCTGATAGAGGCTCACGGAGGGGGAAAAAGCTGACGGTAGAACCTTACCTCAAGGTCTGCGATTGGCGTCTTCGGAATTCATAGACACTTGTGCCAAATATGTGGGTTTAAATCTGCTCCGACTCATTTGAAGCCAAGGTACTGATACATTTACGATTCCTGTGGCACAATTCTTTGCTCCTTTGTTGGCTACGCAGACCTGATTGTCTTGAAACACATATGGACGATTTAGCTGGCGAGCCTTGCGTTGGCCAACTGTGTCCGATAGGCGATTGGGTGATGTACAAGTAAGTCTTTCGCTTCCTCAACTCGATCCGCGGAGCAATCATTGCATCGCGATTCTTCTCTTTCAATGAATTCAACTGACTGCCGTTGTAGCAATCCCATACATGTAGACTACAATGGCGGCTTACATGCAAAGCTAGAGATATCATTCAAAAATGGCTAAGCTTGCCAAGTCAAAAGTTCTCGAGTGGCTGCCGCTAGCCATGGATGAAATATCTTATGGTAGCAGTGGGTAGCGTGACGCTTAGACTGTGCAGGACCTGAGGATGGTCTAGCGACGAGTAAAACTAATATATGTCATAGGGCGAAAAAGCAGATGTCCTCAAAACTGAGCCCATTCGATATTGTGACTCAAGTCACGGTGTTATCATGTTGTCTTAAGTACGCGCCGTAAGTACTAGTAGCTGGAATCCGTCAATGCATGGTTGACCGTGTTCTTCACTGTTTTCATTGTCAAGAACAAATCTCAAATTCAATATTTAAATTGTACTTAAACTGGCAACACCTGAACTTCACAGACCATGACATTCCGGGCAGCATTCTGGAGCAACAGCTAACCATACATTTTAAGGAAAATACGAGCACAGCGCTGTGGGCTAACTCGCAGTAGCTGCATTTTCACAGCCATAATGGGCCTTACCAGCAGCCTATATGACAAATCTATTTACACCTCTGCCCGACAATCGGCTTACCATGCTCCTGAGAAGCCATATCAGCAAAAGCCAGTACTGGAACAAGAAGTAATGCTTACCTGCCATTCTTCTCTGCTAATCCACAGTTGATGGAAAGTACCGAGACTGGCCAGAATACTTCCTCCTAGCCATCCGCCATACTTCCGCTCGATTGGGTTTCCAGGAGCATGGATTTTGACCTGTAGACGCATCTCTAGATCGACGGAATGTGATTGAAAGCATTTCACTCACGTGGGGGAAATTCCTTGATAGCTCGGCCTCCAGCCGATCAGCAAAACCTGGAAACAGGCTGCCACCGCCGGTAAGAACCACATTTCCCATGAGGACTTGCCGCAGGTCCGGATCACAGGCGCGCAGGGACTCTGAAAGCAATGTAGGGATATTCTTTGGGAGATTTGGATTTTGCGCCTGCAAAGAATGAGCAACTTTGAGATCGAATCAGCATGGAGATACGTACCACTAGTTGCGGCGAGTGGAAGAAGAACTGTTCGCCAACCTGGTATCGCTCCGGCCCGAAGTACGTGTTGTAACCTGTCGGAAACTCGTACTGGCGCGCTTGACGAGACGCCGCAGCTCTGTGATGTACAATCAGAAGGATTGCAAACATGCGCAAAGGTATCTTACTGCTCGTTCCATCCCTGATCAAGAACGCCAGCGACGCTCTGTATCCACTCGTCAACTTCACGATTTTCGCACCAAACCCTCCAGCTTTCCGTCGTTCCAGCTATCCGGTCTTCACGGAGGGTAAACTTTGGTGGTGCACCGGGCTCGACAGGCTGTATTATGTAGCATCGATAAAATAAGCGAGTTGAGTACGACAAATAACGCACTAATTTGTCGGCGATGAGCTGATGGGGGAGGAGTTCAATGCCCCGACGCGTCTGCGTGGGGTTACTTAGGATGTGTCGTGCATGGGCATGAACAAGTTTAGGTAGCGCAGAGTAAACCAAGCCTATGAGACATGAGATATGAGGATGAGAGAAAGGCCAAACACCATCGACGCACCCTTTCGTAGTACGAAGCCATCGACTACAGGGGTGATGCTGGCCATTGCATGCCCAACGTCGATTACTAGTGCTGAGCCTTTTCCTGCTGCAAAACTATTCCAAGACATTAGCGCCACACAACAAGCGAAACGAATCTTACGCATTCAGAACGCCAGTATTGGCGATGTAGAAGGCAGGAACATGGAACTCCTCGAACATAATCTCTGCCATTCTTTCTCTATTTGCAGGTGTGTTCCAAGCGGGCTCGGTTACGAGGATAGGATGTTCGGAAGGATTGACTCGCATAACGTCGACCAGCGCATGCGAGATCAAAGCCGGTACCGGATTGAAGTCAAAAACTACATAGCTTGGATATAAATACCGTCCATGAACAAAATGTAAAGTCACTCACGCAATGCATCCCGCACAGGGTTCCCAATTTCCATACCCTCTCTCCAGATCGAGGGGCCATTCTGCCCAAGGTAAAGCTTCGCGTCGCTCGGGGGTTTTGCGGTCGAATCCCAGTTTTCTGGTGCAGTTTCTCCCATTTGCACATCGCCATCCCCTGCAGTCGCTTTATAGCCATAAAACGACGGGATAATGGCCTTGGGGATATCATCCCCGGCGTACCCTGCGCGTACGGATGAGGAGCCTATATCAACGACCAAAGCGGATACTTCGTCTATGTAAAACGTGTTAAATCCATAATCTTCATGTTCAGCAGCGATTACTGACCTCCTCCGTAGTTTACCATCGCGGTTTATGCTAAACGGTATGCCCGATCCAGATCTAATGAGACAAACCATTTACATCGAGCGGCCACGTGACTTCGACCAAAAAATGAGTGAAGGCTATCATTCAGCTTGTCTCCCCTAGTAGAAGGGATAAAATCGTTCCTTCCTGATACTCTTTCCTAGAAAGATGGCGGTTTTAGGTCCAGGGAAAGTGCGGAACAAGCGCAAGCAAGAGGAGTTTGAAGAGGTCGAGAAAGATCCTTTTGCTGAGGCAGTAGATCTGGAGATGCAGAGCGAAGAAGAAGCAGAGGATGAGGACCGGGAGGGGGACGACGCGTCGGATGATGGAGACGTAGATGATTTTCCAGAAATCGATGCTGCCAGCGACAGCGACGAAGAAAGCGAGGCGGATGAGGAAGACACGGATGACCTCGACGAAGACACCCTTGATGAAAACTCTGACGCCGACTCAGACTTGCAGATATTCCCAAAATCCAAAGTGGTTGTTTCCGACATTACTGGTCAAAAAAAAGTCTTATACCCGGAGATCGAGCCTGACTATGATTCGGACTCCTCGACAGAAGACGTGAGTGGGTTCTAACTTTTCCCATACATCCTTGTGATGTAGCAATCCCCTAGGATCCTAACCGTGTTGGTAACATACCAATGCATTGGTACGATGACCTTCCTCACTTAGGCTACAATATCAATGGCAAAAGAGTGTTACGTCCAGCCAAAGGCGACGAACTCGATAGATTCCTTCAAACAGTAGAGGACCCGACTTCATGGTAAGCAACGTTCTTTCCCTTCCAGCAGGTAGTGCTAATGTGTTGCAGGACGACTGCTTTTGACAACAATGCCCAAATGGACAAACCACTGTCCGCTGAGGAATTGGACATTATCCGCAGATTGCAGGCTGGAGAAAATCCTGATGTCGAATACGATCCATATGAACCTACGGTCGAATGGTTCACGGGTAAGGGCAAAGAAGAAGTCATGCCTCTTTCATCGGCTCCAGAACCAAAACGCAGATGGCTGCCAAGTAAATGGGAGAAGCAAAAGGTGTGCTTTTCCCAGAGTTACCCGTTGCACTTCCTTATTACATTCTTTCCAGATCATGAAGATTGTTCGTGCCATCCGTCAGGGTCGAATCGTGGGATCTAAGCCTACTGCAGCGGATAAAAAGCAGCAATTTTATGCTATTTGGAATGAACCACCGTCTAATCAACCTCCTCCGTTACCAGCACCCAAACCAAAGCTTCCTACGAACTCCGAATCCTACAATCCCCCCGGAGAATACTTACCGACCGAAGAGGAGCGGAAGCAGTGGGAGAATACTAACCCCGAAGACCGTGAACGAGACTACCTCCCGCACAAGTATCCTGCGCTTCGTCTGGTTCCCGCATATGACCGGTTTATCAAGCAGCGTTTCAATCGGCAGCTTGATCTCTATCTCGCACCACGGGTGCAGAGGATAAAGCTCAACATCGACCCTAACAGCCTACTACCCAAACTCCCAAGCCCGAATAGCTTACGGCCGTTCCCCAACTACAAATCACTGAAATTTATGCATACTAAAGCACGAGTCAGGTGCCTGAGCATAAGTCCTGATGGCGCGTGGGTAGCCAGTGGTGACGAGAGCGGATTGGTTAGTCTTTGGGAAGTTAACGTGGGACGAGAGGTTAAGCGTTGGAGCCTGGGTAGTAAAGTCGGTGCCATTGAATGGTGCCCACGACTTGACGCTTGTTTCTTCGTTGTTGGAACGTAGGGATCAGTTATTCGTCACGATGACCACACTACTGACAAGTGCCTTAGGGAGGATAAATTACATTTCTTCATACCCCCGAATCTTTCTCCGGCCATGTTGACCGTGACGCAGTCAACCCTGGCACCTGCTGTTCTTCCCCCTGCTACTCAGTCACCAATTAAATGGACATCGTCATCCGGAACCGCTGAAGAAGGCCCCATCTTGACTGTTGAATTACCAAGCGCATCTGGGCTGTCGCGACAGTTAACTTGGCACAGAAAAGGAGACTATCTAGCTTCAGTCTGTAAGCACAAGCTCTCGCGAGTACTATTCGGAGCTAATGGGCACTCATTCACAGCCAGCAGCGAGAGTCAAGGTAGTGTTTGGATGCATCAAATCTCTCGCCGACACTCGCAGGCACCCTTCAAAAAAATTAAGGGTACTGTCCAGATGGTGTTGTTCCATCCTACGAAGCCCCACTTTTTCGTTGCCGTACGTGTTTGACTTGCCGTGCTCCTCAGTCGTGCTCATCCCAATGTATCAGACCCAACGTTATGTCAGACTATATAATCTGGCTGAGCAGAAGTTGCTGAAAACTCTAATGCCTGGCATTAAATGGATATCGTCGATGGATGTACATCCGTCTGGCGACCATGTCATTGTTGGTGGCTACGATCGAAAGCTGTGCTGGTTCGATCTAGAGCTAAGCGAAAAACCGTACAAAATTCTTCGGTAGGTCATTCGTTTCGTTCAAAGTCAGTTGTTAATTTTGGTAACTTGCTATTAGGTACCACACAAGAGCCATTCGATCACTCCATTTCCACCCAACCTACCCTCTTTTTGCGTCTTCATCTGACGACGGCTCGATCCAAATTTTCCACGCAAGGGTCTACAGTGATCTTATGACGGATCCACTAATCGTACCCCTCAAGATATTGCGTGGTCATGATGTCCAGGAGGGACTTGGTGTCCTCCAAATCAAATGGGTTAACAAGCAGCCCTGGTTGGTTAGTGCAGGGGCGGATGGCAGTGTGTCAGTGTGGTGTAGTTGAAGATAAGCCCTTTGTCTGAGTTTCGACTATGAAATAACCCCCTTTGTTGAGTCCGAATCTTCGGCTGTGAACCTGAGTATGACTGACGTGGGCGCCGAATCGCTACTATGATACATCACCAGAAACAGGAGAAGGGTAAGCATCGATAATGCAGTGTGTAGCCCGTTGTCGATTTCTTTCTAAGTTATGACCTGTCTCATTTGAATCTGCGGCAGGATCTCCAACATCCACCGAGTTTATGAGCTACTCGTGCGAATCGGTAGACTACTACCTAGTGGGGAATCATCGATGTCATCGATCACCATCTGTTGCTACTCTGGGAGTCGAATTCAATCATTTGCATTCCCTTCGTTCAATGGAAATCAAGTAATTCGTGACGACTGGACAATCAAGCAAGCGTTGATGGGTCGTCGCACTTTCACATCTAGTACCTCTTGGTGGCGTTTCCTAGTGGCGGCTTCGCCGCTAGACAACAAAAAGGTTAACTCAGTCATGACAACAAAGTGCTAACATGAATTATCATAGGCCCATACAAGGAAATTTACCGCTGCCTGTGAGCACATCCATGCTTGGGAGGTACGTAACAGTCCGATGGACACTTTCTCGGTTCTTGCTGCGCCCGAAAGAGATCTCGACGCCCCATCGATCAGGGCTGAATATTGATCCTTGAATATCTTGCCTAGGAGGTACATACTACCTCTCTTGCTGTCGCTTGTTACATTGTCCCGAGTCCATCTTAATGGTTGACTGGACAGACGTAGAGGAAATAGAGGCAAAAGGCAGTAAGTATTTCCAGGACATTTCTGACTCTAATTATTCTGCCCTTGTAGTCGCTTTCACCAAGGTAGTCTATCCAGTTCGGAATTTCATATCTGGGAAATCTGCATGACCAGCAGTTTCGAGTCATCCATGTTCTTGGGTATGCGCAAGCTTGCATGACCTTTGGTGCATCTTTCTTATTTTTGATCATAACTGACCATAACTGACCATAACTGACCATAATGATCACAGAGTACATGTATTATATTTGGAGCTGTCTGATGTGTCTTGACTCTTAGATCTAGTAGTGTCCCAATATACTACCATCACATTTTCGGCCAGGGGCTCAGGCCTTCGAGAATCTAAGTGCGCCTACTTCTAGGCCCAAGCCCTTTGAAGCCAGGCCCGGCACCGGGCACATCACTAACATTAAATATTCCTCTCCTACTTGACGTGACCTGAGCACCTAAATATTCCGACGCGTGAGAGATGACTCACAGAGTACTGTCCGCGCCAGATTGGAGTGTGTCCCGAGGGAGCCTATTGCAATGCGAAGTTTTTAGAAGAACATTAATGGTACGCGACTCGTCACTGGTTAGTTATAGATACGAAAAGTTCCAAAGCCGAGTTTTGAAAAAGTCGCGTTTAATATGCAAGCAGAATGAGATCAAACAACGAGCTTATCAGTGCTTCTTGTGAGCTGGCACTGACCTTGTGAAGCAAGGTGATGTTTTGCTCCGCGCCAAATTGTCAATAGACCTTGCTTCGCGAGGTAGATCTTAGATGGCAATCTGCTGGCATTGCAGATATGATCTATTCGAAAGGGGATTCCAAGTAGCACTTTCTAAATCCCCATGAAGAACAATATTCAGCATATAAAGGCAAGGCGTCTTCCTACTGTCACCTTCAGTTTACTTGATCCCATATTATATCCTCACAGACAATGCGTTTCTCCTCTATCCTCGCCGTCGTTGCTGCTTTGGCAGCATCAATATCTGTCAGTGACGCCGCCAGTCAGGGATGTCCTGCCTTTTGCTGGGATAATGGTGATTGTAACGACTGCACTGACGCCTCAATGCGTGAGTATGAGTAGTGTGCTGCCCTGGATTTAACCACATTACTCACCGGCGTGGTAGGGTTTGTTTTTATGCGGGTGGTGACAGAAGTGGCAGCGACTATCTTCCTTCTATAGGGTCTGCCTATGCGGAGACTAGCGGTGAGCCATGTTTCTGCTTTCAGCATCGGTGCAGTATGGCTGATGGCATGAGTAGTCTGTTGCTGAGTTGATCAACGTTCTGAACAAATTTTATTGCCGCTCGAGAAATGAAGATCTTGGAATAGCTCGAGGAATTCTCAAATGCTTGAATACATAGAATATGACTTAAGTACTTACGACGCAGTTTTATAGTCTCGTTGTAAGCTTGAGCACTCGCTTTTTATGTAAACGCTGCGTTTGTTACTTGATAGGGCAAGCCTTATTGCAAGCTTCGGTGTAGTGGATGTGCATATCTTGTGGCGAATGTATGTTCATTGTTGGTCATACTGGACTCGGATGCGTTTTTATTTGATTCAATTAATGATAGGCGGGACTTACTAGCCTACGTAGCCTCGCGTAGGATTTGGCAACGCTGGGCCGATGCTTGCCCTGTCATTTGGCCAGTGGGAAGTCCTAATTCGCACTATGATAGTCGTGCAAGCATCATGGGACGATCAGGCTGGTACCTGTGTGGTTGTCAGTACAAATGACGTAGTGCGAGTACGATGCAACAAAGCTACTGGTAGTAAACAAGGCGCGCGTCAGTCATGTTAAGCAAAGTCCGACGCACCTTGCCACTTCAGCACAAGTCGAAATCCACCCAAAGCTGATTTCGACCTCGAGCGCGAAATCGAAATCCGCGTCCAGATTGACCTCGAAATCCAGCCATGTCATTTGACTGTGTGATTTTGCAATACTCCTTTGCCTTGTTCTTTTGACTATTTTTTTTGGTAATGTCCCATAGAGCGATTATTGCGTGTAGTGTGGTCATTCGCCTCGATGCGTATAACCACAGCAAACACGTTCACAATAACTCGTCATCGGTCAATCACATTTCCGCGTCTTCCTTTAGCCTTAGTAGTCCTGGTTAACCATCGCGTCTCGTCAGTTTCTTGCCCTTGCCCAGTTACAAGACAATGAAGCTGAAGCCGGGGAGAGACACGATTGCATCGGCTATTTTCGGGTGTGTACCGGTTCAAAGGCAAGTTGAAAGGGTCTGATGACTCTGATCATAATGCATTCCAGCCCGCCACAATGCGCCACGAGCAAGTCCTTCCGCGACCACCAGCGCGACAGCGATTGCAAGTCGATCGGCTTAAAGTATCCCGGTCACTACGGGGACAGGGGTTCATTTCACCATACATCCGCTTGGGCTCAGCCGCCTGAGTGGACTGTGCTTTGCGAAATATCGTAGATTCAGTCGCCGTAGTTATAATATAGACTGTGATGGTATTGAGATGGACATCGAGCTCTCTTATGTAGCCCACGCAAGTATGGTGCTTTTTGGTATACAGATGCCATAACGATAAGGCAACCCGATGAAAAAACAGCTCATAGGGTCGTTCACCGCCGACGTGACGGGCGCCCAGACTTTCCGCCGTGCTGCTGGTAATCCTTGGCGGTTCATTCTCGTCAACTTCGGTACAGGTGTCATGCCTTTAGACCTTCTCCACTCCTCCCTTCGCGAGTTCCTTGGACCGTGAGTCGAGACGTGCGATGATTCTGCTGATGATTTTGCAGCATCATCGAGATCCATAGCATCTGAAAAGATTCAGGTTAGGATTTCATGAAAATGTCGAGGGAGCTTGTAGACCTGGTGCCGTTGTAGGGTCCAAATCATCTGGAGGGGATAGAGGTGAGTGAGGATGATCCAGCGTTAGACAAAGCGAAAAAACCAAAAGACACAGCTCGTGCCCTCCTGGCTACCACCATCTTAAATCTTAGAAAGGCGACGAACCTTGGGCAGCATCACCTTCCACTGGTTCTGCTAATTCCTCATCTCTATTATCAATTTTTGCCGTCAATTTAGAGTTGAGTCTGTGAAGACGTGCAGCCTCAGTTGCTGCGTATACAGCCTTCGCCGCGTTTTTTTGCTCTGAATGAGCGCTTTACTTTTGATCGAGTTGATTTTGCCATGTTGATGACAATGTTGAAGGAATCACAAAATGACGGAGGATCTGAAACTTCAGGCTGATGCACACGTGACACATTGAATCTTTCAAAGAACAAGTACTACCAAGAGCAGCCCCTTCAAACCGTCCGATAGATGGTGATCATGCATTGCACCTTTCGTTGTGGGTAGACTCAAAGAAAATAATTGACAGTCTGGAAATAAGTTGTTCGCTAACTCGCGCCGTCTTTTGTGCGCACGTAGTACCTCAATCCGCCGGGCATGACTGAATTGAGTACGGATCCACAGCACTGCGAGTCATTAGTAAATAGATGTGAGCGTCATATTACGGTGGAATATTGTCTCAAGTTTGGACGCCTTCCGAAGTTCCACTGCGAACGCAGGTTCAAGGACGGATGATTATCCAGGTCTTTAATGCCTCTACATCCCAATAGATCATGCAAGTAGAGTAGTATACAGACCTATTTCGATTGGATAAACTCGAAAGTCCTATGATACAACAAGAGCAAGTGTCCAGATGGCTTCGAGCCGTTGGACAAGATGTTTTGAGTGATCACAGCATGATCATTCTGGAGGAGCTTCCCTGTAAAGTCGCAAAACATATCAGCATGGAGAACTTGAGCAGGACAAATGATACTCATGATATATAGCACGTTGTTACACCTGCAGGAAAAGCTGGTAAGAGCGTCAACAATGCATCAATGAAAGTACATGCCTGATGAAGACTTCGCCCAGAGCACCATTCGATTTCCCGTCTTGGAACTCCTCCGTGTTAGCCAGCTATGCAGTATATTAGAAATGCACAGAAAAAGCCATTGGATCTGTCTAGACCTGTAGGTTCATGTACCCATCCGTACTGACAAGGAACCCTTTGTATTCGAGCCCCCATTTTAGCTTAACAAATACCGGCTTCCCAGTAAGCTCCTGCATGAAGGGCTTTGGATTAACAGGATTGACCTAGGATGTGTTAGCATCTTTAAATCTACGAGCTCGTTGACGCACCGACGACATCTTGGTTGTTGGTAGAGGTTAGATGTAGTAAATTCGGACTTCGAAAAAGGCAAAAAAGGAACCCCCACAAAACAGAGCTGTGACATACTCACTTTCCTTTGTTTTTGGCCGCATCGCGCCATTACTTTATGCAAAATATGTCAGACCGCGAAGGACACTCAGGAGCTGGACCATCGGATGAAGATCTGTCACTGCCGAAGGCAACGGTCGCAAAGATGATCAGTGGTATGTACTCTGAAGCATGCATGTAGTTCGCTTTCCGACCTCTTAAACTATTTATTCGTTTCCCATAATTCGGCTCTCAGAGCTACTTCCAGCTGAGGTCACATGTGCGAAGGAGACGCGAGATCTGGTCATAGAGTGTTGTGTAGGTGAACATCGTCAATGATCTTCCCGTGCCTCGTTGGGGCTCATACACTGCTTGGTAGAATTTATTCACTTGATCTCGTCAGAAGCGAACGAGATATGCGAGCAGGAATCCAAGAAGACAATAGCGCCGGAGCATATCATCGCAGCACTGAAGGTATGCATATGATTGACCTTCATTCTCGGCTAACTGTGCTGTAGCGGCTAGGCTTTGATTCCTTTACGACTGAAGTTGAAGATGTCTTGAAAGATCACAAGCAACAACAAAAGGTGTGTCATTTTCATGCTTACACTCGGCGTATGATGGATTGTGTTTCAGGACCGGGAGAAGAAGGCAGACAAAATAAAAGATTCAGGTCTAACGCCAGAAGAACTTATGGCAAAGCAAGAAGAGCTTTTCGCTGCAAGTCGTGCAAGATTCGGTCAACCACAGGGGCAGCAACAGCCACCGGCGTGAACTTCAGTGGTAACGCCGATAGTAAGCACTCATGGTACTTGCGATTTGCATCATTGTTGTATCGGACCCTGTACATCAGTACTTCTAATAATTTTTATTTTCTATTTTTCTGTCATTCGTTGCCGCAGAATTTCGAGGCGTCTGTGTGGGGAGTCTTGGTTCCATTCTTCCACCCCGTCGGAACCCAGCGTAAGGTGTGGAAGACCAAGCTGTTCAATCGTGAAAGAGGCTGACACCGAAGCATATAGTGATGCTAGAATGTGTGAATGGCGGTCCAATTAGTTGTGTGTCAACATCACGAGCATACTGACAAACCTTCATAGACATTTCCGTTTGTGATGGACAATCCCGCAGCGAGCCCACCAAGAAAAGAGTTGCCAGCACCTGGTCTTCTATCAGTATAACCTATCCGAACGTTCGCCCCGAAGAATCACCTGTGACATCGACCACCTTGTCGATATTCTCACCAGAACTCCAGAATGCGTCGATCCATCGCCCGTTACTGTCGGCAGTCATGACGTATGCACCGAGGGTGCCACTGCGTATTATAATACTTCCACTATTTTCTTTACCCACCCCCATCTTCAAAAACTCCGATGCAGCATTTTCCACGGCAATTTTCGTAACAATCGTCGGAAGAGAAAGCAGGCTTAAGGCCTCCTCGGCATTTGGACTAGTGTACTCGTGAGCAGAAAACACTCGTGGCTATATCACATCATCTCGCCTACCTGAGGATTGCGATGTGCGGCAGGACTGCTTTCAGCGAAGGTAACTCCTCGGGAACACATCTGTCCTGCTCGATATTCAATCATTAATTGTGAGACAGAAACCTGCCTGCACGAACAGGTATTGGTTCAAAGATTGCGGTTGGGTTCCATCCTCTACTCTCTTGGATTTCTGATATAATTTGAAGCGCACGCGTGGGTGAACAAATGAAATGAACGGAAGCAGGACGCATCAGTCGTGTGCCGTCCAAGTCGCGAGGGGTTAGTCTGATCCGCGGAGTAATGTATTCAAAACTACAGTCATATGGAAACGTCAGGCGGTGGGATAGGTGTATATGCAAGGAAATAGCAACCCTCGATATTCCCCTCTGTAGAAATTCCTTGAGCGAGTCGTAACGCGATCCAAGTCGTCACGGAAGTGCCATGTGTCAGACCCGTATGTTAGCAATCGATCTTGGATCTCCTGAGGAAAGTCGTTTCCTCGATCAACAATCATCCCAAGGGTATCAGAAGGCAACCTGCGAAAATGTCAAGCCGTTCACAAATCCAAGTCATACAACACAACAATCCGTCGATATGCTGACCAGATGCGCGCGCCGATAGTAGCATATGTCCCTCCACCCCCGATCTATTATAATATATCGCGTGAGGATGCTGACAGCAGCAGAGTGAACCTGTAGCTGGCTTCCCTGAGGTGGCACCGTCTCTCCAGTAGGCTTTCCTTGTTCGTCTGCAAAGGAGAATTCATCGATGATAAACATCCCAAAGGTCACAAACTGAATCGTCATCCTTGGAACACGAGGTATGACTTGGAGAGGGTATGAGAACAAGCCTGGGTTAAGTTAACCTCGGTTGCTTCCGAGCATGATTGTTACCGCGGTATTGCTGTGCATAATTCTTGCAGCTGATAACTAGCATCTATACCACTCATGCAAGTCTGGAATGTCATTTACGACCCGCTCGACTTCCCAGATTCTGTGCGTACCACATCGTGGATGTCAACATCTTCACCGCCTCATATGCCCGATTAGCTCTATCGCAGTGCGTTGCCCCTAGTCGATCAGACTGCGCAGAGCAAAATCAGCAAGTTTTATCGCCGTGAAGACGCTTGTCGTACGTACGCGACTCAGCAGGCTATACATTTGCACCGCCCATACTGACGCTTGATCTTTCATTCATTGAAGGATCGCTCATTGGCAATCTCCTTCCCAGAGTTTTACTCAAGAAGCGAGGTGTGGCTAAAGATGCTATGACGTTTGCAGCTACGGAGACGGGAAAGCCATACTGCGTATGTCTTCACAAAATGCTTCAGTCCGATCATCGCTGCCTTGTGCTGATTCTGTATTCAGACCACTCCTTTAGACCCTCCCTTAGCTTTCAACGTTACTCATGATGAAGGTGCAATCGCGATGGCGTTTGGAACGGGTGAATTTGGGACCTCCGGCATTCAGCATAGGAGTTGATGTCATGAAACTCAAAATTCCTCCGCGGACTACCTTTACTCAATTTGTTGACATTGTCGACAGCCAGGTGAAACGTGTCTTGTTCTTCGTATATTCGCGCTGTGCTCATTTCATCACTTATCACCGAAGCTCACTGTTCGAGAGAAGAATATTGTTCTTGCTGACGTCCCTGAGGAAGAGGCAATTCGCAGATTTTACTGGATATGGACCTTGAAAGAGGCTTACACCAAGGCTCTCGGGATTGGACTCGGCTTTGACTTCAGAAGGATAGAATATGATGTTTTGGAAGAGAAAGTCACCATCGATGGCGAACTTGCGAGAGGATGGCAGTTTCTGAAATTCGAAGTGCCGCAAAGTGGACATAAATATGTCGGCGTTGCTGCGAAGTTCATTGGAGGGCGGGGAACAAGCATATCAGATTTAAGTGAAGGATGTCTCGTTTGCTATGATGCTGTATCATTCGTTAACCGTGCGATCGAAGAAATGAGCTAGCCAAGATTTGTGGCATATTAGGGATGTACTGGAAATAAATGCTATACGCTAATCTATTGTGCGAAATCACTGCGGAATGGCGGAAAGGACTACATAAGTATGCTGCACTGATCGATATAATTAACTGAAAGGTTATGCTCTGAAAGTATGTGTCTAATGGGTAATCAGTATGCAAGGAAGATTTCTGTGCCAAAGAGCAAATCATCCTCAGGAAGGTTTTTGTTTTGGAGGGGCGTTGATTGCCAAACCCTTTTTGCGCCATCATTTTGTTTTCTTTGAGAGCCCCAGTGCATCCCGGAGAGCTCGAATGCGCTGAGCTCTGTGAAGGACGTTAGAACACTGGCCACCTGCTCATAAAATTCCTGCGCCGCGGAAATTAACGTTCCTGACCACAGGGACGAAAACTCATGGTGACTTACGGCAGTGGGAGCCCTGAAGATGTCTTTGGTCGACATCACTCGCAAATAGACCAAGTGAGGCGCATGCTTGCGCAGCATTTCCAAGAAAGGGACAGGAGGTGCATTGGTAACGGTTCCCAGAACGACCACAGGGACAGTCGAGCGGGAAAGCAGAGGAATATCATCCTCCATAAAACCTCCGCCGTTAAGATGAATGCTCCTTACCGGACGGCCAGGAATGATTAATTCGGCAGTCCGGGAGGAGCCAACGAACTGTGCCAGATTGGGAATTGAAGTTGGAGCAAGGTAAGGGGGTGGGGAATTGTGCGCAAACACGGTAGGAATAGAATCTACTTCGAGCTCAAGGAGCGAAGGCGTGATATCAAGGAACCTAGCAACGTTTTCATCGAAAGGGAAGGAGCAAGTGAACTGAAGCAAGTGGGAGAAGTGGATACGACTTGACGATTCCTTCAACACCCAGCTCACGCTCGAATCCACAAGCAAATTAAGGGAGGTTAACTCCGACATATTTAGGATGGCTTTTGCAAGTTGGCGATAATAGGCGGGGAAGACATGAGCAAGGGAATCTATAGCAATGTAAAAGGACCGCACGAAACGCGCGATATGCGGTTTCTTCGCAAGAGTGATGACGACACATAAGTTCCGCGACCAGACAGAAGCTGATACATCACGGTAGAGGATGCGTTGTGCCACTGGACAGAGATGTAGAGCAGGTTTGAGCAAGAGCAGCTAGAGATGAAGAAGAAAGGTACTGCGCGATACTATCAAGAAGTTCGACAGGCAAGTTGTGCATAGACATGGGTGCTGGTGGGCGATACTAAGCAGCTGAGACGGAGGAGCTCTTATAGGAAGAGACTCGGGCGCGTCTAGAATATAATTGAATGATTGCCGCCGTGTGAAGGGAAAACAGTCAAGCGAATTGAACTAAGTCAGACTAGTACTGAGAAAGTCCATGGAGAGATCACTTCAGTATGACATTGAAATTACCAGCTGTAAGCTTTAAGATGAATTTACTTAAAAATAAAAAGGGATACAAGGTGGTGGGACAACTTGCACGAGGCCGTATCGGAAAATTATATTTGCCGTTAATTACGTAACAGACATGCAACCCACCTGGCAGTACTCAATCGACTCAAGCCCTTTCCGTGAACCAACTAAGTTATACCGTAGTTACTGATGCGCAGTTCAGGGGGGCTGTCCATCGTGTCACTATTCACGAAACAACTTTTCGATTTCAGACCACCCTCGAAGTCGCACTATTTTCGAACACCAGCATTATGGAATGCAAAGAGGCACGTTCAGACGCGAGGCAATGCTCTTTCTGGTCAGTAAAACAATACGTTCCTCACGCGAATCTCCCGCATCCACGCTGTGCTAACTCGTATATTCTTAATAGCCCCATTTCCCAAACGTACTCATACTTGCGGTGAACTCACTCCCGCGCACGCTGGCATCCACGTCACATTGACTGGTTGGCTGCTCCCTGAGCGGTGATTACTTTAAATGGCCCGCTCTCCTTTCAGATTGCTTACTTTCGCTGAATAAAGCAAAGTGTCAAAAACAATGTCCTTCTTTCCCATCAAAGACTCTTCTGGAATAACTCAATTGGTCAGTACGCAAGGGGCATGCGAATAATCATCTGACCGCGCTGTCCGAACTTCCTGTAGAGTCCACTATTGCTATCGAGGGTGAAGTCCGCGTAAGACCAGAGCAGTCTCGCCGTGATGTCAGTTGGGCCTCTTTTTTAACGTTCTAGATGCTCATTCACCGTATCCTCAAGGAAGGCACAGGTCAGATTGAGGTCCAAGTAAATAAGTTTACTCTCCTTAATCCTGCGCATCGCAACATGCCATTCATACCTTCAGACAACCAGACATTGGTATGCGGAGTAACGCGGAGTTCTTCTAGTATTAATGAGATCAATAATAGGTCAATGAAGACCTAAGGGCACGTTTTCGATATCTTGATCTTCGTAGGACAGCACTTGCCGACAACATCAGAAAAAGGAGCCAAGTTGCTCGAACAGTTCGGGATACTCTGCATGAAGATGGTGCGTGCTCTTGATATCCGTCCGATGTTCTGTAATGACAGTCACTCCTAGGCTTTCTTGAAGTAGAGACTCCACTGCTTTTGAAATCAACACCAGAAGGTGCCAGAGAGTTTTTGGTCCCGTCTCGGGTCGGTCAATCAACCGCACAGCATGACGGAAAAGATACCCCCCTATTTTATGCTCTTCCACAGTCTCCGCAGCAGCCAAAACAATTGCTTATCTGCTCTGGAGCGATCGACAAGTATTTTCAGATAGCCAAGTGCTTCCGCGACGAAGATGGTCGCAAGGACAGACAACCCGAGTTCACGCAAATCGATCTAGAAATGGCTTTTGTCTCTTGGGGTGTGGACCCAAAGATTTGCTCATCTGATGAATGGCGAATCGGAGGTCACGAGGTCCGCGCTATAATTGAAAAACTTGTTGGACGCATATGGCAGCAAGTTGAAGGAATTACACTTCCGAGCTCGTTTCGGGTGATCACCTATAACGAAGCAATGGCACGTGTAAGCTAGCCGTTTTCCTGGTCGAGGGACACTTTAATTTGGTCATATTAATGATTGTTTAGTATGGTTCAGACAAACCCGACACTCGTTTCGCTCTGGAGGTTGTATAGACTGCTTGTGCGCTGATTGACGCTTACGCTGCTTATACTAGATTCAGGATATTACGACCTCGCTACCAACTCACACGCAGGCGTTGCTCGAGGACCTCGGGGAAATTCTTGAGGCCATCATTCTTCGTCCATCTGAAAGCTGCTCATTCTTGCGAGCAAATGATGAATGCAGCTACCAGAACGAACGAAATGTCGTCAGTTGTCTCTTCTTGAGCAGCGTTGATAATTTCACATGATCTGTTTGTAGAGCCGCTCTGTGATCGCCGATAATAATTTGTTGGATTGGCTGAGTGATAACCGGTTGATCAATTTGAAGCTGAGCGGCGAGGAGCATGCCCTTTTGAATAAAACCTTAGGAGTAAGTAGCGGTGATACCCTATGGCTATCTCGTCGTCGTAAAGTCCCCGAGGTATGCATCTATACTATGTCCGGTTCCCCAAACAGCATATTCTGATGTGAATAGGGTGGATCCACTGCCCTGGGTCGCCTCCGAACACGGATATCTGAGCTAGCACACGCCCGCGGTGCGTGCTGTCTACTGTCATCGCGGAGAGACGTTCATGCCATTTGTAGGAGATTATGTCCCGCATGCAGTTCCTCACTTCCTATGGGTCACCGAGTTTCCTCTGTTCACTCGGGCTGATCCTGACAAGGAGTTCTTGGCTCACGGGCGATGGAGCAGTACACACCACCCTTTCACAGCGCCAATGTGGCAAGATATAGAAGCCATGTATGCAGGTCGTATCGATCAGGTTCGTACTGGTTTGTTTTCGCAGCAATCCTTCGCCCCAGTAGTTTATCCTCGGTCTCGACTCTTCAGGTTCGGGGACAGCATTACGACCTTGTTTTGAATGGTGTTGAGATTGGCGGTGGCTCAGTCAGGGTACACGATGCTGCTATGCAAGAGTACATCTTTTCCCAGGTTTTACAGGTTTGTCCCTGTGGCGCTGTTGTACTTTGTCCCGACTCACTCATATTTTTATAGCTGAGTGATTCTGAGAAGACTTCATTTGACCATCTACTGCATGCCCTCAAATGTGGTGCACCCCCTCACGGCGGAATTGCTCTCGGTGCCAGAACAAGTTTTTGTAACCTACACACCAGAAGCTGACAAAAACCTCCGATCTAGGCTTTGATCGACTGATGGCTATCCTTTGCAAGACACCGACCATCCGGGATGTCATCGCTTTCCCAAAAACTGGAGCAGGCACAGATCTACTTTTCAGGAGTCCGGCGGCCATCAACAAGGAGGTGCTATATCAGTATGGTGTCCGACCTACACGTGGTTGAAGCATGTCGGGGTGCTTTTATCGCAGGCTAAGCACGTGTCTATGATCAAATCATCAAATCGTGAAAGGTATCATTGAATGTCCTTAGTTAACTGTCTGTCCGCTACATATATCATCATATCTCGTCGTAAAAGCAAACAATAAAAATCGAATATGCAATTATTGAATACGTGCGAATTGTAGTGCTTCTGATTGTGTCAACTACGGAGTTTGACTAAGGTCGAGTTCCCCAATGATAGTCTGAGTCACATCTCTGATTGTCGAATCGACAACTAATGAGGATTGAACTGGAGTCACGTCGTCCGTGATGGAAGGATATGGTGACTCTCCATACGTAAATGACTCCCAATTCGTATCGGGTTCAAGAGGACCTCCGTTTCTATCGGGAGGTGAAGCCTGGGCTTCAGTGGGTGAGGCATCAATAACGTCACTCGCATGACGGACGTGTGTCTCATCAATGACTGAAAGAACACTCCGAAGCTTAGACTCTGACTTCCGTGCATGATGCGTGTTGGTCGGCGGATGCGACTGACGACGCTTAAGGTTAGCCGAGGGTGAAGTCGACCGAGGAGGAGTCGAAGACGGGTAGACAGAATCAGCCCATTCCGAAGTTGTAGCGTAGAAACCCCCATTTGGAGCCCAAGAATTATTAATGATCGCTGGGGAAACGTCAGAACTCGGGGGTGGTGGCGTGATAGCCAATGGGCTCGGCGAGGGTGAGGGTGCATTAGCCATTACGGCCAGCGGAGGAAGAATGGTGAAAATTTGGTCCTCCGCCTGAGGGGGTCCATACGTGTCAAATGGGTCTGGGACAGACTGGAGCATCGCTTCCAAGATGGAATCCGATCTACAAGGCGGGGATAGGCTTTGAGTAACAGATAGCGATTTACAGGGCATTAATTTGACTCACGCTTTGCTCGTGAACCTATCAAATACATCCATAGTCGAGCGAACGGCTACGCAGACCTGGAGGCGAATAGGTTAAGCATTTTACCAAGGTGCGGTGATTTGTCAATACGCATACCTTGCCTTGAACCACGTCCCAGACTTCTTCCTCGTGTTCCATTATTTCTTGGTAGTGTTGCGCCTTGAGACCATCCAGGTCATCCACTTGACGCTGGAGGACCACAAGCGCTTCACGGAAGCTTTGCAGGTCTGGACAGGATTACGTAGTCATTCAAAGATCGAGAATAACGGAGGAATGGGCCTACTTCGCTGCTTTTTATTCATGTTACTCATTTCTGTTTGGCGAATGATTTGACTCTTTTCGCGAAGAGCCTTCTCGTATGATGCGGAGCGCTCCTGTGACGTGACATGTTAAAGGGTCCGACATGAGGCTGCGGAAGAGCTGCGTACGTTTACGATCGTTCGGTATGTGTCCAAATGCTGCCGCAGTGGTTTCTCGAAACTCTTATCAAGCGTCTCCGCCTATTCAAAATATAAGAATTGAAGCAAGGAAGAATGGCGGTATTTCGTACAAGGACATGCCAGTGGTTACCAATGAGATGATGAAGTCCTGAGGCAGCCTGAAGTCTTGTGCCTGCTTCGTACGAAGGTCCCTTCAAACTGCATGAATGAGCTCCATTTCCCTCAGATATATTGACAGTCGGAGCATACCCAGAACATTTCTCCAAAGCATCCGCAAATGCAAAGGTCACTTTCGACATATGAAGTAAAGCAGCACGATAATTCGCGCTCGCATTCATGAGCTGCGCAGAAACCCATCATGTATCAGACTCTTCTGAACTTCGGCGACATATTGACAAAAAAACAAACATCATCATAAGACTGCAAGCTAACTTTGAGGTTAGCACGGGTAATGATCTTCTCAGGACCGTCCGCGCCAAAATTCATTGCAGAAGCGTGTGTCGCGTCTGAAAACGTGGGTGACGGAGGTCCAGGAGAGGATGTGCGCTTCGGCGATATAGCAAGGCCAAGCAACGAACGAGGCTGTCGAGGCATGCTGGAACAACGAGGTAGTTTGTAGGTGATGCAGTGCAGCTGCAGAGGATGTCTCCTTACTTGGCACACGAACCGTACTCCCGAATTGGGTCACGGGCGGCTGCCAAACCCGAATGCCTATATCTCTCATCCGACGTATCTGACTGAAGGCTCCGTTCAACCAGATGTTGCGGGCGTTGTACACGGAAATAAATAAATAAAGTCACAGCAACTCCACCAATGAATGTTGGAATCTCGAGGATCGGTAACAAGCTAATGTAGCGGAGTATGCAACGAAATTCAATATTAATGTACCTATCCCACCTCACCCAGACTTCCTTTCTATAAGATTCAGCGACGAGGTGTAGTTCGCGCGAAGTACGACTGCAGTCCATCGTTAGACAGGAATCCGCGGCGCAGGCGTAAATACTGAAATACCAGGGGAGAAATCAGCCACGCACGCCGCAGCCTTTCAGATGGCAACATACCTATCATTCCTCAGGCCTTCACACCCGCCGAGATGGCAGTCATCTTATCTGGTGTGTCTCTGAGGAAGAATAATTTGGCTCTTCGCTGTCGTCTTCCCTCCTTGCCACCTCCACCTCCTGCTCTCTGCAAAATTTTGATATCTTTCACATGCGGCGAGTTCACAAAAAACTGCATCTCCACGCCCGTCCGTTGTATGACATTCCGCAGGGTGAAGGATGTGTCAGGGCCCCGCCGTCGTATGGACAGCAGAACACCGGAGAACGTAGTAGGTGCATACTCGAGGGTGACGGATAATACCGACCCAGGAAGAAGTCGGTCGGGGTGTCTTCTGGCAAACCAGGTAGCCAACCATTGTTGCTTCGTAGGGTGCGGGAGACTTTTTTGCAAGTAAGCCATTATGCCTTTGCCTTTGCGCAAAGCTTCCAATTGAGAAGCAGGTACTGCTGGCAGCGGCGGAAGGATAGCAGCCTTCGAGAAAGGATATGCTGCCGTATGAGTCGACAACTGTCTGGTGAATGCTCTACATGACATTGGGAACATAGTTACAGAGTCGAGTAAGTGATGTTCGTTTAGTTTCGTAGCAAGTACCCTTCAAGTGGGCCGGAATTTGCCGAGCCTATGCCGACATGGCAATTATCGACAATATTGCATTGGGAACAGGCAGAGTATGTATGAAAATAATACATAGCGAAAAAACAAGATATAGAGCGTGGCAAAAGGTCGATTCGTACAGCCTGATTCCCAAAGTGCACGCAAGAGCAGAGGACAGCTGACGTACAGGACACGAAGGGCCGCGCTGTGCGCGTCAAGGTCAGTTTTGTAATTAGAATCCACGTCCGCGCCCTCTGTGATTTTCGCTTAGTTGAGCGTACGGAACATATTGTGAAAAGCTCACCTGCCGCGTGCTCTATAGGGGCTGTACCCGTACCCGCCACGGTGTCCACCTCGATATCCACCGCGGTAACCTCCTCCTCCCCGCCCTCTCCCCCGGTTGAAGCCAGGAACATTAGTCCGCTTTGAAGTTACCTGTATAGGAAACGATTAGAACTATCCTGATGCTCTGAAAGCGTAACGAGCACTTTTATTAATCGTCCGCGGAATAGGGAATTGTCCATAGCTAATGCTGCATCTATGAATTCAAGCTCGGCGAATTCGACATAAGCGAACCTGGGAGTGAATGAGAAGTAAGGTGAAACGAATGTTAGAAGCAAGGGATGCACATACCCTTTAGGGTGTCCGGTAAATTTGTCACAGAGAATAGTTACACGATTGATAGTCCCGCAAGCCTGGAAGTGCGATTGGATCTCTTCTGGGGTTGCCCCGTAGTCCACCTGGATAGAAAGAACATCATGAGCAAGGTTATCACCGCGGGGGAAGACGCAGAGAGTCGCACATTGCCAACAAATACACTCCGGCCGTCAGCGATGGACTTATCCTCCTCAGTCTCCATTGGAATACCCTGGTCCGCCTCAGTAGCAGATCCGCCGTTGACTGACTCTGCAGCTGCCTGCAACTCCCTCAGTTTTTTTGCCTCGCGTTCCATTTCCTCTACCCGTTGCTTCATGAGCAGAATTTCCTGAGTGCAAAGTTTGAAAGGAGAGTAAGTTAAGAAGAGAAGAAGCAGCGAACCTTCGATTCAAATTCATCACCATCATCAATGGTGGAGTCCACACCTTCCACAGTGGGCGTTTGTGTCGCATCAATATCGGCCATGACAATAGTCCTTGTGACAAACACTGAACACTTGCCTAGTGGAAAGTTTCTCGGTCACTTACTATGTGCCAAATATGGGCAAACAACAACTTCGATCTAAGACTTTGGCTTATATTGTACTTATCACACTCTGCCACGCTTCCTAAGTACATACAATTGGTGGACGCCGGAGAGTGCCTCGAGAACGCAGTACGCATATTGTCCGCCTTTACATTTCACTTTATCTCATCACCAGTGGCCACAAGTACACTTCTTTGAAGTTTCCTGAGGCAGACGCGAAAGCCGAGATGACGCATAATACTCCCTTCAAGCCCACACAGGTCTCTGCATGCAACAACAGCCCTGAAAACCTTCAGGCTATGCGACCAAAATTTTTGGCAGTCTGGAAAGTGCGCCTTACACGCCGGTGCAAAGCCACGAAGATGCCTCGTTCTGATGGCGTGCATTACCGTTAAGGCAGCCATTGCCTCGCCCCAGCCTGAGAGTCCATGTTGTTTCCCTCTAGCCGACACCGCAGCTATTGGAGTCACCGCGCCTCTCACGCGTCTGCTTACAGATGAGACCCCTTGTCCTTGGTGCCCTTGCATAGCTTTCTCACTGTCATTTCTGTGCCACTTGAGACGAGACAGGTAGCATCTGTTCTACGAATATGTGGGTAAGCTCTGCAAGGAAGCTGTATCATCTTTTTTCTGTTACTTCCCTGGTAAGTTTAGAACCCTTCTGAGGTGGCGCCCTTCGTCTGCTCTATGAGCGCTGTGCGCCGCAATAATATGGACCGCTTGCTACTGAAATGCCTTTTGTCAGGATGGAATCCTACACATGAACGTCTCCGTCATTGATGCGATAATTTCGCATAGGAGACGCGTGGTCTTGATTTACAGGTCATATGCAACCTACATTATATGAATGACAGAAGCCCAGGGTAATCAACCAATTTATTTGTGAGTGCTTTGTCTGCCACCGATAAGTTGTCGATATAATTTTGTTTATCATCCAAATTAATTTTCTTCTGTCGCCTTCCATTCTGTGTCGTATGGGTCAACTCTGAGTCCATGAACATTGTTTAGAAAGCTTCCGCAAGAAGGATGACGACAGCGCACGTCGAAAGTGTGCCTCGTGCACGATTCTCATAAAACCCCTTAATAAGTATCATATTGGATAGCAGTAAGCCGACGACCGGACGGCGTCTGTGATATCGCAGTAGGCCGCAGTGTGTTGTGTCAGACAGCTGTGCTTCACGGAAAATTCGGGCAGGGTGGCTTGGCCAAGGCACTAGTTTAAACCATTAATGCATTGTCACATGAACATGGATTTACAAGAACTGCTCTTTTGGGTAGTTCTCCGGTCTAACCGGATGTCAAGTGCCATACTAGTACGAACACCCATCGAGATTCAAGAGTCCTCGGCCACGTTTGAGGTATGTACCCAATCCTGAAGCTAGGGCGTTGCTTATGCAGCCAATGGGGACCATTTCAGATATATTGTATTACGGGGACTTTGTGAAAAGGCGGATAAGTACAGATGATGGCACGGCTCCTGTCAGTGTCTTTCCGCAGCCGAAAAGTGGGGAAATATTACTAGTCCTGACAGTCTCCACAGTTACATCCTGGATCAGAATGGAAGAGCTTGTTTAGTAGCTCTTCTTTGATGGTGCCACTGCCAGGGTTATCCTTTACGAAAGGTGATCAGAGATCAGCGCTCAACAAGAACGCGCTGCAGATCCCCTATGTATCGATTCCTGCTCCTTATTCCGTGACGCTGAATTCACAAAGGCTAAAAAGGCACCACACGCAAAAGGCTATTGTCGCGTGTGCTGTCGATCAGACATATTGTCCTGCTGGAGGGATTAAATATGTGAAGCCACAAACCACGCACGGTATATACCGAGTTCGCCGCATGCGAGCACATTGGAGTAAATTCACGTTGCAAAGTGGAACCTTGATAGAGACGAAGCTCGCCGAGGCAGAATGGAGTCGATCATGACGTGAAGGTGTATGTGAGTATGAAATTCGAAGCTTGACAGGCGCTGGCTCAAGTTGGAAGTCGCATCATTTATTGCACCCGCAACCACCCTCGTTAAGTCTCGTTAAGTTCACAAGATCTGACAACAGCTATCGTTCAGGCCTCCGTAAGAGCCATATGACCTGGGTACTACATAGTCGAATGTTGTATATGGTTGGCGAGACGAATCGAGCACAATGTTGGAGACGCCGCATATGGCAAGCGGAGGGATGAGATCTAGAGATGCCGTACGAGCACACTTGCAGCATTAGAATTCACAGGATGCAGTGATCAGTGTCACCTTGCCTCACAAGCCACGTCTGCGAGGGCAAGAACTTACGTCGAATTGATCGGTGAACTCGAACGGTCGAGAAGGATGGAGTAGCAGAAGCAAAGTGTGATCACCTGAGCGACGATACTGCAGCTGAGGTCCAATCGCGCATCTCAAGGTTTGCCCGAATTATAGGCGGCCGTGCTCTTCACAGAATCCGAGGAATTCCCCGGCGGGAACATAAGACGAATGGTGACTAGAAGCTTCAAATGTCGAAGAAGGTAAGAGGCGAGCGTACACCTCACATGCGGCTGTAGGTTCGGAAGGATGCGAGTCGCACTTACGAAGGCTATAATCTGGGGATAACGCTGTAAATATAACTGGTCCAATGGGATCCTGAATTTCTATTGAACGGTGAAAGCCTAGAATGCTCGAAGTAGAGTGGACACAGTTCTCCCATTCACTCTCGACCCTGTCGGGACCATAGAATTGGGAGAAACGGCGCAGAGTCTAAACGCGGCGTATAACAGAATTCTGCTTAGAAACCAGATTGTGAAGGGCAAAGGATATGAAACTTTTGACGTACGCAACGACGAGAGTGAGTTAGTCCATCATTCTGGCACTTCGTCCCCTTCCATTGCTCATCACGTGTAGTCGATCATAGGGTCACAGAAAGGTGGGTGGTGATGTTTGTCCTCGGTGAGAATTGCTTTCCGGATGGCAACATGAACTCTTCCAGAAGAAGATTTAATTCCAAGAGACATATTCCATGCGCTAGAACAAGAAATAATTGTATAGCGCAGCATGGTCCCTTAATGGACCTGAGAGCATTTGAGCATAGATCAAGTCCATATCCGAGATATGTTGCCGGATACGAGACGGAATAACATACGAGGCACAGAAATTACTCCATTTAGAGGATAGTCGAGTTTCCAACCGCAATGATACGATCGGGGGACAAGAACTTGAACCCCAAGAGTTGCCCAGGAGCTATGTACAAGAAGTCCTGTGTCATCGATTAACAGTAAATTAGTAAGTTAAGCAATGCCTCTACTCGCTCGGAAACGTATAGACGATGAATAACCCAGCTCAAATTAGCGCTAAGAAGCGTGCCGTTTCCAACGGGTTCGGCTTCACAGACGTCCGGAGGACTTGGGAGAATGTGGAGAGTAATGGCTGGTCCACAGGAAAACTTTTTATGAGATTCATTTCCGAAAGCGAGAGGTATAAAGAGAACCAAACGTTGTCAGAGTAGTGACCAAGCCAAAAATTCCACTTCTACCCTGCCTCCGACCTGTGTTTGTCTTGCGTGCTTTGCAAAGCCTCGGTGAGTCCTCGTTTCAGTCTTACAGGCACTGCATGGAAGTCATTGTTACGGTGCTGACCTTTGCCGACCCCATTGGCAGGCTGCACAGCATGAATCAGCTTAGTCATCCGTGGTATAATCGGCCCGACCCGTCGACCTTCCGAAGATATCTTGAGGCCGCCCGACCACAAGGTCAATTGCTGGCAACACAAGGCCACGCTTCTCCTAAGCGTATGGTACAACACGACGATTTTTACTCCATGACACATCAATCAAAGAAGAAACGCATTGAGGATGATCCTCTTCCCGCCGATGCTGGCGCGAAACCTATACAGCTTCAGCGGCGTAGAGTTTGGAGGGCATGTGAAAGCTGTAGGCAAGTCGATCGAACATCCTCTGGTCTCATTTTTGTTCTCAAAGACTGATCACATCGATCGTAGGCGTAAGAAAATCAAGTGCGACGGCTGTGAGCCTACTTGCTCTCAGTGTCAGTCATCTGGATCGCAATGCACTTGGCTTCAGACCAAGGACAGAGCGGCCTTAAGCAGACAGTGGGTGTTCTCGCATTCTCGATCTCGCTCTTTGGCTCATCCCCACAAACAGCTATGTGCAGGAACTCGAAGCGCGTCTCTTGCACATGGAGTCGCTGTTCTCTCAGATCACCCCTGTGCTTGAACAGCTGGGGCCATCCTTGAATTTACCTAGCATTGCTGGTACCGCAGGGAGTGAAGACTTTCCACAGGCTTCCACTGTACTCCAAGCAATGTCATCCAAGGCTGTTTCGGACGGCCACAGCAGCAATGTGTCTTCCCCTGAATCGTCGACAATCAAAGTGGAAGACGATGTCTCCGAGTCTTTCGGACAACTCGCACTGGATGAGCACGGGCACATGCGTTGGATAGGTGGTTCCTCCACCATGTCACTCATACAATCCTTCCGTGCTCTCACGACATCTCCACTCCATAGAGTCTCTCCGATGGAGGAAGACCCGCGTGCACCTGGCCCTAGTGTCAATAAACTATATTTCCCAGCCTCTGTCTTCTTTGGGAAGGTTCACGCTCTTCCAGGCCCAGAAGAGGTCGAATACCCAGACGAGGATCTATGTGATAAGCTAGTAAGTATATCTTCCCGATCATCGGTTCTATCTGATCACCATCGCGTCAAGGTGGACACTTATTTCAAGCGCCTGCATTTTCTGATGCCTGTCCTCGACAAACCCTCGTTCATGCCAAGATACAGGCAATTGATGGCCAAGCGTGATGACATCGATTTCATTCAGGCAGAGGCTGCCTTCATCTCCGTCGTCTTCGCCGTGTTTGCATGTGCGGCACACATAGTCGACGATCCCCGTCTTACTGGCGAGAACCAAGATGACGGCGGTATGGGGATGGTTTACTATGAAAGGTTCGTCTCCGGCCGCCATGGAAACTTTCGACGTCCTCGCTAACGATAATCCCCGCTAGAGCACTTATATTACATTACATCAGCCACGCATCCATTCAAGTGTCTCACGTCCAGTGCTTCATTCTCATGTCTTCGTTCCTGTGTTCGATCAACTGTCTTCCGCAGGCCTGGCTACTCGTGGGACAAGCAGTGCGAACTGCTCAAGATTTGGGTTTGCACGTAAGTACCACGCGTGTTTCATGTCCGATTCGATCGATTAATTATTACTGCAGCGATCCCCGCGCCGTCTCACAATTTCTGCCACTGACAAAGAGACTCGGCGAAAAATATGGTGGAGCGTGTACTGCTTGGATCGCATGCTCGCTCTCGCTCTCGGCCGTCCACTTGGTATCGAGGACGCTGACTGCGACGTCGAAATGCCTGTTGCTGTCGACGATGAGAACTTGGCAGACTATTTCAGTGGAGCCAACCTTCCACAAAAAGTCCCATCGCTTATGACTGGTGCTCTCGCTTTGACAACCCTGTACCAAATCGCGGGACGGGTCCTGCGGCAGGTCTATGCCATCGATAACTGTAAGGATATTCTCGAGCAAGAGAAACGGGCAGATCTTCAGCATTCTGTAGAGGAGCTCGACGACGAGCTTAACAAGTGGTGCGAGGATCTTCCCGCTACGTTCAGGAACGAGGCGGTCACAGACCAACACGTCTCCATGGGCGCGGTGCTTTGCAGCCATTATTATTCCGTTTTAACCACGCTACATCGCAATTTTTTGCCGGTCAAGCGTGACCAGCCTATATTGCCCAAGTCTACCGCCAGAGCCGTTTCATCTGCCCGCTCCTGCATACGGCTAGCACCATCCATCAGCAATGTGGTTCCACCCTCGCACCATCTTGCTTTCTTTATCCAACACCTTTTTAGCTCCGCTGTCATCGTCCTTCTCTATGCCATGCATTCTCCCGATGCCAGAGCAGCAGCTACTATGGACGAAGCCAAGAGTTGTTTGACGGCACTCGAGTCCTGGGAAGGACGTTGGCCAGGGGCTCGAAAATGCAAGGAGCTTCTCATGGAGCTGACCAACACCGCAGAGGAAGCAATCAGGAAGGGTAGTGGCGATAGTAGACAGGCACAGATGATGCCCATGGCACCTCCTGCTGCACCTGCTATGCTTGAACGAAGGCGATCGCTTGTGTCATCACCCGGCCAAGTTCCAACGGTAAATAGACCCATCAAGAGCAAGCCACGGAGGATCAGCCGATCTCGAGATCCCGCCTCTACTCGACGCTCAATGGTGTCCTCCCCCTATCGCGTTGATTGTAAGCAGACACGAGCTTTCTGATGATCTTGGCTGACGTATCACGAACTACAGCGCAGCGCAACAGGTCAACATCGCGCAAGCGTGGTCACGACGAGAGCGAGGGAATTTCAGGCCCGAGCTTGAGCTACCAAGGCACCTTCTCCAGCCCACAGACAGCACCGTTGAAACCCAGCCCTCACAGCTCTCCAGCGTCTGTGAACCTCCCCTCACCGTCCATGGCCACACTCGAGACTTCGCAGCAGCAAGAGAGCAGCCCAAACATCATGGGTTCTCCGCCGTATGGTTATTCTGCTCCCCCACTCTCGCCATTGCATGTCTCGTCACCATATGACTATAGCATGCATCACAGCCCCCTTATATCTTCGAGCACACGCCAGTGGGACACTAATCCCGCCGAGCCTCGTGGAGTTGATTTGTACTCATCTTCTTCGCAGACCAGTTCTCTTCCATATGCCAATTATGAACCGTCACGATCTAACACGGACGCTACGTGGTACGGCGGGTCCTCAGATCATGGATACTCGACCCTTTCGAGCACCCCGCCCACTGCTTCATTCGCAGCTCCTGGACTACCGTTCCTGGGGCTTGATTACATTCGCAACTACAATCCGAACAGTTTCTCAGTAGGTGTTGACCCAGATTCTCTCTGGCAGTCTTTTGATGCTGGTGCATTTGGGTACGACCCTGAGTTGCCCTTCACCCTTGGTGAGGCGGAGCTTCACGAAGGCCAACACTCCTCTCCACCGCACCCTTAGTGCCTTTACAGGACGCTCCTCGTTAATTGTGTTTTCTTAGTTGAAATTGTACTTTTATGCTTTTTTCTTTCTACTTTCTCTGCTTCACATTTACTTGCGGATATGTGATTCATTCAATGAATGATATACCTATGCACGCACGTTCTCCACCGCCCAATTTGTTCGATTGGCCACTCTGTTGTACTTAGAAGCATATTACCTACTACTAATTTTTGACTTCGAGCTTCTAAGACCTTTCCAAAGCCATAGTAAACGTTGATGAAAATACATCGATGAAGCCTTGATGAATTACTTACCACCCGGTGATACGATTGAACACCTTCTGCCGACTACACCGGCTCCGGCTCGGGTATTAGTTTACCGGTCGAACACTAGGCGCCCACTCGCTTAAACAAGCTGTGGGCTCTTCCGAATGTTTCTCGCATACTCTCAACTATCACGCAATGGCACCTCACCCTGTGGTGGAATTAACCTCGGAAGCATCCTGGAATCTCGTACGCCTTATGATATGTGTTTCGTAGCGAATGACTCATGTCGCACAGATTGAGGACAAGTTCACTCCCTATGGGAAAGAAACACTCGCGAAGCTCGTACACTTCCTTCAGGTAAGACCCTTGCAGTGCTACACATTCGACAGGTTTATAATACTGTGTTAGGATGAGATTCTTCCTTCTATGAAACTCGCGCATGCGCAGGTTCCTAAAGACTCTGTGCAGCGGTGGAAGACGGTGGTTCCCGTAATCGAAGAGCTGAAGGTGAAAGCACGTAAGCTCGGGCTGTGGAACCTCTTCCTGAGCAAGACGCACTACCCTGAACATGGGGTTCCATTAACTAACGTCGAGGTATGTTATCGGTTACTCCCAATGCTGTGAATGCACTACGAACAATCGGGTTAGTATGCGGTTATGGCTGAGATTCTCGGACGCGGAGGACACATAGCTTCTGAGGCGGTAAACTGCTCGGCCCCAGATACCGGGAACATGGGTATGTGCAAGAGTATGCTAGTACTCTGATCGCCCTTAATGTTGCGCGTAAAGAGGTGCTTGCGCGGTATAGGTTCTCCAGAGCAGCAGAAGAAGTGGCTTGTTCCTCTGCTCAATGGCGAAATCCGGTCCGCTTTTGCGATGACTGAGCGGTTTGGTTCGTGTTTGTTTTCGTGTGGGATCCTGGTAGCCGACTATGGATGACGTTTGCAGTGTCTTCCTCGGATGCCCGTAACATCAAGACCTCTATCAAGAGGGAAGGCGATGAGATTGTTATAAATGGTCACAAGTGGTGCGTATTTTTGGACTAATTACATTCAGATTGTAATTGGGGCAGGTGGATATCGGGTGCGGGCGATCCGCGTACTAAACTCCATCTCGTCATGGGAAAGAGCGACCCGGACAATGCGAATGGGTATCTGCAACAAAGTGTGGTCATTGTACCTGCAGATGCGCCTGGCGTCAAGATCATTCGGCCCATGGAAGTATTTGGGTATGATGATGCGCCTGAGGGACACTGTGAGATCATCTACGAAAATGTGAGAGTGCCCATGAGCAACATGGTGCTTGGCTGGGGACGAGGATTTGAGGTGAATGGTGTTTTCGGTCTATCACTCTCGCGTTCTGGCTTACACTAGTGGAGATTATTCAAGGCCGTTTAGGGTCAGTATCGAGCTTTGTTGCTAAGTTTCTAATGGAGTCTGATCTGCTGATAGTCCGGGACGTATTCACCATTGTATGCGCTCAATAGGTGCAGCATCGCGGGCTCTGGATCTTATGATCCAGCGCGTCACCGATCCTACTCGAAAGACTTTTGACAAGTTTCTTTATCAGCATGGCGAGTGACTAGCGTTGTTCACTGCCATCGTTTGAAGAAGCTTACATGCGATTCAGGTACGGTGGTAGCCGAAATCGCGCGGTCTCGGGCTGAGATCGAGTCTGCACGCCTTCTTGTCCTGAGCGCAGCCCTCCAAGTGAGTGTCTGTATTCCTTGTCGCGGTGTGGAGAATTAATGTGTCTTGAAGATCGACAAACAACGGGCCAAGGGTGCGCTGAAGGAAATCGGCATTGCCAAGGCACGGCTTCTTGATTCACCCTCTTACTCTGTACTTGATGGAAAATATTTTTTCTAGTTTGTCGTGCCTGCGATGGCTTGTGGAGTGGTCGATCGCGCTATCCAAGCATATGGTGCCGAGGGCTTAAGCCAAGACCAAGAACTTGCGAGCATGTTTGCTGGACTGCGGACGCTGCGGTTGGCGGATGTGCGTCTTCTGTTCCTGCATCGTCTTGTACTATGATTGACTTTTTTTCAACAGGGACCTGATGAAGTACGTGTACATCTTGTGTGGGGTTGGCTGAAACTAGCAGATGTCTTACCCCGCATTTTAGGTTCATATTCAACAGGTGGGGCAACGTGAATTGAAGCGTGCACCGGGGCTGCATAAACGTGCTGCGGAATTGAAGGAAAAGGAATTTTCTGTACTGTCTAAGGCAGGCATCAAGGCTCATCTCTGACGAGTTTATTTTTTCTGGACACATGTACATTATTTTGGAAAGTCTTCGAGTGGTTGACCTCGAGTTTGAGTATTTTTACTGCGGGCCGGATTGCTGCGAGAAGTGCGTTCAAACACCAGGTGCTTCGAATTGTGACATCACACGGTAATTCCGCATGAAAGTATTTGATGTACTACAATCCCCAATAGCCAAACAACGGGGAAGACGTCATGGCGGTTCTGAATGCTTGATCAGGAACCGGCGATCAGTGTCGTGCGGTTGACTGTTGTACTAGTTTGCCGCGGCGTAATTGCATGATCAAAGTAAGCCAAGCAACTCTTGCACTCAATTTTCATGCATTTGTTCTGAACCAGCAATAGGTGTAATTCCTCATCGGATTCTGTAAAGCCGCAGCTGAAACCCACGGTCATGTCTAACTACGAGGATGGGGCGTCGTCAAACGAGCCATACGACGTGACCCCGATTTTGCAGTCTCGCTACTTTATTCTCCCTGCATCGGCAGCATTCGTGGGGGTATTCATCGGGGCAGTGCGTGGATCTCGCCTTGCATCACTCCGTTTTCTCGCCGAGAATGCACACCGGCCGCCCAAAACAATTCGGGGATGGTATCTCTACAATAAAACGAAAAACTACAAACGAATGGCTGCAGGATTGAAATCCGGGGGTAAGGATGCGGCGAAACTCGGAGTGACTGGACTAGTTTGGGTTGGGATTGAGGACGGATTAGGGGGATGTGGGACGCCTTGGGATGATTTGAAGGAGGTCGGAGCGGGTGCGGGCACTGCAGGGGCGTTCGCGGGTGTGTGTAAGTTGACCCGATTTGCGGTATGAATGAATAATACTGATGGAACATTGTAGACCAACTACCGTGGCGTACGGGGAGACGTGCATTATTGCTTGGGATGATGATTGGTGGGGGAATGGGATTTCTGCGATGGGCCCGGAAATACTTGCGAAAGGCAGTTGATGCCCGAGATTCAGATGAAATCGAAGTTGAATGAAAGATCGAATTCTCTGCCTCGCCTGACCTCGAATTCTAGATATTTGTAGATTCCATTTTATGAAACATTTTTTGAAATTTTAGGATATCTTTGATGTAAATTTATCGGTTAAATTTTACTGAGTCTAGGACCTCGTCGATAACATGTACTATAACCAGTAGATTCGACTCACTCCACAGATATCAGAAAATGGTAGCAGCTCCACTATCATCCGATAAGTCATCATCATCATCATCATCCTCGATATCCTCTTCACTTTCCTTTTTACCTATTCACAAATGTTGAAACTTTGGCCTATTCTCGCTGACCAACTCACTCCACGGGCAACTGCTGATGGCCGTGAACGTCCAAATCCATTCGAGTCAGTACCAAGTCCAGCCTCCTCCTCATCGTTCCAACCATCGAGTAATGGATTCGCAACGCCGACGCTACTATCACCAGGGGGTTCAATTCATCATTTACTTGCTACCACTCCCTCCGTCAATCCGTTCACGGCGAACGCCGATCTCACGCCGCCAGGTCCTATAACCCCAACATCCGGTTCCTTTGCCGCTCGTATTCCTACAACTCAAATTTCCCTTCATGCACCAGACTTTTCTATGCGTAACCCCAAAAAATCAGCCCACATCTCAGATTCAATGGAGAATAAATCCAATACGCCATCGTCATCGTCCCCCTCGACAAGGACTTCTTCCTCTACAGCATCTACCTCAACTACAACCCCAAATACATCGGGGTCGTCCAAGGGGCAGATTCACGTTAAACTCATATCTGCTCGTGGTCTCACCGTCACCTCCGTTCGCTCCCGCCCTTACGTAGTCGTTCAATTCGAGCAGAACGAGTTCGTAAGTCGTGATCCCACTGACGAGATGGACAAGGAGGTCAAAGGAACTGCAACCGCTCTCTCTCGCGCATCTTCCTCTATTGCACTATCAGCACTATCATCTATCGGTGTTCCTCGTCCCCTAGGAAAGGCTAGCGCCGGAAATACCCCTTCGTCATCTGTTTCATGTAAACAACCTTCGCCCATCAATCTTCCTTCTACTACTACTACTCAGGGTCTTTTTGGTCGCTTATCTGCCCACAATCCTGTCTGGAAACACGAGGTCTCTTTGTGAGCATCGATAATCATCTTATCAAATTTCCCTTTCTAATTCTTTACAGCGACGTTACGTCTGAAGAATCCCTCATTTCATTTAACCTCTACGACCGCGTCGCGGAACACCTTTTCCTCGGAACAGTTCAAATAAAGCCCGTCCTCATCCATGACCATACTGTTGATCAATGGTACAAGTACGTAGTCCTCTCGTACTACTTCCCACTGTCTTTCTAAACTCTCGCCCGCCGTTCCGTTACTCATGTCATTTGCTTACACACAGACTTCGACCGTTCGAGAACGAAGTAGTAACCGGAGAAATGCGGGTGCAGATCACGTTCGAGCAATACAAGGTACATTACACCTGCCTAGCCTAATTCATTCTCACCAACTCCACGATCTCGGCCTCCCTTTCGCATGATTTAATCATTCCTCCTGACGACCATTCTCACTCATTCTCAACTAGACAAAACGTGCGCTCACCCCACGCGATTTCGAGTTCCTCAAATTGATCGGACGCGGCACATTCGGCAAGGTCTTCCAAGTCCGGAAACGCGATACAAAGCGAATATATGCTATGAAGGTCCTCTCTAAGAGAGAGATCGTTGCGAAGAAGGAAGTCGCCCATACGATCGGAGAGCGAAAGATCCTACAACGATCTCTAGAATCGCCTTTCCTCGTCGGCCTCAAATTCAGCTTCCAGACCGACACAGATTTATACCTGGTAACTGACTTCAAGAGCGGGGGCGAGCTATTCTGGCACCTCCAGAAAGAGACACGTTTCTCTGAAGAACGTGCACGGTTCTATATCGCTGAGTTGGTTCTGGCTCTGGAACATCTGCATAAATACAACATTGTGTATCGGGATCTCAAGCCGGAGAACATTCTTCTCGACGCCACTGGCCATGTCGCGCTCTGCGATTTTGGGTTATCAAAGGCGGATCTACGGTCCGACGAGCTCACTACAACGTTCTGTGGCACAACGGAGTACCTGGCGCCTGAAGTCCTTTTGGATGAGCATGGATATAGCAAACTCGTTGACTTCTGGTCCCTTGGCGTACTCCTTTTCGAGATGTGCTGTGGCTGGAGTCCGTTTTATGCCGAAGACACCCAGCAAATGTACAAGAACATTTGCTTCGGGAAGATTCGGTTCCCCCGGAACGTTATCAGCGAGGATGGCAAGATGTTTGTGAAAGGGGTGGGTGCCGTAATTTAATTCCTTTCTACATCCCTGACACTCCCGTTATCAAGCTTTTAAACCGAAATCCCAAACATCGCTTGGGGGCACAGCGCGATGCCGAAGAGCTGAAAGCACATCCGTTCTTCTCATGCATAGATTGGAAAGCTCTTCTCCTGAAGCAAGTGACCCCACCGTTCAAGCCCGTCGTAGAGTCGGATGAATCGACTGCGAACTTCGATCCGGAGTTTACCACTGCTAACGTCAAAGAGGTTGGCGTGGGTCTCGACGGACACGGAAGTCCAGACGAAGAAGATCCTAGTGAAGATTGGACGCAAACGCAAGTCGGCTTACCAGGGTCACACATGCCGAACGGACCGCTGGGCAGTGACCGTCATGTAAATGGCGTAAACTCGAACGGTTCAGCCGGCCCTCCATCTCCCTTACCTGCTGTCAACGGCAATGGTGCCGGACGTGCTATCCCACGGAAGAAGCAAGATATGGCAGGGTCGCCTCTGACGAGCAGCGTGCAAGAGAATTTCCGCGGATTCACGTACCATGGGGGCGAAAGTGTGGTGATGGCAATGGGCGTCACGGGTAGAGAACCCGATGACGAAGATGATGAAGCGGTGGCCGATGAAGAGGTCCCGGAGGTGACCACAGAAGACGAGTTCGAAGGGGAGAGTTTCGCGGGACGCTACTCCAACCGGAGAAAGGGAATAGATGATGACATAGCTGAGTGATGTGTTGGCCGCGCACGCCGTCCAAGGCGGGCGGCGCCTCGCGCATGTGCGAAGCTTTCATTCCATCGACTGCATTGAACAACGGAAATGGACAAATCTGGACACTGCATCGTTTGGCACGTGCGCTCACACAGCTGCCTGTTTGAGGTACTGTGCCTCCTCCCATCACTACTTATCTGATTTAATCGCATATTTTTCTCGTCGCTTTACCCCATGCAATTCTCCCCCTTGCTGACGCTTTCTCATTACCTCTTAATGAGGATATTTATATATCTCCCGTTTGAGTTGCGCACACGATGTCATCGTTGTCTGTTTTACCTGAGCCCTCTGTTACCACTGCTGTTCTATAGTCTTATAACGTACCACTATGTCACAGGAACTGTAATAATTCATTTATTCTGTATCATTTCGTCGATTGAGTGACTGCAGGTGACTGCCAGCAGAAGATATGAATTCCACCAACAGGTTTACAGCATACGTATCTACGTGATGGTTTCGTCACCAGTCGTATAATGACTTCTTTCCGCGGCACGCAAGGTCCACCCCACCACGAAGGATAGTCGGGAGAACTTGGCCACCGATGATAGTGTGCCTCACAATTGATTCCACTTCATGAGGCGTGACACGTCCATACCATACACCAGCTCCACGAGGAGTGTAGATCTGTGCAAAAATCGATTCATCACTGTACCGCTCAATGGCCATAAGAACATCACGCACGATACAGTTGCCTGCGAATTTATGCCCGCCGACATGAGAGTTCTTTAATATCAGTGCCTTGTGCTCGGTATGAAGAGACTTGAGCTGAGTCTCGATTAATTGTTCCTTCTCGGTGTTTGAGCTAGCTCGTGACTCGAGGGAGGGTTCGGAAGTGAGATCGTCCAGGTTAGTGTGGACTTCCCAGCCCTCTTGCTCGAGATATTGATGGAATGCTTTTTCGGGCGTTAATATAATATTAAATGACTATCGAAGGAGTCCACGGACTCACTCTTCTCTAATATTGGCGCTGCGACAGCAGCATCGATTGTCTCGTCTCTTGTGCGAGCCTGGTGGAGACTTATGATGAGACATACTCCAACACGCGGGGTGCGTGGAACTTACACAACAATATCAGACACGAGTATGGCAAAACCCATGTATTCAGATCGTCCGGTTTGGGTGGTTACTCCCGCTCGTACCAAGAGATGGATCAACAGCAGCCCTCCACAACGCCTCAGCGCCCGCCAAAGTGCGTGGGACCCCAGATACGACCATAAAGTCTGGAAGCACGATCACGGTCTCATGCGACTCGTCATCGGAGAAAGATCTATGGCTTCCGTTGAGAATGGAGAGTCTTCCTGCTTCGGTATGAGAGAAAAGACCAGTAGCAGGGGGATCGCTGCTGGACTTTGGTTTCTTCGAGGTGCCCAATGATGAGTTGGCAGCATTCAAGAAAGCAGCAAGCGTGCCTTCCGCTTCAGTCACCTCTTTCGCCCAGTCTGACTTCCCGGTCGATATGACCACCTGCATCGTCATCAGCATACTACAAACGAAGCGGTCGGTGGGCAAGCGCCAGGGACGCACCTGTCGCCGGTAGGGCTTCACTGATCCCAGCAAATCCGAATCCATGTCGATATCCAATTTGCTAGAGAAGTCATCATGATCTACAGATCAATGCTGGTGCGTATGAAAGGGGAGGATCCGGACGATGCTCACCCTGATCGCAAGGGTCAGCGCAGGACCTGCATTCAGCGGTTGTTACTGGGACATCAGCAGCCTTGAGTTTCTGGTAGACTTTTTTGCCATTAGGAGGTCCAAACACAAAAGCTCTGAGTTTACCGGTCAGTGCATTCATGGTGGACCGAATGCTGTTGTGAATATTGTTGTTGGTCGGGGTAGCAACCTGAAATCGCAATCACAGTGCTGTACAGTATTACCGTAGCGTTTTATCTTATCTTATCAGATAAGGCAACAATAAACGATCGGACGCCGATCAACTGCGGCGGCAATGGGTTAGATCTAAGTATACAATTGGCGCCCGCAGTTTGAGCTGCACTGCATGTCATTTTCGTCAACAGACTCAATCATTTGACTCGGAAGCGTACATTTAAAAGGCCAGTAAACAGATGATGCAATAAATGACCTCTGGGCCCATACCGCCTATCTATTTACTGGCCTTTGTCGGTCCTACTCGGGCAGTCAATCTTGCAGAAAGAAAAAAAATTACACTCTACCACACACGGCCTTCATGCGCGCTTTACCACCTGGTCCTCGGTCAAATCATGATCCGCGAAGCACGTCCACATGTCTTCAGAAGTTCACCGTCAAACATAACGAGCTAACTGAATAGGATAACAAAGTATGAAACGAAAATAGTGCGGACACTGCGGAGTCCCATTGAACCGTGCATAAACATGCCGCGGGCTGAGTGATGATTCTGGATGCCCTACATATTTAGTCATAATTAGACTCAGCAAACGTGGTTCGATTTATTCGCTTACCCAGCTAACTGCCCTGCCGTTGATCCTCCCTAAGTTGCTTTTCTATTTCCGGCGCATTCTCCTGGACTGCAGTCCACATCGGCTTTCCATCCTGTCTCGTTCCTACAAGTGCCTCCATCGCCCTCGCCGTTCTCTGTTGCTCATTGTTGGCACTTGAAGATGATAGCGCTACCCTTAAGCCAGTGGAAGACGGCTTGGCACCCTTTCCGAAGAAATGGCGTGGTTCCTCCTCTCTGTCTGCGATCAATCTCTTCAGCTCTGCATAACTGCGCTTTTCGAAGTTGGAAGTTAAGTTGACGGTATTGGTCTGAGGAACAAATGCTTCGTCTATTTTCTGGGAGAGGTTTTCGGGTGTTACGAAGGAGTCGCATTGGTGGTATAGCGAGACGAGGGCACGCATGCGGACATGGTGTTTAGAGGCAGCTAGCGATTTGTGGCGTTTGAATATGAACTTCAAGGGCGTGCAATTCGACGGGGATGGTCGGCAGGGCAGCATCACACAACAAGTTTGAGATAACCAGCAGCTTGCAAGTCAGGAAAACTTGAATTCAAGTGCACGTGATGCATCACGTGATTCTTCATATGTTCGTGTCAATGTGCGACGTGCGTTTAATCATCAGTGGGAGTTTGGATAAAGGCGAACAACGCAGCTCATATCCTAATGCAAGCAGACAGTCCGCATGTACATTATATGTACGAACATAAGCAACCATGTCATCGTTCAATCGGGCGGGATATTGCTCTGAAGAAAATGACTATGATATGACGTATTTTGCTGTAGTATCAGACTTGGAAAGTTCACATATGATGGCCTCCACGACTACAGGACCCTCCAAGTAGCATTTTCTCTGGGGAAACTGTACGACATATACAGTCGGTTGATTATTGTTTGGTCCATCAAGAATGATTTTTTGCGTGCCGACATTCTGTTCTCCTCGAAGAAACAGAAAACGCAACCAAGCCAAGAATACAAGGGTTCATGTCGGAGATCCCGCGAAGGCAACTAAGTTCGTAGAGTGGAATTACATTATTAGGAACTGAAAACGATGCTAATTGACTCGACGCAACGACAGGCCCTGCTGCCTCAGAGACATTCAAAACATGGCTGGAGATTGCTAGCAACATCCAACGTCGAACACCCTTGCAATGCGTCCCTTGATATAGTTACTGCGGACTCGTAGGAACACGCTGTGTAAAGGATGAACTTGCATGATCTGTAATGTTCAGATTGCTTGTGATCACGCAGGAAGTTTCCGTCTTACCTTGGGGGGACCTGATATTGATGTGGCAGCTCATGAGCAAGACACATTAACCCCACCATCTGTGGCATTCGGTGCACGTTTCCGTGACCCAAAGCTTGGGCCAAAAAAGATGTTGCTGCAGGCCTAGAGCTGTGAGAGTGCAACAAGATAGGGCATAATTACAATTCGTGATTGGGCGCCTGATTTGGTGTTAGCCGTAGAACAGTAGCGACCACTGGACATGGATTTTGCCGAGCAATGAAGACATCCGTAGGCAAATCGAGCCCGATGCTACGTAGCCCCGGACTTTCTGGAAGAATGATAGTGACGGAATAAGCAACTGATTTTTCTCGCATTGAGGAGCGAGGGGTGCCTGGAGCCGTTTAGGCTCTCTAAACCCAGTGCTATTGCCTTGACTCAAAAAACGAGAATGATCAGTGAGGAGATTCACAACCAGGATCTGGATGAAAAGGACTTCAATGAATGTTATTGAATAAGATGGTTCGGTTGACTTTGTTTGTGTATTGGAGAGCGTGGTCGGTTTGGATTTTGTTTTACAGTGTCTTCCACACTTTGGACACTTGTGTCGGTCTGTATGTTGGTTAGCAAAACAAACAACTCAACTTTGATTCAGCTTACCACAACGTTTGGCCGTCATTGCGGTCTACGACGACGAACTATACTTCGACAACGATGGCTGTATCCTGCGAGAGGAAACTGGCCCGTGCGCCCTCATTTCTCACGCCTGACATAAGCCGCATGTTCCCCTTGATGAAAGCTCTTTTCAACATCAACGAACTTCCAACGGTTGCCAACAAGTTCAGCGCCTTTCGCTTTTCTTCGTCGTAAGACACTACAACATGTCACAGCAACCACCGCCGACGGTGATGCCGCAGAATATGCTCCCTCCTGGTGAAGCGGAGCTTGCTCAAGCCAACTCCTACTACCCGCAAGAGCCTGCAGACCTTACGGGCGGTCTTCCTATCAACCTTGACTCTCTACGTGATGGTCCACCAGGAAGCAAACCATTCTATCCCTATTCTACACTTATACGGTAAGCGACTCCGAAATTTGGTAGATGCTCTAGTAAACGGTCTGTCTGTCTGGGGTGCTGTGTAGGTATGCTATAAAGGGCTCTCCAAATCAAAAGCTACTCCTCGAAGACATTTACTACGCAATTGAATCCCGCGTACGTGGCAGCCTATTTGATTTGCGCTTTTCGCAAATCACTGACTCCACGACATGCAGTTTCCTTACTTTAGGAATGCTCCATCTGGCTGGAAGGTGAGTAAGATGGTTCCGATGGTGTTTGCCAACAACTTCTGTACTATTTGGATGAATGTACTTTCTGTCGACGCGATGTTGATGTTTGATTGTGTTCATATTTGTTTTGATCAGTTCCTTCGAACAGGCACCAAACTGACCTTACCTTGAATGTATCTAGAACTCTGTGCGACACAATCTTTCACTTAATCCTTGCTTTGAGAAGGTGCCTCGTCCTCTCACCGACCGAGGAAAAGGCTCGTACTGGACTGTCAATGATAACGTTGACCCGAGGACGGGTGTCCATCGGGTAAGAAAGAAGAAGCCGAAGGGTGCAAAGGGTAGGCAGTCGGAGGAGGATCAGGATGTGGATTATCATCCTGAAGCATTCAATGACCCTAATGCACAATTTGTGCCGCCGCCGCCTATGCATCCTGACGAAGCAGGCCCCAGTCGACAAGCGCCGTATCCGCCGTATCCTCCCACGTACGCTGTTTGGTTTCAATCATTGATACTAGACTGACACTTTCCCTAGTTTCGATCCCAACTTTCAGATGATGCCTCCTCCACCTCCCGGTCTTCGTTTCCCTCCTGTGCCCATAGATGATTTGGAGGTAGACGAGAGTGGGAATATTTTGTGGCGTTTGTCCTTGATGAAAGAGCTTGCGCATTTGCAGCAAATTTCGTCGGAGAAGGACATGGGTGAAGATTGGTATCGCGTGATGCTCTTACGGATGCGTGGGGCTGTCATGGCACCGCCTCCTGCATATCATGATGGCATGCACCCTCCACCTGGGATGCCACCTCCACCTCCACCCAACGCAGAGTTGCAGCAGTGAACGTTTTAGCTCCATCATAACTCTGTCATTCCTCATATTATTTGACCTGTTCCCTTCTTCTTTCATCCTTTTAGTATTAATAATGGTCTCCGGTGCCTCTTGTCTTGAATTCATTCTACTACAGCGTGTTTTTTGTACGCCGTTTGTATCCCAATGAACTTTTTGCCGCGTACCCCAGCGTGGCCGATAATGCTCCGAGTGCGCGATTCGACTGAGTCTTGTGACCGTTGCTTATCTAAGCGTGCACCAAATATCTATCTGATTAATGGACTCTGGGTGATTCATTTTTCAGCTGACTAGCTTCCCTTCCTCCCTTCCGTCATTCATTGCTCCGTGTACAGCGTTTGGCTTTTCTGATGACACCGACGGCTATCTACACTCCTTCTCCCCCCCCAATCACCCTAGAAGTCAAGAAACCCTCAATCAATGGATCACCCTACGAAATTCTCAAAGGGCCTGCCCTTGCGATAGGTTCATTGGACACTGCTCAGGATGGAAAGTACCAGTCACTTCTTATCCGTCTCGATGCACAGGCAGGGCAGGCCGCCGAAAGGCAGATGCTTGATCGGCTCGTCGATGGAGGTATATCTCTACAGTTCATAGCACGGCTAATCTAATCATGATGATTGAAACAGCAATTACGTTGGCTCCATCGAGCTATACTTCCATCCATGTTGTGCTCTCCGCATCAGAATATACTTCACTCTTGCCAAATCTGCAATCTCTCCTTCAACAGATCCTCGCTGGTCTATCCCCCCTGGGAACTCTCCACCTTCTTAATATAACTGCGGGCTTCCTGAGTCTGCCTCAGGAGTTGACTCTCGCTGGATTCACTGTCATCGAGAGCGTGAGAGATGGTGCCGACGCCAGAATAATTGCTCAGAAGCCTTTGCCAATCGCAATGCCTCTACCTTCCGCACTTCTTCTCCGAAAGAAGACCAACCCTGCCAAGCAGTCCTCTAAAAAGGCACTTTGGGCCCTCTCCTCACCCTCCACTCCCACCATTGATTCCGAAGCCCTCCTGACAGCGGCAGATCGTGTGCGTCCAGTCCCCACGTGCGAGCCTGTCATTGCAGGTGCGCCAAGGCGTAAGAAGGCGTGCAAGAATTGCTCATGTGGCCTTGCTGAGCTTGAAGCCGAGGAAACCAATGCAGGTAAAGTAGTTCTGCTCGACAGCGACAGCGCTGTGGAGGTGGGGGTTGGTGACGTGGCGAAGAGTTTGAGTGCCGCCGCTAAAGCTGCACCCAAGGCAACTAGCAGCTGTGGAAGCTGCTTCTTGGGCGATGCATTCCGATGCGCCAGCTGTCCATATCTTGGTGCGTGCATAACGATGCTCTTCTTATCGGTTCAAAGCTCAGAAAATCCATTGCAAAAGGTCTGCCTGCATTCAACCCGGGCGAGAAAGTGGAGATTGACATCGGGATGGATGATATCTGATCATTATCATTACACTAACATCTTTGTGACGATGTCGCCATACCTCCAAGTATGTAAACGCTGTATGACATTATTTACATTGTACCATATGACTTACGACACATTAGAAGGCGATGCTAAGTATATCTGAGTTGTGATCAGCAGCATCTGCCTCGGGCCACCGTTCGCGCTCCCTAGGTATGTAATCCAATTCTTCGAGCATCCAGTCGTGGCTGGTCAGCTTTTCCATCCGCAAGTCGTAGATGTCGTCTAGGCCATGATCTCCGTTGATTAATTGCCTTCGAAAGTCGTTTTCTTCAATCTGGTCATCGTATAAATAGTGCCAAGCGTCAAGTAATGCAGTCAACTTCTTCTGAGAGGGTCGCATCTGGTACCGGACGCTGATGTGGTCGAATAGACACCGCAGTAGTCTGTCGAGCACAGGGTGGGTCTTAAAGGTTTTTGGGATGTAGTGATCGGGGTTGGCAACACAGTCCCGCTTGCGCTTGCGACCAACGGTCTGTCTCAACCCGTCGATCTCATCCTTCTCGTCAAATATCTGGAAGAAGTCGATCCTCTCCACAAGGTCCATATCGCTGGGGAGGTATCGGACGAGAGTATACATCAGAACGTGCAGGAAGGATTCCATGTCATCTTCCAACCGATGAGGTTTGGATTTGGTCTCTTTGTCCAGAAGCGCAGCGGCCATGAAACGTTGGGTTCCCTATCATTGAAGTTGTGTCAATACGTTGATGAATATAAATAAATGTTGCACATACCGTCTGGTCCAATAATGGCCATGAATATTGTTGGCTTGTGCAAAAGCAGAACTCCCAACCCATGAGAAAGCCGCGGCCATCACTGGTGATGCGAATGTTCTCCGTGGTGATGTTTCGATGAAGAATGTCACCATATACGTAGAGAACTTTATGGGCTACAGTGACTCGTCAGAAACAGAATTTATGGGAAAAGGGAAGCTGACAACTCACCTTCTACAGCATCCTTGATTGCTGTCATCAATTCATGTGTCGACCTGAACGAGCTCAGGGGACGTCCAATATCACCAAGGATCATTCGATGCAGTATTAATGGGTGATATTTCTTGCGGTCGCAGCACCACCAGGCCTCATGAAATGCTTGGGTGACAGTTTCTGACCCGAGATCATACATGTCACCGCCGTGCTCGAAGGGCGGGATGTTCGGAACACCGAGGTCGTGCATTGTCCGATATATGGCTGATTCGGTCCTGGTAAACTCAGGGTCTTCTCTCCAAGTTTCCTTGAAGAAAACAACTTTCATCTGCCTGGGGTCCCAAACATGGATAGCATGAGGCGTTCGGTCTAGTAGGCTGCGCCGCTGGAGGGTGGGACGTGGGCCGATGTAACCGTGATTAGTGCCCACGCCAGGGCCATTCGCGTCTGTGACTTTGTCATGCCTGGCATTATCGCCAGGAACCATGTAGCAATAAAGAGGGTCAGATCCCCTCACGCCCAGCAGGTTTCGAACGAAACGGTCTTCACTCTCCGCAAGGGTAGCGGGCGTCACGGACATGTCAACGCCACGTCGCTCCGGCGACGCACAGTTGAGCCTCCATAGGAACTGGGCCAAGGGGAGGCTATCGTCCGTGTAGTCAAATCTTCGAGACACGATCGCACCAGCGCGGTCCCAGCGCACAAAGCGTGCCAAGTAGCCACATACGAGGATGGAAAAACCGAAGCGCCGAAACTGGGTGGCGAAAAAGGCATCGGCGCATGCCACCATCTGCGCTCGCAATGGGATGTGGTCTTCACCAGAGCGCTCGAATTTGTGATATCCCTGCAAGACGTCATATATCGGGTCATCGAAGGGATCTTGTTGCATTGAAGGCTTGATGGTGATCCATGCCTCCATCGCGGACATGTCTGTCACTCCATTTCGAGTACTTCCACGATTATATAACGCGATGTCGGGTTGGAATTCATGGCCATCAATGACAACAGAGGGGTCAGGACAACTAGAGGTTTTGACAACATCAAAGTTGCCCGTGAATTTCTGCAGAACTTGCATCTGCAAAGGACACCAACATCAGATGGGTTAGAGAAGTGTTAGTTGAGATCCTTACAAACTGTTCAAACGTGGCCCGCTCCGGTTTGGGTTCCATGTCAAAAAAGTCCACGCCCTGAGGTGACATTCCAGGCATGGGTTTCACATTCTTGCGTCGTGGATTCACAACGGGGGGAAATTCCTCCTTGTTACTGTTGGACAACCGTCTGCCTCGGGGAGGAAAAAGTCTAAGAACTCTTCGACAGGCGCTGCGCCAATGAAGCGTCCTGCAAAGGAATCCACAAGCTGAGCTTGAACGGCACTCTTTGAGGCTGAAGCTTGAGACGCAGGGAATGAATCATCCATAGGAGATGAGAGATGGTTGGGATGTGAAAAGCGGGAGTGTGGCGACAGGCCATCTGGCTCACTATTTGTACGCGTTCATGCTGTGGATTATTTCACTGCGTCAATTGTCACAGTCGCTTGATCCACAATGCTCGTGAATTGTGGAAGCTTACGGATGTGGACACTCGGAGATTCAATGGTTGCAAGTCCCTAGAATCGATGCAGCCGACTTGAGCACAAGAAGGAGAAAAGGGGCGAAGGTCTGCATACACAACAGAGTAGGCGACAAGAAAGGGTTACTCCGCTACGTCTTCGTCCCAATCATCACCCCAATCTACCGCCTCTGAATCATAGTCGGCGGCGCCTTGTGCTTGCTTGATCAACTCGAGAACGGCAGCATAATCAAGCTCAGGGCCCTCTCCTTCATCAGCTGAGAAAGATCCTGTGCTGCCAATGTCGTCCTCGGTGGTGCGTGCTTCCACAACACAGTCTTCGTCGTCATGGTCGCTTTCCGCGTAGCTCCCTAAAACTCCCAGTTCGTCTCGTGTTTGGGTGGCTACCACTTTTTCCGATGCAGTCTCACTGTCACTTCCATAGTCGCCGACGAGTCCTGAAATCGCCTTTCTCCCCGCTTTCGCATTTAGCTTTCGTCTTTTCGTTGCTCTGATGTCCTGCTCGTCCTCGGACATCGGCGAGAGCTGACCCCCTTTTGTCACAACATTTCCAACAAATGTGGACGAGTCCGGGTCGTATATGTGAATGGTGGGGAATTCTGCGAAGTGCGTGCCCTGAAGCAATTCCTGAAGAGTCTGAGAGGGACAAATTTTATAGTAAGACGGGCCGCCCTGCATTCCGACGCCTGGATAATATGTTATCCTGGACAAGTCCATTCGCGCAGGTAGGTAACAATGAGGAACTTTGAAACCTTCGGGATCGTCTGGATGAGGGTGGACAAGAGAAGTAACCCAGTCTGGACAAGAATTTTCTTTCTTCGGCTTGGGACGGTCCTTGTTGGAAGTTGGATGTTGAGGGACGTGTCGCTGAAGAAGGGTGATTAGCGGGGAATGAATGGCATTACGATGCACAAGTGCGGCATATGGAGCCGATGCTGCAGATGAAGAAGGTTGCGACGGCGCTCCGGGGTAAAACTTGAACTCTATCGTCAACAACGCAGCCTGCGTTCTGGTGAAAGTTAGCACATTGTTAAGGGAGGAATCCAAGAGCGCACTTTGCATCAAGAGTCGACTGGTTTACCTTTCTGCGATGCATTCCGACTGGAAGTACATCCATTTCGATATCCAAGGTTTCTAGATGAGCTTTTAGCAGATCTCTTTTGGACGATCCACTACCCCTTCCACCTCTACCCCTTCCCCTTCCCATACGTGCACCCCCTCTTCCCCTCATATCTTTTGCTTTCTCGTATCCTGCTATTGCGTAGCCTTCAAGAGCAATCTCTCCACCCCATCCACTCACTTTTCTGCCTACTTCTTCGAGAAAACAATAGTCGCGCATCATTGTGCCCCAACCATAAGCATTCATCTGCACATAAGCCGCCTTATTGCGTTCCCCGCTACATCCGGTTTCGGATTTGTGGGCTCGAGAGCAGGGTAGAGAACATGTTGGGGTAGAGCACCCCGGACAAGTATAACGTGCAGGGGTTGAGCAACGCGCACACAGACGAGTTGATGACCCACTAGCGATTGACTCCATTGATGTGACTGAGATGCAGATGTTGAAGGAGAATGGCCAGACCGGTCATGGATGTGCTCAGTGCTGATAAGTTTTTGCTATTATGATATACCAATTTAGTATAATTACCTTATGTCAGTACTACGATCAGCTCTACTTCTTTGTGCTAATACCCGAACCAATTCACATCATAGTTCGTTATTCCAGAAAGATTGCACATCTCAAACACGCCAGTACTTTCGAATTCCAAGATCGTTCACAGGTGCAAAACTTGCCCCTAAATCCATCGCTTGACGAACTCTTTGTTTAAGTTACAAGTCCTGTCGCCGCAGGTCTAATAGTCCCTTCATGATAAGCTGGACTTCGAGAACAGCATCGATGGCTGCGCGGACTGTGCTCACTTGCACGTGCCCGCCAGATGCTGATGCGGACGTATTAACCTGAGTAGCTGTCTTAACCTCGACTTCCCAAAGGGTGTCAGTATGTGCAGGTATAGGAAGGGAGGTCTTTGGGTCGACCTAGTCAGAAGTGATGTTAACTAAGGGCAACGGAAATGACAATATCAACACGAATACCTGCTCTTGCTGAAACATCTGTATTATCAGAGCCCCTCTCCGAAATGCATATCCACGTTTGTAGATTTGAGATCGTTGTCTAATGAACTTATACATAAGTGTAAGAATAGAAGATGAGTACTCGAGCATATACTGACACATATCCCAGTGCCGAAGCAAAACTGAGGGCATCACCGATCACCTCGCAAGTAGCCCATGGTCGAACAGTGGCCTCCGGGTGAACACGCACAGACTCCGGCTTGAGGTATGAGAAAAGCGTCCTATGTGATGGTTGATTCTAACTCCTTCGTTCAAGTGGGCTGTCCAACCGACCATCCACTTTCCGTCCCATCTCCTAGTTCTTTTTTTGCTCTTAGCAAGGCTGGCTCGTCTCCTTGGATCTGTGACTGAACTCCGAACTGCTCGAATAAAATTTCACGGGTGTGCATGGGCACTGCGGACTCCGTGTGCAACGTCAGGCGATTGAGAATCGCCTTGAGATCCCGAGCGAAGAATTCACCGAAAAGAGCGACCTCGTAGGCATGCGCGTGTGTCTGTGTGCTTGCGAACATGGAAGTCATGTTCAAGTTTAAGAGTGGATCTTGTCGGAGACTCGGAGTTGGGTATGTAGATGCCAAAGTAAATGTTCTGTAAGGCAAGACTTAAGTGGGGGAAACCCTTACATAATTCTGCACATCGAGGCCCTTTGGACTTCGGTATCTCCCATGTATTGTTATTTGTTATATCATACATGCACTACATAGTGATCCTATCGTGACAGCGTTCAGAGAGCCAATCCGAGATGTTAGTGAGTACACAAGTGATGCCTTGACAAGCTATATCAGCAGTTGAGCAATTTTTGTGGTTGATGTGTGAGAAAAATCTATGCCAATCATAGAGATGAGGTAAAAAAGCGACAGCAGATTCAAGCTGGCATAGGCTGGCATTGACCTTTTGCTTCGCAGGTGATATTTTTTGTTCTACGCCAGATTGCCAATAAACCTTGCTTTACAAGGTAACAAGTTATGGTCGGACCGTCTGTATGAACTAAGTTCTCAAAGCCTTAGGTGGCAATCTGCTGGCATTGCAGATATGCATCTATTCGAAAAGGTGGATAAGTTCTTCCTATAGCACCATGAAGAACAATATTCAGCACATAAAAGCAAGCCGTCTTCCTACTGTCCCCTTCAGATTTATTTGTCCATATCACATCCTCACAAACAATGCGTTTCTCCTTGGTCTTCGCTGTCGCTGCTGCTTTGACAACATCAATATCTGCCAGGCCCAGAAACGCCGCTGAAAGTGAAGAGTGTCCTGCATTTTGCAACTTTCAAAGGTGCTGCGCTGGGCAGAAATGCATACCGCAGTACTTATTCACTGTGAGTATGAGTAGTTCACGTCCCGGATTTAACCACATGACTCATCGGCGTGGTAGATCTGGGAATGTGTGGATCGGTGAGTAGCATGTCGCGACAGTGCACTACAGTGAGTCGTGTTTTTGCTTCGCATCGGTGCAGTATGGTTGATGCCAGTACGACACGTGAGTTACTAGTAGCGAGTCATAGGGGAGGACTCTGAATCGGATCGGCTAACTTCGATGTCCTTGAGAGCATCCAGGCGTGAAAGAAGTGGATGCATATAGACTTATTTTGTATCTCTGAGACAGAAATGGAGAGAGAAAATTACTGCCAGCGCTCAACACCGACGCGGCAGACATTAAGAATGTGACGTGACAACTTCGAAGCTATAATGATGGGGGAGGGTAAGTATCATAAATGAGAGAAAAACGTGATGTCGTAGACGTCAAAATGAATGATGTGACATGTACTTATGTGGGATGGGAAGGAGAATGTTCCACTTTGAGAGCGGGCGCGGGCGGTTGATGAGGATGTGGATGTGACTAATATTGGATGACTTCAATGACGAAGGGGTTCTAATAAGTATGGGTTACACGACATTGGCATCGTATCGGTAAAAAAAAGGTATCGACTGTATGTCGAAACTACGAACACTTCTTGCAGAGTAGCTAACGAGTGTTAATCACTTGGAGCGTTCCCAGTGCTCCACAACACTGCCAGCTTTTTTTTTGTTTTTTTTTGTTTCCAATTTGTGTCTTGTGAGAGTAGTACTCTATGTCAGACAATACAATCTAGTCTAGGGACCCTGTGTCCCGCTGCGCCTCTAGATCCATGAATGCCCACACTGCCAGCTTGTCATATACGTGTACTCCTGGGAATCATTTGAAGTCATGCCGGTTCCTATATTGGATTCGGCTTCGGCGTCAGCTACGAGCTCAGCGTGGTATTCTCGAACGCAGAGGATGAGGCGTGGTCCCAGCACAAACATCTGCAGGACCGAGAAAATGTTAAGAACACCATTATAACCCATAGGATCTGAGTCCTATAGAAATACCAATGATGAATAGTGGTCCACGCGAATATCAGTGAAAGATCGGCATACCGAGATCGTCGGAAAATAAAAAACGAGGGCGATGCAAGAACCAGCGGCAAAGCTGGCACATGCGTAACTTTAGCGGAAGAAGATAACCGCCAAATGACCAACTCACGTTGCAAAATAAACCACGTGAGTTCTCATTAAAAACACGAAACAGTCTCCCATGGATGATCCGCCCGATAATCGTCGTAGTTCACGGAAGTGTCTTACAGAAATCCAAACTGCAAGACACAGTGCGAGGACCTCCCATACAATGCGGAGTATCCAAGTTATGGGCATCAGAAGTTGGGAATCTCCCTCATAGTCATAAGTACACTGATAGGTATCAGAGAGGATGAACTCCTCTGGTTTTCATCCGATGAGTCCGATGTACCAAGTCGTTGGTGCAAAATTGAAGCTTACCCCCTGAAACACGGCTGATTCCTCTTGCGGTGATCAATGCGCAAGCGACTGTGAGAGCCAGGGAGATTACAAAGAGAAAGACGATCATCTTCCTCGAGCGCTGATACATGGCATGCAACCGAGTGATCATGATGGCTTGCATGATGTTTCAGCAAACTCAACATCACGGAGGTATTGCAGTCGAGTGACTCACCGCCTACCATGACAGTGACCACCACATTCATCCAATTTAGTGCTAAGAAAAGATTATTGCCTGACAAACCGGTTAGAGATGAGCATCGAGGAATCAAACACCCCAAACACACTCACAGCTGCTGCGGTCATTATAATGAACCAACACAGAGAGCCTCACTCACCCCTACGTAGGAGCGCAGTCATTTGGATGTGAATGGCAGGCATTGGTGCAGAATACTCACTACATCTGTCAGCGAGACTGATGGAAGACTTCCTGTGTGTTACTGGTCAGAACAAACAATTGCAGTGTATGCGAGGAAACATACCCAGCATGTACATGCTGATCGAGGGAGATGGTTTATTAGCACAGTGCCAACTTAAGTCTTGCAAACATACACGACATATGGCATCCCGGCATAGCGCACCTATAATGTTTCGAAGTCAGTACGACCTGTAAACTGCCCTTATAACATAAGCTACGTACACTTAGGTACATGACAGTCATGAGGGACCACCGTCGCCTCTGACACGGATCAATTGTCTTAACCTGGTGTTCTTCTGATATAGGCTCTGCTCACCCAAACCAGATCAATCTATAAAATCATTCTCAGCGAGGTGCTGCTCCAATGATAATATCACCCTACCTCTCGTCCGAACGTCAGTGCTGGCAACGCCATAAGGGTATTGTTGATTCTTCAATACTAAGTTGCTCACCCCAATCATATATCACTGCAGCAAAGGAAACAACTGCGAAACCGCAGTCAATGCTAGATCAAGATATCACCGATATCATCCAACTGGCTCTCCACGAACCTGCAACATAGCTGTAATAACGGTTGGAATTGATGACTGACCACCAACTGGGATCATTTGAGATTATAACCATACTCGACGGATGGGTGTGAGCGAGTGGCGAACTTGGTGGATGTAAACCGATGGGATTCGTGCTAGATATGCCACCATCCAGCGCTTTTATCAGCACCACGAGGATGATATCCGTCCCTGCCTTGATTGACCGAAGTAAGGTATCGTCATACAAAATCAATTAGAAAGCGGTAGTCCCCGATCGAATTACCGGATCTGTAAGTACAGCATCGTCTCACGCGTGTGATGTTTGAACATGGAAAAGTTCGAAAAGCTGTTCGTGTTGTTGGATTCTTGTTTCCAATATCATTCTTTCTTGCCACACTTGCATCAGTTCAGGAGCTCCTTCGGTGAAATCATGTAGTTCGTCGATCTCACACATGTCTAGGTGCGATGTGCCATTTCAATAATCCTCAATGAGCATCGACACTCTCCGCCTCGCTGATCCGGCAGGCTGAGGAGCAGTGCAATAGCTCATACTAGGTCTACTACCAAAACCACAACCTGTCAGCATGACACAAGAAAAGTCAGAACCGAAAGATAGAAGGAGTCCTCACGCAGCAAATAGATAACTCACATCTCCCATCCCAGATGCAACACAGCTCTGATGGAAAACACGCAAAATCCCACCACAGCTGATGACACCAATTCGCACAGCAAGATACTCCTGATTGATAATCGGCGATTGATCTGGTGCATCTATAATGCCAGCTCACAGCAGAAATGAGAAGCCACAGGAAACACGATTCGGACATGGCTGTACGCCCACACAGGAAGTCCGACTTCCTTGTTCTTCCAATTGTACAGGGTCGTCTCGGAAACCATCGATGGTTGTTGTTTTTTAGTGATCTTCTTCTGGCCTAACTTCCGGTCTATTTTTGCTACAACATTAATATGAATGTACGAGAGAGGTAAGCCAAAGAACTCACTGCAGGATCTTCATCACTACTAGCGATATCATGGGCTGAGCACAAAAGCCGCACAGTAGATTCATGGATCCACCCTTGCACACGGATGGTCACAGTCAAACACATGTCATCACAGAGCGTGCTGTTTGCATCCTCCATCTAGAATGCAAGTCAACGAATCAGAAACAAGTGCATACGCACTTGCTTCTCTTTAATGTTGACGAGATGTTTCCTCAAAAGTGCTGGTTAGTTTCTCGGGTCGACACTTATGAACAGCTCAATGCCAAGTGACGAGTCTTTGCAACCTTTCGTGTCGCTGTTGAATTTGACGTATGTGCTACGGGTCACCGAGGCACAGTTCTTAGGACCATCGCGTGAGTAATTTTGAGAAGGCCGAACAACGTATATATAGGGGTTCGGACAGGGATGGGTTGCCTTATCCGCATATCAGAGCGATGCGTGGAGCGCGTCAATGCTCGTCAAATGACCGGCAAGGGGAGACATTATAGTGTCACCTCCTAGAGCAACAAGGGTTTATCTCAGTAGCCAACAACTCGTAAAAACAGACGAAAGTGACCTGAAACACCGAATCAGTCTGCGCTCTGATTAGTCCCTCCCAAAGTCCATAAAACAAATGCTAAAGATGTAGGGTGACATTGATCGTCAAGCTATAGCGACCCATGACACATTAGATTAAGATCACAAGCTCGCAAGGGAACGAGACCGCCATAGTGCCGGGTAAATGGAGTTGAAGTGTAGCTGAATTATATAGATGGAATATCTATAATTTCCACACCTGGTGTGACTTGTAACCCAATGATTGCAGTACTCCGCCTATTGGCCCTTGTGAATAGTTTCGACCATAAGGTCCTGCGATAGCCTCGACCATTCTGCGACGCATCGATGAGTAACATCAGAATAGAGAAAGTAAGCGGGGACTAACTGCTGTGGACCACAAACCAAAAATAGTATCTTTCGGTCACTGTCCTCGCTATCTCGCGAGAATAAGCCGCGCCACCAAGAAAGACGAGAGGCGGAATAGAGGGCACGACGTATCGAATCTTTCCCAATACGACCATGGTGCATCTCTAGATCTGTAAAGCGTTGACCATTGCTTTCGTCAAGCGAGTCGACGAACAACTTGAGTCTCAGCCTGTCGGGATTATGCTGCGCGAGTTTTAATAGAGGATTGAGGACCTCACGTGGAGGTAGTTCTGAGGGACTTCTTGATGAATGTAACAGGGTGATTCGGCCATGGAAGGATGGACTGCTGGAGAATACGGTACGCAGCAGCTGGTAGAATGGAGTAATACCAGTGCCACCGGATATCTGGAACGTCAAAATCATCAAGACAGAGGTAATCTAGTAGAAATTCTTGTTTTCTCACCAAAACAATCTCGTCCCAAGCATCATCCTTCCAAGACCAGGTTTTGAGAGGGCCTCGAATTTCGATGGTCTCCCCGACCTTTTTCGAGTGCAACCACCGACTGACTTCGCCATGCTGATACTTTTTGATCCAAAACCTCATATTTCCGTCCTTGTCTACCCCATCGAGTGGAGTGTAAGGTCGTTCCACTTGTATGTCATCGTCTTTGATGAAGACGGACCAGATAGGTGCGAAGAGATCGCTTTCATTGGGCAAAAGTTCGGGAGGTACCGCGACAGTCAACATTATTGTTCCACTTGATGCATAAGTGGACGAAACGAGTTTCGCTGGCGTGAAGTGAGACGGGCTGAGGGGTATGCTGTCACAAGTTGGTGCGCCGCGGGAGATGTCAGGCAAGAGAAAATAAGCGGCAACGACAGCAGATGTGCCTCCTAGAAGCAGTGCTGTAGTAGCCCTCCGTAACAATCTCGAGGTATTGATTGTCGCAAGACCCTGAGCACGAAGGCCAGCATGTCTCGCTAATACTTGAAAACGGGGCTTCAGCATCTGACGTTGAATTCTCAAAATGGCAGTACAGTAGAAGCTCTTGCCAAACAGGTGTAAATACAAGGATCGACGTTTCCATTTCGAACTTGAAAGTCGTTTCTTTGCTCGAGCTTCCCGCCAGCTCGCTCGAGTACAAAAAAATTACGACCCTCGCTCTTTCACAGTCTATTCTATTCTAATCATATTTAATCACTTATCATGAGACATATACGCGACGCTACACGTAGCTACGCTCCGAGAACAACTATTCACACGACCTCTGATAATACCGCGACGCTGGCGCTGCGATTACATCAAATGACTACCCCCACACTCCTTTCTCCTTCAAACACGCGATACATATATCGCGAGCGTCGTAACGAGTTGACCCCCGAGTTCCAGTCTAATGGGTTCCTAAAATCACCTTCTCGTTTCCTCCTCGCTGGGCTTGGCATTCACTACGAGTTGGATTCTAGTGATATAGTTGGCGAGGCGATCCACTCGTACGATGAGCCACAAGGTGTCTCGTATATCCAGGCGGACGATATCAGTAGCGCCTTGCATCATTCAACTCCTGCGGGCACAGCATACCAACTAACAGATCGTACCGCCAAACACCTCACTCGCTTAAGCGATTCTCAAAACTCCCTAGCCATGTTCAGCGACACCTCTTTGCCTGACCTTGGGTACTCCTCGTCATCGTCCTCAGCTTCCTTGGCTTCCACTCGGTTTGCCTCTGACAATGAGGAAGCTCGGGCATTCTCCCTGCCTTATCATCTCGCGGATGGCGTTCTCTCTTGCTCACCTTCCAACATCGGTCTTATTCCTGACGTGAATATGTACAACCTCGCACTGTTCACGAAGCAGCCCAGCGTAGGTGTCGATCCTTTAGACACCATGGGACGGTCGTCGGCGTCAGCTATGTCACCTTACCTCTCCCCTCGCAATGCCACGTTCTGTTGCTCCTCTCCATTGAGCATTCAATATCCAGTTCCCTCCACCCTGGGAGCAATGGGAGAATCGACGCCCCGCCCACTATCCCAGGACTGTCCGTCGCCAGGCATAATTCACGATATTGTTACCATCTTGTCCACCTCTGCAACACAGGAACCTGATCAGCCGGAGTCCATGACAGTTACGTACAGCGAGCAGCCGTCTTTCGAGCAGTGCGCTCTGCAGAAGAGAGCTAGGGCGTCTCCGATAATGAAGATGGATAATTTGCCAGACGGATCTGTTTTGCATGTCTTCTCCCCAAAACAAGAAGGATTATACGTTCTTTCTAGCTACGAAAACCTCTCGTTCTCTTCGTCCGACAGAGTATTCTCCCCAAGGCAGATCAAACCCGATCCGGATCACATCATCTGTAACGATCAATATCCATCGCCGATTCTTAACGCACACACGGGAATAGAGCTGACCGAGCTGACCTTCAGAGCTCAGCGTTATAGGGCACGCCATTCTGCACAACAGATTGACCGAGGATGGTTAATGCATTTCGCGGGCAAGTTGACCGACCGTGGAGAGCTTATAGATGAATTCCGATGCTATGTCGTCGGGTGTGGCCAGAGGAACAAGCGCCGAGATCATATCATCGTACACGTCGGGGCCCACGTCGATCAACGGCCATTTGGCTGTTCCATGTGGTTTGTATTATTTTTGCTGTCTCTGGCGATCACTGACCATCACTGATTGCTGATAGCTCACAGCGGTTCCTCCGCAAGAATGAATGCAAACGTCACGAGGCAAGCCATACTGGCGTGAGACCCTATCATTGCGAAGTTTGCGGGCAGACCTTCGTTCGTCAGGACTTACTGAAGAGACATTCCAGGCGGTCCCATGATGTAGAAAAGGGGAGTCGCAGTGCAGGCTCGCGCCGTAAGAAGGCGAGGACTGAGTAGCTGCGTGGTTAACGTAGATTTCCTCGGACACTTCTCAATGTTGTTTGACTGATCGAGTTGTGAAAAGATCTCATGATCAGACAATGCGGCGACAGTTTTTGCCAGCATCAGACAGACCGTCACTTTTTCGCAGTGCTGAGCGCACAACACCAGTTGCTTGAAACGATGTGGTGTACATACTTAGTACTGTTCATGCACGGCATACCGCTACGGCTTGAATTTCATGTCGTGACACTGTGACAACGTGTGATGAGTCACATTCGATTTCCCTTGGAAGTTCAAAAAATTGGGGAGTAAGCTCAACCATGTCGACCAGAGGACGGTCCACATCCCCAAAGCCCTTGCAAGATGCCGATGTAGACATGGAGAATGGGGGAAACGATGACAAGAAGTGCAAAGTGGTTGTCGTCAACGGTTTGTCTCGCAACGTCGTGCAAGCGCATCTACAGACCATTTTCGCATTCTATGGAGAAATCGTGAAGGTCGACCTTCCACTCTTCTTGAAATGTAAGATTCTCGATAGTCATGGTTCTTTCATATTTTATTAATCTGTATTATAGCCGGTCAGAATCGAGGAAAGGCTGCCCTGGAGTTCGTAGATGCAGCATCCGCCCAGAAAGCCGCGTCACACATGAACGGCGGTCAACTAGATGGTTTGATCGTGAAAGTCGAGTTATCTGATCTCCCAATCCGTACTCGTACTCGTTCTCGCCCGCGTCCTCCACGCAACGGCCGTGAAAGGCGCTCACCGTCTCGGTCGCGTTCTCGCTCCCGTTCACCAGTGTTTCGTAGGAGAGCTTATGAACCTTCTCGTTTCAATGAAGCCTTTCGAGGAGGCAGAGGTTTCGGGCGTCGTGGACCTCCCGCCCGGGACACGTACCGTCCTTCTCGATCACGTTCCCGCTCGCCTATCAGGCGTGGGGATCGCTTGCCACTCAGACGGAGGTCTCCAAGTTACGAGCGTGGAGGGACTGGGTATGGACGCAGGGGTCGAACCCGCTCCAGGAGCTACTCGGTGCGCTCCAGTCGCTCTCGTTCACGCACTCCTTCTAGGTCTCGCTCTCGTTCCGCATCCTACTCCTCTTATTCGCGGTACAGCCGTAGCAGAACTCGTTCAAGGTCTCTTAGCCGCGCAAGGAGGAGTTACAGTCGTGATGACATCAGAGACAGCAGGTCCAGATCTCCGGTATAAAAACAATCTATATACTCTGGTATCTCAGCTTGCCGTCGTAATTATGAAGGGTTACTGTTCGTGTTTTACAGTACCGCAATGAACTGGTGTTCCGTACTCTAATCACTGGCCATGGAATCGTCATCAGCAAGGAAAGGTCTGCAATAGATCATGTTAACAGTAGCGTCCAAACTGAAGCTTGTCACTTACGCATACTCATAATCATTCCTGATGGCATTTGACATCCATTCTTCATCGGCTTCTTGCTGAGCAAACCCTGGTCCTCCAGCAAGGCTGAGCACGACAGGCAGAAGTACTAAACCATGTAAAGCCCCAGAAACAATGAGAGTAAGCCACATGCGGAAGTAGTATATCTGTGGGGTGCATGAGACCTTTGCGCAGTTGCATGAATGATTTGAAGGCTTACTTCCAACAGCTTGGATCGGGTGAGTGCAAGGACAGACATGCCGATCAGTTTGGTAAATGTGATACCAGACAGAACCTGAAAAATGTTTGTTATGGCGCAGCATCGAGAAGGAGGGATACTCACTGAGGGCCCGACGTCAACAAGGGCGGTCCACATCCTCTCATCCCGCTCTTTCTGTCCGGCAGGATGATCAGCTGGTAAACCAGAACCAGCACTCATGAAGGCCCTTGCCACATGAGCGCAAAATTCCACTGCAATCCCGATTGAAATAACCAGGTTTACCAGACTGATAGCATTCAAGCTAATGCCCCATACTGCCATGACGCCCATGACAGTCATTACTGTCAGCGCGACGACACCCGTCACGATTGTCCCTGTGCGCCATGAGCCTAGCAGTAGCGCTGTGACCACTAGCACGGCAGCCAATCCAAGCCCGAGAATCTCCTGCGTGATGGCGACGATGTGGGCATATTGGTCGAAGAAAACGTAATGCAACGAATAAGGGAAAACCTGTGACCCGGTGAGCTCTGAAATCTTAGCTGCTATGTGGCGCGCCGCTGCCATGGAATTGATAAAGTCCTCTTGGGATCGAAGAGGCGAATGCGATGTGCGGAAATGAGATGCGGCAATGCCAGTTTCGTCAAGCGAGAGTGCGGTGCCGAATGACGCCTTGCCTGCCAAGGGGCAGGTTTCGTCTGTGGGCGAGATTAACCACTGTCTCAGATACCGCATGAACTCCTCTCCCTCAGGCAATCCGACCATGGTAATGTTCCACGCAGGTTCCTTGTCGTATAGGCACGGTTGGCATAACCGGTCTGAATCCCTCGGCGCGCAGAACCTCGCAGGATCTCTCTTGCGTACACGACAGCACGTCTCCATGGCAGGATCAAGCCATTTGAAAAAGTCATCTATCCATGACGCAGTCGGCTGTGAGATAAATGATGACTCAGGTCTCTTCCGTTCAGCCTCTAGAACATTGGCGACAGAGAAGTCATCACAAGTTGTGAAGCGACCACAGAGCTCTTGTTGACCAGGCCGCTTGGTCACGTCAAGGTCGTGAGATACGAAATAAACTGGAGGCCCAACGTCCAAGTACACGTCGAGGTGGTTGAAGTAGTCATTGAGGTATGAATCCGAGGGAAGAGCCAACCTTTGGTCTGTCAAATGATTAGCACAGCGAAGCCTAACTTGATATCAAATCACGAACCAAGTCCTAGCGGAATATGCTGCATCGATATTACGGAGAGGACAAAGAATCCAGCAAAAGTAAGGAGTACAGCACCCTTGACAACTGGCTGGAGGAGGAAAGGAGCATAGTGGCGTCGGATGAAGCGAGCGACCCTGCCCAGTCCACTTGCGTTCATAGGAGCATCAAGCAGAGCGATGCGAGAAGGCCATCTGATGCACGGGAAACAGTCAACTCGGCTTGCCTGCATAAGGTATTGGTCTAAATGCATTCCGTGGATGTGGATTGATGACCACTCACCTCTACGCGCTTCAGATCAATAGTGAGCGCGCTGACAAAGACAGTGACTTGGAGTAACGCGTTCAAGAGGACGCTACCAGCAGCATATAGCGCAAAGTTGCGTACAGCTGGCATAGGCACCAAGGCACCGAGGCCAAAAGCAACTGTTTCTGTCACAGAGCTCAACAAAATTGACGGACCCATCTTTGCCAACGTCCGCGCAACCCTTTCCTCTGCAGATAGATATAAGGGTACCGAGGCGGTATCGACAGATTCTTCATGGGATGATTCAAAAGGTGAACGGTGGGGGGTAGGGGAACGAAGTGCCGGGTATCCTCCTCCTGGAGCAATTGCCGAAGCGTTAGGCCCATGGAGGAGATTTTGCCTATCAAGCTCGTGAACGAGAATGAACACATTGTCGACACCGACGGCGAGTACAAGGAAAGGAATGACTTCGGCAATGATGAGGGTCGTCTTGACACCAACGAGCGAGAAGAAACCGACTGAAGATGAGACGGATAAAATGACAAGTCCGATCCCAAGCAAGCCTAAAGTGAATTTCGAGCCGACGAAGAGATGACGAGGTAGTCTCGGTAAAATGTGTGGTGTTGTGCGGGAGTCAACCGAAATTGAAGAGGAAGTAATGCTTGACCGTTGGAATAGCTTAGGGAAGTTGCGAGCCCATAAGGAGAGGGATGACAGTACACCTTCTTCCTCTCTTGCTGCTGATCCACTGCCCAGAGTCAGCGATACGTAAAGGAACATCGCAATATACGACAGGACGACAATCCTGACGTCAGTATTGGTACTCCTGCTGATTTCTTCCTCTAAAGAGACGCCAGTTGAGAATGCGATATTCATGCCCGCCTCGTAGGGGATTCGTTCGCTGAGTTCAAGGAGATATGCCCTCAGAGTTTGCTCCCATTCGACAACTTTCGCAAGTTCGGCCTCGTCAAGTGAATTTGACACCACATAAGTGACAACGAGGGCCTTCGCGTCAAGGTATGAACTGCGCTTTGGCATATCCTCCGGCACGCCGCCCAAGACATATTGTGGGCCAAGAGGTTGTTGGAAATCTGGAAGGCAATCCACAGGAGAGTTTGCACATTGAATCAATCGATTCTTCCAAGACTCCTCGTCGTAATCACTGAGATCATTACCAAACCATGCACCAACAGACTGAACGACACATGCTCCTTGTGGCCCGGCAGGCTTGAAACACACATCTGTGAGACTGTAGCCATTGGGGGAAGATCGGAGAGCGCGTATATCACTCTCTACATCCATCCAGTATCGCAGATGATCGTAACTGAGGACAGGACCTTGCGAAGATGCACGAATATCTGTGAATGCAATCGGTTCGATGGTGATAGGGGGGTCTGAGACCGCAGTGACGAATATTTGCTGTGGTCGGTAGAAAGGACCAAAGTGTTCGTCGAAGTATTCTTTTTGTAGTTTGCTTTCTGAATCAGGAGCGACCCATAGCCGAACTGGATCAGTCTCGATATCGAACCTTTGCCAGCCCAAGTTGAGCAGGCCCATGACGGTAAACACGAGCGAAAATGTCAAGAATGGCGAGGATGCTGCAGCAAGGCCTAAACGATAGAAAACGCGACGGAGGATTGTGTTGAGGCGATATTGGCGTGGCTGAGACGCTTCAATAGGGGTCTAGGAGGGAGACACCACGACCGAGCCGTCTAGATTCTGTTGATTGAGCTCCGAGGGAGTCGCTTGCGTCACCTTGCGGAAGTGAGACCGAACCAACAAGACCGCGTGTGTGTAATCTGGGGGAAAGGATGGACGCGGTGTCCACTGATAACGCCATTCTCTCGTATCTTTTCTCTCTTCGCTTCCTTATAGTGGCCTGAAGGACATAACCAAATACAAAGGCCACGGCGCAGAGGGAGTATGCGAGGATGAGTACGAATGAGAGGCATGAAATCGTGCCGAATTGGCACGTTGGACCATCAATCTGTGGAGGCTCGTAAGGAAGTGCAGGGCAGACCGTGGGGCAGTCAATGCAAGTGCAGCGACTTTCTAGGTCATTGTCAGCGCAATTCCGTGGTGTAGGATCTAGCGCAGTGAAATCAAGGGGTACGGTGGAGGGATAGTTTATCTGGAATGGACTTCCAAGGTCCTTCACGTCTCCTAGGAACTTGAGGAATTCAGAATACGTCTTAGCACCTCCCCCGATGAGGTCCATAGCGTATCCGTTGGTAGCGCCCACTTGGACGTTCTTGCAGCTATCGAAGAAACCCGAGGCAAATTGTTCGCCGACAAAGAAATCGACTGTCTTCACAGCCGTCTCTCCCGAACTGGATTTCTGTGTCTCAGTAATGTTCAGGAATGTTCCCTGGTGTGGTGAACAAGTAAATGAGCAGAAGAAGGAACGGAAATTGTTTCGGCATGCAGGGCATGATGAAATGAGGAGTTCGGCTTGCGCTAAACTGTCGCGCAGGGTCTCGACTTGACCAGAAGTGCAGCAAGTAGGCCCTTCTACGAATTGGGCACCACAAACGGAAACAAGCAAATCCCTGGCTTTGCTGTCCTGGGGCTAAAGTAGTGGTGAGCAGAGCTATAATCATACTACACTGTGAAACGTACTTCAACTGGAGGTCCATCATACGGGCACGGGAGTTGTTGCCCAAACCACCCCTTCGTTCCACAAGAACCCCGCATAGCACATTGTTCATCACTATCTCCTACCCCTCCCGACATGGTGCAGCGAAAGCCAAAATATTGCAGAATCAAGTAGTTCCGAAGTGACGACGGTCAAAGAAACGTATCTGAACGAAAGTAGCGGCAGCACTGAGCCAGAGTAAACACTCCACGCAAGTGCACTCTAAAGTTAGTGATCGTGGAACAACCACCCCACACGTGGTTCACGTGGGGTGTTCTTCGGAGATCAGGACAAAAACGGTACTACAGCTTCATCAACTGGACCGGTGCCCGAATCACATATTACTGCTGTCATCCGTCCGCTCAATAATGGCAGAACAATCTCAATCCAAGAAGACGAACACCGCTGCAAAACCGCGAAAGCGTTTCGTTGGCTCAAAATCTGCAGCACCACCCAAAACTGGTTCGCCAGCAACAATCGCCAATCAAATACCCGATGAGATATTATCGGATGCTCTGCTAAACCAGGCGATCAAGCAGCTTCCTGCGAATTACTCCTTTGAAATCCACAAAACAGTACATCATGCCCGCAAGAACAAAGCAAAAACGGTCGCCCTGCAGATGCCCGAGGGCCTGCAGATGTTTGCCTGCGCAATAGCAGACATCATAGAGTGGTGCGCAGGTGATGGATGTTGATTTGCAGAGTTGCATGCTAAGCTGATCTTGGATGTCGTAGTTTCACCGATGCATTGACTGTGATCATGGGCGATGTCACGTATGGTGCATGCTGCGTAGATGATTACACTGCAGTCGCATTGGGATGCGACATGCTAGTCCATTATGGTCACAGCTGCCTTGGTGAGTTCATGCACCGCCGTTTTCAAGTTATATTCCTCATTTGACTGTAGTGCCCATCGATCAAACCACGATCAAGACCTTGTATATCTTTGTCGAGATTGGAATCGACTCTTCTCATTTGGCAGAGACGATCCGGTTAAACTTCCCGAACGACCGACAAACGTTCCACAAGCAGTTGCTCGAACATGAAGAAGATATCGCACGAATACCTGCCGGTCAGAAAGTGGGTAAGACTCGCCATCTCCAAATCGAAGGTCCTTCGAGTGAAGGAGGAGCGGAACCTCCAGCTTCCGTACAGCTGACAAGGTTTGCGCTGGTCTCGACAATCCAATTTGTAGCAGCTCTACAAAGGTTGAAGGAAGATCTGACATCACCGCATTCTGACGCTGAAACATCATCTCATGGACTACTGCTCAGTGCAGAACCAGAATCATCACTGGGAGATGTCTCAAAGTCGTCATCTGGTCATCGCCTCTGGACTGGCGTTTATGACACCACAATACCAAGGTCTAAACCCTTGTCTCCTGGTGAAATACTAGGGTGCACTGCCCCCCTGCTTGGCGACATAGACGCTCTGATGTAAGGTACCAACTTTGTTCATCCATCAAGGGTCTCATCGTACCTCAGATATCTCGGAGATGGTCGATTTCACCTAGAGTCCATTATGATCGCGAATCCCTCCGTACCTGCTTTCCGATATGACCCCTACTCCAAGAAATTAACGAGAGAGCTGTACAACCACGAAGAAATGCGGACGGTTCGAGATGATGCAGTTCAAAAGGCCCGCAAAAGCATCACAGCTTTTTCTCAGACATCAGATTCTCAGGGGATCGTTGCCCCTACTGATCAAAGTCCGATATGGGGCATCATTCTCGGCACTTTAGGGCGCCAGGGCAGTTTCAAACAGATGCAGGCGATCACCCACCAGCTCTCTACCTCGAAGACAAACATTCCTTATATCCCTATCCTACTTTCTGAACTCTCACCTGCGAAGCTTGCGCTGTTTAACCCGTATATATCGACATTCGTTCAAACATCATGTCCGCGGTTGTCGATAGACTGGGGGTACGCCTTTGATAAACCGCTCCTCAGCCCGTATGAAACAGCGGTTGCGGTGGGGCAGGCCAAAGGGTGGATGAATGAGGAGAAAGCGGGACGTGACAGGGCCAAAGGCGGGAGATACCCTATGGATTTCTATGAAGTAGGCAGCCCATGGGCAGTGGCTAGGACGAAGTCTACATATCTTTAGTTCAAGGAGTGTGGTTCAGTTTTCATTTTTACTCTGCAGGAAGTTGTGGATCAATGGATAGATACTGTGACGCTCTCCTTCGTCAATACATGTTGTGCTACAGTTCCTACTGAAGTAGCAGGATCAGTTATCAAATCCGCGTATAATCTTGTGTGCGAGGCTGGTCTCATCGACGAACATTGTGCGAATGCGGGCCACCGACAGTTGTTGCGCCAAGAATGCGATGTAGACCGCTTTGAAGTGGTTATGTAAAAGAGTGTTTGCTTCCTACCCTGCAGGACCCCGCTATAGATCTGCTTTCGCGTGTCTGTCAGGATATCGATTGAACCAGAAGCTCAGGCTCAGGTATTATAACGCCGCGATGGCTCAGTGACAAATGATATAAGTAGATTGACTAGACTATGTACTTGGCAAACGCCAGCCCTCCTATCAAGGAAAAACAAAATGATAGTTTTTGCAATATCAAACGACCAATGCACACCCAACAGTCGATGAGCTAGCTCATGCTTACACGTTACACACTAATAATTGTGAGCTTGACATGATTGCAACGAAGCTGTGGTACAACTTACCCATAAGCATACTCGACTTCATCAACACCACCGCCAGAAGCGAAAGGACCATTGTTCTCGCGAGGCATAGGACCAAGCTCAGGTTCATCCTCCTCCAAGTCAATGGGGTTCTCATCATCAAGACCGAATGGCAAAACGGGGCGAAGTCCCCCTCCAGTACTCGATCGACGATTACCTGCCGGTGATTTAGGCAGCGCAGCCATAGTCTTGGGGCTCATATGCTGACATAAAACTTGAATGAGACGCAACTCGTTCCGAACATCAGGCGTCGGCTTACCTCCCAATCATTCAGGTTCTCATCTGGGATGTCATCCCGGCCAACGTCCAGTCTGGATTCATCACCCAAATCACCGATTGACACCACACTCTCGCTGTCGCTAATGTTGTCAGCGATACTAGAGACGAGTTCTGGGAGTCGCTGCCATGCGTTCCCGCCCGACGTGATTGTTCCAAATGGCGGGCCAGATTGTTCGTCAGACCAGCCGAGGTCAGACAAGTACTCCTCGTATTCCTCCTCAAACGCGAGATCTTCAGTAGTGTACGGAAGGAATATGGATGGATCTGGTGCTTGGGAGCGCGGAGGAGGGAAGACATCAGCTTCGACGACGTTGGGGGTGCCAAGTGGTCGGATAATGTTTCCGAGGTCTAACCCTGGAGGCAGGCCTTCCATGTTGTGAGAAATACTGACAGAACGCCGATGTGCCTGGGATTGCTGGCTTGCAGCCTGAGGTCCGTAACGTTTGTTGTTGTCTAAGGAGTAGGTCGCAGTGAGTATATTACATAACAATGCGGGAAAAAGGCATACAATACTTGACGAGGTGACGCAGCGCTTGTTCTTGTGACTGAAAGTACATCGGCATATGACACTAATAATGAGACTCAAAAGAAACACACCTGAGCGTCTGAGATATCATCAACCTCGGTGCCAGTTAGCCACTCATCACGCAGATCTGGTCGACAGTTCAAGTAGATCGATGTGATCACCTTCATGTTCGCTAATAAGGGGTAAGTGTAAACGCCTACTCCTGGAGTCATCACACATACACTGCCGCCATTTTCTTCCACAAAAGGGTACTTGACTCTTGATGAGTTTCAGAACATGGAGTTGAAGCAAAGGATGTGAAACTCGCAGCACGCGTTTCAACACCGCCTTAACAAGGCTTGTGAATAGCCAATGATGGCCCAAAGAGGAGCACACTCACTGAGCTCTTGTATTGCACAAGCATCCATATGCGATGCGACCGGTTCTTGGACAACTTCTGCATAATCTTGGCAAAATTGATTGTGGAAAAGAAGTTGCGCCATGAGAACTCAGTCAGCATTTCGACTTCTTCTTCGTGTTTCTGGCCATTCGGAAGAATTTTGGTCTGTAGCACAACGTGGGCGCCAGTACGAGGTTTGTCATCTTGCGGACGTGGAGCGATCTTTGCGTGATGTATCTGGCAATACCGGAAGAAGCTGGGTGATGCCCCAGATTAGTATTCATACTCGCAGATCCCGTCTCACTCACTTGTGATCGGGAGAATCGGCTTTCGACACGACAGATGACGAAACTTCCTGCAGACCAAACATCTTCAAAATCAACAGCAAGCAATTCGTGTCCAATAAAAGCTGGCCGAGATGATGGAACTTCATCACATCTTAAATATATGCATCAGACATGCGTCAACGCACGTCACAGGGAAGTACCCACGGGAGGCTTTAAACCATTTTAGCGTCAGTAACAAGATAGCTGAGACAGCTTTGGACGTAATCTCGCGATGCCGGGTGACATCGAGATCGTCGAGTGTCGGCGGTGGGGCGGGAGGTTGCTCAGGTGCTAATCAACATAAAATTATGACCAATGTGCGTGAAAATGAATCATGAAGGTACACACGGGATGCAACACCGGGAGGGAAGACCGATGATGTTGAAGACTGTGGAACCTGTTGTTGCCCAGTCCCAGCCGATACAGTCGCCAAAAGAAGTTTCAGCAAAACCAATACCCATCCTGATAGAACGGGCAACACGGCGCTCTAACGCAGGTTAGCCAGTGGCGATATGACGCTGAGCAGACTTACGTAGATGGTTTCCACCCTCTTCAGGCGCATGAAATCTTCCTTTCTTTCCCTCGCCTTGCGCTCTTGGGCAGGGGAAGCGGTACCTCCTGTGACTGAAATGGCTTCCGCGATCTTTGCATCCAGCAGTGCAATATCTGCCAGTGGCTCCGCACTCTCAAGATCCTGAAATAGACTTCTCAGCAACGACTATCCAAATTAGCAATGAGGCAGCATACCTCGCTTGTGATTACAAGTGGTTCAGCATCCCCCTCAGATCCAGGCATACAGTCGAGCCCGCTCTCGGCAGTCATACACTCTTCTCTCGTTTTCCACATTTGCCAGAGCGAGAGACTCACGTACATATGCCGATTATACAGCTTGTCCGCCTCATCGATGGCAAAGGGCACGAGGCGATCATTGTTAGCGCCGAATCTGCTTTTCCGCGAGAAGGGAAACAAGAATGGCCGATTTTGGTCTGTCTGATATTGCTGTTTCTTAGGCTTGGGAGAAGGAGGCGGGGTCGGTGCAGGTGTTGCAGGCTGAGGACCCGGACGGTATCCCTGACTGGGAGCATGTGATTGGAAAGGCTGATGATTCAGCGCACCGGGGAGACCGGAGTGCTGCGAGTCTGCGTCATCGTGATGGTAGTGATGGCGGACAGGAATGGGAGAATATGCCTGTGCTAATTTGGAAGTGGAGATGGAGGGCGTGGGCTTTGTCTGGATCTCTTGTTGCGTAGGTGGGACTGGAGGCGGCGTGAACGTCGGATATTTCACCGACGTCTCCTGTCGGAACGTTTCAATGTCAAATGGGGTGCATTTGACGGCTACAGCTGTGATATTCGTGTAAAATACGGTTTGATGAATGAAAAATGACTAACCTTCGTCTGGCACAGAGGGAAGGTTGGCAAGTTCCCGGGCTAACCTCTTCACACGTGCAAGCTCCCTGATGCCACCACAACACGCGAGAAGTGTCTTCCAAAGCACGAGGAGTAGCTAATCGCATTTCAGCTTCGCAATGCGGCAGAACTGCTGCAGTGTTCAAACCTTCTTAATCGGGTATCCCTTAGCGCTTTTGTCCCTCAGTGCGGAGACCACATTAAACAAGTACACCGGCAACGGTGGGTCCATGCTCACTACCCATCACAATTAGCCTGGCTGACGCCTTCCCATTGCAGCACGTACTGAGTTCATCTGCAAAGTCATCACGCTCCTTGAATATTTCGATGAGGTGATACATCATGCCGAGATAAACCGAAATTTCGGTTGTGACCTCTTCAAGGAAGTCAGCCTTTTCAGTAGGGGTGATCTGGAAGTGTGCCGTATCCGCATCTGAGAGCGAGCTGCCGTGTAAACGTCAGATAACGGACTACGTACTGAGTATATGCATACCAAAGTAGATCATGTTTCTGACTGGCAATTTTCATGGATTCGACGATTGTGCTTAACCCATTGGCGCTTCGTACAACCTTGCAGTTCTCGTAGATCCAATGCAACTGATGCTCTGGAGACGTTGTCTCGGCAAAGGTACCTACGTTAGGAACGTATGAGTATTCGTCGTTTCGTCGCAGATGGGAACGGGACCTTGCAGGACGTAAAAGAGTCGACGGGCATTCGTAAATCGGATCTCTGCGTCCCTGTGTTCAAGACTTTCGAGGAGTACCTCGACGTGTGCCTTTCGCTGTACGGGAGTCGTATCGGGGCTCGTCCACTCTACATACGCGAAGATTATCTCTCATTCCGATAGTGTAATGGACAACACTGCACACCTCCGGGAAACGAGCCTTTCCATGCTTTTAGGTTTTCCGCGACTTGCGGCATCTCTACGTACGAGTAGAATTCATCGATCTCATTCATGACCGTGTCTTCGTCATCGTAGCGAAAGTCGTAAAATGATTGCTATATATAAGATATACCTCATGAATACGAGAAATGACAAGCAGAGCCGGAAACATGCCTTTGGCTTTGGCGCGCATGTGACCATGGCTTTGAGTTGTCCGAGGGTTATGGAGTCCAGTCCCAGCTGCGATGCAGTGTTTGCACCATCTTGTTCGCCAACAGAGTATGAAGGCGGCGCTGCAAACATCATGCCGCTCATGTTGATGGTTGAAAGAACACGACTAAGTAGTATTGTCACGGACTACAGTCGTTCTTCACCGGATAGTACCACGTGACCTAACACACATTTGACACGTAACGATGACCCAACCAACGACTTGCAAAAGTCTCTCGGGCGCCAAGTTGGCAGCTCCATCAGATCAGTAGGCCGTATCACTGCCGTATCGTACCATTGAGTGACCTTATCACCAGGAGCTGTCTTACCTCGGTCTTGGTACCCTTATCGATGGCTTACTTATAACATGTCCAAGATCAGGAGCACAACCTAATCGGCCCGCGCCGGTCAGCTGCAGTGCTGCCATCATGTTTGGGCCATGATGCAAGTCAGTGAAGAATCAGGGAAACAAAGTAATCCTAAACTGGGTGTCGGACAGTGTCGGAGTGGTGGGGTTCCTGAATCAGTGGCTAATTGAGGCTTATTCACATGGGCAGGGAAGCGGATTCGAAAGCCATTGGCCCTCAGTTGACCTTTGGGGGAAATGATTCGATAGCGATGGTGGCGTTCTAAAATAGCGTGAACGTAGAAAAGGTGACCTCGTGTTCAGATTTCACAAACGATTATGGATCAATACTTGTGAGTCATCCACGTTTCTAATTACACTAGCAGACGGGTAAGCCTGGGTGGCGTGCCATGACAGAGATTAATGTCGGCAGAGACGTACGCATACGTCAACACGCGGCGGGCAACCTAGGACGAGATGAGCCTGGCTTAGGGCGATGGCGTGGGTCATAGCATGAGTCAATGACGGCGTCGCAGCCCCATTGTGAAATTTCATGTAATTGTCATTCCATGACTGCGCGGCGCTGCGCTCCGCAAAGCGGAACCAAATCATATCGTGTGAAAATGTGACATAAGCACTGCATGAATTTTCTGTATAAGAATTTTTGGGTTCTTCAGGTTCATTCAACCACGATTTTGGCTGTGGATCGACTTCGCAGTCGGTCACATTCTTGCCAACTAAGTTCTCGGTACCGTTCTCGTTTCGGCTCATCGTCTTCGACAGCGTCGGCTTCGTTACGATCGATTCGAGTATCGGTTTCAGCTTCGGTTCCTAGTCGTAGACGGTACAAGGTAAGTAATCTGGTCTTTGATGCTCTGATATCGACCTAGCTCATCTCTTGCCAGAGCATACTAAAAGGCACGCCTTTGCTGCGCGTTTGCCACTCATCGCCTTCCATTTCTCTCTTGAAGCCTCGATCCGCTTACGACCCACCCTTACGACTTTCGCCTCCTCTTCGATCCTTTCGCAGGGTCGTCACCACTAGATATCGGAGTCGTTCGCTGTTGCGCTCTATAGTGCATCGAGCGGCCTTCTCTGTGTCCTTCTCCATCTGCAGATGCCAGTCCCAGTCCCTTCCCAGCCACCGGCACACCAGGTCCATAAGTACTCCAAAACTGAAGACGCTTCAAAGTCTCATTCTTCCGTCTTTCACAATCTGAAGCACACCTTACCTGTCTCTCCGACGGGCCCACCGCCGTCGTTTGGCAGTCGTGATCAGTGGATTAACTCCCTACCCTCTTGGAGGAGGACTAAGACCCGCCGCATTTGGGAGGATGACGTGCGCTCCACTTCGGAAGTGAAAAGGGAACAGGGTTTTCATCGAGGGTTGACTAGCACGGCTGACGTGCAAGTCATTAAAGGAAATCATGCGGAGGCATGTCTTCCGCCCCTGAATGCCTTTCAAAAATGTGCTGTGAACCCTTCGCCAGGTGACATCGACCAGCCAATCCATGTCGAGCATAGACAGTCTGCTTATGCACCTGTCTGGAGTACTGAGGGTTACGATAGTCCGGGTGGTTCTTCTACTCAGGACTACGTGTGGCCTCAGGTTGATAACGCGTTCGCACCTGTCTTGGAGGACGATTCTGAGGAAATGATTAATGGTGACTTAGGCTCTAGTCCTATCGGTCCCATGACTCCTTTCGCAGACTACGTGGATCGTGTAGTCGCCACTTCCGATGTCACCGGCCCTATAGCACTCAGGCAAGAGAGTTTGTATCAGTATGGACTCCAGTCCTACAATGTCTCCGACTATCAGTACGGAGACCCGGTCAAGCAAGAGCCTGACGCTTCTGTTGGCGATTCGGCGCCGTCAGCATCCACGAAGTATAAGATGTTTGCGGAACCCATGGCGGACTGGATCGTATCATATATTTGGAAAGTTTGCAATAATTCGATTGTTCTTCCAGCTGCAGTTTCTCGCTACACGTACGTTCATATTTCTAGCTGAAATTTTTGAGCAATGTTGACGGAACCCCTACAGTCCTTCGATGAGCGGCCAGCCAGCGCCCACAGCTCCAATGCATTTGTCTGCTGCAGTTCACTCTCTTCTAATGTCAACACTTCTACAACCATCTGCCGTGTTACTCGCGTTGTGGTACATCGCTCGCTTACCAGTATACTTTGGTGGGGTCCCTTTAGGGTTGGAGCAGGTAAAAGAGCGGAGATTTAGAGCGGAACTCCTTGATACTACTGGCGGAATTGACGGGAAAACATTGGAGGCCAATGCCACGTTCAGGCTCATCGTCCTTGGATGTATGCTGGCGAACAAGTGGCTTGATGACCATACCTTCTCCAATAAGACATGGTAAGCCATCACTCACCCGCGGTCCGTGTTCAATCCTAATAATAATTTGTTTCTTCCCGTTAGGCACACTATCTGCAAACTTCCTGTCCATTCGCTAAACAAGCTCGAGTCCCTTGCCCTGGACATTCTCTCCCATGACCTTACAATCTCGCCTGTTAGTTGGCGTCAGTGGCTGGGCCACATGTTCTCGTATCATGTCTCACTTTCACCCCCTTCACACGCCCAACCGATTTCTCGTCCCTCCTCGAATCCTCAATCGATCGTTCGGAGAATCATTGAGGAGATCATGGAAGCACCTCTCTCACACCCCAGTTCAGAGCCCGTCTTCCTTAGCTTCGAGCAGAGGAGTAAGGAGAAGCTCAACGGGCCAGAGACACGTGTCGAAGCGTCCCACGAAGCCTATGACATTGATCTCGATGAGGATGGGCCACTTCGGGAAGAGTATTTACCAAGGCGCCGCGTGAGCAACGGGAGTTCTATGAGCCGACGCACCGCAGAATCAGCTTCGAGGGCTGACGGTGAGCGGAGGGAGCTTCGTGAGTCCGTGACCAGCCACAATGGGACTGCGCTCCCTCCTCCGTCCAAATGGAGCCCAGCAGCTGATGAGCCTCTCCGCCGTGTGGGTGATCGTCCTGCGCTGTACATGCCAGTTCAACCACCGGCGGTGTGTTGGGCCTCTGCCATCGCTTATGTGCCTGCCAAGCCGCCCCCGGATTATTCTAGTGCCTCATATTCCAAACCAGCTCCTTCGAACGATTACTATTACCCGCAATCTGTTATCGTTCAACCGCCCTCGCAGCCGTATTGTACCGCTGATGCATTTTCCGCGCCTAATTCGTCTTACCACGTCGGCTTTGACTACCCGTGCGGCCATGTCCGTATGTCATTCGATGGGACAGGTTACGCCTCTCAGCCGAGGGCACATTGGTCGTCTGCTGAACCATATGGATTCGCTGCCCCTAGAGTCCTCTTTGGTCCTCATCCACCTATCAATTACCAGCCGTCCTGGATTCGTGCTTGAAGATGTGTTTATGAACCAGATGCTCTCGCGCATCATAGATATCAATTTCTTCTGTTTCCGAGCTTTCAACACTACTGCAATCGACTCTGCCGGCACCGCCTACGTGCTGCGCCATAATTTCGCTCTCTATGTCTATCCTTTCGCGGTTGTCAATACTGGATCCTTTTCTCTTTGTCACTGGCACTGTCCTATACAAACACGGTCCCCACGCTTTCAAGACATATCCATCCTGTCTCGGGGACAAATCGCCTGTTCAATCTTGATCTTCATCATTTCGATCGCGTATATTCTTATTTATGCGCATCTGCACTCGCTCTTCTCACTGACTGAAGTTGGTTAGAAGACCGACGATATCCTCGGACTATCTCTGCCATACCGCGTTCATCGATTGAACATTCGCGACCTTCAGTTCACTGTTTCATTGATGTATCCACTTATCATTCTGGTATCCTCATGCTCCCCAACTAATAATAACCTTTCACGACTTTATTTTTTTTCCTGCCTTCGCCTTTGGTGTTTCTTTTGCTACGTTTCTCTCATTCAGTACGCATAACGAAAGCACTCAAAAACATGCAGAAAATCATTAACGATACAAAAACATTTGCTATTCTCTCATTCCCCCATCCGTCCTCCCTTGCTACTATTGTAGCTCCCTTTCACCCTATCTCATTATCCGTTATCCCCCCTTGGTGGCTAGTTTAGCTTTTAGCTTTTCTTTTTCACCTTCATCCATTTCTGTAGGTAACTAGTTATGCGCCCCCCTTTCGTAGCATTCAACAGTCAAGCGTGAAGTGCACATGCCGTACGTACTGGTACTGTATACGTACGCCTCCAATACTTCGCTTTGAATGCTATCATCTAGTATGTTCCCGAATGACAGTGCACAACCGTGTTCAACGTTCAGGAAATCTTCATTCATTCAGACAATTGATACAATATTTGTTGGTCTATGTAGTACACGGGACTTCTTCACTGCTTTCAGATCTTGATGAGGATGAAAGGCACCTATAAAATATCATCAGTAATGACGCCCAAAACAATGGCTCTTGTAACATACTTCGACGTCTTCCATCTCCTCGTCCATGAGCATGACTTCGACCAAGAGGTGCTTGGTGTGTGGCGGGATAGGCTTCTTACTGACGTGCTCTACCAGCTTGCTGAACTTCATAGGCATCCTGTCGGCGCTCTAAAATATTCACGTGAGTAACTACCGCGAGGCTATTCCACCGATCACAAACCTTCTTCTTGTCGGTAAATGAACTCCAGAGCATGCTCACGCCCTGGCTGACCATGCTAACGTCTAAGTTGTGGTTGGTCTTGAACCAAGTGATAAACTCCTTGAGCGTCGGGTCGTTCTTGAACTCCAACCGGTCCCAGAGAGTCCACTCAGTATTTTCGAATTTGTTCTTCTTGGCAGCTATAGGCTCCGAGAATCCGAAGAAAGGGAGAGCGAGATTGACAAAACCGTTCTTGTAGTCCTCTAACTTGTTCTTCCCATCTATGATCTACAAAACGTACACGTCAGCACAACCGTCCAATGAGGATAACAGGCGTCTTGCCTTGTAAAGCTCCAAACAAACCAAACCAACAACGAGCGCAGTGGTGGTGGCGATGGCAGGTATGATTTTGCCTGCTATCTGTTTCGTGGAATGACGATCGGCGACGGTGATGTTATAGTTCATCGCACGGAGGTTTGACGCAGCGGTGATGAGATCGATGTGGTGGTTAGTATCATCATCCTTCTCAAACTCGACAGGAGTGAGACGGTATCCAGCAAGTGACGAAGGAGGCGGCAGCTTCTTGACTAAGTCGGAAATGTTGTCAGGATCTAAGAGGAATCATGCTCTGCAAGCGATAGTGTTAAACTAAGTCAACGCACCAGAAGATGACTGATTGACAGGGTCGCTTTCCGTGATCTGAATCTGTACTCCACTCCTTGGAGAGAACTCGGGAACAATCACGGAGTCCGCAACCTTCTTGAAGACTGCAGGATCGCTCTCTCCTCGGAGGCCATAATTAAAGGCATGGAGATTGGCTGCGGCAATGATGAAAGAGAGATGCGTGGGCTGAGGAAAATAATCAGTGGGTCAAGATCTAGCAATGTGCTGGTTGACATACATCTGAAGAGTTGAACACAAGTGGGTCTGGTGCCCTCTTCGGTCCACTCCAGAACGGCTGGCCTGTACTGGTGACATGATCTTTCGGAAGGCTGTGGAGAAGCTGCCGGATCGCGTTGTTGAACTTCTCCTCAAACTGCAGACGAGCCCAGACAATGCACTCCTCGAAAGTCAAAGGCTTGTTGGTAACCAAGTACGAAACGATCTGTGATATGTGGTCGTGCGATTGGCCCGAGTATTTGAGGGAGTTCTCAAGGTAGTTGGGCTCCGAGAGATATTGATTGACAGATTCCACAGGCTTAACAAACATTGCATCAAACTCTTGCCGAGCCCACTGTATTGTTATGAGGCCGGGCCAGTTGAAAATAGTCAACTTAAAGGCGTACCTCAATCGTGTGTGTAATGGCATTCGGGAAGTTTTTAACTGTGCAAGATAACGTCTGCTTCTCTGGGGGATCTTGCGAAGACGAGTATGACTCGGTAAGATGGGGAATCACAACTTGGGTATTGCCTTTCGTGCCCATGGTACCGGATTCTAGTAGTGGCTTTTCGTACAAGATGCAACGCTGATCCATGTACACACCTACAACGAGTGCGTGTCAGACAAAATTCACAGGAAATAAGAGGAAGCCTTACGTGCAGCGACGTTATCCAATGCATTTGTGACACCATCGAGTCCGGCAAAGAAGTCGTCATCGAAGACATCTCGGGAGAAATTAGATAGGGACAATACAAAAGATGAGAGTGTCGCACTTTCTGTCGCCTGACCAACAGGATCTTGTCTACAGAGAATGTGGCCCTTCAGAGCTGGATTCATGTCTGCAACCGCCGCTGCTGCAACTTCAGATTTAAATTTCCCGAGATCCTTAGCGCGGAAGAGGAATTGACGGTTCAGGTTACTCTTTTCGATGGTGTCTAGGTCAGTGACATGAATCCTACCGTCGACCCCAGTAGCGAGACCCATCATGCTCCAGTTCTTTAACATCTCACACCCAATTGCTCCCGCACCGACGAGGAACTGACGATGATTGGCAAGCTTATCCTGGAAAGACTTGCCAAACACCGCAATCTGTCCATCGTACCGGCTGCCAAGTGGTTGACAATCTTGCTCACTCGGCAGTAGGGATGGCAACGACTCCAATGAATCGAAATATAGCTGCTGGAGCATAGGATGGAACTTTGCGGAGCACGCTTTCAGCACTTCCTGTGCCACGAAGCCACCAATTACAGCTGAGATGGGCGGTAAGTCACCGGTCGCTTGGTATGCCAGCTCTGTGATAATCTTCTCATCGGCATCGGCATCTATTTTCTTCGCCAAAGCCACGAGGGAAGCAGCATCTTTTGCATTTCGGGGTCGAGGTAAACGCTGATGTTGCGCCTGGAATTGGGGCAAAGCTTGGAATCCTGCATGGAGTGTAGCAGGCCTGTCGAACTTGGCGAAGTCTGTCATAAAGAACTCTGGAGCTGCCAGTGACTCTCGCAAGGAATTCTAGAGAGAGAGAAGTGAATTGTAATTTGATGAAGGTGTAGTATAACTTACAAACTCGAGGATTTTGGGCATTTTCACTTGGGTAAAGATGCCACCTCGAACATACTCTCCCAGATCAGAGGTATCACCGATAGTAAACGTGTATGGACCTTTGACTGTTACTTTTCGAGGTTTACAACCATTCAGCTCAGTCATGCCCTGCACTTCAGTGAACGTGACAAAATCGCCATCTTCAAGGCCGTGTCGCGACTCGTCGAGGCACGTTACCAACCCTTCCCTGTCCTGTGTAATTATATGAATACGAACATCATGGTTATAGTCGAGAAGCCTCACTTTATCCACTGACACGATCATCCCTGTGAGAGGTTGCTCGCCAGTAGGATCCACACATGTGAATTTAGGACCAAAGTCGTTGAAGACGGAGCTGACTACGATCAATAACATTGATAAAGGGGGATGCGGCCGTCACCTACCCAAAAAGGCCACGGGTCTCTGCTGAGATAAAGTGAATACTATTCTGGTGCGTCCAGTCGTTGATCTCAAGTTGTTTCTCGAGAGAGACGCCACACAAGACAACAGCCTGGAGAAATTCAACGCCATAATCTGGCTGAGGTGGATGAAGCTTACTTGGAAGGGCCGTATCAAATCAACTGAAATTCCCTGTCCAGCATCTCCTCCGAGATTCCGGACGGGGACATAAGCATTCAGTTCGGCTAAGCGAGGCAGGGTGGCTGCTGCACGCGGCTTTCCGATATCTTCTTCGCGAAGGAAGTACTGTGAACAATGACTCAACGACACGTCTTGTGGCAGTGTGATGGCTAAGCACGCACTTGTGAGCTGAGATCCTGCATGGTGACTGGTTCTGGGTCATACAGCGTGACAGACTTGACTCCCGCCAGACAAACATTCTTGGCTGTAGAATATATGAGAATAAAACGTGTTTGTTGGTGCAAAGGATTACCGATCTCAGCCCCAAGGCCTTGCAAACCGACGATCAGAACATTGGAGGCAGCCATCTTCTTCATAGCTGCGCACATTACTCAGATAACATGAGTTATTTATTAACAATATGACTGACCTTCATGCCCTAGAACGTAGCTGCGGAATCACGTAGGATCGCAGATGAGTGATGCGAGCCACACAGGATGACACCAACACCTACAGTTGACGAGAGTACAAGCCTTCATCAATCGCAGCCTCGTCAACATCCATCTTTGCTGCTAAATTGCTTGCGTCTGCCATAATTAATGTGTGTATGAAGGTAGGTGGTGGTGAAAGATAAGATCGCGAAGCTGAAGAGTATACAAGTTATGCTTGCCGATGACTAAGCACACCTGGACCAATTATGGGGTGACCAGCGAACGCGCTGGGAGGAGTGAGCGGAGCTGATTGGTTGAATTAGTTTCAGGACATGTAGTATTGAGTACCTGCGTGGAAAAGTACGTCTAAAGAGTATGCTGCCAGTGCACCTTCAAGCGCACCGTAACAGCCTCCTCTTGTACGACCCCTATACCCACCCGTGCCTCAGTAGCACCCCATGGCATCCCCCCACACGCGGCTACATATTTGCAGCTCCCACACCTGGCGGCACCACTTGCCCACACACATCCTCCGACGCGGCTAGTCACTAATAAGTACTACTGTTGTCGATGCTTCATCAGTACTACGGTTGCCCTCCCCGTTGCCCTTCGAGTCCATCGCCTGTAATGCGCGTCCCTCCCCCCACAACCCTTTCCACCTGCATGCGCTCCTACACCCGGTTATATATATATATATGCACTGAATATCACGTGCGGTGTCACTGTCTGCTGCCTCGATACTCAAACGCCAAGACTACACTGATCAGTAATGTCGTTAGCAATACCGAGGGCATTCGGCTTGATCGAGCTGCTTCACTGCAAACGAAGTTTGCCAACCATCGCCGGGTATGAGAATAAGCGGCGGTTACATACACAATCATTTATGCGAGGCTTAGTAAGTAGTACATGGCTTGAGCATCCCCAAAACACCGGGTATCATTGGCATAAATCGACTCAATGGTCCACACTTGATTAATAACAAAATACTATTGAATGAAATTCATCTCGAATCTGGTTCAGCTCCCCTTAGCCATTCTGCGCAACACGTTCAACATTGACTGAGGTACGAGGAAACATGATTACCTCTCTAAACCAGAGGAGTCGCCATTGAACTTATCAACGTCAGTGTTGTCTGACGTTCCATATTGCCAAAAGGTGGTGTACCTGCAATTCGTCAGTATCTCAAAATTTTCAAGATAGTTGTTGCAGAAGTACTTACGACCATCCAGCGGGAAGAGTGCCAATGGAAGAGCCGGGATGAGCAATCCAAAGGGGATTCATTGACCCAAAACTAGCGGAATTACCGGTGCAAGATTTCCACCAGTCGGTAGTGGTGTAAATTACTTGAACGAGTTATCAATCATAGCACCAGCATACAAACAATAGCACAACATACCTGGGTACCTGCAAGGATATTCATCAATGTACCATTTCTACCACGGGACATATCAGTTAAACGTACCTGGTGGTCGAAGAGTGGTACGCATCGGAGAAGCTCTTGATCCAAGACACCATTGATGATGCACTTAAGCCATAGCACTCAGAACCACTCGGATTGTCTGCCCCACGTCATCATCATGAACTAGGAGTACTAAAATATTACCTGGACTCACATTCTATGTCAAGCGCCCCAGGGAGGGTGATGCCGTCGGCAGACCAGCCGCCACCATGCTTCAAGAAATACGAAGCTTGCGCAGCACCAGTTGACGAGTCCGGGCGAGCGAAGTGATAACCACCGCGGAATAAGACCAGCATTGGTCGCACCAGTGTATTGAGAGCTGAAGTCGGGATTCAAGTACGCTACCTACCCGTCAGATATTTCCATGCGAGTCAGGCTAGCGGGCTCACTGGTTCCCTCAGTCGCTTTGATGTAGGCAAAAGTGACGCCCTTAGACTTCCAAGAGCTCCAGTCAACGGTACCCTGGTAACTTGAAACGTCGACGCCCAGAGGATCTGAGCGTTTCGTGATGATAGGCTCGGCAAGAGCTGCAGTAATACAGAGCAAGAGTGAGACAAACTTCATGATTATTATGATGCCACCTGGCCTGGCATTTAAATCGTTTGCAGAGTGTCAGTAGGTGCACGCGTCGCCAGGACGTGTGATGCCAAGAGAGTGAATCCACATGGGCTCTGCTGTGTAGGTAAGCCTAAGTGGGCTGGCACGATTACTGATTCATCAATTCGTCGAAAGCGAGCGTTTGCAAGTGCCGTCGCAGAAAAAAGCCACCAATTTCAGTTAGAGAAGAAGATCTGCAAAATGCTAAGTGATCATCGATGCATTCGATCACCTTTGATGCCATGCACGAGTCCATGATTCACAGCGACAAGTCACCACGTGTCTCGCAAGGCTGGGCCTGTCAATAGGAAGTACGGACTGTGACGCCATCTTGCACCGCATCCACCAATTAGCAGTGCCATTGCAGTACGTAGTGTCGCCGCGTTGTCGCAAACTTGGCAAGAATTCATTAGGGTGATGGTTATTGTTGTCCTGCTTCGTCGCATCACGATGTCTGCCTACTAGGGAGACTAGTCCTGTGTTGCATTTCGAAGACGTCAAGTTTAGAACTCGGATCTCGTGAACAATTTAATTAACCACGCGGTGAATAAAGGGAAATCGCCACGGATTGGTGAGCGGCAATATACTTGATCTCAAGAGTACATACATACCTAGTGAGTATAACTTAGTTCTTACTGTCGACTGCAGAATGGAGTGGAGGAAGCGATTCGAGCGAATGCAGCCTAGACTAATGCCTAGTACGCTGAACGTGATTTCCAAATTACATAAAAGTCGCAAATCCGGTCACATTAGAGAAGACGGACGCAATGTGGAATAATAATACGGTATCAGAACGAACTATAGACACAGCAAATGTGAACAAATCATCGATTGTAGCGAGATTGTAGCAATGTGTGGAAAGTCAAGGTGCGCGAGAGACGTATAGTAGACGCAAAAAAAGTAAGAAGCACTATCTACCATCCAGGATAGGCCTCACATTGGCCGAAGCCGACACGCTGACGTTGGGCTTGACAGAAGCGGCAGAAGGGTGCGCATGCCAATATGTGGTGCCAACGATTTCATTAACATCCACCACGGTAAGCCATACACGACAGAGAAGACAAAGCACACTGAGGGCGATGGGAAAGCGAGGGGAAGCATAGAGAGGAGACGCATTCGACAAAGCAGTTGTGACGTTTTATCCAAGAATGGTCTGGCAAGGGCCATAACGACCTACAGTATGGGCGAAATGCGCACCGATGGTGCTCAAAGGACCGCCAACTGCAGCACCCCAGGTGCCTTGGGTAATTAATTCCAGTAAATCCAGCGCCGTCGTGGGCTGCCTCAATTCATGTACAAAATTGTGACTGCCCGGGGCAATACCCATCGTGCGAGGGTTCCTTTTGACGATGGGATCTGCCTCAGGACACCAGTCACTCATACGAGAGTTCTTGTTGACGACGGGGTCGGCCTGGGGACACCAGTCACTGGGGTCCGGAAGACAGGTCAAAGGTTTGACAGGAGTGGGTACATGAATCACAGGAAGTTCCTGGTGGGGAGTTGCTGCAGTCTTTTTCTTGCGACCGCGGTATCGCATGAAGGTCGTGTTAACCTCTGTAGCCTCATTGATAGCGAGTACGTCATCGAGAATGCGAAGTATGATGGCGCTATTATCACCAGCGAGACCGCTAGACGGGGCACGAAGCCCAAGTATCCAGCCATGTAATGCAGACCTTGGGATGTTCACAACATAGTCGAGAGACATCAGGGCAGTCTTCTCAACATTGGTGAGGGTGGAGGAAGGAATTGCGGTTGTCTTTTCCCTAGATTGGGGTTCAGCTGTCACATCGTTAGATAGAATGAAGCCACGCACCATGTCTTACTGGCGAGGCAACAGTCGTTGACCCATTTGTCCGCCAGTCTTGCAACGATGACGAACGCGGAGAAGAGAAGCTCATCCAAAGTTGCCACGCCACAACAGTAGAGATGGTTGAAGATTGACACTCCTAGGAAATCGCTCCCATGACCCATGTCCTTAGTGGTAATCTTGGAGATGTACCATAACGCATGAATGACAACGACTTGAGGGTTGCTGACGGATTCGAGAATGAATCGAATACGAGTGCCGACAATGGAGGTCACGTAGTTTCGACCATCGAATTGCCTGCTCATTCAATAAATAATCACGTCAAATGCCTTGCCAAGTAATGACTCACGGGTCGGGGAACACTTCGTCTGCGCGAGCTTTGATAGCCAGCGAATACATGAAATGCGCGGACAGGCTAGAAAACGCAGTTGCGATGCCATTACGATCGGGGGTCTGGGGCGCTACAACCCAAGGGATAGCGCCGCTACCTGAACGTTCAGAAACGGCGGAGGAAGCGGTGACGACCGTGGCGACACCATCCGAACCGCACTGGGAGAAAAGACCCTGTGTCCCACTTCTCCCTTCGGAAACGCCAGAGGAAGCAGTCTGGGAAACATAACCAGGACGAGCCACCGAAGGAGGAATGACATGACCGAGACCGGGCGGGACCATGGGCACTGAGTTCCTCAGTGCGACATCCTTGGCAAAGCCGCGTGTGTGAGGCTTCGCGCGTGATGGCTGTGACTTGTTGGTCATGTCAGACAGACAGTGACCGAGCGAGTATGAGGCCGCGCTTCCACAGGAAGCGCTCACAAAGTTGCCGTGAGCAACTTTCAAGGAACTGTCAGCAGCAAAAGTGAATAGTCCAAGCTTTTGTAGCTCCGTCTGGGTTGAGCACGCTGTTACGTCGTGTGGGAGTGCCGCAGTTTCTTGCACGAGGTAGGCGTGACCAACGAAGTGGAAACGTGTCGAACGTGAATGGGCCAAGGGGTCCATCATGCCAGTGGTACCGAGCGAATGTGGGGCCGCGATCATCATATTTCCGGTGTCGAAGATCGGTGGCGCAAGGGCGTCTGCGTCAGGGGAACAAGCCCATATGGGCTTTCTGAAATATGGGGTATAGTGAGTTGGGCGTGTCGTAGAGTGCGTTGAAGGGAGAGAATCTCTGGTAACAAACATTATGGTGAATGTTATGAACAAGGATGATGATTGCTGGTTATGGGAGTCTAGATGAATGCTACAGACCCAAGGAGATCTGGGGCGCCTTTTTGTAGCGCATCCCTCCCTCAACAGGGCAACCCGCACATGCGGCGTGAATACCTACTCAAGTTGTTCAAGCTGCTTTGACTTCCGATTATGGTTGTGGCGCTCTCGACAGGACTGTGGACAAAGCCAAAGCGAGCGGTGCTCACCGCCGCCACAACGATTTGGAGGTCAAGTTAGCACAATGAGATTGTGGACTAAAAATTCCATCCACTGAAAGCGCAATGACCCCGTCGGGACAAAGACAGTTTAAGTGGCAAAGAGACAACTCGAGGTCGACAACTGGTTGGACCTCCATTAGTTCGTGCTGCACAACTTGATCGTTTCCAAAAATGGACTGTTGTCAAGAAACACGTTTATCAACTTACGCGAGAAAAGTTGTTTTGTTGTAGTGGCTGTGACCAAGAAGATAGTTCACAAAGGGCTGTTTGTTACGAACGTCTTCTTGGAAACTTGTCCACCGAGGACTAGTCGAGTGGCGAGTTCAGAGTCGGAAGAGAAACATAAACAAATAACATTACATTAAGGAAATTGCAGGAACGATACATATGCCACTACAGGCTCGAGATCGTCTACTTCCGATAGAACTGCGGCACTAAATGAGCGCTGTATACAAGAACTAGTTGTAGAAGAACTTACATTGCGACGGAAATTGAACCAAAGTGACAGACATCCTCTATCAAAACTACTTCGGAAGCCCCTATGCCAGCACGTTCAGTGTCGGCAAAGAAAAGCCAGAACGCGAGGCTGCTCACCGTTTATGTGAAAACTCCCACTCCCGGTTGACGATCCTGAAAGCAATGTCTTCATATGGAGGCCCAGCGCTGAAATGCAGCAGCACGGTGTCCTCATTCCCGGGTTCCCTGACGATTTTGTACGTAGGGGCTTTTGATTTGTCAATCAGATCCGGGTAGAAGATGTTAAACTGAAGTATAGACGTGAGTTAGCAGGCAGTTTTAGGGTGATTGATTCATACTTTATAGCCCTGAACGACCTTCGGAGGTGGGTTGTCGACGCTAATTAATGGTGTCAGGACAATGTCAATGAAAGGCGATAGAGAACGCACTCGTAGTGAGTCTGATTGTACTTATTCCACTCGTAGCCAGTATGCACGCGGTTGAAGTATCTGGGTTTCCGAGGTCGGTATTTGTCCTCCCAGTTGTATGACGTAGGATTTGCAATATTCTCCTCGAGGTTGAAGAGCTCCTCCTCCTCGTCAAGTTCTCTCTCTGCCTCAGCCCTGTACAAAGCTTCGGACGCGAGGTCAGCGCCGCTTGCAATTTCTGGAGCTTCCACTTCAACCATAGGTTGAGCAGCCTTGGGCACGAAGCGCGAGGCAGCGACCGTACGGCGTTGTCTCAGCTGTTCAACAATAAGCAAGATTTCGACCAACACAAAAATTCATGCCTACCAAAGCACGAAGGTCGTCAAGCTCTGTCACTATATCAATCTCACGTTCATCTTCCGAGAACTTCCTGATGTCTATCAGTGGTGGACTCATAGACCTGTCGTAAGGTTCCATATCCTCCAGGGTGTCTGCTTCCGCTGTAGTCGCAGGTGCAACATAATGCGCGTCCTTCAGCCCTTGGGTTGCTGAACGAGCAACACCAGCCAGAAGCTCCTCCTGTGCGTGGAGAGCCTCGTCGCGCTGGCGCTTCCGTAACTGCTCAAGCCGATTGCGAACAACGACTTCGTGCAAGCTTTTCAACTTTGCCTGTCATTAAAAATTCAGTTGCAGTACCATACTCCAAGAAGAGGCATACCTTTGCCTTCCAAACGAGCAGTTTCTTGAGCAGCCCTTCCCAGTAGTCCGTATCAATAGGTTCGCCGCTTGCCAGCTTTGCTTGGATTTGTTTTTGAAGCGTTGCAAGATGCTCATAGCTTTTACCCGATAAAAGTGCTGTGATTTCTGTTTCGACAGCCACTGCTGCTTCTACCCCCATGCGTTCACTTGCTTTGATTCTGTCGATACGATCTTTGCATACCACCATCATATTCTAAGGAACATAATCAGCTGAGGCAAAAACAATAGATGTTACTAGCATACCGTCCAGAAGTCAATGTCCACATCAGAGGTCTCAAGCGAGAGGTAACGTTCAATATCATCATGAAGCTCGTCAATTTGGTCAGGCGAAAGATTCTGTGGGGGCAGTTAGTTGCATGCATCAACTTTCGAGGTCTCATATACGTACGTCGAGAATGTTGTATGGTTCGTCAAGGTCGATTTCGAGCCCGGCATCATCCTCGTCATGATCTTCGTCAAGCGGATGCGCATACTTCAAGTTCAAAGCCAAGAAATCGATAGCTTTTGCCCTCTTTTCTCGTATGCGAATGGCAGCCCGACTTCGCTCCTGCTCGAGCTGAAACTCCCCATCCTTCGCTATCCATTCCGACATCTGCGCAGACTCCGCCATTCTTGCCATACGCGACTCTTCCTCCTCCCGCAGGCGTTGCTCCGCTTCCCTTTCCGCTCTGCGTCTGTTCAACCTCTCGAGCTCCTCCTTAGCCTCTTGCCTTCGAATTGCATCCTTACGCTGTGCCTCCGCAAGGGACAGACCTTGCTTACGGTCTTTCTCATTCTTTTTGTGCCAGCGGAACTGCTGCCCAAGGTTGACGTCGTGGAAGGGATTATCGGTTGCGCTATACACACTGAGTTCAGCAACCTGGCGAGCTTCTTCCTCTTCCTTTATGCGCATTTTCTCTGCTTTTCGGGCTCTGCGCTCCTCGGACTTGTCGCGCTTGCGTCTGCTTCAGGTTAGTGGGTCATCGACGTGAATGGAAACCAAATACGCACTTCTTATCCTTGCGATCTTCATCTCTGCCCCTACTATCACTTCGCTCTCTTTGTCGGCGTGGGCGGTCCTCGTCACGATCCCGGCTCCGGCTGCGCCGCCGCTTCCTGTGGTCGTCTGGAGTGTCCCTTCTAGAAGTGCGCTTCTCGTCTTTGGCACGGTCTCCATCACTTGCCGGCGCTCTACGTGAAGGGCTCCTGTGACTTTGTTCTCTTTCACGGTTGTAGGAGCGAGAGCTGTGATGGTCCATCCTTGCAAGTTCCACAATAGCTGGAGCCAAGTTTCTGTATCGACTCGGAAAGGCTTGGAGTACGGTGTTTGACGTTATTTACGCAGACCTGATCCGGCTAGGCAGTGTAGCGTAAGTTCCTTGTGATGACATTCTGTGTCCATTGTCGATATTGTGTCATTATTTCTTGAACTCTCACCTCCCTAGGTCGCAAAGTTGTATAGTAGCGGGTACGAGCGCTGATTTTACTGACTACCAGGAGCCATGCTATCGAGGCTCACGCATACTTGGCGAGTTCACACCTGGCAAGTGCGCTCCTTGCGGGTTCTCTCCCGCAATCTTCAGACGCAGGCACGGTACGAGTATGCCTCGCGTGATGACCAGGACGACAGTTCGTTTCTGCCACGATCTGGACTTGCGACGCCACGACAGGTAATAGCTACTCCTCACGGTCATTAGGCCAGAAGAGAGACTTACGGCTTGTTACTGGCAGCTTGTACGATACCTCGATGAATATGTAATTGGGCAAGATATCGCGAAGAAGGTGCTTTCCGTTGCGTGAGCATCCATACGTATTGTTCTGCACCATGTGTAACTGAGGCGGTGGGAAGTGTATTCAACCACTACACCCGTGTTCGCGCAAATCTTGCTGCGTTTGGCGATGAGAACGATGCGGACCCATGGGCAGAAGCAAAAGAGGATGATTGTGTGTGCCGTTCACACTGTTTTATCAGCCAGAGAGGATGCTAATGAACGCAGCACACTCGAGCGTGTCGCCTGCACACCTGCATCCTCACCTCCAGCGTGTCCTCCCGCACCAATTACCCCTTCAACCTCGACAACCAGTCTCGTTATTTGAGAAAAGCAATGTATTGGTTATGTATGCAAAAACTTCACATTCAAGTATGCCCTGCTCACCAAACATTCACTACTACAGAGGACCAACAGGATCGGGGAAGACCTTACTCGCGCGTACACTTGCACGCGTCCTTGACGTTCCATTTTCCGTCAGTGACGCAACATCTTTCACGCAGGTGCGATTCTTTTCACTGCTATTTCAAGCTTCTCGCTCCTTACCACGCCGAACCAGGCCGGTTGTGAGTCCATCCGCTCGCCCCGCTTGAAGGCTAGCTGATGTCTCCCCAGATGTAGGAGAGGATGTTGACATGTGCATACAACGATTGGTACGCACATATAAGCTGAAGCCGTGTGGACAGTCTCATGATATACTACCTAGCTGCAAGCAGCCAATTGGGACTCGTATCGCGCCAGGTAACTCTTTGGTTCACCCTGTCCATACTGATTTCCTCTTTTCGTCCCTGTCTATCCCGCCTTCTTATACCACTTATAGCACAGGTATTGTCTACATTGACGAGGTCGATAAGATCGCACGAAAATCTTCATCTACCACTGAGAGTTCGCGAGACGTCGGTGGAGAGGGAGTGCAACAAGCTCTTTTGCGAATGATGGAGGGTGCCGTCGTCACTGTGCAAGGGAAGCCCGCGCCATTGGATCCCCCAGCACCTACGGCGCGAGGGCGGGGCTCCCCAGCTGTTGCTCAGCGTAAGTCTCATCAGAACGTATAGTACGCGTGAGATGTGCTGATGTGTCAGACAGAGAGGCCCGATACGTATCACATTGACACTTCAAATGTGCTCTTTATACTTAGCGGTGCGTTCGTGGGACTTGATACCGTCGTGAAGCGGCGGGTGAGCAAAGGAGTATGTGTCTCGATTTATTTATTCTAACTCTTACTCATTGACTCTATCGCACGTGTAGTCCATTGGTTTCACTGCAAACCTCGCACCCAAGGATGAAGACTCAGATAGCAAGGGTTTCATGCCGTTCTTCACATCAAACCGTCGATCATCAGAAAACTTACTAGAGATGATAGAACCCGCTGGTAAGTCATGTTGTTCGACACCTCTTCCAAACACCAACCATGGGCTTTCAGATCTTGTTAAATATGGGTAACTCTCTTGTCGTATGTTGTGGTGAAATTTCGAATTCATTTTATCCGCAGTTTTATTCCCGAATTTATCTCTCGCCTCCCAACCATAACTACTTTATCCCCGCTAAGCACCCAGGATTTACGACGCATTCTAACCGACGTCCGTGGATCACTTATTAGCCAGTACACCGCGCTCTTCGGGTACTCGGGCGTGGAAATTAGGTTTACAACAGCTTCGATTGACCAAATTTGTTTGCGAGCTGTCGAACGAGGTGGAGGGGCGCGAGGGCTGAGGGGAATCATGGTAACGTGTTAATCTGGGAAGTTCATCGGTGTACTGATGAAATACAGGAATCGTTACTGTTGGATGCGATGTATGAAGTACCGTGAGTTCTAATTCTCTTACTCTTGCGTGACTTTATTGACCCTTTTTGGGGCTCTCCCAGTGGATCGGTGTGATGTTTCTTTTCCTGACTGCTACCCGCGTTAATGATGTCTAAGAACGTTCGTTATGTTCTGATAACGGAAGATGTGGTGCTATGCAAGTCGCCAGCTCTTTACTGGATGCGTGGAGACGGTCCGGCGTTCTGGGCGGCCTGGGCGGACGAGGAGCAGCGAGCGGAAAGGCATCAGGTGTAGGTGCGTATATCCGGCACAGCGGATTTAGAACATCTGCTTGCTCGATTAACGTGGTGAGAGGCATATCACTTTTGGAATGTATGTATCATAGGACTCAGGATTCATCTGGGACTCTTCAAAGCCTTCATCTTTCTGCTATGGATCTCGATTTCAGCACATACGGTCGCAAGACGCGCGAACAGGACCAGAGATGATGTCCATGTCCACTGAAATGAAGGTGGCGAACTATCTCCTGTCGTGATACATGAGCTCTTTCCAGTACATGTCGGATGGATTTCGTAAGCCAGGGTAGGTAAGTAATCTACACTACTTGGTCAGATGAAACGGCAGGGGCGGCGGTGTCCCGGAGGCACTCATGAAAGCAAATTGACGGATAGACGTCACAAAAGGAAGGAGGCTTTAAGGAGAGACGGAAGAGTCGTTTCGTGGGGTACATCATTCTTCCTTCTTCTCTACCGGCGATTCCTCTTCCTTCTCGGTCGCCTCTTCCTTTTTCTCTGTTTCCTCTGCCGCAGGTTCCTCAGCAGTCTTCTCATCAGGTTTCTTCTCATCAAGAGACGTGCCGCTGTTTATCTTCTGTGTCAACTCGAATTGACGCTTGAACTCATTTGCATTATCAGAGTTCGCGAAGCGGATGGCTAGGGTTTCAGCGGTTGGGGGTTCTTCAGTGTAGTCAGCAGCAACTTTCCAAACCCAGCTCCTGTCAGAGCCAATATTGGGCTGAAGGCGCATTTCTGCAGAAACTTTTTTCACGACATTAGCAGAATCAAGGAAGACAGAAAATCAAACTAACTGTGGTGGTTGGCGCAAACTTTGAGGGTCTTGTCGCGTCTCATTACGAGACGGACCTTATTTGTCTCCTTGTGCTGAAGAAGTTTCACATCGCCAGTGCCGCGCTCCTTCCACTCGTTTAAGCCGTTGTCAAATCGGAAGAGCTTCGCTCGCCTGCACAAACGTTAAATGATGGTAGTCCGTGGGTCAAGGGGTACGAGAACGCACATCTTGAACAGCACATCCTCATCTTCCTCGTTGGTCTTTACCTCCACTTGTTCTGTGAGCTTGATAACAGGCTCGAAATGAGGATCAATCTCTTCGCCCTCTGGCTGATTACATCGCGCCACAGTACCGCAGCTCATCAGTCGTGAATCATGCTGGACTGGTCTCGTGCAAGAGACTCACCTTTGGTGCGAGCGCATCAGAAGTATCTGCCATTGTGATTATTCGTTGTGCGTCTAGGTAATCTGGTTTGTGAGTAGACAGAACGGTTGCTGCGATTACGATTACGAGCAAGATCACAAAGAATACCCAAGAACTTTGCAGAGATACTGATTTGATTTCTTATCGGGACCCCGAGGACTCTAATGATCAGTAGGTGTCCAGGGGCCTTGTTAGTTTCCTAATTTGGACAGAGCGTTCTCGACACGCACCTTTTGCTCAACTGCTTACCGCACAACTTTCAAAATGACACTACTCTCGCGGCGACATACGCCATGGCTTATCCTCTCGATACTGTCCTTAATCTCTCTTGCTTCCGCCCACATGATTGAAATTACAGCCTCAAGAAAAGAGTGCTTCTTTGAGGACCTACACGAACATGACCAAATGACAGTCACATACCAAGTTGGAGAGGGCGGGCACCTCGACATTGACTTCTGGGTACGCCTTTCATACTGATATTGGGTATATTCTGGGGTGAATTTACTGACGCCATGCACATAGTTAACAGACCCAGAAAACAATGTTCTCGCTAAGCACATCCGTGAAAGCACTGGCACAACGTCCATAACAGCTGAGAAGGATGGCCGTCACGAGTACTGCTTTTCGAACCAGATGAGCACAGTTGCGGACAAGATGGTTAGGTGTGCCTTTTTTCTCGCGCAGCTCCCCGGTATCTATGCTGATGTGGGTGTGCTTAGCTTCAACGTTCACGGTATCATATACGTGTCCGAAGAAGGTGAGTATGACTGTCTTCAGCCCTGCCTGCCAGTCTATGCTGACTTTTCTTTTTCTCTTGCAGCAGATGTCACTGCTCCCGTTGAACGCGAGATCCGCTCCCTAGCGATAGGCCTCACATCCGTCAAGGACGAACAAGAATACATTGTCGTCCGTGAGCGCACGCATCGGGACACAGCAGAAAGCACCTGCGACCGTGTGAAATGGTGGTCTGTGCTTCAAGCACTTGTGCTGTTCGCGGTAGTTGCGTGGCAGGTGTACTACCTTAAGGTGTGTTGAAATTTCCCGTTTGCTGGCTTCGGTACGCTAATCGGCGACTATAGAGCTTCTTCGAAGTAAAGCGCGTTATATAGTGCATGGACTATGGAACATAATGTATCCGCTTCTACTACCTTAGAATCTGTCTGACAATGATGACATTCTAAATCCAAGAGAGGGATGATATGTAACATCGAGTACTAATTGTTTAGCGCTCGATAGTCCTTATGGTCGACAGAAAAATACAAGCGTCTAGTGATGGCGCATGAGACATCCCATGACTCCTGAGTTGAGTAATAGTCGGCACAAAACTCTTGACAAAACCCACTGTCCTCCGTGTGCTTATACGATACAGATGGTTCTTGAGTAGTCATTTCAATGACTTCCCTGGCAGGGCGACGTTGATTATACAGACAACAGAATAGCAGGTATACATAGATCAATGTAGAGTAACATAATGTCGGGTAACATGCGAGGAGGATATGTGCAAGTGCAATATGGACCCCTCCGACAACAAATGATGAATGAGACAACACAGGTATAGCGAGACATAGCGAGTATAGTAGGCATTGGTGATTCGTGATATTCGTCATGATAGCACAAGGAGCGATGTCCGTGTAATGCACAGACAATGCTGAAGAAAATACAAAAGAGGCAAGTACTGCCACTCCATCTAATGAACAGAAAAATAAGAGGTTGGTTACTCATCTCCATGAAGGCCTTGAAGACGGTCTCATGCTCGAATCAGGCAGAGCACTCAGGTCCGCACTGATATTAGCACTCGTATCACTGCTGGGTACTGCGAGGGTTGACATCAGATTGGGTCCCTTCACCCGCAAGGACCTTGATGCATTGGCAAGAAGGGAAAGTCTCTTTGGCCGCTTCGCAGGTGAACGCCCGATTGTTTCTACTCGTCTGGACCCATTCGTGAACTCGTGTAATGGAGGGTCTTCCGAGGGCTGGAGGATCATGCTAGATCGTCTCCTTGCCTTCTCGCTACGCATGGGACCAATGTTCGAGCGCCGTCGGGAGCTCTTGGATTGTGTTGTTGCACGGGGGGTTGATGTAGGCAGGCGTCGTGTTGGACTCCCATCACGTTTTGAAATGTGCAGCTCCTCCATATCTTGCCCGTTCATGCTGCGGTCTGAGAGTGGTGATGCATGCCGCATTGGGGAGTCTTCCTCTGCCTCCTGAAGACAGCCGAGTGACGATGCGCCTTTCACTTTCAGGAAGCTCGGGTCAAGACGGCTTGCTCGTGGGCGCTTGCTTGTGCCTAAGTGAAGGCTCATGGAAGAACTGAACCTTGCCGACGATGAAGACGATGATGCAGGAAGCATGACGTTGCTCAGGTTGACACTGTCTTCTGTCCGCTCGTCTTCCCATTCGCTCTCGGATCCAGCAACAGAATGACTACGTCCATCAACACTTTCGCTGCTATCGCTGGACGTAACGAGAACAACAGGAGCGGATGGGTTGTTTCCGCCATCATCCAGTGCACCTTGTCCGGCTTCGTCTTTCCACTGCACGACCTTCTTCTCTTTCTCTTTCTCCTCCTTATCGGACGCGCGGCGGTAGGGTTGGCCAATACTGGAGCGCAGGGAGCGTCGCGGAGATTTGTATGACCGCCGTGGAGGTGAAGCGACAGCATTGTAAGACATGGACTTTCTCTTGGCAGGCTGCGGCAGTGCCGAACCTGATGGCACCCGGAACGTATCAAAGGCACCTGTTCCCTGAGCGGCATATGCCGCCGTTGTTTGTCCAACCAATGCAGCAAGTGCGTCATCATTTTTCTGCGCCACGCCGCGAAGTGCAGATGCCATTCCCTCCGAGCCATGCTGGGCTTCTAGAGAACGAGCCGTCTCTCCTAGTACAACTGTGCACCGACCGACCATACCCAGGAGGCTGATTATCATCTCCGACTGAGCGCGCACCGACTCCCGGACTGCGTCACGCTCTGCTTCGGCTCGTACACGCTCGATCTCTGCCTTGCGGCAGCGTGCGGCTGTCTTGATACAGTCCACGTGCAACTCCTCTAGTTTGTCGGATCGGCGCTCGGAGACTGCGCGCAAGGTCGCCTCAAACATATTACGGGAGTTTTGTGACCGAGTGAGACGAGTTACAAGGGGGGAATTAGGAGTTGTTACGGATTCTTCAAGGCGAGCGAGAGATGTGAGAAGGGCACGCTCCGCTTCGAGATCAGAGGAAAGCGGGAGAGATGAAGAGGCCGTTGCGTTGATCTGTGCGAGCCGAGAACGGATAATCGCAAGTTTCATCTCTGCTACCGAGATCTTTCCAGCGCACGAGGCGCCTTCAACTATACTCGCCTGAGTCTGCTCCATCTTATCTTGCATATCTCGCCTAGAGCGATCAACCTCGGCAGCAGCCTCTCCTCTCTTGCGCTTGAGAATGTCGTTGTCAAAGCTGAGCTTGCCAGAAAGTTTCGCTTTGAGTTCGGCAACTTCGAGATTGAGTCTATTGATAGCCTCAACGTATTGGCCTACGTGTCTGTCGACATTGACGACGTTACGGGTGACAACTTTGGTCTTGATTTTAGTTGCACGTTCGGCATAAAGTAGGGTGTTGTGCGTATCATCGAAGTGTTGCGAGGTAGGTGCAATACAGACGACCATGACGGTCTTACAGTTCCCACCAAGTGAGAATTTTAGCAGTCGGGTAAGTTTGCTGTTGCGATAAGGTACATGGCGGACAGCGCCGCCACTCTCACAGAGTGCGTTAATGCAGTTGCCCAGCGCGAGAAGTGATTTGTTAATATTAGCACCTTCAACCATGCGCTGTCCCATATTGGTCGTCGCTGCAGCGCGCTCACTACCAGCAAGATCAATAATGGAGAGCGTCGCCATCGTGCGCTGCTCAGTCAGAGAAGCCGTGCGAGGCGCTTGAGTAACATGCACTTGAAGGACGGCGTGCGATCGGGATGATGTCTCGTTCGCGTGGGTTGGGGATTGTGTCCTCCGCGAGTTGCCTTGGAGAACGATCTGCTTGACTTCCTCTGCGCTCGTGGGATGGAGCTCGACGAGGCCGACGACCTTGACGGATTTATCCTCGCGGATTTGCAGACCGCCTCGTGGTGTGGGCATGCCAGGCTCGGCGAGGAGATCTCGGATCTCTTCATTGTAGATTTCGAGAAACGTAGCAACGACTTCTATGTTCCAGTCATCCTTTCGATCATCGATGCGTTGGAAGAGGTCCGCCATAGTGAGGTAGATAATACCAGGATCTGCTTCAGTCCCACTGATGGTATGTGTTTTGCCACACCCCGTTGCCTATGCAGCATCGTCAAAACTTACTCGACAGTTGTCAAGAGAATTTCACATACCCCATAGGCAAACACGGTAGCATTGTAACCGTCCAAAAGGCCATTTAATAGTGGCTTCGCGGTGGCTTCATAGACGTCAACCTGTCTTGCCCCGCTATCGAATACTCGATCAAACATGAATCTCTTGTCCTTGTATCTCTTTGTCCCAGGGGGCACAAACCCACGCTCGACGAATGCACGCGCCCTATCTCTCTCCTCTGGGTCAAATGTAAGGATGCGGTCATCGACGATCTGCACGATGTCGCGAAGTGGTGCTGACTGAGTTAAAGGTCTTCCTGGTGTTGCAAGAGTGCCATCACCGCGAATTGTAGTATCATAAGAGGGCTCTGGGAGACGTGCAGCTTCCCATGATGTTGGAGGTCTGACACGGACTGGGCGGTGTTGAATTCATGAGGAGCAGGTCACATCAAAGAAGTAGCTCACCCGCAACAGTGATGGAGCCAGCGGCAACCATGACTTGATTAGGGACGGTCAGACTGTGTAGAAACAAAGTAGGTGGTTGCCGCTGTATGCAATCGCGACGAAAGATGTTAGCTCGACGTAGCAAGCGAGTAGGAATGGAGTATAGATGTAGGAGTTTAAATGCCGGATGCCTGGTTTTGTTCAAAAATCAACTTGAGGCGCGCGTCCAATAATACGATCACGTGATCGTGCTCGGCGTGACTTAAGTTTCACCGGAGCGCTGAGCTGCGGCAAATCTAGAGCAGTGAACTTATGGCGGCCAACAGTACAAACGGCTTGATTTAAACACACGAAATATCTCACTATTGAGGTCCCACTTCGTTATATAATATGTCAAACTTGTTTTGAGCAGGAGGCTATTGCAATGAGATTAAGTATGTGCAAGAACCGGCGAATCCGCGTTGTTTCACCACCAAAGTCACGGTGAGCACCGAGATCTACCAGTTCGGTGGTCATGATATCATTACTCGTCGCATGGTCGGCTGTGATGCCAAGGATCTGCGAGAACATGAAATATACATAGTACATTAATATGCATCATAGGAAGGTACGATACACGCGGCTCGTTGTTATTGGATGAAGTTCTGTGACTCACAAGCTTGATATCATGGGTTTTCGGCTCCGTGGTGGATTATTGAAGCAAACATGGACCCCCGTTTGATTGCCAAATCCAGTGTCGTGTGGCACCAACCAATGTCCAAGGATGGGTTGCAGTGGTGAGAATTTGCGCAAAAGAAAGCACGTCCTGGTGTAGGCTCACTGTGACATTGGTTAACATTACAAAGTTCCTTGGTCTAAGAGCCTGCAGAGCAACTTTCACGTCTGCGGCGTTCATGTCCACAGCATGGCGACGTGACAGTCATGAACTTCCATATGCAATAGAGCCTTCTAACACGGCTGCGGTGGGGTGTTCATTTGTAGGCCATGACGTAGTGTTAAAGACCCTATAGGGCGTCATCCTGTGGCAAGTACTGGGTATTGCACCCAGAAGCACATTGCTTCTACGAAACTAGCTATCCGTTCACTGGCCGTCTGTGAACAGGCGTTCCCAAAAGCTGTAGCGACGTATCGTGCTGCGAAGGGCAATCGAATGAGTGGATCTCCTTGGTCAGCAGTAACATACCAATTTCTGTACAGCACTCACGAAGTCGTTCGACGAGCCAACGGTGCATGTTGAACAACTTCCCTAGACACGAGGGTACTGGTTTGCAAAGTTAAGGGAGCCGTCACGCACGCGTCCGGTGCATGACTCAGAATACGTGGACACACCTCGAGGGTGCTAGCTGAAGCGGCTTCCATGTTGACGGGTACGAACAGGTGAGATGCAGTCTTGCCAAGTTCCCGACGTGGCTTTGATCCAAATAGGTGGAACTCGAGACGCCTTTGACGACCGTTGTTATTGAATAACATTGATGATGCACCCACGAGGCTAACTTGGAGCCGACACTGCAAGATTGTGGCATTGGGTGCATGTATGCCCGAAAGGTTGCCTGTCGACAGAAAGCCCAGGAAATGGTCGAGGCAGTACCTCCAACCGGCAGTGCAAGCTGTGACGCTGAATAGTACTCCGCGGGTGAAGAGCAGTGTTCAATCGGAACTCGCAGCTGCACAGCGGTCCACTGTGGTCATGAATGATCTCCTGAATGAAAAAAAAATCGTCATCGATGGTGTCACTGTCTTCGTACTCGTGTCGGGGCTCAACGAGACCTGTTAGAGCTGTGGAGGCTGCATGGCCATGAGAGCAAGGCCGGCGAACTCGAAGAAACCAACGTGACCTTAGCGCTGAGCTTCTAGCCCTGCCATGAAAGGATCAATAAAAGACACTGGGGAGCCAATGTTTCCAAACAATATCCTCCTCACTGTAAATTTAGGCTCTCGTCGTGTGACCAGATCAATTCCTTGTCAAAAGAATCAAGGTGATAACAACTCTTTGATACAGTCATAATCGTAATGATGGTCGGGTTCAACATTGGAGCCGATCTACCTGCTTCAGGTCAGTTCAAAATCTTGGTAAACCGCCTACAACTGACTGGCTCGTTAGACAAAAATAAAGCTCTGCCACGATCTCCGTCGCAGTCAACTCGTAGACTCGGAGATACCGAGGCGATTCTATTGTATTACAAGTCTGCTACAGATAATGGAGCAATGTCGGACGTCAGTCTAGCTCCCAGTTCACGACCTTCATCTACCTTTGTTTCCCCAACTGCGTTTCATTCTCGTTCAATCTCGTCGACGTCTATTACTACTCAAATTTCTACTTCTTCCTCCGCTTACTCTTCCGAATCCTCGAAGGCACGTCCGACTGCTCCAAGCGCGTATAAACCTCCTCACCCACGACCTATCTCGCCACTTGGTTTGAACGGAGCGACACGTCGCCCAAGTATACCGTCTGAAGGTGGCGCAGACAGACGGCGCATTGCCATTGTCGAGATGGGCACGCATTTTGGCGAATCCCCGAAAAGTGATACCTGCAGGAGCAGTTCTCCTTCGAGCGACTTATGTTCTCGACGCCAGCTAAGCGGTCTCGCCCTTGTTGCACCACCGGATGCATCGCTACGAACGTGTGTCGGTTCTACCTATTCACTCACTTCGCCCCAGCCTCCATCCTCGAGCACTGCACCCTCTCACGTGCGTTCATCGTCAGAGACTGTCGGAGTCTCTGGACGAGATATGAAGCACACTCGTAAATTATCGCGCGAGGTGGCTGTCATAGGCACAACCTCTCGTCCAACCAAACCATCAGAGCCGTATATACAGGGCTATTCATCCCCTGTCACAGAAGCACTCAAGCCACCCCTATTCCAAAAGCCCCAATCCCGTTCACCTTCCCCTGGAACATCCGAGACATCTGATTCAGGAAGTTCTACTGCGCATCTCCAGAGTAGACAGAGGAAAGACGCGCTCTTCCCTGGAGTAAGTCCCATTAAGGAACTGAAGGAAAGTCTATCTCCCCCAGCAAGCCCTATGCCCGTTCCTGTGGTTACGCCACGCATAGGAGAAAGCAAGGGTATTGGCGATCGTGTGGCTGGTCCTGTCATTGTCAATATCTTCCCCGAGTCGCCCTCACCTGTTAATGGGAAGCTCATTACGAGTCTACACTCCAAGACATCTGCAGTCACAGCCACACCTGCTACTCCCTACTTGTACTACCAGCCTGGTCTACATGCAAAAGCGGGGCCGCTACCTCCTCCACCTATGGCGATCTTGGGTATTGATCCTAGTGCCCCGCCGCCACCTAGACCACCTCGGCATATGCCAGCGAAGAAGAAAGGTGATATAGAAGCTGTGAAGCAAGCGTTGGCTCTGCCTCCCTCTGTCGCTGCTGCCCTCAAAACGCGAATCCCTCTCACGGAACCCAAGGAAGAATGCGGAGCGACCACCAGCACCAACTCCCCACCTTCGGAAGCAGTGAAAGAGCTTGCTCCGTCTTTGAGCGCTAGCCCTTTGGGGTCGAGTCCCTTGCAACCGGTGGCCTCCCAACCCCTACCGGAGGAGCCAAAGTCTCAGTGAGCCTTTCTCTTTTGTGTTCCTGCACTGTGTTAAATAATGCTCCTGCAGGTCTAACATCCTAGACCAGGGCAAGAAGGAGCCAGAACTTCCGCAGACGCCAGCTCATGTTCGCGAAGGTGCCTTCCCTCCCTCACGCATTTGCACTACGGACTCAAACGTTACTGCACCCCCAGAGGAAATGGTTGTTCCTCTTCCCCGCCTTGAGTCTATGGATGACCTTGTTGCTACAGTTGGACATGCGATTGATGACATGGGTATTATGCGTTCATCTGACGTCCCTCCCCCAACTATTCTCGAGCCCCTACGGCATAACGAGAATCGGGGCAACCAACCAGGTCTTGACATTCGCCGCATCTCCTCAACACCCACGACACCACTAGATGAGAGCGTTGAGACTGAGAAAGCACCCGAAGTTCTTCCGCCCCTGCCGGCGAAGAACGTGCCTCATTCTTCAGACTCACGAGTTAGAAGCTGCGCTCAGCATCAAGCGGTTTTCGTCTCTTCCACGCACGCCCTCGCGGATGTCGCTTAACCAGCTTTACGCGGGAAGTAAAAGGTCCTCAAGGACGCCGTCACCGTCTCTTGTGGGCCCAGCAATACTAAGAGCACCGCCTCCAGTTCAGAAGGTCAGGTCTGCGTGGCCACCAGCTATGCATTTCGCGGATGTGGCTGTAAAGAAAAACCCTCTCGACCGATCGGTGGGATATGCGCAGAAGATTAATGAACTTCACATGTATGATTGTGGATTGGGCGATTGGATTGTAGAGACGAGATACAAAGGTGAGAGTTCGATTGACCCTCATGCGTACACGCACTTACCGAACTGATTAGCTGCAAACCCCCAAAAGTCTAGGTAAGCGTACCACTGCAAGCACGGGTGCTCGTGTTCCATCGACACATTCTCCCCGCTCCCAAATTCGCAATATCTCGGAGTCCTCGACTAGCTCCGAAGTCACCTTTCCCCGACGTCCAGACGCATACTTGGCTACAGATTTGTCGACACCCCCATCTGGCGACTCCAGTCCTCCCAATGCACCGCCTCCGCTTCCAGTACCCAGCCCTTGCTGCAGCACCACGCAACGGGTCAAATAGAGCATCCACTATCATGGCCAGTTCATCTTCATCGTCTGGTCGTTCGTTGACCTCCCCTACCTCATCCAACAAATCCCCTGGAAACTTCTTTGCGTCCTTGGGACGGAAAACAAGTCTTAAGAAGGACAAAGGACCAGGATCGATAGCTCCAGTAATTGGCAGGGTGTTGTCCAAAAGTCCACCGCGGCCCGAGCCGAACCCACGACCAGTGACTATCCCGAGTGCCCCATCCGTGCCAGGGGGTCCACGCGCACCCCCTAATCGTATGCAAAGGTCCCAAACCATTGTCATTTCCCCCCAGTCCTCGCCAAATGGCTCGACTCACCACCGATCAAGCACAGTGGTACTACGACCTTCACAACTTAGTGGCCGCAACACTTTTTGCGAACGTGAATCACCCACTGACCCGGATGAATTCGCACGTCAGGTGGACAAACTTGCTGCTCTGCTCCCGAAGGCCGATAGAACGGTCCTGGCAGGGTATCTGCGTAGGGCAGGGCAGGATATCCTTGCTATTGGACAATATCTCGAAGACGAGAAGAACTGGAACTCTACGTCATGACTAGTCCATTCTCTCGTCATGGTTGATCTTACGGTGCTCATATCTATGTTTCGTTGCTTTCCATCGCACATATTATACCCTCGTACAATACCTGACTCTGATTCGTCCATATGATACATGTATTATTTGTTTTCAGGACTAAACTACGTCGCTCTCGGAATAGACTGTCTGCTGATATTCACCTCACAGGTCTGAATCCGTGTTTAACAGCCTGGTTGCTACTGAACTCTACAATATCGTTTTATTCAGAAAGGCTGGGATTCTGCTGAGAGGCAGTCAACTCACGATGCTGCTGGGCAGGACGAGGTCTAGCGGATGAACCTGTCCCACCCCAAGCGGAGCCACCCGAACCACCGGATGGCGGAGGAACCTTGGATCGATTTGAATACTGTGGGAGGAGCATGTTTTCAACCTCGTTGGCGCTATCGGAACGTTCTGAGATGGAGTTTGTCCTATATGAGCGGTCGTTGTTGCCAAGAGCAAAAGGTCGTCGCTGCACATTGGTGCGCTGCTGAGGGCGAGTAATCTGTGGCCAAGTGGCACTTTGATGAGGCCCAAAAGGGCCAGCCATGGTGCGATTAACCAACGGAGTTCTTTGTATCTGAAGTTGTGTTCAGCAAAGTCAGATGCAAGTATGGATACTGTAGTACCCCGTTCGCATCCATTCCGCCGATCACTGCGCCGATATCCACACTAGCTCTACCTTTATTATGGTCGTCTTGTGGGAGTCGATCAAACATGTTCACACCGCCAACGCCCAGTTCAGGCGGGGCTGCGCTTGGAGCAAGTAACGATTTGCGCTTGGCTTTGTCGTATTGGGCCTGGCGCAGCTGTGAGTATATCAACGCCTCGAGGAAATTGTCGGAGCAACCTTGAGTTTTTGATACTCCTTCTCGCGTTCTCTCGAAGAATCTTGTAGCTCATGAACCTTTCGCCGTTCCAGTTCCATGTCGCGTTCCAACTCTGAGACGGTTCAAGCTCGCGCTATTCTGTGAGAGCGCGCAGTTCATCATACCTGCGACCTTTGTTGCTCAGAAGACTGATTTCACCATTCGCTAGAAGCTGTGAGTGGAGGGAGTCGAACGCAAGAGGAGTATCACCTTCTCTGATGACATTGTCTAGCTGTTTCTGTGACTGTGCTTGCTTGTCATTGAGGTTGCGGATAACCGCTTGCTGGAATGAACTATATAGCGATCAACACCCCTACTCCACGAGTAGCGTAGCACTTACTTCTCTTGGTGAACCTGATACTGCCAAAAGGATAGAGCCCTCAACAAGATATTTAGATGTTCTGGAGACTGAATCGGCTCGTGAGAAACACTAAGCTCACCGGCTGCATATTTCCATGATCAAGGACGGACTGAGGCCCGAAAGAACAGACTACCGACACTAAGCTCGGTTTCAATGAAGGATTTGCGCGCATATATTCACCGTTTTGTAGTCATTAGTTGGATGTAACGAGCACACCTAAAAGCCCTCAGGCATCGGAACTGGAACGGAGTACACCAAGCGACTTACAACTACGTCGTCTCTTCGTGACATTACAGTTGATGAATTCGCCTGGAATGATGATATCGATGTGTGACTTACGGTTCAGTCAATGATGTTTCACAAGCTAGGACGTCAGTCAGATACAGCACGCAAGAAAACATACAGAACTGACCAGGACATAACCGTGAGGCATTGAACAATTCGTTTGCACAATCAACTGGTGAAACCGCAAGTCGTACCAAATCAGTGAATCCTTTGCGTGCGTTCGTGGGGCGTTCGTCAGATCTTACCACAAAATATATGCGAGCCTAGTGCAGAACAGTCACTTATAAGCCATCAGTCACGTCTGACTACCTACATGTTGTCTGAAAGAATCCTTGTGGGCATAGCAAAAATGGAACAGGATAAGTGATGGGCTTACCACCACTGCCTTGTCAATGAGAGTCTTGCGACATGTCAGTCGGTTGCACCGTAGCTCTGCATCCATCCTCGTACGAGTTAAACGTTGAATACGGTGATTCTTTTGTATCAAGCTTCAGGCCTTCAGGTTTACAGGGGTTCTAGTTTCAGTTCGTGAGCAAGGAGAAACGGTACTGCTTCTAATTTGAAATTGTTCAAAAAAGGAAACTACTGTAAGTTCAGTCATGATAAAGAGCGCTCATGGTTGACTCATGGAGCCTATCATACTTAAGTCTATTTAGGTGCTGATGCACCGTAATCCTGAACATCGATGTTAACAAAGCCTAAACAACACAACGAATACATAGCAAGAAATGTGGTGCAACTGGTATCCATGAAACACGAATGTAATAATTGAGAGTAGATGAGGGAGGTATCGGGAGTAGAATGTCCAATAATATGCGAGTGGATGGAATTGTATGATTATCATGGCCTCCATAGATTATGCCGAGCTGGGGTGTTAGGAATACTTGTTCGAGGTCGATGTGGCTTCGATGGCGTTACTGGACGAATTGCTTCCGGATCCGCTCGCCTCATAAACTGAAGTGGAGCCAAGGGAGACCCCGATGATGGCGTGGACTTTACTGACTGTGGGCTTCGCGCTCCTGGAGTCGAGATGGTGAAAGAAGGAAGGAAAGGACCTCTAGGTTCAGGGGTACGAGGCGGAGGAGTAGTGACAATTTCAGGTGCTTCAAGCAAAGTTGCGGAGCTGATCCACTTCTCTTCTCGAGACCCAAAGCGGGGAGAGCCGAATTTTGGGGGAGACTCTGGGGGTATAATGCGAAAAATGTCTGCGAAGTGATCCTTGATAAACCTACATGTCATGTTAGCGAGACATCCAGTAAAGGCTCTGTGTGCTTACTTTGATAATTCCTGCCAACCACCACCAACACGCACCATAACAGTCTGCGAGCGCAATATGCGACAAAAGCATAACTTTGGCTCCTGGTCACCAATCCAGTATTTCCCGCTTTGATCCTTCCAAGTGTCGGCGACTACCTCGATGTTGATGTTGACTGGTAATTTATTGACGACATCTCCAACCGCAACGTCCAGCTTGTTCTTAGGATTAGCAACGTAGGTTTTCCGCTCTTGCGGTTGCGTTTTCCTCGGGGGCGTCTGAACTTTGTTTGAGGTGGGGAATGACTGTCGCGGCGCACGGGCCCATGTGGACATAGATGAGGACGACCTTGAGTGAGTTGCGGCGGAACGCGCGATGACGGAAACTTCCGAAGGAGTGGGCGAGGCCCTCGAGCGTGTCTGCGCCCGGGGACGAGTAGGGAGGGGAGGTCGCTTCGCTGGTGTGATAGGGGGCGCATTACCAGATAGACTAGCAGTACGCTGACGAGATGCAAAAGTTGAACTGTGCAGAGAACATGAAGCCGATGATGGCGAGGGCGCTGCCATGGGCCCTGATATTGATCTTGAGATGCTAATTGTGGATAGCATAGAAAGTTTACTGGAGGGCCGAGGTCGGGTTTGAAAATCGCCAGACGCTACTCGGCGAGGGCTTGGATGGGCTGGAGCTAGTAAACGCCCATTGGCAGGTCCTCTTACTGAGAGATTGGAATAGCCGCTGGCCTTCCTGGTGTGACCAGTGGCTCCAGAGCTGATACCAGATGCACTGCTATTCCTACCAGAGCTGAGGACACTAGCAGGACGGAATTTCTTGCCGCAGATCCTGTCGTTGGCCATTTCTTCCAACTCAACCCATGTCTGCTGAACGCGTCGATGTTCAGAACTGGCGCGAGCATCATCCTGGACTGATTCTATGTATGCCGCCACTTGAGCAACAGTGCGCTTCGTGAAACCAATGCGAGCTCCGAGTTGTTCTTCTGGGGGCAAACGAAGTGTCGAGACGTGCGTGCTAGATAGTGGTCCACTTGGAGGAGAAGGATAACTGTCAATGTGCTCAAGCAGGTCACTGAGAGCCATATCGCAGCGATGAGCGACGTCAGATAGGTCGGCTAATTGTCGAATTCGTTGCATCAACTCAGCAGATGCTTCCACTTCTGATTTTGCCGATCGCAACTCCATATCTGCAGCAGGGGATAACGTCGAAGAAGGCAGCGCACAAAGTTCGGAAAGTTCAGAGAGTATAGTCGCAAAGCGAGCATTCATTTTCCCGTATTGCTCCAGAGTTGGTAGATGATTGGAAGAATTCGAGTTAGCTGCAGGACGTGCGACCTCGTTGATGCCGATAGAACGAAGACGTTTCCTCAGCGAGACGACTTTATCCAGCAGGTCATTTCTCTGTTGGGTTTTCGTCGGTGACGGAGAAGGAGCAATACGCAACCCAAATACATCTAATACAAAAGGTTAGAACTCATCGGCAAACAACAAAACCTGACCTCCTGACCTTCAGATGGTTGCAATTCATCTCTTTCCTGCAGGTCCCGCTCCTCCTTGATACGGTCGGTATCCTGTAGCTCAATGTTCCCCTTCCTTTGAGCCTCAGCTTCAAGACGTTCGCGTTCGCGCGCCTGACGTTCGGCCTCCAAACGATCCAACTCTTCCCGCTCCTGTTGCTCGCGTTCATGCGCCTGACGCTCGCGTTCCAAACGATCCAACTCTTCTCGCTCCTGTCGTTCGCGTTCCTGCGTCTGACGCTCGGCCTCCAAACGTTCCGACTCTTCCCGCTCCTGTCGTTCGCGTTCCTGCACCTGACGCTCGGCCTCCAAACGCTCCAACTCCTCCCGCTTCTGTCGTTCGCGCAGCTCCTTCTCAATCCTTAGCCTCCCTGCTTCTCTGCGCTCTTCCTCTTCTCTTCCTCTTGCCTCTGCTTCCCTGAGTTCAAGTTCAGCCCGACGCCTTCTCTCCTCCGCTTCTTGTTCCTCTTTGAGTTTCACCGCCTCGATACGATTGGCCTCCGTGGTGAGCGCAGCGGACAACTCGCCCCGAAGCATATCTGTACTATCGGCCCAGGCGTTCAACTTGATCTCGAGATCATCCACTTCTCTCCTTCGTGACATGATGAGAGTCTCATAGATACGAGGATCATGCGAGCAAGGTACGGACTCCATTTTACGCAAGGATTCACGGATCAAGGAGAGGCGGCGCGATAGGCGAGAACGGTGTTGTGATAAGTGTCTATCGAGCTGCTCTGATAGTTCTTGCAGCGGACCAAGCTTCTCGTCTGTTTGAGATATGGAGGCTAGGAATGCTCTGAGCAAGCCAAGTTCTTCATTGACACCGCGCAGGTCATCAGCCACCGACGACAATTCGGAATCGGAATCTTTGGTCATGGATGCCAGCTGAAGATGTTCAGCCTTCTGCTTGAGGCTTTGCACATCCCCTGAGAGACGCATGACTAGTAAATTGGAATCTCCGCGAACGACGTCATCGAGGCTGCGCAACGTAAATGGAGCTTCGATGGTTGCTGGGACATCGAATGTGACAAGTCTTATGCTCCCCGTTGACGAGAACCTCTTCCGGACGATGGTAGGTGCGTTTCCTTGATCAGAGGCGTGTTGAGAGAGGAATGGTATCCGCTGAGCCACGGTGTTCGTAAATGCATAGGCAGTGCTATGGAGCGCATCTGACTCGTCCTTGAGCTGATCTTGTGTGTTAGCCAGGGATGCACCGCGTAGTTGGCCATCGAGAACATCATCGATGGTCGCATCATATTGGATCTTGAGGTCTTCAACCCGAACCTGGAGCTCATGAACGCCTTCCTGAAAGGAGGTCATGGCTGCAGATTGTGACCGAATAGCATCCAGAAGGACGACCATCTGCTTCACACTCTCCAAGCGCCCACATAGTCCCCCAGAGGTACGAGAGAGGAATTCGTCGAGGGGCTTCTCGAGTATTCCAGTCAATGTGGCCAGGGGATGCATCACGTCATTTGTGAGGGTCTGGCGGACAGCCTCTAAACGACCAAGTATATCGCTAGACGACACTGAGGGTGTAGGAAGGACATCTTGAGGTGGCGTCTCCGGAGTCAGAGGTTCTGCACTTTGACCAGCCTGCTGTTTCCATCTGTCTTTCTCCATCAGGTCGGCGACCTCGCTCCGAGTATCCTCGAGCTCATTCAGTACGCCATCTATGATCGACCAGACTCTCCTGACGACACGGAGTCTGCCGACTCTTGCGTTCACGTCGGCGCAAATCGCAGCAGCCTTGTCGCGAACAGCAATCAAAGCCTCGATCTGAGCGACAGCATTTTCCTTGAACGTTTGGTCAATACCGGGTCGGTCCACATTGAGAAGGACCACTCGGAATGCTCGCAGCAGACGGTCAGCTTGAGCGCATGATTGCTCCACCTCTTGAGTGATTGATGGTAGGAAAGTGAGAAACGCGGAATGCGCAGTAGGATGCAAACAATCCTCCGACATGAGACTAGGAGAGGTACCGTCACCATCACACGCAGTGACTCCATTTTCAAGGCGATCGATGACAGACTTGAAAATTGCCATTAATTCTTCGGCAGACCGGGACAAGGACTCGACATCCTTAACAGCTTCATAGCCGGCTCTGTACTCCTTAGCAAGGGAATCCACTTTGGCAACCAGATCCGAAGTGGAAGCAAGTTCTGAGGCCAATAATTGATTAATGGTCTGGTTGGCTGATTTTTGATCGGGAAAGAGAACGTGGTGTGGTCGCGGGAAGGAGCCACCACTTGCGGTGGGGTTACCCCTCATGGCAAGCCTTTTCACAAGGGTCTCTGCGCGAGAGAGGAAACTGGTACTCTGGCGGTGAGTCGGGTGATAAAGCTTTGAGGTTTCGATTTCTTCCAAAAGGTTTTGGGCGGCGTTGTCATCTTTCATCGTTTCGACGTAGACTTCATCAGCTCTGACGAGCGATCAGCAAAACGACCGTCGAGGAGGTCAGAAGTCTCACTTTCGCCATTGCGTAACGACATTCATGACGAATTTGCCAATGTGTTCCATCTCGTTGATGCCTTTGTCTTCGAGCTTGTCCTGCTCATCCAACAGCTCCTCGGGGACAGGTCTGCGACTGTTGTCTATCAACTTGTCCAGAGCTTTGCCAGCTGCAGCGATCTTTCCGTGCCTAAGAGACGACACTCTGCCGGCAAACTGCGCAGCATCCCGTGACAGGAGTTCGGCAAGCTTGAAACGGGCGCCGCGGGAGAAACCAGCATTCGATGTAACAGACGTATCTGAAGCCATGGAAGCTACGGAGCCGCGACGATTCAAGGTTTTTTCTTCAGGTTTGGCCATGAATTCGTAGATGGAGGGTGACCATCTGGCACGGGTGACGAGGAAATTCTCGATATCAGCGAGGATCTTCCGGCGGTCGCTCCAGGCTGCGCGGCGTTGCTCTTCCCACGTTAGCCTGACACCCAGAAGATCAAGGTTTTCAGAGCGGTCCCGCAGAAGGTGGAGGAGCTTGTCGAGTTCAAAGATGGTCGTAAGCGTGAGTTCAATAACATCAGTATCTTCCGGCGAAAGATGTCTTTGTGTGGCAGCTGTCACTGTCGTCAGTACTTATTCGCATGAAAGACGGAAGACCCATAAGTACCTTTAGTGAGCGCCCTAAGTTTCTTGAGTTCCCCAGAGTCAAAAATTTCTGTCTCCTTCTCAATCCTATCATGTTCCGTGAGCCATTCCTGCAGCTGTTCGCGAGTGGGTAAACCGGGGATATCTTCTGCAGACGTTCGTATAGCATCCAACCCAACAAAAACCTCGATAGGAGGAAGTGTCTCTAAGAACTAAGACCCTTTAATATGAAAACAGGGATAACAATGACATATCCGTACTTTGATTTTATCTTCTATCCAAGCTTTCCGCTCGCTGAATGCTTGAAGCTCAATGACCTCATGGGTCTCCAATGCTTGTTCCTCATCATCCTGGGAGACTTGAGTGCGCTCCGAGTCAGAGCCAGAAAAGGCGTGTTGTTGATCGAGTCGAAGCGTGCTAGACACCATATCTGGAGAAACACATAAAGCCGCAGCCAATGGCGTGGCTATCGGCGCCTCGGGCGACATCCAGTAAGAAAGAAAGGATAAAGACCGACAAATTATATATGAAAGTTATCAGCCAGGGAAATGTAGCATTGCCTGCAGAAATAGACGTTAACTGCTAATAGCAGAGCCTTGTGACCTTTGCCTGCAGAATACAACGAGGCCTGGCGGAAAGCCGCCAGTCACCGGTACACTAATTACCTAAGCCATTCCCCTGTACTGCCATCGGCTTCCACTTCCTTCTGTTCGGCTCTTCTTCAATGACATGGAGGCCAGACCGCGAGAAAACACTATCACGGATACTTCCCCCCCATCCGCGCTGGATGCACAAACAAACTTCTTTCAAAAACGTCCAGCTATCACCCATTTTGCAGTGCTAGTAGTGTTTTTGACACCACTCGCTGCCCTACCATATCTGCTGTCCAAGAGACGCATATCTGCTCTATCTATAAGGCTGGACGAACTCTCAGCCACTACTACTGCTTTGCGGAAGGAATTGAAGACTTCTGCGACTGAGAATGCCATTCAGAAGGTGGAATTACATCGTACTTCAGTCTCACTTGAGGCTGCAAGGTCGGAAGTCGTTCAGCTGCGTCGCAGCTTCAAACACCTTCGTGCGGAACGCGATGCGTTCGATATAACAACGCAGAACACTCTGAAGCAACTTCGTGAGGAGAGAAAGCTGACCAGGCAAGCGGAATCTTGAATTGCGTCATTCTATGATACGCCATTCATGGCTGACACCGCTTCTTACAGCGAACGCCTGGCACTTCTCCCGCAGCTGGGTATCTCACTGGCTGATGTTGCCGCATTCATGTACGAAGTAGAGTTGTATCATGGCACTACGCCGAGTGCCATCGATGGTCATGGTGTTGAAAGGCTTCGCCGACTTGCACTCAAATTCTGCACAGCGCAGTCGGAGGGGCCGAGGTAAGTACCTGCAACCGGATACCCAGAGTCGATTATAACGGAAGTCTAAACATTTTCACGATTCATTCATGGTGTACCGATAGCTGGCCAACCGCAGTATTATTTCTGTAGGCCATGCCGATTCTTGCGAGGTCCAGTAAATTCACTTCATACGTACGAAGGTATGGCTAGGGGAGACTAGCACATTCATGATATTTTGATTACGACAACAGGAAAGCATTTCCAAAACACTACGTACGAATACATGAAAGTGATAAGTGGTGACGCGTGACGATGAAAGCAACAATTATACAACTACACCTACATTTTCAAGACACAGCGTCGAATAAACCCAACAGACCATTAATGCTACAAGGTATCTGTACAAAAGCAAATGTTCACGTAGATAGCCACAACTTCCACCACTTGCGTTTCTTTGGAGGAGGGTTGGGAGGCTGTGTTTTGGGGGGAGGTATCCTGACACAAAAGTCAATCGAACGAAGACCAATCCTGCCAATACGACATACTCATCTACGTGTACAGGATAGTCTCTGTGAAGAGTAGCTATAACCTGGGTTATCTGCGCCTGATACGCTAGGCGTACATCATTCGGAACCGCAATCTTGCGGCGCCATATAGCAAGGCTATTACCCGACTTGGAAGGGAGAAATACGAAGACGACCACCAGCACAGAAGGATCGTAATGTGCCACCGACTCTTGCAGAGTGCGATCCATGGTCTTTTGTAACTCCGGGTATGTTAACCAATCAAAAGCTGGTTCATTGGGTGACTTTGAAGGCCGATAATCGGCATTCACTATGAGAGCACCGCGCTCTCGTGTTTGTAAAAATTTATGCAACTTTCAGAATGGATCCAAGAGTCAAGACTATGAATAATCAGATAGGGAGATTCAACTTACGCCAAACGAGCCCAGTCCATGCGATGCCGACTGGATCCATGACAACAAAGAAGCGACGCGCTCGTCTTTGTCAGGCGAGAACATCCAGTGGAAACGGTCCTTCGCCATGCGTGAATTTCGACCGAAAAAGGCGCTTGCCACAGGTTTCAGTGCAGCCCCCTTAGACTCGATAAAGTCTGCATAATCTTGCGTGCTGTTGCGGGCCGGGCCACTATCCATGGAGGTCGCTGTTCCGTGGTATGCGTATCTAAGTGTTTTCGACGCCGTGTTGAACGCCGATAGCCCGAGCTTATTTGGGGGGAATGCATTAACGGTGAAGTTTTCCACCACCGCAGATGGAACGACGGAAGGAGCAGTGCGAGGGGGCGAGAAATGTACTCGTCGATCCCATTCATCATGCGTATCGTCGTATTCCTCAGGATCGTCTTCAAGATCTTGCCAGCCCTCGCCCAAACCCCAGACATCGTTCTCATGCTCCGGCTGTTCCTGTTGGTGGCGTTTCTTCTCCTTGCTCTGATGATGCTGCTTGTTCTCTTTGTCCTTCTTATTCTTCTTCCCTTCGTGTTGTGGTTGGTTCGGGTTCGGGTGGTGTTGCAGCTGCCTGCGTAAATTCGCACGAGCTAAAGCATAAGCGTCATCCTGTGGCGGCTGACTCCGGTGTTGCTGCTGCTGCCTGAGCTGACTCTGCACATGAGCCAGTGGGTAAGCTTCATCCGGTTGCACCTGATTTTGGTGCTGTTGTTGCTGCTGAAGCTGAAGCTGCTTGTGCTGACTCTGTGCCTGAGCTAGAGCGTAAGCTTGCTCCTGTTGCTGCCGGAATGCGGCGGCCATAGCGCCTTGCTGCTGAGACCATTGTTTATTTGCGCCTTGCGGCTGGAAATAGCCGCCAGTACCTGGCGGCGGATTGGCGACAGCGTACGGTTGTTGGTTCTGTTGTGATTGATTAAGCAGTGCTCTCAAAATTCGGGATCGTTTCAACTGATATAGGACTGTGATACTCCCAGGGGAGCTGGGAGAGGATACGATAACGGAATCAAAAGTCACCTTGGGTAATCTCCGTGCCTCTTCGCCCCACATCTGCCAACTACTCGGCTGGCTCGGGTGATGCTGAACATGCATCTGTGGTGCCTGGGCAGGCGGCTTCTGAGCGTACGCTCGTGGTGCGTGGGTAGCCTGCTGCTGAGGCCACGCCATCGCCGGCGGTGCACCCCATTGATCGCCTGGATCGGGCCATTCTTCTTCTTCGTCTTCGTCTTCTTCTTCCTCGGTTTCCGAGGTATCTCCGCCTTGTTCCCAACCAGCTTCGTGGCCCCAGTTACTCCAGGCAGGCTCATTCATAGCGCGCTGAGTGGTTTGACTCCAGTTACCTTTCGGGGCCTGCTTTTTCGCTGGTGCTGGTGTTCCTCCAGCATTATCCCAAGCTCCGCCACCGCCTCCCCATCCATCATTATTTTGAGGCTGGTGGTGCTGTTGGTGTTGGTGATGCTGTTGGTGTTGATGTTGATTGTACTGGTATTGGTGCTGCTGCTTTTTCTGCGACTTGCCACCATCCTTCTGCGGTGGTTGTGGTGGCATCTCTTCCTGGGGAGGAGCGCTCGTCTCCCATTGTTCATCATTCGTCCAGCCTCCGTTGCTATTTTGAGGATCATTGGACGCCCAGCCGTTCACATCCTGGTGACCAGCGCCGGCATCATGCATTTGCTCCCAAGAGTCCTCATTATGGTCATCGGCGTCCATATTATCTTCGTGGGAGATATCATTCAGAATCCCATGGGCATAGATATGAGACGAGAAAAAAGGACTCACCGGATGCACCAAAATCATCATCCTCTTCCTCGATCGTATCTATCGTCATCATTGGAGGAGCTGGCGGTGGGGGAGGCGCCGGTGGTGGTGGTGGTGGGGGGGGGTGCAGGTGCAGGTGCAAGTGCAGGTGCTGCTGCAGGGATCTCCTTCTGCTTGCCCTTCTTGTTATTGGTATTCTTGGGCATTTTACCCCACACAGGCTACGCAGATTGAGAGACTCGTGTTTAGTGACGCACTTAACACGCGTAAAGACAAGAAATGAAAGGCTCGAGGCTACTCGAGGACGCCGTTCGGTTGAACCAAGTTAATGAACTAGATCAGGGCAATACAGATAAGATTCCCCAAATAGCGTAGATCGATAACCTGATTCGCGCCCTGGAGTAGACCGTGCAAGTGATGAGTTGAGTGGGAAATAGATGGAGTTAGATTCACCTAGACACGCGTGAACCGTTCACCCAAGAAGCACGAACATGAGGCATGTGGGAACAAATCTCCTTTTTTAATTAATATATCAACCCCTAACCTTAACATAAGGTTACAATTCAGCTACACCGTTATATCCGCTTCGTCACCTCATCCACAACTTCACTTGTCTTACTCTTGCCACCCAGATCAGGTGTTAGAACCTTGCCTTCCCTGAGAACAGAGTCCACAGCCCTTTCAATCCGATCTGCACCATCTCCATATCCTATATGACGCAACATCATTGCCGCTGAGCGAATGGCTGCCAAAGGGTTAGCGATATTTTGTCCGGCGATATCTGGTGCAGAGCCGTGGACGCTATGAAAGTTAATTAATGAACTGAATCTTAGCCGACATGAGTCGTCGCTTACGGCTCGCCCATTACAAACGAATCTCCTGCATTGACAGAAGGCACTAGGCCAAGAGACCCCACCAACGCTGCTGCTGCATCCCTACATCAAGCGAGTCAAACAGTGTAGAAATGTGACCAAAGACAGACGCACGAAAGGATGTCGCCGTAGAGATTGGGGGCGACCATCACGTCATAAATTCTAAGAGGTGATCAACGGCCATATCTAGCCTTCAATGATAGACGTACTGGGGCTCGCGGAACAATCTTGGAACGCAGTATAGGTCATTGTATGTAAATAATCAAATCGTTTTACGCACCTGTACACAGCACTATCTACAAGCTGCTCGGCAATTGTTACACCATCATACTTGCCATCTACACCAGGCGACGTTGGTATCGCACGAACCGTCTCGCGGAACAGGCCATCAGTGACAGAAAGGACGTTCGATTTGTGAATTACGGTCAGATGCTAACCTGATGCATCAGCGGAAATACCTTAGCAATGAGTGATTGACTACCTTACGAGGGCGCTCCAATGCCATTTTGAAGGCCATCTCACCAATTCGGCGGGAAGCCCGTTCTGTAATGAGGCGAGTAGCCCGGGCCTCCTTGCCGTGTTCCCCGACGGTCTGTGTTTCCTGCTTGACGTACTGTTTCGCCAGTAAGTTAAAGAGAGATGTCATACGAAAATGGCACTACCAGGCACTCGGTGTTTTCGCGAATGACAACAAGGTCTACGCCTGGCTTCTCTTCGGGATTAAAAGAAACCTGGCGAAACACTTAACGGATACGTCGGGTAGTGTCGGACAGCGAACTCAAACCCACTGATTTCACTGGCCGAATATTGGCGTATAGATCCATCTTTTTGCGAAGTGCAACAATTGGTGATGAATACCCAGCCACTTTTTGAGATGGAGAGCTGGCGCCATTCACACATTAGGCTCTGTTCATTGCACGTAAGGTAAATGCATGCATACCTGACAGCCCCAAAAAGTGCGCAATCACATTCATTTTTCAACACCTCCACAGTTTCATCAGGAAGTGCGGTTCCCGTTTTGGTGAAGTACTCGAAACCAGCCAGTAAGTCGATAAACTCTGGCTTCGGTATGGAAGATCCAAGAGCCAGAATGGCAGCTTTTGCACCCTGACCGACATGTCTATCAATCTGTACTAGTGGAAGACAATAACACTAACAGGTAAAACCTCCCTTCCAATCCCATCAGCTGGGAGCATCCCGATTTTTAACGACTGCCGGGTAGCCGTTGCCATTGAACGGATGGGTGCTCTGAATACCATGGTATTAGTTCGTTAGACGGTAGGCGTTGGTGGAAAGAACAGGATAATTCGCAAGAGAGCCGAACATGCACAACTCGGCTTTTCGGCCGAGGGGGTTTGAGGTAGTCACGCAGCACGTGACGCGACGCGACGCGACGATTGTGTCTGACGCGAACGGCTCAACTTGCGCTCATTCTCGGCCAACACCGTGCCTACGTCGTCCACAAAACTTCTTCAAATATGCTTGATAGTCCAGAGACTCCTCGCAGTGAAATTCTCTCCGATACTACCAATGTTCGGGAGAGCCTGCACTTCTACGCATCTCAGCTTCCAACACCAGTTACATCACTAGACGATGGAAAACCAAAGCGCCGTATATCACAGTCTGACGAAACACCTGCGAAGAGGCCGAGATTGATGACAGGAGAGTCGAGCAAGGACACAATTAACGTTGATGTTGAAGTGGACGATGTTGCCGCTGTCAAAAGACGAGGTTGTCGCCGTGTAGCGTTTCGAACGTTGGGCCTAGATTCTAATGGCTATCCTACTGGGTCTCATCGAATGTTTTGTAAGTCTTATGGCTTGATTTTGTGTGTCTCTTTGAGTAATCTCTGCAGTGCCATCCCGCAACATTCTGCAGTCATTCGTTTCCTCAAATACATCGGACGTATTCAAATGTCATTCAAGAACAGTTGATTCTTTCGTCACGCCTCCTTATGCCTGTGCATACTCCAATGGCATGATTTTTTCCCCTGGAAACTTTTACGACTAACTTATCATGTAGGTGCAAAACGTGATGGCGTACCCCTTCTTGCCGTCGCTACGGAGCAAGGATCCATCAACATCCTTGACACAACCAAACGAAGAGAATGGGATTGTGGTAGGTCTCAACGCATCACTTTGGCGGTGACTGATACTGACCTGAATGAAGAGCCTGTCCGAGTGACCATGGAGCCCCATGAAAATGGCATCTTTGACGTTAAATGGAATGCGGACGACACTCTTCTCGCTACGGCATCCGGAGACAAAAGCACCAGAATATCCTCTGTCGAGACACAACAGTTGCTTTCCATTCTTGATGGTCATACCAGCACTGTAAAATGCGTTGCCTGGGATCCAACGCATCGAGACCTCTTGACTACGGGTGGCAGGGACGGAATGCTATGCTTGTACGACTTGCGCGTCAACAACTTGTCCGATGAAGATGAAATTCCCGCAAGAACACCTGTAATTACGATCACCGCCGCTCACGGACAAGATAAAGCTCCCGGAGGCAGACAAAGGATTCGACCTTTGCCCAGGGGTGTCACAAATATTCTCTACCCTGATGACCGACCTCACGGACTAGTCAGTAGTGGATCATTTGATGGGTAAGGGTTGGATATTTGGTTCAAGTGCGCCGCTGATCTACCCAGCAGCATCTTGCACTACTGGGACCTTCGCCTTCCTTCAGACAAGCCCTCAAAGCGTAGCCCCAAAAAACCGTCATTCAAGCCACTATTTTCCTCTACCATAGATCCGACCACATTTCATGGTGCTCGTTGTCGAGGGATCACAAGCATGTCCCAAGGATCGGGTCCCAGCGCAGGCCTCTTGTTCGCTCTCGGTGCCGATTCTCGTTTGTATACATATTCATACCCCACCCTTACCCCACATCGCACTGAAACCCACCCAAACCTGCAAACAAACTCGTTCTATGTCCGACTAGCTACTTCTCCGTGTGGACGCTGGCTCGCAAGTGGCAGCACAAGCCGAGCTGGAAGCCTTTTCCTGTTTGATATCAACAACGCTGGCAGAATAGCGGCATCGTACGGCATGGGTGCTGATGAACCAGTTTCCCCAGCCGTTCGTTTCCGTGGACAAGCGAGTGAAATTGGGGCAATCGACTGGGCAAGGAACATGGTCGCGAGCTGTGCTGATGACGGGACAGTGCGAATCTGGAGACCTGATTTGGAGGTATATCAAAACTGCGTCGCCAATCCAGAAGAACAGAAATGGGAGTGGCTGTGGTCCACCTAAATTAGTAGACGTGTCTTGACGTTCGTGTAGTATATCTCGTTTATTGCCATTGAAGAGATCTCTTCACAATTAATCCTGGTGATATGGATCTTACTGGGTCAAACGTTTAGATGACACTTGCACATTGACTGACCTTTTCGCTTGCGACCACATACATCTGATGAATTCTGAATGGATGGATGGTCCCGCAACACCACAAAGAGATGAATAGGAGGTCGCGCAAATTATTGAACTTACTGTTGCTAAGCATTAGTACTTGTGCTTCATTACATCAAGCAAATTAAAAAGAGTTTGGTTATCATAGTCTATTGCGACACTGCAGGGCGATAAACCGTCGAAGGCTCGAACTCGGCCACAAACGTGGCCCCACACAATTTGTGACACTAAGTTACTAGGAGTGAAAATACTTCACGGCAAGGCAGACGGAAGATGAATCATAGGTAAGGTCAGAAAGACGAAAACGTGATCCTTTGGTCACTTACAATCGTGACAACTGCAACATACTCTGGACGTACCACCAGTTTGATAACCCTAAAGTCGTTCACAAAAGCCATCCAATAGAAGGCCATTCGACCAGCACATATGCCGGACATCCTGTCAGCATGTCCCGTTTAGCGTGTTTTAGTCGCGGTGCGATGGGGGTTTTCGAGAGGTAGGAGTGCTGACCGATTACTCCATGTCCCCATCCCGATACTTACACGTCGTTATTTGGTGCTGAGGCCATCGAAGAGGTCCAGTGCTATGCAGATGGTAAGAACACTAAAGAAGAAACTTTACCAGATGTACAGGTGCCGAGAAAGCTGTCCTTGATTTATTGATCTTGGACCCTCTCCTGGATGATCATGACCTCGGATCGACAGAAACCCGCGGTTTTTGCGCGTCAAACAAGCACCTACAGAAGTAGCCTGAAGTATATTTCCAAAGTACCCTGACAGCCTCAAATGCTTCCCGGCCCTGCGAAGGTCATGCGTCCATCGTCGAAATACACAAGTCTGCCAGAAGAACGTGGGTTCATCAACATCCCTATTCTTCAGGAGCGAGATGTACTCATCGAAGCCAAGGCTTCGACGAGAAGTTTGGCCCTCGATGCACAAATTCCAACGGCTAAAGCCGCTAACTGTCCGAGTGTGTTCTTCTTTCGGAGGGTCGTACCGGGGTAGTCATTTTGTGATTCTCCAGGTTTCCGTGTTCACAGAATAGATTCCGACCCTGTCTGGCGTTGGCGTGGATCGGAAAGATAAATATGAAGGTGAAGCAGATCGGTGTGCAATGGACTAATATCCGACTCGCGCAACTGTGCAAGTTCCCGCGAGAACAGTCCAACTCAGGTGTCGAGTCTACATCTTATAATGGACCGAGGACCCTGCCAAGAAAGATAACAAGCTATCAGTGATATAAGTGGAGAGTGGTCGGAGCAGTCATTGAGTTATGGTTTAGCGTACTCCGTCGTGTATAGTCATCCTTCGCAAAACGGAATCCAGATCTATAGGGCAGATTATGGGACAATATCAATTATGGTTGTTTCACCAATGGGTATACCATTGTCCGAAGACGATGGGAAGAGATATGCAGATGAAGATGTACGTCCGCGAGGACGGGCCACATATTCTACTTTTTCTGTATTGCATTCACTAACCTGTCATCCGGATACATTAATTTCGTTGGCATGGCACATGATACGGCACTGACCAGTCTAATCCATCCTCCAGACCTGCTCCCTCTGTTGCACAGCTCCCACGCACACTCCATGGTCTTGATGTCTCGCGACCTGCGAGACCAAGTTGTTCGCTGATATCTTCAGGTTTTAGCGCACCTTCGACATCTTGCTTATTGCAGAATACAAGGAGTGGCACGCCGTTGAGTTCATCTTCCGAAAGCATAGTCAACAGTTCACTCCGTGACGTCGTCAACCGCGCATGATCCGAAGAATCGATGACGTAGATGATGGCAGATGTGTTTGGGAAGTAACATCGCCAATATGGCCTTCGACCGTCAGTGAGGAATTTGCTGACGAAGATTGAGTTGTACATACCGTATGCTGGACTGTCCTCCAAGGTCCCACACTTGGAACTTAATGTTTTTATACTGGATGGTATAGTCAATGAAGTGGATACACATGCTTCCTGCGAAACACACCTGAACAGTCTCTACATTAAAGCCAATTGCTGGGTTGTTCCCCATGAGCCCCAAACCCCACAAAGCAATGATAACATACTCACTCGGAATCGTAGAAACCACTTCTCCGATCTGCAAGTCAATTCAGCCCTCGACTGCATATATTTTGGACATTACTCACCTGTAACCGGTACAGGATTGTCGTCTACAAAAGCGCCAGCCCGTTTTCAGACACTTGAAACCGAATAACATTATGTTTGCAAGTGGACCCACCTTTCCAGCCGAGTCTAGGCCGAGCATGAGTATACGGACATCCTGGTCTTTGCTCCATCGTACCAGCGATGACAACGACGTGAAAAGGGAAGATATTGTAAGACCCATGGAGTGAGGATGTGAGTTTGCTTTGTATACGTAGTAGTAGTACAGACCGTAAACACCTATTTCTAGGGTGTTCAGCTGGCGACCCTATCACGTGCGTGAGTGAAATCACAACCTCAGAGTCCAGACCAATTTGTGTTCGAATTCTGCTACATAATAGGACGAATATACGCGGGTAAGCCTTAGGACCGATATATTATCCTAGCCCTCGTGTCCTGCACTGTGCATGTCTGTAACAGCCATCGGGGATGGATCACCCAAATCACACAAAAAGTCCAACGAATCCAAGTCCGCGGACTCTCATGCCGGGGATATAGGTAAAGTACGCGTAAAGTCGAAGAAAAGGAAGCACAGAGAGGCTATAGCTAGCGATGCGTTACCCATGAACCCCCCTAAGGATCAAGCAGCTTCTGCGACCCAAGATTCTAGCGCGAGTAATCCCTTATCTCCCCCAAGTGCACCCTCCGCAGGAAAGATTGCGTCCAAAAATGCCCAGCTAGCAGATTCAGCTACAGGTGACACGGAGCGGACACCCAAGAAAAAGAAGAAGAAGGACCACCTGGGAGATGTGGTGCATGGCCAGTCGAAAGATGCCCACGGAAGTGACGAAAGTATGAAGGAAAAGAAGAAAAAGAAGAAGAAAAAGCACTCGGATGCAGGGGAACAGGAGGGAACCGCACTCGAGGGACAGGTCGTACATTTGAACAATCCGAAGGTCCATGCATCGGACGAGGCTGCCGTAGAGAAGTCGCAACAGAAGAAGAAGAGGAAGGTGGAGAAACAGTTGGAAGAAACCCCTTCTGCTAGCAAACCGCGCAAGAAAAAGAAAGGCCACCGTCCGCCAGATCTACCCTTCCCAGATCCTAGCGCGGATGAGTCACTGTCTGATCAAAGTCGGAAAGGTATGCCACCAAATTTGCTTGTTTATTTACTGAGTACGAAATGATTTACAGCGTTGTCGTATGCATATGCACGATTCCAGGATCCACCGAACTGGAAGTTTAATAAAGCCAGGCAGATATGGCTCATTAAAAAATTGTGGTCGGAAGAACTGGTGAGTTTCTCCTGCGAGGTTGTCAGTTAGCTGATTATAATTTTCTGTCACAGATACCCGAGAAGCATTTTGCCCTAGTGACCAACTATCTCGCAGATGTGAAGGGGGGGATTCGAGACGTATGTCTTCACATCTTGTTTGAAGACTTGGGCTCATGATGCCCTTTCTAGAGCCTGGTACAGATGTGCAATTCTGTAGCAGCTTCGGTGACAACAGATCCTGTCACTTCAGACTCAGCCACAGCACCAACCGATCTTTCGAATGGAGGATCCGTTACTGCGACCAAAGTGACGAGAGCTCGTAGCTTACTGGATGCCCTGTCTGATGTACAGTAAGACCAGCTCAGTCTTACGTGGCGTGTTGCAGCCATTTGAAGTGCCAGTGCAAGGATCGCGGCTTCATGCCACCCTGGGCAGTCAGACACACAATACTAGCGAGAACGATGAAGATGACCACACTAGTATTTAGAATGAGTCATACAAAACATTCTCTAAACAGTTATCAAGCCGAAACCGCGACAGTAGACGTGACGGGCACATCAACTGGATTGACGGGCGCTAGTGTTGCCTTCGCTTTCTTCGGCAGAGCTTCAGCAACGTGCTTAGCAGCTCCAGTCAGCAACGCAGCTTCCACCTTCCTCTCCGTCTCGTTCAACTCGACAGCTCCCAAAAGGTCCTCAAAACTCTTTCGAACCACCTGAATTGCGGTAACGTCAACCACGGCCGCCTCCCCATCTCGCAATGTCTGTGGTTGTCCAGCGGTGTTGATCTGAGCATTGCTCCAGATGGGAGCCACGTTTTCCTTTCCTATGCCAACGTTGGCACGTCCACCCAACTTTGCCCAGTCGCTGATGCGGTTAATGTCGAGGTCCGTGAACACTGTGTTCATTGCACCGATCAAACCATCGATCTGCTCTGCGGTATGACGAGGAGTGACAGTGACCCGAAGACGCTCTTCGCCCACGGCAACAGTCGGATAATTGATTGCCTGAACGTATATGCCGTGTTCATGAAGAAGCTTGTCGCTGGCTGCTTTTGCGAGTCCAGCATCACCAACCAAGACCGGGACAATGTGAGAAGGACCGGGGACGACGGGTATGTCTAAAGCAGCGAAACGTTCCTTGACAGTGCGAACATTGATTTGCTTCAATGCTCGATCACCAACATGGTGCTTCTGGTAAATGACGGAAGCTCGAGCACCAGCGACTGTAGCGGGAGGCAGTGATGTAGTGAAAATGAAACCAGGTGCGTATGAACGAATCATGTCGATGAAATCGCGAGAGCCGGCAACGTATCCGCCAACAGTGCCGTATGCCTTGCCAAGTGTACCTGACCGTATGGTAAGCGGGGCCCGTCAGATGGGTGTTCGTGATAATGACTAACCAGTAATCATGTCAATTCGATCCATAACGCTATCTTTGATCGGTTCGGGGCTCTGACCGGCGATCTGGTGAGATTCCCAGTCAAGGTGCTCGGCAACGCCCGCACCGCGGGGTCCATAAAGCCCGACAGCGTGAACTTCGTCAAGGAAAGTCAAGGCGCCGTACTTCTTAGCCAGATCACAGATCTCCTTGATAGGCCCAATGCTACCGCACATCGAGTACACGCTTTCAAATGCGATGATCTTAGGGGTGTCCTTCGGATACTTCTGCAGTTTGGCCTCCAGGTCATTGAGGTCGTTGTGCTTGAAGATCTCCTTCTTCGCTCCAGAGTGTCGAATACCCTGTATCATGGACGCGTGGTTGGAAGCGTCTGAGAAGTAGACGCAACCAGGAAGTTTAGAACCGAGGGTAGATAGGGTCGCATCATTGGCAACGTAGCAAGATGAAAATACGAGCGCAGACTCCTTGCGATGAAGGGTCGCAAGCTCACGCTCGAGACTGAGATGCATAGCACTATTTCCGGCTATGTTCCTAGTGCCCCCTGCGCCTGCGCCGTATTTGTCCAATGCGCGACTGTGAGAAAAATATAAGCTTGCGGCCAAAATCAGTAGCGGCGATACGCACTGCATGGTTTCAAGTACGACGGGATTATTTCCCATCCCCAGATAGTCGTTAGCACACCAGACTTGGACTTCTTCCTTCACACTCGCAGTGTGCGCAATCGGAAATTTGGTTGCGAGTCGGTTGATATTGTTGAAGTAGCGATAGGACTGATCCTTGTGCTTCTTGTCGAGTTCGGCCGCATAGAATTTATCGTAGTTATAAGCACCTGAAGTGGCAGAAGTAGCCTGTTTTTCTGTCGCGTCAGGCACTTTCGCAGGTTGTTCTTCTGTGGCAGCAGCAGCCTTATGGAAAGGGCATCCGGCAGCAGCAGCCTTCTGGGCAGTGCTCGGGGCTTCCTTTCCGACAGCAGCAGCCTTCTGGGCCGCGCTTGGGGCTTCCTTTCCGGCCTCTGGCGCCTTCGCAGTGACAGAGGCGGCAGCGAGATCATCCGCCATGCGAGCAGCAGCCCGAGCAGCGGAAGCGTGAGGGCATTTGGCAATATCCGCCTCAGAAACGCTGGTGCCGGGGAATATACCTTTACTGTGGTGGATTTTCTGGACGTCAGCCTGACCAGCAACGCTGGCGTAACCAGCGACCATCTGGGTGGAGCGCATCACTAAAGCGGGACCCATGATAGGGCAACCCGTGGCTCGCTCAGTGAGCTGGGAGATGGAGGGGAACCTGGGGGAAATGGTGCTGCTGAGAGCGCGAAGGGTGGAAGTCTTCGTCCCGCCCAAGAACGGGCAGGAACTCTTGAAACGAGCTAGCGAAGAGAGCTTTTCCATGTTCTACTACTGGGAACTCTCGAAGAAAGCTCGCAGAATATATGGTCAAATCTGAAACATCAATTAGAGGATGGAAACTAGCACAGATACGTAGGCTTACGAGCAAGTGCTAGGTGAGTGGGCAACTAAGGGAAATCGGGAGATGGGCAGATTTCTGAAACTTTTGACAACGTTATATTGACTTTGTAACTTGAATTAGGCACGCTATCATTGGCTGGCGGCAATCACGTGGCTATTCCCCTTTGGAAATCTGAGCTGTCCGTTCCGTGGAAACGAGTCCAAACCCGTTGTGCCTTCGGCACATGTCTACATATTATTTATTTGTATCAAATCAATAATGTTTTACATCTTACACTTACAAAATACTATATACTTTTGTTTTAGTTCTGAGAAAATAGGACACAGGACACAGGAGAATTTTTGGGGAAGGGCAAGAGTGAACAGCAAGACACAAACAGTGAGACTGAAGTTTACCTGGGACACTGGCTTGCAATCCCGTGGCCTCGTCCGTGGAAATTATGTGCAGGTGAAATGTAACCACTGACAGCCACCGACTAAGTAAGTAACTGCAAGTATGGAACTACTTAACCCCGCAAAGAAGACAGGCACCCTTCGAGCACGTCCATAGCTACATCCACTTCTTCCTTTGTAACATTTAGAGAGGGTACAAAACGCACCGCGTCTTTCCCAGCAGTCAGTAGGAACACTCCACGCTCTCGCGCCAACTGTACCACCTCTCCGGGGTGCGAGGCATCAATGAATCCAAGACCTCGGATGAAACCACGACCGCGCACGTGAGGCTGTAACATGGCTGGGAACCATTCCGGCAAAAGTTCGAGCCGGCTGTTCATGTGCGCGCTAATCTCCTTCATATGGGCAACGAAGGCACGATCGCTCAGGCGATTCAGAACATGATGTCCAACTGCACAGGCCGTGGGTGACCCTCCAAACGTCGTACCATGAGTGCCTGCCAGTAACTGTCAGTTTCTGTGAGCGACCCAATGTAACTTGTCATCCTCACCCGCAGTCATTGTAGACGCAACGCTATCACGAAGTAACACGGCACCAATTGGATAACCGTTGGCGAGCGGCTTCGCCATCGTGATGATATCAGGATGGCAATCAATCGGCAGTGCCGAATGCGCCCAAAGATTCCCTGTCCTGTACAGGCCGCACTGGAATTCGATTAAAACACGCTGTGACAATATTAGAAATTACGACAAACTTGAATCTCATCATAGATCAAGACCGTTCCCGTCTCGTCACAGCGTTTTCGGAGTGCCCTCAGCCATTTTTCGGTTGCGGCAGTGGCGCCTCCCTCTCCTTGTATGGGCTCGACAATAACCACGCAGGTATCATCAGTGATAAGCCTATCTAGGCAATCTAGATCATTGAGCTTGCCAGTGCTGACCCCGGGTATCAATGGTCGGAAAGGTAGTTGGTATTTTTCCGTTGATGTGACGCTTAAAGCACCCATACTCCGACCATGGAATGAGTTCTCAAAGCATACGATATGCGTTTTAGGACACGATGGATCGTCGGCCTTTCCACCAGTAGTCGCGGCCCAGCGGTCTTTTCCGACTTTGCGGGCTATCTTCAGTGCGCCTTCGTTCGCTTCCGTGCCAGAGTTAGCGAAGAAAACTTTGGCCCCGTTCTTAGCGGTTGATGAAGATGGGGAAGTGGCGTAACCTAGTCCCCCTTCTTTTTGAGTGAGCGTCACCAAAAGCTCCGCCAGCTTTGGAGCCCACTTATTGTAGTATACATTTGAGGTATGGAGCAGGGTGGATGATTGCTGCTGTAGCACCTGCGATGATGTAGTACTAAGTTCCCCGTTGTAATGGACGCTTCCCTTTGGAAAATAAGGTTTGAGATGTAGAGTTAACTCACCTCTGATACACCTGGATCCGCATGTCCCAATGCATTCACGGCGATGCCCGCGCTAAAATCAAGAAATTTTCGGCCCTCTGCATCCCAGACCCAGCTACCACGTCCATGCGACAGCACGAACGGAGGGCGCGCGTAGACAGGAAGGAGGTATTCATCACCAAGCGCTATAGTACTTTTGGTTGCAGACGATTGTGTATGTGCAGAAAAGTCATATGTAGGCTTCAAGTAGCGTGTACTGGGGGACGTCGGGAGCTATGCCAGTTCGCATTTTGTAGACAAAACATGGTCGGCGTACCTCAGATACAACATTTGAAGCATGCCGCCTGGGTGCTGTTGACGGGGTCGCAATGGAGCCTGGAGCCAAAATTTGCAGCCGAGAGAGAGGACTTGATAGACGAGTCAGACGCGCGGTAGAGTGCATGAGTGTCTACGATTGGACCAACTCTCGGAGTAGAGGAAAACGCAGAAAGAAGAGAAAGTGCCGCAGGAATTACTGCTGAGTTGCTGTTGAGTAATATTTGACTAAGTACGAGTCACGCAGCACAACAGATGCGGATACGGCACGCAATCATGACACAGGAAGGCAAGGACAGCCGACTAGTCAGCACATATTGGACTCATGACGGTAATAGGGCCAGCGTATAAACAAAGAGCCAGTAGCATTACAACAGCACTGCGAAGCTTCGAAAAACAGACCGCCAATCACGGTGCATGATATTCGCACCGAAAATTTTGTACAAATTGAAATACAAAGCAGAGCAAAGGTTACGTAATGATAACATCCAGACAAATAGCAGATTTCAGAAGATTCTGGGTGCTGACGCTGTATCTCAATCTCTGGAACGACTGCGTCCCGTGCTCACAGACATAGACGAATCTGAAGAAGCTGAACGACCGCGTCCTATCGGTCGCGGTGATCGAGAGACATTCCTCCCACGATCTTGCTCTGGTCCATTACGGGGAGGAGGTGAGAGCTCTCGGACTTGCCGAGGTGGAGAGTCTGAGCGATCCCGTCCACGTCGGCGGGGCGGCGATTCTGAGCGGTCGCGGCCACGACGAGGAGGCGATTTTGAACGCTCATGGCCACGACGAGGAGGCGATTCTGAATGCTCACGTAACCGGTTAGGAATAATGGAGGGTGGCGATCGCCTCGATGGTGGTGTTATAGACCCAGAACGCCGATAGCCCGTTCGCTCCGGGGAACGGGATCGTAATTTGGACTGTACAGGAGAGGGAGACCGTCGACGAGGTGGAGGAGACCGAGAAGGTGACCTGCGGCGTCGAACGTCTCTTTCACGTCGCGGGCTTCGGCTCCTGCGGTCACGCTCACCACGGTAGTCTCTGGGCCGATCCCTGAAGGCAGGCACGGGAGGGGGCGGCATTCTCTCCTTCCTTCGGCTGGTCTCTTCCCTCTCTTTCCTTATCCTATCTTCCTCCCTCCGACGCAGGCGATCACGCTCCCTCCTCTCTGCCTCCCACTTCTGCTTTTGTTCCATCACTTTCGACCTTTCTTCCTCACGCTTCCTGTCGCGTTCCTCTCGCTCGACCATACGACGCATTTTGTTTTCCTCCTGTTTTTCTCGGTCAAATGCCTCACCCTCCGTGTAGTTACTTCTCGTGCCAAGTGCTCTGGCCATTTTGTCAAGTTCGGCCTTTTTGGCGGCTGCAATGCCATGCGTGTCAGATGGTTTCAATTTTTTCACAGATGGAGCGAGTGATGCTAAATCCTTGTTCAAAGTCGTGCGAAGTTCTTCAACTCGCGTGGTGATGGTTGCTTCATCCAGGCTGTTTAGACGAAAGTCAGAATCGCTAATGAAAACATTCAAGTACACGTACCCATCGTCCTCTAGCTGCAGTTGCAGCTCCAGACACTTGATTTCAACCTTTCGTTTTCTCTCGTGTTCCAAAATGGCCTCGTCTGGTTCTCTGTGCTTTGGGGGGGCTACATCCCAGGCAGCAGCTCGGTCTGCGGCGGTCTCGTGCACACGAAGTGTCGAGAGGTTGCGCATAACATAGCCATTTGTGCCACTACGATATAGCATCAGCATAGTGAGTTCGACCGTGGCCTAAAGAACACACCTTCCACGAGGGGTCGTTAATCCGATTCCGTTGTACATGGCGTTCCAGAGATGAAGACGGATGGAATTGGGTTCAAAACATTGATGACAAGATAGAAACGGAGATTAAAATATGGTTCAGCCGAGGACGGCATTGGGTCCATGACATGAATGTGATTTGTCATTGGTCTCCGTGTGGACGGGACGCGTTGTGGTAGCGGCAGCCAGTGACAGCCATCATAGTAGTAAGTATATAAGTAATAGCTGACCTCACGCCCCTCCCCCATAATAACTCTTTCCTTCTCCTTTCTTACATATTCCACCATTTCTGCGATCAACCTTCTCCGTAGGCCAGCAGGTGCCATGTCAGCGTCAATCCCAGCCAGTAGTTCATCTACCTTCCTCCCACTTCCCCCGGCTAGGGATATACCTGTCACATTCGCAGCGAGCTTAAAGAGCTGGTAAGTGAAATAAAGGCCAACATATGTTGCTGTCCAGCGCTCATGATTCGAGGCAGGTGGGCTGCTGGGGACAAGCAGGGTACTGCATCTGAGGAGCGCCTACTGAGGTATGCAACAGATCTCCATGCATTGAAAGTATATATATGACGTCTTTGTAGGCGACTTCCCTTCTTTGTGCCAGAGAAGATGGATTCCTCTCCGGACGACAGTCCTGTTATTGCCCACAAGGAGCGTGTGCAGCTCGCAGCACCGAAACATTTCCTAAACACCCTATCAATCAAATCCACGAGCCCATCGCCGACTGCACCACCCCCAGCCGTCGTCCTTCATGGATACGGTGCAGGTCTAGGTTTCTTCTTCCGTAATTTCCCCGCACTCGCGCAATGGGCAGGGCACCGCGGTACTGACGTCTTCGCTGTGGACTGGCTGGGCATGGGCCGCTCCGCCCGCGTACCCTTCACCATCAAAGCAAAGCGCGATGACATCTCAGGGCGTGTGAACGAAGCCGAGTCCTTCTTTATTGATTCGCTGGAGGAGTGGCGAGCCAAGATGGGCCTCGAGAAGATGACGCTGATCGGACACTCCCTTGGCGCTTATTTCAGTGTTGCATATGCACTGCGACACCCCGCCCGCGTGCACAAGCTCATTCTCCTCTCTCCTGCTGGTGTTCCTCGAGATCCGAACAACCTTACCATGCCCTCGCGCGAACTAACCGATGAAGGCGACTCAGCAAGCATAATAAGTAGTTCTGCGATCGCTTCATCCGCTGCGGAGGTTAAGCGCATACGGGAAGAGCAGAAGGCCATGAAGGAGAAGGAGAGCCGGTCAAGAAAGCTCCTCACATACCTATGGGAGGAGGGTTGGAGTCCCTTCCAAGTTGTACGCTCGACCCTCTTCTGGGGTCCCATGCTCGTAGGAAAGGTTTGGAATATGGTATTGTCAATTAGACTAGGATACTGACGTTTCTATTCTATGCAGTACTCAAGTCGCCGTTTCTCCGGTTTGACTGAAGATGAAACTCGAGATATGCACGACTACATCTTGAATATCACACTTTCTAAGGGTTCAGGAGAATATTGCATATGTAGGTTCTGCTCTTTCATATTCAATCTCTCGTCTAAATTGGGTTTCCACGTAGCTCATATCCTTGCGCCCTACGCTCACGCTCGTATGCCGCTTGTTGACCGAGTAGCCCCACTCAAGATACCAATAACCTTCATTTGTACGTATCATTTTAGCTCCGTCCCTTAAGCCATCCCTTAGTATTCTCTTAGATGGCGAGCATGATTGGATGGACCCGCAAGGTGGACTGCAGTCTCTTGAAAACCTCCGCAACGCCGGTAATTATAAGAGCAAGATGTACAATATCCCCTATGCGGGTCACCACGGTGGGTTTTCCGCCTTGTGTGTATCTTCCAGCCATCTGATCCGATTTCCTCAGTATACCTAGATAATCCTACGGCTGTGAACGAGCTCCTCGTTGCGGAACTTGACGAAGCCGGGGAGCAGCTGCATCTCTTCGCCTCCTCGCGGTCATGATAACCTAATTACGCGGGATGGTCTGGTTCAACGTTAACGTTCGCTCAGAAACGGACCATGTTCTAGTACGTAGATCCTCACGCAGACGCCTTTTTGTATTTTTGTGCACTAGAGATCATGTTTGACCACCACAATTTAATTACGACGGTCGGAGGCGCGGGGTTAATATGAATATTATATTTGGCCATCTTACGCATGCCTAAGAAGAGAACAACGAATGGTGGCACCAGTTGAGTGTAAGGTCTGCCATCGATAGTGTTGTGGGCAGAACTCTGTCATTCTGCCGCGTGGCAACCGAACTAATAACCGACTATACAGCAACTTCAAAAAGGGGGACGCTACTTCTGCCAAATCCAACAGATATATTGGTGGAATTGCGACCACCGCATCGATGGACATAATAAGAACCTCTTCGAACGCCTCACGAATGGCTTAAAATGCAGCAATTGTCCACAAGAGACTCGTGACGAGGCGCTGCAACACTTTATGAAGAAACCCGTGGGTGGAAAGGTGGCTTTGATGGCTGCAGTTATTTCTGGCGATGTGGTTGTTGAGTCCAGCGCAACTGCCCCTGTTCGCAAGCGAAAGAAGACGACTCTGCATTCGTTCCCCCGCTTGCAGCAGTCTCCGGTGACGCCAGCTTGTAGTAACATCTCGGAGGTCCAGAATCAATGTCACTTGATGTCATTAGTGATGCTGAGTTTGCTCGACTGGAAGATATTCGCAATGGGGAAAAATGATGGTCATAGATGGTCAGACTTGGAATATTGACTCGATGTTACTACTATCCAGTGGTCTTACATTCATGTAAGTAGTGATACCTCCGCCCTGATTCTGCCACATCTGCCCTGCCAGTTATGTATTCCGGTAGAACTAAACTTCAAAACAGTTCTGCCTACAACACTAGATCATATATTGTTTCACACCAAATAGCTAATAGACCTTGAATAGGTTTTTCCTACATCGCCATGATAAACAATATTCAGCACATAAAAGCAAGGCGTCTTCCTACTGTCCCCTTCAGAGTTACTTGATCCCACATCACATCCTCATAAACAATGCGTCTCTTCTTTGTCCTCGCCATTATTGCTGTGTTGACAACATCCACATCTGCTGACAATTCCGAGTCCGTTGGCCTATGTCCTGCCTTTTGCTCTCGTTCTAAAGACTGCAAGCACTGCATTCTGGGACGTCATAAATGCGTGAGTATGAGTGGTTTGCGTCATGGATTTAACCACGTGACTCACCGGCGTGGTAGAAACGCACTTTATGTGAATGATGAGTGAGTGGCATGTCGCGACAGTGAACTACAGTGAGTCGTGTTTCTGCTTTCACATCGGTGCAGTATGGTTGATGGCACGATTAGTAGTTTGATGCTGGGTTGATCAACGTGTTTGCTTCTGAACAAATTTTATTGCCGCTCGAGCAATGAGGATCTTGGAACAGAGGAATTCTCAAATACTTAAAATACTTAAAATCAATTTGTTATGTTCAATATGATTGAAGTACTTACTTACCACGCAGTTTTGTAGTCTCGCTGTAAGCTCGAACGCTGCGTTTGTTTGACTTTGTTGCTCAATAGCGTTCAACTGGTTCGCAAGCCTTCTTGCAAGTTTTGGCCATAGCTTGCGCTATCCTAGGCCTATGTCGTCGTCGTCGAGCCCAAAAAAAAACGCGAAAGCTGTCGTTTTCCTAGATTTGTGCTCCTTCTATTCTCGTCGTTTTGCGCACATGTCTGCTTCGTATTCGGCAGCTCAGCTTGAGTCTACTTCGTCTCTTGTGCCGCCCCTTGCGCTTGTCATTTCCGATCAATAACTTGACCGCAAAGGAGACTCGGTCGTATCTTCTGGTCTCCTCCGCAAGTTTTTTGAGTATCACGGTGTGTCAAGGGTGTGGTTTACCGTGCAGGAGTTATTGACGTCTTCAATGCGTGTGTCAGTCTCGAGTCTGACACAATTCTCTTTGATGCACGTGCACACGCCGTTCGTTTTTATACGTCGGACTCGCGCAATTATGTTCGCGATTTATTGCGTGTGTACTAGTGCACCGCCCTCTGTACTGATCAAATGATCGTTTTCAAGCGTCTATCGATATCTAGTGGTCTTACATCTATGTATAGATACTTCTAGTACCATTGAATCTCTTCCCCCGATTCTGCCCACAACACTAGGCCCCCGGCCCATCGAGCAGAAATGAAAATGCATAGGACTATTTAGTGATGTATAGCCTGACTAGACACGGTCATGAAACGTTCTGGGTATCTAGCTTTGATTCGTGCCGCTAGATCCTCCTCATATACCTGGTCCTGGCCTAGCTGATTTCCAAGCGTCAGCCACCTACGAAGAATTCTGGTCAGCACACTACAACCCATGTCATCAATCGCTGCCACTCACCCAGGCCGAGTATTATGCTTTCTTCCGAAAATCTCAATCTTCCGCCCACCAGGACACATCCTTTCGATCAGCCCGTACACCTCATCTGGTTTGCGACTCGTCTCGCGCACCTCGCTCACGATGACGTCAGTGTCGAGTCCGCGGTTTGCCCATGAGGGGAAAACGAGGTTTCCTGCAGCATCTGTGCGCGTTTTGACACCAACAAGCATGTGTTCTTTCGTGTGATTGAGCCAGTGACCTGTTCGGCCGGTGCGAATCACGCGCTGGAGCTATTGAGTGTAAGTAAATAGGAGGGGTGAGAGGTTAATGAGGAATGTACCTGGTTAGTCTTGACCCAGACTACTTCATCGACGCGGGTGTACCCCCATACTCGGAGGCACTCCCGACCGACTTCCATTGCACGCCCAGTGACCCAAAGGAAGAGCATTCCTTCGTCCTGGAGTGTCGGTATCGGCATGGCACGCATTTCATCGTCTGTCATCGTTCCATACGGGAGCTATTTAAAATTCACTCAGACCTCACGTACGGCGAAATGGTCTTATAAGACGCGCACGCTCATGTGTATATCCCATGGCGGATCTGCCATAATGACGTGAAATTTTCCTAGCACCGAGTAGTCAAAGCGGCGCAAGTCACAGTTGATCCACTGAGGAGGAAGCTGTGCGAACAACCTCAGCGTCAAGCAATTGAAACGCAGTCATGGTACTTACTACTTGCATGTCTCTTCCATCAGGGCCCATTCCTATCTCAATCCTGAAAGGTTTCTTTGCCCTCTGAGTTCTCCATGAATCAGCCGGAGCGATTGTCCCGTCTTTCTCATCCCAATCAATCTCGAAATGTAGATACCGACACGGCGCTTTCTCCTTTCCCCGTCCTCCTGCGCCGAGACCAGACGGTAATGATACGCGCGCTCCAGTGCCAGGTGGGAAAGGAGTAATCGAAGGTGACTGTGAGTATGTCGGCTCAGAGTAGCACGTGTTGAGGTAGGAGCAATGTCCAAGGCTGGGGTCTGTGTGCGGTCGAATGAGAGGACGGAAGTGCAAGAGGTTGCAGAATGTAGGGTTTGGCGGATTAGAAGGATCAACTTCGAAGCGGGATTTTGCGCATTCTACTTTGGTGATGTAGGTGCATATCGGCTCGAACCCACCATTGACAGATCGAAACTAGTGCTGAACGCTCAAAATAACGCATCACTTGGACATCAGTAGTACACGCACACGTTCTGCAAGTAACCGTCCCTTCGCCGTGCTCTTCTGGAGGATTGCGTAGACCTCCTTCAAGTCCTTACTTAGACTTCCTAAGGGGGTATTCGTGGACATGGGACATTCATTTTCTCCGTTGGATGATGACATCTCATCAGGTGTGCTACCAGCAGCAGAGTCTGCATCCTCGTCAATGGGTGCTCGCTTGCGCTTCCGTGGGTTGATGGCCTCGAGCACACGGGAATTCCCCAGATGGACATCCATAATGGTCAACTCGCTGCCTTCGCGCGACAGGATAATGGAGCCATGCTCCCAGTTCGATGAGAAGGCCTCGAGTACCCTTTCTACACGCGGTAAATCAGTTAGACGCGGAATATTGAGGCCTGAGGCAGATGTGGATGCCCTAAAGGATATGAGAGCCAAAAGGAAATCCATTGAAGTTAATGGGGTCGACATTCTGCCCGAAGTAAGAAATGTCTGCAAGCCCGTAGATACGAGCAGCAAGAATTCATCGTCGCTCATGTTGTTCTCGACGGCGATGACGGTGGTGAGCGATGTAAGTAGTAAGCACGTGCACTTATGAGTAGGGACCAGTGACATTCCAAAGATGGGCATGGGAAGAAAACCCGTCTACCAAAGCAAATGCAAAACTTTGTTGAAGCCACTTTGAAATTACCTAAGTTGTATAGCGACAGAGGGTAACTCAAACAGACAACGCCCTCGCCTTTTACTAGGGCGTTCCGTGGGCTGCCCTCGCTTCAATGTCGCATAGCCAATTTTTCAGCTCTCAGCTTGCTCTGAGCACACAACCGCAAGGTTGAGTTTCTCTTTTAACTTTTTTTTTGACAACATCGAGCCTTCTCTGGATTTGTCTCGTCTGTAACAACTTCAGACATCATGCAATGATAAACTCTCTGGCACATCATGATAGCAACTTTCAATACTATTACTAGTAAGTTCGGCCGTTTGCTTAATCCGAAGGAACAACTATCTTCCTTCGCCTGGTCTGGGGAGACTAGGCCGTTTGCACGATACGAGTGAGAAATTTGAATTTTGCATCCACCGCGGTTTCTAACCTGACGTCCTAAACCCATTTCGACGGCGCAATCGTGTGTCTTCGTTTGATCAGAGGAGCCATATCACATGAAGAGCACTGCGGATTCTACTCTCCGGACCATGGAGTTGAGACATTTGTCATTAAGATTGTAGAGGGTGAGAGTGTCAACGTTTCTAGACAATATTAAGTCATCCCCGCGATCCCCGGCCAGCACTAGTCTGCTTTCCGTCACAGTATCTCGACAGAAGGGTAGGCGTATTTGCCAATCTAGTTTTTGTCAGGATACGCTTCAGCCCCCTTAGCCCCTTAACGTTCACTTTTCCTACGTTCTCCCTCCACCATATCGTTTGTCAATTGTAGTAGGCCCTCCCTCAGCCTTTTAAGTGCAGATTCAGTACCGAACATCCTCGTCATCCGAGTATGCATGAGTCTATTTCAGCGTCCCAGTGGGGTACCCCTACAGCTTCCAGGCGGGCTCTGCTCATTCATGGTGCGACTATGTCCTCGCATTCATGGGAGGGCCTTGCTCAGCTATTAGTAGCAGAAGGTTAGTAATGCTACGGTAACGATGGTCTGTTTTAACAGCTTATTCAGGGTTCTTTGTCGTGGCGCCCAATCTCCTTGGGCACGCATGGAGACGGGGCACTGACTATCGTATGTCCACCCTTGCAGAGGACCTGAGACCGTATTTCGTCATGGACACGTCCTACGACGTGATTATAGGGCATTCTCTTGGAGGCACAACGGCCTTGGCGCTCTTGCCATTCTTGCCACGAACCAAAGAAACCACTGTCATACTCGTGGATCCCCCCCTCGAGCTTACAGAGGAGCAAATCAACATGTATCACAATTTGTCTCTGGAGGGGGTTTTGAATGTCAGAACCGCCGACGAACACATGGCCGACAATCATGCTTGGTCACGACGTGATTGCTTGTCAAGAGCGCTTGGAGCCTCCATGTGTGATCGCACTGTTATCGAGGGGATATTTAGGGTAATATTTCAAATGTTAACATGAGGAGCATTGCTGACCAGTTGTGTGGTTATTATTAACAGGATAACAATCCATGGTCTTTCAGCGGGCTGTTGAACGGAATCCCCCCTAACGTGAAAATCACCGTGCTGGCATCGCTCGATGGTATTTGTTATATGGAGCAGATCCCTCGTGATGTGGAGAGATTGAATGCTAGAGTTATTAACAACACCGGTCACTGGATTCAATATGAGCGTCCGGATGCTATCATGGATGAAGTTCCGCTAGCAAGAGCAAAATTATGAGCTAGGCGAGGAAGAGATGGATTTTTATAGTGTAGTTCTTGTCTGTACTGCATTCAATCATGTACTTGTTATTGATCTTCCCTCTGGGTTGTGGTAGTTTCACAGCAATTCCAGAAGTATGCCGCCATTCCCTCATTTAGTTGCGCCCGCTAGACAAGTTATTGTCACCCGACAACACGAACTCGACACTCACTGATGGGCCATGTTTGCTTCATACGCACACTCACCAAATGGGCACTCTGATATGCCACTCGCTTATTTAGACAGATACATCATCCCCGCTCGCTTCGCTCTCGTTTCTCCACAATGCATGTCAAATCCTCGGCTGCCTGAGCCCCACATTCAAATGCGGACCGTTCCGTAATAGCGGTGATTCGTGGCATGAGCGATAGGTATATGTGCTATTTTTGATCTAGTCTCCAGTGCCTTATGACACAGTCAGACATGATCAAGCTTAAGTTTCCTACGCTCTTCCACACCACTGTCCCGATTGTCAGTTCTAGCAGGCCTTCCCTCAACCTATGCACACGTCCATGTCAGCGTCCCAGTGGGGTTCCCCCACCGCTTCCAAGCGAGCCCTTCTCATTCATGGAATGACTATGTCCTCGCATTCATGGGAGGGCCTCGCTCAGATATTGGCAGCAGAAGGTCAGGTTTCGTTAAAGTATGGCGATGATCATTTTTAACAGATTGATCAGGGTACTTCGTCGTAGCACCGAATCTCCTTGGGCACGCATGGAGACGGAGCACTGACTATCGTATATCCACCCTTGCAGAGGACCTGCGACCGTATTTCGTCACGGACACGTCCTACGACGTAATTATAGGTCATTCTCTTGCGGGCCCAGTGACCTTGTCACTCTTGCCGTTCCTGCCCAAAACGAAAGAGACCACCGTCATACTCCTCGATCCTGTCCTCGAAATTGCAGAGGAGAGAATCGAAATGCATACCAATAGGTTTCTGAAGGAGATTGCGAATGTCAGAACCGCGGACGAGCACATGGCTGAGAATCATGCTTGGTCACGACGTGACTGCGTGTTGAGAGCGCTGGGAGTTTCCATGTGTGATCGCACTGTTGTCGAGGGAATATATGGGGTAACATTTCAGGTGTTAAAATTAGAAGTATTGCTGACAATGTGTGCGGGTTGTTGTTATTAACAGCATAACAGGCCATGGTCTTTCAGCGGGTTGCTCAAAAACATCCCCCCTAACGTGAAGATCACCGTGCTGGCATCAGACCCAACGCTTAATGCTAGGTGTTATTTGGAGCATATCCCTCGTGACGTGGAGAGATTGAATGCTAGAGTTCTTACCGGCATCGGTCACTGGATTCAATACGAGCATCCGGATGCTATTATGGATGTAGTTCCGCTACCAAGAGCAAAGTTGTGAGTTGAGCGAAGAGATGGGTTTTTGCGGTGGTGTCTGTGTATAACTGTCACATCCTCGTTATTGATCTTTCTCTCAGACTGTGTTACAAGTTGAGTTAACTAGTTTCACAGCAATTGTACGAAAAAAAAATTCCCTCACCCAGTAGCGCCCGCTAGACAAGTTTTCTTCGCCCTAAACACGAACCGAGACTCACTGATACGCTGGTCGTTGCATACGCAAACTCACCAACTGGACGATATGCCCTGGTATGCCATTCTCGTATTTAATAGAACCTCATCTCCGTTCGGTTTCCTCTCGATGCTCCGTCAATGCTAATTGTGGCTGCCTGAGCTGCGCATTCAGATGCGGACCGCGCTCCGTTCTGCATAAGTGGCGTCTTTAAGAGATACCCCTTGTGCCCTTTACTAGATCACTTTTCCTACGCTCTTCCTCCACCATTCCTCCCCTTTTCAGTGCAGACTGAGTGCCAACCTCTTCAATCTTATCTACCGCGAGGTTTTGAACACATCCCGGCCGTCTGAGTGTGTAAATGTCCATTTCAGCATCTCAGTGGGGCTCTCCTACCGCTTCCAAGCGGGCTCTGCTCATTCATGGTTTGGGTATGTCCTCGAATTCCTGGGAGGGCGTCGCCCAGCTGTTGGCAGCAGAAGGTCAGGTTTTGTTATATCATGGTAATAATCATTTTTAACATGTTGACCAGGGTACTTCGTCGTAGCGCCGAACCTTATTGGACATGCATGGAGAGGGGGCACTGACTATCGCGTGTCTGGCTTTGCAGAAGACCTCCGACAATATTTTGACATGGACACGTCCTACGACGTGATCATAGGTCATTCTCTTGGAGGCCCAGTGGCCTTGTCGCTCTTGCCATTCTTACCCAAAACGAAAGAAACCACTGTCATACTCCTCGATCCCTCCCTCGAGCTTACAGAGGAGATGGTCAAAGTAAACAAAAATAGGTTTCTGAAGGAGATGATGAATGTCAAAACTGCCGAAGAGCATATGGCTGAGAATCCTGCTTGGTCGCGACGTGACTGTGTGTTAAGAGTGCTGGGAGTCACTATGTGCGATCCCACTACTGTCGACGTTTTTCGGGTAATGTTTCCGAGTCGAAATGAGAAGGATTGCTGACAGATTCTGTGTTTGGGTCGAACAGCTAAACTCACCATGGTCTTTCGGTGGGCTGTTCAACAACATCCCGTCTAACGTCAATATCACCGTGCTGGCAGCAGATCCGGAGCTTCGTGCTACCTGTCTTTTGGAGCATGTCCCTCATGACGTGGAGAGACTGAATATTAGAGTTCTTACCGGCGTTGCTCACTGGATTCAATACGAGCGTCCAGATGCTATCATGGATGCAATTCCGCTACCAAGAGTAACGTGATTATGAGCTGAGCGAACAAAGAAAAGATGGTTCTTAAGTTTATGTACTTGTTGTTGATCTTCCTACCAAGATTATCTTGTTGGTCTCCCTTAGGCAGACTATAGATCAATGAAGGGAGTCGTTCCTTCTCTACTAAGGAACTGAGCCCTATACCGCAGTGCGGAGTTTTGCGCTCGCCGCTGTCCGGCATATCACGTGTGTCGGCAATCACGCGTTGATTGGAACTTTGACAGACTTTGACGACGCGTCTTGCAATTGTAAGCATACCTGAAATTTGAAATCTTATAGCATGCCTAGTCACTCTTTCAATATGTATGGAACTTTCATTCGGGACGACTTCCCTTTGTTTCCGACTCCTCATCTCTCGTGCACTCTGCCAGCCCTTAACACCACGCCAACCTTTCGTTCAAGTTCCCGTTCACCTCCGCCAGCGCCACGCAAGAAACGGTCGCATGTTGACGACGAAAAATTCCTCCCCAAGATACTCCGTTCGTGCAATCGTCCCTGCACATAGCCCAGGAAGCAGGTATCAGTCTGCCAACAAGACTCAGAAGAAACACCATGTTTCCCCACGGACCTGGGCGGAGAAACTCAATATTATCTTCGACGCGCTTAAATTTGTTTATCGGACTCTCTGATCTACTTTTGAGTTCACTAGTTTCCCAGCAATTCCTGGAGTACGACGCTATTCCCTCACCTAGTCGACGCTATTCCCTCAGAGTACGACGCTATTCCCTCACCTAGTCGCCCCCGGTTTCTTCCCCCCTCGAGACTTACCGATCGTTTGTTACAATGATACGCAAATTGAACGATACTTATGTCCTGATATGACACTCGCCGTAAAATTCGTCATCCAGGTCAGCTTGCTCTCGCTGCCTGTCCATCATGTCAAATCGCGGCTCCCTGAGTCGCACATCCAGACGCGTGTGGACTGCATTCCGTTCCGTACATATAATTGGCGTCTTCGAGAGAGTGATATGTAAGCACATGTGATTTTTCTAGTCGCTTTATGACCATGTCACCTTTTGCCTTCACACGATCACTTCTAAGTCTTCCTACACTCTGAAGTTCCTCCACCATGCCCTCGCTCAGCCTTTTAAGTGCAGACTGAGTGCAGAACCTCTTCGTTCCTACAACCTTGTCCTATTGCTAGCTCTTCCGCCATCTGAGTGTGTACATGTCGTTTTCAGCGTCCCAGTGGGGTTCCCCTACCGCTTCCAAGCGGGCTCTGCTCATTCATGGTTTAACTATGTCCTCGCACTCATGGGAGGGCCTTGCTCAGCTATTAGTTGCAGAAGGTTAGTTTTTGTAATACTACGGTGATGATTTTTAACCCGCTATTCAGGGTTCTTTGTCGTGGCGCCCAATCTCCTTGGGCATGCGTCGAGACGGGGCACTGACTATCGCGTGTCCGCTTTTGCAGAAGACCTCCGACCATATTTCGTCATGGACACGTCCTACGACGTAATTATCGCTCATTCTTTTGGAGGCCCAGTGGCCTTGTCGCTCTTGCCATTCTTGCCCAAAACGAAAGAAACCACTATCATACTCGTTGATCCCGTCCTCGAGGTTGCGGAGGAGAAACTCAAAGTAAACAGAAACTGGTTTCTAACGGAGATGGCGAATGTCAGAACTACCGAAGAGCATATGACGGAGAATCCTGCTTGGTCGCGGCGTGACTCCGTATTGAGGGCGCTAGGAGTCTCTATGTGCGATCCCACTGTTGTCGAAGTTTTCCGGGTAAATAGTTCAGGTGTCAAATGGGAGGCATTGCTGACAGATTCTGCCTTCGTGTTGAACAGCAAAACTCACCATGGTCTTTCAGTGGGCTGTTCAAAAACATTCCCCCTAACATCAATATTACCGTGCTGGTGTCGGATCCGAAGTTCAGCGATAGATGTTATTTGGAACACGTCCCTCGTGACGTAGAGAGACTGAATGCCAGAGTTCTTACCGGCATTGGTCACTGGATTCAATACGAGCGTCCGGACGCTATCATGGATGTAATTCCGCTTTCAAGAGCAAAATTGTGAGCCGAGCGAAGAGATGGTTTTTGTTGTGTAGTTTGTCTGCAACCGTCACATCCAATCATATGCTACTATTGCTATTGATCTTCAACCCGCAGACTATGTTGCTTGAGTTAAGTAGTTTCACAGCAATTCCAGAAGTATGACGCGATTCCGAGCTCACCTCGTCGCGCCAGCTAGATAAGTTTTCTTCGTCCGCAGACGCGAACTCAAAACTTCCCGATGGGCCGTGTTTGCTACATACGTTAAACAATTTTGAATTGGTCTGGACGATATGCCCTGACATGCCACTCTCTTATTTAGGCAGGTACGCCATGCCCGGTTGGTTTGTTCTCACCGCTCTGTCAAGTCGCGCGATTACCGGCTGTCAGAGCCCCACATTCAGATGCGGACGGTTCCGTATCAACGGTGATTCGTGGCGTCCTCCAGAGAGTGATAGGTACGTGTACTGATTTCTTCAGTACCTTATGACCCTTTCAGATACGCCTCACGTCCTCACACTTCCTACGCTCTTCCATACCATCCCGTTTGTTGTTTCTAGTAGGTCCTACTCAGCCTTTGAAGTGCAGACTGGGTATCTTTGTTCCTACAACCTTCTCTGGCCTTCTCCAATTAAACATATCCAAGTCGTCTGAGTATGCACACGTCCAATTCAGCGTCCCAGTGGGGTTCCCCCACAGCTTCTAGGCGGGCTCTTCTCATTCATGGCATGACCATGTCCTCAAGTTCCTGGGAGGGCATCGCTCAGCTATTGGCAGCAGAAGGTCAGATTGTGTTATATCATGGTGATAATGATTTTTAACAGGTTGATCAGGGTACTTCGTCGTAGCGCCGAACCTCCTTGGGCATGCATTCAGGAGACGGAGCACTGACTATCGCGTGTCTGCTTTTGCAGAAGACCTCCGGCCATATCTCGCCATGGACATGTCCTACGACGTAATTATTGCTCATTCTTTTGGAGGCCCAGTGATTTTGGCGCTCTTGCCATTCTTGCCCAAAACGAAAGGAAACCACCATCGTACTCGTTGATCCCGCCCTCGAGCTGACGGAGGAGACAGTCAAAGTAAACACAAACTGGTTTCTAGAGGAGATGGCGAATGTCAGAACTGCCGAAGAACACATGGCTGAGAATCCTTCTTGGTCACGCCGTGACTCCGTGTTAAGAGTACTAGGAATCGCTATGTGCGATTCCACTGTTGTCGAGGTTTTTCAGGTAATATTTTTAGGTGTCAAAATAGCAAGCATTGCTGACAGATTCTGTCTTTGTGTCGAACAGCAAAATTCGCCATGGTCTTTCAGCGGGCTGTTCAAAAACATCCCCCCCAACGTAAAGATCATGGTGTTGGTATCAGATCCGCAGCTCACCAATATATGTCATTTGGAACACATCCCTCACGATATGGAGAGATTAAATGCTAGAGTTCTTACCGGCACTGGTCACTGGATTCAATACGAGCGTCCGGATGCTATCATGGATGCAATTCTGCTACCAAGTGCAACATTGTGAGCCGAGTGAAGAAGATATGGTTCTGCGGTATAGATTTGTCTACAACTGCCACATTCAACCGTACGCTTGCTGCCAGTAGTTATTGATATCCCCCCCAGACTGCTTAAGAAAGTAAGTAGGTCCACGAAGACAATGCAATCATATTCAGTCCATAGTATGTCGTCACACTATATCTAGGAGATGTCTATACGGTTTATTCAACTGCTCCCTACAACAGACACTGCTGAACGACCTGCAACATGTCCGTCACCAACACTTCCAGTAGGCTACACGAGCACGCGTGCAACTATTCAGCCCAAGGGTGCTGCCGAGACTACAGAGACGGCACGATATACTTATCAATATCGACGGCTTCAAACGACGCAGCTTGATCGACGCTAAGGTGACTGTGCAAGTATAGTAATATGCGTAGTGGTAGGCTCGGTACTATCCACAACCGCATGTTACAGCTGGTCGCCGCTTGTTAAGTATAAAAGCAAATGATCGATCCCCCAAGGACAAGGTTAACAGTGACTGGTACCGGACTAACTTCAGAAGCAAGTATTTCACCGTTCTCTCACCCTGGCGGGGACATTGCACACCTAGCTGTGACTATATCCTTTATGTTGTCGACGATCATCCTCTTGACCCAACAGACGACCTCTAGCCGACATTTCGCAGCTCGTGTCTCCGTTTCGTGGCAAGCTGCGAGAGTGCTCCATAAGTAATTAGGTGCGAACAGATGTAGATGTAAAATGTACTTTTGCAGCGCTAACACGCAGAAGCCCGCGCTGCCTCTCGTGCACACTCCCCTACAGCCATGTGAACCGGCCTGCGCTATCTCGTTTTAGAGAGATCGAGTACTCCTTCGCTTACATAATTTCATCTACCAGAGTTAACGATGATATACCCCAGCAGTTTTCGTACTTATTTAAGCAGACGTGTCATGAGCGCTGAGCCCCGGATCCCGGTCGGTTTGTTCCCAGGTGGCTGAGCGCCGCAGGCCGAATCTTTTTTGTCAAATGGTGATTCGTGGCATCTCTTAGCAGAGGAATAAGCATAATGACATTTGTTTTCAGTGTCTTATGGCTATTCCGTTCAGGATATATCGCATGTCCTTGATATGCTGACTCTTCCCTATGTGCCGCTTCCTGCTCTAGCTCCTCCCTTGGTCATTTAAGTCAAGATTGAATGACGAACCTCTTCGTCCATGTGGCTCCACTCGCAAGATTCGGACCATATCCAAGCCATCTCAGTATGTGCGCGTCCGTCCATTTCAGCGTCCCAATGGGGTTCTCCCACTGCTTCCAGGTGAGTTCTGCTCATTCAAGGGAGGGTATCGCTCAGCTATTAGCAACAGAAGGTTAGGTTTTTTATGCTACAGCGATGATATTTTAACAGGCTATTCAGGGTTCTTTGTCGTGGCGCCGAATCTCCTTGGGCATGCATGGAGACGGGGCACCGACTATCGCGTGTCCGCCCTTGCAGAGGATCTCCAGCGGTATATGGACACGTCCTATGACGTGATTATTGATCACTCCCTTGGAGGTCCAGTGGCCTTGTCGCTCTTGTCATTCTTGCCCCAAACGAAAGAAACCACCGTCATGATCCTCGATCCCGTCCTCAAACTTACAGAGAAGAAAATCAAAATGCATAAAACTTGATTTCTGAAGGAGGTTGCGAATGTCAGACCCGCCGAGAAGCATATAGCTGGGAATCCGGCTTGGTCACGACGTGATTGCGTGTTAAGAGTGCAGGAAATCTCCATGTGCGATTACACTGTTGTCTAGGAGATATTTCAGGTAATATTTCAGGTGTCGAAATGAGAAGCATTGCTGATAATTTTTGCCGTTGTTGTAAACAGCAAAACAAGCCATGGTCTTTCAGTGGGCTGTTCAAGAACATCCCCCTTAACGTGAAGATCACCGTACTGGCATCAGACCCGGTGTTCGGTGCTGCTCGTCTTTTGGAGCACGCCCCTTGTGACGTGGAGAGATTGAATGCTAGAGATTAGTCACTGCGTTAACTACGAGCGTCCGGATGCTATCATGGACGCAATCCCGCTACCAAGAACAGAGCTATGAGCCGTACGAAGGAGAGGCAGTTTCCGCGGCGTAGTTTGTGTCTACAACATAGTCCGTTGTTCGTACATTGTCTTTTGTTCTCGGTTCACGCTTGCTAATTGCCTTTGAACGTACTTCCTATACATATTGAGTAATTCAATACATGCGAAGGTAAGTCCGAGTGCCCTAACATGCTCTTTACTGGCGGGCATCTGAGTTCCCTGTAAGTCCTTCTTCCTTCATGTCTTCGCCCAGGGTGTAACATCTATTCGCAAAGTTAACGATACAGTGCCTTGAATGGATCGCACTAGTAACATACAAACTCCGCTAAAAGCATTATATAAGTGAGAACTATGAACATTTCAAGTTGAGTACTAGTATTAATAGGCCAGACCTCACTATGACCACTGTCCCGTCTGCAAGTCGATGGGGATCCCCTACTGCAAGTAGGACAGCACTCCTCATACATGGCTTTAATTCATCTTCGCATACGTTCCACCGCGTTGCGTCGGCGCTCGCAGCCAAAGGCTGGTCTTCCTCGCTAGAGCCTTTTCATAGAGCTAATCACGATTCACGATAACATCATAGGATACTTGGTCGTTGCTCCTAATCTTCTTGGACATGCTCTGAGGAATCCTGGAGTTGACTTTCAAATGCAGACATTGGCAGACGACCTCTTGCCCTATCTTGAGGCTGCTGAGTATGACATCGTCATAGGCCACTCAATGGGCGGGCTTGTGGTATTATCGCTTCTCAAGTACCTGCCGAAAGCCAAACCCACTTCAGTCGTTCTCATCGACTCCTCTCTGGAAGTGACTGCAGAGCAGAGGGTGGATCGGACAGTTAAGTTTTTCGACGATGTCAGAACTAACCCCACCGTAGAAGATTATATGACATCGAATCCTCTATGGACGAGAGAGGATGCCATTTGGAGAGTGTTGGGAACCAAAGTTGGCAGGGTGACCAACTACAATGACCACGTCGATGTGAATTTGATTGCGAGTGGTGTTCCAGAGTCGACGGCGCTGATGGTTTGCTACAGGACAACGTGCCCTGGTCATTTTCACATTTGATCGCCGACAAGTCTGCTGCTGTCGCATTGACGATCTTGATCGCAGATCCACGACTCAATGGTTCTTCCAGGCTGGAGAGTGTCGCAAAAATCAAAGATGTTAGAACAGTGATCGTTCCAAGTGCCTCCCACTGGATACAGTATGAATTCCCAGACGTGATTGTTGAAGAGGCGCTAAGGAGTATCGAAGAGTAAGACGATGGATAGGAGTAAAGCCTGCATAGTCCCGATATTACATACCACCTTGATGTGTACTAGTAGTACGATGGTCATCTTCTTGATCCAACAGACGACCTCTAGACGGCATTTTGCAGCCCGTGTCTTCGTTTCGCAGCAAGCTGCGAGAGTGCTTCATAGGTGCACGAAGATCTAAAATGTACTTTTGCAGCGCTAGTGACACGTAGTAGAAGCCAGCGCTGCCTCTCGGACACAGTCCCCTATAGCCCCGTGAAGCGGCTTGCGCTATCTCGTTTTGGAGACCGAGTTCTCATTCGCTTGATTTCATCTACCAGAGTTGACGACGATATGCCCCGGTAGTTGTAGTTTTCGTATTTAAGCAGACGTGTCACGAGCCCCGAGTCCCGCTCAGTTTGCTGTCAGGTGCCCAAGTGCCGCAGGCCGGTTTCGCTCCATCAAGTGGTGATTCGTGGCATCTCTCAGGAGTCAGTAGAGGGGTGAGCATAGTGATATTTAGTATTTCTGGGTCAGGAATTAGACTGACAGGATTACCGTACGTCTTTTTCGAACTGCGCTAATAGTGAGTCTCAGATCATTGGAGTATTCCGAAATGATGGCCTTGACCTCACTATTAGTATGACCACTATCCCGTCCTCAAGTCAATGGGGATCCCCAACTGCAAGCAGGAGAGCACTCCTCATACATGGTTTTAATTCGTCTTCGCACACGTTCCACCGCGTTGCGTCGGCGCTCGCAGCCAAAGGCTGGTCTTCTTCGCTGGAGCCTTTTCACAGCGCTAATATAATATCATAGGATACTTGGTCATTGCTCCTAACCTTCTTGGACATGCTCTGAGGAATCCTGGAGTTGACTTTCAAATGCAGACATTGGCAGACGATCTCTTGCCCTATCTTCAGGCTGCTGAGTATGACATCGTCCTGGGCCACTCATTGGGCGGGCTTGTGGTATTATCGCTTCTCAAGTACCTGCCGAAAGCCAAACCCACTTCAGTCGTTATCATCGACTCCTCTCTGGAGTTAACCGCAGAGCAGATGGCGAATATGAGAGTTATGTTTTCCAGCGATGTCAAAGCCAACCCCACCGCGGAAGATTATATGGCATTGAGTCCTCTATGGACGAGAGAGGATGCCATGTGGAGAGTGTTGGGAACCTCCATCAGCAGGGTGACCAACTCCGATGGCTACATCGATGTGAGTTTGAGTGCGAGTAGTGTTCCAGAGTCGACGGCGCTGATGGTTTGCTACAGGACAATGCGCCCTGGTCATTTTCACATTTGGTCGCCGACAGGCCTGCAGCTGTCGCATTGACGATCTTGATCGCAGACCCGCGACTCAATGGTTCTTCCAAGCTGGAGAGTGTCGCAAAATTCAACGATGTCAGAATAGTGATCGTTCCAAATGCCTCCCACTGGATACAGTATGAATTCCCAGACGTGATTGTTGAAGAGGCACTAAGGAACACCGAAGAGCAAGACGATGGGCAGTAAATACTGCATGATCCCAACATCACATATTACCTTGATGTAGAAGAATCCAACCCTGAATGAATGTTAGCTTTAATTGACGAAAACCTCTGCATCTTCATCCCATCCCAATGTCTCTGTAGCAATTCCAAGCTGCCGGAGCATCGTACCCATGGTATTCCTTGCTTGCTCGTCATCTTCTGAGTGGATCTTGTTGATATAGCCTTCGTCCAAGAGATTCTCTGTAGCAGTATCCATCTCGTTCTCTGGACAGCCTTCGTGTTTGACGCCAGGGGAGTCCCAACCCCAGTTCTGGTCCCGGGAGCCCACTTTGCCCTTGCTTGCGCCCCCATCCCACCCCCAAGTTCCGTTGAAACCGTTCCCATTACCTCGTGACCCGTCTCCCTTGTTCGCAGAATCATTCACCAAATCCCAAAGCTCATACGCGACCTCCCTCCCTGCTTCTGTCCATTTCTTGACAAGCCCAACGAGTGTCTTCTCCTCGTCGTTCTCTTTCACTTTAACCGCGCGCCTAAGAAGTTGTAATTTCCTTTCTAGCGACTGGACCGTAGGCGTCAGTCGAATGGACGATCCTCTACCGGACGATGCAGAAGCAGAAGAGCTTAACGGAGATTTGAATTGTGACGCCGCTTTGAGAGTGCGAACTCTTGTCTTAGCTGGTGTTACGGATGGAGCTGCATGGGCATGCTGTAATTTCCGAGGTGTGATAGGCAATTTTGGAGCTGGTGGTGGAGCCAGAAGAACCAATAAAGGATTCTTAGCCTTGGACAGATCCTCCGATGGTGTATTTTCATCCTTATTCAGGATCAAAGGTGAACGAAACGGAGCGATGAGTTTCTTGAACTGCTGCTGCTGAGACGCCAAGGTAGCGCGCTTTGGAGCTGGTGGCAGATAGACTTTACCATCGTGCGTTTTCTGGAGGCGTACTCGAGTAAATTACGGCGCATCGTAGAGAAGAGAAACCATTCTAGTTACCATGCGTTTAGCCGACCGGGTGTCTTCCAGGCTTGGAGGTACGTCCTTGGCATGCAGGGGAAGGGTTTCGACCTAATCAAGCATTCAAGTCGGCAAATTTGATAGAGCGTTCTAGTCTACCTGTTCTTCCGACCACGGTCGCTTCTGCGGCAACGGGTTGACCTCCTGCTCCTGGTTGTCGTAAGGGCCCTTGTTAGTTTGGGGACTTCCCCCCTGAATGATGAGATGTTCGAGCTTGTGCTATTTGTCCATGCGGTTTAACGTAGCTGGATTTCCGAAGAAAATAATTACAAACCTTCTCTTGCTGGTAATCTGCGTCAGTATGATCGTCGTCATTTTCACAAGGCTCTTCCACGGTATCTGGGTGGATCACATCTGGAGGACTGATTAGATCTTGATCGTCTGATTCCATTATCATAGCCTTGAACTTGTCAGCAGAGACGCAACGAGAATCACGACGCATATACCCTGTCTTCAACTTTGTAATCATCTCCAGTTTCGATGAGCGACGACTGAGATGAGGCAAACGGGGACGAAGAAAAAATCTGTGGAGGACTGGAGCTGGGAGGCAAAGAAGACGATAGTGCGTTATCTAGTGGGGAGTTCAATGGTGCTTCTTCATCTACTTCACATGGCTGAAGGACAGGTAACTGAGTTGTCATGCCGCTGGGTTGACGACGGATTATCTGTAGGTCGCTCGTGTCGACGTCGACCAATTCTACATGGGGAGTATATCTCCACGAGGTAAAAGGAGGGAGAGATGCATTGGGGGTCTGTATTTTGCGTTAGCTAGCTCCAGATAGCAACACAAGTATGTACGCCTACTTCATCTGTTTGAAGTGTTCCCTCGTTGGTGGTAGTACCGGACGGCGCTGCTAAAAATGAGGGATTCGTCGCAGGATCTGCGACGTGAATGGGGGGGAAAGATCCTAGTTTATCGTAAAGTAAATGCACTCCGTAGCATTGGCTAAGACAAAGTACCTGTATCGTGTTCAGGATCATTCAGGTCACTGGAATGTGGGGGTAGAGGGGAGAAGTCGGAAGGCAGCTGTGATGCAGGTGACTCTTCAGCCAACTATGCATATATACCCATGAATCAGTAATTTGTCAAGCAAAAAGAGACCAAAAACTTGCCTCGTGGTTTTCCGAGAGCGGCTTGTCCTGCGCACATAATGAGTCAACAGGAACCTGGATGTATGCGCGTGATGTCGCGCTAATGTCATCATGGGAGTCATTGGAAGTAAGAGCATCAGTAAGTTCTGTCGTTGGTTGTTCAGCAGTTGTCTCCATATCTAAAGCAATGAAAATATGTGACTGTAGGGTAATGAGCACTGCACTAGTGGTGAAGAGATATTCAAGACGCGTCTCATCAAGACCACGAGAATGGTCACGTGCTCATGAAGTAGCCAGCTATATTTGGATCGCGAGCTTGCAGTCACACAATATTAATATTGAAGACAAGGGTAAAGAAATACGGTCTTTTAACAAATCCAGGGAGGACTACTTTCGCAGAGAGCGGACACGTGGATCACCCCGTTCCGAGCGTTTTCGCAGTTTCTCTTGCCTTTTGCTGAGCGTTTCCTTCTCGCCGCCCCCCTTCAGCAGCGCTCGCACTGGACCGACCGAGCATCGGCCCAATAAAGTTACTCCACAGCTTGTACCCGGCGTACGATGGGATCTGGTAAGGCAAGATTAGTTTGTAACCATATGATCAGGGAACACATGCACTCACAATGAGGTAAAACCACCAGAACCAGTCCCCAAAAGCCCCACTGCCGATTTGACATGCCCCTGGACACAGACCATGTGTTCAACCGAGCCGTTAGAGTGGTATTAACTCACAAGTGACATAAAGTATATCGAAACACCATTCTGTTACTCCCGGTTGATTAAGGTCTTCTCCAGGGGATATAAGTGCTCCAGTTGTCGGGTCTCGCCTTGTGGTGCCCATCCTTTCGAGATAGCGTGAAAGGAACAAGGCAGGGAGATATGTCACGAAGTAGATTGCCAGCGAGCCTTTGGATGGAGGAAGAGAGCTTCGCCGGAATAAAAGACGGAAGAATACAGAGAGTATGGTTGGGATGAACATTCCGAGCCTTAGATTTCGGAGGGCCTGCTCATTTTGTAGCGCTAGAAAAGAAAAGTTGTAAGTTTTCAAAAAGAACGTCGAGTTGTGCGATGAAATCGTACCAATGCGCTTTGCTGCACCGTGAGCCATGATGGTGGATGGCCTACAAGCGTGTTGAACCCATTTTGTGCACGCGTCCCTAAATTAGCTCCCGCGTCGTGCTTCAAATTCTAGGCGTCATGAACTCGAAGTCACCATCTCATTGGACGACACTATCTTGAGCTCATGATGGCGCAGGCAAATTGCTCAGAGACTGTGAAAGAGGCCGTCCAGGCCAACAAGGACCACCAACACGCCTTAAAAGTATATACCGAAAGACTCGAGGCAGAGCTTCACACTGTAGACAAACTCCTGGTGTGTCTTCTACGCATTTCCCGCTGACTCGGCTTCAATAATGTTCCTAGGAAACTGCCGATGCTGATCTAGACGGCGAACCAGATATCGATGTTGGAGGCTACGTCCTCATCCCAGGCTCCGTCAAGGCATCTGGACTCTTGACACCGAATGAATTGCTTTCAGAGGTAATAATCGTACCCTTTTTTTCTCCTGCTGCTGACGCTTTTTCCAGAACTCTCCGTTCTATGAGGAGGCTGCACGACGTAGTCGATATCTCAGCTTGACAGAGGTTCATTCCAGTGTGTTATTTGAGGTATTTCGCTATTCACCCCCCTGATTCGTAGCTGCAGTGACCAAAAAGGACCTTGAAACTCTGAGGGAAGCTGTGAGGACCGAAAACTACCGCATGCACGCTCTGGATGCTCAAAGGAGGTTCGTCTAGCTCTACGTATGAGATGGCCTTCCCAATTTCTCCTCCAGAGGCAATCCTGTTTTTGCAAGTTTGAGTGATCAACCACAAAACTATCTCGAGCTGAATAAAGAGGGCCTTGATTGGGATCGCATCGCAGAGAAGGTACGTTTAGAAACCTAATAGCCATAACTCGTTGTTGACATGCTTGCGCTAGGTTTCTTCAGCATCCATGTATACGCGTACACCAAGAGAGTGCGAGATACGCTGGCTGGGCGAGCAGCACCCAGATTTCAATCATGGTCCTTGGACAGAAGACGAAATCACCAAACTCAAAGAAATCGTCGCCGAATACGGAGACGAACAAGTGGACTGGGAGGCAGTGGTGGATAAACTCGGGGTACGTCTACTTTTCTAACTGACAGGAAAATAACGACGATATACACATGATAGACTAAACGAACGCCGCTGGACTGCATGATACATGGCACGACGCGAAAGATTCATCTGTGGACCCCGGAGTCTGACGAGCTTCTGTTGAAAGCTGTTGCTACTTTTGGTCACGATAACTGGTCTGTAGGTGTGTGTATTCCGACATTACGGACTTGTGTACGCGCTCATAAACTCTACTGTACAGTTGCCTGTCAAGTCTCCGAAGATGCTACCCCTGGCCAGTGCCAGAACCGCTATCAACGCACTGTTGACCCTGCTCTAAAGCACAAAGCATGGTCCGATGAAGAGGACTCGCGTTTGCGTCTCGCAGTCCAAGCGCATGGTACTTCCTGGGTGGATGTCGCATCGTTTGTGCCAGGTCGTCATAATGATCAGTGTCGTGATAGATGGAATGATATCCTTAACCCTACGGTAACCAAAGGGAAATGGACCGAAGAAGAAGACCGGGATCTTTTGGCCGTAGTACAGCGAATAGGGATTTCAAGCTGGAAGGAGATCAGCAATCAGCTGGGCAATGGACGCACCGATAGCATGGTAACGTTCACCCCTTCAGAGACCTACGTCTCTTACTTTTGGCTTTTAGTGTCGAAACAGGTATAATACTCTCCAACGGCCAAAGCCAACCAAGATGCAACCTCAAACAGCAACTTTCAGCGTAATCGCTCAACCGTCGATGGACATCGCAGCAGAGTCTCGAAAGAGAAAAGCATTAACCCCTGCTGACGAGTCCACGAATGAATTCGTGCCCTCTGAGGATGCGCCAGAGCCTAGAACGGCAGGTATACATGTAACCACGCGGACGGCTGATTCGGCCATAATGTTCCTTGATCCGGTCATCAGCGTCGATCCTGAAACTCACAAGAAACGCACCCGAGAAGTTCTAGGGATGGCCAGCAGCAAGACATCGGCAAAGGCGAAGTCAAAGACAAAGAATTCTGTCGCTACAACCACCCCCGAGGACGTTGGCGATCCATCTGCATCTACCAAAAGAGGCGGAAGAAAGAAAAAAGCTCATATACAACCTGCATCCGAAGAAATGCCAGTCAAGAAGGCTCCCCGTCCTAGAGCCCGACCCATCCGCACCAACAAGGATGCCGCGCCTGGTACTATGGTTTTGGATTTAGGGCCTTCCATCTCAGGTACGTGCTCGTGCTACCACATTGTTTTTAAATTTTTCACGCGCCAGCAGTGAACCACAGTGGGACTACAGAGAGCAACGGTCAAGCTGGGCCAAGCACTCTGAATCCTGGAGGCCCTGAACTTGTGGTCCAGTGCTGTCATGTTAGTGAAATGGGCTTACGACCGCCGTCGCCGTCGCATCGAATGGGATAGGTGCTCCTGAATGTTGAGGTTTCATAACGATATCTTTTTCTCCGTCCAAAAGTATTCATGAGCCTGAAATGATACAATGTGCTTGAGCCTAAATGATACACTGTGTCATAGTACACGAATAGACGGTATTTCAACCGTGAAGTCAATCAAATCGTATGATAAAGTTCATTCCTTGACACTCCGTGCTCCTGTGTCTCGATTAATATCTGGCTCTGGTCGACCCGTCTACATGTTACACGCCACCCACTGGTATACAGGGCTTCTCATCAAAACACAGGCGGGAACATTACTAGACTGCTAGCGCGATGTCCCTTGTAACTATAGAAAGGGTGAGTACAATGCTCATCGACCCCATACGTTGATGACTGACCCTGGATACTTTGCATCAACACACTGCCGGCAATCATCCCAGTTCCGTGTGCAATCCCTGCACATGGGGGACGAGCACGTTTTGCATGAATACTCCGCCTCAGTCCATCTACACCGATCACAATAGCAGTGACCACAACTCGAGCACCTCGCCAAGCGGGGCACACAGTCGTCACAAATATGACGACGGCATATCCCGCACTTCTCAGTGAACCGCGGACAGTGGATTTGACGCTGTTCCGCATCAGTCTCAGTCTCCGACTCCTCTTCTATGCAGTCATCGCACTGCCGTGTGCTGCTGCAAACCGTACAGCTCTGTATGTACGCGCACCAGTCCTGGCAATACACGACTTTGCAGCTTGGGCAATCGACGAAAGGCGTTCCGGATGTGTCGGCTGAGCAGAGTCCGCATAGCCATGTCCGTGAACATGCGCATGTACGACCTCCTGGTGCACAGTCTGAGCAGACCATGTCTCGGAAGCGATTGCGATTACGGGACCAGCAGTAAACGTTACCACAGCGGCGCCATGCTGAGGCATGGCCCTGGCGAACACAGTCACGACAAGGAGCGATCCTTGGAGGATGTTCGTGATCGGCTGAGTGGTGGTCGTCTTCCGTATCTGTGTCTTTAGTAGGATAAATAATTTCATATGCAGTGTGGTTAGGTCTGCGGTTCCATTGCGCGTCGCCTTCAGGCCGTCCAACACACCAACTCAATGACTCCATGCAATACCACTGAGAGCATGTTGGACACTGGCCTGCTGCGGGAGAGTGAGGTGTTGCGCAGGGAACGCAGAGGAACTCCCGGTCGTGATAAGAGCAGCCCACGACGGAGACAATGGGAGATGCCTTGCAATCAGAATTCTCGCATGCGTGCACTCCGCAGACACGACATCGGATAAGGTCCTGGGAGCATAATGGGCATGTAACAGTGAGGGCATCGTGTTCCAGCACCTCCGGATCTACAAGGTCCATCTCCACAAGACGCCGCAAGAAAACCTAAAGTGCATGAGATTATCATGGAGACTGCGAAAGTCTGGGGTCCCTAGGGAATGCAACGAGTTCCACACTTACGATTGCGTTCTTTTTGCGACGTTCTTGTTCTTGCTTCCTCTTAGCCTCGTGCTCCTGCCTTCGCGACTCTTCATCCTTTTTCCACTCATTCACTTGTTCGATTACGAAAGTCTTCAAATCATTCTGTACGTCCTCGTCCGCGGGCAATGGAAAGTCAGGGATGCTCTCGGAGCCCTGTGTGACATCCCTTACCACCATATGATTCAGATCGACTGAGAAGCATATGGTCTTCTGGCGTGACAAGGGATCGAGCCTGGAAAGATGAAGACCAGAATGCTCCAGGGCGGTGGTAGTAGCATTCAAGATTGCAAGGAAGGACGAGTGTGAGGGTAGCATCTCATCCGGGGTGACCACACCGTCTACGCTATCGCGACTAGCGAGAGCCTTTGCAATCTCCACGATCTTGGAATAGATCGGGTGGTCAGCTCCGACATGGCGGAACTGCATAGTATTTAGTTTATGGATTGTGATGTTAATGACCGGAGGTGGCATGTCAATGGTGGTCAGATAATAATGAGAGCGTACTTTCCAGGAGCTTGATCATACACGGTGCTAAGACAAAGGCTTTACGTCAAGGAAGAACCTTGGAGCAATCAATTAAGGTAAGGTTATCAACAGGCCAGGCCTTTACATAATACTCCATGTTGCCATCCAGAGCACTGGAGACAGGCTCATTGCAATTCCGTACGAAGTTTATTCGATTCAAATAAAACAGGATGATACGCCCGATACGAGGTCTAAGTATAAACAGAATCAAATGGTTAAGCAGAAACCTTCCACCGTTTCCGCGGGTACGTGGAAGCTTCCCAGTTGACGATATGACCCAACAATTCGCCATCTTCTTGTCCGAGGTTATCCTCCGTAGCCGTGAGCAGATTCTTCAAAGACTCCTGAACCAGTCCTGCAGTCTTGAGCTTCCTTTCGAGTGAGGGAAGCGCAGCTTTTTTAGGAGGAGAGGCCTTTGAGAAATAGTTTAGTTCAGTTGATACACCTACAGACAAGCTAATCGACGTACTGGTGTTCTGAGATACGTATGTTTTGGTGGTAATGCAGGGAAATGGGTTGGAAGCTGGCGTAGAGTCCCTGGCACAGCGGGTGGTGCATTCTCATCGTCTGAAGGAAGGAGTTCGGGTGACGGCGATCGTGAAGGGGGCAGTTCGAAAATTGGTTCGGCTGGTTCAGCTGGACGCACAGTCAGATATTCAAGTTGACATGACTCGACATCACGTACCAGAATACTTTGCAAACTCTACAGCGACAGTGCGCAGGTCTTTGGTTTTCAGATCTCGCTCTTCGCAAGCCAGTAACACATCCTTTGCTATAGGTATTGCGCGATTGGCAAGGGTGGCGTACTGGTGAGCACGTTCATATAGTTTCTGAACGACTGCTCTCTGAGATGTGAGCTCAGTAAATGGAGAAAGTGAAGGGCTGCGTACAGGCTACGACTTCCATCTCTAGCCTCTTCAACGCAGGGGGTTCGATTGTATCATATTCCGAGGTTTTCAGCTGGGCAAGGATGAGCCGCTGCACCTCTTTTGAAGCTATTTCTGGAGAGATAGCTGGTATGATCTCAGCGACTGCCACGCTCGGTTGACCTGGAGGTTGAACATTGAACTGATAAGCCGAGGCCGCTGCTGGTGGCGGGGGGAATCGAGGGGGGTAATGTGCTGCTGCTGGCTGGAGTAGCTGGGGCGGTCCTGAACCAGTTGCGTATACTATGGGGTAAGGCTGCTGATAAGTACCATAGGTTTGCTGATAGGGAACGAAATTTGACATGGTAGCTTGTTGGAAAGCCGGATTGGTCATTTACCCGTCCCACATGATTTTGCAGGATGATCTTTGTCTTATGCGCTGTGCCGGACGGCACCGATAGCTGAGCGCCTCGTTTGCGCAACTTTCTTCTTCATGTTCACCTCACTGACTTCTCTATTTCGTTTCCTTACAATGGGGGATACAGCACGAGAGATCATGGAGCACCCAGCTGCTCCGTGCGAGACAGAGTCTTCCGGCAAGAGTAGATCAGATGTCGTGGAGCCTGCCGTCCCAGACGAAACTGTGACCTTCCGCACGAGTAGGCCAGATATCGTTGGGCCCGATGTCCCAGAAGACCCGTTCCCAATTAAATTGTCTGGTCCTGTACAACATGGTTTCGGTAGGGGGGGCAAAGACCTCGGATGTCCGACTGGTATGTTATCAATCTGAATCTTATTCGAGTTGAATCGATTGATGAAATCTATAGCAAATCTTCCTGATGACTCCCTCCCACCCATGATCGATGCTGCAAAGACCGGAGTCTATTATGGCTATGCTCAAATCACCCCTCCCGAGGGCTCATCATCATCGTTATTTGACCAAGACACCTGCGTCTTGCCCATGGTCATGAGCTTTGGGTGGAATCCTTTCTACAAAAATGAGCGCATGACTGCAGTAAGTCTTCTTCTGGCTTATCTGAACTGTCCTGAATCACGACGTGCAGGAAATTCACCTATTGCACGAGTTTAAGAGCGATTTTTATGGATATGATATGAAGTCTTTGGTGTTGGGATATATCCGTCCAGAACTGCAGTATACTTCACGAGGTGCGGTCACCCTTTCACCTGTTTCACCTATGCTGACGACTTTCTGTTCATAGAAGCACTTATAGATGACATAGAGGTCGACAAGAAGGTCGCACTCAAGTCCTTGGCAAGGCCAGGATATGAGAAGTTCACGTCGGACCCATTCTTCACGATCACTAGCGGAGCACCAAACATTTAGAGCAATGTAGAGGAAATGATCGTACTATGATCATCACACACAGAAGTCTCGCCAGCGCTGACACGCGTTGTGCTGTAGAGCTAGAATCAATGATATTGCCATTGGCTAGATACCACAGATCCGTGTAGACACTCCTGTCTGTAATGCAATGCTGTGAAGAGGAACCAGTGGACTGTGGATGCACCAACTTGTGCAACTCTGCTCGGGAGTGTGCCCTGCAAACAACTATAATTTACTCAGTGGACACAAAGTGGTGTGAACTGAAGCTGCGCACAATACTATAGTCGTCTTGCTTTCTTCGCCCTCGTCCCTCCGATCTTTATAGGTGTCCTATCCTCAATCACCACCACCGACGACCGGATATTGTCCCCCTCAGAAGTCATGAACGCCTTCTGCACCGCTTCTCTCCCCCACCCGAACCCTTTAAACTTCAGCGCAAGGGTGACAGGCGACACACCACCATCCTTCAAGTTCGGATTTGTGATTTCTTCTTCGATGCGCTTAAAAGCGCGCACAGCGCATTGATATCCCGCTTCATAGCTGCTCTTATTCGCTCCCTTGAAACTGCACGAGCCACTCGTCCACCATCCATTCTTCACGAGTTTGCCGGACGGATATGTGAGGACGACGCGACAATTGTTGTGGGTGGTGTATACGTGAAGGTGGTAAGGTTTTGGACGCTCCACGATGTCCTTCTTTGCTTCCCTCTGCATAATTGCAGTCACAGGGTTGTAGTATGTATTTGGGCCCACTGGAGGTTTGTCTAGTGCAGGAGCAGTCGAGTCTTCGCCTCCCCACATGTCATCGACGAGGCTGGTCCCGAAAGTGGCAGATCTCGAGAAAACCGCATTTTCGTGCAGGCGAGCATGATGCAGAGACTGTCGTGCAAGATTGAGCACTGATGGTCGCAATTGAGCGAGTAAGACCATGTCTAATGCTTGAGTTGAGTGGACGCAGAAATTATTGTAAGACGCGCCTGAGGATCGTGGGAAAGCAAAGTCCGCCGCATTTTCGGATTGCACCGGGACCACCTTCTCCATCCAACTCGCTGCTCACAAAAAACTATGGCTGTAAGTCTAATGCATAGTCGACAGCAATGACACGACGCTAAATGTGGCTCATTCCAGCTCGCCAACGCGTTCTACAACACCTTCGTGAAGCGCAACAGTATGTGACCCGATCCTCTATATGGCTCATGGTACAGCTCAATTAACCACGTCGAACCTCCAGGCGTCTTCGTCACTTCTATTTTCGCCGGAGCCTTTGCGTTCAACGTAGGCTTTGATGTCGCTGTGACCACTTTCTGGGACCGTTGGAACCAGGGGGTGAGTACCTGACATATCGTTAACGCCGCCTATTTGCTGACTCTGTCTTTACTTGCATGATTTAGAAACAATGGAAGGACGTTCGCTCGAAGTACATTCAGGAGGATGCGGACTCATAGTTTTGTCCCGGTTAGCCACCGACCTCCATTCATAATGATTATTTTCCTCAAATAGACTTCTTCCTGGAATTGACTGTTGGAATGCGCTAGAACTTGGCTAGAACTACCGTTCAACTTGTGTGATTTCATCGCGGCTGTTGACGCACTTGGCGCTGCGCATCTGCTTCTATTTAAAAATTCACCAACAGTGACAGTACAAGTGGGCGCTGGCACCTGCCCGCGACTTGATGCAAATGGTCCAAGAAGCCCAGGCACCTTCATTACAAATAATCTATTGGCAAACACGATCGTAGTGTTCAATATCTACGTGTTTGAATATGTTGAATATGCGAGTATACCCTGAAACGCGACGCTACATGATTGCAAATGAGGGTGAGGTACAGTGCTAGAATACGACGCTGAATTGTAAGTGAAAATGAGCATTGGTCTACCGATGATGATGATGGAAGAGAGACACAAACAGACACTGAGACAGACAGAAGGCAGTCGAATGGAAACACGGACACCGAGGTGCGGTGGAATATGCAACATAGGCAGAAATACCACATACAAAGCGATAGATAGCGCATCGGCTAAAAAGAAAAGGTGTCACTGGGGAGGAGAGAAGAGATAGTATCAAGAGGAGAGCATGCCGGGGTCCTCATCATGCTCTAAGCGGCCGAAGACTTCATCAAAGATCTCTTTGCCATCAGCGGATAGAGGTGGAAGTTGGCTTGTGACAGCAGACGGATCATCGCGCGAAGCTTTGATCCTGCGGATGCGTTCTTCGTTCCAGATGTTCTCGAGGGTCTCCGTAAGGTTCTTTAACCCGAACAGGAACCCGCGATCAGGCTCTTCGGGGAAATGAGGGGGGAACCGGGCATATATCAGCCCTGTTTCCGCATCCACTTCAGCTTGGTAACCCTTAGAACTCGACACCTGCTGGATGATATCGCGATTTGCGGGTGGGGGATAGGGAAGCCAATCGCGCCCAGTAGTTGTGTGCGCGAAATCGACGATGCGGACATTGACTTCGCCACGCTTCCGTTTCCCGCTAGAACGCTTGCCAACTGGACCAACCAGTAGATCTTCGCTATGGGAGCGGCGCAGTAATTGTCGCTCGTCACTGGTGCTAGACCGCGTACGAGACCGCTCCATCGACTCTCCACGCTTACTACGGGACGAAGGGTGCTCAAGGGCACACATTCGGAACGTTTCTTGCGCCTCTCGATCTCCATCATATATAAGGAGGAGACTACAGCCGTAGAACCTGAAACCCTTCAGACGGTTGATGATCCGAGCGAGAGCATAGAGCTTCTGGAGAAGAATAGGAATCTGCCAGACAAGGAGACGTTCACCGTCTTGCAAGAAGGACGCTAACACCGATTCAAATTCCGCTGCTTTTACGTCTCGGCCCATGTACTTGTCCTGGGTCACGTATGCTTGAGTAACGTTGTTCCACACCTTGGGTGTGAACGATTTTAGTCAATTCTGTACCTCTCATCCATCGATATACTGACCTGCATACCACAGACCCGAACACCTAGGGGCCTGCTCGTCGTGCGGTCACACTTCTTCCGCTGACTCTTCTTCTTGGCGAGCGTGGCGTCCATCCCATACTGCCGCGTCCCCATCTTCAGGTCAAGAACACACGAGCGTTTTAACCGACCGGTCAAATCCTCCATGCAAATAAAATGATTTTGTCGTGTGATCGAGTCTTCGAAATTGAACGTGGATGGCGGTTTACTGGAAACGGGTGTTACAGAGGTAGAAAAATCGAGAGATCGTGACCGACTCCGATGTCTTATGAGGGGGGGAGATAGGCCGAGGTGGTTCTGGTCAAAGTCCTGAGGTGGGTGCATAGAATCTTCAAGCGAAACGGAATCCCTGTCGCTGGAACTTTCCTGCACATCCCTCCAGTCCATAGCAGACTCACTCTGGACACGCGGAATGACGGAGGGGAATCGAAGAGTTCCTTCCTCTCCTTTCACCATCTCCTCCTGTCCCACAGGGTGCTTCCGACGATGTGAGCGAGCGCGTCGGGAAGAACGAACCGGACGACCCTCATGATCAGCCATCTCGCCATCATCCTCTTTCTTCGCTGCGGACAACTTTGCCTGGTTTCGACGCTGGAACCTGCGGAGAATGGTGTTGAAAACATGATCCTTGAGTTTGGTGTTCACCATCGTCAACCCTGTTCCCCCGAACCAACTAGGGGTTCCCTGCTGCCCAATTACCGACTCGGAATGGAAAGGACGCAATGATGGCGGGTGAATCCCCTCCGGTGCTAATGTGCGATGTGCTGAATGAGGGTCCGCGAATGACGGGCTCGGAAGGCCGTCCGAAGGGCATTCGGGCGAGTTGCAAGGGGGTGGCGCCTCTTCCTCCTGAAGGGGTATGGTGGGCTGGCGCGAGAGAGGGCTGCACTTCATCAACGAAGGCTCTGGTCGCATAAGGTCAGGTGATGATGCTGTCATACCGCGCATGGATTTGAGATGTCTCGGAGCATCAGGAAATTTATGGCAAGTCGGTGGGTAAGAGTGCGACATGGAACGATCGTGTTTCGGCCCTTCAAGATGGAGAACCCATTCAGGAACCATGTGACGGTTACGATTAAGTACTACTTCGGGCATTTCATCAGATGTTTCATTGCTCGACACAAGCTCCTCTTCCAGAATTTGGGTGGAGCACGATGTCGACCCCTGAGTGAGATGAGAAGGGTACGTGTTGGATGTGTGAAAGTCAGGACGATGTGGGCGGGCGGAAGGGGCATGAGGAGTAGGCGTGTCAGGTACATTCGGGGTGGTGGACGGTAACGAGCCTTTGGATACGCGCCGGTAAGTGACAAGCATCACGCCGAGATAGCGTGGAATGAATCCAAGTAACGGAGGCGCTTCTCGTTCAACAGCTTCATAAAACTGATTCTCTCTCGAAACCAGAGGCTATATAAAATGTCATAAGAAACGATCCCGACATAACATCGCCGGCCATACCTTGCACACAGCGCGCTTGGTAAATCTGTAGATCGCGCTGTGACCACCTACTTGGTTCCGGAAAGGACGTAGAGGGATATGCGGAAGACTCTCATCTGATGCATCGAATGTCATATCCAGGTGCCTTTCGTTCCAGGTGATTGAAGCTGTTGGAGCCAGCTTTTTTTACCTTTTGGAAACAAAGCACTTGGCGACAAGTACTTGATCCTTAATGTCGTGGAATAAAGAGTCGTTGTAAGGTTGTGGTCCGGCGTGACCTGCACAGAGTGGTCCCGAGTAGAGTTTTTGAGGAATGACGGTATGGGACGAGACACGTGCTTTGTCTGTCGATAATGATGACTAAGCCACTACGTCTGACACCGAGCCTCCTCCAAGCACCTGTTATAATCCACAAACGTTATTTCAGCACGAAATGCGGATAGTGTTCCAGCGACCAACATCTTACCTTGTAGGAATGAAAGAACTTCTTGGCCTTCAGATTCGACTTTTCTACCCGAGCAGAACCATATGCGGTGCCATGGGTCCCAGCGCACGTTCGCTGGCGAACGTCCGACTTCTCAAAATCCACAAAACCACCTGACTCCAAATGAAATCTAGTCTGGATCAAACCGAGTAGGCTTCGTCTGCGCCGCAGTCATCCCACCTTGCATTCCATCAACGGCGAATGGGAGCAAGCACGGTCTTGCAATGCTTGCCAAGCATATATCCCTCGTCCCATCTTTAGCCGCACCTTCTCGAAACCCAATATGAAACGTGGCATCGTATTCCCACCGTTCGCCACACTTATATCGTGTTATCCGCTCTCTTCACTGTGTAGTACGTGTGTATCAAGGTGTGGGCCGATTCCAAACCGCTGGTCGCCTCGGAGTCTCATTCCCCATGGGGACCCACGTACGATATCAGTAAACTCAAGATTTTTCAAATTGATAGGAGCATCCGGAATTCCTGTTTCGAGCGAACTCGACCATGGATCGTCACCAACTTCTAAGTTCAGCCACTGACGCTGATTCATATCGCCATTTCTTCGGTCAAATCCATTGTGCCATTTCGTCGTCGATGGCTCCTTGCGGATAGGCCCCATGACGCCTTCTCCACTGGGGTAGACATAACGTACATTCCATTCATATATGATACCCCCATTGATGTTTTTTTTTTGTCTTGGCCTTGAATGTTATTCAGAGCACGAGAAGTTTCTCATTCGATGCCAGGGCCGGTTTCATTCATAGCGGCGGCTATGTTCACTATCGACGTTAGATAACGTGGGTGAATGAATCACAACTGGATCCCACCAGTTGGATTTTGACATATTCTTAGGGAACGGACCGGTGTTGTCTCTATAGCAGGATCTGAAGAGGAATGGTACCTGAACGGTACAGATCCGGGATGTGGGGGGTTCGACTGAGATGGAGGTCACGGTACAGATCCGGGAAATGCTGACTCGCTTGGCATATGTACTCTTCACTCTCCTGCGTGAACACGGTGAATCTACATGCTTACTTCACACTGTGTTTATAGTGACAAGTAATGGTTTAGAGATCTGGTACTGAACTGTACAATACTTTGCTATCCGAGTCTGTCAGTGATGATCATAGGCGGATACCAGAAACAGATGTCCATGGCAAATATTGTCATGGTTCAAAGTTTCATCATACTGGTAACTGGAAACTTGCCCCATGGTAGGAAACACTCAAGCACATTAGACAAGGTAATACTCTGATGGTCACTTCATGAGTGACCACAACTTCATGAGTACACTTTTTGGTGAATGTAATAGTACATGTCATGAAAATCCCTGTGAAAAGCAACTCGTGAAGTTGTGGTTACTCCCCAACTTGTAGAGGAGGGCTTTGTTTTGATGATCAGTGACACACATCAAAGAGCATGAGTCTTTTGCTCAGACTTGGAACATCTAAGTTGGTGTTGTACTTATGATATATCTGAAATAGATGTTTTGATTAGCCAGTACAGTGTCAGCCTCAAGTTGAGCTAGTTGTCTGTTCCATTGTTGTTGCTGTCCTCATCAATTGTGATATTAGACATATTTATGTTATATTATCTCAATCATCTATGTCAAAATGATCAAGTCAAAATAAATGAGTTGGGGATGGGCACTCACCACCACTATGATTAATGATAGGAGTAGGCATTATGACATCATTAAAATGATGCAGTTGTGTGCAATTGAGACAACTTAACTTATGACTGATTAAGTCAAACTACAGGTTAAGCACATTGTTCAGTAAGTGCCAGAAGCAAATTAAGAAGTGCTGAACCTGCACTTGTGGAATAAGAAGTCTCAATGATTTCACCTTCCACTAGTTGCTTGATAAATATTCTATAGATGCTGAGTCAAGACACCACTTGGTGTGGGACAATAAGAATGTTCTGGAACAGTGAGAACTTCAGTCATGTGGATTAGTAATAAGTGTAATATTACAAATAAAGTTCAAACTCAGACAATAGGACTATAAATGGGGGCAGGTGATACCATTCTATTATTTCACTCCTTGTTTCAACCCTCAATCAAGTACCACCACCTTTCTTTGTCCCAAGTCACTCTCTAGTGATGGCACATCCTTCAAGCAGCCCTCCCTGCGATAGTAGTGCTGTGCATTCTTCAACTACTGTCAAAGCATTGTCTTCTATCATTTCTCAGACATGTGTCCAACCACATGCTGGACTTCATGTGTCATGGTCAACCCCATTAGCACAGACCACAGTTGTTCCTGCAAGGGAATCACATGGAGCCAATCCTCTACTAGCTGCTGCTGGCATCCCTCAATGTTCTTCACCACATGATGCTGTGACCATTGTAGGTGATATGGCAGGTCTCAATTTGATGCAAGTGACCTCTAGTGTGGGTAGTAGCATACTTCATGCTCACATACCATCACCTCCTGGCCCACCCTCTGACACATTACACTCTCAACCAACCATTGCAGCTCGAGTGGTTCATCACAGTTTTCCCATCATCAACCCAAATTTGCGCCACATTGCTAGGCGATTCCTGGGGAGGCAACCTCCCACTAATACTGTTCACTCTGATATCATTGATGACAGAGCTGCTACCACAAGTGAGTTGACATTTAGCATGTCCACAGTGATATCATATTCTAAACTTCACAGTGGCAGAACCACAGGAGGCAGTTCACAAAGAGCCATTGAGTGGCACTACATCTATAAGTATGAATGGTGCAGTTGCCACTCCCCCACTCAGGCTAGCCACCACTGTCTTAGTAGAGGATCTCATTGACAGTGAGGAGGAAAATATGCAACAAAAGCCAAACAATCAAAAGAGAAAACAGAGGAATGTAAGTAATTGATCTCGCATACCAGTTTAGGATGGCACTGATCATTGTGGCATTCAGATTCAGACCCCATCGCCACCAATCACCGTTATCAACACCGCCAAGCGCCGAGTTGCTTCGGAATCCAGCGACACGTCCGAGGATGTTCCTCAAAAGCGCCAGAAGCTGAAGCACAGCGCCCAGGCTGCCACTTCGGCCACGAACTTGCCTCGTTTCAACTCAGGTTCGGCGACAAGTGATACCGATCACGTTCCGCCACGCTCAGCGTCTTCTTCAAACAGACATTCATCCAGCAGCATCGAAGTCTTTGACGGAGTCGTCGTTCGCAACTCGGACGGTCCGAAATCCATCGCAGATGCGTACAACACTCGTGTGGAGTCTTCCGTCGCTCGTCGTGACAACCCGCCGAAGAAGTCGGGGAAGGTGTCGGTTTCGGTTGAATTGCCGGTGCGCGCTCCCAAGAAGTCAGGTGGAGGTGCGGTGGCGACGAGCAGCAGGGTGCGGGTGGAGGACATGCAAGAGACGGCCGATGTCGAAACCGCCGATCACCAGCGGGCAAAAAACCACGCGAGTGTGGTCTCGAGGAAAGTGCGTCGCTGGGCGGATAGGTTGAAAGGGATACATACCGCGTATTTGGAAGCCCTGTTTGACGAAGAAATCGTTCGTGTTTCTCCTTTCTTATCGTAGGTTATGAACGCTAATTTGCGTACCTTTCGGAACAGATTCCTATGTCCGGACGTGAGATTCTGGAGTTATTGAAAGAGATCGACGAGGACAAGAATTGGGCTACTCGTGCGGAAATCGAGGATTCTCATCTCGAACAGTTTCTCAGCATTGTCGTGGATGCCCATCTAGCGAACGGCACTGAAGCCCACAAGCTTGCAACACTCATCCTTGACAACTTTGCGCAAAGGTTCCACAACTTGAGATACCCACGCAGACGGTGAAGGGAGGAGGTGAGGTCGAGATGAGTGAAGTAACTCATGGCGAGTCGTGGGATGCTGTGGATGACGTGGAACGTGTTCCTGTAGCATCAAAAAATTCGCAGGTGCCAGCGCTCCTATCCACAGGAGTACTTACCACTTTTGGCGTGTTGTCTCGCTGTCTCGTTGTGTTTGCTGTGGTTGTTTTCCCGTTGATCATGCTTTTGTGCTTTGGAACGTTGACGTTCTCTGCTCTAGTACGTATATATACCCTGAATCTTTATTTCAAGTTATATGATTCACGACCTTTCATGATGCCCCCATTTAAAAATATTCGTTCTGATTACTCCTATCGCAAACCCGTCATTAGTTAGCCTCTCACAAATCTATGCGCCCAACGAGTCATGTACAAATCTATAGTCCTGTGAATCATAAGCATGCTTCCATGTGTATCGTATGTTACTGCTGAGTCAAATTATCGCATGAACTAGTGGGCTAATAAAAGTAAGTCATGAAAGGGCGTAGAGACGAAGACGTCAAGTCGCGTATGCAATAGGAAGTGATCAAAGAATGGTCGATGAGGTGTCAATGCTAACAAACAACGTCTATCCGCCGCTTCTTCATCGCGGGGCCCTCATCAGCCGAGTCAATGTCGTCCACTACGATGATAGGAGACTCGCTGCGAGGGAGAGGCATGGGTGCGATTATTGGCACAGGCACGGGAGGTTTCTCCGCGATACTGATGGAAACGCCCTCAGCGCTCGGTGGATGGGCAGGTGGTGCTTGAGTCTGGGCACTCCCGAAACCCGGCACCGTCACTGGTTGGACCGTCCGCGGTGGAAGCGGCGCAGTGGTAAATGGACCACCTGGGGGAGGGGCTTTGTTATCGCGAGGTGTACCTCCGCGACCGCCTCTTCCACGCTTGGCCCGCCCGCGTCCGCGAGTCATCTTCTCCTTGAGATATCGCACGATATGACCTTGTAAAATCTCTAGTGCCTTTTGGGCGCCAAGCGCCTCGAGCTCTCGGAGCTGCTCTGGAGACAAATGTGAAAAGATCGTGGGAGAGAGTATCAGGGTATTGTTATGAAGAATGATGGGTTGTGCCTGCTCAGGGTTCGAGGATGAAGGATGCGAGGGAGGAACGGGTCCAACTATGATGGGTAGGCAAACAGATGCAGGTAATGCTGAGAAGGGTGCCGATGCTGCGTTGGATGTTGCGCATGTGGAAGATTCTGATGAAGAAGGTGCTGCTAGTGCAGGAGCAGTGTGTGGAGATGCGGCTGGTGGTGCTGGATGCCCTGTTGAAGTGAAATCGAGTGCCGCCGAAGGTTCTGTCTTGATGATGGGTGTGGTTGTGAAAGGAGTCGCAAGGGGGACTGTTGTCAACGGGTTCGTCTGCGGCATAGAGGAATTAGATGACTTGAACTGTAGCGGTGTTGATGTTAATGGGGGTGGAAGAGTGCCGCCTTTGATATCGCCCTTGACACTACGCTTGAGCGCAGGTTCGAGAGGCACTGCCTTCTCCTTCTTCCTGCCCTTTCCATCTTTACCACCTGCACTCGACGAAGCAGCTTGTGATCTGGCTTCTTGCTCCTCAAACGTGTGCTCATACTGTTCGTCCACGGACCAATAAAACCCCTTGCCCCGTTCTCCGGAACTTCTCTCCATCTTCTTGAATGCACGCCCTGATGATAAATTATGTCTAACAGAGTTCTGAAACGCAGGTGAGCCGTTATACTAACATGTGTTATATCAGAGATAAGGTAACTCACTTCCCAACCCGCACCCTCATTATATCGGTACCAGTCATAATTCTCCATCATCCACGAACATATATCCTGCAGCGTAGCCTTACCGCCCATTGCCTTAATAGCTCGATAGCACAGCTGAGCGTATGTAAATTGAGGCTTTGGGGGCATGACTTCCGGTTTTGGTATGGGAACAAGGTCTGATTTCTTGCGCTTCTTGGGCGCATTCTTCGCCCTGGATATGCTGTTGGAATTTGGGAGCTGTGGGTCCGGTGACTTTGGTGGGGGAACATGCGGCACAGAGATGGGGGGCGGAGAATTCGAGGGTAAAGAAGAGGGTGGGGATATAGAGGTAATATCGACAGATGGTGAACGGGCGCGGTGCACTGATGAATTTGAACTCGGGGATGGCGAGTCCTCCGGTGCTAGAGGGGGAGGGAGTACGAAGTGAAATGTCCTGGAAGCTATCTGAATCTGAGACCTGATTCTTGGTTAGAAGAGCTCCGGTTCATGAGGAACGAAAGACTCACCTTTCTCCCAAAGGAACCCTGCTACCGCTGCCCGACCAGACACCGTCGACCCAAGCGCCGTTTCTGCCTACGACGACGAGAACAAAGCGTTCCTCGTCCTCCTCGTACTCGATCTTTGCATGGAGCCTGGATACACTCTTTAGGGGTCCCAAATCGACATCAACTGGACTGTTGTCTGCAGCAGACGTGGAAGCATTGGGTATACAGCGGCGCCCAATAGTTACTGTCAGGGTCTGTAGATAGAAAGTGATGTTTGGGAAGACAAGTGAATAGTATGCGCTGATCTTTGCTGGTGAATCATCTGGAGACAGTGAATTACGAAGAACGTCGATGGTGTTCATGGGAGAGTCCAGCGCTACGACGGCTGTTGAGGACATTGTCTGAGTCGGCGAGTGTCGGTGATGAGACAACAATTAAATTCAACCCCCCACAATTATGTAATTCAACCTTCTCAGTCATGTCGCGCACAGTGACAGAGAAAGCTCAAGATGAAATATCTTCTCTAGCTGACAGGAATGTAAACAGTACTGACTCTGAGCTCAGATACATGGCATATGCTTCTCGTCTCAGAACTGCCTTGCGTGCTAGCAGTCGTTACATTGCATATGTACGTTTATTCGCTTCCTTTACTTTGGTTCGTGGTGAAGACTGATCATAGACCAGTGATGTCGGCGAGGCATTTCGCCCAGTAGTACCTCCTGCCATAGTTACTGCATGCTATGGTATTTCATGGGTATATCTCGCAGGGTGAGTCTAGCTTCATCAACCTCTGTGCTGGCTCCACTCACATCTTGCCATCCAGCGATGTGAGTTACGAAGCATACAAAACTCACAGACGTGGTCCAACCCCTATAGAAGCCGCCCATTTCTCCGAGCCAACAAGGGTTGGAATGGTGGCCGTCAAACGTGCGGTTTTCCAATCCGTAGCCTCAATGTAAGTACGTGCGTCGTGCACGTTCCTGACATTCCTATTACATCATTCGTTTCTTCGTGAACGCATTCTATCATTTTATTGGATATTGACAATCACGTACAGGGCTCTTCCCGCGTTCACTATTCATACTGCCGTTAACCAAGCAAAGAAAGCTTTCACGAACGTGCAGAACAAGAGATTGAAGACCTGGGGTCCAACTATCAGTGGACTCGCCATCGTTCCTTTCTTGCCGTATATATTTGATCACCCCGTAGAGACGGCAACGGACAGGGCGTTCGAGTGGATAGAGAAGAGGCTGATCGAGAGTCAGGACGCTAGACAGAAAACGGAATCTTGATTGCGGTTGACGATGGTTTGTGTTTACCCACTCCTCTCAAGATTTACCCTGCATCGATATGCTCTCTATGCAATATATGGATTACTTTTCACCCCCTTGACAGAGTTTAACTGCGGTTCGAGAGGCCAGCTGGTAATCAACTGCATTCGGTGACAAGAGTGTGGTGTCATGGGTGAGACCAGTGATGATCTAGCCTTGCTATTTGTCTCCCAATTACCTCGGCTGATACGCCTTCTCTTTGTCTATTAACTCCAAACGCCGAGGCCAGTTCCCTGGAACTAAACGACTAGATTCTGAAATTTGGGAAACCCCATGATCAGAATGAGTTCAGTGCTGGCGTTGGAGCCTACACTTAAGGCAAACAGGAATGAGGAAAAAGCATAACAAGTATTATTTGACATGACCGGCGCCGGCCAGTTAAACTACAACACCACAGCAAAGCGCATAAATAGACCAATGCACCATGATATCTATACAATTAATTCGTATGATTGTAACTTCCTACTTGTGAACAGACAACAATGCTATGTGCGGTATGTTACAGTGTAGTGCGACCAAGCGCGAGTGGAATCGAGCTGATAGAGCTTGGCGGAATAACGCCAACTTCTGTTACGACCGCGGTGATACTCGAAGGAGGTGTCAGGTCGTAGAGCGGATTCAGAATCTCCAAATTGAGTTTTTTGCTGAGGGTGAGCGTATCTTTTGACCGAGTAAGGGGAAAGGAGGAAAATATATCGCCAGATGGTGCTGCATAGTCATGATATCAGACGATGTGAAAGGAGATTAAAGATAACGAGTGAACATACCGAGCTCGTTCTTGGTAAAACTATCTAGCTGAATTGTTTCCGAGTACTTGTATGTCTCGCAGCAAACAACGACAGGAACGCTGTGCTGTTTCGCCATCATCGCTACGAGGGCCGTGCCTGCACGGGAAAATACGGCACCGTTTGCATGTATCGAGTGAGCGCCCACTAAGACTGTCGAGACCTCTGTGATGACAGAACCAATGGATGGTATAAGGAGATAAGTGCATGGAATGCCCATGGCAGAAAGTACGGAGAGAAGCTTCTTGCCTATTTTATGGGCTGCGTGAGATACGACGTGTGATTACAATAATAGGGCCTCTTACCCTCTAGCATCGGCCGGGAGTCAACGACGACAACCGAGAATTGTTTTCTGTCTTCCCACGCGCCAACCAGAACTTTCTCCACAACGGAAGATCTGCGCGGATAAACTATCAGCTGATGATAACGGGGAAAGGGTGAGACTAGTTACCGAGCATATGTGAGAATGACGTCTCCATCTTTAATCTTGGTCCCTGCAGTCTCTTGGATGACTTGATCTGCTATGATAATTCGTTCGTTGATATAATCATCTATCGTTTGACAAAGGAAGTTTTTCGCCTGTAGAGTCGGCGAATAAGTGTACGACGGTAACGAAGGAATTGACACCAACATCCTGCTCCGGAAGGTCGATATCCGAGCCACTGATATCTAATTTGAGCTGCCGGATAGCATTACCCATAGTGACAGACATCGGGCGAGCAGAAACAAGATGAGTAATTTGCGGTGAAAGGTGCGTCAAGAGATGTCTTGAGAGCGTGTTGTTAGGGGGAGTGACATAGTCTTGTATTACCTTGATCAAAGTCAGTGATGTTCGGTAAACCAGTATGATCGCGATGTACAGTTTTAAACGCAGTGAGGGTCGCGATACAGCGCGCATTTGCCCCTGCGATCTTGAACTCTGAAAATTGCAATCCGAGGCGAATAATCGCCGGGTGTATATCTCCCTTGGTAGGGCCAGGAGGTTTGGGAAGGCCAAAATGGGAGAATATCCGCAAACCACGAGCAGAGTCATCGGCTGTGGTTTCTTTTGTCTCCTTGGTTGGTTTTCCATCGGCACCCTTCGCACCCTTCTTAACTGAAGCACTCGTACTTGCAGCAGGTGGTGCGCCCTTCTTCACCTGAACGGGATTTTGATTAGATCCGCCGGGTTGCGGACCAGATGCTTTTGCAGCAGCCTTTGCAGCTCTCTGACGCTCTTGTTGCTCGCGTCGCTCCGCTTTGGTCATTTGCTTTTGTGACTTCGGGGGTTGAGATGATGAAGCTTCGCCATGAGATTGAGCAGGAGCGAGCTTGATCGTCGATGTAGAAGGTGGTGCGGTCATCGTGACCGTTGCTGTTGTGCTCATCTTACTAGATGTATTAGCAGGATATTCGTTGAAATGCAAGTGTTAAGAGCAGGATACATAGCAGTCGACTTTGCATTGATCGTTTAATTGATTCGAGTCATAGTCCGGGGAACGTGCGAAATTAAATTACATCAGCTTCTCACGGATAACATTTTGCTTTGTGACACTCGACGCCGGTGCCAGTCCTTGCTCGTGGTCTCTCACTAGTCTTCATTTATATAGAAATTACCATACAATGGTATGTTCTCAAATGATTAACTTGCGGGCGCTTTCACTGACCTTGTTTGTAGGGTGTTCCCGCTCTATTCCGTTGGTTGAGCAAGAAGTACCCGAAAATCGGTGAGCAACTTATGCCATTCACTTGTCTTTGCTTCGCTAACAGCTACCAGTAACATCTGTCGCTGAAGTGGATGAGGAGGAAGTTCTTGACGCAACTGGAGATCCTATCAAACTTCCCGTTGACATCACGCAACCTAACCCAAATGGCACAGAATTCGACAGCTTATACCTGGACATGAACGGTATCGTGAGTGATGGAGATGACTGCGTTGTCTGTAGCTAACCACCCGTACGCGCACAGGTTCACCCTTGTACTCATCCCGAAGGCAAAGTATGATATATTCCTTTACAAACTGTGATCACTCGCTGACTCGTCCTCCGCAGCCAGCTCCGGAAACGGAGGAGGAGATGATGCTTGAAGTCTTCAAGTACACCAACAGAGTGGTCAACATGGTCCGCCCGCGCAAGCTTCTTTTCATGGCTATTGGTGCGCTTTTAACTTTGTGTTGGCTTATATCACGACCTTACGCGGAGTGCATTAGACGGTGTTGCACCTCGTGCCAAAATGAATCAACAACGTAGTAGACGGTTCAGGACTTCTCAGGAGGCAAAAGATAAAGCGGAAGCTCGTAAACTTGCCGTTGCCGAGTGGGAAGGTACGTTGTTCTCAGAGCAAACTTGAGTTTCCGACCAATTTCATCATCGCAGCTATGGGTAAGGTTATTACCGACGATGAGAAAAACAAGGAGTCTTGGGATTCTAACGCTATTACACCCGGTACGCCGTTCATGGACCTTTTAACAGCGTCATTACGGTACTGGGTCGTGGAGAAGATGAACACTGATCCAGGGTGGAAAGATGTGCGTTCCGAGCATCTCTTAGGAATACTTCTGATTTTTTTCTTTATAGCTCCAAGTCATCATCTCAGATGCAAGTGTGCCTGGAGAAGGAGAGCATAAGATTATGGACTTCATCCGTAGACAACGTACCAACCCTGGTCATGATCCCAATACTCGACACGTAATATACGGTTTGGTGGGTTGATTGTCCATGTTCGTCGTACTCTCCGTTATTAACTGCATGCTTAGGATGCTGATCTCATTATGCTCGCCCTCGCCACCCATGAACCATATTTCCGAGTACTTCGGGAAGATGTGTTTGCGCAGGACAAAGGTACCGGGTGCCGAATATGTGGACAAGAAGGTCACTATGCCGCTCAATGTACAACATTGAAATCAGAGATTAAAAAGCCCCCTCCACCGGATAAAAAACCGTTCATTTTCCTCGATGTCGCCATTCTGCGCGAGTATCTGGAATCCGAGTTGAATGTGAACAATACGCCCTTCCCTTTCGATTTGGAACAGGCTATTGATGACTGGGTGTTGCTCATATTCTTTGTCGGCAACGATTTCTTGCCGCATTTGCCGTCACTTGAGATTCGCGAAGGAGCGATTGATACTCTCTTGAGGATCTGGAAGATGGAGCTGCCCAGAATGGGTGGATATCTGACGAACCATGGTCAACTTGTGCTTAGTCGTGCGCAGATCATATTAGAGGGGCTGGCGCGACGAGAAGATGAGATCTTCCGTAAGCGACAAGAGAGTGAGTATCCATAATGTGATCTGTGAAAACCTTAGAGACTTACCATATCTCAGCTGAGCAACGCCAAGATCAGGAGGCGAAGCGGCGTAGAATTGAAAAGTCTGGGTCTAGGGAGAACGATATTCAGATCGCCACCCCGTCTGCGAAACTTGGTCTGACTGCGTCCACTACATCTCTATCATCTCTTCCCCAACGTGCAGATAATTTTGCTGCCAAGGCCGACTCCATTGGTCTCGGAGCGCCGCGTAATGCTCAGTCTCTTGAAGTCGCTCCAGTTGCGGCGCAAGCACTTGCTGGTTCTAATCGTGATGTTGTTGCCAATCGAGCTGCTATACGGATGGCCAACATGAGTGCTGCAGAGATGCTCAAGGCTGAGCTATCTGGACTCATTCCTGTGAAACAGAGTGCTTCTGCTCTTAAACCTGAGCCGGTTGTTTCGAACCCTCCACCCAAAGCAGACGCTGATATGGATGATGGGGACATTCCAGGTCTTGGGAATGCACCGTCAGCACTTGAATTCGTTGATGATGGGGCTGGTGATATGGATATCGAGTCCAGTAATCCTGTTGCTCTTCTAGTTGATGAGTCGGTACCGCCTGTCACTGGCACCAAGCGGAAGCTCGAAGAAATCGAGGGAGAAGATGCCGATGAAGTGGCTGGACTTGATGAGGAGTCATCTGAAGATAACGAAGATGCGTCTTACGCCCTGGTAGTCAAAGCAGATGGCTCAGTTGAGCAGGCCGATAACGTGAGGTATGAAATGCTGTGAAATATCCAAGGCTGGGCATGACATTTACTCAGATTATATGAACCCGGGTATAAGAAGCGATATTATCAGCAAAAGTTTGGCATATCAGAAAACGACGATGATTTCCGTAGAAAGTGGGCGCTTTTGTTATCGATCTGCACAAACCTGGCTGACTCCTGTGCTAAGGCTAACAAAACACTATGTAGAAGGTATTGCGTGGGTTTTGCATTACTACTATCAGGGGGTGAGCTCCGTTCCGGCAATTCGCCTTTTCTTTGCTGACTCGGTAGTTAGACCCCTTCATGGCAATGGTATTATCCATATCATTTCGCACCTTTCGCGTCGGACTTCGAAGGTTTGGAAAACATGGAACTTGAATTCAATCTCGGACAGCCGTTCAAGCCTTACGAGCAACTTATGGGTGTTTTCCCCACTGCCAGGTACGTTCGTGTTGAGCGATAATTTGACTACGTAGCTCACCACCATCGCCAGTCGCAAGCATATACCCGAAGCCTTCCATGAGCTCATGATGAATGAAGAATCGCCGATTCATGATTTCTACCCAACTACCTTCCAGATCGACATGAATGGGAAGAAGATGCTGTGGCAAGGCGTTGCTCTTCTGCCTTTCATAGACGAGAAACGGCTATTAGACGCGATGGCCCTGCACTACCCTAAGCTAACCGAGGATGAAGTCCGGAGGAACAGTTGGGGTCACGACGTCATGTTTGTTTCCGATGAGCATTCGATGTACCCATTCTTTGAGGGATTGTATGGTAAGCGCAAGGAGAAAGAGGTACGTCGTCAACTCGGCTAGAGATCGATCTTGTTACTGACTACAACTACTCAGCCCCAAATCATGCCTACCAGCCTGTCCAAGGGCATCAGCGGCAGCGTTTTACCGAACCCTGATTGTTTACCTGGCTCAACGTATTACTCTCCGTTGACTTCCATGAACCTGCAAGATATCAAGAATGATCGTTCCCTCTCCGCTTTGTACTTTTTCCCAAAGCAGCTCGCGCCCCATCGATCAATGTTCCTTCCAGGGGTTACAAAGCCCACACGACAGCTTACTGGCGAGGACCTTGCTCGCAGGGGCCGGGGGGGTGGACGAGGGGGCGGCATGGATCGTGGTGGCCGCGGTCGGGGTGGCTATCAGAACGGCTCTTACAGTAACGGGCATGGGTATGGCAGCAGTCATAACCAATCCTACACTGCAACATCATACGTCTCTTCGTACTCCACCACGCAGACTCGGACGCCGTACGCTCAGCCCCAGCAAGGATTCGGAGGGTATGGCTCCAATGGAAGGCCACCAATTCAAAACTATGGTAACAATTATTCTGCCCAATCGCGCGGTGGTCCACCCCCTCGAGGAGGAGCCCCTCCCTCGCGCGGAATGCCACCAAACCGCGGTGGCCCTCCTCGTGGTGGTCCTCCCCGTGGTGGCCCTCCTCGCGGTGGTGGTCCTGGGTATGGAGGTTCTACGTCATATAGTCACACCACTCAGCAACCAGCATATGGCCGTGGAGGCCATTCCGGCGGGTACGGTGGCGGCAGCGGAGGAGGGTATGGCGGACAGGCAAATGGTGGTTACGGGGGCTATGGTGGGTACGGTGGCCAGGCAAGCCGAGGCGGCTATGGTGGCTCAGGAGGACAAGAGGGTGGCCAAGCAAGCCGAGGCGGCTATGGTGGTTCAGGAGGACAAGACAGCCACGGCGGTTACATGGGTTATGGAAATCAGAATGGTGGACAAAATCGTGGCGGTTATGGAGGCGGCTACAATGGAGGAGGTTACCAGAACCCTTCAAGGGGCCGGGGCCGAGGATTCTAGAGTAACTCATGCATACTGCCTTTGCGTTAATATTTTTTCTTCGCAGATATTTTGTATTTTAGACCGTTGATATATATTTTGCTGGTTTCTTCTCAACTATACTAAACATATGGACTCGCTACATCGATCTGAATATGGGTGTACCTTCTAATATTTGTTCGCTATGGGACTACTACTGACCAACTCGGCTGGGTCTATGGTCGAAGTGCGGGTAATAATACATTCGCAGTCAAACATAGCAGTAGTATAATGAGAGCAAAGCAAAGGACGATAACTATACTCAGGATGTATGTAATGTCTACAAAAGGTTTTCCTTCGTGACAATAAACGAGAATTTTTTTAAATAAAAAAATTACATACGATAATGAAGATTGACGATCCATCACGAATAGTAGTATGTGCTGCCAAAAGGGTTGTGCCCTGCTACATAAGAGCCAGCACGCGCGACACAGGTCAAGTACAACGAGTACTTCCGCTCGCGTCCCTCAGTCCTTTCTGATTCAGGCAATGGAAGTTGATCGTCCACAGATCCTGCAAGCGGACCTGAGCGTCGCTCGCGGCCCAAGTAAAGGACCACCTCGACGAGACGGGCACGAAAGAAGGATTTGTTCCACAGATTGATTTGAACTGCAGCCAGCTCCGCAGGCGGGAGTCCCCTAGCAAACTCAGGAAGAGGCATCTTTCCCGTCCACGCAAGAGCAAGATCCTGAACCGGAGAATGAGCTGATACGCTACTGAAATAATGTCTGTAACGACGTACATTCATGAATCTGCTCCAATCCTGGTGGCGTACATCATGGGTGTCGAGGACCCGTGGCATACTGGGAATCCGACGGTAAAATGTGTCCATGCCTTGAATCCTCGTCACGCTAAACGGAGTGTAAGGTTGGGCGGCATCTGGCATACGGGAGAATGCCTCCGGAACAGAGAGTTGCGATGATTCTTCACCAGTGGCAGCACCAGGTATACGGGAGGATGAATGGAACACTGGCCTGGCAGGTGCCCCGGGCATTGGATGAAGTTGCGAAGGGGGGACAAATGGAGTGCGTTGTGGAGGATAGGGCGATCTCAATCGTTGATAATGGCCTGGAGATCGCGCACGGGAAGGAGGGCGTGTGTATGGAGAACGAGGATGCCATAGCGGCGGCATTGGAGAGGGCGCTTGAGGGACATACATATATGCTGCCTTTGCGATAGGATCGGGTCCATTAGGGTAAGTGGAAGGAAGGATTTCGTGGGGCTTTACAATTGGTGGAATCGAGAAAGCACCCGCAGGCCTATAAGGCGCGCGGTCATACCACTTCTCAAGTACCACCTCGTCTTCCCTACCGAAAAAAACGGGACCCCTGGATCCTGCAGCAAATCCCTGATCCGCACGGTCATGGGGATACACTCCGGCTAACTGAGGACTCGTTACATTGGGGAGCTGAGGGCCTGTGAGGATCTGTATGGCGTCGACAGGGACCCATTGGAAACCATGCACAACTCCTTGAGGTGTCTGATAGCTGCACATTATAATCGGATCAAACAATGGGATCTCGTCAACATCGACTCGGAAACCACTTGCCTTACAGGCACCGCTCTGCAAGTTCGAAAGGTCAAGATGTAGTTAGTGTACAAGATCTGTCAGGTACGTTCATACCTCATACCTGAAAGGGTGACTTGTAACCTGACCGTCTGCATTAATGGACGTCGTGTAAGTGATAGATCCAGGCGCAATCTGGCTATTTGAAGCCCAAAAATGAGACATTTGTAGAGGCGAACGCGGTTCGGGGACTGTGAATCCTCCTACTCTGTTCATTGAGCAATTTGTTGACAATGGAAGCTAGCCAGAGGGAAGGTGATCGCACTGATAAGATGTGATTGCCTCTCAGAGTCATAGTTATAGCACTTGGGCGGCAAATATTGCATAGGTCCTCAGGAAAGCTCTGTAAACTGCTGTAAAACAACATAGCCATAGTCGGCTGCCAAGCAATTCCTTCCCCCCCCAAACGCCCCAGCGTCTGCCAGTGACACGCTGAGTCAGCGATAGCGACGAAATGAACATTGGGCGGAATATTACCCTTGCATGATCGTTTACTATGCATTGGCAGCGACGACCATCGTTTTATACCAATATTTTCAAGCTCGAGGCTGGTCGAGATCATATTGTCAGTTGGCACATAGTCTGCATCCTAGAGGAGGTTGCCTCTCAGAGTCATAATTATAGCACTTGAGCGGAAAATCTTGCATAAGTCATCAGGGGAGAATATTGGAAGCTCTGTAAACTGCTGTAAAACGACATAGCCATAGCCGGCTGTTAGGCAATTCCTCCCCCCGCAGACGCCCCAGCGTCTGCCAGTGACACTCGGATCAGTGATAGCGACAAAATGAACATTGAGCAGAATATTACCCTTGCATGATCGTTTACTATGTGTTGGCAGCGACGACCATCGTTCTATGCCAACATGTTCAAGCTCGACTCGGCTGGTCGAGATCATATTATCAGTTGGCACATGCAGATGGGTCAGAGCTAGTAGTCATCAGGTAAAATTTGTCTGAGCATGGCCCACCGTGACTCGGTCATAGCTCGATCTGGCTACCAGTAGTACTTTAGTAGATGTGTTGTGGTTTGGTACCAGGCAATTCCGACACCCTCAAACGCCCCAGCGTCTACCAATCCTCGCACTCACCGGTGATTAGTACACATGGACTCGGAGAGGCAGTGAGAACACTAGTGACAGAATGAACGCATATCGCCTTGCGGTGTATGTATGTGTTAATTAACAGTAAATACTGACCGAGGCTTCCTCCCGTAACTTCGAGTTGCTGACACATCAGTGCAGTGGTCATCTTCAATAACTATCAATATTTATGGCCCGGGGGAATCAGGAAAAATACTACTACAGGTACCATTATCGTAATAGAGCCAAGGTTGCTACAAGTAGACAATCTCTAGGTACTTACGACTAATGTAAAACATTGGATCATTCGGTGTGGTTGGAAAATTAACCTCGATCAAGCCCTCTTGACGTATCTTCCTCCACTGTCCGAATATCTGATCCAGGTCAGAGACAGTCTCAAACCCAGTTGCTCTGGGTTTAGTGGTTGATGAGACGGACTGATCTCTCTCAGGTTCTCGTCGGCATTTGAGGGGGAAGCCGACAGACTTGCCCTGGATCCCTAGCACCTCGCGTGATCTATCCCTAACCAGTGAATAGTTGATGATCCCGAGTGCATACTGATACTGGCCGTGGACCGACGAGTTGTCCACAGTGATATCAACCTTGATGGTTGGATACAACAGGCAGTTGAATGTGATGCGGGCATTCCCTGTGCCCTTAACCATTCCCAAGGGGAGATTGAGAGGGAGTATAACTAGAGGCACTCGCAAGCCGAGGCCCGTCATAGTCATCTCCAGTCGCCCATTAGCCAACTTCAAGTCTCGACGGTCCATGAAGCTCTTTGGCGATCGAGGAATAGCATCTGAGGTGTGATGTCTTGCAGCCTCGCCCTTCCAGTTGAGGACAGAAGCGTCACCAGCCTGCATGATGGCATCAATGAGCCTGCAGAATGCGCGGTCTCCTCCTTCTCCATATGCGATCTGCAGGCTGACGCCGAAAATGCCCATCAGAGAATATGCCACATCTTCGATCCTCGTTGTCCTGCGTTCAGCTGCCCACACCATCCGCTCATCCACCTTGAACGGACCTGGATTGAACTTCCAGTATATCTCGCGACGAGGAATGTGAGTGGCCTTCTCCAGATTCCGCAGTATTTTAGTGTTTTCTTCCTCGCCTTTGTCATTTGGATCATTTGTCATGGGCGTCCAGTGCTTGTTGAAGAATTTGATATACAAGGGTGCAAGGAGTTCTTGCAATGTCCAGCCCCTCCTCGTCCATTCATCGAGTAATATATCCTCGATGGTCTCGCTTTGTGCTAGATGGACAATGCAAATTCGCGAATTGCGATACCAACGAAACATGGAGCGAATCGACTCGTCCAGCTCGGTACTGCTGCTCTTGTCGATGCAACAGGTATCTGACCATGCAAATTCCAGTTTGTGCTGCCTGACCTGTTCACAGAATTTCGTCAGCTTCTCGTATCCCGGACCTGCTGCTTTTCCCGCCTTCATCTCTTCGTAGGTTGGTTCTCCCGAAGCCAGCCATCGGTGAGATAGAATGGCATATTTGACATGGACGGAGGGTCTATAGCCCCCATTATCCCTTTTAGGGACAGAGGGCTTCAAGTGCTTCCTCATATCATCACGCCCTACAAACTCCATGTCCGATACCCTTATGAGGCGGATCGGGATGTGGTTCATCACATATTGCTCGAACTCCTCTAGGCGCTGTGGATATTTATCATCCATGGCGGATCACTGCTAGAAAATCATACAATGAATGTATGCGACAACAGGATGCAGCATACCACATCACTCACCTGTGTGAACGTCGTGAGATGTTCTTCCGATGGAAACGAGGCTTTGTCAAAGGAAATGGTGTCGCAAAAAGTCACTGCGCTCAACTCGACCAGCTACACATCATCCGGTGAGACTTCAGCATCTCGATTGTGGCCAAATGGATATCTTACCCTCGGGCGAATGGTAAAATTGAGAAAGGTGTTTTCTCCCGATGGTATAAGATGGTACAATGCCCTATACAACCTTCATTCATCAACTGAAAATGTCAGTTCCTCAATATCTGCGTCATACTTGAAACTTCACCTCCAGTGACCTGGTAGTACGATACGGAAGGTGCGTTCAACTTCCGCAGTGCTGTGAATATGGCGTGCGATTTGGTCCAAATCATAATATTAGTACCAGGGCATCGTAACTTTTGTCCGAGAGCGCTCAGGCCCCACGGTGGATGTTCTAGGGGCACTGAGGGACAGCCTCAGGACAATCAGGTGCTTTCAGGTCGGAAGAGCTTCACGGGAGGTTCCGAGAGCTAAGTTTATCTACCTGCCCCTCGTACCAGAAATTAGGTTGGATGCGCTCTCGTTCGGGACGCGACGTTCCTGTCATTGCATAACTGCCACACTGCAGAAAAATTCCGAGGCGGGAGTCCTGGTTTTCGGAGCGGATAATAACATGTAATCCGACAATCAAATTTGCGCAGTGACGTGCGCATCATCTTCCGCACAGTCGATTCTGGCATCAGTGGAATTCAGTTTCCAGAGCCCAGGTGGATCCTCGACTGCACAGAGAACTCACTTAATAAGAGGGCGAAACAGGGTAGTATAGGAATTCCGAAAGCGCCCAGTTGACATGGTCGATAGCAGATTGCACAGAGTATATGTACGAGCTTGCCGCCAGTCATTTCTGGGATGCTGGCTGCATCTGTCCGTGGCTTTTTAGTCCTCGGTGAGTGGGGAATGATTGAGGAAGGGAGTTTTCGTCTGACGGTAGAAACCTCTTGAGTGGGGTGTGGAAACGAAGGCAGATGGTAGTAGGTATTAGTTCGTGATGAGACACGGACAGCTCACAGATCCATCCAACGATATTTGTCTTGAGACGCGCTGCGCTGACAGGTGATGCTGCCGAAGGTTTTTTTTGACATTATGCATACTTGCGAGGATCACTCTACAGTAGCTGAGCTCGCTGTTACCCACAGCGCGCACGAAGGTTTCGGCAATGTGTACAGTGATGAGCGCAGCGTGGCTGCGTGGGTACCCCTCGGTTGCACCCGATAGGTGCGGACACTCTCAAGCACGTCCCTCTACGTTCATTCACCTTCTCAAGGCCCGTTGATATCCGAACAATTGTTCATTTGCGTACGTACTTGCAGCTAGATACGTTGCAGACCTGTCAGCAGGCCTCACTATCGTCTAATTAGATCAACTACAGGTGAGACGCGGTGTTGGGAGCGGCCGCATGACCAAATAGACCTCATACAATGAGTTTCATGGCCCTCGGGAAACAAATCAATTCGTAATCAATCGTAGTAGTACAATGACAATGACGGGCATAAGTATCAAACCAATTTGACATTACCAGATTCGTCGTTCTCTCAACCATAGTAATTATGCCCTCCTGGAGCGGGCATGTCGCGAGGCGCGACGTAGGTCAAGTACACCGCGTACTGCCTCTCACGTTCCTTGACCTTTTTCCTCAGCTTCTTTTCCTTCTTGCGCCACTTCTTTTCCTCTTTCTTCTCTCGGCGCCTTCTCTTAGAATCAGCGAGATCAACGCCGCGACCGTAGTACCTGTCATCTTCAGACTCCGAAGAGAGAGAAGAGGAATCCGACAAGTCTGAATCAGAGTCGAAGTCAGGCATTGGAAGGTGGTTGTCCACACTCCCAGCGTGCGGGCCAGAGCGTCGCTCGCGGCCCTTGTAGAGGACCACCTCGACGCGACGTGCACGGAAGAAGGAATCGTTCCATAGATTGATCAAATCTGCAACAAGTGAGCTCCGCTTAGGCGGATTGCCACCCCTGGAGAACTCAGAAATGGGCAACTTGCCGGCCCACCCAAGAGCAAGATCCTGAAGTCGAAAGTGAGCGATACGCTAAACATACGTTTGAAACCACGAACATTCATGAATCTGATCCAATCCTGGTGGTATACATCATGGGTGTCGAGCACCAGTGGCATGCGAGGAATCTGGTCGTAAAATTTGTCCATGTCTTGAATCCTCATCACGCTGAACGGAGTGTAAGGCTGGGCGGCATTGGGAGGACGGGAGAACGCTTCCGGAGCAGCGAGTTGCAATGATTCTCCGCCCGTAGGAAGCGCCAGGCATACGGGGGGAGGAAGGGAATCCTGTGTTGGGCATACGAGGAGATGAAGAGAATCCTGTGCTGGGCATACGTGGAGATGAAGAGAATCCTGTGTTGGGCATACGGGGTGATGAAGGGAATCCTGACCCGATAGGTCCACCGGGCATTGGAGAGGGTGCTCGCGACCGAGGGGCCGCCATAGGCTGACCCTCGAGGACATGCCCACGGGGATATACTTGTGAATGAATCTGCGGAGGGGGGACAAATGGCGAAGGAGCGCGCTGAGGAGGAGGATAGGTGGATGTCGCCTGTTGACCATGGTATGGGGACGGTGCACGGGACAGAGGGCGTGCATATGGAGAAGCAGCACGTTGCACCGGCGGCATTGGAGAAGCAGCACGCGGCACCTGCGGCATTGGAGAGGTTGCTCTGGCACCATAAGGAGATGGTGCTCTGGCACCATAAGGATTAGGAGAGGGACGCTCTAGCACCATAAGGATTAGGAGAGGGTGCTCGGGCGGCATAAGGGGAGGGCGCCCGGGCAGCATACGGTGATGCTGCCCGAGCGATGGGATCGGGTCCACCGGGGTACGTGGAGGGGAATTCTTGTGGCCTCACGTTTGGTGAAGTTGAGAAATTACCCACAGGTCTATAAGGGGAAGCTGCGCGGTTGTAAGGGCCGGCGCCTCCAGTTGTAGGGTAACCTGTTGGGCTGGTGTACGTCGCGGGAGGGGACGAATACGCCCCTGCGCCAGGTGGAGCGTAGGCCGAGCTGTGAGAATGCTTTCTGGGCCTCGTACCGAAGGTGGAATCCTTGCGGTCTATGTCAAGATCTCCGAATCTGCGGTCAAGGTCTGCACTGCTGTAGGCGCCGTATGCAGCGGTACCCGGCGGGTACACAGGGGGAGGTGCTTCTCCGTAGAAACTCCTTTTGCGTCCTATCGCATGAGTATCCCTCTCGCGCGCCATGCGGATCTCCATTTCGTCCCTTTCAAACTGTTTCGAGATATTCTTCAAGGATGCCTTCTCTTCCTTTTTTCTGCGCTTCTCTTCTGAGCGATGCCTGATATAGATGCAGAGTACCGTAGAACAGCATTACATTGACCAGACCGTACCATTTTTCGAGATCCCTCTCGTCTTCCCTGCTCAAACCGCTGCGATTCCAGGATGCAGCAAATTCCTGATCCGCACACTCAGTAGTCATGGGCAAAACTCGTGCAATGTGAGGACTCACAGCATTGGCAGGTTGAGCGCCTGCTGGAAGGATCTGTGTGGCTTCGGCAGGGACCCATTGGATACCATGCACAACGCCTTGGGCTGTCTGATAACTGCACATCATAATTTGATCAGGCGGTGCGATCTCGTCAACGTCGCAACTACTTGCCTTGCAGGCACTGCTCTGCAAGATGGATGGGTCACGATGAAGCTAGTTTGCAAGATGGATGCGATCATACCTGAATGGATGATATGTAACCTGACCATCTGCACTAGTGGATGTCGTGTAAGTGATGGATCCAGGCGCGATCTGGCCGCCAGACGGGGGGGAATATGGCTGGGGTTGCTGCTGGGGCACAGCGAATCCTCCTGTTCCGTTCATCTTGCACTATGGTTCTGAAGATGAGGGAAGCTGGGAGGGAAGGAAATCGCACTGATAACAGATGATGCTTGACTCGCATCTAATTAAATTGACCCTGCCTCGTGTTGTTGTCCTATATCGAGACAATCAGTTGGCAAGGGTTCGCCAGGGTGGCAGGGTTTTTCAGCGCTGATTTCGCTTTTTGATCGGCTGGCGGAGCGAACGCATGCCGGGGACCGGAGTCTGTTCTGATCAGTACCTTTACTTCAGTTGGTGATCCTTGTGCTACTCAACTTACCTGGGACCTAGGCAGGTGGGCTACTCCTCCATCTTGACAATCTTACTGGGTGGCCTTGAGGCATTCACTAGTTCTGTTGTTCGTTAATCTGTTCACTATATGATTTCTATCTAGAACAATCAGGAACCACATCAAGGTTTAGCTAAGTCAAATTGCTCTGTGCAAATCACCCGCAGGTTACCATTCGTTGTAAGTGCCAGTGATATGGTGAAAGTCGTGAACGGACATCTGAATAGGCATCCATGCGGCCTCTACCATGAGGTATAAGACGTTTTTGAGGAACCCATTGCGACACCCATCCAGTTACGCATCAGCCACTTGACCGACATGCTTTCCCCTCAGCCGTATCGTGGACTATCCCGCAAGTTGATTCTTGCCTTCGACGTAGGCACTACATGCAGTGGGATTTCCTACTGTATACTCGACCCTGGAAAAGTTCCCAGGATAGAGCCTGTTACCAGGTCAGTCTTCGTGATACAACAATCCTGGTTTGTTGTCGACTGCGGCGAATATCAGATATCCAGCCCAAGAACACAGCGGAGGGAACTCTAAAATACCTTCCATACTCTACTACGATTCCAGCGGAACTGTCCGTGCTATCGGTGCTGAAGCTCTACAGGAGCATATCATCGGAACGGCTGAGGAAGAAGGATGGGTGAAACTTGAATAGTATGTCCAGCGTATACTAACATTCGCGTTCGTTTAACTTACTATGTTAAACATTTAGGTGGAAACTCCACATGCGGGCCAGGCATCCGGCCACCTCCAATATCACTGATAACGACATCCCACCTCTTCCACGAGGCAAAAATATCGTCGAGGTGCTCGCCGACTTCATGCAGTACCTCTTCCGTTGTGCACGCAGCTATATCGAGGAGACAGAAGCAAGAGGACCTAATCTTTGGCAGTCCGTCGAGACCCGCATTGAGTTCGTCCTTACCCATCCAAACGGCTGGGAAGGCCCGCAGCAGAAACAGATCAGGCTAGCTGCCATCCTCGGCGGTCTCGTTCCTAGGACAGAAGAGGGCATGGCCCGTGTTCATTTGCTAACCGAGGGAGAAGCGAGCTTGGCTTACTGTACTACTAATATCCTGGCCTCTGGAGATGGTGAAGAGGAGGATAGCTCGACAAGCCAAGGTGTCGTCGTCATAGATGCAGGAAGAGCGACCCTCGATCTCAGTGCCTATTCTGTGACTTTATCCCCGACGCTGATCATCAAGGAGATTGCTCCAGCCGAATGTAAGTGACGTGAAATTCTTGAACCACGTCTCATTCTTCGTTCCTTAGGCCGGCTGCAGGGTTCCATATTCGTAACCCGTCGTGCTCATGGCCTTCTTCAAGGTTTGCCACTATGATCCTACTTGCCGTGCTACGTCATCGTTGAATTGACTTGACAGAAAAACTATCCGGCAGTCGTTTCGGCACACCGGATATGGTCCAGCGAATGACAGACATCTTCGACAGCACCACCAAGCTCAGGTTTCGCAACCCAGAAGAGTCGTCGTACATCAAATTTGGTACCATCCGTGACAGAGATCCTCAGCGCGATATCCGTAGCGGTCAACTTAAATTGAATGGGTATGTCTTGTTAGTCCAGTCTTTCGCGACCTTCGATATCTAACACGTGGCTACTAAAAAGACAAGACGTAGCAACACTCTTTGAACCCTCCATCAGTAACATAATCGAAGCTTTTGAAAACCAGAGAAAAGCCGCAGGCACTCCGATCACAGTAAGCTGGCCATTTACTGCACTCAAGCGAAAAGCGCTGACCGGCCTTCCACCCGAAGTTTGTATTTTTCATCGGAGGTTTTGCTGCGAGCGACTGGATGTTCGAAAAGTTGCAAAGGTACTTCCAATCACTTGGTATCAGCTTCAGTCGACCAAATAGCCATTGGTGAGCACCGATGACCGACATAGATTTTCAAGCTCACGGACACTGCTTTCAGTAATCGAGCTGTTGCTGATGGTGCTGTGTTGTACTTCATCGATCATCTTGTGTCGTCCTGTTTGGCTCGTTACACGTACGGCACCAAATGCAGCGTCCCATTCAACCCGTCCGATATGGAGCATCGCATCAGACGAAAGCAAGTTTTCCGAAGTGACTCGGGAAATCTCGCTCTGCCTCACGGATTTTCATCCATACTGACTAAGGTAGGTCTTTACTTTATTTTGAATATTCGTTGCTTAAGCGCAGCAGGGAACACGTGTATCTGAGCAGCAAGAATTCAGTGAGACATTTACCATCCGACAGTCTAATCAGGCGGCGTGCAACAACTTCGAAGTTGACATCATTCGCTACACGGGCCTCCTCTCCCAACCGAAATGGATGGATACAGAGCAAAGTAAGAATCATCGTTGTCCCCACACTGATGTTTATCGGGTAATCTAGGTTTATTCTCAACGTTATGTACCATTCGCGCAGACACATCGGAAATTGCTCAGAAACTCACCCCCAAGCGTTCTACCGAAGGTTCCACGTATTATGCCATGGAGATCAAAGTCATTCTTCTCTTCGGTTTGTTAGAATTGAAGGCTGTGATCGGCTGGGAAGACGGGGTAAGTTATCAGTTTCCTGTTAACGCTGCTAGCCTAACCTCTGCATCTTAGGGGGAGAAAATACGGCAAGTTCACATCCTGACGTATCTTTTTCATGGTTCTGACTGCATTTACAGCATTCCAGCAGCGGTAATTTACGATGATGAGCAGGAAGAAGTCTACTCATTCTTTAGAGCCACCTCGCTGTAATTTTACGCTCCTATCTATGGGTTAGTTTCGAATTGCCAACATGTCATTGATTTCACCTTTTGCACAATGTAATATACCTTTCTTCCGAGATTCGTGATGGCTTCCTTGAGTCACAGTCTCCTGTGTGCCTAATTCAATGATCCCGCATACGGAAGCATGCAGTGCTTATGCATCGAGGGCCACACGGCCTCATGTAGCTCATTGATGATCATTTATAACAGATGTCCTACTTGCCGTATCATACACAACCAAACCATGCCACCTCGACAAGCATTCACTAGCTCGTGCCGCAAGCTTGTCTTTGCGTTTGATGTCGGGACGACGTTTAGCGGTGTCTCTTATTGCTTCCTCAACCCCGGGCAAGTCCCTGTCATCCAAGGCGTAACTCGGCGGGATAGCGTTTCTAAGTAGACTCGTGACCAGTCCGTCTATGAGGAAAGCCGTCGATAGACGGACTGGTCACGAGTCTACACTGCGATGGTCTGGCTCCACAGGGGTTTCAGTATACGTCAGGATCTGCATATCTGCCTAGCCATCATTATTGATGTATGATATTGGGAGGTATAAATGGTCACCGTCAGCACCCCTTTGGGAATGAAGTATCCCTGATAGGTTCATAAACGTCTTCCGAGGGCAAATCATGTATGCCATTACTTGGACTTTGATGTATTGATGGCCTACTTCTCATTGATACCACGGAGAACCCCGAAACACTTCGAAGTTCATGAGTGCATTTGCATACGGGAGATGTTCCTCTATCAGATGCCGTGGGCAACTTGTGTTTCTCGTCAAATTTCAGGATAAAGTCTTGTGGCTAGGAAGTCGCGACCATAGTTTACGGAGGTCAGTTCCTCTGCCATCGTATCGCAGAAACGGCTTACAATGTTAGCTTCCCTTATATAAGCGCCATCCAGCGTTCAAATTTCAGGAACACGAACGATTCAGGAAATCTTATAGCGTCTGCACAGCGCACTTGACGATGATTTTTGCCTCTCACTGAACGCCTTTCCTTCAAGCAATCAGTTGCGGTGGAAGATCGAGAGGTAGTGCCGTAAGTTAGTGGTGCTTTCTCGACATCATACGATTCGTTGACCATTTCAAGTTCTGCCGCGCAGCACATATGGAATGACGCTCCAGGGAACCAAGATCGAAGATACCTCGCTAGTTACCAGCTATCAAGGTATGCTGATGAGAAAGGAAGATAAATGCGCACAGCATGAAAAGTCGAGTAGGTATGCGCGAAGTGGGGTGATTGCAGCGTCAGGAATCTTCTCGTCCTTGACATCGTAGCCGTGTGATCTCACCGATATAATTGCACTGGCCGTCCTGAACACAAGGAAGGTCAAGTATGGTTCCAGAGCAGGTCCTACTGACCAATGTATGTGATCAGAGAACTCGTGAGATAAGCATGCTTGAGGAAACAGTACGCCTGACGTTTGACGAGTAGATGATATTTCTCCAGGATCAATCGGGTGCCGATAGTACGGTAAATGTGTCCGTGGTGCACTTCGAACCTGTTGCAAGAAAACGAGGAGATCTTCCGTCATATAATGTCACCGCCCAGAACAATGTATGGATGGTTCGAGCTAGTAACAAAAGCTACGCTTTTCGAGTAAATCCTTCACAGGCTGCAGAGAGTTGATGATGATCATAACTCGAACCGAGCACTTCTACGGAAGATATTTTCCCTGCAGATTTCGTCAGGCCTCGGCGCGAGTTTGTAGGTGATACCTCTTACCATCCTGCTTCCCCCACCTGACTGAATGCCAACTACGGTCTTTCAGCGGCCGAGTCTAGTACATTGGCGTTGAGAGGAAGCCGCTTTGGCCCTGGTGATGGATTTTGGTTTCAGCAACTGCGGTATTAACGGATGCTTCACGAGATGGGACTCTTGAGTATCAGGGTGCTACACAACGATTCTCCCTTTCTAACTTCTGGCACTCCAGCCGCAAGAGGAAGCGGCCGGTAAGCGGACAGCACCAATGGGTAATGTTAAACAACTCCTTACGGTTCTCTGAAAATAGTGGTCGACTTCCCGGAAGGATTCAATGATGCACTTTGACTGCCAGTTTGCCTGGAAACGCGGCTCCTAGGAAGCACCTGACTTCCTTTTCCGTAAGACTGGAACTGTGCAGGAGTTAGTGGTGACATCCAATTTACGGAAGTGGACAACACACATCCATTTCCCTGGCGTGCAAGCCTCTTCGTGCGCAGTCGTGTCGGGATTTGTGTTCAATTTGTAGACAACCGGTCAATCGAAAACGACGGAGCATGCCACCGAGCTGTTGAAGGGATTAAATATTTATGCGGACAACGAATAGTCTTGCGGAAAGCTGAGAACCGGTGATGCTTCTGATAGTCACAATTCTCCGCCGAAAATTTTGGTAAATCGCTACGACGGAGATGACGACTATTGCTTGCGGATTGCTCCCAAAAAAAACAAAGCTCACTCCTGTAGAAACATTAAGTTGCTGTAGGTGCTTTGCAACATGACAGACAACCTCCTTTCGGTGAGAGAGGTGAGCAACGTAAGGCGGTTCATCCTTGACACTATCTGATACTCTCAGCAACCTATGTCAGTACCACTGAGGGTGTAAGAGGGTACGAACGAGATCGTGCAAATTGACGCCGATGTCAATTGTGTCCCATTCATACTTGACCGGTATTGTGAAGGGACGAGGAGGATGGTATTTGCTGTGTACCCCAAGATTCAGACAGCAACAGGAGATATGTCATACTGGACTGATGGGAGGAGGCACAATATTACAAAAGTCTTGCAAAAGGTAATAGATTACTTTGCCTGGGTGAAAGACGTCCAATTCTTCGTGGAAGGAACTCAAATGCAGTTCATGAGAACCGCCACCACAACACGATGATAAGGAGAAGTGCCACAGCACCAAAGGGTGCGTACTGTCGTATGAGCGCCTGAATGTTTATATTTCTTGCTGCCTTGCGGTACTTCTCCGATTCGGAACGCAGGGAGGTTGACAGATGCGACATTCCTGTAAAGTGTCAAGGGATCAAAGAAGAGCTCAGAGGATCTCCACACTCACTGTCTAACGAGTCCCCCCTCCATAAAAGCTCCTCCATATTCTTGGTCATGATGCGAGTGACGTCTTGCAATTCATTGTTTAACTTATCCAAGTTTGATGATCCGGCTGTATCAGCTGCACGAGTATCCTGATATAGCCGCGCTGTTTTGGACATGAAGGTATCTGAATACAGCGCAAATGAGTCCCCGGTGAAAATACGAGCACTAGGATGCGCACCAAACCCGACAAAGGCATACGGTTTCCGTACAGACTCGACTTTGGGTCCGTAAGATACGGAGAATTCCTTTGAAATTTCTTCTAAATACGAGAAAGCCAGTTTCCGCGGGTAAGATTTGTCCGCAATGGTGAGAAACACGACATTATCTGCGAGGAGGTAGCTATAGCCAGCCGGCGGCTTAGTATGCGGAGCCTGAATGAGACATGAACAGACACTCACTGCAGCGTGTACTGCCCGCTTTCGATGGAACACCGCGGTTCCGAGTTGGGTGTGATACGTCGAAAAATTAGTTTCGACTGTTGCTTGTGCTCCTGAAGAGCTTGCTCAGTCTGTTGGGGTAAGTAAACCTCGTCAGTTATTGAAATGTTGAGGAAACTCACCTGCTCATCATCCACGCTTGCTGCCATTGGCAAAGCATCTGTTGCGCGAACTATTATTGTTGAGCGAACCATGGTGGGAGTAGAGCTTGTCTAACGTTGTCGTGGCTCAGTAGAAGCAATTTGGATGCGGTAGAAGCACGTGATCGGCAGTGCATTTGTTCGTCGTCCGAATTAGGAAACTTCGGGCAGTGTATGGTCAGGTCTTCAAAACCTTCTTGTCAGTTCGATTGACCGGTGAAGGTGAATCTCTTGCTGGCTATCTGTCGCACAAGTACGGGAAAGTCGGGCAGTGTATATTGGACGAAGCCCGAGGAAGTTTTCTTTTGTACCCTGCCCGGCGAAGCCATTTGCTTAGATTCCTTAGATTCATTAACCCGGTGCCTGCCGCCGGCAGGGTCTCGTTCCGTTGCGATGTGATTCGTCACTTCCGTGCGTGATTTATTATAAACATGATCCTGCAGGGGCCAATGCGAGGTTGCCCAGTTTCAAATAGGTGTTCGCTACTACCATCATGTCTTCCTCCTTGTTCGACGTTCGCAAACAGGTGCGTACCAAATTGTAGATCATCATCGACTCTTTATGTGACGCCCGTCTCAATAGCTCGCGTTCTATGGTTCCTACCATTCCCATCCAGTCAACGTCTTCATTCACATCTTCGGGGTCCCAGCCCTTCTATGGTGCGTTGTCTTCTCATTGCGTAGAGTACGGATTATGTACCACACTTTTGCGATCCAGGAGTGCACTAGTGTTGGCGACTCGCATCCCAAGTCCCTCATTCTTGCCGGAGGTTCGCTATACGTTCAATGAGTACCTCGTATTCGACATGAACACGCCTGCCGTGGGCACCACTCTCTACTTCGTGTACTACTTCATCCTTGAACCGATCGCTGCAGTGAGTCGCTCATGCCGTAGATGTGGCACCATTTGACACTAGTTCTAGCTGTTGTACGCACCGCAAATGGTGGTGTCATTGCTGACCGCAACAGCCTATGCATCTCGCCCTGATGGCATTCGAGACGCGATCATCGTTCAAGTCGTCTCATGGATTGCGCAGTTCCTTGGGCATGGACTTGCTGAGGGTCGTGCTCCAGCCCTTCTGGATAACATTCTTGGTGGTGCGTTATATGTTTCGTATTTAATTCATGTGTATCAGTCACTAATCATCCTTTCCAGCCTTGGTACTCGCACCTTTCTTCGTGCACCTGGAATTGTTGTTCATGCTCGGATATCGTCCCGACCTGCACAAGCAGCTGCAAAACGATGTTGGGATTGAGATTGCCAAAATAAGAAAGGAACAAGGCGAAAAGAGACGTCTTGCCGACAAGAAGTCCAGTTAATTTGATCGATGACGAGAGCTTTGTCACGGATCTATTTTCATGTTGTATATCTTTCTGCCAGTTGTTCAGCGACATCGGAGGTGCTGTCAGACCTCATTAATCCTTTTATTCCTGGCCTGTGGAGGTTCTGGGGCTTCTCATAGTTCACCATCGTCTTGTATCATACATGGGTATTTCCATCGCTATGTTTACCATTCATTTCACTCTCTCCCCGTGCTTTCGAACTCTCACTGCATATTGGCATTGATCCACTCTTCAAATGAGACTGACGGGAGGCTGAAGCGCTGGTTCTCCAATGGGTGTGACATAGCACGAAGTGAGGCCTCCGTCGACCTTGAAATCAGTGCCCTATTGACATGGCGTTAAGCAAGAATGTCGCACTAGTTGGAGGGAGACATACGGTCATATAACTGCTGTCATCGCTTGCAACTGCGTATGCGACAGTAGAATCAGATCAACGTACTAGCAGCATTAAAATCAAAACGTACGGAACAATGCACCCTTAGCTAGTTCGACGGCCTCACCAAAACGACCCATGGGGAGGTGAACGAGCCGACGTTCCTTCTTTTCTGGAGTGTCGAGGAAATCCATCAAAAGAGCTTCATATCATTATATGTCAGCAACATTGATTTTTCTGTAGACATGTTGTGCACTGACGTGTCTTCAGCGGTCCACTGTCAGTACCATGGTCAGCATGCAAAAATGCAAGTACCAGTTCTGCTTACGGGCAAAGAGAGTTCAGCCGAATTCCTTCTCTCGCATGCACCATCGCGAGCTCTCGGGTCATGGACAACACAGCGCCCTGACATCCTGTCAAACTATCGTACCTCAGCGGACGACTATTGTACCTACCTTGGACGCAGTATCTGAAGGACAAGGGAAATCGTCATTTTTTCAGAGAAAAAAAATCACGTAGTGTGTTCACGTACATGCCAATTGTGGGGTAGCGGCACCCATGATCGCGACGAAGCTCGCTGTGTTAATGATGGAGCCCCCGACGTGAAGGCCCTTGTCCTCGTCGACAGGATTTTGTCGCATGGCCATAATAGCATACTTACAGCCCCACCAAACGCCTTTCACGTTGATCTGCATTGTCAAATCCCAGATCTTCTCCTCGGTGTTGAGAGCGTGATCGTCTGCTGGGTGCATGATACCTGCATTGTTGAACTGTGGATTTATTGAGACTCGCTGAAACCGCGCGGATAATTAATCCCTACCATGACATCCAATCTACCAAATTCTGCAACAGCGCGATCAACTGCTGATTTGATGTCATCCTCCTTCCCGACATCAGCGTGAACGGCCAGTGCTTTCACATTCGGGAAACGTTGCTGGATAATCGCAGCGCCTTTCTGCGCAGCTGCTATATTAATGTCGACAAGCAAGACATTGGCGCCTTCCTGAGCAAAAAGCAGGGACGACTCAAGACCGATACCACTGCGATCGCATTTAAGATCAGACATTGCGATTTGTTCGAGCAGACTCACGAGCCGGCTCCGGTGATGAGGGCAGACTAGATTCGGATTTTCCATCAGCGGTCTGTCAAGTTGCAGGTATCTGTGTACATTACTTTGTTTGCAAGGCGTCCGGGCATGACTTGGTTGGTTGTAGTTCAAAATGAAGGTTGACTCGTTCATTATCAGATTGCTACGTATTAGGTTCAAGCTAGTAGATAAGATTAAGCAGCTATTTATATCCAGGTAACTACTGATTGCCGATCCAACAAATCTTATTCGGATTCCTACCCTCACAGTCATGAGCAGCCAGCGCCGCAGCTCGTCGGACTATATTATAATCGTATGCTCAATATATAACATTCGTGTTGATTCTATTTAGAACGCATGATTAGTCTGAGACATCTGAGTCCAGTGCGTCATCCTATGTTTCCAACCAGCCTGGTCCATATAAACCCCTCACAATTTTACTGACAGCTCGTTTCTCATTCACTTTCTATCCAACAGGTGCAGGTTGCCTTTTCACTACATTTATTTACTCTCGCTTTATTTTGACAATGGCGCTCTTCATCTCCCTGCGTCCCAAGACCTATACTGCTCGTTATCCGCAATGGATGGTCGGGAGGCCTTTACTTTACATGTCATCCGCTCTTGCATCTCTCGGCGACGCCATGTTCGGCTATGGTCAAGGCAGTATCGCGGCGGCTCAGGTTCAACCCTCTTTTATCCACCGAATGTTTGGCAAGGAGGTTACGATGGCACAAATCCAAGCTGGCCAGACCGGCGTGGATCCCTTCCTACAAGGTTTGACCCGTTTTTCATCTCATCTTCAAGACACTCAATCACCCCCCCCCTTTTTTATAGCTATCACCGTCTCTTGTCTCAACCTGACGGCGTTGTTGGCTTCATTCATCGCTGCCTACCTCTGTGATATTCTTGGCAGGCGCATGTCCGTCCGTATCGGAGGCATCATGTACTTCATTGCCGCTCTCATTCAGGTCTTTGCTCCAAACCTCGGTGCCCTCATCGCTGGTCGATGTATTCAGGGATTAGGTGTCGGAATACTCTCAATGACTGTCCCAATTTTGCAGTGCGAAATTGCCCCTGATCATGCTCGCGGTCTCTTCGTCGGTATCGAGTACATCTGCCTTAACATCGGTTACGCTGTTTCCGCGTGGGTCGGATACGGCTTCTACTTCGCCATGCCTTCTGAGATCTCATGGCGTGGCCCTTACATCGTTCAAGCTGCTGTTGCAGCTGTTCTCATCGTCTGGACCTTTTTCCTTCCCGAGACACCTCGTTGGCTGGCCCAGAATGGCTTCCAGAAGGAAGCTTTGGTTACTCTCGCAGACTTGCATGGCGCTGGAAATGTCTCAGACCCAAAAATCCTGGCTACCTATGCTGAGATCGTCGGTGCTGTCGAGTTTGAGGAACGCATGGGTCAAGCCTCCTGGCGTCAACTCTTCACGCAATACACTCGTCGATGCGTCGTCGGCATCACCTGCCAGATGTTCGCTCAGCTCAACGGGATTAACGCCATCTTGTACTTCTTACCATCTAACCTCACGCGTGCTGGCTTCACGATCTCCCGCGCTTTGCTCTACTCCGGTGCTTGTGCTCTGATCTACTGCTCCGGGACTATTCCGGCGATGTTTTTGATCGACAAATTTGGACGCCGGGTGTTCTTGCTCCTCGGAAGCTGTGCACTGGCTGCGTCGCTTTCTATTGTCGGTGGTCTCCAATACTATGCGGATAGTCTTCCTGTAGGAGCCGGCCGGCTTCCTGCTGCTGACGCTATCTTCTTTGGTTTGTTTTATGTTACTCGCAAGCTAAACATGCGCTGAATTTCGTCCCCTCTAGGTGTTTGTCTGTACCTATTCTTCTTCGGTGCCACCTGGGGTCCCGGCCCCTGGCTTCTTGGTGCTGAAATATTCCCTCTCCGCGCTCGCGCCAAGGGCATGTCGCTCAGCACGGGCACCAACTGGCTGTTCAACTTCATCGTCGCATTCATCACCCCCCCACTTTTCGACGCCATCAAAGCAGGATACTACTTCGTCCTCGTTGGTTTCTGCATCATTTCTCTTGCTGTTGTCTGGTTCATCTACCCCGAGACCGCACATCACACCTTGGAGGAGCTCGGTGAGGTGTTCGGCGACAAGGTTATGGACGATGAAGGTCCTGCACGCGAGAAGGCTCAGAGAAGTGCGAATGAGATTCAACGGGAACGCTCGGGTTTGCCTGCCACCACCGATTCAGAGGTTACCCTTCAGCCTACCATGTCCTCTATCACTCCAAAGGCCAAGGACGAAGCTTCGATTGTCATGAAGGAAAGATCTTCCATTGTCACGTTGGACTCGCACGTTTAGCCTGAGACTATCAGGAGTGACAGCCTATCGACCCAATGGACTTCGTAGACTACTGAACTTGTATACCGGACAATAACACTGATGCATAAGTAATCCAACCAACGTCCTTGTCCATGATCCAACGACTGCTATGTGCTCTTCTAATTAAGATTCGATCTTCTTCTCTAACGCAGGGACTCCGGGAAATCATCAGGGTAACTGCTATCGTCCTGGAACATCTCGAGAAAATCTCTCACCACCGGCGGTGGAGTTCTTGAAGGTAATAAAAAACATCTGCGTGACACTGGAACACTCATTCCAGCGCCCTCCTGCATTAAATCGACCACCGAGGAAGCGTATGACGAATCAGGCGTTTGCCGCTTTCTGTAGGGTGAGTGTTGGGACGATGTACTTGCATGCGGGATGCTGGCTTTAGGTAAAGTCGCTCGAGGCAGCTTAGCCACGTCTTGCGGTTTACGATTCGCGATCTCTGCTGGGAGTCTGACCGGAACTTCTGATTCTGGCTCCGTTTCGGAGTCATCGTCTTGAACAGCCTGAGGTTTAACTACTTCTGGTTCTGACTCCGGCTCTGTGACAGAGTCATCCTCCTGAGCGGGGAGAACATTCACCATAGACTCTGTACGCTCCACAGGCTTCTTAAGGGGAGAGGTCTTGTCCACACTGCGACGTGAAGTAGGCTTCAAAGGACTACGAGACGGCGATGCAACAAATGAGGCTCTATTTATTGGAGATTTGGTTGCCAGGAATGAACGAGAGAACCCTTTTGACGGTGAACAAACAGGCGACGTGGCGGGACTTGACCCAAGGGTAAACTGGTGCGGCCGCTTACGCTCGCTACGATTGAAATGGGCGACGTGCGTAATGGGACGTGGCGTTGGGAAATCGGTGCTGGGGGTTGCTGGTAAGTAACAAAGTGCAACATAGACAATGTTTTTCTTACCTTGCCAAAGACAACTTGTCTAGCAAGTCTCCGGGCAAAGATGCCATGGTCATGGCTCCCTCCTCCTGTGACTGTGAGCTTGGCACAGGCTCGTAGTTCGTGATCGACACAGGCTTCGCTATCCGTTTGCGACTCGGCGTCGCGTCTAACGCAAGCAAATATTGACTTTGCGAAGATGGGACAAGTTCTTCGATTATGTTGGGATAAGCAGGAGGTGATTCTTTAGATGTTGGAGGGGACACAGGGACCGCATGGACTTTGTACACCTCTTTGTCTCGGGACGCACAGGTAAAAGGGTCGTCAGGGTCTATTGCCTGCTGTATGCCATTGGAGCCACCCGTGCGTTCCGTTGAGGGAGTGTCTAAGTCATTGTCTATTGGGACAGGGAGTTTCATAATGAGAGGCGGAGAAGCTAGAGACGGGCTGGATGGTTCATGAGTATCGGACCCATGCTTGGTTCTGCACGGCGATGACGTGCCGATAAATGTGCGCAAACCGGATGGTGCATGCGTATTGCTCGGTTTCCGCACGTTAGTCTCTGGAGTAGGTAAAGCCGCAATGGCGGGAGTGATGGCGGCGACGGTAGTCCTCGGTGGGAGAGGCCGAACTACCGCAGTGCTAGCTACTTTCACCGTCCGCTTCTTCGTCTGGTTCGTTGGGGGAGGAGTGGCTAGAGACTGTTCTGCATTACTCGCGAGATGTACAGGTCTCTTGCTCATGGAAAAACTTGGTGTAGTTATTCTACGAGAAACAGCGTTCGAGTTGGCCTTTGATGAGCGAGAGCTGCTCGCAACCGGTCGCAAGGGCGACGAGTCAATGACCACTACATCGTCGGATGGTCCGGGAGGTAATGCTCTTTCTCTCCGACCAGAGGCCGATGCGACGGGAGACTTGGAAGTAGGAAACTTTGTTTGCTTCCCAAGTTTCTTTGCCCGTTTAGCGCTTCCCTGAGCACTCGTATGCACATTAGGGGAGACTGCCCGCTTCCCCCGCTTCGCTGAACCTCCCCTGTCGTCCGCAGCCGCTACGAGTTTCCTCTTCTTGGTAAATTCTGCCTCTTTCTTGTCCTTCTTACCTCGCGCAAAGTAGGCTGTGATGGGGAGTTCTTGCTGCGACAAGTCCATGCAAGAGTTACTTATGGCTGGGAGAGTTCTCTCACTGTCGCGAAACGCTAACAAGGGCGGAGTTGACACGCTTTTGAAACTCAGAAATATATACCAACGCGTCTCGTCACGCGTCTTTTCTTTCACAAAACAATTTCACTATGGGAGATATCGACACGCCGCAGCTCAAGAAACGCAGGATGTCCGACAGCGCTGAGCACGACACGCTCGCCCCCACGTCACAGCTGTTGATCAAGAGACTTTCTGACAAGGCTAGGATTCCCACTAGGGGATCGAGTTTAGCTGCGGGGTATGATTTATACAGGTATTGCACTTGCGTTCGACGAATTAAAATAGATATCTTACCGAGAAATATAATACAGTGCAGAGAAAAAGGTGATTCCAGCGCATGGCAAGGCGTTGATTGACACTCAGCTTTCCCTTGCTGTTCCTGTCGGCACCTATGGGCGGGTTGCACCTCGCAGCGGTCTCGGTGGGTCGCGTGTCGTGTGTTATGTAGTACCTGGCTAAGAACATTCCCTTGCAGCGTCAAAATTTATGATTGACACAGGTGCTGGTGTCATTGACGCGGACTACAGAGGCGTTGTCTTTGTTCTACTTTTCAACCTCTCAGACAAAGACTTCCAAGGTACGTCAAAAGGTTGAGTCGGGCCATTGTGTGTTGCTAATCGGGTTGCGTAGTCGAAGAAGGCGACCGGATAGCTCAACTAATCATTGAGCGCATTTATACGCCTGAGGTTCTGGAAGTAGATGTGCGTCTTGCTCACTCACGTTCTTAGTCGTATGGTTGATCATCCAACAGAACCTTGATGTAACAATACGTGGAACGGGAGGCTTCGGCTCTACGGGTGGGCACGGCTCGCTGTAACATACCATATTTACCGTGCACGCACGCATTATTGTGAGATTCTTAGAAGAAAGCCTCATCTTTTGGAACGGGATCAGAGGATATTCATTACGAGTTGGGATAGTTCTGCTTATGATGTTGAGCGCAGATACCCCGGATATCTGTCGAACATCCAAATGATCAACATTTTTGTGACCCTGTGTCCAGGGCGTACTCACACCTGATTATAAGTACACAATGCCGCAAAACTGGTACCAGAGCACAAATTTATGCGCTCTCTAAGAGCGTGTCATCTGGAGCGATCTGTCTCAACGACATACATCCCATTCACGCTACGACTAGCATATGAAAGCAGATCATGGCCTCTCACATCCCCGTCCTCGCGTGGTGTCCTATCGAGGGGTATCCCAGACCCTTCTGCCATCACTCGTCCGTCTGGGATGTCTATGCTCTCCGTCTCCTCCACATTGAACAGCTTCGTGGCCTCGACAAGCTTAATCAAGTCCTCCAGTTCGTGCTTTAGCTTGGAATACTCTGGTGTGCCCTCTTCGGGCGGTAATAATGCAGAGAGTTCATGTAACCGTTTGAATGTGGCGGGTGATATCGACGGAGCTGGATAGGAAGACAGCAGTTCCTGGACGGACCAGGTGGGCTTGAGAGGTATACCGTATGTGTCGGTTTCAACGATAACTCTAGACGTCGAGTACCGCAACGGGCAAGCCATAGAACGACACCATATGCGTCCTACTTGTGTGACTGAACGCCTTAACATGGTGGTGCAGAGAAAGAACAGCGTGGGAGATTGGTGGGAAACTGCTTCGGACGTAATAATTTGCATTTGCTCAATCTCTTCCATCCGCAACCAACATGGAACGGGCAGTCCGCGCTATCCAGGGCCTATTACCGAGTACACTTCCCCCGTCCCTACGAACAACACCTGCAAATCTTTACCAGGTGCTTTCCCGAGCTCCTGGAGGTGGCGTTGGCCAGCGCGTCCACCAGATTCGATGGACCGAGAAAGGCATAAGAAACTGCTACTGGCAGGTGACGCGGACGCGGCTTAAGCTCGAGGGAAACCACGGAAAGGCATGGGGGAAGCTCTACTGGCAAGGTAAGTTCCTACCTCCCGGAGCGGACACAAACTTACCTGCATATGCAGGCAAGCAGATTAGTGAGCGGGAGGAGAGAATAGGTGGTTCATTAAAATACAAGTGGTCAACAGGTACATCTTAGTCAATGAAAATGTACGTGAATTATACGTCGTTATAGACTTGACGCTCATGTAGCTTACAAGTTTACCGTGCAGGCTTTCCTGCACAGTGACGTTTGGGACAGTCCAAGTTTTGTTACCCTGCGTGCCTTGCAATTAAAACATCCTGCATACCTACTCAGCATTATTTCCAACCATCACAGATCATTATCAAGCGAATTGGCATGTTACCGGTTAACGACTTTTGGCCAAACCGTTAATACGAAGATCATACTTCCTCAGCATAATGGCTAAAAGTTAAGGTAATACGCTGACACTATCTTCCGAGCTCCTGGGTCAGGAACCACCTGAACTATGGCTCCTAATGTGAGCTTGGACGACATCGTCGCAAGCCATGACAAGTTTCGCAACGTGAGCATCTGGACTAAATACTGAAGTGCCTTCCCAGATACTGCCCATCTTCAAAGACCGAGCACGAACCCCACCAGCACAGTGCACGATATCATGACATTGCTGGAGAGGGGAGAGAATCTCTATGGGGTTGCCTTTAATCAACATACCTCAGGGGAATGTTGATTATCCAAGGCGCAGTCATAGACCAGGATACCCACCGCAGAATGGCGCACTTTAATAGTGGTGCTGGTCTTAGTAAGGCAGGAAGCCGTATCTGGGACACCCCAACCTTGGCTAACTAGCTTATCGTAGCTAAGGTCAGACAAGTGGACGTCAAGATAAGTCCGATGCATCAGAGAGGGCATTGCGCTGCTATCCGTCCAGTGTAGACACAATATGACTGACGATGACTCGAAAAGTTTTTGGGAGATCCAACCTGACCTGGAATTGACCTAGACTCTGCGCTGGAACGTAAGAAGTCATCTAGGAGCAATGGCAAGGGGATCTGGGAGTTATGCCACGTGAATGCTTATTCTAGGTCAAATGTTCACTTCCTCGGCCTACCTTGATGCTTCCTGGTGAGAGTAAAGTCAGGTAGTCTAAAACCAGAAAAGCCTTTCTAGCTGAAATAGTGCATACTGTACACGAACGTCGAGTTTAGACAAGTCGTGGGTTGAACGTTGAGACTCGAGAGACATGGTCTTGCTCTTGTTTTATATACGAGTCAGTCGAGGGAACTTCTGATCATCTTTATCGAGGCCGTGCATAATTTATCGCATAGAGGTTCAAGATAGAACATCTGCAGGGAGCCGTCGCCAGCGCTCACGTTCCAGAGAATCTGCAAGAAGTTAGACCGTTAGAGCTGGCAGTCTATGCCACGTTGCGGCGCTTTCGGCGAATCCCGAACACCTTGACTGGTGCTAAAGGCATTATAAGACCGGTTTGCCGTGTCAGGCTGAAGTATCGCAGACGCAGCTTATGATTTATCTTTGTCACTGTACCCTTCCTTTGTCCTTCTGTTAACGCCATTTATCAGACGCAACACATTGACCCCGTCCACAAGCCTATCTCTTTGTAGTCCACCTATTTTCTGGGATGGATTCACGCGAACTTATTGATGCCCAATTCGATCGGGCAGTAGAGATAGTACAGAGTCTCCCAAAGACCGGGCCTATACAGACAGACTATGAGGAGAAGTTGACAATGTACAGGTGCGTTGCATGAGTTTACATCTTCAAGTACACATTTACTTACTGGCTTTCCTTCCCACAGCTTGTACAAGCAAGGTGGACATTACCCTTACATCAGAGAACCTCTTAACTAATGTTACTCTACCGCAGCGACTATTGGACATGTCCAAGGCGGTCGTCCGGGCATGTGGGATATGCTAGGGCGGGCAAAGTGGTCAGTTCACGTCATTCCTCACCTCTAGCGCTATCACGTGTTAACGAGCACTCCAGGGATGCGTGGGCGAAGCATAAGGATCTCGATCTATATGAGGCCAAATGGCTCTACGTGGATGCTTTACTGAAGGTACGATATTGCACAATTACATGATGCTCGACAATTATTCTAGTACAGGTTCTAAGTAAATACTCGGACAAGACTGTTGCCCGTGACCTCATGAACGAACTCCAATCTTATGGTGGTGACCCGTCAAATCTGGTGATGAGCCGTATGTCCAGCGTCAAGATTGCCTTCCACTGAATTGACATATTCCATACCTAGATTCCCTTTCAAGGTCTCGGACCTCCCAGTCGTCAAGCTCCAGTGCTTCAGAGAACGACATTCCTCGAATTCCTGGTCAATTATTTTCCTCTAACCGACCAGAGGCTCAACAAGCTGCACAATTAGCAGTTATGGAGGAAGGCGGTTCGAGTTCTGAAGACGACGAGTCAGGCGATGAAGCACACGAGCTCCCATTATTGCGTGAACCTGCCCAACAGCCAAGACCACTTTCTTCCATGTCCCCGCGATACCGTACTCCTGTGACCGGCTCACTTGCCCTGTCGCCGCCGCCGCCTGCTGGGCTCGCAAGCGTTCCACCGATGCAACCGATGCCCACATACGAGACCCAATCCGCCTTCGCTGACCAGTCAGCACCAATAGCATCCTCGTCTGCGTACCCTCCACCAAGGCGCTATTCTGGAGCATACCAGTCGCCTGAGTTTGTACCGCAAATTCAGTATACCCCCTCCTTCCGAGGGGGTAGGTCTCATGGCACTGAAGCGCCTATGCGACCACCCTCACGGTTGCCCCTGGAGCAAGCCGTTGAAAACGTCCAGACGCACCTCGCGGCACTAACAGAACGGCTCGATATGCTCGAGTCCCAGGTGGTGCACCCGCAACGGTCCAACCTTTCGCTTCCCTTAAGAGGCTCTTCTGGTAGAGGCAGTCCCACGGATCACCGTCCTGAAGCACACCAATGGGATTTGGATGATATGGGGATGTGGTCGTTCGTTCTGAAGCCATTGTCACGAGTGGCGGTATCATTGGAGCAGCTCCTTATCTTCTTTGCTCGGGGCGAGAACCGGTCTCCCGTGCTCACCATTGTGCGAAGACTGTTCCTCGACATATCATTCTCATTGGCAGTTCTCGGGTTACTGAGACTGACGTGGAAGCAGACAGCTACGAGACGGAAGGAGGTCAATGCGGCCCTCATATTACTATGGGCTGCTTTGTCCGGGAGAAACAGGGAAAGAGTTTTGTCTGTGACCAACATGGGAAGACGGAGTTTACTTTTTTAACTCGTGGGTGGCTCAAGAGTAGTTGTTACTGCATTTATACCTCGATGCCCAGGATTATTTACTTGATTATTTACTTCGTCCCGAAAATTGACTGAGCCTCGCAATCGCTAACAATGCTTTCACTTGATGTTACAGTTGTTCGAGGTTTCAAGACTACCATTCGTGAATACAACTGGTCCTATCCTTTTACTCCGTCATGTCGACAACACAGCGGATACAGTCACCAGCCTAGAAGTTAGGTTAAGCTTCTGTTGGGGTTGTAAGAGAGGGCGATACGTACGTGCATGTCATGGAAGCCCTCGTTGATTTCCGCAAATTTGCGGTGGTGGGTGACGTATTCATCGATCTTGAGCTTGCCTTGCAAGTAGTCTGGAATTCGGTAGATTACGGCGATGAGGGCATGAATAGACAGAACCAGGAATCGGTTCACCTTCGACGAGACCAGGGAGCTCAGTCCGACCCTTCACTCCCCCGAACGCAGTTCCACGCCATGTGCGACCAGTAACCTAGAATACATCCATAAGCTAAACGGACCAACTATTTCAGCTGGTTCATTACCAGTTGGAACCTTTACAGAAACCATCAGCACATGGAAGCCCTGTGAAAAACGCCAGATCACTTACGGACGCGTTGATATCTCCTGACCAGCAGCCGCAACACCAATAACGGTGGACACACCCCAGCCCTTGTGGCACGCCTCTAAAGCAGCGCGCATGACATGTACATTGCCAGTAGCGTCGAAGGTGAAGTCCAAGCCGCCATCGGTGATCTCGACTAGGTAATCCTGGATGCGCTTGCCCTCTGGGAGCGTTGCAGGGTTGACAAATTCGGTAGCACCCATTTTCCTTGCCCACGACTCTTTCGCGGGGTTCGTATCGACAGCGATGATGCGGGAGGCACCGACAACCGACGCGGTTGAGAGGACACCGAGACCGATGGCACCGCATCCGAAGACAGCGACATTGGACCCCTCTGCGTACTTTATGAGTGACAGCAGAAAACACCGTAGCTCCACGTACTGATGCCTTCCTGCTTCACAACTGCGCCCCACGCGGTGGTAATGCCACAGCCAAGAAGGCAAACCTTCTCAAGAGGCGCGGACTTGTTCACAGCGACGACAGAAACCTCTGCCACCACGGTGTACTGCGAGAACGTTGAAGTTCCCATCTGTTCTTGCGGATTAGCTTCGTCAGATTCGAAAGGGATTGAGATACATACGAAGTGGTGGACTGGCTGGCCCTTGCACGTGAAGCGACTCGTGCTATCAGGCATGAGACCCTGGCCTTGGGTTGTTCTCACTGACCACGATACATGTGAGACTCGCGTCTTTGAATCAGCCAGGATACAAAAGTCTACCTTTTCCACACAGGTTGGTCTTCCCGCTTTTGCAGAATTTACATTCGCGGCACTCTGGTGAATCAGACTGAGCAGAGGATTCAGGGGCCATCAGTTGCTGACTTACCAGCAGTGTAAAGCGGGATAACGTGGTCGCCCTAGCAAAGGGTGATCAGGAAGGAGATTACAGCATATTGTATGGTTGAGACTTACAACCGACACGCTTGTGACACCCTCACCAACCGATTCAACCTGGAGAACCCGGAAGATAAATGAAGCAATAGGTACAGTAGTAGGTGTTCAGACTTACCACGCCTCCACCTTCATGACCAAGGATCACGGGGAAGAGACCCTGCAATGCTTCGGATGAGTTCAGGTTACGACAAGGCTGAACTCTAAGCACACCTCAGGATCCTTGCCACTGCGAGTGTACTCATCGGTATGACATACACCTATCGCGGTATCAGCAGATAAGATAACCGTGCAGGTCCCCTCTTACCAGTGTACAAAATCTTAATGCGAACTTCGTGAGCCCTCGGAGGTGCAACCTCAACTTCCTCGACCTTGAGGGGCTGGCCAGCCCCCCAACAAACAGCAGCGTTACAGGTGATGGGCTTACCGACTGTGCTCATGATAGTGATAGTCTGTGAGTAAGAAAGCGTGTATTATGTTGTTCCCTTCTCCCTTTATGCGGGCCGGTGGAAGAATGATAATGTGATAAGCTGGCCCGCCGGGTCGTCGAGTACTGTCTCAGGTCGATAGCTTGCACATGACAGATAATTATACGAGTCCTTATCTGAATATTTCCAGCGTCAATAATCATGATCATCCTCCCAGCGTCGCGGTTATAATTCCGGTTCTCTTTTCCTTCCCGCGTCGATCTCTGGATGCTGTGAATCAACAAACCGAGATCTGATCACAGTTGAGTTCACAAACACCTGGTTCGTGCCTCTACCACGGTACTTACTGCCCTGCCCTATACAGCAACTAATCTTGGTCACTTTGCATAGTTCAGCAGCATCACCAGAACTGCAACCATGTCCTTCCCGAATCTTTACTACAAAAGAGTGTGTCACAGCGATTGATTCATGACCATTTATACCAAAGAAACTAGGCCACAGCGACCGCGAAAGCATGCTACATTTGCTATAAGCCAACGACTGTCGTGCTGGCCACGATAGATACCTCCGATTTCTTGTATACATGCACGATTCATCTCGCAGATCACGGATTCGCTACTCGCGTGCTCGAGCCCGAAAGCGAGAACAAGATCGGAGTCAGTCTTGAGGAAATTGCCAAGGTCCGGGAGGAATGGGAGAAGAAGCAGAAACAGAAGAAGGAGAAAGAGAAAGAGAAAGAGAAAGAGAAGGCGGATAAGGACAAAACAGCTGACGAAGATGAAAAGAAAGATGACGGCAAGTCGGACAAGTCACCAAAGGTGCCGGGATCATTGCCCACGTCAGGTTCTTCAACACCAAAGCCCACCCACGAGAAGTATGTATTACATCGTGACATATTTGCCCTGAGAGTCTCGGAGCACCGAAGACGGAGGCAAACCTCACAGGCCAAGGATCTAGCACCTCGTCTTCCAGGAGCCCCAAGTAGCAGTCTGTCATGACATGGATTGTCTAATATACTGTACGATTGTATACTTATAGAATTTCGTTCCGTGTATAGTTTGTGTTGGGGTATGTGTGCTCAATTCACGAAAGGGTTGCATTGGCAAACAATAGCTCTCACCCCGAAACTTCCAAAACTTCCGATTGCAACACCCACGATAAGACAGAAACCAGCCACAGTACTCGCAACGGGGACGTCTTCGCGACGTTTTCGTAATCGTGGATTGTGCTCTAGAGAGGAGGCGCCTAGCATGCAGAGGGTAGAGACGTATCCGTTTGACAGGCCCAAAGCGCCTACTAGGAGCATATAAACAATGTCTGAGCTGATCACGGGGGAGTCATGCGAAGGTCCCTGGACTGTATTGCACAAAAGGAAAATGGGGATGAACAAGGTGCGGACGATTGAGAACACCAGGATGCGTGCGGCGGACCACGTTATTACTCTGGGGAAAGAACAAATGTATCGTCCAAAGAAGTCGCCGAAGTTGAACATCAAGAAATGAATGGCAGAGAATAGCAATGGATGGGTATTGGGGTTGGTTGGCTGAATGGTAATTGTAATGACGGGGAAGACGGCCTTGAAGCAAACAGAAAATTAACTCCCGACCAGATATTGAGTTAGGTTGACGCACCAAAGTAACCACGTAGACATAGGCAACAGCAAATTCATAGATGATGTTGGCCTTGAACACACGTAATATTTGATTTCTTTCATCAAGGCTTGCTTGGGCTGTACTGCGAAATACGAGCCCCCCCATTTCATCGGCACTATCCAGGGCTCCATCAAGCTTGGCGTTTTGTTCCAAGATCCCGACAGTGTCAATGTAGACTGATAACCGCGCCATCCAGGCGTAGGCGATGAACGTGCTGATCATAAATATTGCGGATATTCCGAAGAATGCCCGCGCAGAATCTTCTTCTGCCTTTCCGTCTCCAACTCCATCATTTGATATGAACGTGGCAATCGCTTCCGATGTCGAACCCCACACGGACAAGGCGGATGTGGCCACCTGGACCACGCTCACAACCACACCTATGGCAGCCTGACCAGATATCACAGATTGCATGTAGGGAGCCCCGAAGAGCGAGGCTCCAGCGAAGGCGGCTGTGGAAAGATAGGAAACGAATATCGCCAACAAGATGGAACATAAGATTGCAAAGAAAAAGAAGGTTGATGGTTGATAGTGTACGAAGGTGCTGAGAAACAGGAGAACGATGACGAGTGTGGTTGATGCGGTAGACCAGACAACTCGTTGAGAGGGTGACGACTGGTGAAAAGAAGGTCAGTGTGATATGAACACCATAGTGAAATAACTAGATTCTAACCCGTTTCGAGGTCGCCGTGGCATGTGCAACTGCAAATATATTAAACACAGTGGAAATGGTGGTCATGTAGGAAGTAAACGTTTCGCGCAATGGCGATCCGACCAAGCGAGACAAGAAGAATGAGGTGGCGGTAATCAATGCTGGGAAACGAATTCTCTGTTTTGAGACCATAACGCAGACGGAGCAATAAGTATTGGCACACACCATTCCAAGGGAGGAGGGTCGCGCAGCCTAGCATAAAGTAAATCCACCATATTCGACTGTCGACAGTCTGATCGGTGATAGAGATGTCGCTTCCAAAATCATCAACAGCGAAGATCAAAATCGTTGTCGCGATCGTCTTCGCCTGGGGCTGGTGGGAGAGCATGATAAACAGTCCCCCGACTCTGTGGTCGAAATCTGTGGTGGTGACATGCTGCCAGGCACTATTGAAGGAGGAATTGGTTGGCTGGTTCAGTAGTAGTCGATGCAAGGTGGAGGGCTACAAACTCGTGGTGTGACTGTGAAACGAACGCATTGCAATACAGCTGGAAGAGTCTCGCTGGGCGGAAACAGAGCAAGCTTCGGAGCCGTGGGGCTTTCCATTCCATTGGCTCGCAGCCCCTCCTAGACCAACCATATGATCAACTTCAGGTAAGTATATCCAATGAGTATTAGTTATCAGGACATGTACAGGTTTGCGTTACGTACCATCAACGTATCATTAATATAATGTTTGAGCAGAAGGAGCAGAACAAGTCCCATTGTTCCGCCGCACAGGACACCAATCCATGAAAGGATATCCCAAAATTATAATTATATGAGTAAGTACATAAGTAGTCGATGGAGCGCTTGAAGCCTAGACGCGTGTGGATTTGGATTGCACTTGCAGATAACAGCCCCAACTTGAAACCTCGCAAATCCACCAACTGCTAATCCCACAATAAGACAGGAAGCTGCGACGGTCATGACATATATTGTCTGATATATTATACGATCGAGTTCCGTTCTGTGTATAGTGTGTGTTGGGGTGTATTGCGTGCTCAATTCACGAAAGGGTTGCATTGGCAAATAATAGCTCTCATCCCGAAACTTCCAAAACTCCCGATTGCAACACCCACGATAAGACAGAAACTAGTCACAGTACTTGCGATGGGGACGTCTTCGTGACGTTTTCGTAATCGTGGATTGTGCTCTAGAGAGGAGGCGCCTAGCATGCAGAGGGTAAAGATGTATCCGTTTGACAGGCCCAGAACGCCGAGCAGGAGCATATAGACAATGTCTGAGTTGATCATGGGCGAACCACGCGAAGGACCCTGAACTGTATTGCACAGAAGGAAAATGGGGATGAACAAGGTGCGGACGATCGAGAACGCCAGAATGCGTGTAGCAGACCAGATGATTAATCTGGGGAAAGAACAGATGTATCGTCCAAGAAAGTCGCCGAAGTTGTATGCCAAGAAATGAATGGCAGTGAATAGCAATGGATGGGTATTGGGGTTAGTTGGCTGAATGGTAATTGTAATGACGGGGAAGATGGCCTGGAAGCAAACAGAAAATTAACTCGCGAACGGATATTGAGTTAGATTAACGCACCAAAGTGATTACGAAGACATAGGCACCAGCAAATTCATAGATGATATTGGCCTTGAACACGCGTAGCATTTGATTTCTTTCTTCAACGTTTGATTTGTCTGTACTGCAAAAGACGAGCCCCCCTGCTTCATCGGCACTACCCAGGGCTCCATCAAGCTCGGCGTTTTGTTCCAAGATCCCGACAGTGTCAATGTAGACTGGCAACCGCGCCATCCAGGCGTAGGTCATGGACGTGCTGATCATAAACAATGCGGATATTCCGAAGAATGCACGTGCAGAACCTTCCTCTACCTTCCCGTCTCCGGCGCTATCATTCGATATGAACGCGGCAATCGCTTCCGGTGTCGAACCCCACACGGACAAGGCGGATGTAATCACCTGGACCACACTCACAACCACGCCTACGGCAGCATGCGCGGATATCACAGATTGTATGCAGGGAGCCCCGAAGAGCGAGGCTCCAGCGAAGGCGGCTGTGGAAAGATAGGAAACGAATGTCGACAAAAGGATGGAACATAAAATTGCAAAGAAAAAGAAGGTTGATGGTTGACAGTGTACGAAGGTGCTGAGAAACAGGATAACGATGACGAGTGTGGTTGATGCGATAGACCAGAAAACTCGTTGAGAAGGTGACGACTGGCAAAAAGAAGGTCAGGTGATGTGACCTCCGGATAAAAGCGGTTAGATTCTAACCCGTTTCGAGGTTGCCGTGGCATGTGCAACTGCAAATATATTGGACACAGTGGAAGTAGTGGTCATGTAGGAGGTAAACGTTGTGCGCAACGGCGATCCGACCAAGCGAGACAAGAAGAATGAGGTGGCGGTAATCAATACTGGGAAACAATTCTATGGTTTGAGACCCATAACGCAGACGGAGTAATAAGTATTGGCACGCACCATTCCAAGGGAGGAGTGTCGCACAGCCAAGCATAAAGTAAATCCACCGTATTCGACTGTCGACAGTCTGAACGGTGGTAGACATGTCGATTCCAAAATCATCGACATCGAATTCAAGTTCGCTGTCACGATCGTCGTCGACTGGGGCTGGTGGGAGAGCATGATAAACAGCCCCTGACTCTACAGTTAAAATCTGTGGTGGTGAGATGCTGCCAGGCCCTATTGACGTGGAAAATTGTTGGTTCAGTAGTAGTCGATTCGAGGTGGAGGACTACGAACTCGTGGTGTGACTATGAAGCGAACGCATCGCAATATAGCCGGAAGTGTCCCGCTCGGCGGAACCGCGAGGCTTTGCACTCCATTGGCTCCTCCCAGTGACTCCTAGACTAACCATATGATCAACTTCAGGTAAGTATATCCAACGAGTAGTAGCTATGAGGAGACACAGGTTTGCATTACGTACCATCAACGTACCATGAAAATAATATCTGAATAGAAGGAGCCATAATATGGAAGGAACGACTCCTTCCGTTATGGTCTGACTACATGTAGGGGAGACTAGGGAGGAACAGAGCAAGTCCCAACCTGGGCCTAACACATCAATGTTCCCAACAGGAGTCCAATCCATAGACGAATATCCCAAAATTAGAATATATTCCACGATATCGCAAGTACATAATAGACCGCGACAGCTTGGAGCCTAGGACGCGAACGGATTACAGTTGCAGATAACAGCCCTCACTCCAAAGCTCGCAAATCCACCAACCGCCAATCCCACAATAAGACAGAAAGCTGCGACGGTACTAGCAACGTCAACATCTTCCTGCCGGCCCCTCAGTCTTATGTTGTGTTCCAACGAGGGCGCGCCCAACATGCACAGAGTAGACACATAACCGTTCGACACGCCCAGAGCACACAGGAGAAGCATATAGACCAAGTCAGAGTTGATAAACGGGGTAACAGGGAATGAATGTTCCACGTTGCATAGAAGGAACACAGGGATAAACAGTGTCCGGAGGACAGCCAGAACCAAAATGCGTCGAGCCGACCAGATTATGAGTTTTGGGAAGGAGCACGAGTATCGTCCCAAAAGGTCACCAGAACTGAACACTAGAAAGTGCACAGCGCTAAACAGTAAAGGATGGGTATTTGGATTCGTCGGCTTGATGGTGACAGTGATGGCTGGGTAAACAGCCTACCGACTCGTGGTAAGCAGAATGACACTAGCAGCACTCTGAGGAGACATACCAAAGTTACAGCGAAAACATATCCCACAGCAAAATTATAAATCAAATTCGTCTGAAAAATACGAAGAATCTGGTTGTCTTCAACTGTGCTTGGCAGCGCAGCAGGTAGGAGAGCCTGCCGTTCATCAGCCTCGTCTGATACAACTCGGGCCTTGAGGTCGTCCTCGAGAGCACCCATGGTCTTCGTGTATACTTGCAATGACGCTAGCCACTTGTATGCAAGCAGTGTAGCAATCATATATAACGCGGAAATCCCAAAGAATATACGCGCAGATTTCTCCTCAGCTTTGCCATCAGAGTCGATGTCACTGGTGACAGGAGCCAGTGGAGTAGTTCCCCAAACTGAGATGGCGGAGCTGATGACTTGCACACCACTGACCGCAACGGCTACAGCAGCCTGGCCAGCCATCATCGATTGCATATAAGGAGCGCCAAAGAGCGCTGCTCCTGCAAATACCGAGTTCGACAGATACGACGCGCAGCCCGACAAGGAGAACGCGCTTATCATGATAAAGTAAAAGAATGGAGTTGAACTAGGGTGAAGGAATGTCGTCAAAAACAATATGCTGACGATCGCTGAGGTGAGCGCAGTGGACCAGAAGGCGCGCCTAGAAGGGGAAGACTGGAAGGGAAGTCAGTTACCGTGACAAAGTACCCTCATGCATGTGGTACCCACTTGTTTCGAGGTAACAATCGCATGTCCCAATGCAACCACGTTGCTGGCGGTAAACACACTAGATAAGTAAGAACTAAATGATTGTCTCAGTGGAGAACCCGACAGTCGCGACATGAAAAACGAGTTCGCATTAATCATTGCTGGCGGAAGATAAGTATTAGTTATTGACTGGCCTCCATCGCTGTCCCGGAAACATACCGTTCCATGATAGAAGAGTAGCGGCTCCAAGCATAAAGTATACCCAGCGTATACGAGCGTCTCCACGCATATCTTGCAGAAGTGGAGTCTCCATGCTTATCCGGTCATTGTCGTCTTGTCCGAGGACTTCTTGTGTGGAGATGCGGTGCACGCTGCCTCCCGCATCTGAACCTGTAGCAGACGCACGAATATTCATACCAGACGTTGGTTGCGCAGCTTGTGCCTATCAATGCAGCAGTGTCGACGGCAATGAAGATACGGTGGAAGCGAAAGGGATTGGCAATACAACATCAATATGTTCTATTCGCGAGGCTCAGGGCCCTGGGCAAATAGCCTGTGCCAACCGAAAGCAGGCAGGTCTCTCACGTCACTGATACAGTCCTAAGCGGGAAGGGATAACCAGAGCAGCAATTAACCAGCAGTCAATAACCAAGCGTGTACTCTATAGCTAGAAGCATCATCCGATACACAATCATGCCTCTTGTCTCCTCGCAGACTTGCCAGGAATAAACTGGTTTGGCGCATCCCGCAGGACCAACTGGTTGAGCTTCTCCTTCTGCTTCTCCGCCTTCCTTACCTTGCGCTTAGAATTCCTCTCCATCTTCGCAACGCGTTCCTTGGTCAACCACCTCCGCTTCTTCTCCGCCCTCCGCTCATTCTCCAACGTTTGCCGGTACTTGAAAGCAGCTTCTGCACGCGCATCCCGAATAGACCGACCATTGAGATTCCTGAGTTCTTGTGCAATGAACTTCTTGAAGAGCGTGCTCTTGCGGTTCATAGCAGCCTGCCAGCGTGCTTGCTTCTTGGCTCTGCTATGAGGATTGCTCAGCTCCTTTGTGACGTGTACCTCCATCGGTGCCGACGTGTCGAAAGGAACAGCGGTGGGATTGAACAACGTCCTGAGATACGCCTTCTCAGTGGCGCTGCTCTGCAGAGCAACCATGTTGGACAGAGAGAACACGGGAGGTTTGTACGTTATTTCCCGAACCGTCTCGGGTGTTGTGTCCAATAATGGATTGGCTATATCACCCTGAAGTCAGAAATCAAACAGAATTAGAGGAAGAGTGTCTGACGTTCTTGGTGGTCTCTCTCTTCTTGTTGAGGCCACGGTAGTTCAACGGTTTTTCTGTTCGGGGTCGGCGGATCAGTAGCCAGCACCAGACGCTTCCAGTCCCAACGGTAGAGAATAGGATCCCAATGAGCATCTCGCACACCAACGCGTCTCGCAAACACACTGGGGAATGTACAGTCAAATGCAAGGTTGATACCCAGAGGTGTAACACTTACGAGATCGCCTCGGGCTGCTTATCGACTGCAGTAGCCTTTCCCACTTGCTCACCAATGTAGAGCTTACATCTCGAGTAGTGCACACTGCGGTTGACCGGAGTCTTGTATGGCTTTCCCTCGTGCTGCAAAACCAGTCAGCACTGAAGAACACTAGTATGGTATAACCACGCACGAGGTTGGCACCCTTCAAATACACGCGGTTGGTGAACTTATTTATACTGAGAACCTCATGAATGGTCTTGCGCGTGTCCCCACGTATGCAAATTTGATCACCGGGAACGACGTTCCAGAATTTTATGCGGTCTTTGACCCGTACGGCCTTGGTGATGGGGTCGAACCATGTCTGTCTATTTTGGAAGTGTCTTGGGACGGGGAAGAAGGTGTCGGAAATCTCTCGTCCAAGGAGAGACAGTGGTAGCTCGCTGAACCTGTATACGGGTAAGTGACATCGAGTCTAAGACTGTCCAGCGCGTTCAAATTAACTCAGAAGAAAAGTAGCAGCTGACTAAGCAACTTTACGAAAACACTCATGCTCCTGAGGCACGCACTTCAGCCCAAAACCAGCTACTTACGAACTACAGTTCGAAAGGACTCCCGCATACTCAATAATAATGTTTCCGGACAATGGTGCGAGTCGACGATTGGGGTTTCGCATTGAAGTCGAGATCTAGCAGTAAAGACTCGGTATGATTACAAGAGAAGAGTAGATAAATTACCAGCGCCTCAACAAACCTTGACATTAGCCCATAGGCCCAGCTTTGGACCCGCTCCATGCTGTAGATGACGCGCTGGGTTCCTCAGATTCTAGCGTCTGCAGCAGAAAGAAAAATGAGACACGCAGCCAGCGATTGAAGAAATGCAATCACCTCGAGCAACATCCCAATCACGTTGTCCACCTCCGATGGCAGCACCCCGCCGCACCCCGCCCCAATTAGTCTTCTATACTCAGCCATTCGTCCCCCAGTGCCCGCCTCTGCTTGGAATGACGCCAACTCGTCAAACATATCCTTCCTCCGTTTCCTGTGCTGTCCAATCTCATCTCGTAAGGCATCGCAGGCGACTCGCAGTGCGTCCGGATCCGTAGGCACATCAGCATATAATGCCAACAGGTCCGAAATGTCCTCCTCCTGGGGTAACGCCTTCCGCTTCCCTTTCCCCTTATCTTTCCCAGGTTCTGCAACCTCCTCGATGTCGTCGTCTGTCCGGTAAGGCACCGTCGCTGCTGTAATCCTCAACTCTCCATCAGCAGCGTCCCGTATCGACACCTCGCGATTCTCCTCGTCCTTCACCCATTTCTCCCAGCCCAAACGATACCGCCTTCCCATCTTGTCAAGCAACTGTCCTTCCAATTCCCCAAGCAAACCCTTAGCGAGCTGTAGCCCCTCGGCTTGCGTTTTGAGCTGGTTCACGGCACGGTGGCTTTCCAGGATTTCTTGCTGAATGTTCTGCAAGAGTGCGTGCGCTTGCGTCATGTCGCGCTCCTTTTCATGCAGCTCACGGTCGAATGACGAGGCGAGACTATCGAGCATGCTTGTGATGTCATTGACACAACGCGTGCTGGCCTTCTGCCCCGCAACAGAGTGGTGGAGCGGAGGCTTGTCACCATTCATAGGGTATGACAGCATCATTGCATTGGAAGTCGTGGGACCGAGAGTTGCTTGGGCATTGCGGAAGGACATCGCTGAGAGGCGTGACGTTGGGCCCGGAGACGAACGGAAACGTTCATCCTCGAGGATGTAGTCCTCTGTGCTCTTGCCATCGTTGTTGATGATCTTTGGATTAGCGCCATGGTCAATGAGAAGTTTCACGAGACGCTTGCTCCGGCATCGGGCAGCCATTGTCAATGCAGTTTCACCGTCTTCGTCTTGAAAATTGATGACATCCGCGAGTTCTTTTGGGTAGTCAGCTAGGCGATTGAGCACTGTTTCCATATAGTACCGCGCAGCATGCGTCTTCCCCTTTGACATTGCGACGTCAACGATGTGATGAAACACGGTCCGATTGTAATTGTCGATGTTGAGTGTAGAGCGGTGAAGGAGTTCGTACAGCTCAGGGAATTTCCGCACATCATAGTTGTTTGCAAACATAACGCTGCGCATAAGTGCAGTCTGACCTGCTTTGTTCACCTTGAATATTTCTGCGCCAGCTGTTATCAACAACTTGACGATACGTAGGCGGCCCATTGCTGAAGCCCAGTGCAACGCGGTATGCCCATCCTCGTCAATGGCGGTATTCGGGTCAAAATCAGGCGGTGGAGAAATAAGAACCTGGGGGATCTGATTCGAGTCAGAAATGAAGTACTCGAGGATCTGGTCTGCGTATGCGCGTGGGTCGGTAGTTCCGTTAGGCTGCGTGGGTTCCTCATCTGAACCTTCGTCATCATAACGCTCATCAATTTGGCGCCGTGGTGGTTTCCGTCGAGAATTCCCGCTGCGGCGGTCTCCAGCAACATCCAATTTGTTACCGATGGGTGACGGAGTGCGAGAGCTTGAGGACCCACGGGAAGGCGAGGAGGTCATGGATCCATCCTCGGATGCATGGTCGGATAATATTTCGTGATCGGATTCGACTTCAGGTTCTACATTACGACGCGAGCGGGCAGCAGCGAGGGCAGCTCCTGCTTCTGCGACAGCAGCAGCAGCGGCAGCGGCACGACGCGCGGCGGGACGAGCCGCTGTACTTGTAGAAACGAGGTGTTTAGGAGCAAGAGGTGGACTCTTGGCTGCGGGCTGAAAATCAATGATTGGGCGGAGAGCAGGTTCACAGTTATACTGCTTCGCCAAAGCGAGACCTCGTTCAAGAGGTATCCATGTTCCTAGGGTGGGTAAGGTTGAGGCGTGTTCTTCAAGTGATCGCAAAAAGGAGCCGCGAAGATTCTCACCTTGGTACTTTCCATACCCTCCCTGAACCTTTTCATGCTCGCCTTTCTGTACCTCTCTCTCAAGAACGCGGGTTCGTTGAGGTTTATCGAAGCCTGCGACTTTCAGGATCTGGGTCGCGTTGAGCCACGAATCGGCTCGCCGGCGCATGACAGCAACTCCCTTGCACATCCTGGGCGCGTAGTAATAAATGAAGTTCCGTCCTGGATATGGAATGCACGACTCACATCTCAAACACGGGAATTCCACTGTAAGTTGCCTAGGATAACGGAGCATAGAGGTGATGTCAGTGCGGAGCGGTTAGCGGGTGGAAATGGGGCGTTACCTTGAAAATCTGACCCTCAGGCATGATGAAGACAGGTGAACGCGTTTATGCGTGATTCCTGCGGATTACTAGCTTGTAAACGATTTTGGTGGTGCACTCCCAGGCGAGCTGGTGCTGACGGGCGTCGCGATTACACGTGTTTCAACAAGAACAAACAACGCGAATAGATGTCACAGTCCGACTCAGTCGACGTACTACGATACTATAGAGAAATCATCCAGTCTGAAATGCTACCAGACGGCTTTACAATGTTAAAAGGTTTAACCGTCTTACAGTCGCTGCCTCGCCAATCCAACATGGGATCTACTCGTGTTCTTCGCGATGTCTATCTCGATTCAGATTAATATTATACCCGTAACCCCTTGGCTTCTCTACAATTGAAATTAGAATGGCGCCCAATATTAATGTATCCCATGTTGTTTTGTGGGTTGCCTCGTTTCAGACGCACCGTTCTCGCCAAGTCCTTGATCGTACCCCATCTACCGTCGAGGCTCGTCTGCGGCAAGTGATGGTGCATGATTTAATAGCACTTAGTTTAAATATCTGCTGCTACTGCGTTAGTCTGGAATTCAACAAAGGAATTGTGACGCGACGGTCACGGGACTTGTTTCCTTTTGTAAGGTGGTTCTTTCCTCGAGGCTTGATAGCGGCAATTGTTCCTGCCCTCACAAACCGCGTCTTTCTCTTTAACCACCACGAGGCTCTCTACCGTTCTAGTCAACGTTTACAACAGTGAGCTCGTTTAATGGCTCCATCCTGCGCACCACTCTGCTATTTTGGAGATAGGTATGTCCGTTCACGGCCCGTCATGTCCAATTTTCTGTATCTCCTCTTGTTAGACTCTACTTTACCACTTTCCCCCACCCCGCGCCATCTCCCCAATCACTTAACAGTACCGCATCAAACCCACCCAATGCTCCAAAGATTCGCCCTCAACCCCATATGGGTGGACCACTCGGTCCTTCAGTCACCACCCCAGACGATGACGCAGTTTACTACTACTTTACTGTCGACGACCAACTACTCTACACCTCATTCTATCAGGACTGGGGCCCACTTAACCTCGCAATGGTCTACAAGGCCTGCTTATTAATTCACGGACTTTTGAAGGTACGCGTCCAATACCCGTCGATCGTGTGCACACGATCATGATCGCCACAGGATGATGATCTCAGCTCCCACCGACTCGTTCTCTATTCTTCCGACGATCCACGTCGCAAAGCCAATGCAGCCCTGTTGATGGCCCTGTACATGGTATGACTCACTATCTCCCAACATCCTCTGTATTCACCCCTTCTCAGTTGATTGTACATAATTACACCCCATGGCGCTGTTTTCAACCAATAAGCGAACTAGAGTTCATGTCTTTCAGAGACGCCGGTCGTGGTCCTTCTACATTCAACCTTAGCATTCACGACTGTTTGTGGGGTTTCTGGAAAGGAATTCAAAACCGCCTTATCGACTTGGATGTGTTCGACCTCCAAGACTACGAGTTCTATGAGAAGGTCGAGAATGGTGACTGGAACTGGATAACACCCAACTTCATCGCATTTGCATCGCCTAGAGATTATGCGTGGACCAAACAGAAGAATGATATCGAGACTGCTACAGCAGCAGCCCCTGCATCTCCTGTGCGACCCGGTGTACCTTCACCAAAATCACCTCGCAAACTCGCCCTACAACGTAAACTTAATTCCGCTTTCTGCAATTGCCTCGAATATTTCGAGAAGAATAAAGTCGACCTCGTCGTGCGTCTCAATGCAGAGCTCTACGATAAACAACTATTTTTGGATCGCGGCATCAATCACCTCGATCTGTGCTTCGAAGACGGGTCAAACCCGTCAGACGAAATCGTCCGCACTTTCATTGATGTGGCAGACGCCGTGATTGAGGGCGGTGGAGTCGTTGCCGTACACGTGGGTTCTTTTAATGCGTTATCATTTTCGTATTGATCTGACACGTTCATGTGATGCACAGTGCAAAGCGGGGCTTGGGCGCACTGGAACCCTCATTGGGGCATATCTTATCTGGAAGTATGGCTTTACAGCATCAGAGGCGATTGCGTTCATGCGCATCGTCAGGCCAGGCTGTGTTGTTGGTCCACAGCAACATTACATGCTCCAGATGCAGCTCCAATGGGCCAAGTGGGCTGCTGCAGATGAGATACGGCGCTTGCAAGCGGCTGCGGCCGCAGCCGCAGCCACCGCACATGTCGTGACTCCTGCTACACCTCCTGCAGAACAGGACGAAATCATGCATGAAACCAGATCAACAACGCCACCCGCCGCAGCACCTGCACCTCTACCACCTGTTACCCCCGGTCGTGCTGTCGTAGCTGCAAGGACTCGCGAGACGCCACCGCCAGGACAGCCGCGCAAGACGCCTATGGCAAAACGAGTCGCTATTGAGTCAGATGATGAAGAAGAAGATGTGGAGATAGATGATACCCTCCCAGCTCTTGGTGCAGCACCACCCGTTACCCGGCCTCGTGCTAGAACAACAACTCGACTCTCGGGCGCAAGAGGTACGGCGTCCGAACAGCGCCCCACACGAGTGCTACGGTCATCCGTGGCAAGCGTACACCAGAAGACTACTGCCGTCAGGAGCAGTCGAGCGGCAGCTCCAGCTCCCAACAAGATACCGCGATTGGCTGGAGGTACATCGGCACGGAGTACTGCGGCCGCTGCTGCGAGAGGGCCTGGTGCCCCATCGGCGCGCCGTGTACCCCAACCCCCTTCGCCTACCCCTTCGCGGTTACCGACACTCGCAAAGAAACAGAATCCTTCGCTGGCAGAACTACCGAATACACGGTCAAGCAAACCTGATACCTGGATGAAGGCAGGAGCCTCTGCCATCGTCATGCCTCCCTCGAAGTCGACACAACGCCCTGGTCCACGACCTGTTAGACGGAGAAGAAGCAGCTTTAGCGCTGCGGACGTCGTTGCATAGACACCATACCAATGGATCTGTCGCAAACTTATTCCTGCTTTTTTTGCGTTCATGTTCAGTCAGCTCTCGCGCTTTCCATCATCGACAATAGTCATCAAATCATCTTCATTCATTCTCTGTATTTAATGGCGAATCTTCTTTCTGGCGCTGTATAGGCTCAGTATCTTCGATATCTGCATGATGTCTCACTGTTCACATTACCATCCATTCATCGAGCATTCATTCGTGTAGCGTTGGTCTCATTTACCTTTCCGTGCCACTTGTCTTATCACAAGGCACTATGGAATGATATGCGAGAGCCGGTTCTCGTCGTCCACGACATACCTACCTGTTAGCAACGTGAAACGAAACTTCTATTGGTACAATTAAAACTTCTTTCGTCCCTCTCGCACGTCATGACACTGCTGAGTATTTGTGAACGCACTCCAAGAAGAACTTCATGTCTTCTGGATCAACGCCTGGTGTGATGCCGTGACCCAAATTCGCAATCCATGCTTTGCATGCACCACCCCTAGCATCTTGGAATGCCTTGCACATCCTCTTCACCTCGCGTTCTATGGCTTCTTTACCGCCGTAGAGCACCACGGGGTCGAGGTTGCCTTGCATAGTGATGGTTCTCCCGTCGATGATCCCATCAGTGAGCCTGGCAACATCCCGAGGGTCTTGCGTCCAGTCGAGACCGATGGTGTCGTATCCGGCGGTTGCAGCGAGGGATGGGGGATGCGCCTTTTGCAAACAGGGTGAGAGGGACGACAGGGAGTTGTCGCGCCCTCAAACCCTCGCGAACCTTCGTCCGCGATACGCTTGAGATAAGGTAGAGCGAACTTCGAAAAGTCGTATGGAGACAGATCTCCAGCATTCGAATCGAATATCTGCAGAAGCTGTTGGCAGCCATAGTGTTTATGTGATTCTCTCACTATCCCGATGCACAATAAGACAGACACGGACGAACCTGTGCGCCGGCGTTCACTTGACCGATAAGATATCTCACACAGACGTCTGTGATGCGCTCCAAGAGCTGCTTTGAAGCTTCTGGATATTTAAAGAGCCATGTCTTCGATTTCTGACGTGTTTGACTTCCGCCGCCCTCGATCATGTACATCATAAGTGTCCACGGCGCCCCGCTAAAGCCGATGAGGGGAACCTGCCCCGCAAGGGTCTTCCGCGTGAGGGTGAGCGCCTCGAACACATAACCGAGCTCTTTCTCCACATCTACCTCGCGGGGCAGCTTCTCCATGTCCTCGGGCGTGTTCAAGGGGTTGGGGAAGTGCGGACCTGGGTTCATGATCACTTCCATACCCATAGCTTGCGGCACGACAAGGATGTCGGAGAAGATGATGGCCGCGTCGAGCAAGCCGGCGTACCGCCGGATAGGCTGCATGGTGATCTCGGTCGCGAGATCGGGCGTGCGGCATACCTCGAAGAACTCGTGGTTTTCACGGATTTTTCGGAACTCTGATGCAGGTTAGGGATGATCAAATGGAGAGGGTATCTGGATGGCGCACCTGGTAGATATCTCCCTGCTTGGCGCATGACCCATACGGGTGCGCGATCTGTCTGCTCACCGCGAGCTGCGCGGAGGAGCAGGTCGTTCGTTAGAGGTGGAAACTGGGCCTGGGCCATTCTAAAGGTCAGGATAAAAATTTACTTTTGTACAGCGAACGTGGTTCGTGATGAAAATGAAGAGACCAATTGCGAGCAGGCGCAAGTAGTTTCATGATCGTGATCTGCTTATGGCCGAATCGGGGTCTTTACATTTTAATCATTAAAATTCATTCTCACCTTGACTTGTCATCGCGTTATCTCTCAGCGCTATGCGCCCTTTGTATTATGACTATCACCAATCCAGCACAATTAATAGACGAGTGAGACCTTCCCTGTATACACTAGTGTAATACTCAAGAATTACGCTACAGGTTCAAAAAATCAGGCGAATTTGACCGTCTGCGACGTGAGCTCCTGTCACATTTCCAACGCAGTGTGCGTTGTCATCAAATGCATACGTGGCACGGCCGCTAACCCGGGCTACAGGACCGCACCGAGGCCTTCAAATCTCGTGTTGATGATATAGCCCGACAACGGCTGTCTTCTGACCCGAAATTGATTTCTATGCCCAATGACGCTATTCAGCGTGAACTGCTAGGGGAAATCGACCGGTTCGCTTGCTTATTATGGCTTGGATGGGGCTGACTCTGGGCCCACTTTTCTTCCCAGCTATCCCATTGTTGAGCGAGCGGTGGCTGATGCTCCTTTCCTATCTGACCCGGCATTCATTGCTGGCATACGTGCTTCACTGGAACGCACCATGTCGGCAGGCAGAGGTGAAAAGAGCCATGCCACACCAAGTGAGCATTTATACGTATACTTTGATGGTTTCTTTCAGCTCTTGACTGGGACGCTAGGCCAATTGACGCCGAATGTGCATCCAAATGATTCGGGCAATCCAGACCCAGCTGTTTCACAGTCCAATGGTACTCTGGTACCTTCTCCGGAGGCGCAGAAAGAGTAACTTTTAATCATTGCAAGCCCTGGGTTCTTTCTACATATAAGATTCGATTACTATGCCCTCTGCGCAAGGTAATGTGCTCACACGGCCAATCGGAGGCGGTTCATATATCCCACCTTGACTTAATTTATTGATTATGTGTGTCACACTTTATATATGTACTTACATCCCACCCAGAATGATGAAGAGACATGAATGGTCGCTTCCGAGGGCCCGATTTTGCGGACACGACAATGTATCTTGAAAATGGCGTGGCCGACCCGCCTGTACAGATAGCATGGGTACATATGCAGCAACGGTGGTGATGCTGGAACACTCCCATAACATAAGCTGCTCCACCATTACTGTGGTTTCACGACTTTCTGATTCGCACTTCCGCCCTTTGTCTCTGACGATAGCAGCGTGGCACAGGTCTACAAAGAGGCGAGTTGAACGGGCAGTCGTCTATGCGCACATGTTATTCAGCACGGGACCCAACAGATCATCTTATCCGTCGCCCGTCGAAGCCCTTCTTGCAGTATAAAATGCGAGCGCTACAGAACACCAGCCTACTAGTCTTAGCTTTTTTCCCCCTGATTCCCTTCGCGCACGTTCTCCCTACTCCCTCCAACCGCCCCCCACTGTGACCGTGCTGTCCAAGTCCTTCACTCTTTTTGCTGCCTTCACGGCTTTTGCTCCTGCATTTGCAGCCCCCATCGCTGCTAACGGCGTCGCCGCTGATGCCAGTAAGTTCCTTCCCCTCGATGTGTTCCGTGTTTTCATTATGTTTTCATATTAGATGTCACCAATGTCGGCAATAACCCCAAGGCCAATGTACTGACTCAACGTGGTGATGTTGATTATGGATGCACCCATGTTGAAGTCATTGCAAGTAAGTGTATATCTCTTAGAGGTCGAGACACGCAACCTTACCGGGATTTAACAGTCGTGGACAACGTACTTAACAATGGTACAATTAACATCTTGACTCAAAATACCGAGTCCAAGCGCGACGGTTGCGATGTTGCTGCGGTCACCCTTGGTAGGTATCTTCTGTCACTTGTTGATGCAATTGTTGATCGCCTTCTCAGAGGTCCAGAAGGTCTTGGACAATCTTACCATCAACATTCTCACTCAGTCCAAGCGTGGCGATTCAGATGACCTTGACGGCTGTACACTTGCTGATATTGAAGCAAGTATGTCATCTTCCCAATTGCATATATATCCTGTCTGATTATCATTGTTATTCAGCCGTCACTGATGTTGCCAACAACTTGAACATTTCCATATTGAAGCAGACCAAGCGTGATGAGTGTAACCTTGTCAAGCTTACCGCGTTGGTGACCGACATCCTCAAAAACCTCAACGTCAATGTCTTGACGCAGTCGAAGCGTGGCTCGGACACTCTTGTCGATATTCTTGTCGGTATGTCGTGTACTTTTTCTGTCGCTGATTGACCGTGTAGATGTTGAGGACATTGCCGATAACCTTGACGTTGACGTGCTAGACCAGCACAAGCGCGACATAGTTGCTAAAGTCGAAGAATATATCCAAGATCTCATCGACAACGACGATGTCGATGTTCTCGACCAACACAAGCGCGATGATACCAAGACGGTCGCTGAGGTTATTGTATATATCAAGGATCTCATCAACGACGGCAATGTTGACGTGCTCGATCAACACAAGCGTGATGATGTGAACGTTAAAGCTGGTAAGTATCATCACTCACAATCTGAGCGCTTTACAAATGTTTTTAGTTGTCACCAATGCTGTCGACAACCTCAAGCTCAAAGTCGCCTCCCAATAAATGGGTGAAGTACTCTAAAGGCAACATCTCATACCCCGCGTCGTGCACATACCCTGCCAATCGTTTATAACTGTCACTCGTTCAACCACGTATTTCATAGCCGCATAACGCATTTTCCTTGACATCTCCATCGCGTGATGAAATGATTGCGAGTGTCGTTTCTTTCATGAACTGCAAGTGTAATGGTATTGTTTCCATACCATGTGTACCCATATGGCGGCTATCTTGACTTACCTGGATCTTGTGTTCTTTGAGCATTTGAGAGTTTGCGTTGTGTACCGTTGAAGGTCATGGCCACTTGAGGTCGTAGTTCTTGAGAGCCCCACGCCAACTAGACGTCATGGATATTATGAATCGCTCTACCTATCAGAACAACCAGAATCAAATGTCACTGAGGCTGTCATCAATTATCATTGGAACATTATTGATACCGGGTCTTTCTCAATTGTTGGAGCCGCTCTGTCAGGAGTACAATTAAATAAGATTATATATAAGGGTCGGAACGTTACTTTGAAACCTCGGATCTACCAAGCCATCCATTTTCCAAAACGTTTTTTTCGGCTCCAAAGCATAACGAGCAGCATTTTGAATACCAACGACGCCGTGAAATGAGCATGCAGACGCCATGGTGGTAAAAGCAGAGGAATACAGTTAGGAGAGAAACGTGCGATCGCATGTGGAGCTCGGTGGTGTGCAATTGTAAAAGGAGGAGTAGAGACATGGAGATGAGCGAACCGCCCACGCAAATAGGAGACTGCCGAGCGCACAGCGATAGCGAGCGCTCAAGCAAATCGGACAGCATGTAGAGCTCAGGTGGAGCAGACAGGAGAGTCACGCGAATTGGTTCCGCGGGATCAAACGTTTCGTCCTTACATATGTTAGATATATATATACCCGTTATGCTGAACGCTGAGCGCCGCGTGAACGATTGATCCTTCATGCACTTCAGTAATTATATCTTTCAGTTCAATTGCAGTGTCACGTATATTGACCTTGACCGAAAATCAATGAACTCGACGTGTTCAGAACGAACCCTAGGCTATGATTAATATGATTTCCAAGACTTGTAATACATAGTACAACAGCGTAACTGTAATTTCACTCGAGATGGGAAACCTAGATGATTCGTCACTTACTAGTAGTTAGCATCCTGCTGAATAAGCATCAAGGGCTTTTGCAGAGCGAGCCTTGATAGAGCACTTGAAGGGCTTGGGATGGCTGGAATGTGTATGTCAAGACAAGCACACCAGGCCCAATGAGATACGCAACATGCCTGATTGCACCTGATGAGGGGTCAATTTCAGGGGTGATCTCAACACCATTCTCGACGACCTTGGAAATATCAAACACAGCGAGTGACATCGCGGTGGATATCCAGACGGACGCATCAGCGAGGTGGAGACCTGCAAAAGAAAGCGACATCAGAAACTGTCTTTTTCATCAGTGCCTTCTGTGAGTCGGACTAACCTGGGCAGATACTGCAGAGCAGAAAGTTAGCATATAACTCAAATAGGAACTCCATACTGACCGTCTACCAAAGCCAAAGCAGATCGTGCGAGGGTCAGTCTCAAGCCCCTCTCCATCCTGCGCTAAGAAGCGTTCAGGGTTGAATTGCGAGGGGTTAGCATAAGTCCGTGGGTCATTGAGCATGAACCTGTCATCAAATTCTGTTGGATATCGAGTACCGAAATGCGAATGTACGGACCAAATATTAGCTAGTATCATGGAGCCTTTTGGAATGTAGTACCCGTTATGGATGTCGTCCTCAGTGACACGATGTGGAATGCCTGTCATTGAGATGCCGCTCGGCAAGTAAGGAATCCGGTTAAGAGATACACATACCGGTAGGGCCGACAATATTCCAGCGTAGGAGTTCTTTCACAAGCGCCTCAGTATAGGGGAGGGAGTCGCGGTCAGCGAATGAGGGAAGACGATCATGGCCAACGACGGCATCTATTTCAGCCTGAGCCTTCTTCTGCACATCAGGGAAAAGAGTCATAGCTAGGAAAAGCGAATATATTGTTGAAACAGTCTGAAGAATCAGGAGTTAGTCTCGAAACATGATAGTCTAAATTATGTAGAGTGACCAACCGTGTCGGCACCACCAGAGTACATAGATACAGCAGACCATTTCACGACGTGTTCTTCTTCCGCAGACAAAGCACGACTCTCCAAAAGATCGAGGCGAAAGACTTGGGGGCGATGCCAGCGGCCTGTAAAATTCAACTTCAACTCACAATCACAAACACACGAATATTAGCTACTATCTGATCCTTCACAAACTTGTATGGTGCAGAAACCAACTCTTCGAGGGTCTCAAACGATTCACGGGCTATGCGCTTGAATCCAGCACCGGGGAACCACTCCGGGACCTTGGTTACTAAAAAAATAGTCAGGCCATTGGAAGCACATATCAGAATGCTATTGCCCTACAGGACGGGATGACATCAACCATGAAGGCACCGGGAGCAATGGCCCGCGAGAATTGGTCCATAGCGCGATCTGCAAGGTCGACGAAAGGGTCGTTGTTCTCTTTCACGTCATATCCATACGATATCCGCAGAATGATAACACCAGCGGCGCTATAAAAATTCAACATCAGGTTAATATGATGATCAACAACACATACTGTCGAACGTGTGCCTGTAGTTGGTCGGGACTCGCAAGCACACGCTTCAGGAATCGGTGGGTCTCGATCTCTTCGATCGGGTGGTAGGTATTCAATGCAGCGCGGCTGCCGATGACGCGATGGAAGTTCTTGCGGTATTCGCGTAAACGGTCACCGTAAGGGAGAAGACCCATAGCGTGCTTCCAGCCACACAGTTCGCCACACATAGGTAGAACAGGGCGGTCAGAGTAAACAGAACTCTTCCCATCCAACATTTCCATCGCAACCCTGACAGAATTCAGCACAATGATGTGCTGACCCAAAACTTCGATGTGCGAGATATCACCTGCACGCATGTAGTTGAAATGCATGAATTTGGAGAAACAGGAGGCACTCACCATACTTCTTGCCCCACTCAGCGAAAGTGAGCCAGTGCTTGATGTGAGGTGTGTCTGAAATGTTCCCAACGAGAGGCCACCCCGGGGGACCAGGTGGATATGGTGCAGGATTCTTCTTGGTGAATGCCTGCTTTACTAGATACACCCCGACACCAGCAAGGCACATGTCCAGCCAGGTTACCTTGGTAAGTATCAACATGGTCTACTTGCAGACAAGGAAGGAAAGATGACGTGAGTTGTATCGTCAGCAGTCCAGAGTCACTTCACTAGTAAATAGCCATTTCATTTTGTTCTTGGTCCCGTGACTGGTTACCTCTTGATCGCTGAAGCGAACAGGGAAACGCCTGCAGAGCTTTCGAGCGCCTAAGATCGTTGGCCGAGTTGCCTGCTGCGGAATCGCTGCACAGTGACTCTGGCAGCCACCGTTAGCACAACTTGTGCTGTACTCGGAAGCCACCATTGTACGAGTACGGAGTTGACACATCGGACGCACAGGTGACGGTAGCGGCGGGCATCGGTTGGTAATTATCCTGTCTTCTTTAATCTTCCTTCTTCTATAGGTCTGGGGCTATATGATCTTGGCTACCGAGGCAGACCACATCGACATCGCTGCGCGAAGTGCAACCTCACGTGACGTAAAGTCAACGAAAACAATATTACAGTCATTCACCGGCCAATGGCACACTACATGAAATTTTGATTGTCACAGCACAATACTTCAATATATTTTCTTAGTTTTATTTTCCCCCATAGCAGTACATATATATAAACAGTCCACCACATAATTTTCAAGAAAAATTATGCGGCCTTGTGAGCTCAGTGCTGCAAATAATGATGGGGTTTGTTTGGGGCCGAAAACCGGCCAATGATACACATTAGGAAACCCCACCCTGGGGTTACCAAATATGTCTCGGTAGCCTTAACATAACATTGCCAGAACATTTTGTTTTGTCTGCAGCACATCCAAAACTCACTCTGACGAGTTGAAAATATACAATGGATTGGAAAAAATGTTCTACTCGATATTTGTGTCATTATATTTATTTTAAATAGCCAATTTTTACTGTGATATGCTTATCAAAATGTGGATGAACCAAAATATGTGCTTCATGACATAAAACGTGTAAAATAAAAACATAACCAGCACTCAAAATCGCTGGACATAAGAGTATCGACGTCACTGAATAATATAGAGACAAGTTTGTGGCCAGGAGGTTGCAATTTAGAGTGTGGAGAGCAAGTGTTTCATTGGCCAGTGGTTCACGTTGAACGGGCAGTCGTCTATGCACACAGGTTATTCAGCACGGGACCCAACAGATCATCTTATCCGTCGCCCGTCGCGCGCTCGAACTGGTCGCAAGGAGCGAGTGCACAGTGCACGTGTCTAGTAAACACACCTACGCTTAGCATGGGTTGTGATGGATTACGGGATTATCGAAGAATTCTGTGTCAACAAAGTTCCATTGATGTTCATAACAAGTTGACAACAAAGTGGCGGTAGAAGTTGAACCTGCAGCACGCCTCTGCCTGCCGACTTCGCTCGGGACATTATTTGCAACGAAGAAGAGTACGAGTGTTATATTCCATCAAAGTTTGTCAGAGACTTCCTTTCAACACCGAGGAAGATCTTTGCTAAACTTTGGCTGACTCGGTCAGAAGAATGACATCCGGTGATCGTACGTAGTCGGTGATTTGGTCGACTTCATTCTCATGGTAACACAGGTATTTCCGACACACGGGCACAAATTATTCGCAAGTCTTCCCCAGTAGGGCATTTTTGCCGACTGTCGCGTAGATCCCGCAACTGGCCACCTTATCATCGTGCGCTCTCTGTTTCTCGCAGCTTCCTTCAGTTATCTCCACGAATTTACGAGACGAGCTCTTGGTGGTCATAAGTAGGAACACTAGAAAGGTACTTGCTGCCACGGGCCACGTCAAAGTGATGTCGCGCTTCCTCCCTGCTACAAAGGTGAACGTAGGTTATCGTCTCTCTGTCCAAAATAAATTGTCATGTCTCCTTCGGAGCGTCTAGAGAAGTGGGCCAAGGAAAACCCTGGCGACAAGGTGCGGTTTAGCGTCCAATGAGTAGAGTGATCGTGACGCTGATGCTATTTGCACATAACTATGTAGATCACTTCTCAGGACATGCGCTGGGTGGAAGACTCATCAGCGCAGATGCCCGCCAGCTTTCCACCAAGTATTAAAGTACCCCCCAACTCCTTCGGATACCATATATAAGATGGGGTGGATACACCTATTCGCCAAATTTCTACTAGCATATGCACAACTTCATCGTAGGACTTAAACACATCGCCCGCAATGATAACGATTTGACAGGCCTGTTTGGAATTGCAGAAGTCAGATCCGCGTGACCATACACATGCATCACAAATAACGTGTGTTTGGGATGAGTGCTGTTGCATCGTACGCACGTTATTTGGGAGACACGAAACAAAAGACGGACGCACCTTTAAATTTGTCATTCGTGAGGTTGATTGGTAGGCCCGATGTAAGTGTGTCAGACTGCCGTCCGCATAACCGTTACACAAAAAGGTAGAATACCTTTCAGCATCAACAGCAGTATACGTATTGATCATGGGAACACAAGTAAGCAGCGTGCTTATATATATACCCGTTATGCTGAACGCTGAGCGTCGCGTGAACGATCATGCACTTCAGTAGTGATATCTTTCAGTTCAATTCAGTGTCACGTATATTGACCTTGAACGAAAATCAGTGAACTCGGCGTGTTCAGAACGAACCCTAGTAGGCTATGATTAATATGATTTCCAAGACTTGTAATACATAGTACAACAGCGTAACTGTAATTTCACTCGAGATGGGAAACCTAGATGATGATTCGTCACTTACTAATAGTTAGCATCCTGCTGAATAAGCTCAAGGGCTTTTGCAGAGCGAGCCTTAATAGAGCACTTGAAGGGCTTGGGACGACTGGAGTGTGTATGTCAAGACAAGCACACCAGGCCCAATGAGATACGCAACATGCCTGATTGCACCTGATGAGGGGTCAATTTCAGGGGTGATCTCAACACCATTCTCGACGACCTTGGAAATATCAAACACAGCGAGTGACATCGCGGTGGATATCCAGACGGACGCATCAGCAAGGTGGAGACCTGCAAAAGAAAGCGACATCGGAAACTGTCTTTTCATCAGTGCCTTCTGTGAGTCGGACTAACCTGGGCAGATACTGCAGAGCAGAAAGTTAGCATATCACTCAAACAGGAACTCCATACTGACCGTCTACCAAAGCCAAAGCAGATCGTGCGAGGGTCAGTCTCAAGCCCCTCTCCATCCTGCGCTAAGAAGCGTTCAGGGTTGAATTGCGAAGGGTTAACATAAGTCCGTGGGTCATTGAGCATGAACCTGTCATCAAATTCTGTTAGATATCGAATACCGAAATGCGAATGTACGGACCAAATATTAGCTAGTATCATGGAGCCTTTTGGAATGTAGTACCCGTTATGAATGTCGTCCTCAGTGACACGATGGGGCATGCCTGTCATTAAGATGCCGCTCGGCAAGTAAGGAATCCGGTTAAGAGATACACATACCGGTAGGGCCGACAGTAGTCCAGCGTAGGAGTTCTTTCACAAGCGCCTCAGTATAGGGGAGGGAGTCGCGGTCATCGAAGGAGGGAAGACGATCATGGCCAACGACGGCATCTATTTCAGCCTGAGCCTTCTTCTGCACATCAGGGAAAAGAGTCATAGCGAGGAAAAGCGAATATATTATTGAAACAGTCTGAAGAATCAGGAGTTAGTCTCAAAACATGATAGTCTAAATTATGTAGAGTGACCAACCGAGTCGGCACCACCAGCGTACATAGATGCAGCAGACCATTTCACGACGTGTTCTTCTTCCGCAGATAAAGCATGACCTTCCAAAAGATCCGAGGTGAAAGACTTGGGGGCGATGCCAGCGACCTGTAAAATTCAACTTCAACTCACAATCACAAACACACGAATATTAGCTACTATCTGATCCTTCACAAACTTATATGGTGCAGAAACCATCTCTTCGAGGGTCTCAAGCGATTCACGGGCTATGCGCTTGAATCCAGCACCGGGGAACCACTCCGGGACCTTGATTACTAAATAATAGTCAGGTCATTGGAAGCACATATCAGAATGCTATAGCCCTACAGGACGGGATGACATCAACCATGAAGGCACCGGGAGCGATGGCCCGCGAGAATTGGTCCATGGCGCGGGCTGCAAGGTCGACAAAAGGGTCGTTGTTCTCTTTCGCGTCATATCCATACGATATTCGCAGAATGATAACGCCAGCGGCGCTATAAAAATTCAACATCAGGTCAGTATGATGATCAACAACACATACTGTCGAACGTGTGCCTGTAGTTGGTCGGGACTCGCAAGCACACGCTTCAGGAATCGGTGGGTCTCGATCTCTTCGATCGGGTGGTAGGTATTCAATGCAGCACAGCTGCCGATGACGCGATGGAAGTTCTTGCGGTATTCGCGTAAACGATCACCGTAAGGGAGAAGACCCATAGCGTGCTTCCAGCCACACAGTTCGCCACACATAGGTAGAACAGGACGGTCAGAATACACAGAGCTCTTCTCATCCAACATTTCCATCGCAACCCTGACAGAATTCAGCACAATGGTGTGCTGACCCAAAACTTCGATGTGCGAGATATCACCTGCACGCATGTAGTTGAAATGCATGAATTTGGAGAAACAGGAGGCACTCACCATACTTCTTGCCCCACTCAGCGAAAGTGAGCCAGTGCTTGATGTGAGGTGTGTCTGAAATGTTCCCAACGAGAGGCCACCCCGGGGGACCAGGTGGATATGGTGCAGGATTCTTCTTGGTGAATGCCTGCTTTACTAGATACACTCCGACACCAGCAAGACATATGTCGAGCCAGGTTACGTTGGTAAGTATCAACATTGTCTACTTGCAGACAAGGAAGGAAAGAGGACGTGGGTTGTATCGTCAGCAGTCCAGCGTCACTTCTGTTGGATCGTCATCGTCGTCATTTTATAGTACAATTTCCTTTTTCTAATTATTTTACATGTGTTCGCACATATGATACGCACCGACTCGTTCCCGGTTCATACCTCAGTCGTTGTCTTCAAACACTGAGCGTCTTTCGTGTCTTAGCTTCTACAACTTCACTAGTAAACATATGGGTAACAATAGCGACGAGCATCAGTTGGTAATTAACCTGTCTTCTTTAATCTTCCTTCTTCTATAGGTCTGGGGCTATATGATCTCGGCCCTTGGGTGGAGCAAAACCCAAGGTAGGATGAGATGTAAATCCGACGAACGTCACGTGACGAGCGTGACGCAGTGTGATAGCCAAGTGATGGTAACTTTTCTGCTACTATCAGAGCAATAGCATCCCCAACGCACAAGTTTAAAACCTAATCTCCAATGGTCAAATATGCACCAGGACGTACTTAACAAGTTCCCGTTATCTGATTAATTAAAATTGTTTGTTTGTCGAGATATGACTTCATCAGTGCCCAAAGATAGCTCCAATTCAGCTCAAGATGAACGAGAATTTCCATTGTGAATACACATGTCAAGATAGCGATAAGGCGACAACTGGAGAATGCTCGCAAGGATTCTGGGGTCATTTAAGCCTTTTGTATATGCTTGAAATTGAGGTGCGCTTGAGCTATGTGCTTCTCTCGAAGGCATGTCATGTCTGCTGGGATGGTATGAGGACACCATGTGAATACTAGCAAAGGACAAAGTTATGACACGAGGCAAAATTGCAATAAGTCTTCCTCGAGTTGATGTAATTTGTTTTAACATTGGATCACCAAGAACATGTTAACTGGACTGTTAGCAGACTCGAACAGCAGCATACTCAGGGGGTGTGCAGCAAGACCTATTACTACTACATATCTACAGGCAGGTGTCATGACCTCATGAATATTAAGGCTTAGGTATTGTCCCTATAGTTCATTTAAATGAAAGCAATGTGTTTCACTATCAATTTCGAAGACTATTGTTTCCTGCATATACCTTCGACTCTCCTTGCTTTATCCTCGAGACTAGTCACACTTGTGTCACATCACGTGATGTTCGTCTATCTTACAAGGCAGACCGCATCGACGTCGCGCGAGAAATGCAACCTCACGTGACGTAAAGTCAACGAAAATAATATTACATAATTCGGCTACTCCGCTGGAGCCTGGTGCCAGTACTAGTCTCGACACCAAACATTCTAGGAACACTGACTATACAGTTTTCTCATACCCAAAATGCATTGTTCCTCGAGCTTCAAGCTTTAGTGCTGAGGGTGTCGCGTTCAACGTAAAATTCGTGTGCACTCGAGATCGCGAAAACCAGGAGTGAGTCTGATCAAAGGTATCCATTTTTGTGACCGATGGTATGGTCTTGTCATCAACCCCCCGCTCACTATCCCCCTTCCGTCCATTGAAACAGCCAATCCCAAAGTCTCACCACCGCATCCCTTCGATGAGCCACTCGATCCCCTGTTTCCACGTCCCAAATCCGAACGACCTTGTTCTTAGACGTGCTTATGACTTCGATTTCATCCCCGTTTTTCAAGAACAATCCTGATGTGTACATGATCAAGGCGTCCCCTGAGCGATCTGACGGGCTTCATGCGGTCCTTGGCGGAGTCCTTCGGTGAGGATATGAAGGCCGATCAGTCGAGGAAGAGTACTTGATTCTTGATTCTTGAGCGTTAGCCACACGTGATGGGTTACCCCAGGAATGTTGGGCAGGCTAACTATATCCTATTTCCCAGTGCGTCTCTCTACATAGTCTGCCTGAAGACCCGTGTACTATTCCAAGATGACTGCTCTGTCATCTGTGCAAGGTAAGGTGCCGCCTGCAAGTGGTATTTAGCTCGAGTTTCTTGGCTCTTTAGTGTCCGAGTGCATCCCCGCCGGACTCCGATAAAGAGATAAATAGTTCTCAAGGGCCCAGTTTGTGTGGATACGACAAACACGGAGGCCACGTAGTCATGACGGGCTGACCTATTCTATTCGCCTGAACGACCAAGCACAGATGCGTAGACAGTACGGGTGAATCCTGGTGGAACATTCCAATTCAATAACTGCTCTACTGTTACTCCGGTGACCGGTTCCACCAATTTTCAGCCCGTTAAATCCGAAAATAGCAGCGCATACATAGATCTAACTACAAGGACCAGACCATAGCACTCACGCGCAGGGAGGGGCTTCTGCGTGCACGGACGAAGGATATCCATTTGGCAGGATCTAGCAATTCAAGATCGTGCATTCACACTATGTATGTAGCACTTACTCACGAGTAGCAGGTGGAGCGTCTCGTAAAGCACGGCGGGCGAGGTTGGTTTAACTTGGTCGTGATTGAGTTCGGGATCAACTGATGGGATGGAAGCTATCCACGTGCTACTACGCGAAGGAAGCTATGCGCTCGGACGACCATCGAAGACCGGATCGAAGGATTTTCTGATGTTCACGGCTCCGCGGGTGAACTAACTTTGAGAGAGGCCGCAAGGGGGGTTCATCGCAACAGCGTGAGATGGATGTACTCTGAGAAGTCTGTCCGCGAGCTGTTAGGGGTAAATCCGTAGTTACTACCCGAGCTCTGACAATGGTCGTGGCTGTCGATCGGAAGAGCTTACTTAGCAATCGGGTGGGGTGTCAGACGGGCGAGTTGTCAGACAGACCATGTGCGCTTGTTGGCAGGTCAAGTATTTGCAGCCCTCATCCTCATTGGCGGGAGGTGCTAGACAAGCTCGTTGTCAGACAGAGCATGTGTATTTGTTGGTAGGCCAAGTATTTGCATGTACATCCATTAATATTGCCAGAATGTAGCAAAGGTAGTCTGGACCTGAACGGGGGCGGAGTCACGGTAATATCATTGGCACTTCGTAAAATTATTCCAACATGTACAAGATGAAGCAAGATGACATATATGATATCGCGATACAGGACCAATTATCTCGCACAACCTCTGAGTGCAAGATGCAAAATTATGAAGCATGTCAAGTGTGAGTTGCCACCCACGGCAAGGAATGATCCCCGTGTCTCTCCAGTCTCATCTTCGTGCGCTTAGTAGTTAGCATCTTGCTGAATGAGCTCAAGGGCATTAGCAGAGCGGGGCTTAATAGAGCACTTTGAAGGGCTTGGGGTGACTGCGAATGTATATGTCCAGACCAGTAGCAGACACGATAACAAGCACGACATACCTGATTGTACCTGATGACGGATCAACCTCAGGGGTGATCTCGACACCATTCTCGACAACCTTGGAAATATCAAATGCGGCAAGCGACATCGCAGCAGATATCCAGACAGACGCATCAGCGAGGTGGAGGCCTATAAAGAGACCGGTGTCAGAACTGTCTTGTCAATCAGCGCCCTCTAAGTTGTCTAACCTGGGCAGATACTGCGGAGCAAAAAGTTAGCGTCATTCTCAATACAGCAACTCAATGCTTACCGTCTACCAAACCCGAAACAGATCGTGCGAGGGTCGGTCTCAGGCTCCTTGCCGTCTTTCGCTAAGAAGCGCTCAGGGTTGAATTCCGAGGGGTTAGCATATGTCCGCGGATCATTAAGCATGAACCTGTGGCAATTCATAGCATTGAATCTTGTTAGTGCACTGAATACGGATCAACGGAAGCACTAACCAAACGTTAGGTATTATCAAGGAGCCTTTGGGGATGTAGTACCCATTATGAATGTCATCCTCAGTAACTCGGTGAGGAATAGCTGTAATCGAGATGCCCCTTGTTAACTAAGGTGTGCGATAAACGGGATAAACATACCGGTAGGAACAACGGCATTCCAGCGGAGAACTTCCTTGACAAGGGCCTCAGTGTAGGGGAGGGAGTCGCGGTCGGCGAAAGCAGGAAGGCGATCAGGACCAACTACGGCATCGATTTCAGCCTGAGCCTTCTTCTGCGCATCGGGGAAAAGCGTCATGGCCAGGAAAAGCGAGTATATTGCGGAAACCGTCTAAGGAAACAATAATTAATCTCAAAATATGACAATTTGAAATATGCTAACCGTGTCGGCGCCACCGGAGTATAGGGACGCAGCAGACCATTTCACGATGTGATCCTCTTCGGCAGACAAAGTACGGCCGTCCAATAGATTCGAGGTGAAAGACTTAGGGGCAGTGCCAGCAGCCTGCGAATTTCAAACTTCAACTCATGATCGACAAAATACAAATGTTAGTCCACCATTTGATCCTTGACGAACTTGTAGGGTGACGCGACCATTTCTTCGAGAGTCTCATGCCATTCACGGGCTACACGCTTGAAACCGGCACCGGGGAGCCACTCAGGAACCTTTGCCACTAAAAATAGTCAGGCTATTGGAGACAAACGTCAGAATGTTATAGCCTTACAGGACGGCATAATGTCAACCATGAAGGCACCGGTAGCCGTGGACCGCGAGAATTGGTCGACAGCGCGGTCAGCGAGGTCGACAAAGGGATCATTATTCTCCTTTACTTCATAGCCATGAGAAATGCGTAGAATGATAGGCGCCAGCGGTGCTATACAAATTCAAGATCACGTTAATGCAAGGAGAAATAATACATACTGTCGAACATGTGCCTGAAGTTGGTCGGGTTTCGCAAGTACGCGTTTCAGGAATCGGTGGGTCTCAATCTCTTCGATCGGGTGGTAGGTATCCAATGCAGCACGGCTGCCAATGACGCGGTGGAAATTCTTGCGGTATTCGCGGAAAACGTCGCCGTAAGGGAGAAGAACTAGAGTGTGCTTCCAGCCAACAAGTTCGCCACCCATAGGAAGAACAGGACGATCAGAATAGACAGAGCTCTTCTTTTCCAGCATTTCTACCGCGGTCTTGACAGAGTTCAGCACCATGATGTGCTGACCGAGAACTTCGACATGTGAGATATCACCTGCACGCATGTCGTTGAAATGGATGATTTCGGGCATACGAGAGGGACTCACCATACTTCTTGCCCCACTCGGTGAAAGTGAGCCAGGGCTTGACCTGAGGCATGTCTGGGATGTTCCCAATGAGAGGTCGCCCGGGCGGGCCAGGGGGGTATGGTGCGGGATTCTTGGTGGTGAAAACCTGCTTGACCAGATATACTCCGACACCGGCAAGACATAGGTCCAGCCAAGTAATGTTGGTGAGTGTTAACATGGTACGACTAGGAGAGGGTAAGGAAGTAAAGAGCGGCGGGTTGTGAGCGATCAGATGATAAGAGTGGGATTGACTGGACTGAAAAGGTTAGGCAGGGATGAAAGTTTAGGTGTGAAGTCCAGTCCTGGCAGATGTTATATTTGTGTATAACGCCTTGCTCATTTCGTTCTGACTTCTAGAGATAATCTCTGGTCGTAAGAGGCATGTCGTAACGTGGCGTAAGGCGTTGCAACCGGATGAACCACTTTTTTTGATCTCGCCTTCAGAAGCAATGGGAACAACTTTCAGGCACCCGCGGAACAATATTTACCGCGTCAACATCCAATCTGGTTCCGAGTACTAGTTCCTGTCTCCCACAAACTAAGGTCCCTAATACTGAATAGTAAGCACTATGTACCTAGTACTACTTAGTATTCGCTAGTTGGCCATCAAAGGGGATTGACAGTGTGCACGTATCCCATTGTCCGCCACCCAGGCGCCACTGTACTCCCCGTCGCGCGTTGTCCAAGCGACTCGAAGTTCAGGCCCCCCACTCATAACCGATCATCTCACAACCTGGGGGTTGATCATATACGCTCATATACGCGATCACTTTATCTCGCATAGATCTTGGAGAAATCGGGGCCCTCAAAATATTACGTGCAAGGTTCCTTACCACTGGACACGCGTTTCACCGGGGAACTTCGATGCAAATTTGTTTATTAATATTGCTAGTTCCAAATGGCAGTTCCAAGTGGCAAGTGCTCAGGTATAATGGAAAAAAATATATGGACACCATGCGCCGCAGGTATGTACGAAGGAATAGGATAACTACAGCTCATCCAATAACCAGATCGGCGCAGATCGTATGTTACAATACTTACATTTGATGCAAAGAACGACGCAAAAAAGAATGACACCAATGTTCTACCAGAAGTATGATGGGTACATTTTGTGCTTCTCATCTACCTCGTGGCACCCATAACTGAAGCGATTAGACTGCCTGAGCACTTTTAAGTTCGGTTGCAGACGAGTACTGTCGTATATGCGGATCAGCGCTAGATCACTACCCCGGAAAGAAATAACACTAACCTCGTCTCGGACGTACTCCTGCGTGGTATCGATCTTAATTGAAATGTTGTTCGGCAAGCGCTGGTCATATCGGTCTAGATGAGCAAAGCGCTGTGCAAAAAAATAAAATTACTTACCCTTTGCGAAGTACCGATGCTAGTAGAAGTTTTCTGAATTCCTTGTAGCGAAAGCGTCATGTTTTCGTCACGAGAATCGCCACGAAGACTCTTGCGAGCATTAAGAGTTGCCAACAGGGAATTGCAGTAAACTGAAAAATGATCTCGTTGATCTTGTGACCTGCATAATGTAGGTAGATTGTACTTACGACGACCCAAGCAGAAATAGAATGAGATGTAAATGAAGGTATTAGGCCACACTGTAATCTGCGCACGTCTGGGTCAGGAGCGCAACACCAAGCCATTTGCAATTTCCTACGTACAGAAATGAGTGACATGACCGCGCAAATGCTGGTGAGGAGACCGGTGTTGATGCTGAACAGAATGAGCTTATTGATCATGGTGTCGGACCTCCGGAAACCAGTGCGAGATTGTTGAAGGAGTGTGCAGAGGAATACAGCGATAAGGACATCTCCAGCAGCTGCGAGAGCGTTCACAGACATCGACAATGGCTTGAGCGTGGTGAGTTCTACGAAGGTCGTCATATGGACACTAGTGAGGTGGTTTGCATTAGCCAGACTGCTTGATGTGTTCCTACACGACTCACGCTTTCCCAACGTATACTTTGACATCACATCAGTAGACTGATTTTGGAGAAGGAGCATATACTCACCGACAACAAGGATAAATTCACCAATGACAAGGGACAGCACAGACGCGGTTGCAACTATGCTCTTGTTGCTTACTGGCTGAAGGTAAGCGATCGCTCACTCGTGAAAGAACACACATACGTCTGTAGACACGCATGGTAAGGAAGCTGGAAGACAGTCAGTACATATCGCCCTATTCAGAAAGGTATCACACCGACCATTGAACCATAAGCGCTGTGAGGCCATTGAATAAAACTTCAACCTATCACATCAAATGACCATTCAGACAAGAATCACGGACGAATGACACGTGACCTACAATTAGACTCCACACAAGATTCCCGAGGTCGCTGGCAACGCCGAAGTCGGTGACAAGATATGTATACACTATCACGGTCACCTGACGCTGAGCTCCATGTAAACACGGCTTCTATCACGCACTCACCGGTGTGTGTAATCAAAGCTTGATGCACCGTGTCTGATAGAAGTACAACACCAACCTATATGAAAAAATAGCGTTAGCTGGCAGGACATTTAGGTCATCCTACGTGAACCTACTAAGAGCCTGATGTACCACGGGTCCGAGGGATACCGGCTAAAGTAGTACCATGTCTGCACGCAAGTGACTTTGTGCGATCATAAACACTTTGCTAAAAAGCAAACAGCACGAGAAGAACATACCACCGTAGAGCCTGTAACATACAAGTTCCAGTTTACGCATATCGTTAAACCAAAAAATAGCACTTACGTGGCAGAGACTACAACCCCAATCAAGAACGCTCCGAAACTGTATGGCAGGTTATGTTAAGTGATTAATATAGAGGGGGGGGGGATTCGAAGTATACGCACGTATTATCCAGAACACCCATGGTAGAGATGTATGTGTCTGAATGAATGCGGATAAGGGTGCTGAATGATGTACCAGGGGGGGGGCGATCAGATGTATGGCAACAACTGGGAGGACCTTTTGTATGATAGTAGATTCGCTGGCCAGCTACTTTGGGAAAGTGTCGTGAAGTATAAAAAAAATGGTCCGAAGTGACAGGTGCTTCGGAAGGTCTGAAGGTGATGTTGAGCCGATTCTGGATTTGACTACACATGAGGCGACTTCGATATCGCAAGTTGCCAGGATTTCCGCATTAGACCGTATTAAACACACTCTTCCTCCACAAAACTACCCGCCGAGTATTCTCAGGGCTGCCAACTTTAGCATGATCCATTAGTAACATTTTCACCATAGTAAACCCTGAGATAGAAGACAATTCATTGAATACAAACTCAATCTCGACCTCGGAAGTTATCCAAGTGTATAGTACTATGAGCACGCACCACGTTGCAGGATGTACTCAATATTCATTACCGATGCACTCGCAGTCTACCGCAGAAATTAAAAATTTCTGGGGTCTTCACCAAGAAGGCTTCCGTCATGGTTGTGCGAAGGCTTAGGAATCGCCGGGTTCCTTCGGCTGCTTCTTCACCACCTGATACGAATCGTGTGCATCCGATGGGCTGCCAGAAATAGAGAATAAGCAGTTTGGCACACGATTCCACCGAGATCTGTCAGGATCTGTCTGCGGAAGACCACCCTGAGATAATCTACCAAAGGCACAAAGGGCGACCTACTACAAACGTTGCCATTTCCCAGGTCGCTCAAAACAGGTCTTATCAGTTCAGCTCAAGCGCCTAGAGTACTACCAAGACACTTGATGACGTTAGTTTTCCAGCTGAAAGACATGGGAGTACATGTCCATCAATGACGAATATCCAGGAAATTCGCACATCCACTGTCATGCTCGTGTAGTGTTAGGTCCCCAGTACCTCCTAGAGATAAGTTATTTTCCATAGTCCAGAGCAGTTACATTAATGCACCAAATGATGCGCTCTCTAGGCGGCAACAAAGGGATCCCTGAAGAGGGACCTGACATTTGATTGGTCGTCGGTGAAGGAACGACGCGGACATGTTTTGGAGATTTGTTCAACTATTTTCTCCGATCAGAACATGGTCATCAGGTCATCAAATGACTTGATTGAAACACTTGCAGGTCGCCTGGTCAAGGATTGTTACCCGTGTTCAATTCGATGCATTCGTGTCATGTTCGCGAGACATCTTGTAGATGGTAACGGGTACGCGAGAATGACAGTTTTGGTGTCCAACTATTTCAAAAAGGGGGGCTCGGTGGCGTGACAAATCATCTTCAGATCCCGGTGGTGCACTAGACCTAGACTTCACTAGCTAGTAGCACTAGTACTGCGATCAGGGATCAAGTCGTCAGGGCTCTCTGAGAGCACTAGTGCCTGAACAAAGGGATAACTTGAATGTGCGGCGGCGGCGTCGTCGTTGATCACGCCAATAACTTGCAGTGCTTGAAACAATGGTGTACGCTGGTTCCCTGGCGGCGCCACGATTGTGAAGGCATTAGGTTAGGGCTCCGCCCATAAAACAAAGGGGACATGGTGACGGCAGCCATATATCAACCATCTATCTGCAGAATCTCATTCAGGGTGGCGGAAACTAAGTCGGAGCTCGAGGAGGAGGAGCTAAACGAGAAATGCAAATTGAAGGTTAGAAGCCTCTGCATAACAAGGCCAAATAACGCCTCCGAATTTGTACGCGTCAAAAAAGTCCATGTAAACTGTCCGAGACTGAACATCATGGCAGTAAGTCTGACCCCACTTTATTGAACGGTAACATACTCACTGAATTGGCAGAGTCGTTGCGCTACTCTTTTGCGCTCATCACGGTTGGCTCGTGCACGGTAAGCAATACATATATTGGAAAAACCTCGTTCGAATAGCCAACCTCTATTTCCAGCATCGCACCACTAGCCAGCCGGTCAAGATGTTTGACAACAGAAGCTGTCTCGTCATCTGCAGCGAGTCCTCCTCCTTCAAGTGACCCGAAAATTGGCCGCATAGTGGACGACATCTCTGGACTGACACTGTTACAGGCAGCTGACCTCGTCACGCTCTTGAAGGTTTGTCCCTTCTAAAATCATCGCAACCATTTCTCAACACTCCCAAAGTCACGGTTAAACATTCAAGAAATTGCTATGCCCGCCGCTTCAGCCGCACCCGCTGCCGCCGCACCGGTTGAGGAAACAGCAGTGGAGGTAAGACACGTCTTCACGCATAGGGAGTATTCATTAATGAGGCTGAATCGAGTAGGAGAAACCAAAGGAGAAGACAATCTTCAATTTGAAACTGGAATCTTTTGATGTTGCAGCGAAACCCAAGATCATCCGCGAGGTCAAGGCCCTGATCCCGAACCTTACCCTCATCGACGTGAGTCTTGGCGCACTCATAATTCAGGGGATATTAACGCTAACTTGCTCGCAGGCGAAGAAGTTCGTAGAGTCTGTACCGCAAGTCCTCAAGGAAAATATGCCCAAAGAAGACGCGGACAAACTAAAAGCAGTCTTCGAAAAACTGGGGGCAGTAGTAGTACTTGAGTAGATCATCGTCATCGAGTCTTGTGTATAGAGCATGTTCAGGCTATAATTCATTCAATATAATTAAGAAATAGGGATGCAAGTTAGTACGAATGTGATTGGCAAGACTGTCCATGTGGCACGTATGACGATACATAGGGTCACGTCGGGAGCATGACAACAAAAAACTGGATAACAAGGATTGAACGGGAGAGCAACTCCTTCAATCCTCCGAAAGATAACGATATTCAAATCGGAAATCGCTTTTCTTGCGCTGGCACCATGATCCTTCCCAGTCAAAGTACACGTACACGCCTTGCTCGTATTCTTCTGTTATGGCCTGAGGCTCCGAGTGTCGTTGGAACCACGTCATATATTTGACGTGGAATCGCCACGATTGGCGCTTCAGTTCCTTAGCGGCCATATATCTACAATGTGCGTCAGCGATTTCCATTGAGTGAAAGACTATTCTCGTACTGCTGGTATGTTCCCGGAAGGTAGTAGAAGACATAGAATAGAGTCTCCACATCTATCTGGGAAAATATGCCAGGCGTGCTCAGAATAGGATGAGGCGCCTGAGGATAGAATGATGGCGTGTTAAAGGGATTCCGTGGCACATAGTACTTGGGTCTGGATGCAACACATTAGCCCCTATCAACGATGCCTGGATCAAAAGGTTATACTTCTCGGTATCCTGTGGCTGTGGGACATTTGAGTAACTGCCTTCAAGCAATTTATGTACCTCTCCGAGGTTTGTCATACGATGAGGAGCTGGTTATCCGTCAGGGTTCATACGAGACGCAGTGCAAAAGCCAAACCTTTCTGCTTGACCGTTTCAAACGATGCCACGAGATCTGATAAAGACCCAGGGAAAGCGCCTGAAGCCGCTGAACGGGAAGGAGGATGCGGCGGTTGCTGAGATGGCGCCGTTGAAGGAGGCCTTTGCGATCCCCCAATGGGCTGTGGGATAGCTTGTATCGGGGTCGGTTGCTGTTCTACACTCTGTGGAACTTTGATACCCGGAGGATACTGTTGCGCCTGCTGCGTTACAGACATCGAACTCGCGGGTGGAGTGGGAAGTGTTGAAGGAGTGACCTGTTGTATCTGTTGAGGTAGTGGCGATGACCCTGACTGAGGTACCTGTGTAAGCGGTTGAGTAATTTGAGAAGCTCCATTGGTGACCAGTTGAAATTGTGGCACTGTTGACACTGATGCTGGTGGCTATTTACGTTTGGTGAGATTTCATCGTGGGCACAATACAAACGAGCACTTACTGGTGCAGCAGGTGAAGGCGCCCTAGGTAGGGGAGGCGACGGTGCAGGTTCTAAACAAAAATTACCCATGTTTTCGTACTCCTGACACAAAAACGTACCTTTCTGTTGACGCTGTGGCGACGATGTTGCCGCGGGACCACTTATAGAGCTTGGAACAGCTTCAGATATTGCTGGTGAGTCCTGTCCAGAATAGAACGACCCATCATGTTGATGGGATGCAGCAGATGATAGCATAGGACTCGTGACTGATGGATGCGTCAAGCTCGGCGAGGTCGTGAATTGTGAATCATGCAGGGCACTGTGCGAGGCCGACGGTGTTATTGAAAGGGTCGATCCCGTTGCTTCAGGCAGATTCATGGGCGACGTGGGTGGGATAGTTTGTGATGTCGAGGGCGTTGAGGGCACTGCACCATTCTGTTGAGAAGATTGTGGAGTGACGGCGGCGGCAGCTGCTGCAGGCATAGCGTATCGGTGGAAGAGCTGGCGGCCGTGGCGTTGCTGGTGGCAAATTAGCTCGTAGAATGCTCGCCATGGGCTGCTGTGCAAAGTTTGGATTTGGCGGCGGTTTGACTTTTGGACGAGCTTTCAGTTTAACCACTCCGGAAATAGACACACAAACAGACCTTCAGTTGCCAATGACGGTTCTGGTAGTACCCTGTAAGTCACAGTTACAATGTCTGAGCATTGGGAATACGCACTCCGCATTTGCAGTGTCACCCCAGGTTTCTTTAGCACAGGACTATCGTCGCGTTTACTGCTTGCAACACTTTCCTCATCCTTCTCATGTCGCTTGTTGGGTGTTCGTGGAGGAAGGTCTGCGAAAATCAATACTAGAGAAGGGGTGTAGGCAGGGAATACATACCATCACTTGCAGCATCCGACTCATCGCTATCGTCGTCTTCGTCATTAGCCAGACCGAACTTTTCCTCCTCTACTTCAAGATTTAGTTCATCGTAGATGCCCTCATATTCATTGAAGTCCTCGTCCTGCACCCAGAAAACGCCTTAAAAGGTCTCAAAGTAGAATATATTGCTGCGCAACGAACCGTGTTGCTTTCCACAAAATAAGAAACGTCTTCCCTGAGAGCCTGGACACGGTCGGTGGTCAAGGAACCATTGTCCATGAGACGAAGGATGAGTTCGAGTCGGTTGACGTGCCATTTTCGACGTTCGTTGAGGTGTTCAAGATCTTCTAAACGACCAGCAGATGATTGAAGACCCTTTCCGCGTTTCTTGCCGCCGACGCCTTGCAGTGACTCAATTTCTGCTTCTGCTTGTTCAACTTGCAACAAAAGTTCTTCGACCTGCTGACTGAAGCCATGTTGTGACCTCAAGCTTCTCTTGTTGTCTGGGATCTAGCTTGGCGGACTGTATTAGACCCTCTTTGGAGAATGCCTTTGTCTTCATCTCCTTCTCACAGGCCTTGAACTTCTCCATTTGCTGTATACACAAAAATGAATGAGAAATTGTGGCGGAGAGTGACGGTATGAGAAAGGGTGTATGCCGAGGGTATGGAGAAGGAAACGTACTGTTTCTATTAGTCTCCGATTGTCGAGAAGGACGGACTTGTCTTTGATGTCGTTGCTTGCTACCCAGGCCTTGATCTGGTCGCGTAACCGCTGAAGTTTCTTTATTTGTGTTTTCAAGTCTGTTTCGAGTTTCTCTTTCTGAGTCTGGTTTGTAGAGGCCTGCATCTTCTCATATATGCTTTCGAAGACCTCGACACCTTCAGCGACCTTCTTTAGTGTGCGGTCAATTTCGGCTATCGGAGATATTGCAAAGTTGAATGAATGACGATACGAGTGGTAAAAGAGACGTACTTTGCAGCTTTCTGGCCGCCATGATGAAGAAAACACAAGTTAACGGAACTACAGTCGTCGAATATCAGCTGGTGTAGCAAAATTGACATGTATTTGGTTCACCGTTCAAAGATTACATAAACATTTCGGATCCAAGTTTATCGAACAAGGTGTAGGTGGACGCGGTCTGTATCATCAAACACTGTACCATTAAGTGGTCTGTATAATTAAGTAGACGTACGCTGTGGACATATAAAATATCAGTGGAACAATACTAAGTAGTTTAGTTTTCGGGGTCATTGTTTTATCAGCGTGAGAATGAACCGAAAGTGGATATTTGACAAAAGGTGTATCACCTATTTCAAGACACTTGGACTCTGTTCTTCTGTACCCTCTGTTCCGTCCGTCGTTGCCAGCTTCTTCTTATAATATCTCGTATGCTCCTCCATGATGAAATCCCTACGTAAATCTCTCAATGGAAACAGAGACACTCATCGCCTCGAAATTTCTACCCCTCTACCGTTACCCTCTATATCTAAACCTCAGAATGCTTCTCTCCCTCCTCAAAAAGTAATTCGTGCAATCGCATCATACAGGCCACAAGGTCCTCAGCAGTTACCTTTTCAAAAGGGTGACTTTTTCTACGTCACCGGAAATACAGAGACTCAGGGGGATTGGTATGAAGCTCATAATCCTGTAACTGGTGCAAGAGGTTTAGTCCCAAAATCTATGTTCGAGGAGTTCTGCAAGAGTCCAGCGTGAGTACAATCTTACATTCATTTATAAACGCCTTAACAGCAACTTTGTCCACAGTGTACGCACTTCTCATATCAGCGTCGCAATAAACAGTCCTACCCTCCCAAGTCCAACTTCACCTCCGAGGTCACCGAAAACTCCTGCATTTTTCGCAATAGTTCTCCATGACTTCATCGCAGAACGCGCGGACGAACTCGATGCCAAGTCTGGTGATTGCATAAGCGTAGTTGCTCAGTCAAACCGCGAATGGTTTGTTGCCAAACCTATTGGCCGACTTGGCCGACCAGGTTTGATCCCCGCTTCTTTTGTCGAAGTTCGAAATCCTGCAACAAACCTTCCAATAGACAATGTCGACGCTTTGATAGATAGTGGAGAGCTACCAGGTGTCGAAGAGTGGAAAAGGGCCTTATTCAGCTACAAAGCAAATAGCATATCACTCGGCGTCATAGAGGAACCATCTGTACCCACTAATCGCAACTCCCACCAGCGTCTCACCCCACAACCTGAACCCGTCTCACCTCCCCGCGCTCCCTCTCCTGTCCTTTTACCCGAGGGCATCCTATTATCAGCCGACGTCGTATCCTTCCACTATGAAATGGAAGAGTATTGGTTCCGCATAGACGCCATCTACCAACCTTATGACCCACATGATCCACAATCCCTTCCCAAAGCCAAGCAACTCGTCCTATTCCGAGTATATAATGATTTCTACGATTTCCAGGTTAACTTGTTGAAAACTTTCCCTCGCGAAGCTGGCCGAGAACCGGACTCCATCCGGATTCTCCCCTTCATGCCTGGTCCCGCCGAACAAGTTGATGACGAAGTCACTGCCGCGCGACGGGAAGAGCTTGACGAGTATCTCCACAAGCTGTGTACCCTAAACGTAGCTGGCGCCAGCTATATCCTTGAACATCAGCTCGTGCGGGAATTTTTATCCCTAAAACCGGGAGACGTGGAACAGGATATCGACCCTCGCTATGACGAGGTCAGAGCACTCTTTGCCGAAGAAGCCGCAGCAGAACAAGCCTATTCGTCTGTTACGCAGGAATTCGAGGAAGAAGTTCGCGATACACTTGGGGAGATGAAACTGTCCGACAGAGATGATCGGAGTGAAGGGTCAGACTATGGGGATGAACATACGCCCCCTACTCATATTATATCTCGCGACTCGCAAACCAGCGCAACCCCACAACCTGGACATCGACGGACCAATACAGGGTCGTCCCTTCATCGAGCGGGGTCCCACTCCAAGCAAAACGGCCACTCATCCCCTTCATATCCACATCTCGACACATCCCGTGCCAGCGCCTACTCTCGAACATCGTTTGCTTCAAACTCCGCGTGGCCAGAACACGCCGCTTCATCACCATCTTCTCCTAATTCATCCCAACCATCTATTGCTGCGTCTTCTCGATCTCGTTCCCTATCAAACGCCACTAATATGAACGCGCCTCCCATGTCCGCCGGAAACCCCCAGACAGCCTTTGTCAAAATCAAGATATTCGATCGCGTCACTGATGACCTGATCGCCATTCGCGTACATCCTCGCGTGACGCATGCTGAACTATTGGAGAAGGTACAAGCGCGATTAGGCGGTAACGTCGTCAACCTTCGATACCGCCATAGCCTCAGCAACGATTTCGTCGGCATCGACGACGACAGAGATCTGCGAGAATGGTTGGATAGCACGGAGAAGCACGTTTTGTACGCTGAATGAGGACGGACGGACGGACCGTTGTGCGATTTTGTCGTTTTTTGTTTGTTGTGCAAGTATCAAGGTTATATTTTAGACTTTTTATTGTATTCGTTCTACTCTTCCCCTCCTTTACTACTATCTTTGTCTTTGAGTTCTCTTTATCTGTGTTGGGCAAATGTAGCAGTTGTCTTCCGTAGTGTGTTGTTAGGAGTAGTGTGTTTCTTTCATTCCGGTGTACACTATGATTCTTAGTACAGTAATGGCGCTTCCCTCATTCTGCAGCTCATACTACATATTCTTGTTTTACCAAAAACATTGCGAACCAGCAAATAGGTCCAGCGAACGTTGGTGAGCGTCAACATGTTCTCCCAGCACAGGATGAAGTGAGGAGGGAGGTGTGTAGGTGAGCAATCATCTCGTGTATATTGACCTTGACCGAAAACCAGTGGATTAAGTCGGCGCAAACCCAGGCTATCATTCCAAGACTTGTAATATTTAGATAAAAAGCATAGATTTCACTAGATGTTCGTGCACTTAGTAGTTAGCATCCTGCTGAATGAGCTCAAGGGCTTGTGCAGAGCGAGCCTTAATAGAGCACTTGAAGGGCTTCGGATGGCTGGAGTGTGTATGTCCAGACAAGCACGACAGACCCGATGTCACATAACATACCTGATCATACTTGACGAGGGGTCAAGCTCAGGGGTGATCTCAACACCGTTCTCGACGATCTTGGAAATATCAAACACAGCGAGTGACATCACGGTGGATATCCAGACAGACGCATCAGCGAGATGGAGACCTGGGAAAGAAAGCAACGTCAGAACTGTCTTCTTCGTCGGCGCCCTCTGAGTTGGACTAACCTGCGCAGACACTGCAGAGCAGAAAGTTAGCATGTCGCTCAAATAGGAACCCCATGCTTACCGTCTGCCGAAGCCGAAGCAGATCGTACTAGGTTCGGTCTCAGACTCCTTTCCATCTCTCGCTAAGAAGCGTTCAGGGTTGAATTGCGAAGGGTTAGCATAAGTCCGCGGGTCATGAAGCATGAACCTGTCATAAAATTCAGTTGATACCCTCAAACCCGGAAGATGGGGAGTACTGACCAAACGTTGGGTATTACCAAGGAGCCTTTTGGGATGTAGTACCCGTCATGGATATCGTCCTCAGTGACACGGTGGGGGCCACCTGTCATTGAGATATCCCTCGGCAACTAAAGAATGCGATGAGAAGGCACGCATACCGTTAGGGACGACAGCATTCCAACGTAGGACTTCTTTCACAAGCGCCTCAGTATAAGGGAGGGAGTCGCGGTCGGCGAAGGAGGGAAGACGATCAGGACCAACGACGGCATCTATTTCAGCCTGAGCCTTCTTCTGCACGTCAGGGGAAATTGTCATGGCTAGGAAAAGCGTGTAAATTGTAGAAACCGTCTACGGAAACGGGTGTTACTCTTAAAAGACGATAATTTGGTATTTGACCAACCGTATCAGCACCACCGCTGTACAGAGATGCGGCAGACCATTTCACAATGTGTTCTTCTTCTGCAGACAAAGCACGGCCTTCCAACAAATCCGAGGTGAAAGACCTTTGGGCAATTCCAGCGGCCTAAAAAATTCATACTTCAACTCATGATCACAAAACTAGGAATTTTATCTACCATCTGATCCTTGACAAACCCGTAGGGTGCGCCAGCCATCTTTTCGAGTGTCTCGAGTGATTCACGGGCCTTGCGCTTGAATCCAATACCGGGAAACCACTCTGGGACCTTGGCCACTAAGAATAGTCAGGCGACTGGAAGCACAAATGAGAATGCTATAGTCCTACAGGATGGCATAATATCAACGAAGAAGGCACCGGCAACACTGACCCGTGACAATTGGTCGAGAGCGCGTTCCGCAAGATCAACGAAGGGATCGTCGTTCTCCTTCACTTCATATCCATAAGAGATTTGCAGAAGAACAGCACCAGTGGTGCTATAAAAATTCAATAAGAAGTCAATATAACGATTGATAACATACTGTCGAATGTGTGCCTGTAATTGGTCGGGATTCGCAAGTACGCGCTTCAGGAATCGGTGGGTTTCAACTTCCTCGATCGGGTGGTAGATATTCAAGGCGGCGTGACTGCCAATGACGCGGTGGAGGTTCTTGCGGTACAAGCGAAGACGGTCACCGTAAGGGAGAAAACCCAAAGCGTGCTTCCAGCCACAAAGTTCGCCGCCCATAGGCAGAATAGGACGGTCAGAATACACGGAGCTCTTCCCGTCCAGCATTGCCATCGTAATCTTGACAGAATTCAGCACAATGATGTGCTGACCCAGAAGCTCGATGTGTGATATACCACCTGCACTCATCTGGTTGAAACACATGAGTTTGGAGACACAGGATGCGCTCACCATACTTCTTGCCCCACTCAGCGAAGGTGAGCCAGGGCTTGATGCGAGGCATGTCTAGGACGTTTCCAACGAGAGGCCATCCCGGGGGACCAGGTGGGTATGGTACATTGTTCTTCTTGGTGAACACCTGCTTTACTAGATACACTGCAGCACCAGCAAGGCATATGTCCAGCCAAGTTACATCGGTGGGCATAGGCATGGTTACTAGCCACAGATAAGCAGGTAAAGAGTACCTCACAAATCCAAAGTCCTCTTTATCTAGAATTCGGAGCGTGGAGAGAGGAACAGGTACAATATTCAGTTAGTAAAATCATCAAATTAATATGGTAAGGGGAGACAGCGAGGATGAATGCTGGACGAATCGAATTCGCTACGTGTGTGGCCAGATATGGTCTGGCTTTGCCATTCCTAGGTCATGGAGGGCCTGGACTGGACGGGGGATCCAGCCACATGAGAAATGAAACATGTAGAGATAGACAATATCTGGACAGGGGACCCAGAAACATGAGAAATAGGATGTACAGAGATAAAGACTCAATAAGTACAGACCTGCGGAGCGCCTCATGATATTTATTTAATGTTCCAATACGGAGGATTAGCTAGAGGGGGACACAGCTCCAGACCAAAACGCATAACTCTATGCAGCTCGGGGAGTTGCCAGCAAGATGATGATGAATGAATTAAAAGCACCGACCCGAGGACATTCTGAGTTTGAACCAAGCAGCACCAAACAACCCTCTCATCAGTTCACCGACATGGTGTCCTTCCATTCCGAAGTTACGTGCCACACATTAGGACAGGGATCAGACAATTGTATCATTGAATGCAGTACATTGGAGACGAAAAACCTGGAAGGCTCGTCGGAACCGACCAGGAGGTGCTCGTTCCGTAATTCTTGCAAATTTTGAGCTCTCAGATAGCCTCAGTGACAAGTACTTTGAAAACCTGAACCCGGATGATGGAATTCCTGGTACGTTTTAGTTCGACATGAATTTGATTTGGGAGCTTTTTATAAGGCGTCATAGATGGTTAGACTTCCCTCAAGCATGTTCTCTCGTCTGCTACTGGGATGGTATGACCGTTTACTGTCTCTAGCATTACAACGCCACGCAGGTCCCACCTGAATGACATCCGTAGCTATTGCACGTTCGCTTACAACCACCCACGGATGACGTGTCATGCAAAACATGTCTGCCTCCACCATGGAAGCAGTACGTAGCAACCATGTATCTAACTGCAGAGCAGCCTTGGGTAGAGAACCTGACTGGTACGAGAGGTGCCCATCGGCCGTGCCGAACTCCCCTTGGTCAGAACACGCCGCTTCATCGCCATCATCTTCTAATCCATCGCCATTATCTATCGCTACATCTTCTCGATCTCGTTCCTTACCAATGTGCTGCCTAAACTCTTTTTGCGAGGTAAAACAAGCTGTGGAAGAGATGGGAATATTCATGATGATCTCGTAGGAAACCTCAATAGGTAAATGTACTGTCGAAATTCAGAGCACACTGCGCAAAAGTGATAGAAGGTTTTGTCCACATTGGTCGGTCAAAAGAAGTACATATTTCCGTTTCGAAGGCAGCGAACGTGAGTACTCGTGTACTATCATTGTACCCGTGTTCGGATTGTCTTCGAGTGCCCAATTCAACACCAGTACTTTCAGTTCAATTCGGTGTCAGTGTATATTAATATGACCTTCACCGAAAACCAGTGTACTCAGCGTGTCCAAAACAAACCTAGGCTATCATTCCAAGACTTGTGATGCTTAGATAAAAAGCATAGATTTCACTAGATGTTCATGCACTTAGTAGTTAATATCCTGCTGAATGAGCTGAAGGGCTTGTGCAGAGCGAGCCTTAATAGAGCACTTGACGGGCTTAGGATGGCTGGAGTGTGTATGTCAAGACAAGCACAGCAGGCCCGATGAGATACGCAACATACCTGATTGCACCTGATGAGAAGTCAATTTCAGGGGTGATCTCAACACCGTTCTCGATGACCTTGGAAATATCAAACACGGCGAGTGACATCACGGTGGATATCCAGACAGACGCGTCAGCGAGGAGAAGACCTGAGAAAGAAAGCGACTTCAGAACTGTCTTCTTCGTCGGAACCCTCTGAGTTGGACTAACCTGGGCAGATACTGCAGACAGAAAGTGAGCATGTCGCTCAAATAGGAACCCCATGCTTACCGTCTGCCGAAGCCGAAGCAGATCGTACTAGGTTCGGTCTCAGGCTCCTTTCCATCTCTCGCTAAGAAGCGTTCAGGGTTGAATTACGAAGGGTTAGCATAAGTCCGTGGGTCATTGAGCATGAACCTGTCCTAAAATTCAGTTGATACCCTCGAACCCGGAAAAGGGGAATACTGACCAAACGTTGGGCATTACCAATGAGCCTTTTGGAATGTAGTACCCGTCGTGGATATCGTCCTCAGTGACACGGCGGGGGCCACCTGTCATCAAGATACCCCTCGTCAACTAAAGAACGTCGCGACAAGACACACATACCATTAGGGGCGACAGCATTCCAACGTAGGACTTCTTTCACAAGCGCCTCAATATAGGGGAGAGAGTCGCGGTCGGCGAAGGAGGGAAGACGATCAGGACCAACGACGGCATCTATTTCAACCTGAGCCTTCTTCTGCACATCAGGGGAAATTGTCATGGCTAGGAAAAGCGTGTTAATTGTAGAAACCTGTCTACGGAAACGGGTGTTACTCTTAAAAGACGATAATTTGGTATTTGACCAACCGTATCAGCACCAGCAGCAGTACATAGATGTAGCAGACCATTTTACACAGTGTTTCTTCTGCGGACAAAGGACGACCTTCCAACAAATCTGAGGTGAAAGACTTGGGGGCGATACCAGCGGCCTGTAAAATTCAAACTTCAACTCATGATCACAAAACTAGGAATATTAACTACCATCTGATCCTCGACGAACTTGTATGGTGCACCAGCCATCTCTTCGAGGGTCTCGCGCGATTCACGGGCAATGCGCTTGAAGCCAGCACCAGAGAACCACTCCGGGACTTTGGCCTACTACAAATAGTCAGGCGATTGGAAGCACAGATGAGAATGCTATTGCCCTACAGGATGGTATGATATCAACGAAGAAGGCGCCGATAACACTGATCCGTGATAAGTAGTCGGTAGCGCGGTCTGCAAGGTCGACAAAGGGATCGTTGTTCTTCCTTCACTTCATAACCATAAAATATTCGCAGAATGACGGCACCAGTGGTGCTATAAAAATTCAATAAGAGTACGATATAACGATTGATAACATACTGTCGAATGTGTGCCTGTAATTGGTCGGGATTCCCAAGTACGCGCTTCAGGAATCGGTGGGTTTCAACTTCCTCGATCGGGTGGTAGATATTCAAGGCGGCGTGACTGCCAATGACGCGGTGGATGTTTTTGCGGGACAAGCGGAGGCGGTCACCGTAAGGGAGAAAACCCAAAGTGTGCTTCCAGCCACATAGTTCGCCATCCATAGGCAGAATAGGACGGTCGGAATACACAGAGCTCTTCCCGTCCATCATTTCCATCGCAGTCTTGATAGAATTCAGCACAATGATGTGCTGGCCCAGAACCTCGATGTGCGATATATCACCTGCACTCATCTGGTTGAAACGCATGAATTTGGAGACACAGGATGCGCTCACCATACTTCTTGCCCCACTCAGCGAAGTTGAATGAGGGCTTGATGTGAGGCATATCTAGAATATTCCCAATGAGAGGCCACCCCGGGGGACCAGGTGGATATGGTGCAGGATTCTTCTTGGAGAACGCCTGCTTTACTAGATACACTCCGACACCAGCAAGGCATATGGTCAGCCACGTTATGTTGGTAGGCATCGACATGGTTATCAGCTCCGGACGGGCAAGTAAGGAGTACCTGACAAATCCAGAGTCCTCTTTATCTAATGTTTAGAGTATGGAGAGGACAAATACTTGATTCGGTTAGTGGAATCATGAAACTAGCGGGGGAGTGGTTTCGCTACGTGTGTGGGAAGGTATGGTCTGTATTTTCCAGACCAAGGCCTTGCCGGGCCTGGACAGGGTTTCCTGAAACATGAGAAATGACATCAGGCTCAATAGGTACAGACCTTCGGAGCGGATCATAATGATCATTTAATGTTCCCGGACGGCGGGTATCAAGAGGGGCACGAATCCTGACTAAAACGCATAACTCTATGTAGAATGACTCGCAAATGACAGCACGATGCGATGAACGATTTGAATTGGCTACCGTGACTGAGAACTGAGAGGCCGACCGGAGCACATTCCTTACATAATACCTTAGCCTAGTTGAAACCAAGCAGCACCAAATACACCTTCTCATCAGTTCACCGACATGTCCTTCATTCGGTACGTGCGGAATATCCGCAGGACAGGGATTAAACAATGGTGGCATCAATTGCAGTACATTGGAGACGCTAAGGCGGGAACGCTCATTGGAACCGACCAGTAGGTGCTCGTCCTACAATCCTTGCAGACTTTGACCTCTCGGATAGGTTCGGTAACAAGTACTTTGAAAACCTGAACCCGGACGATGAAATTCCAGGTGCGTAGTACGCTCGTGTGTTCAACACGACTTTTTATCTTGAGGATTTTATAGGGCGTCATAGATGGGTGGACTTTGCTCAAGTATGTTCTCTCGTCTGTAAATGGGATGGAAGCGGGTATAACCGCGTACTGTTTCTAGCATTACAACAATGCCACCCAGGTCCCACCTGAATGGCATTCGTGGCTATCGCACATCCGCTTGCAGCCACCCACGGAGGATGCCGTCATGCAAAACATGTCTCCACCATGGAAGGCGGTATGTAGCTATCGCGTCCCATTCCTTCGAAGTCTAACCGCAGAGCAGCCCTGGGCAGAGAACCTGACGGGTACGAGAGGTGCCTATCGGCCGTATAACACGGTGAAGCCAAAGATTGATGCTTGGGAGCCGAAGGTTATAGCGCGAGGGCGAGGCACGTCCCATAGATTGTCGGGAGCCAAGTGACTAAATACATCACTGACCTTCTACTGTGAGATATGTTGTGGCCCAATTACATCATCTACGACGTGTTCAGCGATAGCAAGGCTGGACGTCAGGACCTGGGCTCTCAATGCCCATCAAGCTGACCATAAGTCCTCTCCCGCTTCCATCCGCATAGTCCTTCCGAACAGCAAAGTCCTGGAAGCCAGACAGCACCAACTTGGGACGGACGCCGACATAGTCAGGTCTGAATCCTTCAAATGATACTCCAGGTAAATATTCAGTGACTGCTCTGTACATTTCTTCCAGCCTGGAATCGCTGGGTACGAGATGCATTCCGCCAAAAATCGACATTCTCCTCGTCAGAATCGTATTCTGATGCGTCAGAGGGCGGTGATATCCACTCCAAGTCTGGCCCAAATCGCACTTTGCCTTGCAAGTCAAGGGTCAAATGCGTTCCGAGCGACTGGAAGGCGTGCTTGTTCGGCCCAGTTTCAGGGCATGGGTATAAGAGTCGACTAATTCGAGATATCCCTGGTCCGCTGTAAGCTGCGTATGAGCCCCGAGCGAAGAACATGGGTATGCGTGATGCCTCGGGTAGCAGAGAATTGGGAATGAGAGTAGCGGAGAGGCCAGACGCGTTGATTAAGGTGCGTGCGAGCAGGGCATCCCCTTGCTCAGCATTCTCAGTGACAGTCTGAACAACCCAGCCGTCTCCTGAGCTCAGCCCGGAGGACCCGCTCTTATACGGGTCCACACGGACGACTCGAGTGGAAAATACGACCTCGCCTCCTTCTGATTCTGATATGTCCTTCTCCAGACTCTCCATGAAAGAGTGGGAGTCGACAATGCCTGTCTCTGGACTCCATAACGCAGCAGCTATGTCCGGTGAAAGGTCTGGCTCAAGCTCACGTGCTTGCGCACCACTTATAAGCGAGACGGGAAGGACTTGATCGTCAGCGCGATGAGGCGAGTACTTGGGCCATGGTAGTTGCCTAGCCTTTTCGAAGAGACTCTCGACGTACGCGCGCTGGTGCTCGTGTGCTACTACGAGTTTTCCAGTTTTTCGGTACGGAATGTTGTATTTGTTGCAGTGCTCGTACATGAGTTGCCTGCCTCGCAAACATAGCTGCGTCTTGAGTGACTCCGGAGGGTAATACAGTCCTGCAGGGCCACAATGTCAGGACGCACGAACACATTTCATGTCGCAAGGTGAGAGCTCACCAGCGTGTACGACTTCTGAGTTGCGAGAGCTATCCACTCACAGTCAGCATGTAGTGGAATAGGATAGTACCTGTTTCGCTCGCCTCGTCTCTTCTCCAGCAGTGTGGATGTCTCTCAACTAGGTATGTTGACTTCGTCGGGAAACGCTCGGATAGCCGCTGAGCAACAGCCAAGCCCACAACACCTAGCGGTAGATAAGCATCAGTTGTAAACCCAAATATCGCACGGAACGGACCTCCACCCACGACCAGGAAGTCTACCACTGCATCTGGAGTCTGAACGAATATGGTGTAAGAGACTGGACAAAGTTCCGATTTTCCATTTTACCTTGTACTTGAACCGTCCCGTTGAGTTCAGCGCGGCCACCAGCCCTCGCACTTTAGGTCGCTGCCATGAAGGCTTCAGCGTGTAAGCGCGGAACGACAATGGTTCCGCTGATCGCTTAGATATATCTTATCTTATCATTGGTTTCTTTTTGTCATTCAACGTCAACACCAAGCCTTGGTTGAACACTGCATTCACGGCAACTTAACGTCCACTGCATCACTGACTGGAACCAGAATTTGGAAGATATCAAAATGGTTGCCATATTACCACAGCCGGCAGAGTCCTCTTTCGAAGAGAAGATGGCAGCTCTACAAAGCACCCCGCTCTTTATGAAATCTCTGCCCTCAGAAGAATCCGACGACCCTGTGATTCAAGCGTTACAGAGTCTCGCCTTCGAAGGGACGCCAGATGGTGGGTGAGAACCTTCTCTTCTCTACCGTGACATCCTGGTGAATCAAGAACGCTTCTCTAAGAGATCGCTCAAAATTTCAAAGAGCAAGGAAACGACTACTTCAAGGGAAAACGCTATCGAGAAGCGAATCAGCTTCTACACGCAAGGTATTGATGCCAAGCCATCTGATCTCGTACTGCACGAGGCTCTCTTATGCAACCGTGCCGCGTGCAACCTCGAGTTAAGTGAGACATTGGCTTACTGTCTTGACAACAAGAATCTGACCGATTCGAAGAGAACTATGGCTCCGTCCTCCGAGACTGCTCGAAGGCCCTCACCCTGAATATCAAGTCCTCAAAAGCATATTACCGCTCGGCTGTGGCGTTATTAGCCCTGGACCGCTTTGAGGAGTCCCTCGATTGCTGTGAGAGGTGTTTGGAGTACGACCCAGAAAACCAGGGGGTCAGGTCAGTCCGCGATCGTTCCGCCGCAGTGAAGGCAGAGAAGGGCCGCAAAGAGAGCGAAAAGCAGGAACGAATGCAAACCGAACAGAGAGAGAAGAAACTCTTGCAGGTGGCGTTCAAGGTACATTCTATCTTAGTCTCGTCATCGCTCGTCTGATTATGCATCAGGAACGAAATTTGTTTGCCGTCTACAACCCGAAAGGGTCATCAGAAAACCCGTGTGAGCCCCACTTTGACCCAGAAGATCCCGAACGAACGACGTTGGTAATCCCCGTGTTCTTCCTATACCCGCAGTACGCGACCTCGGACGTCATAGCACAATTTGTCGAAGATACCACCTTTTATGCACACATATCTCAAATGTTTCCGCCGCAGGCACCTGCACCTGTGTGGGATAAAGCTGGGCAATACGCCGCGAACACTCTCGTGGTTTACGCAATGACAAGAAGAAAGCGGCTCCTTAAAGTTGGCAAGAAGATGTCATTGATGGATGTTTGTAATGCCTCGAAGGCCAAAGAAGGGGAACCTGATGATGGGTTAGAGCTGAAAGATGGGTGTTTGACGTTCGTTGTTGTTCCAAAGGGAGAAGTAGAGCAAAATTGGGTAGATGAATTCAAGCGGGCAAGAGACAGCTAGATACTTCGAATCATCGTAACAGGGGTGTTTCCAATTCGAGAAGCAGCACGTGCATACGAATGTGTTGGTCACTGTTTGGCGCAATAGCCAGACACCATACGGTAAGACTCATTGCAAAAAAGACATCGACGAAGGCGTCAAGCTCGGTGAGTACGAATTGCTGCTTGTTGTGGTGCTCAATGGTGCAGGATGTATGTGCACATCGAGCTGCGGAGCCAAAATCGCGGTCGAATCACTTTGATTTGGGTGGATGCAAGTCATGAGGAGTGGATGCTGACCATGAGATCATCTGCTACAGGGCCTCTATTCCAGCCATGTCTGTCAACCACAAGATTCTCCGTTCTGCAAATGCACCAACCAACTCCCCTGATGAGACCGAGGTTTCCGTCGCTCAGGCTCTGATCGACCTCGAGAACAATGTCCCTGAACTCAAGACTGAGCTCCGCGCTTTGCAGATCTCTGCCGCCCGTGAAGTTGATGTACGAGGTGGAAAGAAGGCTATCGTCGTGTTCGTTCCCGTTCCCCAATTGAAGGCGTTCCACAAGGTGCAGCAGAGGTGAGGACGGTTATCTTAGTGGGAAGGTGCTATTATAATATGGTCACCCATCTCGCAGGCTCACCCGTGAACTGGAGAAGAAATTCTCTGACCGCCACGTTGTTTTCGTTGCTCAGCGTCGCATGCTGAGCAAGCCTACCCGTAACTCACGGGTGAAGCAAAAGAGACCCCGCTCTCGTACGCTCACCAACGTACACGAGAAAATCCTGGAGGATCTTGTCTTCCCGACAGAGATAGTTGGCAAGAGGACTCGTGTTGCTGTTGATGGATCGAAACTTTTGAAAGTGTAAGTGGTATGCCTAGATGTGCATTGACAGTATACTGAATGATCTCTTGCAGTATCCTTGACCCTAAAGACGCGACATCGCTTGAGTACAAGCTGGATTCGTTCTCTTCAGTATACCGCCGTTTGACAGGGAAGGATGTGACGTTTGAATTCCCCCCCGCCAACCAAGAGTAGATTACGCGATATCTTCATGACACATGTTCCGCTTCCCTGCATTCTCCGATAAAAATATGGACATACTGTCACATACAGCTGCTTATGTCTTGTTTGGGCATTGTGCTGTGATTTCATGAAGCGCGGCACAGCTGAATACGTTGCATCTTATGGAAATTGACCCCGTAGTGCCTGGAGGGCGCAGGGTAAATAACCTGAAGATCGTTAGTAGGAAAGTTCGGCAATAAATAAACGAGATTTTAACCGGATTATCTCTTGTGGGCGCTCGTAGCAAGCTCGGCGTGATTTCGGCACGTGGTTCAGTGTCGCGTCCAGTGGTTTCCGAGTTGATTCATTTCATTGTCTTGCTTCTTACTTCCGTCGCTAGTACTTTAGTCATTTTCCCTCTTCTCTTCCTCCCGCCCTTCGTGGCATCCTTTATTTCCCTTCAACGTCGTTCTGAATGGCGGAATATCCACGCATGGACCCGTACTCCAGGTCCAGGTATGAACATGGGATAGATGCCAAAATTGTGGTCATGGGCAATACAGGTTCGTTGTTCGGATACCTTAATCAATCATTTTTGCATGGCTCACTGACGGATTCTCGATCATTTTAAGGCGTGGGCAAGACCAGCCTGCTTCATCGCTACACTCAGAACAAGTTCGATCCTAGGAACATGACGTCCACGACCGGGGCTTTCTTTGTAACCAAGAAAGTCCATGTCGACGGTTTGAAGGTTCGACTACAGCTATGGGACACTGCAGGACAGGAACGATTCCGAAGTATGGTACGAATTCACTCTTACTTGGTATCCTTCAGTCGTTCACCAGTATAATCAGGCTCCCATGTATTATCGCGGAGCAAATGCTGCACTTCTCTTGTACGATATCACGAATGCTGCTACGTTCGAAGACATTCGGGGCTGGTTAGCTGGTGCGTAACGTTAGATTTCACATCCGCGATTATATTCTGACAAAGTTGCCACCCGTTTCAGAGTTGAAGAAAAATTGTCCGCCAGAGCTTATCATTTATATCGTTGGTTCCAAATCCGACCTCCATCATCACAGGCAGGTCACGTCTGATCTAGCTCGCCTATCGCTGCATACTTGGTTTCCCCCACCGCGCCCCCCAACGCCTCCACCCCCTCCACCTCCACCACCTTCAACACTGTCTTACATTCGTCCCAGATTCACATCCTTTACTAGCACCAAATCAGTTCCTCTGAACAACACCCCAATGAAATGTTCTCCACCCCACAGCGCGTCCTACATGGACCCTGCTCCTAGCCAGTCATCACATTCCTCTGCGCTTAATCGAAGCAATACTGGTCATGCCATTCCGAGATCAAAGACTACAGGCCAGGGCTTGAACAGGTCAAAAACAGAGGCCTCCCGCTCCCCACAACCACGATTTGGTTCACACTTTGGGCGGCATGTAGGAGGGTATGACGCCGCGGAGAGCAGCAGCAATAGTATAAATGAAGATGAGGAAGACCCCGATGTCGATGACCAAGAATGGGGACTTCGCAAGGGAATGGAACTTTTTGAGGTCTCAGCTAAAGATGACTTTGGTACGTGTGCTCTTTCCCCTTGTCTGATTCTCTCACCCATTCATTTGCCACAGGTATTGAAACCCTCTTCGAATCATTGATTAACGCAATCATCGAACGGAAGGACATCATTGAGCGCGAAAATGAGCTCAAGAAACGTGATAGTGTCTTCCTATCAACTATCAGTACACCCACTTGGGCCGCTCAGGCCGAGGAAGAAGAGGCACGGGAGAAGGCTCGCTCCACTTCAGGGGGATGGAATTGTTGTTCTTCGTGATCTTACCCCTGCCATGTGTCAAGACTTCTCCGCTTTTGCTGTCTTTCTGCTCATCTGCATCCTACGGCCCGGCACACCATTCTCACGACTCATTGCCCATCACGTTCTCCCATCACATCAATCTCGCGCGTCTGATATCCAAGTTCTCTTGTTTTCTTTCGTCTTTACAGGATGCTATGTTCTTTATGCCACTTTCTATGATTCCTATTGGTCCTCCATACCACCGGGCCTCCAGGACTACTCTTTGCAATACTATTATTCACTTCCTGAATTATCTCCTCATACCATATACTACCTTAAGTAGATACAATTTGTGCATGTGTTTAGTCACGTCATTCAGCAATCTTGGTAGCAATCTCTTGCTGTTGTAATTTGGTATTTTGTACCCGCGCTAAATGGCTGGATCTTAGTAGAGCCTAGGTCGCCGAAACAGGCAGGTTGGTGATCGATGCTGGTTGAGCAGACTTAGCAGAGCTAACATCCACCAGCGCTCCCACTTCGTTCCTCGATCACCATGTCCCTCCTTCCCCCCAAGCTAACGGAAGGAGATCAAGCAGACAAGGTCGATAATGTATGCACGCCGGAGCACTGTTTTCGTGCCTTCGATGCTTTGTACTGCGCGCTAACATCTAGCGAGCCTATCCCGCCTACTTTCACTGACGAGAAATAGTGAGTGGACCATATTTTCTGTCCGAATGTGTGCTATAGTCGTTATTTTCTAGTCCACTTTTTGTGACGTGGAATACAAGGTCATCTCGCGCGGGCAGATCACCCAGATTGAGGGGTTGCATCGGCAACTTCGATGACATACCCCTTAGGGAAGGTCTTGCAGAATACGCATTGATCAGTGCGTTCAAAGACTCTCGTTTCCGGAAAATAGAACGTCGAGAGCTGCCATCTCTCGAGTGTGGGTAAGTGCATCTCGCCTTTCATATGTATGCTAATGCATTTAATCATACGCCAGAGTATCCCTTTTGACGGATTTCGAAGACGCATCGTCGTATCTAGATTGGACCGTTGGCACTCACGGGATTTACATTAGCTTCCCCAACCCGTCATTATACCCACCATCATCGAGTGCTCCTTCTCCTCTATCTTCGTCAGCATATCTGCCGCGATTCAACTCCAGAGGCACTTTGACCGCCACATATCTCCCAGATGTCATGCCTGACCAAGGTTGGGACAAGGTTGAGGCTGTGGAAAGCGCTATGCGCAAGGCAGGATGGAACGGCTCCATCACGGAAGACACGCTTAGGACCGTGAAACTTCGACGATACCAGAGCAGGAAGTGCGTAGTTAGCTGGGAATGAATTTGTCCAGTGGAGGAGGGAGAATGGTGACGACCAGATCTCATGATTCGAATCACTGTATCATCACCAAATTGCCGAACTGTACAAATATTAGCGTTGGATTTGTATGTACCAGTACGTGAATAGACATGTTGTCCACATCTATCGCCCACCACTCCCGTTATCGCCAAAGATACTTTTGCGCAGTCCTGTCTAATCGACCACCCCATCCCGCCACCGAAACGCTGCTCGAGCTTGTAAAAACACTTTTCGCAGCTTTCCCGCATCATTTCCGCTGGCTTTGCCAAAAGATACCAAGATCCAATAGATCAGCCTCTCACTCGGCTTGACGTTCAGCAGGCAAATTCATAAAAGCCTGGAACACCTGATGGAGATTTTCGAGGTTCCAATCACTCTTCTGGATTGGGCGGAGGCGCTCCGATAAAGAACCGGGAGGGGTCTTTAGCGAAAATGGTTTCTGGGCATGCCGGGCGAAACCGAGGAATATTCCACGGAAAGCGGCAAGCGTTGGCTGATAGAGTAAAGGTTCGCCTGTCTCCTGATCTGTAGGAGCCTTCGGTTCCCTATTAGGCGTAGAGAGCATATCTACAAAGACATGAAGCGCCTTCATAAATTGCCCATGATAGGCAAAGGCTTGGATCAAAGCGGTATACGTTATCTCGTCCGGTATCACGTCGTCCGGAATGGCGATGCCCTCCACATCTAGCAGGTATTTGACAGCTGCCTCGATGTCGTATTCGCCTACGTCGAGTTCCGGCTGCGAATTGTGGCGCAGGACACGATAAATTGTTGAAGCGACATCCATATGCCCATTCCGGCCGTAGGCCCATATGCATGCGTTGATCCCATCCAGACCAGGCTCGAAGCCTTGCTCTCTCATCTTCTGGAGGGTTGACCGAACACCGGATAATTGTTTGGTTCGTGTATAGTAGTGTAGCAAGGATAAATGCGTGATGCGGTTTGGTGGTAGCCCTGAGGCTCTGAGCAGATTAGATGCGTGGCGGATGGCGCTGGGGTGAAGCGAGCGGCCGGCGATGTAGAGGAGGGTTGTATATGTAATGATATCGGGCTGCACCTGCCCAAAGTCGGGCTCTGCGGCCAGCTTCTCGTCGTCGCCTGTGTTCTCAGAGGGTTGCAATGTGGTCATTTTACTGAAAACTTCCACAGCTGCCTTGTAGTCTTCGAGACTGCATTTCCGCCATCGTTTTCCTGCACAGTCTAACAAAGCATTCCACTCCCATAGGTAAATGCGACAACCAGACCGGTGTAGCATGGTCAAAACAGCAGAAAGTCGTAAGAAAAGGGTTCGTGTTCGAGGTTTTGTGGAGGCAAGAAGGCGGGCAAGATGATGGAGGTGACGCTGGGGTATCTTGGGAGCTCCGGAGAGGTGATGAATTTGATGAGGGAACATGACAGCCAAGGTGTGGTATGCCTCCCACCCGTCTGTCATCGAGGTAGCTTTCAGTAAGTTGTTCAATAATTCTTTCCGCGTCTTCATTCTGTCTGGTGGTGTTTCTTCGAGTGAGTCTATGGGATCCTGATGGCCAGTGGGGTGGGGATTTGAGTGATGATGGTGTGGGCTTTGTTGGCCGTGAGTTGAACCGATGCCAACGGGAATGTAGATGGCCTCGACAAGTGGAGACCCGTCTGTGGGTTGCAGGACGTGGGGCATCAAGCCATCCTGCCCAGATGGTTTTAAAACGCGTGTCTGATGTGTAACTGTGTCTGGATGATCTACTAATCCAGTATTCCTGACCAGTGCGTCGTCTACCTTGTGCTCGCTCACAGCACATCTCACCTCTCCTGGAGCTCTTTCTTTCATCCTGTGAGCAATGTGGATATGACGATGGGCCAGGAAAGTGTGAGACGTTGCCTGCTGCCGAGCGAAAACTTGTTGAACCTGACGAAACAAACATGGCGTTTGTGATAATGCAGGCGACAATCTGAGGCTCGACGTGGAGCCTGCAAGCATGAATATCCAGTGCAGTCATCCTGTGATAACGATGAGCATTATCGCCCAGTAATACGTTCCATGTACATACCGCGACTGGCACTGAATGAGGGTTTTGAAAGAGCCAGGCGAAGACCTGGTTACAGTATGTACTGCACTAACTGACGCGCTCGATGGAAGTTGCACGTGTGCCGAAGACAGTTACTCGAAAATTTCGAGTCTACTTTTGGCGCTAAAACTATGTCCAGAACTTCACCAGCTTCATGCACTATATGTACATATTCAATGCACTCCAGAACTCTTCGTCATGCATGCAGACACATTTAATTGGCGGTACTAGAGCATAGCATGGATAGTCGTGAAAAGATGTAAAAAAACATAATGCCTAAGTAGTACGTCAAAAATGCAATCAATCCCTGGCCTTGAGCGTTCCCAAGAACGCGGCCTTTTCGTCGAAGGTTTGGAACGAGCCGTGCTGGATTCAAGACGTTAGATGATTCCTTTAGAAGACAGTACACTGTACTTACGCCGAACTTCGAAGAGGTATCGATGAACTTGAGCTGCACCTTCTCGAGGTCCCGACGCGAGGTGTGGACCATGAGTGACTTACGGAGGGTGATGACACGCTTCTTGGTACCAGGGATCGAGCCCTTGAGCATCAAGAAGTCATTCTTCACAATACCGTAGTGAGGGAAACCACCCATAGGCGTGATGGTCTTGTTCGTGATGTCAGACTCCGTGGAAGCATTAGCCACATCAGCGCCAGAGCCAATACGGTAAATCTTCTTGTTGAGTTCCGTACGATGGTGGTAGCCGTCTGCATGATTGGTTCATACTACGATACAAGAGAAGAAAACAAGGCCACTTACTTTGACCAGCACGGGCCACGGAGAACATGACTTTCGAAGGATGCCATGCACCGATACAAGCGACCTTGCGGAGACCCTTGTGAGTCTTGCGAGGAAGCTTCTTGGTACCCCAACGGTGGGTAACACCCTCGAAACCATGACCCTTCGTGACAGCAATAACATCGATCACCTCATCCTGCTCGAAAAGACTAGTAACCTCCACAGGCTTCTCAAACAGGCCTTGTGCGAACTCGACCTTGTCTGCAATAGAACCGCCGTTAACCTGGATCTCCATAAGGTGTGCCTTCTTCTGGCTGAGACCGGTCTTGCGAATTTGGGTGTGGGCGAGGACACGGACGACAGTGCAGTATTTGCGGATGCGCTCGAGCTCACGAGCGGTGGATTTGCCGCCGTCCTCAGCGTGCTTCTTGGCGTAGCGGGTAAAAGCCTTCTTCTTCGAGCGGTACCAGTTCTTGTAGAACCGACGCTTGACCTCGTCTGACAAGTGAGATGCCCAGACAGTGGTGAGAGTGCGAAGGCCACGGGGAGTCTCAACATAGCCAACGACACCGACAACGATCATAGGAGGAGTCTCTATGATTGTCACTGCCTCCACAACCTCACGTTTGTGCATCTCTGCGCTGTCTTCAGATCCAAGATCTCTAGTAGTTAGGCGGAATACGCACTGGAACCAGGACGGTCAAGGTCACGGACAACGTGGGTCATACCAGCCTTGTAACCCAACATGGCGGTCAGATGAACAGGCTTCTTGGGGTCATCCTAAGGTAGATGCACTGTTAGACCAGTTCTTAACGAAGATCCTTCTACTTGCGCACCTTGGGGAAGGATTTGACCTTGCCGCGGTGGCGTGCGGCACGCTTACGGGGGAGGAAACCGAGTGAGCCATGGCGGGGGGCTTCGTACTGGATAGATCACAAAGTATGAGCGTCTCGGGCCTACCTGGTTCTCCATGACAGAAAACCAACCTTACGGTGACTATGGGAGAAAAATACTGGTGAGTTCGATCTATTCTGATGGCAGTTTTCCCTGCATAACTCACCTCATTTTGAAGGATCTTGAGGACGGTGTCGGATGCTAGCTGGCGTTGCGGACAATATGGCACAAAGTCTGCTGGGAGTTGCCGGTTCTGTGGCTGATGAACTGTATAGTTGCACATCCCAAGTATAGAAATTCCCCTATGGTTTTTTGTTCCGACTTACAATTTCCTCCCACTTCCGACAAATTGTCTGGTCGAGACGAGGCATTCAACCAAGAGGCGGACTGACTCCTAGTGTCACCTAGTACCATAAGACGGAAGACAGTCTTTCCTTCTTGGTATCGCAGCTGATTGCAAAATTATGCGCAAAAGTTGGATTTGGATCTCGGAAACACCCGAGCGAGGACCCATAAGTATATCACACTGAGCGAACGGCAGCAGTGAAGGGCACAGTACTTGCATGCGCAGGAAGTGAGGCTCAGCGCTCAGTCCCAGCGGTGAACGGCACATACGACGTTCTGATGTGTCGCAATTCACTGATCCTCACCTTGCGTACTGACTGGCAGGCGGGAGATCATCGACGCGTCTGACGCGTCGTTTTTGTCCGGGAACCTATTAGACAGGATGTCATGTATCGTCTCCATTCACGCCAAGGACATGGATGGCGCAATTCTGTTGGTGAGTCCCTTCCATTGTTTTATCTCGTGTTTCTACTGTTACTTATCTTTGATGCATTTTGTATAGTTCTCATTACATCTCTACTGGCCTTGTTTTATTCTCTGCCGTACTCACTCCCCTCGCTCACTCGCTGCTACCTTGTGCATGTAATTTTTTCTGTTTCTCTCTGTTTCTTCTTATTTTACTAATCTAAAGACACTCATTCTTCGTAGCCTTCCACACGGTACACCCTCCCACATCGTCTCGTACCTTCCTCTGGCACCTTCTGGCACCTATCTCCTTTAGCTTTTGTTCTGTTTAGTTTTAGAATGGTTGAAATACACTTGATCGATTTGGATTTATTCTAAATGTTCGAACCTTGACTTCTATTAGGCTGATAAAATTTGACAAAATCTAAAAGCTATCAAGTACTGTTGTGTTCTAGAAGGTCTGTGTATCGAAGGTGCTACTGCGAGCTCTAGGTGTTTTTGTGCATTTTAAGCAAGTCTGCAGCTGCTGCCACCATGTGTACGGGGTCCTCGTCCGGGTGTTTCCGAGACTCAAATCCAACTTCTGGGTTTCCGCATAATTTTGCAATCAGCTGTATTAATGCTCAATTGGTGTCACATCCCGATGCACGATGAATCCATTATACGCTCATATGACAGACGGCACGTACGCCGCATGATACTATTATGAAGTAGAGGCCGCCACTAATATAATACCTCCGTGCTTGCCAGTGCAACGAGCTTGGGACCCGAATCGCGGAATCCAAGACTTGGCAAGTCGGTGATGTCGGCCCAGGGTCGGTGAAAAGTTAAAATGGCATCTGAGAGACGGCCTAGTTTACGTTCACATTTGAAGCTTTCTTCAGCCATAAGCGTGCGCTCTCATTGGTGGAGAGGTCCTTAGGCGACGCTAGGCGCTCGGCTACATACAAGCTTCTGTTGAAAACTTGTTTTGACCGGTTCGACTTTTTTAGATGTGGTATGCACAGAGATTCTGTACAGTATGGCAACACATACAAGGGGTCTTCTTTAGAAGTATTACAATGAAAATTTACATGTACCCTGCTATAGAATTATTTGGATCTAGACATCACTGCTAATAGTTCGTAAACGTATGCGTTCCTGTAAAGCAATTGTCTCCATGTCAGTTCCCGCCTCGGAGTTGGCCACTAGTTTAGCGTGATATTCTCGGATACTAAGAATGAGGCGCGGTCCCACAACAAACATCTGCAGGAGCGTGACAAGTTCGAGTACGCCACGGTAAATCTGAGCCCCCACGGAAGACGAGTCCTATATAAATGATGATGAGTGGTCAAATGCAGATGTCAAGCATAGATTATCATACCAAGACTTCTGGAGACGCCAAGCCAAGGTTGAAGCAAGCACTGACAGCAAAACTAGGGCGTGGGCAAAGTCAGCAGAAAAAGACAATCGCGTTCACGTTACGAGCTCACAATGCAAAATAAAGTACATGGGTCTTGATTAACACCATGAAATAATCCCCAGCAGTCCGTCCTGTCGATGATGGGGGAAGCCCGCGGAAGTATTTTACAACAATCCAGATTGCAAGACACAACGACAAGACTTCCCATACAGTAGCGAGCGAATAAGTCTCGATCAACCGAAGTTGTTCGCCTGCATTGACTTTGAAAACGCATTGATGTGTGCGGCGGAGGATGAACACATCTGATATTCGTCATATGAGACTGATGCGCTTATGTCTTTTATTCATAAAAGAAATTTACCCATTGATATACCGTTGTTCCCTGCTGTGCCAATCACTCCAACGACGATTGTGATAGAGACAAAGGTTGCAACGAGAAAGATGAGCATCTTTCTCGATCGCTGGTACATAGCATATAACCGAGTGATCATGAAGACTGACATGATATTTCAGTCGATTTGAGGTACCGCAGCTGAGTAGCTCACCATTCAGCATGGGATTTATGATGAAAATCGTCCACGATAGTACGAGGTTCATAATATTGCCTGAAATACCCCAGTTAATGATGAATCTCTTGGGACTGGATGCTTCAAGAGACTCACAACTGTTTCGGTCAATATATTGAACCAAGAAGCTGGTCGAGAAGCTCACTCACCTCTGTGCAGAAGTGCGATTAGTTGGTATGTAGTATCAGTACAGAATACTCACCATGTCTGTTGTCAAGACTCCCGGGAGATTTACTGGATGCCACCAGTCAGAAGACGCGAATGCAGTGCATTATGCCATGAAGAAACATACACAGAATGTTGCCGCTGGTTGTGAGAGATGGCTTATTAGCTCAGCGCCGACTTGTTGGTCTTGAAAACGTACACAGAGTATGGTATTCCAATGTAGCGCACCTAGAATACTAATCAGCACAAGTTACCCGTGGGCTTAGGATAATATAAACTACTACGTACGGCGATATATAGAACAGTCATGACAGACCAACGTTGCCTCTGCCCTAAATTAGCTGCATTGCCTTGTTCTTGTAATATGAGACTGCTCACCCAGATCAATTCGGACTATAAAACCATTCTAGTGAAATGGCTGCTCCCGTAATGGGATCAAGGGCCTACCTCTTGGCCGAACGTCAGTGCTAGAGAATACCATAGTGACATTAGTAATTCCCTCAATAAGATGTCTTGCTTACCCCAGTCGTATAGCACAGCAGTAGATGATGCGACTGTGAAACCAAGTTAAAAAAGAGCGAGTCGCATCACTAACATAGTTCTCCACGAACCTACAAAACAGCTGAAAACTTCCTGATGCACATTGGATGACCACGAACTGGGGTCACTTGGGATCAGGGGCATATTGCAAATTGAAGTGAATCGTCAGTGAGTTGCAAACTTGGTGGGTGTATATTCAATTTGGTGGGCGTACAATGCGCTAGATATATATGCTCCCCAGCAATCTATCCGTATTGAACTATGGGGCCTCGGAATGTTCAGGGCTTAAGGGCAAGTTGAGCCCGACCCTTGAAAAAGGAATGACTGTCTTCCACATGCTTTCAAGGTCTGACTACGGAAGATTAAGCCCGGCCGCATCGATGATTCAATCGTCAACCGCAGTCCTGAACTAGTACCGTTTCACGCGTCCCATCGGTAACTTGCTCGGGGCTATTAGGTCAGCCAATAGTCTAGTAGAGCGTACGAATCGATTCGTATTCAATTTGACATTCCAACACTCTGGTTCGTGACCTGTGACACCAAAATTTTCGACATGTCGGATTACAATGCAGTGTTTCTCTGTACGTTGTGTCGGGTAAGTACTGGCGCGCAAATAAGACGTCCAATCGACCGCTGCGCAAATGCGGAGTCACGATGGCCCACAGAAGCAAAAAAAAAATTGCCAAATTTCTGTTGTGACATTAAATGTTACTTCGACACGTGATACGTGACAACTACATGTTTTCGACACCGATACCACCGAGTGTGACGCGTGACCGTCGAATTGAATCAATTCATACAGTAAGTAAGCTGCCCCAGGCCTGGGAATGTAACAGCTATCCGAGGTCTCTGAACGAGGTGACGATCTGCCAGTCAGCATGACACCCGCACTAAACAGCAAAAAGGGACTCCCTCGTTACATATCTCAAATCCCAGGGCTTAAACAACGTCCGACGACCATTCATTCGAAAGCGGATGCATGTGAGCACGAGCCAGACTGAATGCAATTCAATGCAGGTGTAGAAAGAGACAAAATCATAACCCAATCCCTGACTCTAACTGATTATAAACCCAACGTTACAGCCCTGACAATTCAAAAGCCCCAACTCTAACCCTAGCAGCCCTGATACTAGTGACAGACATTGAATATTAAATACTCGGGGCCTCGGCGCAAACCTTGCTTGACTTTGAACGTTGATTAGCTAACTACGGTAGTGTAAGTGATTAGGCAGATTGAATTCGTGCCTCATTTTGAAAGCTTGCTGACTGACCGACTATAAGCACCCCAGATACGCCCAGTGAGGTGGTACACTGCAGATGCCATACGTGCGCGATTTTGGTTTCAAGTACCGGACTGATTGAAGCTTGGGGACGGTTTCAAGGTAGTAACAGGATGTCGCTTTAGTAAAGGCCAGACGGAAGTATATCGTCGGCGAACAGGCGCTCGGCAAGTGGTATGCAGGTCTAAGTCTACTATATTACAGTGAGTGCACACTGGTTTTTGCTTCACGACGAAGTACAAACGTAGCACTAAGCATTTCCTACGACAACCTGTTACGCGTTCCGCGAAACGGCGACACTCGACAAATATATGGTGGGCAAATTCGAAATTCGCGCAACCGAAGTTACCAAACTGACCTATTAACTAAGTCTCCCCTGGCCCCTGGACAGACCATAGATGAATGAAGATCGTGCCTTTTAGAACCGACCCAAGACGAGGTGTCTCCCATACTGGAATCTGTTCCAGTGTCCAACTACCAGAATTTCGCATACAGCTGCACAAGGGCAGAGTATGCATAAGGAGTGCGCACGTACGGATGCTCGGGCGACGGGGAGAGTATGAGTGTCCTAGAGAGGCGGTGCAGGCTGTACTTGCGGTCAGATGCAACGCGACATGAGAACACGTACGTAAGAAACAAAAGAAGATTCGATAAACTTTTGAAGTAGATTTGTGAGAAATTATTGAAGAGTAACACATAGGGGGTTTCAACGTTCAACATTTTGCCTCTTGCAAGATTTCAATCAAAAGCAGATCTAGACCTGGCTAGAGCATTCCAGACCTAGCCTAGAGCGTTTCAGAGCACTCTAGATTACCTTTCGAATGTAATTTCACTGGCGGCAAAAGGTGGTAAAATGTCGGTTTCCTCGCTGTGTAAGTACTTGTAAGATGGCAGTGTGACTGGATACATATCGACAAATTTGAACAGAGGTAGCTAGGAGCGCGCGAATCGACGAGCTGGCGTTTGACTTTTCCGAAAGAGAAGTTAGCCGGGAGCGTTTTGGGAGTTTGGACGAAGCGATCTGTACTTACATAAGCGTGTCACAGTTGCAGCTCTCATTGGTGACTGGAGAGGTCCTCCTGGTGATCACCGTGGGACTCAACTAGTAGCAGTCGTGACGGCTAAGTACGTAGTAGCACTTGGTACTAAAGTCAATCCCGCGGACGATCATGGACAACACCTACCACGCCAGTCAATCGTCGATATTCGGTGTCTATCACCAGCTATCTCCTCGGTCAATACTCTAATGACTATCACTCGGTCCATGTTCAATGCCTCTCATCCCGGTCAATACTATCAATGCCTGATCACCTGAATGGCTTCTGAATCCTCCAATGCGTCCACCAAAGTCATCAGGCCTACGGTCTATTAATTAGTATGTTGCCCTACGACTGCCTCGTGTTCTGTTTTATTTAGGTCACCGAATGCCATAAGGGTGTAGGAGGCGCCGCGGCATTTGATACGTGCCTCTTGCCTCCACTGCGACCTCTACTCCGTCATAAGGATGCAAAGAGATACAGTAAGGTTAGTGCAATTGCAATTGTGGTGCAAACGCACTGAATCCAATATGGACAGCCAGGTGATGCACCCTAATCCATAATCCGTGCTCAGCGGCGAGTCAGCCTGGGTCTCACTGGTTACCGGTACATATCGCCACTGAGAACGGATGTGGCATGGCATCATATCGGCTGATAGCCCGGAGATCGGCATTTATTTTGGTGGCTTTAATACTCGCACCCACATTTTCGTTCATTCAGATTCACTGGCACATACTAATCTCTTCCATGGGTGCTGTGGATGATACGTGCGTACACTTTCGAATCCTCATTCATATACATCACTCAGCATACCTTGCGCAGTTTTGGGGCGTTCTTGATCGGGGTTGTGATCTCTGCCACGTAAGTGCTCATTGTTGAATCAACGATATGTTGTAGATTGGAACTTGTACATTGCAGGCTTTATGGAGGTATGTTCTCGTGCTGTTCTTTTTGTGCTAAGACTCACGATCGCACAAAGTCACTTTCGTGCAGACATGGTACTACTTTAGCAGGTATTCTTCGGATCCATGGTATATGAAGCTTTTAGTATGTCCACCAAGGATGGTCGATATGTGCCGCTTCACTAACTTTTTTCCACCTAGGTCGGCGCTATACTTTTGTCAGACACAGTCCATCAAGCTCTGATTACACACACCGGTGAGTGCGGGGTACAAGCCGTGTCTATCGGCGAACTGAATGTCAGACGGTAGTGTATACGTACCTCATCACTGACTTCGACATCCCTGCTAACCTCGGAAAACTTGTGTGGAGTCTGTCTGTGGGTTGCATGTGATTAGCGCACAGCTCTCATCTAAACGTTTATTTACATAACAGGTTGAGGTTTTGTTCAATGGCTTCACTGGGCTTCTGGTTCAAAGGTTTGTGTGTGACATTTTAGAATAGAATAATCCGTACTGATCGTCCTTCCAGCTTCTTAACCGCGCGCGTCTACAGACGTATGTGTGATCTCCGCCAGTCCGCCAGTGAACGATTACTTATTTTCAGGCAGTAAGCAACAAGAGCATAATTGCAACCGCGACAGTGCTGTCCCTTGTCATTGCTGAATTTGTCATTATTGTCGGTGAGTATACGTTTTCGCTTCTCAAACATCCGTCTACTAATGTGACCTCAAAAGTATATGTTGCAAAAGCGTAAGTCATGTCGAAAGTCATCAAGTAGTCTGGCTAATGCACCCGCTCTTCAGTGTCAGGTTGACGACCTTCGTAGAAGTTCCCCAGCTCAAGCCATTATCAATGTGTGTGAACGCTGTAGCAGCTGCCGGAGATGTCCTCATCGCTGGCTTCCTCTGTGTACTCCTCCAACGGGCTCGTACTGGTTTCCGGAGGTCCGACACCATGATCAATAAGCTGATTCTGTTTACCATCAACACCGGTCTCCTCACCAGCATTTGCGCAGTCATGTCCCTCATTTCTGTATGTAACAAATCACAAATGACTCAGTATTGGGCTCCTGACCCAGACGTGGACAGATTACAATGTGGCCTAATTCCTACATTTACATGGCATTCTATTTCTGCCTGGGTCGTCGTAAGTACACTCTGGCCAAATTATGTTGTTCGCGAGTCGAACGAGATCATTTTCAGTTTACTGCAACTGCCTGTTGGCAACCCTGAATGCACGCAAGGGTCTCCGCCGTGAATCTCAGGACGAGCATATGGGGCTCTCGCTACGGGGAGTTCAGAAATCTGCCGATAGTCCCATCGGCCCATTGCGAAGGGTGAGTTCAGTGAATTCGCACAGCACTTTGCTCATGTGCGATCAGGGGATGCCAAACGACATTTCGATTAAGATTGATACCACGCGAGACTACGTCGAAGACGAGGTTAGTTTTATTCCTTACCGGCGCTGTGATCTAGTTCTGATTCGCATACACGATAGTACTCACCTGCAAGGGATAAATGTGCTCAGTCGGTTTAATCACCTCGGGTATGGGTGCCCCGAGGTCGGTGAGAAGCACACAAAGTACCTATCTTAATAGATCTTACTCAAGCACTAGTGTAAGCCCGCCTTCTCTTTGACACAGGCAGCAAATTCTTTCTGGTGGTATCCTTCGCATACACTTAGTATATATCTTTTAGTTCAATTCATCCAAAATAACTCCACACGCTCTTCAATTATCCATTCTTAGTCATTATCTACACACGTAATGGGGGGGCAGGGCAAGGGAACGAATGAAATGCAATGCTACGACTGGAGCTCTTTCAGAATCGATTTAGTCCTGCATCCAGATGAGGTTGTGATGAGGCACGCGACGTGGACGCGTCCGTTGATGAATTACCAAAAACGCGCTTGTCACAGAATGTCATGTCACGCATGCCACGGTGTTGAAGACGTTCTCAGATTACAGCACCAAATACCCTTATAAGCCGGCATCAGCCAACACGCTCGTTGACTGCAGACGGTTAACATGTCCGCCATGGACGTAGACCAACCTTCTCCAAAGTCATCCCCCGTCAAGCCTATAAAACGCGCCGTGGTCACGTACGGAAGGCGTAGGGACCCCCAGCCTGAAATACGCGACTCTTCTGTAACCCTCACTGACCGCAGCTCTCCTCGTGTAGAATCGGAGTCCTTAGGCGGCAAGGAAAGCGAGTCCACCCATGAATTGGCGCCCGATGCGCTGCAGGGCTCACAATCCTCTTCAACGACGTATGCAAATGATGATGACATGGACGATGCCAGTCCTAAACATCAGTTTGGCTGGAGAGCACAATTAAAAGCGCTAGATGAAGCCTTCGATAATGACAAGGAGCCACTTGCACGGCCTCGAGTTACTGAGCCATCGTCATCGTCGCCACCACAGAAGCCCTTTCAGTCTCACCCCTTTGAGGAGAATCAAATCACTCAGATAGATATCACGCCTCCTCCAGCACCACAAAATTCCGATGGGCCCTTTGATGCACTGCTACCCCCTACAAACGATCCGCCTGCCTCTACAGTGGATGAGTCTCTTGAAGATTCTCCGATAATCTCTCGCAAGGTCAGACGCCCCAGGAATTGTATCGACTCTGATTCTGAGCGCGAAGATTCCTCCTCGGCGTCGCCTATTCGCAATCCGATTAATACCCCTCTACTACGCTCGCCTCCCACACCTTCTACATCAGAATTCGAGATGCCTTCAATGAAGCACAAGGCTAACAAAGGAAAAGGGAAGGCTATTGCTCGAGATGTGCCTCCGCTTCGCTTCGAGAGTGAATCAGCTTCTATAAGGGCCACTTCAAAGAAGGGTAATAAAGCCAGGCGGAAGGACGAATCTGTGCGCCCCAAAACCAAGGTAGTTTGGCCTTTGCTGCACATATTCCGTTTCTCACATACCACGGACAGGCTCCGACTAAGAAGGACCTCCGTGAAACTGTTTTGGAGAGTTCGCGTATCATTGCGAGCAAGAATGTCGAGGTGGCGCGTACTGAACAACCGAAGCACACCATGACTTGGTTTTTTGAGCGCATAAAGTGGGTCACGTCAAGCTTCTCTTCGAGAAAACGCTGCTGACGTCGGCCAAGGGATGAAGATTTGCGTACGGAGGTCAAGCAGCCTGAGCCCCCCTCAGATCCGATATCCAATTTTTCCTCGCCTCCAGTACCACCCGTTGCTGGTGCACCGGACAAAGTCGAGCAAGGCACTTCTTCATTCGGCGCACCTTCGCGTTTACTCGGGTCCTCTGCTATTGTGCCTCCCCGTGCCCGGACTCCACCCAGAAACCTTCCGGGGCGTTCAATGTCCCAACCACAGTCAGCGGCATCCGACAGCGATGGAGAAATGCCGATTTTCAGCGACCTACTGAGGCAAGACCAAGCCAAACGCAAAGAAGCTGATGACAAGCGTGCTCTTGCGGAGTTAAAGCAGCGAGCTCTCCAAGACGCAGCTAGACGGTTTATGGCCAACGACAGCGATGATGATCTAGAGATTGTCGACAACAATATGCATGTGACGGCCCAGGAAGAGGCAGCGAAACGTAAAGCTGACAAGTTGCAACATATCACTCCTTCGAAGGGCAAGGCCAGACAGCTTGCTTTGGGTCGGAAATCTTTACCAGGACCATCTGGCTCCCGTGCGAAACCTTTTGCACAAGCCAACTTGTCCGAATGCCTCAAGGAATCCGCGATGTCTTCATTCGATCGGAAGGTACGGGGCAAGGACAAGGCCCCGCTGACCACACAGCAATTGAACAGAGCGCTCATGCAGCGAGCTGAGGCTAGGAAGCTTCAGACTATCCAGCAGCGAGAAGAAGAGTGGAAACAAAGAGGAGGCAGGGTATTAGAGGAGGCAGTAGAAGCTGGGGAGAAGACGTCATGCAAAGACAGGCTTCGTACCTATGTGCAGAAAGGCCTTGATGCAGCAGAGCGCGACGACTCTACTATTGGCGATATGGAGGCAGACGACACGGATGAGGATGACACAGATTACGCTCCCGAGGAACGAGGCTCAGCCAGTCCAGAGCCCACAGATACTGATTGCGAGGGCGACAGCGATCAGGAGAACCAAGCGACAGGTTTGAATGCCAATGATGGTGCAAGTCAACACACGGACGCTGAAGATGAGGAACTCCAAGTGCGTAGACGCGGTATTCGTCGACCCCTAATGGTGGCCTCCGACGAGGAGGATGATGCTCCCAGAATTCTCGTGCCAGACTCCTCGATGCTAGACTTGGAATTGGCCTCGAACGCCATAGTGACACGCAACTCAGAGTCAGACCAAACAGAGGACGAGAATGACAAAGAGAACAGTCAGACGTTGATGTACGACAGGAGCGAAGACAAAGAGAACAAGGCTGTTGTTCGACACTCTCATTCAGTCGCGAGACCTCCCTTAGGTAGTAGACCGGGTTCTCTTCTTGACATCGAGGATGGTGTTCACAGGATATCATCGCCCTCGCCATCGTTGTGTTTCGATGGTGCCCCCGGGTCCCCTGAGCAGAATCTACGTTTGCCGTTGAAAGAGATTGCTCGAGAAGATGACTCGTTCTCGTCTTCCCCGAGCTCAAAGTCCCCATTTACCACCAGACTCCTCCGGTCTACGTCCAAGCATCCGACACTCCCACCTGGAGCATCAAACTCCCGCATGAGCCTCGATTCACCGCCGACGCTGCAGCTTGGTCTAGGATCATCGTTTTCCGACATTGAGAACGACGAGAACATGGTTAAGGGTTTCGAACCCCGCACACTACTACCTTCCTTTTCTGAAACCCTCACCAAGCGGAGTCCTGCACCCTTCGTGCCACTGGATCCTCTCGCAAATGGCAGTGGTTTTTCGCAGCTGTTCTCAGATGACAAGGTTCGGATTCTTGTTCGTTGCAGTTCAATTCAGGAGAATGACGTGTGGGATTATTTTAGGATGAGGGGTTCAGCTGCAAGGATCCTACTCTTATAGGAGACTGCAATGAGCTCTCTTTGTCACTTGATGTCGGACTAGAGCCTGCACTGGAAGTCAGCAGTACCCTTCGCAGGAAGGCCGATGGCATTTTTGAAAAAGAGCAGGAGTATGTTATGGAGATCGCAAACGGCCATCAGAAGCAGGGCAAAAGCCCTCCTAAGTATGTCGGCGACAATGGGTGAGTACATCAAAGTGATGTCTAATTCATTCCTCGAAAATTCATTCATCCTCCCAGGTTCTTAACTCAGACTTGGGGGCCTAATGTTGAACAATACCGCCCGAATTCTTTCCAGAGTCCACAATTTCTGGCGTCTCAAGTATTACTAGGTGATATGACTCCGTTATCAAGTGAGCGTGCTCCTCTCCGAACATTGTCCTTCATGGCAACGCAAGAGTCTTCGGACGTACGACCTCTTCGCCGACTGAGACGGCGCAGTACGTCGCCATTGGACGGAAAAACTCTTTTGCAAGACGATGATTCCCTTCTCCCCCCTCTGACTATCTCTCAGCTGCCCAAGAGAAACGCGTTTGAAGTCTTGGGAGGGCATCCGAAATCCAATGCACCCAAACGAAAACTGGAGAAGTCCGAGTTCATTGCTACGGAGGCTGTTGAATCAGATGAGGACGAATTAATTGGGTTCGGGCCTATCAAGAAAGATGAGGAGGAGGCAGAGGATGATGATGACGAGAAGATTGTGGAGGGTCTTGTTGATGATGCGGTCATGGATGTCGATACAGAGAGGGCTGACTTGGTCCAGGAGAAGTTCAGGTACGCATTCCACACAGATTATTGAGACAATCAGCTGAATTGTATTGTATAGGGAGCACGAAGAGGAAGATGACAAGAAATTGGAGAAACTTCACCACGATGCCGTCGAGGGCAAACTTAGAATGAAGCGTCGCGACCGAGGGATCGGCTTCGACGAGGATAGCGACGACGAGGACGAAGACGAGAATAACAGGCGAATACGACGGAGTATGAACAAGAAGCGCAAGGTTGATGGTGATACCCTTGAGGACCTAGGTGAGTAGCCCAATCACCATAACTCCATTGTCGAAGCAAACTTCTCCCTCCATAGGTCGAAACGAAGCAACAAAAGCATTTTACGACGCATATCAGAACGAGCTGATGGATGACGACCTTGAGTTCGTCCATTTGCAAACAGACACGCGAATGGCTAGCGAAGATGAAGATGAGGAGACGAGGAAAGTGGTATTGATAGAAGATCTAAACGCCGAGCTAAGGGAAGCGGCCAAGAAAAAAGAGGTGAGCCGCACCGTGCCTCTCCTACCTTTGGCATCACTGATCTTCCGTAGAGTTTCGAAACCCTAGATCCAGAGGACACATCATGGATCGACAGGGCGGACGAGGAGAATGACGGCAACGTTCCCGTCAAAGTAATGGCAGAGCACTCTAGCAAGCCACCTGCCAAACGACCCGCACAGTCCCACACAGACTTTGGTCTGGAGGTCTGTTCTACGCTTGATGGAGTTTATTGTGGTCTGACAGTCTCCCTTGATAGCGCCCAAACCGGATCCTGGAGAACGACCAAGAGAAAACAAAATTGCGTTCATGGGCAAGAGGTCAAGGTGGTGGAAACCAGGGGACTGGTCGTTCTGCTGTTGGTGCGGCCATTACAGGACACGCCAAGGCCAAAGTCAAGATAGGTGGCGGTTCTCTGAGAACGGCTCAGGCGGCCGCTGGAAGTAATTCTGTCTCAAGCGCACCTGTTCCACGCAAGCTGGAGAAGGGGCGAAGTATGCTCTCTGGTGTGTCTGATAGGAGTAGTCGATTTGCGTAGTATGTGTTGCGAGTATCTTGATTCGGAGTTCGGTCCAACACGTTAAACACCATTGTCTATTCTGTACATTTATTTTCCACCTATAAATGACCTGTAACATCGCTGCAAAGTAACAATGCAAACAAGGAACATGTATGTCCACAAAGCAAAAGTCATGATGGTAGTGCAAAGAGAGGATGTACACCCAGAAAATATGAAAAGGCAGATATCTAGAAGCGATAAGATGGGTATCACCGAGATATAAATAACGGGCGGAAAAGGCTCTACGCCCAAATAAACGTCAAATAATTGAAGATGCTGGTAATTTAGTGGGATTGATGTCCAAAGTTTCTTCCAAAGCGAACCCAAGAAGCGCGCGGGCGAGTGGGTTGAATGAGTCCAAGATTTCGTGACTGGCGTGTGGGTGTCGGGGATCTACGTTTGCGTGTACCCGTCTGAATCTGTTTTTTTTTTAAAGAAACGAACTAAGTTGGCAGAACGCGAAAGTCCTGTGAGTTTCTCACTTTATGCCTCAGCATGATAAGTTTGGCCATGCACACTGGAGGGCCTGATTCCCTGAATGGATTGCCTAGGACCGGTTTTAAAAGGTAGCCAAGGCAGCAGTTCAAGAGCAAGACTCACGAGACGCGACGAGGGCTAAACCTGACTCGTGGGCGTCGAGGATGTCATCACCAGCCATGATAGACCTTCTGACTGCAGGTGAAAATAGACATAGCAGGATAACAGCGGAGAGGAAGGTGACGAGAAACATGGAAAACATGATATGGACCTTTATTTAATGGAAGGCTGAACAGCGGCGCCAAGCACCAGCAAGAGCTGCGCGAGCGTCCCACGTCGTGCAAGAGAACGTGGGGGGAGGGGAAATAATAGTAGGCGGGTGGGGGATAACAACCAAAACACTTCCATCAATATTGAAAGATGTCTCAAGAACACTGCGCTTAGTCAGCAGTCTAGAGACGTGTTTCGTAGTATGCCGGCATTATGCATCAGCTTTTTTTTTAGACAAGTACTTGTTCACAGCATACGACATGCATATCACCCCAATGGCCCAGCTGCTGTCGACGGCCACAATCACAGCGACGGGGCTCCTTTGCAAAGCATTTCTCAACTCAGGTCTTTGCTCCATCACCGTTAGCAATCTCCACATACTTCTGGATGCTATACGGAATGATGACCGGCGGCGACATGGGCAGGGTCTGGTGACAGGCGGGTCTCGTAATTCATTGTGGACAAGCATCTACTTACACACCATTTAGTTGCGAATCACATCTCTACGTCTGTCTTCTATGCTTCTAACATCAGCATTCATGCTGAAACTTGAGCTTGGCCACAGATTAGATGACCCTCTCACATGGGGAACACTCCCGACGGAACTCTACTTGAACTCCAACACAATACGGTGGTCGCTTGGTGCATCAGATATCATGTTTACTAACCCGTATGTTGCACGGAGATAGTCAGGAGCGTGGGCAACTAAATGTAAGCTTCGGCCAGGAAGTGTGTTCTCCGCTTTCTTTCGCAAGGGTCAAGTGTTAGAGACGTTTCGTGGAAATGGAATCTTCCAACCTTCCGTAGATACCGCCATCAAGCAACTTAATGAAGGGCATTGGGTTGGTGCACGTTAGCCTCACTTCTGTATCCGCATTAACAAAATTTAGGTGCATCTTTTTGGAGAGGGAAGGGTCAACCAACCACCCGACTATCCGCAGACAAATGGAGTTACTCGCTTGCCGCGCTTCAAATGGGGAGTGTAAGTCGCTCTTTTCACCCTTTTGACAAACAACCATCATACTCAAAACCCCAAGGGGACGAATCCTGATGGAAACCGCTGTTCCCCCTCTCATCATACCGATGTGGCTCACCGGTATGGTGCCTAGAACACCAGTGCTGTATCTTCTCTAACATGATGGCAGGATTCGACAAATTGATGCCCGAGCACCGCTCATTTCCTTACAAGTACTTGCCAAAACTAGGTATCAAACTTGGTGTGACGTTTGGCGATCCAATACCAGTTGAGGAAATAACGGTCGCATTGAATGGGTTGCGTCAGGGTTCGACTGTGTCGCACTATCGTGCGCCCCGTGTCGCAGAAGGTGGTGCGGAGTCTGAGCTCGGTGATAAGCTTTGTCTGGGTGGCTGGGCTGGTCGCGCAGTTGTGCGCGCTGGAGACCGGTCTGCGCCTGGATGTGATTTGACGAAGAGGACACGACAGATGGACTTGGTGCGGAGCGATGTGACTGCAATCATTCAACGCGCGGTGGAATCTTTGGGTAGGCAAGTGTCTGGTAACCATCTTAACAACCCTCATTCATGATCCTTGAGCGCTTGTTCATTTACGCGAGAATCGTAGATACATATTGTGCAGACAGCAGTAGAAGCTACTCAGTCATAAGCCACAGATCGCACATCGTGTTTTGAAAAGAAGCAATTGTGCAACGTGATTTGCATCGGACATGGTAGTGAGGAAGGAACAATGTGCAAGTTTGAAACGTTGATTTCAACCACTCGCTTCTGAAGTCTGTCCCGGACAAAGCAATAAACTGCTCACGTCAGACTCTCCCGTGTAGTACCAAGTACAAAGCACCTAGACGCAGGTCGACTGAATTAAACCCCGTCACTTCGGGTGAGGGGAAAAACTCACAATCATGGCGTAAAATGACAACAAAATGAATCCCTCTGCCCAGTTTGTTTTACTGTCGGCAGTCACGAAATTGACAAGGAAGCAGGCACCAAGAAGCAGTGCGACTTCAAAGAAATCTGAAAGGCTCTTCAGCTTTGGGGGTCAATACCACCATCCTCGTCAATAGCGCACCAAAGAGCAAGCTAAAAGGCTTGTTGGTCCACCAGCCAAGCAGAGTCAGGAACGGCATCCAGAGCAAGACAAACTGAATGCTCAGGTCAATGGCTTCAGCTTTGGCCAGAGTATTGGGAGGTTCAAGATCCTTGGACCTAGACCATACTCGGCGAAGGGCCTTCTGGAGAAAGTAGCCTGCTGCAACAGCACCATCTGCTGAGAAGGAGACGAAGGGCAAGAGGACCAAGCCGAACCATTCTGTCGTTATGCCGGATATATTCCTCACGGGATCGATGCTGTCCACCAACTACTGAAAGTTATTAAATATAGACCTAGTCATTCGATGACACTTACCCACTCGGAGGTCACAGCCATGACCCCAATGTTGGCAACCAGGAAACAGATACAAACCCATTGATTAACCTGAGGCTCCTCGCGCTGTAGTCTTTCCTCCTGTAACCTGAGCTGGGCGGGTGTCATGGGATGGTTCATCATGGTCTTGCCAGCACCAGGGGGGTTGTGGTAGAAAATACGCGAACATATGTATCTGACAGTAAAGTTTGCCACAGCTCATATGCAAGATAAGTAACGGGGCCTACATAAGCAGCAACAGCACCGCGAGCCCTCTGCTCATGGTCAAGAAATCGGTCTGAGTGCTGACACCGAGGTTCCCCAGCTCGCCGTCGGTTGATATCGTGGTAGAAGAACCGCTTATGGCTGCGTAGAATGAAGCCGGCAATAACAGGGCCAACACCCTGTGCATGCAAGAAGCGGTCGTTCATAACTTCATGCATTGACGATGAAAAATAACATACCCAATAGTAAGCAAGGTATGATTGAGTTGGGTGTGGGCAGGATGCAGATCCTGTTCCCATATTTGAGCACCGCCTGTCAGAAAAGCGGCCCCAGGAACAAGGAGCAGGTGCAACAGGATCACGCCTGCAAGAATGGTATGGTTTGTCAATACTGGGAAATACAACTAATGATTTAGGAGTGTACCAGTAATGGTCGATTGCAGCAACTTAAGCCTGACAGGTACACTTGAATCACGGTAATGATTAGCCAACGGGTAACTTACTGGCACTTGAGCAGCAGCATGATAGCGAGGGTGACCTCAACGGTACTACAATCATCAAGGCTGTAAATACAAAATGAATGGAAGAGGATTAGCCCTACTTGTTCAAAGTGATCGTGATTAAGTCGCCAAAATCTGTGCCACAATACAGAGCCATTTGTTCACCGCAATAGTCGAACAAGCACTCGTGCGGAATGATGGACAAAAAACAGACTACGCCAGAAGATGAGCACTGCTCGTGAATTGTTCGGCAGAAAACGTACGTGCAAAGACAGCGTTATCATTGAGACGTCCGTAGAAATGTGACCACCATGCTACTGGTGTCAGCAGGAGGAGCAGATTGAGCCCTGTGAAAATTATGAACATTCAGACGTATTTGCAAAAGTAGCGCAAACGCACAGGAGCATCCGTATATCTTTTTGATGCTCTGTATCACGCCGACATTCTTCCTGCCTCGTCCAAGGAAACGGTCCCAGGATGTCTTAAATCGAGGCTTGCCTGCTTCGATATCAGGATCAACTGAACCGTCGAATGAGGGTGAGACTGGATTCAGTGTGTGGTGCCCATTAGCTTCCTGGAGAATGTCTGGGCTGCCTGTAATGTTGGAGCTTGTTTGAGTATGGGTAACTCTTCGAGCTGCCATGGATTACAGTGGCTGAGAAAGAACGTGTCGAGGGAAAGCGAACTTAAGCATGCTGTAATGGAGTACCTCGTTATAAAGGGCATGGATCATGTATTTAGACGCTGGTATGTAACGGCTTGCAAACGTTGCCGGGGAAGATGGGCTTGGCGCGATGCAACCAATTGGTCAAGCTAAGTTTACTTACACGCCAATTCCGATGTGCTTCCGTTCGAAACGTTGTAAGTAGTAGTATACAAGTGGCAAGCCACAAGTCTAGACTCTTGATTCTTGAAGTTTGATTTAAGTTTAAGCAAACATCTCTATGGTCACCACGTAAGGTGATAATCGCGATATCAGTTGTTCGCTTCGGAAACGATTTCCGAATCATACCTCCTGTCCGGAGTCTGCAGGGCCCACGTCCTACAAGCGTGAGTTCGGGCGCAAGGTTGTTGTAAGGCAAGAAGTTACTGTACCTTTTGGGCTGTGTAAGTTGTGATCTCCCAGGTGGGCGCTCGGACGAGATCCACTCCATGGAGTATTCTCGTCATGCCTCGTGAATGCGCCAAGTGACTTGTCCCTGCACACCATGTTGATGGCATCAGCTGTTTGTGTTGAAGCAAGCGATATTTCACAGCGTGCTGATCATGCTTTGCGACCATAATCCTGGATCTGTAATAATAGGAGCTTGAAACGACCAGTACTGTCCTTGGACTCCTTCTATAGGTCTGTCTAGTAGGGACTTGGGACCACTCATTCTGAATCACTTTTATTCAAATCGGAAGCACTAAACCTGTTACCTTTAGCAGTGTCACGGTTGCCTCGTGCTCGATTATTTGAGCCCAGACCAAAGTCAGTTCAGTTTGCTAGAACGGTATCTTGGGTCAAAAAATAACACTGACTGATATGAATGGCACCTGTATGCAAATGTGCGCCTGAAAATATTTCCTTTTCAAGTCCAAGGTTGCGTGAGATAATCAGAGGAGAGGCTATGGGTGCTGATAGAATTTGTTCTGGATGCTAAAGATGGAAGCACAGGTGAAATTAGGACAGAAGCAAGAAGGGGACTGGCAGGGAGTAGGGAACTGGACACGCACCTCTAAATCTAAGAGTACAGAGGTTTCATACGGTGTCCCTTTTCTTCGGCGCTGAACATCTTTCAGGCGGGACCCTTTTGTTTGTTCAAAGCGGTGAATGAACAAAAATGGATTCTGGTCTATTAGCTGTAAACACCCCGGCCCTGCAACTTCCTCTTGCCTACTCACCTGAATTTATAAGGAAAGGATTTTACGTAAGGGAAGGATAATATTACAATTGGGCATGTCGTTGTGCGTTCTCACTAATTCATATCCTCCTCCGAAGCACAATCAAACATCCACAATTTGCTGGACCATTCACAACTTGCTCAAGTGTGGGTAGTACATACGCATCTGTCCACCGTCATTTCCTCCAGGCGTCTCCATCTCCCTCCTCCCCGTTTTCCCTCCTCTCCTAGCTATACAGATGCTGCGCTGTCCCTCTCATGTCGTACGAACGTGCCCCCTACTGCGATATTCAAACTAAGAATTTCAAAGATGTCCATGGACAGCATGTCAACAGTGCACTCGTATCCACCAACACCGTCCGCCGCCCCCATCATGATCACCCCTTCCACACCACAAAGTTTCAGCGCGCTATTGCAAGAAATACCCCAGTCACCAATTGCAGCACAGAAGCGTGCCCCTCGTCCTCAGGCAACAAAAATATCACAATTCTTGTTCGCACCGCCCTTCACACCGCACATCCCGGGACCTCAGTCAGGCGATCAGACACGTACACTGTCGATGTTTAAAAACAGTAGGCCTTCGCATTCGACGTCATTCACGCTTACGCTACTCAACCAGCCGGAGTTCCCAACCACCTGGCGCAGGACATAGATTGTCCCAGATTATTCGGACGACCCCGACGCCTTTGTTGACCTTCCATGACCGCACGCCCGTACTTGCGACGGCGTCAGTGACGGGTCTCCTCGAGATTGACAGAGCGGAGGAATGTATATTGGGAGTTGATACGAGCTTTTGGATCGCTGTTGCCTTGGCGTATTGGAGGATAGAGAGGTGAGCATCCGGGCGATCAGTACTAAAGCGCCCGGTGCCTTTGCCTGTGGTTTTCTGTCTGTTCATACATTTTCCATTTACATTCTGAGACTTGTAACTCTAATTGATGCACTCCTTACAGAGCTACTTGGCTGCAGTCAGCGGTTAGACTATATCTCTTATACCTATACCCCGCTGTCCACTTGCTGTCATCACGCTGTATTGTATTAATCTGAATAGTCATTTTTCTATGGAAGTCCTCGGATTCGTGTTCCATATATCGAAGGTCCGAATCTCGCGGAAATGGAAAGGCGGCGAATATACGCACGCCGCAGCGGACAGAATATATACACAGCCTTGTCATTCTTACGTTGCTCGAGCAGACATAGGACTCGGGGATGCGAAGAAAACCACTCGCGCACTCAACGCCTTTACACGGGTCCATTCCCATATTTGTGCTGTATAAGCCCCATACTCCTTGGATTCATCAGCGCCAGTTTCACCAGCAACGGGTTTGGACTTTCGAGCCTCGGACTCTAGATATAATACATCGAACAAGACATACACCCGGGCGACCTCGACGGAACTTGTACGAATTAGTGACTTGGTCCCACAGGTGCTTAAAGTCAGTGTCAACCACAGCACGCGATCTCGAAGCGAGAAAAAAAGCCCCCTACAGAATGAATCATGAGCAAAGACTATGCAGAAGGTACGCAAAACCATGAGCAAAGAAATAAGGGAAAAAAATGGCGACAAACTCGCCCTTATTCCTGCTTAAGAGGGAGGCAAAAATATATCTCACGACTCGCCAATTCTGACTATACGTTTCCCTTGGCGGGGGCGTCAACATATGCTTGAGTATCACGGGTATGGTATCGCGTATTCCAGCTGTATTGTCCGCCCATGGTGTCCCAGGTTCAAACGCAAAAGGCTGCGTGATTGTGGGCTTGAAGGGCAGGAGGACCATCGAGTCGACGTGCGCATCGAGCATGACCTGTAAACGTGTTCCGTGAATATGTGCGCGGGATAGTGATGGGGGATGAGCGTACTTCATTCTCCTCTCCAGTGAAACAACCAAGGTTCTGACTCCATTAGGCGCATCCAGGACGGTCCTCGGATGCAGCGGATTGAAGGAGGTACAGTCAGCCGTCCATGGATTCCTTTGTGTACTCGAAGTTTACTAGGGATAGCTGCGATGCGACTTAGTAAGATCGTTCATAGAGGACACAGCTTGAGTACGAGGAAGAAGGGATAGGTGCGAGAAAGAAAGGGAAAACTACGATGGGCCAACATGAGACGCACCTGCGGAAGCAGCACCGTACGAAAACGATGCTGCAAGGCCTGTGACTCAGCGTGAGCAAAGGATGAACGAAAAGACGGCGCGATGATAAAATGATGAGGGACAAGGAGGAAAGAAAGACGCACCATAGTGAAACAGCCGACGAAGGAACCTTGTGTGACTGGAGGTTGCGTGAGACGATCGGATGGGAGGCTGTAAGTACTGATAGGGCTTCAAGGTTCTGGATGCTAATGGATGGCAACACGGTCGAAACGAGCAAGAGATAGACAGAAGCAAGAAGGCAGAGAGGAGGCCTATAGAGGCACACCTTTACACAAATGTAAGAATGCCGTTCAATATTTCCCCTAGGGAAACATGGGTAAGTGCGGAATGCGCCGAATGATATCTGATTAGCGCCTCAGGTCAGCGGGCCGTGTTGGCCATGCTGTAGCCTGTGCAGGTCAAGGGTATTTAGCTCTGCCAGGTCCAACCCCTCCTCGCACAACCTTCAGTCTTGTACACCTCACTAATACATATCATCCACGACTCGTGATGAACGGAGACTATAGGCCAGATGCTCCTCCAGAAGCTTGCAGATCCGGCGAAGCGAGCGCTGGTGAGAGCTCGGTATGTGACCTCATTAGATGAAATTCATGCCTGCCTCTCATGCGTTCTTTGTCCAGAGAAAACGGAAAGTTACGAACGAGTTCACTGAAGAAATTTCAGTGCGTAGACGTGAATGCTGAGTTTTCATATGTCTCATATATTGTGCAGAAACCCCCCAAGCGGCCCCGCCACCATGTCCCTGTTGTCGAGAACGTCGTTCACCAATTTGTTGATGCTGAACTTCGGGATGCCCAAGAGGCTTTAGAACACATAGATATGCTCGGTAAGCATGTGGCATCTGTGGCATCTCCCGGCCCAATTGCCCAAGCGAATCTCGATGTTGCAGATGATTTCCAGACCACACACCTCCTGACTTTTGACGCCGCAATTGGGAAACTCGCAGAGGTATGGGCCATCCTCCTTTATTGGAAGCGAACTAACCAGGTTGCATAGATCCATCCATACGCAAAGATGGCGCTGGGCGTGCTGTCTGCTGCGTCCAAGGTTTGTGTGGTTTCGCGCATTTCATCTCCTGGTCGGCGGTAATCGATCATGTGTAGATTATTCTTGCTCAAGCAGAGCCCGACCAATCGATACATCGTCTTCTCAAGAAATTGGACGAAGTTTACTGCTTCATGATCCAAGACGACACTCTTGGCCAGATCTCATCCATGCACAGCATCGTCGGATGCATCATTCAGCAGATTCAAGAGTGCGCGCGTTTCATCAGGGACTACTCGGAGACCAAGATATATTGTGAGTAGTTGAGCTACTGCACTTCGCACGTTGTGAATGTTATATCATTATCAAAGGGAAGAGACTCGGAAAAAATGTCATCTCGGAAACGGATGATATGATTGCACAGTACAGCGACGCTTTGGATGAGCTTATGCAACACTTTCGGGAAAAAGCTCCATGGGACCCAGACATATTCGTCCAATGTACGGGTAAGGATTGGGACGTGCTTCAGACTTTACATTCACTCATACTCCTTCAGGCGAAACACCGGATCTCAGCGGCATGACTCACGCAGCAGGCGTGGGACTAGATACCACGAAACAATGCCTTCCGGGGACGCGCACGGACATTCTCTCCGAGGTCACTGACTGGATCAACGGTGGAGATGATGCTCAACGTGTGCTGTGGCTGTCTGGTCCTGCAGGCACGGGCAAATCAGCCATCGCCCACACGATTGCCAAGTGGTTCAACGACATGGGAGGGCTTGGTTCATGTTTCTGCTTCGAGAGGGGTCGAGAAATTGAGCAGCTCCATGAAAAAGTTTTCTCGACCATCGCTCGCGACCTTAGCTGATCGTGATCCGAAGATGAAGCGAGCATTGGCGAATGCAGTCAAAAACACCACTTCGCTCAAGAATACGAAGGATATCTTCCAGCAGTGGGGGAAGCTTCTCATGCGACCACTAGGGAAGCTCTCCGGGGCAAGTGTGGGACCTGCCTTGATTATCATCGAGGGGCTGGACGAGAGCGGCGGGCCCGAGACACGGACCAACCTTCTGCGCATACTTGCCGGTAAACTTAAGCAGCAGGGTCTTCCCGAAATCACCGAACTCCCACCGAACTTTCGGATTCTCGTCACCTCTCGCCCGCTTCACGATATCGAGAAAGCGTTTGACGGTGCTAAGCATATTCTACGGTTGTCCATGGACAATATTCCACCACAACTCACGGAACGCGACATCCGCACTTACGTATCTGAACAGCTGAACGGATTGTCGGGTTTTGGGGACAAAGAGTTTACCAACCTCGCTGCGAGAGCCAACGGACTTTTCGAGTGGACCCGTATCATCTGCGAATACATCAAGGAGGATCTTCCTGGCGTAAACCCAATCTCTCGCCTCAATGCTGTCATGAACCGCGATCCTGGGAAGTGGGAAGACAAGTTGTATGATATATATCGGTTTATTTTGGCAGAAACCATACCAAAGCACAAATATAGCGACGTCGAGTACCAGAAAGCTCTAGCGGAATTCCGTTCTGTGATGGGACAAATACTTGGCTCAGCCGAACCCCTCCCCTTAGATGCCCTCAAGGCCATGCGGATCCATTTTCCAGACCCAAGGGAGCGCTATGAAGTGGAGGTCATGGTCAAACATCTGGGATCCCTCCTCAGCGGCACCACAAATTCACGTGCTCCAATCCGACCCCTTCACGCATCCTTCCACGAATTCCTCACAGACAAATCATCCAGCGGAGAATTTTTCGTCGACGTTGCGAACGCGCAACGCGACCTTGCTTTTGCGTCGCTCGGAGTGATGGAACATGACCTTCGCTTCAATATATGTGATTTAAAGTCTTCATACCTCCCCAATCGCGAAGACACTGGGCTGCTTCAACGAGTCCAATCATGCATCCCCCCACATCTGTCCTATTCCTGTCGACTTTGGGCCACACACGTACAAGCCACGGATTTCGACACGGAGCTTGCAAAGGAAATAAAATTATTCTTCAACCACGAGCGACTGCTGTTCTGGATCGAAATACTCGCCCTTCTAAACACACTGAGCTGCGCAGCTGCCGCGCGTGCGCTGATTGCCCAGTGGCTGCCGGTAAGCACATGGTTAATGGGCGGTGTAAGATGAAGCGCTTACGCACAACCACAGGGCCACTCTGGATACGAAGATGTCTTGTCCGCTGCAATTGACGTGCAGAGATTCATTCAAGTCTTTGGCGGCATGATTTTGCACAGCACGCCGCATCTGTATATATCAGCGCTGCCATTCTCACCAATCTACTCCACCATGGCGACTAAATTTACGGCAAGGTTTCCAAATAATCTTCGTCTAATATCTGGACGTGATTTGAACTGGACGGCTGTTCAGACCATAATCAGTGGGCACGCTTCTTCGGTTTTGTCAGTCTCGTTCTCGCCGGATGGCACTCGCATCCTGTCTGGTTCTTTGGATCACACTGTCCGGCTGTGGGATGCAGCCACGGGGCAGCCATTGGGCGAGCCCTTGCGGGGACACACTTCTTCGGTTTCGTCAGTCTCGTTCTCGCCGGATGGCACTCGCATCCTGTCTGGTTCTTTGGATCACACTGTCCGGCTGTGGGATGCAGCCACGGGGCAGCCATTGGGTGAGCCCTTGCGGGGACACACATATTCGGTTTCGTCAGTCTCGTTCTCGCCGGATGGCACTCGCATCCTGTCTGGTTCGGAAGATCACACTGTCCGGCTGTGGGATGCAGCCACGGGGCAGCCATTGGGCGAGCCCTTGCGGGGACACACAGATTCGGTTTCGTCAGTCTCGTTCTCGCCGGATGGCACTCGCATCCTGTCTGGTTCTTGGGATCACACTGTCCGGCTGTGGGATGCAGCCACGGGGCAGCCATTGGGCGAGCCCTTGCGGGACACACAGATTCGGTTTGTCAGTCTCGTTCTCGCCGGATGGCACTCGCATCCTGTCTGGTTCTTGGAGATCACACTGTCCGGCTGTGGGATGCAGCCACGGGGCAGCCATTGGGCGAGCCCTTGCGGGGACACACAGATTCGGTTTGGTCAGTCTCGTTCTCGCCGGATGGCACTCGCATCCTGTCTGGTTCTTGTGATCACACTGTCCGGCTGTGGGATGCAGCCACGGGGCAGCCATTGGGCGAGCCCTTGCGGGGACACACATATTCGGTTTCGTCAGTCTCGTTCTCGCCGGATGGCACTCGCATCCTGTCTGGTTCTAAGGATCACACTGTCCGGCTGTGGGATGCAGCCACGGGGCAGCCATTGGGCGAGCCCTTGCGGGGACACACAGATTCGGTTTTGTCAGTCTCGTTCTCGCCGGATGGCACTCGCATCCTGTCTGGTTCGGAAGATCACACTGTCCGGCTGTGGGATGCAGCCACGGGGCAGCCATTGGGCGAGCCCTTGCGGGGACACACAGATTCGGTTTGGTCAGTCTCGTTCTCGCCGGATGGCACTCGCATCCTGTCTGGTTCTTCGGATCACACTGTCCGGCTGTGGGATGCAGCCACGGGGCAGCCATTGGGCGAGCCCTTGCGGGGACACACATATTCGGTTTCGTCAGTCTCGTTCTCGCCGGATGGCACTCGCATCCTGTCTGGTTCTTCGGATCACACTGTCCGGCTGTGGGATGCAGCCACGGGGCAGCCATTGGGCGAGCCCTTGCGGGGACACACATTCTTCGGTTTCGTCAGTCTCGTTCTCGCCGGATGGCACTCGCATCCTGTCTGGTTCTGGAGATCACACTGTCCGGCTGTGGGATGCAGCCACGGGGCAGCCATTGGGCGAGCCCTTGCGGGGACACACATATTCGGTTTGGTCAGTCTCGTTCTCGCCGGATGGCACTCGCATCCTGTCTGGTTCTTCGGATCACACTGTCCGGCTGTGGGATGCAGCCACGGGGCAGCCATTGGGCGAGCCCTTGCGGGGACACACAGATTCGGTTTGTTCAGTCTCGTTCTCGCCGGATGGCACTCGCATCCTGTCTGGTTCTTCGGATCACACTGTCCGGCTGTGGGATGCAGCCACGGGGCAGCCATTGGGTGAGCCCTTGCGGGGACACACAGATTTGGTTTTGTCAGTCTCTTTCTCGCCGGATGGCACTCGCATCCTGTCTGGTTTCGGAGATCACACTGTCCGGCTGTGGGATGCAGCCATGGGGCAGCCATTGGGTGAGCCCTTGCGGGGACACACAGATTCGGTTTGGTCAGTCTCGTTCTCGCCGGATGGCACTCGCATCCTGTCTGGTTCTTTGATCACACTGTCCGGCTGTGGGATGCAGCCACGAGGCAGCCATTGGGTGAGCCCTTGCGGGGACACACATTCTTCGGTTTCGTCAGTCTCGTTCTCGCCGGATGGCACTCGCATCCTGTCTGGTTCGGAAGGTCATACTGTCCAGCTGTGGCATGCCCTTGCTGGGCAGCCATTGCAGGAGTACCCTGAGACCTCCTTATTCCCCCTGGATAAAAGTTTTACCATGCCTCGCGCACAGCAGAGCTCCATTACATCAACCAATATGTGGAACAATCACTCCATTTGCTTCTCGTCCAGTTTGAACCATGCACTACACAACCCTGCTGAGCTACTCGAAGGCACCTTTCATCATGATTCTAATTCAACCCCTTTCTTGCTGGGTGGTGATGGATGGATGGATGGGCCTGATCATCGGCTTCTTTTCTGGGTACCTCCCGCTTCCCGAGAGCCATTTTATAATCCTTGGACTTCATTGGTGATTCCGCGAGGAAGTGTAGAGCTTGATTTGAGCCGCATGACACATGGGAGACACTGGTCTAATTGCTACAATGCGTGAGTGCCTAGCCTTTCTACTGTCCCTCGCAGTTGCTAAATCAAGATGTCTAGCCGTACTTGACGCAATGATTTTATTGTAGCAGTTGGTTCATGGAGATGTCAGATAGTCATGCATGAAGCACGTCATTGAGTTCATTTCATGCCGATCTTAGCCACTAAAAGCTGTCACTGAGATGTATTAATGTGGGCGATTAGACTAGGTTACAAATAGTTAAAGGTGCTTTGTCGTTCTTATTCTTATAATTGGAACCATCAGCACCGAGATCATGCGAGTTCCTCGTAGCCCTCGTCTTTCATGTGATGCGTCACCCTACCTGCGGCGTGTTGACCCCTTCGTATGACCATACATCCATCCTTCATGACGAGCTGCATCAGGAAAACGTCCAGTCTCTTATTTCGTCTTAAACATGACTTTTTTGACTTATTGTGTCAATCTATGCTTTCGGCGTGTGGTTGGCTTACATCAGTAATTTCACCGATTACTTATTTAGCCTTATTTTACTTAGTCGCCCTTGATTTTCGTCAACAAGATTTTTGAGCCAACTTAAACATTGCTTTTTCTACTTGTGAGAAAGCGGTTCGAGCATGCAAATAAGTTCATGTGCGAAGTTCAAAAAAGTTGAATTTAAGTGTCATAAGCAAATACTAGGCAGAAAAAGTCTAAAATGCGATTTCAAAGGAGTGATGATCTGCATATTTGTTAACATAAAAATGGCGGAAAGTACCATAGGTCTGGTGGTGCTGATGTTGTGGAGGAACAAGTCGAGTACCATATACAGGAATAAGGTGTGAGGCGCGGTAGATTGAATCAATATGAATGATGGAAGTATGGGGTGTGTTATTGGCATTATGAGCAGGCTGTACAACCCACATTCTGGTGTCTTCATTGGGCAAGTCTCCCATGGTATCAAACCACCACACGACTGCACACGGGTATAATTTAGCCTTGTAAGTGAATGAAAAAAAAGACAGTATTCATGCGACATCCATACCCCTCATACCATTGAGACCTGGATTCGTGTTGACAAAGACACAATCAAACTGAGGGCGCTTGTTTCTCCATATCGGACACGCACGAATATACTCACGGTGCATGCCCCCGATACCACTGAGATTGCTCGGCACAAAAAATTGTGAACAGGCCAAGTTGAAAACATTGATTTTGCTATCAAACTGGGGACAACAAGCAAGGGGAACCTCTGAGGGATCATGGGGATTGTTGGGGTTGAGTTGACCAAAGAGAAAGCATCGCAGAATATTTGGGAGATGTGGGATCGACAATTCAAGTGCGAATACAGCAACAGTGTGAGCACAATTACGTTCTAAAGCATGTGTTAGTGTGGTTTGACAGTGACAGGTGCTAGATTACCCATGAGGTGTTTTAGCCAACTCCACATGCGCTTCAACATTAGTTGGTCCGTCATCGACTTCATTATCATTGTTGTCATTGTTGTCCACCATGGTATTAACAGCCTGAGCATTGGCAACCAGACGAACAAGTTCGTCTGGTGCCATGACATTAAGGGCACACAGTCATTCTATTTGAGTATCAGTGAGAGTACAATAATGATATGGTATTCTACTTACCTACTTCAAGGGTGGCTGCGGAAAGGCATGTACCATCGAGCATCTTGCGCTGGGTAAAATCAGCATGTGTTAAGGTTGTGCTCAAGGGAAAGGTAACTCAAAGGGCTTCGGCTTCAGCTTGTGCGCTGCGCCCCTTACCCGAGTACATGCCCTTAATTTCCAAGAGGCAGAGGGGAAGTCCGGGGAAGTCCGGAGGTCAGACGCAGGGGGAGTTTGGCGGAACTCTGGAAGGCTAGGAACGAACAGAGTAAGACTACTGTGGACAAGTCTGGAGTAGAAGCAGAACAGAGTTAGACTACCCTAAGGTAGAGCCGGAGATATACTGTAGAGATACGACACTAGGTTCGTCACGGGTCACAGCCATCGACGAATCGAACCTATTTGGTGTGACTGTCACACCAATTTTTTGGGGACCGAAGCTAATTTGTGACATATGGTAAAAACATACAGAAAAACATACAGAAAACATATAAAAACAACAATGCTGAGCTAGATTCTACCTGTTGTTTCTCAGCTTTACAATAATATATGAATCAGACAAGAAGCCAAGGTGCAGCAATCACAATTTGCGAAGCTATTTTTTGTGTGGTCACAGGTCACAGGGTCATTCGAAGCTGTGACACCAAGTGTGACTGTGTCACGTGCTGCACGTGACGAAGCTAGTGTTGTATCTCTACAGTAGTCCTAAGGTTTAACCCTAAGACTTGGAGGTGGATGAGAGATTAGACTCAAGTCCGGAGAAGCAAGAATGAGCAGAACTAAGATGATATTTGAACTGAGGAGTACCAGAGTATTACAGGAGTTTATATACTGTAGGTATCATGTAAGTAAATCAGTCAGCAAAGTAAAAGCTATGTCTGAAGCATGTGGAAAGTCTATTAGTAAGTGTATAACAGATCAAAGCAGTGAAGTTGGAAATGAAGTACAAACAGATGGATCAGTAAGCATAGTGGAAAGAACATAACCGGTAGCCAGAGAACAGTTATTCTAAAAGGAGATAGTTGCAAGTACGGAGATGAAGGCGGAGCACTGGGCGGATAACAGGATGGAGGACTGGACTTTAGTGGGGGAGATCTGGAATCCCAGATCCAGAGGTATGGGATATGAAAGCATGTGATGCTGCAAGTTTGTCAAGGTGTTGATTTGTGACCAACATTTGGCCAAGTGCCTTGTACCGGCTGGAGCGCCTCCACAGCTCCTTCACTGCTTTGATATGCTTAGCTTCAGTGATTGAAGAGCACAGACAATTTGGGGCCCCAAAAAGTCGAATAAGCAGTAGGTAGTGTTGAAGGGAATGTTGGCGAGGGAGTGAGAATGTAGGAACCACATTGAGTGTTTGAAAAAATTTCTGGTACTGATAAAATCGGTTGAGTGGCTCCTGGATTTGCTTGAGAGTCTTCTCCGTGATTATGCTACATTGGACAAGATAACAAAACTTGAGAAAGGCTTGAAATGTCTGGATCATATCTACAGGGACATACCCCTCAATGGTGGATAAGTATACCTATAAAAATATGTCAGTAAGATATTAGTAGTCTGATGCATGAAAAAATACCTTCATTAGAGCTTTTGAGTCATCGCCCATCCACTGCTTAAAGCCTCGTCCTTGTGGGAAGCACTGAAGACCAGCAAAGGCCGGAACAGCCGCAATTCTAGACAAAACCAGTTAGATAGCTATACCTATGATTAAAACGAACCATTTACCTTTGATCAATGTCATCCATGATGCGATCAGCATCTTTCTTCGAGTGCATCTGGTATAGGTACTTCTTGATCTAATCCACCAGGTGATCTTTGAATGTCCCTTTGATGAGCTGGTGAAGGATATCGGGGCAATGAGTTCATGGATGTTGGCCCGAGCAAAATCATTTGTAAAGGGCTGATATAAAGTGTTAGGTGTTGTGAAACATAGCGCAAAAGATAGGGCTTACGATGAGTTCACCAACAATGCCATATTCATCCCATAAAGCATCAAGAGTGCCCTCCTTGACAAGTGCATCCGTATGATGCTGACAACGCCAAGCAGCTGGCTCGTCTAGATTGACACATGAAGACAAACATCTGTACAATAATTAGTTTAAGTAGTCGACTAAAAAGATGAACAAGTACATACTTTGGGCACCAACCACACACAATGCATGTCAATAAGACTTGCTCCTCGTAGTCAGCAATATAAGGTCCCAGACCATAGATAACACAGCGGAAATGTCCATCGCCGAAATGTGCGACTTCATACTTGGTGACACCAGGATGAAGTGTTTCAAGAATCTTGGAGAGCGAGCAGTGAAACAATTGCTGGCAAAACTTTCGGAACCTCACATCGCTAGTCACATGCTCCTTAGTCACTATCTCAGATAAGCAAACAGTGCATTTAAGAAAAACAAAACTTACTTTTGGGAATAGCAAGAAAGGCGATGATACTAACTGCATCATGATGAGCTCGTCTGACATTGTTGTGAACATTGCCAATAGATGCATAGAGCAGGTAGTACTCATTGTTTCCTGTTGCGACAGACACTGTAGTCTTGTCGCTGCCTAAAACAACGGGTACAAATGTGGATCCATGCAATTCTGGATCTTCTGAGATTATATCCTGGTGACACTTGTTGGATTCAAAGGAATGATCAAGAAATTGAAAGACTTACAGCCTGATCCCATGCCCAATCACCAGACATTAAGTCCTTCCACTGACGCTCATCACCATTGGTTGAGAACTCATGGTAGGGTCTGTAATCAAACTCTCCGGCATAGTCAGGATTTGCAAGCATGTCGTGAATGACCTCTTGTGGATCACGGTACCAGACATCAAAAACTTGATCCATCCATGGTGGCACATCAGCATCCAGTCTTTCACCATTGTAGCGAACTGAAAATGACTGCCATTTGACATCTCCAAGTGGTGTTTTGTTGATGGTTTTATAAAGGTCACGAAAATCAGCAAATGGAGGCTTGTCATTGTGTTTCTTGAGGGTTGAGGCCCAGAGATCAAGGAGTTTATTGATCTGGGCTGCAGGTGTCTGATTCACAGCAAAAAAAAACTCTGCCGTTTCAAATTCAATGCAATTTCGGTAAGGTGTCCAGTCAGAGGAGGATTTATCAGAGAGCAGTTCAGGTGGGCTTCCAGGGGGAAGAAACATGCCGTTCTCATCACAAGGGGGAGCTAAAAAAAAATAAACATCAAAACACTGTTAGAAAGCTGTCCTGATAGCAAAGTACAGCATTACTGTCAAGGTCCTTGTGAAAGTTCTGATATAGGCGGTTTCCTGGCCCCCAAAACTCGGTGTCGATTCTCGGAGCTGGTGAGTCATGCGCCCCATCATGTTCCATCGGATTCAACCAATCATTCTTGACTTCTTGAATGTTGAACTGTGCCTCATGTGGTTGTGCAGGTGCTGGATGGTAAGGCTCTTCCAGCTCTTTGGAAACACTGGCATGGTAAGAATTAGACGCCTTTGTGATTGTAGGATGGGCTGAATTCCAATGTTTTGTTTGTCCCGCTTGAGTTTTGAAATAGTGCCAACAATTTGGGCGCCCACAAGGGAGTTGGAGTGAGTTATGGTCTGGTCGAGAGTTCAGGTTCCTTTGGATGATATCAGCTGTGGTTAAACACATGAAAAAATGGGGCACATACATGGTGTAGTGGTGAAATGAAGTTTTGGTCCAAAGTAAACTGAGTCTGAGTTTTGAGCCTAAGTGTGATGGTCATAATAAATACACATTGTCCATGTTTGGGATAAGGACACCACACACTTAAAGTTTTCAAACCTAGGTCATTCTTGCCACTCCCTTCAAATTGCTACCTGAAATTTTCTGTCCATCTCACTCACAGCTCCTCACCTGCATCTTTCATATCAATATGCCTTCCCAACCTGCTGACACTGCTCTGGCTCATCGTACTCACGCATCTAATGCAACTGCACATCCTGGTGCGATCCTCTTGCAAGTGAAGAAACCTCAATGCACAACAGAAGAAGTTGCTGCTGCTCGAGAAGAAAAAGCAGCACAGGCAGCAACTGCTAAAGCAGGTTCTAAGTGCATCGCTGGTATGGAGCTGGAGATGGATGCCAAGTAGGCAAACATGCTGACGAGGAAGGCTAAGGGAGTTGGGTCTCGTCCAATCCCCTCTAAAGACAAGAAGGCTGTGAAGGATGGTCTGAGTCAGACAGCAGCCTGTGGTGGAGGCGATGAGGTTGGAACTAACTTGAATCAAGAGCCAGAAATACTTACCCAGACAGCTGATGCACTGATGGATCTTGACAATGACCAGGATACACGTAGTGAGCTCGGTACCTTCAAGAAGAAGATTACCAAAGCCTTGATGAAGGGTGCTGTCAATCAAGTGCATGAGCAAATCAAATAGATAACACCTGCTGATGGTGGAGATAAGGTTGCACATGCCCATAAGAAAGGCAACTCACTTGATGTTATTGTGTAAGTTTCCCTGAACCCCTCATGATGCTCTTGCTCACCGAATCAACTATGTTTTTCCTTAACTTAACTTTGAATCACAGGAAAATGTCTGAGTGCGCTCTCAGCAGCAAAGTCAACAACTGGGTCTCAGGTGTCAACATACCCATCAAGAATCAGAATGTACCAAGTCATGTGACTCACACATCGGCATCACCACCTCCTTCAACAATTTTTTCTCGTCTTATGAGCTCTTCCAAGACAGCTCACAGTGAAATCCTGACTGATATTCCTGAAGTTGCTCAATGTTCTGGTGTGGATGAGGATGCACTGGGAGGTTTTGCCAATGATAAGGATGAGGATGAGGCTGATGAATTGGAATGCCTGGCTGGATATGGGATCACTGCCAAGGAAGGGAGGTCAGCTGCAACAGTAATGTTTTAATTTTCACTCACGATAAATATCTGATATAGTAGTTCAAAGATGGTGCTGACTCTCACTGTTGATGACAGGCTCTGATGACGAGTTGGAGATTCCAGCAGAGTTCTGTGCTCCGTTCACCCAGCCATCAGAAGGAGGTTTGTCCAAGGCTTCCTTCGCAGTCAGCAACCTCAAAAGGAAAGCCTCTGAAGACCTTGATATAACCCCTGGGAGTGAAATTGAAGATTTTTCGGACAATGCCAGTGAGCCAGCACTGATCATTGAAGTCAATGCTATTATACTCACCACACCTTTAGTCAACAATACAATGGATATTGACCTACCAGACAAGAGTAATCTGATGCATGAAGTGAAGTTTGAGAAGCCTAGTGTGAAGCTTGAGAAGCCCCCTTGCACCACAAGTTTGGTGAGAATATAATAATCTATAGTAGTCCTTCCTGATGCAATTTTTATTATTAGACATCAGTTGCGACCACAAACATCAAACCTGCTCTCACTAAGAAGGCAAAGGTGGAATCAGTCAAGTTTTCAACGTCTCTTGGTGCTACTTCTGCCAAGCCCAAGGAACAGCAATCAGTCAAAGTTGACACACCACATGACAATTTGAAGCCTCAATTGCAATACCAAAACACCAATCTCCCTGAACAAGTCCAAGCAGACCACCATTGGGCTAAAAAATTCTTTCTGACGATGATGTTGTGGGCCAGCAGCCAGGAATCCCTCTGGAGCATCCCAGATGCAACTTTACTGACACATATCCAAATTATATTTCAGGCAGTCTACCTGGAGCTGAACCTCACCATTGTTCAGAACGGTGTTGTTTTCTCGCTTGTACATTTTTGTCCCGCCAGATGTCTATGATACCTCCTTACTACTATATCTGCTCACTCATAGACTGTCCAACGTCTTTCTGAGTGGCAGAGCAACTTCAGCTCTACAGCCATTGTGATCATCTTTGATTTTCTGACGAGCAACAATGACTGTGACCCAGAGGTCCTTGCAGGGCTCCTCTTGAAGAATTTTGCCTTCATTTTTGAGGACACAGACAAGTGCAAGCCTGATGGGGCATTTCGCTCTGCATTTATGCTGCAGCTCCTCGGAAAGGCCCATCTTAGCGCCATTAATGGTCATGCTATCATTCCTGCATTGAAAACCAAGGACCTTGCATCAAAAGGGATGGCCAGTGTTATCGCATTTTGTGCTACAGCAGTCTGTTCATTTTCTTGTTAGCAATGCTCCAAGTCCCCCTCAATTGATTCACATAGCTCAAGTGCACCGTCACATTGATTTCAGAGGGAAATATCAAAGTCGAGAATGTCTTAGCATCAACCCCATCATGCAGCAAGTTGAATATCAAGCTCCCCAAAGTACTCAACAAGGCCACTGGGAAGGAGACCAGCGCCCCATATCTATTTTCATGCGATCTCTGGGGTAAACCAAATACTGGGTACATGAAGAGCATCAAGAAGAAGGGCTTGGGCTTCATCAAAACTACAGTAGACATGGCGCGGTCAGCTTTGAATGAAAGTACCACCATGGATGCAGGCGTCTCTGAGAGCTCTGACAATGACTGTGCCTTCTTATGTATGTGTGACACTATCCTCTTATGCCTCTTATTTCATTTGAATTTTCTTTTGTTGTTCTTACTGCCTTGCTAATTTTGCAGATTTGGCAGAGCTGTTCTCCAATGTCTGGCCTTTTGGCACCATCTTGCTTGGCAGACTACTACTACTACTATCACCATTTGTTATACATCTCGACCAGTGCTATTTTCTAGTACTAGTACTAGGCTACTGGTACTACTCTCCGATTATAGGTTATCATTCTTTTTTCAATTTTATCTTTCCTTAACTACTTTCACGTCGTGCTTTTCTGAGTGGACAATGCCCTTTTTCTCCTTTATTTGTGATGCGAAAAGTAAACTAAGTTAGAAATAAGTGAGAATTCAGACAATGAGTGGCCTTTGCTTATTTCACCTTATTGAGTGTGAAAAAGCAACAATAAGTTGAATTAAGGAACTTGTCATTTTCCTGATGCATTTGGTGGTTGATTGAAAACAAACTGTATTCAGTGCATGAAGTGAGGTACAGGGAGTTTGTGGTGGTTAATAATGATCAGGTAAAAGGTTTGGGTAAAAGCCATCAGAGCTTTTCGGCCCGGTGTATACGTCCAAACCTAAAGGTTTCAAGGTGAGCTGTGATCCCGTAAATGTAGGAGAGTGGTGATGTGGACTGCGAAGCTTGACACCCTGTAAAATTTAGGAGCTGTACTCACTCAAACATTTCAGCGCACTGGTGGCATCATCTGGCAGGAGAATGGTTCAAGCACAGGCAAGAGGGCTTGGATATAGGGAGCGATGATGATTGCATGGTGTTGAAGGTATAGTGTGAAGGCGTCACTTGACCACCTGCCCATAGATTTGACTATGTCGAAAGGGATTCCCCTCAGTAGATATTCAAGAGTTCTGCCTATTTGAAGGCTGTGGCCATTGAGGTTAGGGAGATTGGCTGCTTGGGCAATTGCAGTGAGTCTTTTCATTAATTCTGCCTTGGAGAGTGGTCTGATGCCCTTGTGATGCTTCCAAGCAAAGAGATGTGCGTTGTCTCTGGCCAGGTTGACTTGGAGGTGATTCTGTAGGGTGGCTTTTGGGTCTGAAGGGCCTTCTTGCGCTGCCCAAAAGGCGTCTTCTCCTTCTAGTGGGGACACCTTCGTGCTTTGGATGTGGAATTTTGTGATGGGTAGACCATTGTGGTTGACTGTAGTGGAGACATTGCTGCGGGTGATGTATTTGGCAGGATTGAAGGACTTGATAGTGGGAACAGTGAACTCTCTGAGTCTCGCTATGGCGTAGAATGTTGTGGTTAGACAGGCAAATATTGCAGTGTCGCAGGGGTCATTAGGATTGATGTATGTGCGTATGGTGGAGAGGATGTCAACTGTGAAGGGGTCACACTTTGTACATTTGGATGTTTGTGGGGTGAGGGCTGTGGCTCCATCTAGGACGGCTTTGAGCTCTTTCGCATTAGCTATCCATGGGTGCTCGTGCAGAAGGTGCCAGGCTTTTAAGCTGGCTGTGTAGTTTGTGAGTGCTGCGCCCGAGTAGGATCCTGCACAGCTAGATAAGAAGGTAAGAAAGAGGGTGGGGGAAACTGGGTATTGTTGATTTTCTGGTATTTTTAGGGAGTCGCAGTATACATGGAAAACTAGAAGACCGACGCTGTAGGTTTCTTTGGTGGACTGAGCCCACAACGATCCCATGACTTTGAGGATACAGTTTAGTTGTTTGTCTGTTATGGTCATGTCTGGGGTATCAAGGGGAACACAGTGTGTGTTGCCGCCTGATGGTATCCATTTGTGGAGTCTCTCATGGGCAAAACAGTGTGGTCTTAGAGGGGAGGGTAGAGGGGTGAGTCCAGGCTTGTATTGTTGAGGGGACAAAGCACTCAGCATGGATTGGAGGGACAGTGGCAGCAGAGCACTAAAGCACGTGCGAGGGGCGTTTGCGCTATTCTGTGATGGCATTGTGTATGATTTGGTCTTCTTCTGCATGGGAGGCTTTTGTTTGTTTGACGGCTTGTTGACAGATGAGGTTGCGGTTGATGAACTTGGCTGCAGGAAGGGTGTACTGCCCATTGCAGAATAGGCGGAGCTCTGTGGGAGTGAGAGGGGTGGTTGCATCAACAATGAGGTCTCTGAGCTGGTGAGGAATATGGGTTTCAAGGAGTAGAAGGTGCTCAGGCCCATACTTTCCTCTGGAAGGATAATTGGCTGGGTTTGACTCACTGGCGATGTATTCTGTGCAGATTTTGAAATGTCTGGGTAGAGTGTGAATAAATTCGTGAATGTGTTTGAAGACATTGTTGATGGCTTTGTTGTGATGGCATCCTTTCCACCAGCCTTTGACCACCCCAGTGTTATTGCCATAGACAATGACATTGTGGCCAATGCCAGGGAGAGAGGCAAGTGTGTGCACCAATAGCTCGAAACTGATTGCTTTAGCCCAACCAATGTCTCTTTTTGCATTGTTGGTGGTTTGCCAGCCTGGAATGAGTCTCAAAGTGCACCAGCAGTTTCTGATGATGATACCTATGCCAATGCTCGAACTAGCATCCAAGAATGCCAGGGGGATTGAGAAGCGCATTGGAGGGTAGATGGGGTGGGAGACGCCGCCTGATTGTAGGAGGTCTGCCCACCAGTTCAGGTCTGGTTCAACATCTTTATCTGGTTGGTGTGGCATGTGAGGGTTCTCGCGGCAAATGGCGATTGTGTGCTTGAGGCTGGTTAGGTATGCCCTGCCTCTGGTGACTGCTGTGCATGCGTGCATCAATTTGCTGTAGAGCTGCAGGTTTCTTGCAGCATTTGTGTGGGCTTCTTTCTCCATGCGTGAATGGTTGCTATATACTTCTCAGCTTTGGGTGTGCTAAGCGATACTATGCGGAGGTAAAGGTTCCATAGGAAACCAATTTAGATGGCGAATGTGGCAAAGGGTTGGTCTTTCTCCTGTTGCCAAAAGATGCCTAGGTCAATGGAGATGTCATCTATGTCTTGGAGGTTGTAGCTGAAGAGGCAGTCATGTTCGGACCTTAGTGAGTCAATGGAGAGATCTCTGATAGGTTGAGAGCAGTCTTCACTGAACTCTTCTGTTGTGCTGTTATCGAACTCACGGCCGCCGAACCAGAGTCTGCTTCTGGTTTGGTGTAGGCCTCACTTAGCTAAATCTTTGTGCCATTTGGTGCGTTCTCTATTGTAATTGCTTAGGTGTTCTCTTCATATCTGAAAGAAAATGTGGTCATCGACCCATTTGTCTAGTGGTCCTATGCCCCGGTGTTGGAGTATCTTGGCGCCAGCATTGGCGACGTGGCCATAGGCACCTGCTGATGGCATGGCTCCAAATGCGGTACAAGTATCTACACAGAATTCAGTGTCCGATGTTTGAACTATGGTGGTGGGCCATTGAGATGGGTGAAGGGGTACAGTTTGGTAGGCTTCTGCGACATCACATGTTGCTGCTTCTGAACCTGGAGGGAACCTCGAAATAAGTAAGTAGATAACTGAGAATTTGCCCCATGTAGTGGGGAAATCGCTAGCATTGATACACAAATTGATGGAGGGGTTGGGGAATTGGGGGTCAAAGGAGTGTGTGAATGAGAAGTTTTGTATCAATTGGAATTTACCTGGCTTGCCAGGTTTCAGGATAATGGAAAGGGGGGAGGTTTGAAAAGGGCCAATAAGGTTTGAAAGAGCATTAGCAGTGAAGGGACCTAAATAACGAGATGTGTGAAGTTCTTTTCCTATGCTGGTGTGAAATTGGTTTTCATATGTGGATATGGATTGTTTATTAGGAGGGATCTGCATAGATGTAATGATGGGAAAGTTTAAATTGAAACCAGACTGGAAACCTTCTGGAATCTTGGCAAAGTGCGGCATTAGGCAGAAGTGGTGCAGCTCCCTGGCCCATGTGTCAGCTTTGTAAGGTGTGATAGGGTTAAACCTTCTGTGCTCTAGGGCAGCGCTGAGCTCCCTGAGTGACGGCACCACATCCAGAACAGATGTGGCAAGAATCATGTTTGGGGCTATCGCAGCCTTCCTCTCATTGCCAGGCAGTGCATAGCTGTTTGCCCTCTTTGGTCCAGAGGGCTTTGTTGACACGTTCAGAGATGGTGTCATGTTTGCCATCCCAGGTGAGGGTTGCCGAGCACTCAATAGTGCAATCATGATGGGGGTTGCGTCCAAGACAGACAGAACAACAAGGGAGGGGCATGTTAGGGTCTCGGGCCATTCTGGGTTTCTTGTTGAATTTCCCTTCTGGCGAGGCAGGGGGAGAGTGTTTCTGGGAGCTGGTGGAGCATGTGTGCTGCTGCTGTGTTCTGCTTGGTCCTGCTGCTGTTGACAAGCGGGACTGGAGGAAGGGATGTGGGGAGGTGATTCCCAGTGGGTGGGGTTGAAGGCATGTGTTAGCCGTCGGTGGGAGTGGCCACGCGATGGCCATGGGGTTAACCCAGGGTGGGTAGGCACATGGTGGCTGGGGTGTTTGGAACTGCAGCGGGGTTTGGAGCATGATGTCCGATAGCGCAGGTTGATTGGGTGACAGAACATGTTGTCCAAGGGTGTGATGAGGTTGTTTGGGCGCAATGCCAAACATATTGTGAGGGTGAAGTAAATAATGGTGGTGGGGGGGAAAGAAGCGCAGTGAATATTAATTTCTGGGTGATCGTCGGAGTGAGATGTATCTGAATAGCTAACTGTTGGGTTCTGAACTGGTTGAAAACGGTTTTGTGCACTTTGTCCAGCAAGTCTTGGTTAATCCTTGCTAGACTCTAGCTGTTGGAGTTGCCAATGGCAAGGTGCCAGTGCTTCCATTGCTGTGCTTGGTAGAGCAGAAGCGCTCGTTGTTTGTGCATGTCAAAGTCATGACACCATCTGTGATTCTGCAGTGTGGACCAGAAGGAAATGAACATGTTGGTTCTGTTGTTGGGCCAGTCATTCTCTTTCATCAGAGTGAGCATGTATGGGGCTGCTTCGTTGAATTGTTCCCAGGTTAAGTTCTCATCTTTGATAATTTGTGCTTTGGGGTCTCTAGCAGCGCTGGCTGGGATCCATTTGTTCAAACTGTCAGCGATGGGAAGCATTACGAGGGCATCCTCGTCTGCTGTGAAGGTAGAGCGGGAAGCTTCCTCTAGGCCGCTGTTCATGAAGTAGGAGAGTTTGCAGTAGTCACCTGACTTCATTTTGCAAACCGCATATTGGCAAGGGAGGATGATGGGGTCAGATGGGACATTAATGTCTTTGATTGGGGTGTACTTGGCCTTGTTCTTCTTGCGCTCCTCTTGGATTGCAGCTTCTTGTTCAGCTCTTAGAGTCTGTTGACGCTGGGCTTCTTCTTCAGTGGCTTCTCTGTGCTCGGCTTCTGCTTCACCTTCAATTCTGGCTGTCCAATGATGTTTGTCTGCATCATTTTGGATGTGCCAGAGGTTAGCTAGGATTGTTGCTGCTTGATGGTCGTCGGTTGCATCACTAATGAGCTGTGCTCAAGCTTCAGCGTACTCTACTGATTGAAAATCGGGAGCGATCACAAGATTGGGGTTTCCTGTTAGGAAAGGCATAATTAATGCTGTGCAATTGCAAAGAATGACAGAAAGAGATGGAGAAGACAATGAGGGACAACTACTAAAGCAGTGACTAGAAACTCATTTTCCAACATGGGTCAGAAACAAGGTGCGTTGTGCCACCTTACTTACTCACACATAGACTAAATTCTGTGCTAGCCTTGTGCCTCGGCTCGTGCAGAATACCAATAAGGAGAATCAAGTCAAAACTCTGTTACTTTAAATAAGGAGAAATAAGTAGGTCCTCATCCTTAGGACAAGGAGATTGATTCCTCAAGGAGGTTCAGGCGAGCAAAAAGCAGTCAAAAGTCACTATTAGCAGGTGTAAAACAAATCAATAAGTGGCTCAAGGGACAAGTCTAGGGAAATTAAGCAGTGTGGAATGAGGGACTAAAATGCTAAATAAGTGTTGCTAAGCGGGCAGAAAAGTGCATAAAAATGTTTGAGGGAGGGTATAGTACTACACAGTTGAAGGTGCTGCTGGTGCGAAGCTAAGCGGGCAGAAAAATCCATAAAAATGTTTGAGGGAGGGTATAGTGCTGCGCAGTTGAAGCTGCTGCCAGTGTGAAGGTAATGGACTTGCAGTAGAGTGTGGATGGTAGATATCAAGGGGGGCACAAAATGACAAATTGATGATAAATCCTGCAAGTAACAGATCAGTGATACGGCTGCACAGAAAGAAAAAAGAAAAATACAGATTTGAATGTGAGAGCATGGGTTGATGGAAGGTGGAGCACTGACACCCGGCACAGAAAACTCAGTTGATGTGCTGCTGCGACATACGTGCTTCATAAAAGGTGTTGCTCGAACAATGATCTCCTTGACTTGCATCTCTGGCAGCTCCATCATAGTTTCCATGTAGGCCTTCATGTCCGTCTCCCAGTTAGCAGCAGAGAAAGCAGTTCCAGTATGACTCATCCTGTTTGTCGACTTGTTGAACATGAGTTCGATCCTGTGGTTTTTCTTGTTGGAGTCAGAGGGGTCACATGTAACCAAATAATTGTTAGACACCAAGGAAAGTGCGCGCTCGACCTGAGAACGAGGTCAAAAACAGATCAGAACAAAAAACCTGACTCACAGCTGCAGCCGTCAATGCAAGTGCAGTCTCAAAACCAATCATTCCATAGTCCAGGGTGTCGACCTTCTTGTGCCCTGCAATTGCATTTAAATGTGTAGCAAAGGTGCACAAAAAAAACTCCAATAAAATGCTCCAGGATTATCTTCACTCTCGGGGTTCACGTAGACGAAGTGTGAATCCTCAAGTTGATCATCGGCGAAATATTTGCATGCAGCTTGCATTTTGTACTCTGGATTTGAGGTAAAGAAGGCCATCAAAATAGTGATTGCTGTTGAGCCAAATGAGGCCTTCCACTCATGAATCTTCTGTACAGCCTGGTAGGACCGGCAAGTTAAGTACTGTATCTCAAAGTCAAAGGAAGCTCACCAGTTCATAACTGTAACTACCAACTTCAAATTCACACATCCCCCAGTTCTTACCACCAATACAGCTACATATTTCGTAAAGCACATTGCAGAGATCCTCCTCTGGGATGGTCCAGGCATAGCTAGAATTTCCGACCCAGTACATGAGTGCAGGAAGGAATGTCACTCTCCAACTCTTGACCATGCCATCAGGTATATGAGCATTCCTAGGCTTTCCCTTTCTCAAGTTGATGGACACTGCCTTGCTAGTAGCCTCATCCATCTTGATGTGCTTCATAACTGTTTGTTTGTTGGAGATGTCTACAGACATCTGTATATCATGTGGTGGGGTGTCACTTAGTATCTCACCTGTTAGAATATAGCACTTGCAGATGTCATAGAGCAAACAGCAACCTCCATGTCCACATCACTATCTTGGATTTGGTCCTCACCATCATCACCATTCACAGCAGCATCAGAGTCATGAAGCATTTTGAGCACCTCTTTGTCTGTAAATCTGTTGTGGTTGTCTGCTTCCTCGTCCTCGATAGCTGAAAACATACATTTTTTTACCCTTTTGTGTGCTCTTGGGTTTCTGGTGTATATGTACAACAGCCTGACTCAGACTAACATCAGTGTGCATCCCAAAGGTCAGTTGCTCACTCACTTTTCCACCCCCTCCTCTACAAGGTTCATACTCCTCAGGTACGTCGTCCAACTCAATGTCGATGTCATCTGGGACTAATAAATCAAAATTAGAACATGTCTTGACAACAAGTGAGTCACATACCAGTGGTGCAGACGTTAGGAGGTGCTGACAGTTTGTTTTGTTTGGCCTGGGACTTTGCAGATTTGGCATTTGTCTAAGCTCTATTGTCGCTGACTTGCTGTTGTCACTGGTGGAGATATTTGAAACCAATTCCTTCATACAGGACTAAAATGTGATGCTGAGGGTGATCCTATTGATCAGAATGCACTTCCACCACCCCAAACTGACACTTCGCCAGACGATTGGACCCCATATGAAAGCCATATCGCATTTGAAATGGCCAAATTTCTTTTCTTGCAGAATCAAACATCTGCAAAGCAAATCGACACTCTTCTCAACTTGTGGGCAGCATCATTGATCAAGCATAATGACACTCCACCATTCACAGATCATCATGACTTATACAACACTATCGATGCAACACCACTTGGTGATATTCCATGGGAGACATTCTCCATGTCCTACAGTGGTGCCAAACCACTGCACGACATACCACCATGGATGGAGGCAACTTATGATGTTTGGTTTTGGGACCCTCACCTCCTTTCGCATGACATGCTTGGGAACCCCAATTTTGACGGGGAAATGGAATATGTCCCACATCAGGACTACAGCACAGAAGATACCCGATGCTTCAAGAACTTTTTTTCTGGCGACTGGGCATGGGGCCAAGCAGTACATATTGACATGTCAAGCTATTCCTGATGTAGAACTAACAAAGTACTATGGTGTTTATGTAGGATATTATTGCTCAAAATGAAGTGAATCATGGATCAACTTTTGTGCCGCTAATCATCAGTAGCGACAAGACAACAGTTTTGGTAGCCACAGGACATACCAAATATCACCCACTCTATATGTCCATAGGCAACATCTTCAATAGTACACAACATGCACATTGTAATGGTGTAGTTTTGGTGGGTTTTCTTGCCATCCCCAAAAGTAAGCTGTTTCCCAATGTCGTGCCTCTGTCCTTACTTACTTTTTATATAGCTACAAAGGAACATGCTGGTGATACAGCTTACCATGACTTTCAACAACAGATGTTTCATTGTTCCCTTGCCAAAATCTTTGAGGCCATCAAACCTTACATGGACACCCCTGATGTTGCTCGCTTCCCTGATGGACATTTTCGCAGGGTCATATATGGACTGGGTCCCTACATTGCTGACTATCCAGAGCAGGTACTGCTGTCTGGGGTAGTCCAGGGATGGTGTCTGAAGTGCATACTTTGATGTTGACTGACTTGACTACATACAGTGGCTCAAAAAACTGTCCACATGTTTTCACATTTTTCACTATCTATGATATTGTGTGAGAATATACAAACACATCAAGGACATGCTGGTACCATATTGTAGTACTACTTCAGGGCTTCCAATTGAGCCCTATGGCGTGGGAATTGGTCGAGATATGGTGGAGATATGAGGCTTACAAAATGATGACTCATGCGGACAGTTTTTTGACTCAAGTATTTTACAGTGATAATCAGGTATTCTAGTACATTGTGTGACCTCCCTTGGCTTTAATTACTGCCTCTATCCTTCTAGGCATACTCTTAAAACTATATCTAACTATATAAACCAGAATGTCTCATGTGTCATGGTCATAATTACCATGAAAGCCGTCTCCTCTACTCAAAGGGATAATATCTTCTCTTTGTCCTATGCTGGCCTCTCTGCTCATCAAATTTCCTCTAGAACTGAAGTATGCAAGTCTACTGCAGCCAAGTGTATCAAAGAAAGCCACCTGGACAAGGAAAACTCTTGTGGAGGACGTCCACCTCTGCTAATAAGGGGGCTATCATCCAACATATCACTACAGGAAAGGCTAATAATGCCCTCCAAGCCACCCATTATACCAATTCCACCATCACCACCACTGTCTCTTCACAAACTGTGAGGAATGTTCTCAAGGCAGCTCATCTCAAGGCAGTAACAAAGAAGAAATGCCTCTTATCTCTATTAAACATAGGCTGAAAAGACTACCTTTGGCTTGGCCCATCAAAACTGGACTGTAGAGGACTGGAAGCATGTTATATGTTCAGATGAGACCAAAATCAATAGGATTGGGTCAGATGGGAAGGTATATGTATGGAAAAAGAAGAGGGATTTTCTAACAGACAGAGAGGTTAGTGAGGCTGTCAGATTTGGAGGAGGTTCTCTAATGGTATGGGGCTGTATGAGATGGAATGGTGTGGGTATGCCTGCTGAAGTTGAGGGGAGGATGGATGCTGAGCAGTATGTGGACATTCTAAATGACCACTTGCTGCCTAGCATAGCTGACTCAGGGATTGATGAAGAAGACATCATTTTCCAACAGGATAATGATCCCAAGCACACATCTAGGAGAGCCAGACAATGGTTTAAAGAACATAATATCAATGTTCTTGACTGACCAGCACAGTCCCCTGATGTCAATGTCATTGAACATCTCTGGGGAATACTCAAGAAGATGCTTCAAGCCTATGAAACCCCCCCTAAAGGAGTATAGGAGCTATGGGAGAGAGTAGCAGTGGAATGGGCAAGGATTACAGCAGAATATTGCCAGAAATTGATTGAGAGTATGCCTAGAAGGATAGAGGCAGTAATTAAAGCCAAGGGAGGTCACACAATGTACTAGAATACCTGATTATCACTGTAAAATACTTGAGTCAAAAAACTGTCCACATGAGTCATCATTTTGTAAGCCTCATATCTCCACCATATCTCGACCAATTCCCACGCCATAGGGCTCAATTGGAAGCCCTGAAGTAGTACTACAATATGGTACCAGCATGTCCTTGATGTGTTTGTACATTCTCACACAATATCATAGATAGTGAAAAATGTGAAAACATGTGGACAGTTTTTTGAGCCACTGTACATGCTGATTATTTTTAGGTGCCTTGCTGACCAGAGAGACTTAGATGGTGATGGACCGTGCTTGCGCCGGTGCAAAAAACACAGAGAGCTTCTCATTGAAGAGCTCAAGTATGGAAAGCTATGGGAGGAATATGGTATTGTCAGTGATGTTGTGGTGAGTGTAGTTTTGATGATTCCCACGTTAATACACTCTTACTTTTGATTTTTAGCCCTTTACAAATGACTACCCTCAAGCTGATATTCATGAATTGATTTCACCAGACATTCTCCACCAAATTATTAAAGGTGCTTTTAAAGATCATCTGGTGGATTGGGTTGAATCTTACCTCAAGATCACACATGGTGCTTCCTATGCTGCACAGATCATGGATGACATTGACAATAAGTAAGAGACACAGCTTTGCATGATTATCACTAACAACATATACTCAGGATTGCAGCTGTTTCTTTGTTTGCAGGTTTACAATGATTTCCAGAAGGATGCGGATTTAAACAATGGACTGGCAATGATTCAAAGGCATTGATGAAGGTGCATTACCGTATTTCTCAAGAGTTGTCAAGAATCCTCGCAAGAGGTTCGAATCTCTCATGTGCTCATGGCATGACAGGAGAGATGTCAAGAACCCTCGCAAGAGGATTGAAGTTTTTGAACCTCTCATCTGCTGTCACAGGACTTAAGCTGATCTGCTAGTAATAGGTCTACCTTCCTGCTATCAGGGGGCATGTCCCTGATGATATAGTACACACCTTCAGTACTTTCCTGGACTTTGCTACATTGTTTGATGTGACATGCTTACTGAGGATGACCTCTTACAACTTTAGGACGCACTTGATCAGTTCCACAGATACCAGGAAATCTTCAAGACAACTGGTGTCACCCTGTCTTTCTCCCTGCCATGCCAGCACTCATTAAACCACTATTTATTTCTTATCTGGCAATTTGGGGCCCCCAATGGGCTTTGCTCTTCAATTACAGAGTCAAAACATATTAAGGCCATCAAGGAGCCTTGGCGCCGCTCAAGCTGGTTCAAAGTGCTTGGGCAGATGCTGCTCACAAATCAATGACTGGATAAACTGGCAACTGCTGGTGCAAATTTCCAGGTATGTGGAATGTTGAAGGGCTCATGTCTGTCTGAAGCTTTGCATAAGCTTCGAAAGTGTAGTTAATTCCAATTTCATTTATTACAGTAATAATCTCACAATGTACAGGTCACTACGAGTCTGACTCTGATGAAGAAGATGACAACTTTGCCAATAATGGAGCCACTCTCTGTCATATACCTGATCTGACCGCTCCAATATTAATATCCGCTCCACTTTCCGACCCCCTCCGCTCCATCCATCCTCCGCTCTGTCCAATCACAAATCCGCATTCCACCCCTACGCTTCCACTCGACCGCTCAACCGGTCCCTTTCCATAACCTCTCCATTCAACTGGACCTCTTTCCCCTTTTAGATATATACTTCCCCCTTTGGTACATAGACCCTTACTTCCAGATGACCAGTAATTCCTATTACCACTCGATCACTGATCTGACGCGTACATATTGATATCCACTCTGACTTATGTCTTTGCCTATGTAAAGTACTTACAAACTATATCCTTGGTACATAGCTTTACTACATAGTTATCCTGATCACTGCCTCATACATAGAAGTATATAACATATCCTGTACTTAGATATTTTTCCTCAGTCTTAATATTACTTGTCTTCTCGCAGTTACATCTTGTGAGAATTCTCAGTAGGACCTTGCCTCCTCTGGACACAAGTCTCAACTTGTTGTCACCTCCGACCCTCCGCTCTGACTTAGAGCCGTGCTCTAAGTCTTTCCCTTATACTCCACCCCTATCAAATATTCTCCCTTGTCCCTCTGCATTATCCTCCACCTTCCCCGCCCCTACCAAACATTCCCCCTGCTCCTACCCATCCTCCGCATCACTCCCGCCTTCTCCACTCCACTCCTAGTTGGCCTGCCACTAGTAGCTCTCACTCTCCGACCCTCAAAGCAGACCAAAGTGGTCCACTTGTCCTATCGTCGGACAATGTCGGACCCGCTCCAAATTTGGGGCATGTACTCAGCTAAGGGCGCAGTGCAAGAGCTGAAGCCAAGCCCCGACCCCTCTGCTTCCTGAGTCGGCATGGTACCTAACACTCTTGCAGACCGGCCTGGGTTTCTGAATGTCAATGAACCTGAGTATAGGTCTATTGAGGGTGAAGTCAGTGAAATGGTCGATGGACCTGCAGTAGAGGCACATGTTGACCTTGCAGCAACACCTTGTAAGTTTGTCTCCGCTCCTTGTAAACCTTATTGATACTATCTGTCTCAGGCTGTAAATGTGATGTCCATGCACTTGGTGACGAACTTGAGCTCCCCAATTTTCAGCAACTGATCCAGGAATTTATTCATGACCAAGCTCACACTGCCAACCCCAACCCTCCTGTATTTGACCCTGCATCAGCACCATTATTCTTGGGGAAAGTCTCAATTTTCAATTCCGCAGCCGCCTCATTCTATGCACCTAGTGATCTTAGCAGCACTGGAGGTATGTGATGTGAGCATATTCACGTGGTGTCCTCTTGGTGTGGAGGTACACCTTGACATGATTGTGTCTTTGTCAACATGAATACAGATACTGATATTATGAATGGTCTCGTGGTTGCATGAGTGCTCTGTTTTTTTTTCAGCAATTGCACATCTTTTTTTTGATGTGCTGTTGTTTGGTGGTTCTTGCATGTCCTCGGCACATGTGATCTGGATACTGGAATGTATGTTGTTGCTCACACAACACTCGAGGATGACACACCAGACATTTCCATCATTCATATTGATTGCATTTTCCATGCAGTGCATCTTATTCCAGTATATGGCTCAAACATTTTACCTTCTGCGATTACTTCACATGATTCTTATGATGTCTTTCACTCTTATTTTGTCAACAAGTATGCTGATCACCACGCATTCAAGATTGCATAATTGACTTCATTTTACCTTTTCTGCACATTCTCTACTAAAGCTACCTATGACACCTCCCTGCAAGCTCTTCCCTCATGCACTACCATCTCCCTCAAATTCTAAAGCTAAGAAAATATAGCCTACTCGAGACTCCCCCAACAACTGTTAAGGTTGTGCTCAAGGGAGAGGTTGCTCAAAGGGCTTCGGCTTCAGCTCGTGCGCTGCACCCCTTACCTGAGTACGTGCCCTTTAATTTCCGGGGGACAGAGGGGAAGTCCAATGGAAGTCCAGGGAGTTCCGGAGGACTAGTGTCGGTGGAGTTCGGCGGAACTCCGGAAGGCTTATGTGGGGACGGAGTAAGGCTACTACAGAAGTCCAGAGTAGAAACAGAACAGAGGTTAGACTACCCTAAGGTAGAGCCGGAGAAGTAGTCCTAAGGTTTAACCCTTAAGACTTGGAGGTGGACAAGAGGTGAGACTCAAGTCCGGAGATTGCAGGAATGAGCAGAACTAAGATGATATTCGAACTGAGGAGTTCCAGAGTATTACAGGGGTTTATATACTGTAGGTACCATGTAAGTAAATCAGTCAGCAAAGGTAAGGGCTATGTACGAAGCATGTGGAAAGTCTATTAGTAAGTGTAACGGATCAAAGCAGTGAAGTCGGAAATAAAGTAAGAATGGATGGATCAGTAAGCATAGCAGAAAAAGACATAACTGGTAACCGGAGAGCAGTTATTCTAAAAGGAGACAGGTGTAAGTCCAGAGATGAAAGTGGAGCGCCGGGCGGACAATAGGATGGAAAACCGGACTTCCATAGGGGAGAATCCAGAATTCCGGATCCGGAGGTATGGGATATAATGTCGGAGAAAATAGGGGTAGTGTCGGAGGAGCGGAATAGAGTCGGGCGGAGGTAGCAGGACTAGTCCTGCTGAAACGCACTTTGTGCATTGTTGGAGAAGGATGGATGGAGTGGACTGGGGAAACAGGGAGTTGGACTAGTGGTAGGGATGTTCACAGGTGGTATTGGAGGTGCTCGGATCCGGTATATGACAACAACCCTTTCCTTTCTGGCAAAGATGAAGCCAATGCAAGTGGCTGTGAGAGCAGTGATGATGGATGGGCTGTTGGAGAAGCCCCCAGACATGAAAGCACGCCAACTCCAGCACCAGTGTTTGAGGAGAAGCCAACAATAACCTGTGTCTGGTGCATCTTCCTAGTTCTCACTAATTTCTGTCTACTGACCGCTTCGTTAGCTGAGGCCAAAAAGTGACCTTCCATAACCCCCAATATCATCTTCCCATCGAAGTTCTTGAGGCGTCTAAACTACCGATCAATCATCCAGACTTTGAAATGGCTGAGGCATGTCCACCCCACCAGCTCTTTACCAACAAACTCAAGTGCAAGTCTCACGACTTCAACAAAGATGTTCCTCCGATCAACTCCCTTGGTGCCAAATGTGCAAAGATTGATGCCAGCGCATCTGAGGGCGAGAAAAGTACTACAGACACCAGCTCCTGCAAGAACATAGTCTTCCATGCTTGGGAGGTGCGCGAACACAGGGAGAGAGATGGCAAGCAATGCCTGGCTTCGAAGGATGGCCTGCACGCTGGGGCACTTGTTGTGGAGAGTGACATTGTTCAGCAGGCAATGGGCCCTGCATGTCATCTCTAAGTGCCAGTGACATCAACAATCTTCATACCCTTCTCGACTTATTGTTTTGTATGTGCAATACTTCTTTTCCTACGGTTATGATCCCCCATGCCTCACACCTACTTACAACAGACAAAGCCAACATTGTCATGTCCTTCCTGGCATGCAATTTTTTACTTAGCATTACTTATAGATATGGCCTTACTTAAATTTTTATCTTCCTTGGAAATATTCACTCAAAGTTCACTAAGTAACACAATGATGGCTTTGGTGTCCTTGAACATGCTTATGTACCTTATGAAATTGCCAAAGGAAATTAAGAGTTGAAAAGGGACTCAACGTTTTCCTGATGTGTGTGGTCTGGCAGTCCATACAATCATAGCACTCAAGTGTGAGGCTCCTCACACGTCAAGTGCCAGATAGGTAGAATCAGGCTGTGAGGGGCCTATAATAAGTGGTTGTGTGTGCAACCCTTCCAGGGAGATTGTCTATGCATGACATCGTGCCTGCTTATCCCTAGCCCTGTCACTCTGACTCCTCTGCCCGCTCACCTGAATGAAGGACAGGTTCCCAAAATCATCAAGCAAGTTGTTGTGTGTGGCGAGTGCACCTCGCACGAAGAAAGGTTTCAGTTGATTGAGAGATAGAAAGTTCGAGGCTCAGCAAACTTGTAGTTCCTGGAGCCATACAATAAGTTTTCTGCATATTTGTTATTCCATTAATCACAGGCTTTGTACTTATCGTTAGTATTTAAGATCATCTTCCCCGACTCTGCGAAGTAGGGAGGGTTCTGTCAGCTCCAAATGGCCAGGCACCTGTATGCAAATGTGCACCTGAAAATATTTCCTTTTCAAGTCAAGGTTTGCGTCCAGAAGGTTCTAGCAAACTTTCTATTGGCTGATGTGTGTTGTTTCAGAAAGTTTCACATGGTGATCATGATGTGCGGGTCTGCAGAGTAGTTTGTATTATTTAATGGGTACACATTACACCACCTCACTGACAGCATTTGTGTTTGACGGAGAAAGAATCGCACCTGCAGAGTACGGTCGACACCTCAAAGGCGCGCTGGTGCAGGTCTACTTCACCTTAAGCCACAAGCTGGGTGAAAAAATAAACACATACGGAGCACACATCACAGCAACAAGAGTACTGGCACCGCTGCCATGAATCATGGATGGAAAAACGCCAATGTACAGTGCAAATCAATGGCACATGGGACCAGGGCATGTACAATAATTGGACTGAGGCTGAGAGAAAAGAGGAAATAATTCGAGGTAAATTGGACGTAGATAGATCACAGACGGATGGAGACAGAAATGGGGAAGCGGGTGTAATTGCAACGAGTTTAATGACTTAAACAATATCGTCGCAGTGAGGTAGCTGATGGAGTTCGCTTAGGAGTCTGACAAGGGTTCATGGTGGGCGAAGGCGTGTGAGATAATAATTTGGGTCGGAGAGTCGGGGATTGGCGCTCGCGCCGCTACGATAACCACAGCATAACATACGTAGTACTACAGGAGTTTACGAATCAGATGTCCATGGGCGGCCCGCGATCCTTCCAGTCCTCCGTCGGGGCGATCCTCACTCTTGCACTGAAATTTAATGCCATACAGCCATGTTCTCATTGACAGGTGTCCTGGGGGCCGCCGAGTCGCCGACGCTGGGAGAAAATTTCCTGCACATTAGTAAAAGTTGGGTTCATAGCAACCCGAGCCATCCTCTTGCAATAGACGATGTAACTTCATTCGACCGGTGACGATATAGGGAAAATAAGGAAGGAAGGCGGTAATCGACGATGGTGTCCATGATTTGACGATCCACACAACTACACTCTTGGATGATGGCATCTGTCAAGGGAAGCTCCTGCGTTGGTGCCCGCCATACATAAAATCCTAACGAAAAGAAATCAAGACTGGAGTCATTGTTTGATTCCCAAGGTATTGATCAATAGATCACAACAACCGTCAACAATACTGTTATGGCTCTTGTGTAAGAACTGTCCTGGTGGTCTTGTACCGTGTTGTTCCTTCCCATCCCCCAGTTCAATACGCTGGGACATGGAAGTTGTTGCGAAGGTCGAGAGTTGGATCACTAATTGGAGCAAAGGGGGAGAGTCTGAATGGTGCGCAGCTGTTTGCTTAGTTTTGTAGCGCTCAACCTGACACCCTCATTTTACAAGTCGAAATTTCCTCATTTCACCTCACTCGAATCCTTCCGACCCTATTTGCGCAGAGGCGCTCACTACCGTTTATCATGCCCTTCTTTTGTCTGTTCTCACAACTTGGCAGCCTAAGAATTCCTTAAACGCGCAGGCTTTCATAACTTTCATCCAGTCTGTCCTTCTTGCACTCCCGTCTTCCTCCTCTGTACGCGCGGGTCCACCCGTGCAGAATGTCATATTTGGAGAGATTCTTGTGGATGTCTTATGGTCTACAGATGCTCAGCTGGACGAGTTTTTGGCAGACGCGAAGTCTGCTTTGGTTGGTTCGGAACAGGCTTCTGGAGGTCAACAAGCAAAGGACACCCCAAAGAAAGACATTACAGATGGTGCAGGAAAGGCAGCTCGACTGAGGCAGTTTGTTGAACAAGACAAAGATACCCTAAGCGAGCTCGTCAAAAGACTTCTGGTGAGTACTAGGAATACACAAGCTAGTTCCACAGCATTCTGACTTTCTCCAAATAGTTCACTGGCGTCGTCGATCTCGCTGTATGTCGAGAGCGCCTTGACCTGTCTCTTCTTGCCAGTGCCGGTCTAGTTTCAGATAGAATGTCATTTGACAAGAAAGAAATACGAACTCGCACTGGGCTCTTGTGAGTCAAATGTACACGTCGGATCATTAATTTTGTCTGATTATCACACCCTTAGCTATAAGCAAAACAAGTTCAACCTTTTACGCGAACAGTCCGAAGGCTACAGCAAGCTTTCGGTGGAGCTCACGAGTTCCTTGGGTCCTGCGCACTCACATGCTGATGCTAGACCGGTGGAAAGCTACGCTTCTATCGAAGACCGTGCGCGCCAAGTTTGGGAAAAAGTGATCAGCCTCATTGGTTATTTCGACCTCGACCCGAATCGCGCTTTGGACATCATCTTGGATGTATTGTCGGTCAACGTGGCAACCCATTACACATTTTTCTTGGCATTGCTTTCGTTTTCTCCATGGACCGGACTGTATAGACGTCCCGCAATGTCCACAGCTAGCCGTATGGCTGTCGATTCTGTTGCTGAACAGTTAAGGGATAGGAGCCTGGATGAAGTGTTGAAAGCCACCGAGGCAAATGTTAACGATCAGTCGACACCCGTGGACAATGATGGCGGCAGCGAGTCTCGAGTGCTAGCACAGGTGCTTGGTTTCAAATTCTCCCATTATCAGGTCAGTCTTTTTTGAGATGAATTGGTGCTTGCAATTTACTCGTCCTATAGTCTCCAGAAGCTCATGAACCTTCCCCGAAGAACCTCTATCTAACTGCTGCTATCTTGATCAGGGAGGGTTTCATCACCGCAGAAGATCTTTATCCCCACGTGAGGACATACTTCTGTCGAATGGTTGTCGACCTACTGACCACGCAGCAGCTTACTCCAAGGGATGCGGACATCGAAACATACCACAAGGATTATCTTGACAAGGTCCGGCAGCGCATTTCTGATGCCAAAATCAGTCAGCTCGCCATGGCAGCTCCTTTGGAATCTTCTAGCTCAACTTCACAGCCTCGTGTAGAACCTGTGGAAGTGAAGAAGAGTGCCGAGTTCAGAGCTCCTAACCAAATCGCTGGGCTCGTCAACGGCCTTCTTTCGGTGGGAGCTCTACGCCCGGCGATCGCGGTTCTGACGAGGATTCCTTGGCTTGTTGACGCTCACCCCGAGTTGGCAGATCTGATACTGAGGGTTCTGAAGCATTCCATTGCTCCTCTGTATGATGCGACATTTGTCCTCAAAGAACGCAATCCAAGTTTCACGCAACCCCGTGCACGTTTCAGCGCTACTGGAACGCTGGCGGTTCCAATTCGTAAATATCAGTTGTCATTAATAGCCCCCACTCCTCCCAGTACTGCATCAGTCGATTTCGTCTTTTTCTTTCCCGATTGGACCCAGCGCGTCCCCCTTTGCACTTCCTTCGAGGACATGGTGACCGTCATCGAGCCCTTCATGAGTTTCATTGGACTGCACATTTCGCGTGATCCTTTGTTCGTCACAAAGATTACGAGGCTCGGGCGCTCACAGCTGGTATCAACTGTGAGTTGTTCATTTACTCATTTAACTGGTGGTTGACTCAATCCATCATAGCTTCCCTTGGATCCCGTTTCCAGAAAACCATCAAGTGAACCTGACACGAATCATCCCGTCCGACAGTTCTGGTTCAAGCTTCTTCGGTTATATTTCCTGCCTGCACTTCCTCTCATTCGAGGCAACGCAGTTTGCACTGTTGACATTTGGAACATCATTCGACAATACGAGACCACTGCAAGATGGAGATTATACGGAGAGTGGAAATCCAGTTACGTATCCCACCCCGAACTTCGCATTCGCCAAGTGCAAGCCGACCGTGAAAGCAAAGGCATTTTGCGACGTCTGTCGCATAATACAATCGAGACGCTATCTGGAACAGTCGCGAAACTGGCTCATTCAAATCCTTGTATCTTCTTCACGAACGCCGTCAACCAAATCATGGCATATGACAACCTTGCCGGCGTCGTCATACAAGCATTGCGATATGTCACCAATATGGGATTCGATGTACTCGTGTATGTCATCCTTGATGCTCTATCAAATCCACATAAGAACCGCGTCAAGGATGATGGAGTCAACACTTCCGACTGGCTGCAAAGTTCGTTTCGTTTTGTTCCTTTGTTCTTACTGTCTTTAATACCTATCTTAGGTTTGGCATCCTTCACCGGCATGCTTTTCCGGCGGTACAGCGCTGACCTGTCGCCCTTGCTGAAATACGTGGTTCACCAGCTGTATAATGGCCAAACAACAGAGATCGTTGTACTTCGGGAGTTGATCTGGAAGATGGCAGGCATTGAGCCTCTTCCGAGCCTTTCGGACTCACAGATAACCGCGATGGCTGGAGGACCTGCTCTCAGAATTGAAGCCGTCGCCTCAACGACTCGTGGCGCTCGCCTCGACCCAGGTGATGCTGTTCTCAAAGGACCACAACGGCTCGGGAAGACCATGTTGGAGACCAATTTAGCATTACCTCTCCTCATTCAGGTCGCACAGCAGAGACAGTCCTGCGTTTTCAAAGCCCCTGATGCTCACTTGAAATCCCTCGCCAGTTTGTTCGATACCGTAAGTTGCCTCATATCATCAGCTATACTTGCTCTTAACATCGCTTTAGACTCATGGCGTCCTGCTGCAATATCTGGATCTCCTTACCTCGCCAGCTGTAATCTCGCCCAAGGACTATGCGACGAAGATCCTGCCTAGTCTTGCAGATCTAGGGGAATTGTATGGGATAGCTCCTCCCATTTGCATGCAAATTATACGTCCTATGCTGAATGCTACGATACTGGTAAGGATATAGGATCGTTATCGCCATGCATGACTGAGCATTGTTGCAGAGCGCTGCCCAGGAAAAGGAACGACTTGCCAATGAGGAAGCTGAAAAGCGGTTGAAAGCACGTCTCTCTGCGGCAAAGCGCGAGCCTTCCGCCGCGACCCCTAGGGTGGATTCGCCGACTGGAGTAAATGGAGCCAACACTCCACGAGACACGGGTGATCAGAAGTCGTCAGCCGACGGTATACCAGAAGATGCAACTATGGATGTCGAAGTGACCACAGCGGCAACCCCAGCTGCGACTGAGGTAAGTCGCACTTGAAAGCAGAAGAGGAACATTTTCAAGCTTCTCTCTGCAGAGCCCATGGATACCGGATTTAGAAGCTCTGTTCGACGATGTTAAGAAGATAGCCAAGAATAATGTTCTTGATGTGATTGGGTAAGTTGATACTTTTGATGAAGTACCTGCGATATTCAGACTTTGCAGGCCCGGTTTTTACCTGACTTTCTGGCAACTTTCCATGTATGATCTCGCGCCACCAGCAGCCCGGTATGATGAGGAGTGTGCTGCTTTGCGGACACTGAGCCGTCAAGAAGACACCAAATATATAGCGGCTGACCGTTCTGCTGATAGAACGAAAAGGCTCACAGCTGGCTCCCATCGGGCTAAACGGGACAGATACAATACTTTTGTGAATACTCTTGCTCAGGAGTTCAAAGAACAAACTGCATCGAGAGTGTTTACGATGAAACGACTAGCCCGAGAGAAGCATCACTGGTTCGCTCACAGTAAGACTCCTGCAGTCACATCTAGTTTCAATTCCTGACATACATTCTAGCCGAGTATCGTTCATCGGTCCTTGCTTCTGCAATCATCGAGCATTGCATTCAACCACGATGCCTCTTGTCGCCCATGGATGCAGACTTTTGCGCACAATTCATTAAAGTGATGCACACGCAAGGGACTCCAGGGTTTCCTACTCTCGTAGTTTATGACAAGGTGCGTCCCTTTCGCTCTGTAATCCATCGTATACCTATGGGTGTTATTAGTTGCTCGGGGACCACGTGAAGGCGGTTGTCTTTTCCTGCAGCGAATATGAAGCCAAGAACTATGGTAACCCATCTACATCTCTTACCTCTTACTCGTGACAATTTCTAACAGTAGTTATCAGGTCGCTTTTTACTGGGGATACTGACAGATCTCTGGAAGTGGGCTCAAGATGAGCAGCTCTTTTTGATGGAAAATCGCACAAAGGTTGGAGGAAAGACTGTCCTGCTTCCGGGTTTCCAGCATAGATGGTCGAGTAAAGATCATGCCAGTATCGCTCCGGACGACCTTCTGTCATGGACGGGGTTCAAGCAGATTCTCCGCAAATGGCATCGAAAGCTGGGACGGGTATGTTTCTGGCAGTCTTCTGGTGATCAAGCTGACATTTAATCCTCGTTATAGAGTCTTTTGAGCTGCATTGAGACAACAGAATTCATGCACGTCTACAACGCTATTATTGTATTGAAAGAGATTCTTCCCGTTTTCCCTCTCGCCGCAGTGGGTGATGCTGGACCTGCTATCGATACCGTAATGGAGAAGTTTTTGGAAAAGGAAGAGCGCGGTGACCTCAAGATTCTAGGCCGAGCGTAAGTCTGTTGTTTTAGCTGTCTGGAACAAAGCTCATAGATAACAGTTACTCCGCGAGTCTGAAAAAGCGAGAGTCGTTCTGGGCAGTGCCGAAGTCACTTGTTGCCAAGGTACTATTCACCTATCGCACATAAGAACCTCCTTTAACCCTCTTTTGGACATAGTCTAATGGGGATCCTATGTCGCCGAAACTAGCAACTTCAACGGCTATCCTTCCCGAGAAGCAAGCTCGCACTCCGGTACCTCCTAACGGTACTGCCACACCTACGGCAGATCGAATTAGCACTCCAGTTCCCCCCACCTCACTTCGTGTGAACGGAGCTTCCCAGCTTGTCGTCGATAGACCCAGCACGCCAGCAACATCCACTAGGTTGGCCATTGACAGGCATGTACTGATATTTATTCTATCATACTGGTTACTCATCACATGTGTAGCATCCCACGGCCAGAGAAAGTGAAACGAGTACGGCCCGACAAGGGTAGTGAATCGCCAGCTCCTGATGGTGACGCCAAGGGTGTCGCAAAGTTCGATACAATGGACATTGACGCGCCTCCGAAGGAACAGAGATCGACTCAAGCTCCAACCCCCGAACAAACTCTTCGCCCTACCCCTCGTCTTCCTCAGGGTCCCTCTCAAAATGCTCTTCCATCTGCTCCTGCCAAAGATTCACCTAGACTTCAACGGCCACCATCATCGAATTCTACCGCGAATGCATGGGAATCTCCACATTCACCGCGCCCTAGAGCTGATGAGAAGCTGACACAAACATCTCCAAGCGAGGCTATGCCACCGCCATCTGCTCCAAGCCAGACTCTTTCGGCGCAGGAACTGCGCGAGACTGCCAAACAGAGTATTGCCAATCGCCCACCAGATCGGGCCGATGATAAGCGATCTCAACCTGGCTCTGGTGCCCCATCCCCTGTTCCTCGTCGCCGTACTCCTTCCCCTCCACCTCGCCCTGGTACACGAACACACAGCATGGAGAGTCGTGCTAGCGGCCGACGTTCCGACCGTGGAAGCGGTGATGGTGATCGACCTGATGATAGGCCATCTGACCGTGAGGCTCGGGTGGAGCCTCGTGCGCCTACAGGGCGTAAAGACGCTGTCACGCACCCCCGAAGTGATAGAGGCCCCCGAGAGCGAACATCCACTCGGGAAAGTGATCGAGACCGAGAGTGTGAACGGGAGAGGGACTCTCGCCGGGACAGACATGGTGAAAGGGACCGCGACAGAGACAGAGAGAAGGAGCGGGATCGGGACAGGGAGAGAGACAGGGAGAGGGAGAGAGACAAGGACAAAGACAAAGACAAGGACAAGGACAAGGACCGCGATCGTCGTGAGCGGGACAGAGAGCGTGATAGAGATCGTGACCGTGATCGTGATCGTCACCGCCGAGATGAGAAAGATCGTGACAGAGACTCAAGGAAAGATCGCGAGACTTCCAATCGTGGTCCTACCTCCACGGCAGCTTCTGCTGCCCTAGACACTCGTAACTTGCCCACTCGTCCTGATCCCACACGGCACAGTAGCCGAGCACAAGTGGGCGATGATGGGCTGGGCAAGAGGAGGCGTCCTACTGATGACGAGGTGCATCTCAAATCATTCCTTGTTATGCAAGTGCTTACCATCCCATAGGCTGACCGCAACTCCAAGAGAAGCTCTCGTAAGGAGGGACACCGCGAAGATCGCAGCCGCAGGTCAGAGAAGGAGAGTCATGATCGACCTCGAGAGTCTGATCGGCGTCGGACCGAGCGAGAAGCACCTGAAGCTGAACCACGTCACCCTCTATCTGACCGAGTACGTCCCTTTCGTACTTTCCATCATCATGTTGCTCACTCACAATCCTACCTTAGCCTGGCGAGAAACGATTACCAGAGGGTCCTAAGAATTTACCTCCTAGTACACCTTCTGCACCACGGGCGATGGCATCTGGGGATGCGTCTAGGGCTAAACCGGATCTTCCTGTTAGCCGAAGTGGTGGGGACTGGAAGAGTCAGCGTGACCACGGCTCACACACGTTCCCGGCCTCCGCCAGCGGCGGCCTGAATCAAGATGTTGCTCCAAGTTTACGTTCGCGCATTGGCGACAAAGAGCCTGCTCGGGCAGCTCCTCAGGCACCATACCGCTCTGACGTTCCACATAAGGATGATGACCGCGATAATCGAAAACGAACTCTAGCAGGTATGTGATCATCCTGGATTAAATGTAATCATAGCTAACTTCTAATAAAGATCGCGATAAAGACGTCGGCGAGGCTGCCGTCTCCACTGCAGAACACTCGTTACAGCCTCCGAAGCGACCACGAATCAATCGCAATCGGTACAATCCCCATGCCCTTCAGACTCATGGTTTAGCCAAAAGGACCTTGCCTATAGATCCACAGGCTGGGGATAAGTCACGTTCAACACGCTAGCGCAAGGTGACTTCACTCCAGCTCGCACTGCTGTTTGAATCCTACAGTATATATCGTTACATTACATAGTACATCAATGAATCGGACTGATGAGGCTCCACTCTACGCAAGTCATATGAATTATTAAATGGATATGTAACTGAGGTGAATGAGTGACTCCGAGTTGAATCGATATTACGAGTTGAATCGTGGTAGGTGGCGGATAACTGTCGCTATCTTTTGATCAAGGTAAGGAATTCCTCTCGAGTCTTCTGTTGAGTTCGGAAACAGCCTAGCATGCAGGAAGTGACAGTGATGGAACCTGGTTTCTGGACACCACGCATGGTCATGCACATATGGCTAGGCAGAACCGAAATAGTGAGTGTAGGAACGTCGGGCGTCGTAAACACTCACGTTGCTTCCATAACAACTGCAACTCCACGGGGCTTAATTGCCTCCTGAACGGCGATAGCAATCTGTTTAGTCAACCGCTCTTGAACCTGCAGACGACGGCTGAAAGTTTCGGCAATCCGCGCAAGCTTGGAAAGACCAAGGACTAGCTGATTTGGGATGTACGCGATAGCGACCTATGAATAAATGAGAGCATAAATATGAGCGGCACGCGTGATCCCGGAGGCCACATACTTTTCCAGTGAAAGGAACCAGGTGATGTTCGCAAAGGCTAGAAATATCGATTTCACGGACTAGAACCATCTCATCGTGATCCTCTGCGAATACGGCATCGTTGATTACATCTAGAAAAGCGGAAATGAGATGATGCAAATAACGAGATGACATCAATGATAAGCTGTGCTTCACCTGCCAATCGCTCTTCGTATCCTCGAGTCATCCACATAATGGCTTGAGCGTACCTCTCCGGCGTTTTCAGCAAGCCTTCCCGGTTGGGGTCTTCTCCGATACACTCAAGAATAGTCCGCACCGCAGAGACCATCATCTTCTCACGCGCGCTACGCTCTGCTGTGGTTTCATGCAGCCGAGACACAGTGGATTTTGCTAGTAGAACAATGAGGACTATTCAGATACCATTGGAGTCTGCGTGAAGGCATACCAGGCCATCCAAGACCATTAGGGTCGGGAAGTGGGCTGCCTCTTTCGACAGGATGAGAGGCCATGGTGAGGGGTGTCGACATACCCGAAGCAGATCGAAAGCCGTAACCCTCTCGGGCTTGAGGCCAACTGGGACGTGAGGCATTAGCTGATGGTGATGCCAAAAGAGAGTCGTTGTCTGGAGTGGAGTCATTATCAGGTCGTGGGTCCCCGTCTTGGTCATTTGACCTAAGGTGTGTATCAGACTGTTGGAGCTCTAGTTGTCGTAAACTATTTGACAATAGCTCGACGTTAGATGTCATTTTAACCGAAAGGGATGTTCAGAGGCCTGCTCGAGCAAAGAATAAATGAGAGAAATACAAGCGGATCTTTGAATCCTTATCGTGTAGCGAGACGTTAGGCTGGGGCTTGGCCGCTGTCTCACAAAGCTGGCTGCCAGTGAATTTTGCGCCGGCTAACTTCCTTGTCACACACAGGACCCCGGCTGCTCCCTTTAAACAGATTTGCTTCCGAGGTGCAGCACTTTGTCGGGTCATAGAGCGCACTTGTGTCAGGCCCTCAATCATTGGTTCAACATTGGTACATCAACGCCAGGATCCGCGCGACAAATATTTCAATGTGCCATCGGGAGTGGCACAAATTCAAGTTCGAGGTGATGCGATGGGGCAAGTCACATGATGGCCCTGGTGGTCAGTAGATCACTCCCTCCGTATCAGTCCGTGTCCCAACAAACGCTTTTCGACATTAATATACAAAATACGCGTCCAGAGAAAATAGAACCCAATCTGGCACTCCAGCGAGCCAACGGAGGCCAACGGGCCGCCGTGAACTTTTCAAATGTAACTTAGCCTTCGTTCTGTATGTAAAGTCCGTGAAACATTTATGTTGACATACCTGGGTCCTGGCAGGTGGGAAGCTCCTGGGTAGTAGTGCGGGGACTTGTCTTCGCACTTCAATTGCAATCCACAGCCTCGGAGAAGCAAATCGCGGGTTTGTCTAGATATGCCAGTAAAACGGTTGGCATATATAGGAGAGAAAAACAAAGCAAATAAACACTCGTTAGTTGACAATAATATGCTGTCATGTCGGGTACCTTGACCGCTTCCATTCTTTTTGTGCATGTGCTCGAGTTAGCGGCCCTGAGAGCGCTGCATACCAAGTTGACAACATATGCGAGCACCCGCGGAGAAGTATGTCATTGATATTGCACCTCGCGATGCCAGGAACTGTTGCAGGAGGGTTGTCGACATCAATTAAAACCTACAGTGATATTTAGACGTGGCAAAGCTGCGATGAATTGTGATGGTGTGCAGTTTCCCAGTGAACGATGATAGTTGCAGGAGCGAGAGTCGCAGCATCGTCATCATGGGCGCGGCGCATACGTCCAGCCTTTAGCTCGAAGTCGCCACGTCCATGAGAAAGTGTGATTTCGAGGTATTGGATAATATGAGTGCATACCTGGCAAAAATTTACCGAGACTGTCAGGATTAATAGACTTTGAGTGACATCCCAGCGATCTCACATAAGTACATTTGAACGTCGGTCCTTGCAATTGGGACTTTGCCGGACATGACGTATGTACGGGTCTCCGGGCGGTGTGAAGAAGCCGGGGTCCTCAGGCTGTTGTCACCCAAAAGCGGCTACTTGAAAGGAAAAGGTGTTTGGTCTGGGTTTAGCCAGCAGCTAGGCTCAAGCAACCGCTTTCACAAGCGGGGAAGCCCCTCCAGCTTGCCGTTACTAGTAGTTGGGGCATGTTCCTTGCCAATTCTGCGGCAGCACTCACTCGCGTTCTGTCATGTTCCTTATTGTCGTGTAAGAATTCTTATTCGCCCTCCTGAATGCTCACGCAATGATTTATGCCACCCTCTTTCATTCCTAAATCGTTCTAAAGTTTCATGAACCTTGTGTCTTCTGTTTTCTTCTCACTAGTTCCATGTCTCGGGACAGGTCTGCCAAACTTGTCCTGCACCGCTGGTGAATATCACCTCGGATCTCATCGAAGTAAGACGACCTACGGCTTGTAGCGGGACAAAAAAGCTTTGACGTTAACCACCGAAAGGCTGTGAGCCGGGGCTCTCTTAAACCGGGCGCAGTTTTCCGAAATGGTTTCGTAGTTCACCATTCTTATTCACTGAGAATGTGTCAAGAACTAAAGCCTCGCAACCTATGCTCATCATCACAATTCAACAATGCCAATCGCGTACGCCTCCACCCGAAGCAAATACCCTTAACGTCATGCCGCTGCATCCAGAAGGCATGGCTAGCCTCTCGTGTCATTCCTCGCCGCAGAGGATCATACCTCATGCCCGGCGCACATCGCCCGATCAACGAGGCAAACATTAAATTAGCTGTCACAATCACTCGTGGCTGCGTTTTTGACCTGTTTAGAGTCCTTTGGAGTCTACATCCAGTTCGCACTACACTTATGATGATCATAAATGTGGTTCGAGGCTTGTTCCCTGCGTTCAGGGGCTATTCCCAAGCAATGATTGTCGACGAGGTTGGTGAAAACCTCATGTTTTTTCCGCGCCTCTAACCTCAAGTCCCAAAGTTGCAAAATTTAATCTCGTCCGGTTGCTTCACCTGGTCACGCCTATTGAAGCTGCTAGTCGTGGAAATATTCCGGAGAGCGGTGGAAACAGCGGTCGACTCCTTTGCGTATGTTCATATATTCAGACTGCAGGTTTTTTTTCATGCATGAAATAGTTCCGCAAATGAGAGCGTTGTCCACGATTCGGTCCGCTTTTTCGTGGAATATCAACAGATTGCACAGCGTCTGAGGCTTGATATCCCGACACTCGCGGATCCCGTCGTGAGGGACTGTCTCCAGGAGTCCGATCTCTTCGTCAGGTCATTTAACGGCATGGGCGGGTTTGGGCTGCTCTCTCCGTTCGACTTTGTTCAAATTCTAGCGCAAATATCGGAGCTTGCATCATATCTTTGGGTGCTGTTGACCTTAATGGGTGGCTCTACTCACATGGGTGCTTTATTACTATCCATTCTTTCCGCTCTACTTCCCCTTTTCTTGAGCCGTTGCGGACTCACTTCTTCACATCCTGACCTGGCTTATACGAGCAAGGAGGCTCGCACCGCTGAACGCCAGGAAAAGCTCAGAAATTTAGCCTATAATGATACTCATCGACCGGAGGTCTTGCTCTTTGGGCTCGGACCATGGATACTGCACTCCTGGGCAAATGCTCGCAAGTCGATGATGTATGATGAACATTTGTCGCCACTAAATCAGCCTACATTGCCACAAATACTGCAGCAGATAAATGTGTCCGACCTCCTGTTCGCTCTCCAGAATGTAAGTTGCCTCTCCTTCCAAAGTTGACAATAAGTGTAAAGGCTTTTGTAGATTCCACTGTTCCTCATGTTCCAGTCTTCATCTGCGTCACTGGGTTCACTGGCACTGTACCGGAGCTCGATTCAGTCAGTGGTCTACACTGTTGGAAACCTGGTCAATACAGCTCGCATGGCATTCCAAGGAATTTTTTTTATGGGTGCCTTCTGCGCCGCCATGAACATCGAGCCTCGACTGACGCCTCCGAGCGAGGATGCGGAGAAGTATCCTAGCTTAACCAATGGCATGAAGATCGAAGCGAGGTACTTCGAATCTGTCTTTGTTTCCATGTGTGTTCACCTTCTATTTCCGCAACAGACATCTATCATATACATATCCAGGAAGCAAGGAGCCGTCACTAAAAGACGTCACCTTTAGTCTGGAAGCCGGTGAAAGTCTTGCAATCGTCGGATACAATGGCTCAGGCAAGCTCCGCCAGAAACGTCATTCGTGTTCATGCATTTATTAGCTGATTTCTAGGGAAGTCCACACTTGCCAAGGTGCTGCTGCGCATTATAGATTTCGATCAAGGTGATCTCCTTGTCAACGGTGTGGACATTCGTCGGTTGACTCCGACCGATTACCACCGACATGTCACGACCGTCTTCCAGGGCTTCTCTAAATACAATTCGACCGTCAGAGAAAACGTTGGATTAGGATATGTTCAAAATCTGCAGTCCCCCGCGGCTATTGAGCGCGCCATGCATCTCGGCGGTTCAGACGCATTTGTGGGTGCATTGCCCAACGGAATGAAAACCAAGCTAGATGCCTCGGGTTTTGAGTTCATGCCGTACTCAGCGGCGTCAGGTCCATGCCATGGTATGTCCTCGCGGTTGCAGCATGGCTTGTCTGGTGGCGAGGTAAGTTCACCTCTCGTCATACATGCGCTGTTGAACTGAATGTATTCGCAGTGGCAGAGAATAGCCATTTCTCGCGCGTTCATGCGCGCAGATCGACCGGAAGTTGATCTCTTGCTGTTCGATGAACCTGTGAGTGTCTTCCATACCTTCCACACCGTTCCCTACTCATTTCCGAGGACAGACGTCATCATTGGATGCTTGTGCTCAGAATAAGATTTTTGACACCATCGACACGGTCTCTCGCTCCCCGCAAGGCGAAAAAATCAAAACAGTGATTTTCATCACTCATCGTTTGTCAACCGCCCGGCGAGCGGATAAAATTGCAATGATGGAAAATGGCGTAAGTCGATCACCGCGTGGCAAGTTTCACAGCCTAACGCCCCTTGATCGTGTGCAGACAATAACTGAGTTCGGGAGTCATGATGACCTATTGAAAAAGGGCGGCTCTTATGCCACTCTATACAGAGCGTCCGTTTAAAGTGGCAGACCAGTGGCAGTTTTCTTAGTGTTCTTCCCTTCGCTCATAGCCGTAGATTTCTCCAGCATACTTCATAGCAACTTCATAGACTGCAATTTCGGACGATACTAATGAGTTTACTTACACATGTGGAGTTGTTAATGTACCTCTAGAACTTAGATATAGCTGTGCATCAAAGTTGGTCGTTCGTTGAATGATCCATATATACTACGATGCCATCGCGAATGTACGCGTCCACATTTTTGCCTTCCAATGGTTCAGCGGAGGCCGACACATTGTCGCAAAAGCCAACGACAAGGCCAGCGTCCCTGATTCCTTGGATCAGCGACGGAACCTGCAACTTGAATTAAATCACGAGGTAAGAGAAGTTCGGGTGCTACGTAATTGGTATCTCACCAGTAATTCCGGATCGAAGAAAACACCCAAAAGGTTATTTCGCTTTGCAAAGTCGACGCCAGCAGCTACGCTGGATGACCAATAATGAGATCCGGAACTTATATCATCAGCATGGCATCTCGTCGATGCTCGTTTCCCCTGGTCAATTTGGCCGCATTGAGACGAAAAGAACACCGGATCTGGTCATACAGTAAGTAATAATAAGATCTGGCTCCACGATCCGAGTCAAAGAAGCACTGACAGTTTGGTTGTTTCCAATTCAGTGCTACACAGACTTGTGGCGAAAATGAAGTGAACGCAATTCGGCGACGAGCGAACGCTCCGCCCAAAGCCGAAGAAGTTTGTCGGATCGTGCGCAGCACGCAATCGACAGCTTCATTGAGGTCCACTTGGCATCTGATGGAACCGCGGATCTCGATGCCTGACAGGCAAAGCCAATTCTAACGTAAGACCGAGGTGCGTTGGAAGAACCTGCGATTGATTTTTTCAATCAAACAATTCGGGCATTACAAGATTGAGCCAAACCTGCATGACATCTGCTAGAGTAACCATACAGTGCGCCAATCTGGACCATTCTTGCGCAGATACTACTTTTCTGAGCGATTTATCATCGCGCTCCAAACGACTTGCCAAAGCCTGGAATTGTTCCAGAGTGACATCGGAAACAACAAGGTCAAAAGAGGATTCCGGGAGGAGATAGTCACCGAATATCACAGGGTGCAGGTCGCGCGTCACTTGCACGATGATATGTACATGATTCCCAATTAAAGATGACAGGGTTAATGTGTGCAGCGGGGAGGCGGCGTTGGAATGTATCGAGGGTGACGTATATGTAGAATCCAGTGACCTAGGAGATTGCTGCCACGGCAAGGATGTCTGCGAATTGGAAGGCGTGCTTCTAGGTAGCGCCATTGATTTCCAGTAGGTTTCCACCGCCCCACCCACTTCCAATGTGACACCTTGGAATGGTGTTATGACATTGATTGAGACAGTAACCTAAAAGGAATGGTCGATTGAGCGAACTAGTAAGGTAAATTTCTGAGTTAAGCCTACTTCTCCGATACTATGAAGACGAGTGTCAAGGATAGGAAGCGTCACAGCTGATACGTTGTCACTGCCTTGGAAAACGGATGGATGAGCAATCGCACGGCCAATCGTTTTGGTTCCGAAATTAGGGTATATTGAGAATTCCAAGCTCAATCCTTTCAACGACGGGGATTGGAAGACAAACACATCGCAGTCTTCCATTTGAGGCAATAGAATACTGTACGGAGCAGCATTGACACCAGGGCCAGCGGTAATTACCATTTTCAGGGGTTTTGAAGATGGAAGGGACAAATTCGGCGCAATGATAGAGCTGGTCAGACGAGGATGGAGTGTTACACCTGGGCCTTTGAAGGGGTTATTGTTGACAGTAATTTCGACAAGATAATTCCTGTCCAAATAATTATGCCCATATACGCGATGCGGCATGATCGGAGGAGGAAGTGATAAAGAAGGAATTTGATCAAACTCGGAATCAACTTGCATTTCTGCATTAGTCAGGGGAGACTTGGGGCCAAGGCCAAGGGTTTCGGTGGCGTGTGGTACCTTGGCCGCAGCTTCGATGAGGATTTCCACGGATTCTCGATGCCCATACCAGGCTGCATAATGAACCGCTTGACGTCCCACTTCATCCGTTAAGTCCATTCGGACACCGGCCTCCAAAAGAATTCGAATGCAAGATGCACGACCATTGCGCGCGGCGTGAAAGAGGGGAGTCCATTCGTGGTACTTGTCTGGAGTATCACAACCTCCATGGCTCAGGAGAAGCTCTACAACTTCGGCATGACCCTCCCGCGCGGCAAGATGTACAGGGTATTCGCCATTGCTATTAGGCGTGCAACACGCCCCTTTGTCCAGAAGAAGAGACACGATTTCCAAATGTCCATGCTCACTGGCCAAAGCCAGCGGAACTAGATTATCGTTCGGCGCACTGAATGACGGCGAGATGCACTCGTCGCATAGCAGCACTTGTACACAGTCCGGGCTTCCTCGCAAGGTGGCGTAGACAAGAGGACTGCAGTTGTCCACATCGAGAACGTGTGGAGGTAGGGAAGCTTCCAAAAGCCGCTTGCAGACGCGCGCATACCCACGCATCGCCGCATAATGGAGAGCGGACCGACCATAAACATCAAGCTTCTCTGGTTGTGATGACTTCTCCAAGCACATATTAACGAGGCGAAGAGCCCCCGCGGCAGCTGCCTCGTGGATGCACGTACGCCCATTGATATCGTCGACGAAGTCGAAGTCGAACGGGACTGTGATACTGGCAAGTACCAAATCCGCTAACTCGGGTGGTGCATCGACGATAACCCTCCACAGTACGCGGGTGACATTGATTCTGCCTCCATTCTGTAAACCAAGAAGATCTGAGCGGTGAACAAGATCCTTGATAGATGCTTCATCCGAGTTCTCCACGGCTTTTCGCAAATCATACTCAAAATCGCGGAAGGGTCCTGCGTACATGTTTTTCTCGATGAAGCTCACGACATCATGGGCAGCCGGACCTTCAAGCTTCAGGCCAGCAGTAAGGTCCGTGATATCTAGGAGGCAGGATGCTACAGTATCAGACAGCTCTGATATAAGCTGTCAAAATGCATTAGAACACTTCATGACAAGCGATTACGTCACTCGCCTGCCTATTGAACACCGGTTGAACTTCAACCTGCCTCGCGAGGTAGAGCTCCTTCGTTGTTGACCGTGACCTCTTATCCCATTTCTTCAATATCTTCCTGAACCCTGTTGCGTTCATTTCGATGAATTGCTGAAGGTAGTTAGTTCGGGCTACATGAAAGAATCGTGTGGCCAAGTACCTGGAGCTTTCCAAGATCCCTTTCAAGGAGGCGGAAGCCCTCTTCGACAGCGCTCCACTCGACATGGTTCACCGTGGTTTCCTCAGACGTATCAGGGAGTCCACGAATTGCTGCGGCACGCCTTTTGGAGAGTAGCGTCTCCAACCGGAGCTTCAGCTCTGCTTCTTTCTGCAGGTAGAACGTATTGATCTTGAATGACCCGATGAAATTAAACCTCATGTAACGAATGGTGGTAGCACTATAGTGACAAACACACCTTCTCCAGTTCACGCTCTAACTTGAAGAAGAAGGCAGCCTTGTGGGCCTGGAAGTCAGAACCACGATCGTCATCCTGTTGAAGGGCAGACAATATGGGCGGTTCCTCCGGCTCATCTTGCGTTATCGATTCAGTGGGATTTGAGGTGTCTCGTTGGGGTGACACCGGGAGTGCCGGGGTACTACTCGGCGCAATAAGATTCAAGATATCGGCGGGGCGGATGCCAAGGGCTAATGCAGCAGCTTCGGACGCGGGTCGATTAGCAGCAAGCGACGAAATGATCTTCTTAAGGAATTTGTAGTCCAGATAGTATGCAGACCATCCTGGGACCTGTTCTGCTTGGATTTGTTTGCCGAACTGTAGATCGCAGCGTCGGTAAGAGCTCTGATTGGCAAAAGGGTTGCATGCGCAGCCTGACCTTCATGACGGTCAGTTATCTTTCAAGAAAGGGACTCTAACAAAGTGGTAGTTTCAGACCATGATGGTTGTCAGCAGAGGGGATTCGGACTTGAAGAAGTAGCTACTGAAACCTCGACTCCCTGAATTCCATGCACGTGCGTTAGAATTGCAGACAAATATATTGGCGATCAATTGGCGATATTGATAATCTTGTTTGGCAGTTCCCCTGACGGGCGTTGGCGTTGGCGCCCCTTCAAATAATTGCACCATACCGTCAGACTAGTGAAGGACACCTTCCAATTCTCTACACTGTAAGCACCTTGATACCGTGCTTTCCAGACTCAAGGCTTATTGATCATGATGTTGTGACCATAATGACCATGAACGTTTGTGTGAGCATGAGGTAGTACCAGTTGTCACATAACGGCCCGAGTCCCTAGTAGCGCATGTTCACACAGACAGGCACGACAAAACGACCACTCAGCGCATGCACACCTCAGCAAAATTCCTTGGCCTCTAAATATATTCACAGTGACGAACATGCATGGATCCCATAGCCAAGGGCACCGTGACAGCCTCTGGTCTACGGGTGCTAAATGTCCTAACAATTGCGCCAGTCCATTGGCGTGCTTTCGTTTCATGGTATGTTGTGCTACACGTCGTTAGGAGAAACCGAGGTCCATGTCACAGTCTTGTCAATGCTCTCAGAAAGATGCCTCTCTGAGTCTGACGCAGAAGGGCCAGTGGGCGGAACGATGTTCTGTGGAGCCAAGAATGCCACGAATCACGATCACAAGTCCAGCATTTAGCGTCAACTGTCTCTAGTATGTATCTCCTACTTCATTGCAAATCACGTCTCAGCACAAATTTACGTCGCTTGCTCAGGGGCCCTGGGTCAGCGATCCACGTTGGCATTTTGACAGTCATTGTTCAACTTCAATGCTTGTGTCTCATTTATTGATACACCACCGGGGTTGCTGTGAGCAGACACGGACAGCTCCTTTCCGAGTTGCGTATTTGCATTCCCCTCTTCATCACCGATATACCTTTTTACAAGGTGCATATGATCCCTCAAAATATTCATACTCTATATTCATACTCTCACCAGTCCCTGGGTGTATAGTGCATTAAGTCTGTTAATAAGAAGAGGTAAGTCATGCATTAACGTTGCTCATTGGCATTTATTATAATGCATAACAATGTGCTAACTAGCAGACCTGTCGTGCCTTGCTGCCTAAGCCTGGCCCCCCCGTATATTGGCTTGTCAAAGACGCTTCGTTGGACAAACCAGTCAGACAAATCTAGATAGCATCGCAAATGAATCTCGAGCTCCGAGGTAAACATTGAACTTCTCGGCGCCACGAAGCGCATATCATGTAACACAGCCGCACTCATTGTCGGTGACGATGAGCTCACCATATCTCACTTGTTACTTGTATTATGTTCGCAGCAATCTATGCAGTGGTTCGAAACTTAAAATAGTATATTGTGAGGCACGAGGAGTGGAGTGGAATGTTATATTGATCAAATGAGCCTAAAAAAAACTAGAGGGACATGATTTGCAGTCCTGGATGTACAGTCCTGAGATGGGCGAAAAGATGTATTCATGATTCATGAAGTATCTAGACTCAATAAAATGTGTGTCTCGGAAGTTAGGATGAGCACAAGAAAATGCCTGAGAATGTATATGGTAAGTGCCGGCGAGGCGAGCACGCTGCCAGAACGGTTGCCGCGAACTTTGTGGCTGCTGGCATTGGGACTGTAAACCCGAGCGGAGTTGGGACCGTCAATTTCTCGACCCGAAGCTGCAGCCGTCAGAATTTCGCGGAGAACCGCACGCTTTGTGCGCGTGGGATCAGCACGTTCGGACTGGAAAATTGACGGTCCTCAGGTGAGAAACTTGCAGTCCTTTCGAATCCCGCTCGGCAACGCTTACCAGGACTCCGCACTCTCTGTAACGCGATCGCACCGCAAGAAACGCTTCGGAAGCTCAACGAAACTACATTTTTGACCGCTCTACCTACGCCGACCGTCCCCAGAATTTTCCGTCCACAGCTCGTCCCAGACGCGACTCCTTCGAACCACCACCTCCGCCAGACGTGCCTCCTCCGCTTTTGGCAATGCTTAGGTAATCTAGTGCAGGACCATTTCCCCTTGATCAGCTAAGATTAGTATGTACTGCCAAGATATGGGGACCAAGTTGTATGGAGAATGAAGGTCCTTTGCATTGTCGACTGTTCAAAACAAGACGGTTGTCACTGATGAACGTTGACGGGCCAAAGGAGGTCGCCGGCGACTGGTGGGCTCTGCAGGATGCATCGTTTTACTAAACGAGGATGTTCAATCATTGTCGTCGAGGGTTTTTGAGCACCTTTCATGGCATTATTTCGATCTTCGTCTTTTTTCTTAAATTTTCTGTTATCATGTCTGTATGCACACGTTTGGTTTGATGTTTGTAGTGGTGTAGTTCCTGTAGGCTAGCACACTAGAGGTACGATGGTGTTCCCCCAACTTCACAGTTGCGTTATGCGAGTAACTTGTTACGCACGGCATCAGGATTTACTCTCGGTAAGATCAAGACACTGTCACATTCGAAGATTCAAGTGAGGACCAGATGAACAATGCGTATCTTTGGGAAATGCAGCAGCCCGACCTCATGCGTGCACGTCATACGCTAGACGATAGGTGTAAATGTAAAATGTTGATGAGATGTTGGGCAAGTTTACCATGGTTGTGCCGTGAAATTGAGCTAAAGCCCCACGCGCCTCAGTGACCAAGAAAGCTCGACAAATTCAAGATGTGGTAGGAACGTTCCTCGCATAATCCCCACTCCCTGCCAAGCGCATGAACTACCGATCACAGGAAAAATCCTGAAATTAGTAGATAAAAAGTACCCGACTCCAGGGAATACCATGAGGCAGCTATACTAAGACCTTCCTGAGCTGCCACGCCTTCGCGGGCAGGAGCGTTATCGGGCAATTACCGTGTTGCTCGACATGATCAGTGCGCGCAGCGGTAGCAGAATACGTAACCAGATGGTAACGCTGTTGCGTTGTTGATAGGTTCTTTGCAGAGCGGGCAATGTCCGTATTTCGTGCTGTCAATAGAGATCCCTGCAGGATGCGGTGGGAGTATTTGAGGTGGAGGGATGGCCGGACCTAGAGGGGATATAGATAGTGACCGCGCTGGGGAGCCGGGGGAGTACCACCACTCCAGAAATTTGATGAAGAAGATGGCTGTAGGTAAGAGAAGAGTCAAGGAGTCGAGCAATAATTGCGGTGACCGCAGCAGGAGCCTTCGGACTATAGCTAAAAACCCGCCCTTTGGGGGGGAGATGGCATGTTGTTTCCCTTGCTGTGCGAGCTGCCCAGATTGTGAGTGCAATGTGACTGACTAAAATGTAAAGCTTACAAAATCGTCCATATTGAGTCTGCGTAGATCGACTCCTATCCAAGCTAGCCATGGGCGGTAGAATGGCGTGCGGTCGAATAAATAGGATATGTTGTGGGCGAGAAGCCACACTTCAAATCCGGTGTTGAACCATGGGTATAGTGTTTTGAAATTTCTGCGTAGGACACCTGTGATACTCTGGGAATAGCCGTTAAGCAAAGCGCTATCGTGGAACAGTGCTGCTCACCTCGTCCGTGAGACCTCGTATATGTCTTTCACTGGCTCCATCCTCCAGGATATCAGAATCAATGCCTCCACCGAGCGTCTCGTAGTAGTCCTGCCCTTTCGCTCGTAGATAAGGCACAGCAATCTGCATTGAGGGGATGTGAGGAAGTGTCTGGTTACCATCAAGAACCCTTACCAGGAAAAATAGCGACCGCCAAATCTCGCGATTCCTGAGCTTCTCCCCAGCTGGTATTCCACCGACAGCAGCTGTTGCTCGTTCGGTTGTTATCCAAGGCTTTCTACGTCTCTTCAGACCGTAAAAATTCTCAGAAAATGATGCGTCTAGTAAATGGCATACTTGAGTTTCCCGTGTCAGCTTGTCAGATCAAAGTACCCACTGTGTTTGCGGAGATAATGACGTTCGACAAAAAGCATGATGAACGCATAGAACTCTTCATGACGGTTGACTATACGAATCAGATGGCGAGGGTAGCGTTGAGCGAATACCTGGCAGGCGTGAGTTGAGCAGTTCTCTGGAGATTCTGAGGACTTACTGCGAGTACATACTTTAGAGCAGGTTGAAGCAAGTCACGGAGCTGCTCTTGAGCAACCAATTCGAACAAGGAAGGCTTGAGCGGATCTCCGCCTACGTCGTTGAAGAACTCCATGCATGTACCAGAGTGACCGACTCGTTTGTACGATGATGGGATGCAGCTACTGGCTAAATACAGGTTTCACGTGGTGTCCTTGGTCATAACCGTTCTAGTCAGTGTACATTTCCATCGCAAATGCAAATGATCGCATCACCATCGAACATCAATGTTAATGTTGTCCATGTCTTTCACGATCGGATAGAAGGTCCCAGAGGAGCCTCGTTGAACGTTGATGCGGCAAGAGCATATCATCGTATGCCTCAGAACTTGATGATCCCGGTCTGTTTAACTAAAGACAATCCAGTGACTCCAGGTACTAAGGCAGCCTTGTAATGCCAACGTCCATCCTCTGTCGAAGAAGGTCGTGAAGTTTGAACAGCTCTATAATATTAATGTGATATACTGGCTTCCTTCAATCTGTCTTTGCAATGAGTCCATTGTTTTTACGGTATACGGTCCCGCACGAGCAGAATTCAATGAAATACGTGCTGAATGTTGAGAGTTCTATTGTCTGTCGCGTAATTGCCTCCCTTCTTATCGCCAGCTACTGGTCAAATATTATTGGTACTGTGTCGAATTCGAACAAGTCTTCCTCCCAACCCACTGGGAGTCAGTCCGCGGGGTAAATAGTGCCTCTTATTCTCCAATTTTCTGACTCTCCATTGTACTTTTTTTCCCATTCTCATGTTCACCTCCTTCCACGCAATGATACCCTCAGACGCTGAACTTGCCTCTCAAGCACTGACTGAGGAGGGCAATTATCGTTTTCCATCATTCTCGGCCTCTGACGCGGTCACGCTTGGTTTGTCTCTACGCAAGCGCTTTCGTGCGTCATCTCGACATTCAAAGGGCAAAGGACTCGTCATCTCTATACAAACTATCGCGGGTCATACCTTATTTTCGTGTACCGTGGGCGACCTTGGGCATCCAGCCGGTGTTGGGGATGTTAGTCTGAATAGCTGGACGAGTGTGGAGGGCATGGTTGGAGTTGTGAGGCAGACTGGCCATTCAAGCTATTATGTCGAGAAAAGCATGAGCGCGATGGGCAAGTCCGCAAAGCAGATGGGGATACAAGGGGATCATATTGTTCACGGAGGAGGTGAATACTTTTTCTGTACTTCTGAAACGTTAAATTCATATTTGCTTCCGCGCAGCGTTCCCGATCTGGTTGGACGTCAGTACATATCTTCCCCGTCTGCGAGTTTGAAGGGCTGATAATATTCTGTACAGAATGCCCATTGTTGTCCTATTGCTGTTGTTGCTTGCTACTCAGGTTCAAGTCAAGAAGACCACCACGTACGTCCTCTTCCAGAACTCAGTCAATCAACATTCACACAAAGACCATCAGCTTGTTGTCACAACTGTCCGGGATTATCTACACAAAATCAACAAATCCGGAATGTCAGCCTCTTCCGCTCTCGGGACTGAAATGCCTCTCCCGTCTGTACCGAACAGGGAGAGCACGGTAAGCTCATATCAGCGAGTCCAAGTTCGCCAGTTCATTAGCGAGTAAAGGCATGGCTTGCAGATCCGTCACACAACGCGCTTGGCCTGAGAAGGCGGTCGGAATCACCATTTGACCATCATGACGAATGATATACGGATGAATGTAACATATATTATCGGGGAGAGTGAGGGGTGGCGTGTAATAGATACCAATAAGACGGGCGGATGGTCATGGAATAACATGCATGCTGCATCTACTCATGGGTCTCATGCGAGGGGGCCTGCCTGATGACTCGGATGGTTTCTACTCGAAGAGTAAGCCATGCAGAGTTGAAGTAAGAGCAAAGCAACATACCGTGTCTAAGGAATATCTGTCTTTGACCCTGCGGCGAAGATGAGTCTGCGCTTGGATCCGGGTCACGAAGCTCAAAGTTTGCCTCGACGTATACTTGGGCCCCTTTCTGGAGAGTGCGCAAGTAGTTGGTCTGACCGGGATTAAAGCAAATGATGTTGTGCCATGTCGTTCCAGCCTCTTGACGGCCTGCAGAAAGAGTTTGTATGCTGCTAATGCATGAAAACCAGATTCACTCACTGCCATCAGGGTTAGGAGGTGGTGGGGGGTAGTTGGTGGTTGCTACGGCATAGCTAAAATAGACTCAGAGGAAGGTCTTGAACAGAGCATAGAGAACCCACGAAACATATTCTTTGTCGCTCTTGGTGGTACGAACCTCAGGGTCTTTGCCTAGTCGTCCAATGAGGATGAGCTTGGAGACGTCGTACGAACGCGTCGAAGTTGTTGAGAAAGCCTTAAAAAATCTATCAGCGCAAAAGCAATCTTAAAGGCGTATCAACCTACACGACGCGGCGCGCGAGCAAAAGCGTGACGAGCAGAGGAAAGCATAATTCTCGTCTTTCGAATCGCGTTCTAGTAAAAGAGTCTCGGTTTTCTGTCACGGTAATACAGGTATTTTATTTGTTCTTGCTTGGCGAGCCGCCTATTGAACCAAGGACTCGGATCATAGATTTATCATTCATAACTCGATATCCTTGTCAAATCTCTATATCTCTGTATCTCCATCTGTAATCTTTATCATGTCCAGACATAGGCTTGTACGAAATATGAACATCCATGGTATGCATGAACTATCCTGATGGTCCGGTTAATACATTATACCGACAGATGAAATGGATGACGATGCATTGTCCGACGGAGGAGACGAGTTGACTCCAGAGCAACATGGTGAGTGCACAAACATCTGTTCTTATACTGCATGTTGAGTACCTAATGTAGCTCAAATGACGTCCGGTCTCGAACAAATCAGGGAGATCATCGGAGACGAAGCAGTCTCAGGCCTCGACGACAATGTCATCAAGGACATTCTATGGGACGAGTACTTTAACATAGAGAGCACTTTATCTTTGTTGTATGGTGCGTATCAAATCGACCTAGTTAGCCTCCGATTGACGTACTCTTGACAGAGGAACAAGACCGAAGAGCATCAGCCAAAAATCGCAAAGGTAAGTTCCAACGTGACTTCTTATTAGTAAATAGTCTTGCATTCGCTTTTCCACCATGTTGTTGTTACCCCCCGTTTTGGATCCCGTTTATGGAACCGGCTACGCCGTAGACGAGACGAGGAACAGGAAGGTGCATGTCATCTCCACAATCCCCTGCGTCAACCTTCGTACAGTCAAGAGCTCAATGTGTTTTAGGGCGACCGGTCAGCAATGACATGCTACCATCCGAGGGCGCGGAGGGTGGTTATGATGGACCGCAATACGTGGCTGGACCAACGGGATACGAATATTATGACGGTGACTTGGACCGACCTCGGGTTCCCCTCATAGTGTTGGCACAGCAAGGGCAACATGAGGTCTACTATCCCGAGGACTATCCAGAAGAGGTTGACTCGGATGATATACCGTTGGGGGTCTTGTCACGCGGCTCAAGGCTCAGCACCATTACGGAGATTACCGAGAGGACTGAACCCTCCCGCCACTGGCCTTCAAAACAGCAACTCGTAGCTTTGAATAACCCACGTGCATCAACGATCACTGATACCACGTCATCATACGGACAAGTTATTGGTGCGTGTTATAAGCAAAGGTTCGACTGATATGACTGAAACCAGGACAGATACTCAGGAGCGCAGTCCTGTGGCAGCGGAATATCCTGAGACGCCAATGGACCCAAACTTCATTCCTCCATCCCCATCTCCCTCTGCAGTCCGACGTCTTTCAAACTACGAAGCCGCGCCATCACTTGCTACATCACAATCACAATCAGATGTGCAAACAGAGCCGCTTCCAACAGAGCGCGCAACTTCGCGTGCAAAATCATCCAACGTTCCTATGCCACCCATGGATACTCTTCCCGAGATATCTGATTTCCAGTCGAAGGCGAGCGAAAAACCGCTCCCTCCTAAGCCTCCAGCTAGCACTAAAACCTCGAAATTATCCATGCTTGCGAGTTCCCGTGCAAGCACGAGGACTTCTCGCTCATCTGATTTGGACACGACTTCGATACTCACATACTCCGCTTTGCGACCCACCGCTGAAAGTCGCCTGTCACTCGCAACCACTGATGCCACTACAAAACCACCACGTACTGAGAAAACACTTCCTTCTGTGAAAGCTCCGTCCACTACCACTTCTTCCATGTCTTTGCATGTCAAACAGGCCATCAAGACAGCTTTGGAGCTAGAAGCTCATGATCGTGAAAGAGCTGCCAGAATTTCGCCAAAGAGCGAGAGGAATACGATGTCTAGAGCTTCGTCAGTTTCTACTGTCAAGCCAATTATGCCACATTCGCCACCTCGGGCCGACATTACTCCAAACTTGCCAATTGTGCGCCCAGAGCCTGAGGCAAAGGCTCGCCCTCAGTCCAAGCTCGCAGCGCTTGCCCAAGCAAAAGCCAGCGCTAATACTAGCCTCAAGCCGAAGCTTGCAAAACCACCGCCTAGTTCACCTCCGAAGGAGCTTCCTAAACCTCATACACAATATTTCACGCCAATCGCAAATGGAGCTACAGCTACGACTGCCATAACCACGTCCTATCAGTCGCTCCAAAGTCTTTCCATGCCACAGACTCAGGAGTCTGCTCCATTAGTCCAGATGCCTGCTGCCGAGCCCAAGCAGTCCAAACTGGCGCTGAAAGTCAAGAAAGCGAGTGAAAAACCGCTGCCTGCACCTACTGACCATGATGCCCGTGTTATCATAACGTCTCCTTTGTTCCTGCCAAAGCCAACTAACCCTCGTGCGTCACCCTCGGCATTCGCTTCTTTACTTCTCGATGATCCTCTAACACCCCCATCTCCCGAAGACAAGGACACGCATACGATTCACAAGTATGGAAGGGAGGTACCGCAACTTGTGAAGGTGTACGAGGCTCCCCATTCTCAGAGCCGCTCCAGCCTCGGTCTCTCCCAGCGACACAAATCCTCTCGCCCAAGGGCTGTACCACCGGAGATGAAAGTACCCTTGGGATTTGCTTTTGACGTTCCAAGTCCTGACGATATCGTGTTTAACGCTCGTCGAGGAACTTCTCTTGCGCAGAGACGGTGAACAAGCTCGCTTGTTCCCAGCCTCGTTTTTTGTTGTATTTTTCTACTTGCATTTTTATTCATCCATTTCTCTGGAGGACTCTTGTTTGTTGTAGAATTACGGGCTCTAATGGAACTTTTTTGCTGATTGTTACTTCAGCCGCGAAGGAACGCGAGAAGGCGGAGAAAGCGGCGCAGAAGAAGGCAGCGCAAACGCCTTCTTCGTCAGGCTATACCACGCCAGTTTCTCAGGCCATGTCTCCTGTGAATACGCCGGGCGGTAGGGCCTCAAAGAAGTCTGGTACGGGTGCGAAGAAGTCGGGAGTGATGACTCCTCGCGGTACGGGAGGTTTGGATGCACGACTGCTCGACATGGCCGCATTAAATTTGTTGCCAAAGGAAGAAGAGGCACCAGCCGATGAGCCCCCTCCGAAAATAGCACTGGAGCGTGGCAAGCTGTTGCAGGAAGTTCGCAAAGTCCTTGAAGGGCAAGGAGCGGGTGACAAGAAGGCTGTTAGCTTGGTCGTGATTGGTACTGAGTCTTGTTGGCATTTTCCAGGTGAATTGTTGTTGATTTGGAATGACAGGACATGTCGATGCTGGAAAGTCGACGCTTATGGGTCGTCTGCTCTATGATCTGGGGAGAGTTGACGAAAAGACCCGCATTGCTAACGAGAGAGGCAGCAGTAAAGCGGGAAAGAGTAGCTTCAGCTGGGCATGGGAATTAGATGGGACCATCGAAGAACGGGAGAGGTCTGCATTTCTCTGTTTTATCAAGTGCACGTACCGACTGATCGCCAGAGGAATCACGATGGATATTGCGTTGCAATCTTTGTCGACCTCTCATCGACAAGTCACCATTCTTGATGCGCCTGGACACAAGGATTTTATCCCGAACATGATATCTGGAGCTGCGCAAGCCGATTGCGCGCTGCTTGTAGTCGATGCCAACACTGGGGAGTTTGAGGCAGGTTTCGACCGTGGCGGTCAGACTCGTGAACATGTACTACTGGTTCGGAGCCTCGGTGTATCGCAGGTGATTGTGGCTGTCAATAAATTGGATCAGGTTTGTTTCGGGCTCTACCAATTCTGCGTCTTGCTATCGCTGACATGGTCGCAGATTAATTGGGATCAGAGTCGGTTTGAAGAAATATGTGGGTTGTTACGGGCCTTCCTCGTTCAGTCTGGGTTTCCCTCGTCGAAAACGAGTTTTGTTCCAGTAAGCGCCATGCAAGGCGTCAACCTCGTCGACCGCACCGATCCCGATGCTTCGGCACTGTCTAAATGGTACAAAGGTCCTACGCTGGTTGACTTGCTCGGTAAGCCATTTCACACCGTACTTGTATCGATATGTTCAATTATACCCAGATAAATTGGAGCCACCAACTCGCGAAATCGCCTCCCCACTGAGGTTGCCGATCTCTAACGTCTTCAAGGGACAAAGTTCCGGGACGGGCGTAACCGGTCGTATATGCGGTGGCGTTGTGCAAGTCGGAGAACGTCTTCGAGTACTCCCGGGAGACGAATCTGCAATCGTAAGACGTGAGTTCTACGATCTGTTGGTACTGTTGTGAGAATGTTGTTGACCAATGTGCAGTTATCGACGTCGAGGAACAGAGTGTGCCTTGGGCAGCAGCGGGAACTAATGCGACACTGTACCTGACTTCCATTGATCCCATCCATCTGAACATCGGAAGTGTTCTGTGCCCGCCATCGGACATTGTCCCATTAGCCACAGTCTTTACAGCTCGAATCATAGTATTCGATGTCCAGCTCCCAATCATCACCGGTGCATCAGTACGTTGTCTAAGCTTCCTCGTATGCATCTCATAACCCCAGGATAGATCGAGCTCTTCCATCACTCACGAGACGTACCTGCCACGATATCAAAGTTGATAGCTACCTTGGACAGAGCTTCTGGGGTAGTGACGAAGAAGAATCCTCGGTGCGCTTCATGCCTTTTTCTTGCCAGGGCTGATGCCTAATTCTGTGTGCTCAAGGGTGCTGACCAAGGGTACCTCCGCTGAGGTGGAGATTAGCCTGCGTGCTGGGACTCTATCGGGTCCTGCACTCAGCGCTCGCCCTATTCCATTGGAGCCATTCTCGGTGAACAAAGACATGGGGAGAATTCTCGTTCGACGGGGAGGCGAGACGATTAGCGCAGGTAAGCCCTCGACCTCGAGTCCTAGCCTTCAAAGTTCTCAACACTTTAGCAGGTATTATTCTGGACATCATCTCATGAAATCAAGACAACATCGCAATAGAAACGCATATATAGTGCCAACACTTATGTACAACAGTCAAATGAATCCACAATTAGAGTAAAAGAATCCAACTAAGAGGTATCGCAATAAGATCGCGTGATGTTGAAAGATACGAGAAATTGTCTACATCGTAGAAGGCCGTGAAAGTGTGAAGGTGTGACGAATGATGAAGACACAGTAAGAGCATCTACTTCTTTTTCTCCCTGTGAAAGAAAAATTCCTTCAATCTGGCAAAGAGTGACCGTCGCTTCTTTTTCTTGCTTGCAGTGCTGAACTTGGATGACGATTTCACGGGTGTGTCGGTGGAAGTGGAAGAAGGGGGTGGGACATCCTTTAAATCTTTGGTATCACTGTTTAGCCCTGGAGTAGAGGGCATTGACGAAGGATCAGCTGCGGGGGTGTCTTGAGGCTTGGGCGTCGGCAAGGACGACTCATTGTCGGGTGTGGAGGTCTCAGCGCCGGCAGCGGGTGTCTCGGCGCCGGCAGCGGGTGTCTCGGCTGTCTCCAAGAGGTCTGGATTGACGTCAATCTCAGGCGTTGTGGGATTCACAACCGCGTCTGAAGGACGTGCAATTGCATCCGCAAGCAATTCTCCATTCTCCTTCTCGGCTGCCTGTGCTTCTGAATTCTCCTCCTTAACAGGTTCGTCGTTCTCTCCAGCTTGGGTTTCCTGTATGACAGGAGGTGCTTGTTTCGACAGAAGTATAGGAGAGTGCGTTGAAGGTTCGGGAACAGAACTTGTGGCATCTGATGGATGGGGGGCCGAAGAACCGCTTGCATCAATTTCACCTTCTGGTAAGGCTGATGCAGTTTCGTTCAACGTGTCGTCGTTGACAGGCAAGATAAGGATAGGGACGACGGGCGCGATTTGCGGCGCGGTCTTGGCAATTTCAGGGGAGGGAACTCCCTGAGTGCTCTCGGGTGCTGATGTCTCGGTTACGGGGAGCCCAATGACCGAAGTAGTTGATGGTTGTTCGGTTGCATCCTGCACAGTGAAAGGAACAGAGGTCAGCGTTGGACATGAAGATATTGCTGTAGTGATTTACCGGAACGTGACCGTGCATGTGAAATATGGAGCCAATGCCCAAGGAAACATACTCTAGTGCGGTAGTGATTTCTTCGACAACGGTGGACACCGCGCTCGACGCAGTGTCCACAATTGCATGGAGTGCGTCAGCATCACCGCCGAACTCAGCAGTTTTAACTGCCTCGACGATAACGTCGGGAACGTAGGCCCCTGGTAGAACTTCCTTATCAGAAACGACTAGGTCTCCAACGGCGCTTGTGACATGGATGGTGAAGTCGGAATCACCACGTTGATCCGCTTCCAACACCTGCTGGGAGGTCTTGCCATACAACACCGGCTCTTCAGGCGATTTGGTGGATGAAGTCATGGAGTTGGGGATTTTGGGAGCGGTAGAGGTTGATGGGTGTTCTAATATCAAAGGAACGGGTTTAGAAGGCGTAAAAAGAACGTTATTAAGGTTCCCGGCGCTATCTAACTCTGTTGGGCGGTCATCACGGGTGATCCATTTTCCGTCCACGATGAACTTGTAGGGAATCTTTTCACTCCAGGGGACCTTAACATTACCCACGAAGCCAGATGCGCCCTTGGGCAGGTGCATCGAGCGGGACCACTACCAAAATCCAAAATTAAGCCTGCGACGAATTTGGGTAGGAACTGACGTACGTGGTCAAACGAGCCAGTCAAAATCACATCTGAAGCATCAGCCATAGGGCCTGCGAGACAACGGTGAACACAAGTGCTAGTCAGTTTTGGCTGCATACCATGAAAATTCAGCCTCATGCAAGTCGTCCATGGCGTCCAATTGAGATGGTGGAGGAAGGGAGAGTACAGCCTACAGAAACCCCTGCCGTAACTGACCTCATGTTCGCAATGATTCAAGGCCGATCCGGTAGAGTGTCACGCTTCGTGACAATATATGAACGCGCCCATGTCACATCATTAAACCTTGGGCCGATAAGTACAAAATGAATACGGAATAGCCCCAAAGCGAACGGCCATATCTAATCACCGGCTCCCCTTCTTGTCCGCTCTCCACTCCTTGAACATCCCGTCAAGACTCTTGTATAATAGGTGGGATGGCAAACATCGAATTATTTCGCCCATCTTCTCCTCGGCCTCTGCCTTCCCCTTCTCACCAGAAGCCTTCCTCGCAAAGTCCACTGACATATGGAACAAGGCTAGCACTGCTAACGACACGTGCGTCTGTTGGGCACCGTGCGACGAGGACTGCGAAAGAGCTGTCAAAAGTGGCCCTGACACGCTCGGAGCTGAAATCGCAGGTGTAGATTGGGAAAAGGGGGTGGCTCGCTCGCCCCGGACTAGCCTGAGAAGGATCTCCAGCATGTTATCTACCTCGGTCAAATGCGTCTTCACAAAACGCTGTCGCTCTGTGGGAACACCGACGGGGGAGTTGATAGCCCATCCGTCCAGCACGGTCCAGATCGTCGGAGCCTTCGAGACAAAATAGTCAGGGTCGAGACTCCTGTCAAGATAGTGAGAACGAACTGGATCGGGATCTACTACTGCGATCTTTTTCTCCCACCCATCGGCAGCATCGCCTGCTACCCAGAACATTCTTCCGAACATGCTCTTCAGCCACTCCTGAACATCTCCCGATTTAACCCACTTAGGTTCCGACAATGGGCGCTCAGTATCAAGATGGACGATTAAACTGATCTTTGAAGGCAGCGTAGCCTTCGAGAAGGAAGGAAGAGTCTCATCAGCGCCGGATGCGTCAGATAGCGTTGGTAATGGTGAATATGATTTTGTCGCATCAGAAAGTCCCTCAATCTACAATCATGTTAGAGAACAGAAGAGCATACAAATAAACATTCTTACCACAACGCCCTTGAGGCCGTCGTCGCTACCTTTCTCGAGGGATATGTGAACTTCAATTCGACCCTCAGATCTGTAGACCTTCAAGTGCTCGACCACTTCCGCGTCCACGACCAAACGCCTGCTGCCGGCAGCGTACGATATTGACAGGCGGTTTGCGGATGGCACTCGACCACCCTTCGAGACTGCCGTGCTCACTTGAGACTGCGACGGTTCACCATACGTTGAACCGGAAGAGGTCGATAGCAAGGTGTTTGAAGTAGGAGACGCAGGTGGTTCAGGAAGATGCTCTTGATCCCCCACATCGGTGGAACCTTTGGCATGTACAGCGACTTCGTGCTCCATTGGAATATCGCCAGTAAGCTCTAAGACAACTTGCTCTTCCGAGTATGTGCCAACACCCAGATCCTCGTCGTGAATTGTCGATGCGAGTGACGCCTCTGCTTGAAGGGGTTTCGACCCAGAAGGCTGCGCGTTGGATACCTGCGTATCAGGATACCCAGCATGATCAGCAGACTGTTTCTCGCTATGAGGCATATCAGACTGAACAACAGGAGAATCATGACCAGTAGAACTCGTGTCAAAGGAAGCACTCAAAGAAGTAGCATGAGAAGGATCAGCTAGAATAGCCGATGAATCAAAGAGCCTATCAACATTTTCATCGCCAACAGGCTGGGTGGCTGACGAAGTATCGCCACCCTCTTCAGGCGCAGAAACCAAAATGTCCAAGTTCGGCTGTGTAGCGGCAGCACTACCATGGAATGCATCAAGGTCAACAGCAACAACATCTGAGGACGCTGATGGCTTGGATCCTTCAGCATTCGGGACAGCGTTGTCCCCAGTATGTGAGCCATCAGACTGCTCATGAACACCTCCTGAAGAGGTAATTCCGTCCATGTCAGTACTATGGGGGCCTTTAAGATATACGTTAGTTTGTAAAGCCTTGAGCCACGAATGGACGCTCCCCCCAAGCTTGAAAGCATCCACCCAAAGCGAAAAATAAGGAGGGTTCAACTCACCATTCCCAACACCATCCCCATTGAGAAAAGTATTCGTAGCAGGAACGAAATGGGGATCACTTGCAGCATGGCTCTCCTCTTCATCCACACCATCAACGGTAGTAGCTGCATCGGCATCGGCATCGGCGCCAAGATCGGCTTCATCCTCAGCGATAGCGGCCATGAGCCAATCGCCCTCACTTGCAGTTTCTGCCACGCTGGGCGCTGCGCTGCCGCGGCCCACTCCATCCATGTCAACACTGATATTATCGTCCATCTGGCTGCCGCGAGGAGGAGGCGGTCTTTCTCGACCTTCCTCTGCATCGCCATCATCATCCTCAAGCTTTTTGCGCTTGCCTTTGCGCGTGTCTGGAGGTGCAGTATATGAAGAATTATGCGGAATGGGATGCGAGTCATCGGGAGAAACAGGAGTGTGGAAATAAATGCGAATGCGAGATGGTGGAGGCGTGGTCAACGAGGACGACTGCTCCTGGTAGGATGCATCCGCCTTCGTATCTGCCGCGTCTGCTGTTGTTGCTGTGTCTGATTTTGTGGCACCAGTAAGCATGTCTTCATCCTTAGCTTCTTGTGAGGAATCCAAAAGAGAAGCAGCGACCTCTTTTTCTTCAGCCTTTATAGGCGAGGGAAGCACTCCCCACGTCCATCCAAGTTCAGGCATCTCGAGGCCCACAATTTTAAAGTCAGTGAGCGTGCGTCGATTTTCGTCCTTCTTACCGCTGCTTGCGAATTGCGATGCATCACGGTTTCCAAAATTTGTACTACCATCCTGACGACCTGCACGACCTGAAGCATGACCTTGTCCCCGTCCACGGAAAGCAGCACTGTTTTGATGGTGTTGATGTCCGGCATTGAACGACCCGCCTCCTCTGCGACCGTGAAAGTCCTTGCCGAAGCCGCCTCTCGAGCCGTGTCCACGCAGGGAATTTTGTTGACCAGCAGCGCCGCCTCGTCCGCTGCTATTATTCATGAACATGCTGCCGCCTCTGCCGCCGCGTTGTCCGGTCAAACCTCCCCGGTTTCCGCTCATGACGGCACCTCTTCCTCTGCCGGAGTTCATATTACCTCCTCTTCCTCCCATTCCACCTCGGTTACCACCTAGGGGCATCTGATTTGCACCAGGCTGCCCTTGACCCGGCCCTTGGTTCTGGGGATAAAGGCCAACACTTCCCGGGGGTGCAGGAGGAGGTTGAAACTGAGGTTGTGGAGGGGACGGACCAAGTTGTCGATTCTGACCGTGGTGTTGATTCGGGCCATCAAACCGTTGACGTTTGGCAGGGGGGAGATGTTGAGGTGGGGTGTGATGAAGACCATGGTTATGTCGAGGCTGCTGCTGCTGCTGGGGTGGTTGCTGTTGAGGAAAATATGATTGCGGGGGAGCCATTGTTTGGGTCGGATGCTGGTAAACAGGTTGCTGCTGCGCCACGATTGGCTGTTGGGGAGGTTGAGGAACATACGGTTGCTGATAGCCAACGGACGGTTGATACGGGTTGTACTGCTGCTGTGGCGGAGGTGGAGGAGGTTGTACCACGGGTGGTGGTGGCTGATATTGTTGTTGCTGAGGATGAGGATGTCTTTGCTGCCAGTGCATGCCCTGACCACCATAACCGTAGTTTGCATATAAAGCACTTTGTTCGGGAGGTGGTCTTGGTGGCTGCTGAGGAGGAGACCATGCTGGAGTATAAGCTGGAGTCGCCTGTTGTTGTTGTTGCTGCTGGGCTGCCGCCATCCAGTAGGCGGAATAATCTGGAGGTGCAGCAGGCGGTGGACCTGGAGGAAGTGGTGGTTGCGGCGGGTTGTACGTCGGTTGCGGTATAAAAGGATTTTTATTCATCCTGAAGCTACCGTCGTCACCGTCGTGGTCGATGATGAACAGCTTGTCGTCGTCGTCGTCGTCGTGACTGCTGCAGTCGACAACTTTGAAAATGCAACGAACACATTTAGGCTTACGTCAGCTACTATACCCGGCGCGGACAGCCTGAGTGCGCGGCGGACTCATGCCCACTGAGTGACTGTCCCTCGTGATCACTAAACCATATACTGTCCTCATCGCCAATCTAACCGACTTTTGTGATACCGGCAGTGAAGCTTTGAAGACGCATCGCATCGACCTTGCATATCTATTCGTACTATGCCTACTAAGTATCAGTGTCACGCTGTCTTTGCATGCGGGCATAGTGGTTTACTTGCTTGCTTGTAATCTGGCTGATACCTACATAAATATGTACACTATTTGCTAGTACATGTGCAGGCCGTAGTTGCTTAATTATATTTATGGGAGTTGCATACTGCAATCTGCATATGAGTCTGTTATCAAAGTGGCTGTGCCCCGACGAGATGAGGTCATCTCGGGACGCTTTTGGATCTTCCGCTCGTCCGAACCGCCAACAACTCAAACACTTTCACCCATCCTTATACAAGTAACAAAATGTTTTATAATATGCTCAGGACCTTATTCAAAAATGTCGTTGACTCATTATTGGTTTGTGGCTTGGGAGGAGAGTTTACGTGTACTGCATGTCACGGACATGCGTCCATTGGGTGATATCGCTCCCGGTCAGTCAGAAGGCACACGAGATATCTCATGGATCTGGAAGGCATCTGGTGCCTTGCACAACGACGATGCTGGCCTTCAAGACTGTGTGCTAACATTTTGTTTTGTTTTCTCTAACTCACACTATCATTCAGGCCTACACATTGAGTGGTGCAAAGCGCGAGCGCGCGCAGCATGCTGGTCAGCGGAAGTCTTGTTGTTGCTTCTTGAAGAAATGCGGAGAGTGATCGAGTTTTTCTGGTGGCAGTCACGCTGGTGGAAAGAACGAGGAGCTGCAGTTGTTCGGCCTATCATCAGGAGGGAGCTCTCGCCTATGCAGAACGACAGGCGTGCCTAAGGTTGGCGATGCGGCTAACCACTGTGGATCGACGTTCCAAAAATAGTAGCATCTCAACTTCTTCTAGGCGACTATGACGGCGATGACGATGATGACATAGCTACTGATGTATATATTGATGGCTCTCCGCCGGATGAAATCGAGAACTGATTCTGGTCTCCTTCTGGCCTTCTCAGATATCACAGGGATTTCATAGGGCATCGAGGGCGATGTATCACTATGTGAGCTGGACCTTGGTACAGGTCGTGCACGATGTATCAGGACAGGCCTGATGTTATTATTGCAGTGGTGGGGCTATATACCTAAGGCTGACAGACTCTCGCATTTATGTATCACTATTCTTGTGACAGTATGTGGTGGAGAAATCGGGGTTGATATAAATAAAAGAATTTTCTGTCCGTCAACGTCGTACTACTTCACGACGACCTTTCCTGACTTATACCAGCGGAGGCCCCTGAAGTGCTCGCGTTAAGACCGCCAGCCTTGGGAGGCGGGCTTGAGTGAAGCTGAGATAGTCTGTCGCTACGTTCACGCTGCAAACGATAAATGATTTGTGCATGTTGTGAATGTAGTTCACCTACATCATGATCGTGTTTATCCTTGGTGACCTGGTCGACCTGTTGTCGCACAGTCGTGACGTTTCGCTTGAGCTTATCTAACTGCCGTTGTTGGGTCTAGGAGATTTGAGCGTGAAGAAAAGGTCCGAGAGTGGAGGTGATATACACACCTGAAGGTCCGCCTGTGTAAGGTGAAGGCCAGCAACAGCTTGATCATGTTTGTGGGTAGCGGAATGGAGCGATTTAACGGTCTCCAGCTCCTGCTTCTCTAACTTCTTGACATGCTTTCTCTGCTTTCTCTACGGACTAAAGAATACTTGATATGTCAGAAGAGTAAATAGAATCCACGGGATTAAAAGCCTTGCCTTGGAAGCCTTGGCTTCTGATCTCTCCTGCTGGTGCATGGTCGTGAAGGCTGACTGCAACTTCTTTTCCTCAGCTTTGGCCTCTGTCGAGATTTTCTTCTCGAGCTTCTTGATAGACTCGGGATCTGTAGGGATTTCTGTAGGTGCGGACATGTTGGACAGGACGGTGTGTGGTGCAAGTAGTACTCAAGACTAGAAGAGCCCCTGTCTGAGACTGCCCAATTTGAATATCACACAATATTGTGCATGACAACGGAAAATCGCACAGACCAGATTACCTCTGCTGAGTCTACTCCACACAAGCTAGGCGCCCCAGCTGGCCATTACTGATTCTGTTCGCTTCCCGAAGAAGGTGGAGCAACTCATATCCATGCCCTATAAGCTTCTGATAGGCCAATAAGCACTCGTAACTCCCCGTCACATTGCACTCACCTTTTGCTCCCAAAGTCTCTAGTCGAGGAGCTGATCAACTGATTCCTATCAGTGCACGGCTGAGAAGACGTATATATCTGTCGGTAATTGCAGCCGACTGCCCTGTGACGTGAAGAAGCCGATACATACATATAACACGATGAGGGATAGACTCCATCCTCCACCTTCATTTGCGCCGCACGACCCTCTCTTTACTTCTGACGACAATAGCGAGGAGAACCATCTCGTGAATTCCACGCCTTCGTCCCTTTACCCACCTGATCAAAGCACAAGCACCTCCCAGCTGGTGCTGGACCGTTATCCATCACAAGAATCGATTGCATACCGTTCCCAGGCCAATCTGATGAGCAGCTACGAAAAGGATGTCGATTGGCGACAAAAAAGCAGACAGGAAAGTGGGAACTCTCATCCATCAGAGGCCGGCGCTGGTACCCAAACAGGGACTCAAAAGCCATCTGTCCATTACCACGAGGATGTAAATTCACCACCCGCTACTGGAAGTTACTTTAACGGCTTTCCTAAATCAGACTCACGTCAATCTTCAGAAGATGAAGATGAGGAAGATGAATTCGATTGGAGCGGGGACGAGGATCTCGACAATGAGGAAGCTAAGTTCGAGAAGAAAATGGGTGTAAAAATCAAGCCACGTAGCTGGGGCATTATCAGGTAGGTTTACAGAGCCTCAGACGTATCCCATCTTCGACCAACGAGAACATCACAGACTGGTTACTCTACTCTTCTCCTCACTCATTGGGTCCACTTTCCTGGCGGCGGTCCTGGCGACTCCCGCACTCCTTGTCCATTTCTTCTGGTACAAGCCGCACCCAACGGACTACAGGCACTATGTGGACATCAATATCGAGGCATGGCTCTTCTGGGCAGCAGCGAACGTCGTCATTTCTTGGGCTCTCGCAATGATCATTGACATCGTACCTGCTATCATACGTGTGGTAATTGCTGTCACATGGGGTCACGTCTCAGAAAGCGTCAAAACGAAGCTCGAGTTGTATGCCTCGATCAAGGATACTATCAAACCTCTATTCTATGCCGCGAGCGCCTGGCTCAGCTGGACCATCCTGTTCCAGAATATCTTCGCGCTGCACGACTCGTCCGGAGTCCAGAGTTATGCTTCGTACACGGATCGTGTGAGCATCATTCAATTTTTCCTCATCCTCCGACGCTCACCGCTCTCCATCAGGTTGCCCAAGTAATTGAATTCCTGTTCTTTTTTACACTAGTGATATGCATTCAAAGGATGCTCTCCCATGCTGTTGGTGAGGTCATCTGATTCATGTCGAAATCACAAGGCTCACGGTCCCCAGCATTCGCATTCCACAGGACTGCGTATAAGGAACGTCTGGACGAAGTCAGGAAAGCCCTTCAAGTGATAGAAAAGCTTCGCAACTACAAGCCCAAATCATCATCCCGTCACAAGTCCAACCACACCCCGATGTTTGCGACCCTCTCTGGGCTTATGCCATTCAGCGAAAAGGAACATTTCAATCTCCTCAGCAGCAGGCTGCGCTCGGAGAGCTCCGTGCCAAGCGAAAATGACGATGCGGATATGGAGGATGGGGCAGCAAAGGCGAAGAAGAGGAAGGGAAAGGGGAAACATAGGCAGCGCAACACGGCCACCTTTATAGCGTCAGAAGACCTCGAGTCCTATGGTACCACGCCAGAACCAGTTGGTTCTGTTGCCACCACACCAGCTACTCACTCCCCGGTCGATAAGCATACGACTCACAAATACCCACCTACCCCTGCTGGCCAGCGTTCTGTTTACCCGCATAATGATGACCCAACTATAGTCGTTCAAGCAGCGAAGGCATTCAAGACTGCTGTACTGCATGATGCCCGTAATATCAAGGGCGCCGATGATGAGCTTGAAGCGCTGGTCTTCAGCGTGGGCTCAGCACACGAAGCAAAGGTGGGAGCATTCGAATCAGCACTATGCGTGCACAATATTGACGCTAATGACGACTTGGACGCCAGCGTCTTGCCAGGGCGATATACAGGACTTTTAGAGATCGCCGACGTACCTACCTCGTGCCCTCAGACTTCTACCCCGCATTCGCTACGCGGGATGAGGCCAAGGAAGCTTTCCGCGTTTTCGACAAGGACAACAACGGTGACATATCGCGGCCTGAGATCAAGTCGGAGTTGCTTCGCGTGTACAAGGAACGTCGATTTCTGTCGCGCAGCATGCATGATGTTAGCGCTGCGCTCAAAACTCTCGATCAAATTTTGCTACTCTTCGCTCTCGTCATCTTGTTTTTCATCTCGTTGAGCATTTTCGGTGTCAATGTGACGCAGTCCTTGACGAGTGTATATTCCCTCGGTCTTGCAGTCAGCTTCATCTTCAAGAACTCCGCGAGCAACGTATTCGATGCCATCATGTTCTTGTTTGTAACTCAGTGAGTCCCGTGGCTGTATGCGCTTGAGTATCAGGATGACCCCCTCGTTCATAGTCCCTTTGACACTGGTGACCGATGCTTCATAGATAGTAAGCTATTGAGTCGCTAGCTGGGCATTCCTAACGTTGTATTGGAATCTTCAGATGAGAACCTAGTTGTTAAGAAGATGGGCTTGTTTGCGGTATGTGGGTTTCCAGGGATCCTTGGTCCTCCTCATACTTTCTTTACCAGACGGTATTTACTCGATCAGACGGTACTGAAACATATTACTTCAACAGTCAGCTCTTCACGAAGTTCATGTACGTATCCGAGCCTTCTTGTCCACAATATAATATCTGACAACGGCTGCAGCACGAACGTCCGCCGCAGTGACGTATGAGCCTCTTGCACATTCTCTTAATGCGTTGTACTGATCCCACTGGCAGAAAATGGCGGAGTCTTGTACAATCCAAGTTACTTGGCGCACGCCACAAGAAAAGCTGGACGCGCTTGAGCAAAGGCTGAACACATGGCTTTCCACTGAGGAGAACAGGTGGTTCCAGCCGACTACATCAGTCGTGTTGCAAAACATCAGTTACCAACGCTATCTGGAGTGTACTATTGGCATCTCACACAACTCGTACGTTTGTTTGTCATACAGCAGAAAAACGGAAGTTAATTATGTTTATCTCGTTCAGAACGTGGCAGTAAGTTCAGCAGAGAAGAGGGGTTGAGCAATGTTTTGTTGACGACTTCCTACAGAGACTGGAGCCTCCGGAATGCGCGCAGGACCGCCTTCCACGCTGCAGTTCAACATTACTGTCGGGAGCTAGGGATTACAGCGTATGAAGCACCCATGCCCATCGCATATGCAGACGCTGGCATGCAACGATACGATATTCCTCAAGAAGCAGTCGTCTCTGATGTTCGTTCTCCTGACAGCCCACATTCCCCGGATGCGGCTACAAAGAGCTTCCTTGGTTTCACACCTCCGCGAGATCAAAGCGTTCGTTTAGCACGACACTTGACCCGCATGCGCAGAAGCAAGAGTCGCAAAGCAGCTGTGCGGGGGGTGGGCGCGGACGGGGGTGGAAATGGCTGAGCTTTAATCTTCCTATATCTCGACCATGTAAAACGGTTTGTTCGGACACTTCTAAGTAAGAGTATTTAGTACTTTGCATCTTTGATCACGGACCATGGTGCTGTGGGTTTGATCTTGCGAGAACGTCCAGGAAACGGACACTCTGGGGGTACCTGTTTAATCATGTCAGCTGTGGTTCTCTCGCCCGCCAAACTGTAATCCCGCCTGGATCACGCAGGCGAGATCACAGTTTGGCGGGCGAGACTTGTCCTCTTGCCTTCTTCCCAACGTTCCTCCCGCCCCTCCCGCCCCCGGTGTCTTTTTTGCCCGCCCGCCGCTGATATCTGCCTGATCTTGGAATAGAGGATTTCTCAAACATCTGAATACATAGGATATGACTGGACTACTTACGGCGCAGTGTTGTAGTCTCGTTATAAGCTTGATCATAGAAGTCCTTTATGACATCACGACTCTTTCTGTCATAGGCGCTGCTTACTGGGCCTCAGGATGCATTTTTGGTCTGCACTGAGCCGCTAGGGTTTATCACGACCCCATTAGATGGTACAAAATCTTGGTCGAATTACGAAAGTTCCAGATCCAGAAACGGCACTCGAGATTTATGGCCCTGGGAGTAGCTCATGACTCGATGCGAGTGATAGGGGAGAAGTCGGATTCAACAGACTTGCTAGCTTCGATGTCCTCGAGAGTATCTAGGCGTGAAAGATAGGCATTGAGATTGATGATAATATTCGAGGTGATAAGATTCAGAATGACACTCAACTTCCATCCATCTATGGCGCAACTGGGGTAGTTTCAATTTCGTGGTGTGCCGGCTGTAGAGCTTCGATTATCGCGTGATGGGGGAATCTACCCGTGCCCAGTTCCAACGACGCGGTTCACAAAATCGATTAATCAGCACTTTTAACGCGTTGATCACATGCGACATACGCACCACTGCAAATCAACCGACATGGTATTAGTATACGCGACGGGGGATTTGGCCGTGCCAAGTTCCAGTGACGCGGGATCACATAAAGTGTTTCAAGCGACAGAACTAAGTCACGGTCGGACCGTCTGTATAACCGTTCATGAATTAAGGAAGATCTTAGGAACATGCGAGGAAGGATCAATTATGTTTACCGTAAGATAAGTTCTTCCTACATCGCCGTGAAGTTCTGCCAGAACAATCTGAATATTCAGGAATTAGCACCTAAAAGCAATCCGTTTTCCTACCGTTCTCTGATCCCACATCACATCCTTACAAACAATGCGTCGCTCCTTCGTGCTCGCCGTCATTGCTGCTTTGACAGCGTCAATATCTGCCATGCCCTTTGACATCCGCAGTGACGATGATAAATGTGCCGTATATTGCGCCTGGGTCAACTGCTGCCCTAAGCATATATGCGTGGCGGTCTCAAGTGATAACGAAGTGAGTATAAGTAGTTTGCGTCCTTGATTTAACCAATATGACTCACTGGCGTGGTAGGAGATCTGGGTATGTGCGAATCCGTCGTTGTGAGTGGCATGTCGCGACGGTGAACTACAGTGAGTCGTGTTCCTGCTTTCGCATCGGTGCAGTATGGTTGATGGCACGATGCATGATTTACTAGTAGTTTCTCGACGAGTTATTCAACGTGCTTGCTTCTGAACGAATTTCACTGCCGCTTGAGCAATGGAGATCTTGGAATAGAGGAAATCTAAAATACTGAGATACATGGCATATTACCGGAGTCCTTACGAGTCACTACGGATGACAATGATCGGACTTGTTATTGACTGCCTCGTCTGTGGAATGGCAATACCCCTCACCATCTGTCAGAGCGATCTCAATGGCAATGCAGGCAAGCCAATGGCTCGGGTAAGTCCCTGTTGAAATTTCTGTTGAGAAAACCCTGCGACGAGTCTCATCAACATACCTCGCCTAAGTCCTCATCTGAATCAGTCCGTCGGTCATGCCTAGCTCAATAAGCTGATCCATCCGCACGCTGCTTGAGATCGGTCCTTTCTAGGTCGATTTTACAGCAGAGTCGAATAGCCGTTTATTTCATGGACTTGCCGTCAAATCGTGCAAGGTACGAGTGTGTGAGCAGTTAATGCTGAGCGTTGAACCCTCGATCGTGATGGTCCCTCGCTGCGCACACATGTTATGTGCTAAGAACACCAGCCATAACAGAGCTGGGAATGGAGTCCCGACGTCCATGAAGCAGGCTGTTTGTTGACAGTAGAAGGTCGTGATCGTGGTGGTGGTCACGGTGGTTGTGGCTGACAGCGTTGAGGCTAATGTGTCACTGGGGTGTGCGGCGTCGCGTGCGTTAGGCGGAGAGGGCGGGCAAAAAGACACCGGGGGCAGGAGGGGCGGGAGGAACGTTGGGAAGAAGGCAAGTGACAGAGGTACCGCCAGAGTGTCCATTAGCCTGACTTTCTGGATTTTGCTACGATGGAAATAAACCCTAACCACAATGTGAATCCCGATATGGAACGTGACATCCGATATCCGACGCTTGACCTTGAACGCGTCACCTACAAACGACCGCGTAAAGCACCCAATATCAGTTCACTTCGTCTACCCCCATCATGGTACGTGCATGGCCTATACTCACCGGGATCTTATTGTTAAAAGATTCCCTAGTTTCGGAACACATACGACTCTGATAACACAGTCTTCTCGCCACAAGGTCGTCTTCACCAAGTTGAGTATGCACTAGAAGCCGTGAAGCAGGGATCGGCGGCAGTGGGCTTGCGATCAAAGACGCATGCTATTCTCCTTGCTCTTAAGGTCAGTGGACACTAATTGCCCCACGACGACTGTTCATAAGGGGTCCACGCAGCGTTCCACAGGCGAACTCGCTTCATACCAGCAAAAGATGTTCCGCATAGATGACCACGTTGGCATCGCTATCGCTGGTCTTACCTCAGATGCACGAGTACTCAGGTGCTTCTTGGCTTTCACAGTGTAACGAATGGATACTGACTTGACTGCAGCAACTTCATGCGACAGCAAGCAATGGGAGAACGTATGATGTTTAACAGACCTATGCCAGTGAATCGCCTCGTTTCTTCGATCGCTGATAGTACGTGCTCGAGAGGCTTGTGTTTAGGTGCCGCTCATTTTGTTGTTTCCAGAGGCACAGGTGAACACACAAGAGTATGGTCGCAGACCGTACGGTGTTGGTTTCCTCGTGATTGGTCAAGATCAATCAGGACCCCATCTTTTCGAGTTCTCGCCATCAGGAAATTCGTATGAGTATTACGCCATGTCGATCGGCGCTCGCAGTCAGAGCGCAAAAACCTACCTGGAGAAGCACTACGAAAGTTTCGCAGATTGTATGTGCCAAAATCAATCTCACACCGTCTTCATATCATTTACATCATTACAGGTAATCTTGAGGACCTCATTCGACATGGTCTCCATGCCCTCCGCGAGACCCTCCAACAGGACAAGGAGCTTAACGTGAATAACACGTCAGTAGGCATCATCGGACCCGAGGGTCGCCATGAAAAGCCCATTTCGCCACCAGGCAGCTTCCGTATCTTGGAGGGTGAGAAAGTAGAAGTATACCTTCAGAGTATGGAAAAGAAGGAGGAAGCACCCGCACCCGTACCCGATGCAGCATCAGCACCCGCTGCTGACGAGGATGTACAAATGTCAGGATAGACATAATATCAGTCACTTTTCTATTGATCAATCACAAAAGCTGAGGTTCGAAGATCCAACACTGTCAATGAGATGGACGGAAGTCATGGTTTGGTTCAGATGCAATACGAATAATGATAAGCGAGTGGTGATGTGCTGTTCTAAAATGTCTGGTTCAGCATGTCTTACATGCCAGAGCTCTTTGCCTGCATCCCAGCTTTCCTCCACATCTGTGCAGCTAAACCTGGCCTGCGCAACGAGACTAGTAAGTGCACCATCATGCTCATGAGAACAATGCTTCCCGCCTGATGAGCCGCTGCAATGGGTACAGGGACAAGGTATAATAATGTTGCGAGACCCAGAAGAACCTGAACATTTGCCATGGCAAAGGCTGCCGTAATGGATGTGCGAGCTAATGGTGGTAGAAGCGCACGGATGGCGGGTCGCCGACTGTAAGCGAAGAGCAGACAAGTGCTGAGATACGTAGTCATCGCCTGTGATCGAACGTTTAGAGGGATACAATATAGAAATGAACGAAACGTACGAGAACTCGATGATCGAACTGAACAGTAGTGGGATTCTCCAAGATATTTCGCCACCAGACATCAGATCCATCGGCATTCTTTGCGTAGGCGGATGAGAACAACTCGTCCAGGGGAGGTGCAAGTCGACCCCCCATAAGCGGAAATTCGTTGTATAGGAGACCAGCATCTAGCCCAGCCACGAACGCGCCTGCGAAGACTTTAATCATACTCAAATGAGAAATGAAATGAGCGAACCTGATAAAGCAGTCAGGAAGACTAGTGCAGTTAGCCCTTTGGATAGCCGAGAGAACCTCTTCACAACGGGATTTGAAAGCACGTCCCGCCAATTCATAGTGCTCGACCCGCTCCACGGGCCGCCGTTAGCGTATTTCCAATCTTTTATCACTGCTAGCCCTGTTCCAAGCATCCCTGCGTACAGCACTATAGCTGTGCCAAGATGAGCGGCCAACCTGTACTGAGAGACGCGCGGTACTGCGCCCGGCGTATCCATGATGGAGTCTTCCAGGCCTGATTTCACCATATACCATCCAAGGAAACCCTGTACACCGATGAGCAGTGCCATGCCCGTCAATTGAACAGGCATCGATGTAGTGAGCTTCTTCCGTAGACCAAAGTAAACCAGAGGGACCACGAATGTGATGCCAATAAGACGCCCTAGTACACGGTGACCCCATTCCATGTAGAAAATGTTCTTGAATTCATCGAGGGTGATAGAATGGTTGAGGCTGTAGTGCGATTACGATGATGACCCAAGGAAAAAGGATAAAGAGGATACTCACAGTTTAAATTCAGGGGTAGCCTTATACTTCTCAAATTCAGCGTTCCAGTCCTCCACATTCATAGGTGGAATGATGCCCGTGGTGGGCTTCCATTCTGTGATGCTCAAACCTGATTCGGTGAGGCGCGTTACTCCTCCCACCACTATCACCGCAAAAACCATCAGTGATGAGAACAAGAGCCAGCCCCCAACTGCGGGCGGAGCAAGCACGGGTAATTGTGATGTCTGTGCAGCAGCATGAAACGCGTTCGCAGAGAAGAATCGGGGCTCAAGAGAATGAAGGACGGTTGGCTTTCGCTGCGCGGCGACTGAATAACATCTTCGGTAGAGTGATGAGAACCGGAGAGGTGTACTGGTAACTTCAGAAGCAATGCATGACCTAGGCACTGTTCTTCTGGAGAAGTTGACTAGAGGATATGACACAGTCGAAAATGTGCGGCAAGCTCGTAAACCAAGATGAGCCGTTGGGCGCAGCAAAGCGTTTACGAAGCTCAGCTGCATAGGTTCCCTAAAGCCCAACGCTTGGACTGGTCAATGCAATATTCTATGTTGCGTGGTACTCACCTGAACATTTTGCACAGCCACATTATGATCCCTTCACTTCCGTTCACACCACCACCATGTTAACCTTAAGGAGGGGACTGGCCGCGTCACGAGCCCTTCGGAGGTTTTCAACCAAGCCCCATCTGACTCCGCCAGCAAACCTTTCTGAGGGAGAAAAGTTGATATTTAATAAATTGACCGACAAGTTTTCGCCAACTGAGCTTGCCGTGCAGGACATTTCAGGTAGGACTCTTTTGCTGCTCACGCATAGCCCACGATCTGACCTGATTGATGCTTAAAAAATCTCAGGAGGCTGCGGCGACTTTTATGCCATTCAAATAGCAAGTGAGGCATTTAAAGGCCTTTCAACCTTGAACCAACATCGACTTGTGACACGAGTACTGAAACAAGAAATTGAAGGAATCCATGGGTTGCAGGTCAGGCGTCGATGTAGTTAACACAGAAGCTTACTGACATATGATATGACTCTCCAAGGTCAAGACTATTCCACCACCACCATAGTCGACCCAGGTGCATAGAAGTTCTTCGGACACCAGTTGCATACCCGATTGTATCATATGGTACATACGTATACAGTATGTTGACAGCCTTTATTTCATTTTAGCCCTAGAACAACACCTAGAACTGCTTCGGATAAACGATCACATCTCAGTTACGCAACGCTGCACTATGGAAGCATGCACCATCGGGGTACTCCCCGCACCCATCTCTTGAGAAGTAACGGGATATTGAAATTACTCCAGTCCAGAAGAGTGGTGATTCGGTCACTTGACAAGCCTCATGACCGCTTTCTTAAACTTAGGAGCGAGATGGCTTCGCGGCCGTAGATTTCGCGATTTGGGTCGTCCTCCACCTTGCAAACACTTGTGATCAATCTCTTATCTGAGTCAAGAAGCCAATGCGGATCTCGTACCTCTTCCCAGGTGAATTTTTTCTTTAACATTGTAAAGAACCGTTTGTCCGCCTAGTATAGGCCAGTGCTATGATGAACACCTCATCAAATTAATTGATCTAATGCTCACCTTACGTCTTTTTTTGTAACAGAGCAAGATTTCTGTACTGCCACTGACCGCCATATCTGATAAGGTCTGGACCAAAAGAGGGAAAGCGGGCTCAAAGTAAACACAATCTGCTGCCAGTATCAGTTCAGGATGAGGTATCTCCGAGGGCAGTGTCTCCCCCCTGGCAGAAGGTCAATTTGCGCAGCGTCCTAGGCAAGTCAAAATCACCAATTGAGTTCGCATACCGAGACACAGGACTGCAGGTTGTTCAACGCCACATTTTGGCGCATGATATCCAGCAATGGGCTGAAAGAATTATTTCTTCACTGAGACAACTGAAGTAATAAGACGTGCAGGCACGAACGCTTGATCAGTGATCCAGGCTGTACCACCGAGTGCGCCTGCTACAAGACCGACCAGTCCTGTCCCACTCCCGAGTTCGACGATGTTCTTGTCTTTAAGATATCCGATGCCTCGAAATGCGATGTAATTTGACAGGACCTGCATTGCATCAAACGCCTTGTTCTAGCATCCAGAACAAAGGAACACACCTCACCAGCCGGCCAAGCAATGCCACCGCAGCCATGAGATGCATCAACTTTGAGTGATATTGACACAAGCGGGGAGTCCACAGGAAACGACAATCGGATCGTCTCGCCGAGGATAGACCGTGGCTGCGAAGGCACGACAGCAGTATCTTCATCATTTCGATTGAAGTCGCTGGTACCAGTCCTAAGATGCCGCAAGGGGTCTAATGCGTCGAGGGCCTCGTCTAGAGCAATCTCATTTAAGCTCGCTAGTGCAGGTGGATTGTCAAAATGCAGTGATGTGGGTTGGGATACAGCTATCATGACTGCCCTGACACTAGCGTTATAAGTTCTGATAAGTATCAAAGTACAGGAGCTAGTACACTTCCAAGTTACTTGAATTCGCTGAAAGCTTCCGGCGGTATCGCTGCTTTTGGAAAATGTACCTGGCTCTTTCAGACACCACTTAAGACTGATAACGCTTAGCATGAAACTAAGTACATATAAGTAATGCCTCCCGTCGTGGCAGCCGATGATTGGCTTCTTTTACCTACACAGTTCAGCTCGCCGTCTACACTGGTGACCGGACCCACGGGAACATACCAAACTTGGCAATCTACGCATGGGACTCATCAAGGAACCAGTGCAATTGGCATTAGAGCACGAAGCCATGCGATTAATCATCTCCCTCCGGTTTCATGACAAGTCGGTGTTAAATCAGTGCCACAACTAGACAATTAGGGTGTCATCTCGGCAAGATGCCTCACTTGTGCGAATCATCGGCTTCGCAGAAATGATATTGATGCTCGCAATCTATATAGCGCCCAATCCTCTTTGCTTCCCGCATTCATGACATCTGCAAAGATGCAGTCATCCCATGCAGACAATATCGCCCCTCTCCCCTTATTCTCTCCGCGGAAGACCTCTAGGTTGCGGGGACCGCGCCCATGTAGCTGGCTTCAAACGGCAACATCGGTGAGAGAAGAATCTGAAGAGAGCTGGTCATGGACGTGTCGGCAGGTTGGCCTGTCCAGAGCGTCAACAATATGCTCCCGCACCTCTAGCGACTCTTCTCTATCCAATCAGTCCAGTATCACTTCCGAATCCTCGTCCCCTTCAGCGTCGTGTATTGACGACACAGAGAGTTTGCCATTTGATCACAAGTCGTCACGCATACATAAACGTCGCTCTCAGCGGCTAAGACCATCGGGTCCTCGACCTCCATCCACTCCACATTCTCCCAGTTCTCCCGTGCGACCGACTCTTTCTGTCAATACATCACTAGTACAATTACCTCCCGTTCCCCTTGAGCAACCCGTCCTTCCGCTGGACCTGGCGGGGTTCCCACACATTGCCCCAACTGAACCTACGACACCCGCCCCTCAGTTACCTCCAGCGATTGCGTTTTCACCCTCAGATATACTTGATTGGGACACAATATTTGAGGTTTTAGCTTTGGAAAGTAACGCCATAGTTTGAGCTTGGAGGTACGAGTTCATTACCAGCATTGCAATCACAAGCAAATAAACTGATCACTCCATTGGATAGCAGTTATTAGACTACGAATATCTCGCACCCGGTCATATAGCATACTCACGCTTTTCGTGGATACGCTCGCGGTCACGAATACTCACTCCATTTTACGAACTCATGATTTGGTGCCTAATTTCTCGCAAATTAATAGAGGCGGCTTGTGGTGTTAATTTAGTTATGTCTTTCTTCCACGTTCCTTTTCACAAGGACGCGGCCGATCACCAAAATCCCCACATTATACCAAGACGTCAACAGCGCGAGACCATGATAATGTACTTAATACAATGTAGTATGGATAAAAATGTACACAACATATATATACAGCAACGCTAAAAAAAATGAAGGGATGAACCAACTACAGTTTAATAGAGAACAAGACATTATTCTAGGCAATGAAATTGAAGGGAGGAAACGGATGTAGCGAATCGTTTGTTCATCAAATGCATACCTAGGGAAAGTGCACACTGCTCCCGCGGCCTCCGAACAATTACAGGGAGATGCCGTCCGCGTCATCTGTTACCATAGTCTCTGTACATATATTACTAAAGTATAAATTTTATACCAAGCCACAGGAGGAACAATTAATGCTTTGATAGCAAGGATGTCATATGTTCATAATTATTTACATAATAACAAGTGCAGATCACGGAACACCAGCCCACCTAATCGTGTCTTATACAACTCGACTGAAGGTTCCCCAACTGGGTGGTCAGTCAGACGATCAGGAGCTCACGCGTTCCGCTTAATAGTAGACCACAGAACCATGGACACTACGGTAGGAAGTGTCATCGTGTGAAGGACGACGGCGGCTCACTGTCACAGTGTGTGCAAACCTCCAGACTTCCGCAGCATACCTCCATTCTCAGCGATTACTGACTTTATCATCCGCAGTCTCGAGGTGCATTGCTGGTGAACGAGTCGGACCCCTGTGTACGAAACCGAAATTTACATAAGTAGTAACCATACAATCTTGAACGTCACAAAGACTACTTACTGAAAATCCGTCAACTGGGTTAATTTTGATGCTGCGAATATGACTGCATTGGATTAGTCTTCGTAGACACCTCCGTGGGTCCAGCAGGAACGGAAGCGCATCGGATACTTACATGTACATATATTATGCGAACCTGGTCTGACTCGGAAAGTTGTGTGGCGAGCAAAGATAGACAGGTATGTCAAGCAATGATACGACTGCCATTCGAAAGGTTAGTGGCATACATGTTGGCAGTTCTGCGGCCTAAGATGCGAAGAACGAGGAACGCTAGTGTCGTAGAACCACTCGCGACCAGGAGCAGTTGTCGGGTTGCGGTTAATAAAGAATGAACGATTGTTACAGTCTCCCTTCGTTTGTTCGATGTGCACAGGTGAGATTAGGGTTGCAGCCTCTCACAAGTCGCGTGCATGTACTGGTTCTGCGCAGCCGGGGGGACTGGTATTCAGACTTCAATTTGAAAATTACGTCATATGCCACGTGTTAGCTCAGCGCTGAAGCTTGTTTTTGTGTTTTGCCAGGTCTTGCCTAGAAGGTTTACTTCACAGGCCCTGAACCCGTCTACGCAAGTACTGTTAACAACTTTGAGAAGGACTTAAAGAGAAACCTACAGCTCACGTGTCACGTCTTGACAGCGTCTACCGACATCGTAGCGCCTCAGGCTCGTAGGCGTGGCGCACAGGAGCCACCACCATCACATGTGTTTGCCTCGAGGCTTTGGAGACAGTTGGCTATGACGACGCCTCTCCTGTAGCCTCATGACTCCATGCAAACCGGATCATAGTGACCCCGGGCCCGTCAAGAGCCTCGAGGCGTCCCTCTGACCCATTCCTGAAACCGATCTCGGTGGAGAAAGCGGAGTCATTTCGGTCTCTCATCGACTCTTCATGTGATGCTTTGACTTCCTTTGGAATTAAACGCGTCTTGAACTTTCGCGTGCTTTTCCATCTCCTCCGAGTCCGAGAACGGAAGGAAATTTACTATTACTAGGTTGATAAGGGGGGAATGGGAGGCGCATCTTTCTCCAAAAGCTCGTGTTATCTGCAATCGATGAACTCTATGTGCCGCACTCTAACGGTTTGGCTCAAAGAAGTCGACAGCTGATTGATTCTTATCATTTCTGAACATGCGACCTAGGTCATCCAGTTCATTTTTACAAAGATGGTGAGTTCTCACATCGCAAATTTCGTTAAATTTAGCAGTTCTTCTGTAACCCCAGACGGCTAGAGTCTTTAAGTCATTGTGATCACTAGAATGGGTCCTCAACCCAAGATAGCCAGTCACAAGCGCCGCAACATGAGTTTTTATGGTTGATGGATTTTGCACAAGCCTGGTCCAGACTGTTGTTGAATAATAACTGATTTTCTATTCCTTTAGATCTTTAGGTCTCATTCTTCACCATCTTTCACGATGTTATATTTACGGCGGTATGGCGCGGTCATTGCAGCAGCGGACTTACTCGCTGTTCGCAACGTCTTGATATCAACCCAACCAAACATCTCCATATATCACAGCATTCTACGTATCCGATCTCAATCCCAACACAACCGACACATCATCTCTCCTAAAGCACGATCATGGTTCACTACGCGTACATCAAGAACGTACGTCCAAAATCAATTCTTCGATGTTTGCAATTTCCGCTAAATCTTCTTATAGATCAACGATGACTGGTCCTGGCGATACGTGATTGTCTTCGCCAGCCGCACAGTTGCCGATGAGTGGTGGCGTGCCGTGTCCACTTCCACCAACACGAAGTACTCGGACAGTGTCAGGCGTGTCACCTCCCAATTTTTCACCCACGACATTAACCAAGCGAACGCCGCCTACTCCATCAATGACGCCCAGGTTGCGTCTAGGTTCCTTGGAAAAGTGTTTTTCACGTTACTGCCAGAAAGAGATGACGGTCGCGTGTTGAGCGTCATTCCGTCGTCAGATTTTGCGGATCACGTTAGCGGGAACACGTGAGTTGTTTCTTTGCAGGATATTTCACATTGAGCTGATAGCTACCATGTCGAAGTTTCTTCATCCGCTCCAAAGTCTCTCCTAACGAGTACTGGTACTGTCCTGGATCGTCCACTGGCAACGTCACGCCTAACTCCAAAATCTATGTGTCGCGTACCGAACGCACCCGCTTCCGCGTCCGCCTGATGAGCGAGCGCAAGGATGCTACAGGAACCATCATGATCGGCTCTGACGAGATCGCTATCACCTTGACTTCCGCCAAGCTGTCCGTCAGAGTCTCCCGTAGCTGTCATTTGATCATTTCGAAAAGCCCTGAGCCGGGGTTGAAATTAAGTGACCTTGTGAACGGATTCGGGGTGGTGACTCCCTTGCTGGAGAGTGATCCTGAGAGCGAGGACTTGAAGGAGCTCTTCAAAACAGATGATGGGGAAGAGTGGGAACTCGTTTGAATTGGTATCATCGACAAAGCACTTGAATATGAACGCAAAATTGATTTGTTCTGTTATGATGTGACCGTGATCGAAACAAATGGACAACGACAATATGACCGATTGCGTATTTTTTGTTGAAACGCCTGGGACTGTCTCCCCTTGGCAGCACTTTCCACTACTGTTGGGTGTTGAAGTGATATCTCGTTTGGACCCATTGAACGAGGGAAATTTGTACTTGAGCACCGCGAACCTCAGCGCTCGTCCGAAACCTGCAGTGTCAGTGTGTAGTCACGCTTGAGATTTTGCTTTCTGGTAAACTCCGAGCGCTGTGTCAACTCATACAAAAACTATTGGATGACGTTGCCTGCGAGGCACGGGCCTTCCTTACAGCCTTGATCTCGCAACGGTCAAAGCAAATATGAGACTCCGAGAAAGTGTTTTAGCAACTTGACTTTTATTCGTGGAGATGTACTCAGGGACACATATGTGTAATGCCTACGATAACCATGTTGCGTACGGTTTGCTCTCAGAGACCCGTACGCAACATGGTCACTCGCAGGCATTACAGCTTTGCAGTAGCTTTCCGAAGAACGCAGTTGACTCAGACGGGACTCTGGATGATGGCACAGAAGGTGAGTTCGAGAAGCAGCTGGTGCTCATGGTGATCGCAGTCAGATTCAGATATTATGGCCGTGCTATCCGCTGCAGAAATTCGGTGGCAGGAGGAATGTCGTCCAAATGACTTCCAGTATGGAGCGCCATTGCTCAAATTCTAAGAGCTGATGAACGGCAGTAACAGGTTTTGACTGTCAGCACAGTAGAGTGCTGATTACTCTCAGCATTTGTATTACCATGGCGCTAAGTATCTGGTTGATGTGAGCACCCTTTCTCGGACGTGTCGTGCCGGGCTTGTTTGTCAATGACGTTCTCTCGGGCACCCAGGGCCGTGTTTGGGCACCTCATGAAAGCTGGTGTGAATGAGAGCAAAATAAATACAATGCTAAGTATCATAGACGGCAAACTCACTAATCAGTAAATCACAATATTTAGCAGGAGGCGGTGGATGCCCAGCTGCGGACATGAAGACCAAGACTGTGGTACGGTCTGGGCAGCTCCCGTAGTTCGAGTTGTTACCGTTTGGCTTGCCTATCGAGAAGTATTAGTATTAACCATACCACCACGCTAGTACTTGCTTGTACTACTCACCACCATACCGGCTCTTCCACAAGGACGACCTTATCAAACGGCTGCAGGCGGCTGCTGATATTCGCGGACGTCGGTCCGTGGACCGCATTCCTCTTGTCTATGTCTAATTCTTTCTTTCCTCCTCGAAACGATCGAAGGCTAGTCTCCCCTAGCTAGACCATAATAGAACGAAGACAATTGTAGAATCTTCTTCTGGATTCCCGTATCTCAACCAAAGTACCCAAACCCGAAGCCACGTGCGTCGTGCGTGCGTGCTGCATCGACTAGGATGACTCCGGATTTCACTCAGTGCGCCCTTCGACGGATGGGGCCACGACCCCTTATACAGGGGGAATGATTGTCCTCCTTCTATTGGTCTACCTAGAGGAGATCATGTAGGCCACGACGCGCCCACGACGCGCCCAGGCAAAAGGCAAGGAGCTTAAGTTAACCCTCTGCTACTACGAAAGATCAGGCAGATATCAATCAGTACTGAACTATGCTACTTACAAGGCTGTCGTGGCCGTTTTGTCCGAACTCCGGCCCCTGGTCAAAACCTATGTACTAGTAGCAAGGGACGCGGATGGACCCGGGCCCAGCCAAACGGAGCCGTAATTTCCAATTTCCAAATCTTTCTAGTCGCGTTAACGTTTGACCCGCTGGTCATCTTCTTTAACCAAAATGCGGAAGTCTTGCCTAAACCTTGAGCAGGGAACCCGTCTATACCGGGCTGAACCCCAGCCAATACGCTACTCGAACTGAAAAGAAATCCGCAGTAACGTCTATGTCGCGCACAGGACTCGCCACCATGCCATCATGGTGCATGTGTTGGCCTCGTTGAAGGCTCGTTGGAGTCTTTGGCTAGCTTTGGCCCTAAATTTCGATGAAACTGCTGTAGCATCATGACTCCACGTGATTCGGAATTGGACCAAAGCGACCCATAATTTCATCTCAGCTTGTATCTTCGCTGGTGGATCGAGCTGATATCTGCGCCCTCTTATCAGCCATCCATGAGGCCAAGATCCAGTGGACTTTTTGCGACATGTCTTCTGAAGGTGGACCGCGGCCGGGTCTTTGTGTGGTTGACTACTACCTAGTTTGAATTGTACCATTTCGATCCGGACTACAGCTCCCATCTTCCCACCACCCTTAATATTTGTCCTCGAGGCCATGGGGTACAAGCTTACGGTATTAAAGCCACACCAGCAGATATAAAGGCCTCTCGCATCTGAGACTTCCACCCCTTCATCGCTTGCTTCATTACTGTCAAAATGGCATATTCTCCATACGACTCTCCATACGACAACACCTACAGTCGTCCTCGCAGACAGTCGCTCGGATACAGAGCGACCACCCCTGTTAACTACCCTTATGATCGGCTGGGCGCGACGTACAGTGAGCCAATGCTGCACGGAGAGGTGCCACAACCTTTACCCATGGTCATCAGCATCTACTAACGTTCAATTGTGAAAGTACTATGATCGGCCATCCTACCCTATGTACTCGTCCACACCCAACCGCAGCGTGCATTATCTCCCATCATGTAAGTGCTGGACTGTTTGTATGAATTCAGACCAGCCCTGACCTTTACCAGTGTATGATGATGCAGATTATATGGATACGGGTGTCTATCCGCCTGTCGTGCAGCCCTTGGGAATGGGTAGACCACGTCGATCGTCATCAAGATCTTACTCGCCAATACCACCATCATTTTCGGACCCATTCCGCAGACATAGTGGCATAGTCAAATTCAAGCGCAAGGGTGCCTTCCGGGGCGGACTCACCCTTGGTGAAGCACAAGCCAATGTCCGATTGGCTGGCTGGGACTCGTACTCCTTCAATGACCTCGGTGTTGATCACCGAGGCAAGATCTACGTGAAGATCGCAGTGAGTACAGTTTGAGTACGTTTCCAGCTGAAGCCTTAATTGTCCATCTCAAAGTGGCCTGGATATTCACCACTCAATTACGAGATACCTGTTGACGGGTATGGGGGACGCATTGACCTTCAGTCGTTGGCGCGAAGGATCGGACGTGCGGTTGCACATTACCTTCAGGTAATTGTTCAATGTCATTCACTCAATGTAGAGATTCCTCATGCACCATATCCAGGCCAACGTCATCCCCATACCATGGGATCGCATCGAGCTGCAGCATATGGAAGAGGTCAGCATGGGTACATGGCTTCTCAAGATGAACACCAACTAAGCAATATGCTGTCCTGTGCGTAGCTCTGTTTGAAGCGAGAGACTCACATCGGACTTTTATTTACTATATATCTTCAAGTCCTCGGTAATCTATTCATACTGCAGCTATTTACTTGTCGATGCTTGGTGTATCGTCATCTCTGCGCCCTCCGAGCCCCACTCGGTTGTGCAAGAGACAAAACATGTGTGTATCCTATTATGTCACGAGCTTTGACGAACTTTTACAAGCTCTCGTCTACGTATTGGAAGGGAATGTATGATATACACGATCAACACGACCGAATGCGATCATCGAATACGCTAGGTTTGCAGTCACAGAAGTGCCGATCGCCGCTTCCGCCTCTTGTTGGACTCTCGCTTCTTACGAGGGATGCGGTGTATACCAAGGGCACGTTTCACTTTGATCATCCAGGGCAAATGGGTTTCCCATCCCTATCTCAAGATGATGACACCAGTGCGACGGAAATGAAGACATGTAGACTAACCGTGACGCGAAGTTCCAGCTTCGGATGTTTTTGCTTTGCTGGACGTCCTGGGATTGGGCAGTGCTGCTTCTGTGGAAGGGTCATGGGCATGTTATACTGGGCACATATCGGTAGTTACCCATACCAATGATGACAAACTCACTGTGTCCCCTATTCTTGTTCTTTGAGTTGAAGAAGCGGAATTTACGGCGAGCAGATGCGCGATCTTGTGCGATCTTGTGCGATCTTGTGCAATCTCGTTCATGATGATGTTCGTTTCTCTGGAAAGGATTCATGTTGATTGCAACTTGCAAGCGATCGAAATCAAGTAAAGCTTTGGCAAAGGATAGAGTTAGATTCTTGCGGGACCCTTCAAAATGCATGAGCTATGTATATATCATCCAGAAGCTTCGATGTGACGACGTTGTATACCAGTTACTAGCTATAGGTAAGTGGGGCCCGTATTATGTCCCTCGGAGGAGTTGTTCGTACTCGCGGCCGGGGCGGAGGGCTAGAGTAATCCGTAAAAGGCGGTATTCTTCTAGTAATCGTGTGACTAGGGGACTACCATACTTAATCCTGAAATCTGCCGACGGTGCGAGGGCTTAGATCTGATTTATTTGTGCTTATTTGGAGTAGGAATGTGTTCTTATCAAACCTTGTCTGTCGTAGACGTAGAAGAAACTGCGGCGATCTCTGCATGTTCTCAGATGAGGACACTGCTCTTGTTCATGCCGTTCAGAAGCTTTATGCTTCTCTGAATTTCAAGCTCCCACTCGGAACTTTCACGATTCTGGCTGCGATCGGCTTGACTTCCTCTAATCCTTTGATTCAGCCAAAGATCATCGCACTAGCTACGGGGTGCAAGTGCCTTCCAAGGGACAAGCTTCCACTGAAAGGCGAGGCTTTGCACGATAGTCATGCAGAAGTTCTTGCTCGTCGTTGCGCCATTCGGTGGTTGCTCGAAGAGATCGGTAGAGTGGCATCTGATGGATCGCATTGGCATTCTGCGTGGATATCGAAAACGACAGATGGTCGTTATCGTCTTAAAGACGGCGTTCAGATGATAATGTATATATCAACACCTCCTTGTGAGAAGCACTAGCACTTCGTATTTTGTATGTATCTCATCTCAGCCGACGGTTGTCAAGGTGGAGATGCTTCTATGCGGTTCCTCGCCATTTTCCAAGACGAGGAGATGGCGGCACTGAAGGATGCTTCAGTATTTGCACCTTTGCCCCCCAACATTGCCTGCAGAGGACGGGATAATTACTCCCTTTTTGGAGTTCTCCGTACAAAGCCCGGACGTGCTGATTCTCCTCAGACGTTATCGCTGTCTTGCAGCGATAAAATAGCCCGCTGGAACGCACTTGGGATACAGGGTGCTTTGGGCTCTGCGTTTTTTCACCCGATTTATTTGACAAGGATCATCATTGGCGAAGTCCCGCAAGATCTACATGATGTCGTGAAGTCGGATTGTGAACGAGCGTTCTGGGGGCGTCTGCAAGATATTTCTGGTACATTTTTTCAATAGTAAGACGATACTCAAAATTGAAATGTTTTACACAGGCCTTCCGGAGGGATATAGTTTGAGTCGGCCGAAGGTACAGTTCACGTCGGTTATGTTCGTGCATTCAAAGTCAGCACAAGAGCATTCTTCTCCTGCTCGACGATCATGCAATGAATGTAATTATATATCCATGCATACTTCCGCTGTCCCTCTCAGTTGGATTATCCTCAGCTTTGACTTGGGTCGCGGACTCACCATCGCCGTATGAGGTATTGATAAACGGCCTCAAACGAGGTGTTCCTCCGAAACATCGCTACAAAACAATCTTCTGGTAAGCAATCATTAATTTCCTCTCTAAACTATCTTACGCAATGTTTGGACAATCAAAGGCCCAAGCTCTCCAAAGTCTCCTTGTTTCGCCTGTACAGAAAGACGAAGAGCTTAGAGAACCTGCCGCTTGAAAGGTAAGGACCCAGGGCTATGAGCGGGCAATCTGACAAATGGCACTCACAACTTGATGTTTCGTAGTGAAACAACGACCTACCATCAAGCGAAGGAGAGCATGAACCAGTACCAGATGGCGAAAAGCTGTTTACTAGGGGAAGGTCGGCCTTTTTCGGGGTGGATTCGTAGTGGAGTTCAATGGGAGAACTTTGATTCTAGTAGTGATAACGAACAACAAAGGACTGACATTACGAATTAGACACAGAAACAAAAGCAACGAAGGCACATGTATTTAAGTCCTGTAAAACTCGCGATAAATAATTGGGGTCGGACACATATGGTAGTGGGCACAGTGAATCGATAAGTGGTATCAAACAAGTGGTGGAGCCAAAGGTCATAATTAGAAATCAATATGTTGCGTTCCAACCAAAGCGATTTCTGAAAAAGCGAGAGGCACAAGAGAACTGGGCAAATATTATGCCTATTGTTCCTTATCCTTGTCGGGGGATTCGGCGTCTGAGAGCAATTCGTCAAGGGAAATAGTTGGCAACTTCTGGTTCATTAGTAATGGCGAATTGGTAGTTGATTCACCATCCGTAAATGTGGGGCTTGATCTGCCAGAGCGACTGATGTTGCTATTATTACTGCTGTCTGCAAGCTCCTTTCGGAGTGCCTCCAGTTCACGCTCGAACCTTCAAGGGAGGGTTAAGGTTAGCTTCCTTTCCGAGGAACCCAGAACCGGGGATGCTTACTTGCGACCGAATACCTCGATATAGAAACCACCTCCGTTCCAGACGCTGACAGAGAATATAAAGATAAGGAATGCTCCGCTCCACGCAGGGCTATCATACAACAAGAACACCGCGGGTAATTCAGTAAGGAGAGAGTACACTAAAGGAAAATTAGTATCGCTAAATCGCGACGTCAAATTTCACATACCGAGTTGCCCCAACATGAACGAAAGTTCACGGTACTGTGGAGGAACTGTCGACAAAGCTCGCCCAATGGCACTTCGCTTGTCGTTCAAAAGCCAGGAAAAAGACGTCGTCCGCTGGCCAGATGCGATCTTGGTTCGACGATCCACCAATACAAACTTCCAATACATCAACTGCCAAGAGACATCTAGATGACCGGTCATGTTTAGTCGTCAAAATCATCAACAATAAGCTTACATATAGCACCGCTCATAAGAAGAGCACCCGCTGGGTCGAGGTATGGGAGTGCCTTTAGGGCGGGGAATCTGTCTTCTGCATTTGGATAGAAGTGCCTGTCCACAATGATGAATAACTTGTATAGAGAAGATCGACTATAACCAACCGGATGACCGTGAATGTAAAAGGTGCATATATATGCACGAATAATGAAGTGACTTTGTCCGTGTCATGGAAAACAAGGCTGTTTCTCCAAGTGATAACAGCACTAGCTAGCGAGCCAGTGGGATAGACAGTAACAGGCCATGAAGAGCGCAGGATTTGATGGTAAGAACCACATGTAGATCCAGTTAAGGATGGTGACATAGTAACAGAGGTCGAAAAGGAAATAATGCCATGATCGCTTCTTGTACGTGTAAGCACGAAGAGGAAGGAGATATAGACCTTGTACTGTGTATGCTATATGTATCCATCTGCATACAAGACATCAGTCACTACAAATCACGAGAAACTCTGAGAGTGCGCACTGCGGAGCCAAGCCAAACATCAAGGCCGACACGAGGAGTGACATAACACCAAAGAAGAATGTCACTTTATCACGAGTCCTCACGACTTTCGCGGAATGCCATGACTCCACTAGAGATTGCATACGGGCCGAAACCTGAAATTGACGCGTTCAATCGTCATCAATCGTCATGAATGCAAGTGTCTGAACGTACCTTCAACTTGAAGTTCTTGACTTCACGGTCGAAATTCTCCGCCAACACATCGCTTGATTGCACGCGCTTCTTCAGAGCTTCCTCAGCTTTCAACTTCAACCTATCACTATGCTTCTGTATCTGCCGCTGGAGTAAGTCCAGTCGAGAGTCAAAAAATGTCTCCATGGTGTCTATTGTAACAAGAATGTCAGGGGTTGGGGGTTTCATGGTGGGACGGGAGAGCAAAGGCTTGCCTAGCAAGGTAAAAGCACCTGCCCAATCGGATGTCTCATCTCGTATGAAACGTTCGAAAGGTGCAGAAAAGTAACCGGTCCCATTCCCTGGAGACTCCGTCCTTGAGTTCGGCGACGGTGGCCTTGATATCATTGTGGAAGTTTGAGCTTTGAATCTGAACTATGCGAGCGCAAAGCAAGATGTCAGCAGTGGACGTTTGAAGCGTTTGAAGGTACATAGTGCGTCCACCGCAGACGCGATAAATGGATGCTTACGTCATCACATGTCAATGACATTGTCTGTGGGAGACGTAGAGGCGTCTTAACATTGTCTTCATTCGACCAAGGCCTGGCTACGAGACTATAGAGATGTCTAAGCAAACTCTCAAATCTTATAACTAAGTAAAGGTCTAGACAAACAACTTAGGTTTTGTGGACGAGACTAGAGCAATTTGAGAGAGCAAGTGTATCACAATCTGTCCAAGTATAGATAAGATTCGACTTGGGCGCAATCCAGACAGGGAATGTGTTGTAATGCTCTATGTAAGTTACAGCAATAGCTCACATCAACGAAAGGTCGCCGAACTTCTCCTTGTAGCCTAGAAATATTGCTTAAGTAGAACAAGATGTAAAACAAGGTGATGAACATACCTGGTACAGTCCATTTGCCTTTCTTGACCATGGTCTCGACGGCTTCCAGTATCCGTGGGTGGGCGTTACCGACGTCCTCCACCTAAACAAAAAAAATCAGACTGGGTTTGCAGAATGAAGGATAGCAGGCGCACCGTCAAGTCTTCGAATGGACGAGCCTCTTCGATGTTTGCAAGCGTTGCCTGCAACTCCTTGAGTTCGACGTCAATTTGGGCAGGCGGTCGCTTGCGCTTTCTCAACCTGCGTTTATTCATGAGATAATTAGTCACGGCAGCAGAAGCTTAAACGCATAGAGGGCGTACCGCTTTTGCCTCGAAAGTCTCGATGGCTTTGATGTGGGCATTCACGTCGTACGTGACAACCTTGAACTCTTTCAACAACTTCTCCGCCTCGTCAACAATTGCCTTGTTCTTCAAGACGGAGCGGTAGTGTGCGAGGTCAACAGTCGTGGGTTGAGATGCATATTGCGACTGAATGCGTTGAGCATCACCGAGCCGTTTGCGGAATGCCTGCAAAGCGGCAATGGTATCTGCAAATGGAAAATCATCATTAGCCCAGCTGCATGTTGTACAAGCTGCAGTAAATGCCTTTTCCGAGCCCAAGTGTCGAGTAAATGCGGGTGAAATCCTGTCGGCGGGGAAACGAGGATGAGTATGGTGAACGCGACCGAGCACGAAAAAAATGAGGCTTACAACCGCGGCCACTGCTGCTTTTGATGCCATGGCTTATAGAAAGGCAGAAAATAACACAGGTAGCTGGGATTCTAGAGGCACGCTTTGGCCACCCACAAATAATGCTGCAAAGGACGTTGGACGCGAGAGTAGACCAAGACTGCAACGAGCGGAGGTAAGGCCGGGAATTGCCGATCCCGTTCATTCCGACTCTCAACGAAAGGTTGAGCTTAGTCTTGTACTAGTACCACAACTTGTACTATGATACAACAGCACACTTCAAATATTTCTTTCATTCGTTTCTGCATTGCCTTGGAGATTTTGTTCTCGTTTGCCGCCTGGGAGATGACACTAAACTGAATTAAACCCGATTTCGCAGTCATCATTCAACACTCTCGTAAAAGCTTGTGAAGTGCTTGTTCTAGGAAGCAAGGCTTAGGTTACAACGTCTTCCATTGTCCCTTGGCTGCCTTGAAGCAACAAGCAGTCGATGTCCTAGTGTGAGACCAGAGAAGTACCAGTATGCGGCCCGTCAAGATAAGATACTGTTATAACTTTCTCATCTATACCGTTCCCCAATCACCTGACGCCCTTATCTTGCACCGCTACCCATATAAAAACGGCACGTACGACATGACCTTCTCCTCGACCCTTTGTCTGTGGATTGCGGACACAGATCGAGGCAGTGGAGCTCGTGTGAGAGCCTGGATCAAGCTTAGGTTAGAGACGTATATGTGAGTCAAGCAACGCCGTTACCAACTTTGACTTAATTTAGACTTAAATACTACTCAATTTGTAGGAATTCTTGGATGGACGGCGTCGCTTCTACCCTTGCCAATGGCAATGTTATCATAGAGCAGTTTCGTGCTCTGGGACCCCTGCCCAGTGTCCTCCTTGTCCTTGCCGCCACCGCCATTTTTGTGACGTACAATTTCGTTCGGTCGAGAAAGAGTCGTGTGGCACCCTCAAACGCTACTCATACAGCATCCGTCACTGAGAAAGATAGGAAGATAAATAAGAACCGGGAACTTGGCGGTATGTTTGAAGAATTCGCGGTGCATGTTGGGTGCATGCGGTGATACTCGTTTTAATAGTGTGGACTGCGGAAGAATTTGAATATCCTGAAATTGGACCGTGCCCCTTCCCACTGAAGGATGTGCGCCCTGTACCATATAGACCGTTCCGATGGGGCGAATATCAGTAAGTATTTCACCATTCATTTATTTTGTCTGTTGCCATGTAAGATCTGCACACGAATCTGTGTGTTGGCGTGCGTACGGACACAATTGATCATTTTGTATTCCGTGATTCCGAGCAGCTAATATTTCTGCCGTCTCTTTGAATGCAGCATCACAATGGGCATTCGCACCATGCCCTGGAGCGAATGGATAGAACTAGACTCAACCTACCCACACTGGCAGCGTGTACGCAAGTTCCGCGTTCGCACGCGCGGGCAGGATGCCGTGCGCGTTCTTCCTACCCGAGAGGATGAGTCCGTCAAAGTCAACGGCGGTGCATGGGCAGGTGTGTTGTCTCTGGAAGGAGGCGTTGAATCTGTGCTGATAGGCCACAGCGAAGGAGCTCGTCTATGAACTCGCGGAGTACCTTCCACGGCGATACCCTTCGAGTTTTCGAATAACACGACTTCCGGATGGTGCATCAGCGCCATCCATTGGTGGCATAACGCTGGCTTGGGGACAGCAACAGCCTGTGAAAACTATCGAGGTGGTGGAAACAGGAGAGAAATTTGATTTGGGTGTACTGGAAAGTCTAGAAGATGTTGAGATGGGTGAGGAGGCAATGAGGATTACTGCAAGGCTGTGAGTACAGTCCCTACGCTCACAGACTATGTGTGACATTCCTGATCTGGTGTGCTTAGTGTACAAGAAGACATGGCGCTCATGATCGAGGGTATAAGACTCCCACACCACCTTGGGTGATAAATCTCTGAAGGTTTCTTCACACAGGCACGGATGGCAAGTACTACTTCCAGGCAGGTGCGATCTGCATTCCAGGTAAGTGCAAACAGCAAACTGCAGGAGTGTTCCCAATAGCCTTTAAAATCTTCAGGATTCTGGCGTATGCGCGACAAGATCGGAATGCCCCTGGACGACATTCATACTTCAGGAAATGTTCCGCAGTGTAAGCCTACCCATCATATTGTTTGCTGTTCAGGCTGATACCGGCGGGCGCAAAGTCAAAGAAAAATTGCACACCAGCATGGAAAGGTTCTTTAAACGGATGCCAGTGGACAAGCCGGTCATTCGAAATAATTATTTCATACAAACTTGCAAACCGTCGGAGGTGTCGCACGCCGACGGTGAGCCTCGACTGGACGTCGAGGAAGAGAGCGCTTTCGATGTCGATCCAGAGGAGCTGGGTTGGTCAGAATCGACGAACGGACAAGAGGACACATTTTTGCATGGACACGGGCATGCTGCACAACCTGCAACTTACCTCGCGCCGTCGACACTACGCCTCCGATCTGAGCGGCAAACCCTGCGTCGGCTTCCTCGTACAGGAGCCATCGTGTTTGGGATTCGCACGTACTTATTCAAAATCGAGGAACTGGCTCGGGAGCGAGGAGTGGCTATTCGGCTGGCAAGCGCTATAAGAAGTTGGCCTGATGATGTTGGGGTATACAAAGGGCGTAAAATGTATCGTGATGTGCTACTGAACTACCTAGATGAGTGCGCAGCGCGGGAAGGGAATGATGGCGTGGAGGAGGAGGGACTAGGATACCCATATTAAGAGATTGTGGTGGTCAAGGGTGGTCATAAGGCGCCGGGGTGGTGATTCGTGAATGTGAAGCGGGGTAAATTGTGCGGATCAAATGTAATAATATTCGGAAGGGACGATGTTGCTTCTTGTTGCCCTGACTGCCACGTCGGAAGTTTGTATAGGAGAGCGATAAGTAACAAGAGCGGGGTAGTTAGTAGTTGAGAGCTCGCTGTCGACGAGGATTGCGGACGACCGATACCGCGTGTCAAAGTTCTACAAAGAGAAGATATCTAAATTAGGGGTATAAGAATTACAAATGACGTGTCGGATCTGCGATAAGTAGCAAAAAGAAATGATTGCGTTTATCGAGCGTTTATTCGAACTCCGATTCAAGTTCAATATAACACGAGACTACGTCAGACGTCGTCATCCCTTCCTCTCTTCAAGAAAAGTTGGCCAATATTACGCACGGGCCACAAGACATACCGGAGTAGCGGCTTCGTGCCAGCGGAAATCAATCACAATAGCAGATAACTCATTTTTAGCGCTTCTGAAAAAGCGCTTTAACGGAGCGGTGACACTGTGTCGTCATAGGTCAATATCGCAAGCAAAGTCTTAAACTGACAAGTTACTGCGGTCCAGTTCATCTTTTTTTCCTACGTGGTGTTGTCGTCATCGTCATCATGTCCTCTACTCCTCCCAAAAACGGCGATACATCAAAATCCCCTGACGTCAAACACCCTCAACCGCTCGTTAGACAGACTAGGTCTGATTTTGACCTCGAACCTAACCCATTCGAACAGTCCTTCTCCCGCCCTTCCCATGTCCGCCATACTTCGCGTTCTAAACGTGACTCACCAAGTCCGGCATCATCTAAATCTCATCATGATAGACCAACTTCTGCCGCGTCCAATGCCCATTCCAAGGATGGTAGGTCTGCTTCTCCCAGACCCGTACTTCCCCCTCTGGCAGCAATAGCTTCTCCAAGTACAGATCAGAGTTATTCCTGGCAATTCTCTTCATCTCTTGCCAATTCTCTGCGTGCCGGTCCTCTGTCACCCGCCATGCTCGCTGGCCCCCAGCAGGGTTCAGACTCCGCATCCCATCTACCCTTTGACACCTCATTCCGAACTGGCCTAACCCCCCGCACTGGTCTCACTCCCCGCACAGGACTGACACCAGGAACCGGTTTAACACCCCTTGTGGGGGGTCCAGTCTCCTTTCCCCCTCCCTCACCAAATACTGCAGCCTTCCTTGCACTCATGAATAATAATGCAGGCGCTAATTCAAACGCTACCATCACGCCAAACACACTCAGTGCAATCACAGGTGTACTCGGCTCCTCGTCAGCGCAGTATAGCTCTGTCACACATGCTCCCACCACGAGCTCTCATCTATCTACATCCATCACTGCCAATCAGGAAAGCGGTGACCCTCCTTACCTCAGCGCATCCTCTGCCGCAAGCACTGCTGCAAATGGCTTATATCTGCTTTCTCAGGCTCATCAGGAGCTCACGAAACGTGAAGAAGCACAAGCACGTGCTAACAATGCGGCACATGCATCCGTAAATGGGAGACGTGGTACAAAGCGCAAGTCTTATGACGCCGCAAGCCCACCACCTCAGCCTGCTTCCACGGCCCGTGCGCCGTCTCAGCAGCAGACTGCTCCCGTCAAACGCGCACGTGCTAACACTGTAACTAGTGTCAGCACCAATGGCCGTGGTAAAGGCTCTACGGATGAGGACGACGACGATGAGGACGACGAAGATGAGGATGATCAACCGCATCCTTCTCAGAACCCCGGGGGGCGGAAGCAGCCAAAGAAGCCCGAAACAGAAGAAGAAAAGCGACGCAACTTCCTCGAACGAAATAGACAAGGTTTGCCTTTGTTTAACAATATTTCCTTTTCAGGTGACTGAGTTTACCGTTTAGCCGCCCTTAAGTGTCGACAGCGCAAAAAGGCGTGGCTTGCGTCGTTGCAGGCCAAGGTCGAGTACCTTCAGACCGAGAACGAGCGGCTATCGTCCGCTCTCGTCTCGTCGCGCGATGAGATCTCACGGTTATCTGCCCTCGTTGGAGGCGCTGTCATTGGACCAGGGGGACCGACTGTCGGTCCAGGAGTAGGGCCACCACCAGTAGCGGCCAACGGTGTGGCCACGAATGGCCAGCCGATCAGCATGAACATGAATCTTGTGGCCAAGGGCGCACCGGCCGCCACCTCTGGCCGCGCGAGCTACGGGTATTAATGCCTCAAAGCTTATGCCAGTCCTTTCGTCTACTTTCGTTCATGGTGTGTTGCGCTATACGTTGATACGCCACCGCTCGTGACGCATACAAACTGCATAGGATTGTCGTTATCTTATTATCGCATCGTCGTCGACACACGAGAAAGACATCGATGCACCTCCTTCAAGTTGCTTGCTTACTCTGTCTTCGCATAGTCCTCGCATCATCACTAGCATTTTATTTTTCACCATAGTTCTCCGCATACCGGCCTGCAGTGCGTCATTCGCACTCGCACCAGCGTACACGTCCGCCTGCCTAGACGTCACCTTCCTTGGCATAGCTTGGCACGTTGCCATACCCGTAACCCGACCTCCCGAGCTCCATACACTGTCCGCAAAGAAAATATAAATTGTACGCTTGTTCAATGTGAAGTAGGCGTTATATCATACATGTATCATACATACGTACATCCTGACCTGATCACATACAGAGGCATCGGCGCGCGCACATGATAAGCGTCGTCCTCGGTTGTAACGAGGCAGAAAGGCTAGGAAAAGTCTCGAGGAACGAATTGGGTTTGTACAAGTAATTTTTTATTTCTAGAGGCAAAACACTTCTTTCCTCGTTATCGCGATTCACCTGTCAGCTAGAGCCAAGCTGGCCAGAACAGGCCAGAGCGTCACGCGTCCGCGTCAAGGGTCGAGATCTTTGGTAAGTATTAGTGCCGAACACATCCCCGCGCCGCATAAGTCCGTGCATCGGTGGCGTCCGCGATCTTCCGATGGCCATATCACACAGCATCCGCCGGCAGCGACTGATACGCTCGTTCCCCACAGTTCAAATGAACACCAGTAGTAAGTCAGACAGTGTCAGAGTCGCACCACATAGTCGGTACCCGCTCGCCGACGATGACCCGTTGTGGTCGTGCCCATAGGAGACGGACTGCGGAAGACGGGACCCTGAGGCCTCGAGGCCTGAAGGCGCGATGACGTCATGTAGATCGTGGAAACGAAAGGTGCCAGCGCAAGGGGGCGACGTACTTGGGACGATATACATAATCCACCGTGGGCATGTCTGGGTTTCACCGCATTTCACACCCCGCACAATCGGCGTGGGGGTAACCACCCAATCTAATAAGAGTATCACAGGTGAATTTGAGGTGAATACGTGTTGTGTTATCGGATGTTGATCCTCTCAAACAGATGATGCGGATAAGGGATCTATGCAAGGACGACTCATATTTTCAAACTCACTGGACTTTTGACTAAATGGTTCTAAGGCGGATCAAGGAGCACAAGCCTGACGATCAAATTCCAGTCAAATAATCTGAAGTGAAGGAAATGAAAATTTGCACCTTGGAGTCGTCAGACGAAAGCTATAATATAGAGGGTTATGCATCGAACAGACATTGCTCGTTACAAATCCTTGCAGGCCATTGCCACAAGAAATTCCATGCTTGTGCGCAAGTTGAGTAAGACTCGCGGCGGTGAACATGTTCGTTTGCGCCTGCGATTCGCGCTTCTCTACATCCTGTCTCAAAGACGAGCTCGGGGTCATGTAGACCCATCATCGTCAGCAGGCTCTGACAAACCATGAACAAGATCGACGACGGGATCCAAATCGAGCCAGGCGTGTGATTCGATACTTGTGCCGGGTGTACACATGCTACGTAGCACGCGGGCACCGAGCACCGTGGACATTTCACAACGCACGTTGTGACAGGCAGCGGTGGGTAGATGGGGCTGCAAATATACTGGCAGGTACCCTCTTGTAATGGAACGATCGCAGCATATGACAACATTAGGAACAGAGTCGCGATCAGATTCAAGAGCATCCCATTCGCGTTCGTCGGGTGGGCGCAAATCACAACGAAGCTGGGCGTGGCTCGCTGGGAGAGCAGACTAAAGTGTCTTCACCTGCACATGCAGATCTATAGTCCTCAAGTCGCAAAAGTGGCCAACCAGTCTACTGCATGTGACTCGGACTCGTGTCAAAGACCAGGTCTCAGTCACCTTCGACACATGTCTCGGTAGAAGACAACATTTCCCTTTCAACGATCAGCCTCAACAACATCTCTAGTAGTAGATGAGCTCGATGACTACCTGCAGCAACCGATGGAGAATACCAAATACCCGCTGCAGTGGTATCCGAATTTGCACCGGATGGCGCTTGATTACATTCCGGGTAAGTTGTACACTGTTACTAGTCACTCATGCGTTGCACACCATAGCTACCTCAACGTCGAACGAGTGTTTTTGCAAGGCCGGCACCGTCTACACTTCACTTGAGACTACATAATGTGGTATGTACCCGCGGGTAAATGCAACACCGCTGGTAAGCTGCCATACCGCGGGCGTATGGTACGGTGTTGACAGGTACGGGTACTAATTGTTTGTGAGGATGTGATATGGGATCATCGATTTAAAGATCCCATATCACATCCTCACCAACAATGCGTTTCTCCTTTGTCCTCGTCATTGTGGCTGCTTTGACAGCGTCAATATCTGCAGCATCAATACCTGCCAGTGACGAAAATGTCCTTCTTGTGCTTGCATAGTAGACTGCAAACACTGCGATCGGCCTAAATGCGTGAATGTGAGTAGTTTCAAATGTCCTGTATTTAACCACATGACTCACCGGCGTGGTAGGTCTTCTTAGCATGCACTAGTTGAGCCCAGCCGCTACGACAGGTGACGGAGAGGGTAGTGATGCCGAGGAAGAGAAATAAGAGGGCTGGTGGCAAATTGGCCATGGAACCCAAGGTGTTCTGACTTATTTGAAATCTCTCTACCTCGATAACTTATTCTGCTGCAAACGACTATACAGTTTTGTCGGCCTTTTCCGTGTGGCTGACCGCCTGTCATTGTCGTGTCAACATGTAACCGCGATCCGCACCATCCGCTCTTAGACGTCGTGGACTGGTGTTCCCACTGAGGTGTTAGGGCTCCGATACTTCAAGCTTCGTTTACGTCTGTGCACTGCCTCGCAATACTAACGTGCAGTGGGTTTTGCAGTGTTGGCCGCACTCCAAGCCTCGCGAAAAATCCAATCAGTCGCTGACGTCGAACACATCTGTTGCTCAATCAGGGCGAAACCTTGGGCATGGACGATACCACTTCGCCACTGCAGCTATGTCCGGATAGTGCATCAGGGCTACCATACCCAACTACGTCTCTGTCCGAATCTGGGAGAGGCCCTAATGTCAAATCCGCCTGGATGACCTCCTCGCTTATATTTCGGGGTCCTCTTAAATCAGAGTTCGGTTCCTATCATCCTTGACTAGTTCCGTCTGTCAAGAACCCTTTAGATTACTAGCACAAAGTACATACCAGTACTTGTTGAAAATGTTCTGTAGCTAGTCAGCCAATGAAAATCGTTCCTGGTTCCTAAGTAGGCCCGGCCACTACTCTGGAGCTTGAGAATGAGAAGAATATCTCCCTCGAATCCTAGTGGAGGTGTGTCAGGAAATCAACATTTCAACATAACTAACTTGAACGTATATGTTACAGACTCAAAAACATACAAGCGTCTAGCAAAACAACAACAGTCTAACTTTGGATTCGATACACAAATGGATGCTGCCCAGCATTATGCATCTTATTGTTTGTCTTCTAACCCACACGTCCATGCTTCTCATCGCGACAAGGATGAAAGGTACGCGACTTCCGTGCGCGCTGTAACCTTGATGTGTTCGGGGTCGTGCGCATATGTGCCGTTTGTGTGGCTAGCTTGACTCTGTCTCTGCGCAACGAGCGCACAGAGGGCGGCTGCATGATATTCAGAATGGAGATAGAAGGACTGATTTGGTTAGACTTACCACCAGCACCGCTCCCGTCCTTAGCCATGCCAATGTCGACATGGCTCTCCACTTCAGGGCCAACGAGCGTACGTAGTGATGCTCGTAGCTTCGCTTGGAAGTTAGGGTAGAATTCGACCAAGCTTATCGCGTCCTGGTTAGCATAAAGTCCACAGGAAAAGGGCTTTCTCTACCTTCCATCTACCCCAACACCGATCCTTTTGCCTTCATCCTTCAATCCCGCAGGAACTTTGATCCCCGCTGTCCCACAGCCGTGCACGTCCAGTATGGACCAGTATAGCTGCTACGGCCGTTCCACTCATGCGTGCGGCCCTCGATGCTATTAGAGTGCATACTTGCCTGACAATGTCCGCATCCGCGAGGGATACATGCTGTGGGGACAGCTCTAGCCGCTGTGCCAGTATTCCTTGTATCCGCCGCAGCTTTTCCTCTTGAGCTTTTATGGAACCCTGGACTGTCGCCTCCCATGCCTCTTCGATCTCACTGAGAACTGCAGTGTCCAGTCCCCATTGCTTATTCAATAAAGCCGAGGACTGACCTCCGAAGAGGAGGGGCTTCGGAGCGGCGTCGATCAAACTAAGAATTACATTTCGGGCGATTTCCCCCAGATACATTCCAGAAATGAACTTCTCGAATGCCTGGAAACCTGGGTTAATGGATTCACGGTCCAGCTTGTTGTCATATGGCGTGGTTGGCAAGGCAGATCGCTGCAAACTCACTATGAGTAGTCAGGGTGAGGGGATAGAAGGATTGAAGTTACAGAGTTGTTGAAAGCGCCCCACTCGGTATTCACAATCATTTCACCACCTGCAGCGACTGCAGGGCTGTCCCCCAGTTTTGTGATCTTGGAGACCTCTTCGACATAGGCCCCATTAGTTCCTGTTCCAAAAATAGCACCGAGGATACATCCTCCAGACGTATAAGCTCGCGACAGAAGAGCTCCAACGGTCTGCCAAAGAAATTCTCATTAGCATATACGGTCACGTGCAAAATGGAGATGAAGAAGTGCAGATGAAAGAATGTTGACTGACGTCGTTGACGAGAGCTACACACTTGACATGGATATGTTTCCGGTCAAACGCGTCTTGAAGAAGCTTTACGACATCCTTTCCTATGGCGTTCTTTGCAGAGAAACCTTTAGTCCATGTGAGAAGAACGCCGGAATCGAGGGCAGATTGCTCCACGGGGAAGGAAAACGTGAGGGCAAGGGAAACATATGGAGCGTCCTCCTCGTTGACGTGAGATGTGTGAGAGTCGTAGCTTTCGGAGGAGGCGTCCGTGAGGAAAGCGTCCACGGAGTCGGCAAGATAGTCTGGGAAAATATTGGGAGGCAGGCGCGGGGGAAAGCACAAAGGCCGCACCGAAAAGAGTTGTCACTTCGCCAGTCTTGAGCGTCTCCGAGACTTTGTATTTTTGCTGTCGGATGGAGAAGGTCTGATCGCCAAGTAAAGTGACTTCGCAAACACGACTGGTAATCCATAAGGTAGGCAGAAAATAATAAAATGTTTGTACTCACAGATTCGTTCCACCAAGATCGAGGGCAAGGAATGTTCTAGCATACTCAGTCAGATGCAGTGACATGTGGGGTGATATACATACCCTGTTTCGGAGCCGTCTGGAACGCCCTTGACAAAGGTCGGACTATCTGACGATGATTAGATCGGGAATAAGATGCAAAGTGGGGGAAACGTGCATCATCGCCATGGGACGACCATAACTGGAGAGACCATCAGAAATCTCACTAAAAAATGTTTGAGTGATCTTGAAGAGAGTTTGATCATCGACAGTGAATTGATTATGCAGGGCGTTGAGGACATCCTCCTTTGCGCTGCCATGGAGCGCGGCTGTGTGTGACATGGCAGGACAGGAGAGAAACGGACTGGCCTGGTCAAAGACAGCGTGAGGAGATATTGAATGATAGCGAAATCCGCTTTAGTAAGACGTCATTAATTCAAAAAGCAGTACGAGTTCTACTAGGCGACACTATAGCTATTGGCCTTCGGAATAACACTTATCATGCGTTCAGCCTACGTTCTTTGCTCGATGTAGCCCGCGGTGACCTCGATCTCCAAGATTTTCCGTTCGCCAGTCTCACCAACTTCAATAGCAACCTGCTTAGCCTTCGGAGTTACTTCGGATTATTTTGATGATAGTCAAAGTCTTTCTGAATGCTGTTGACGAGGTGAGCTCGCGTTATCATCGTACCATGACACCGGCCCGTGTTTAATCAGTCGCACATCGCCGAGCGTAGTAAGTAAGTAGCGTCAGAAACTTGAGCTCCGGCTCATATCGAGTTTATCTATCTCACTTTCTGAGAGTCTTCGCCTGAAAAAGATGATCTTCGTAAATGCTAAGTAACCAAAGTAGCCTGGTGAGATTCAAAGGGTCGGGACTCGGGAATCATAATGATATCCTTTTCTGGTTGAGCTCTTGAAGCAAGTACGACATGTGCGTTTCGTGGTGACATCCAAAAGTCTATTCAAATTTCATCCCCATGGCTATCGACGGTCTGATAATCCTAGATACGGCGGGGTATGTATGCTTAATCAACTTTTGTTTCTTGTTTATTGCAGTGACTGAATACACGCAGACGTCCGATCATCCAGTCCAGCTACACAACCTATCCGACAGCGTACCCCTTGCTGCACATTGAAGCCTTAAACAATGCGCTAGAAAAGGCTCCGCGTGAGGGTAGTGTCGACCCTGTCATATACGTTGGAGAACTATCGTGCTCTAGTGCGTGCTGCCATGTTGAGGTTGGGGGCATGAGATTCGTTGCAACCATTAGTGGAGATGGTGAGTAGTCATGCGACAGTTAGCTCGGTCATGAACAGCACGTTTGGTTACTCTCGGAGGAAGACTGACAATGCTCTATCAGTGGATCCTCTCATCGCATTCGCATTTCTCGACGCCTTCATTGAGATACTCCACGACTATTTCGGCGTAGTCAGTGTAGCAACTCTCAAGGACAACTTTGACATCGTATACCAGGTTCGTCGACGTCTTCTTACCCTGTCCGTTACTTGATGTTCGTTCGTATTGAATATGTATCTGGACTCTCAGCTTCTCGAGGAAACCCTCGACTCCTCTGGTCATCCGCTGACAACCTCACCGAACGCATTAAGCGATATAGTACTCCCACCTTCATTGATCTCCAAGCTTCTCGCCTCAGTATCACCGGCTACTCCAGGGGTTCCAAGCGGGAGACAAGGGGGCTAGTCATCTATTTGATTCACAAACCTTGAATTAACATTCCCTCGGCAACATAGGTTCTTTTGGGTCAAATGTTGCCAGTGGAGCTTTCGCATCACCGATACCATGGCGTAAAGCTGGGGTTCGGCATAGTCATAACGAGATCCTTTTTGACGTCGTCGAAGAAATGCGAGGCATCGTTGGCAAGTACGCTCGGAGTTCATATCAGCCCGTTTCTCCCATTGAAACCGTTCAACATACAGGAATGGAACGACGTTAGTGAGCAACGTTTTTGGTAAAATTGAGAGCAATGCGAAGCTTTCCGGGACTCCCGACCTGACATTGACATTCACGAATCCAAATGTGATGACAGATTGTGCTTTTCATTCATGTGTACGGTAAGTGGTCTTGCAAACTATGATCTGCGCAATGTCATCTCTGAACAATGATTCCTGTCTTAACTCCAGGTTACAGAAATGGACCCGCGATAATGCCTTATCTTTTATACCTCCCGAGGGGCGGTTTGTCCTTGGAGACTATCAGTATAGACCGCCACAAGGCGCGCTCATCAGCAACGTGCCCATACCACTTTCCCTCAAAGCAAATATGGACATGGGAGAGTTTGGCGGTAAAATTGATCGCCAAGCTTCATCTTACATTACTGACATCGTGCAGGAATATTCGCACTCACCTTGACATCGCGCTCGATAAAAGTGATGGAGAATGTAGAACTGAAATTATATCTCGGAGAAGATGCAACAAGCGCGCAGTGTACACTATCAAGTGCAGGTTCGGGCGTAGGATCTGTGGGAAGCGCAGATGGATCATGGGCATTTGATTCGAGAACGAAGGTACGCTTTACTGGTCGTTCGTGCTGTCCAGAGAATCACATCTTTTAGACGCTCCGATGGGAGATACTCAATATGCGGTCTTCGGGGAGCTGGATTCTTCGTGGTTCATGGACGTCAAAGTAAGCAACTATGAAATAATTTTCATGAATCTGCGGTGCTTAACGGTGTCCAGAATCAAGGCTCCGCGTCCAGCACATGCGTTCCAAATACGCTTCGAGATACCTTCCTACAGTTTCTCTTCGCTCAAGGTTGATCAGTTACGGCTCTCGAGCGAGACGTACAAAATGTACAAGGGAGTTCGGATGCGCAGCAAGGGATCGATCGAGTGGAGATGGTAACCAACGTGGGGTCCTGCGTGCTCCCTGCATTCCCAAGAGTTGCAGTGTCGCTTGAGAGCTCCGCGAAAGGTTCCTTTGTTTACAAGGATGGGTTATACTCGTCTGCAAACAGCGAATCGTTTACACTCTTTCACTTCATATTTCACTTTTTTGATGACAGAAGAACCACACGTAACTTGCAAGCCATGCGACGAGATGCTCTCGTCGCATATGAACACAGGAAGGAGCATCATCATGTCTGATTCTGATTCAGAGCGGTTACACAGGGCTGATACATCTATCCGTCTGAAGAAAGGCGGGAGTGAATCGTGATTATGGAAGGTATCTGGTAACTCGACATGATTTTATGCATGAGTGCACAACCGCGTTTGCTTGATTGCATGTCAGTTGTAAGGCACGTGTATATAGGCAACTAGGTAATGTATCAGTGGCTTGGAGAAATTTGTCTTATTCTTGGACTACTTTGATGCATATATACATAATGACATTTTGGGTTGGGTTCATTGCCGTTGTCAGACTTATCGTCGTCCCCCCCATCTTCATCAACAATGTAATTAACCATGAATTCTGGATGATGGCATTATTGTTGAGGATGATGATTGAAATATACCATTTGGGTGCTCGTCGCTTCTGAAGACGGGAAAGGCCTTGCATGTAAAGTACTTCCGATCATCAGAAGTAACGTTGGGTGCTGGAGGCCTGAGAGCTTTGCAGGGAATTTGGAGAATTGGAAGTAGATCTTATGTATCATGCGCAAGAAATTAACATCGTCAGGGGGAGGGACGAGCATGATAGAAAAAAACCCAAGGTGAGACAAGAGAATAGGAACTCGCTGACCTTGATCGGTTTGGAGGTCGTCATTGTGTACCTACTGCATATACTTATGTTTGGGAAAGCATTAGGTATACGATGTTCTCTTGGCCATGAGTCTCGTTCCTGCAAATTTGGGCATTTCTGAGAATGTTCGAGTACTGGCAATAGTCAAATGCTCGAGCTCTCGATTGCACTCAGAGGAGGCGTTGATCAGTAGCGAGAAGATGAAATACCGCATAACCTCGGGGATTATCTGTACACCCTGTATATCTGACATCAATACTCGCGACTCCCAACAACAACGCCTATCATGAGGCTGTATGCGCGTGGAAGATGGCAACTATCTTTTGAGCACACGTTAGTCACTGATCAGTGAACTGATTTGAACCGCAGAGCAAGTCTTAAAGCTTATGTAAGGTGCTAATAAGTTTTAATGTTCGAAACAAGCGAGATTGTCACTTTCCCGTCCTTGTCAATATCTTACTTATGTATAGACATTGGCTCTCTCAAGCAGTGGTTGGGGGTCTGACCAAACGAATGTGCTCAGCCGAAGCTGATCCGACGAAGCTGATCACTCTCGCTTCCTATACTTGTTTGCTTTTCTGCCCTTGTGGGAACTTCTGAATCACGCGCTTACTTGCGAAAACCAGGGGATTGCCAGGGCACAAGCTGGGATAAGTGAATAAGTGGATTTACACGAGGTGCCAGTAAGTTTTAATTTTCGAAAGAAGTGAGTACTGATGCCAATAAAAGTATCAAGCACGTCGTCGACTCTGATCAGACCAAGATGATGCAGCCTGGGTTGAATGACGCTCTTAAGATACGTCCGCCTAAACAGATATCATAAATTCATAATATAGCAAGGAACACCCCATGCCATCATGGACCCTAGGCCTCATGCATGCACCCACCTCCGCACTTGGTCAATTATACCATCGTCTTCGAATCGAACTGAAATTCAACATTAGAGTAACTGTCTTCAAGTTCCGCCACGAATTCTCTAAGCAGTTATAGTACTCTATAGTACTACGCTCATCATCGCTTATATTATCTGGCATTGGATTTTTTCCGTGGTTTCCTTGGATCTACTGTGGTTCTGTCTGCCTTGGATTGAGCCAGTGCGGGTCCACCCGAAACGCCAGCAATACGTTTGTGTTCGACTGTCAAGACTGTCCAAAGCCCCTCAAAGCCCCCACTAACATGGGAGTCGGGGAAAAATTTGGCTCACTCGAGCTCACTCGCCTATCATGAGGCTGTATGTCGTGCACCGAAGATGGCAACTATATCTTCTGACGAAAATCATCTGATTGCTTCGAAGTTCGCTGTTGACCAGGAACAGGAACCCGCTTACATGCAAACGAGGTCACGGGTGCTCGGAGCGCTGTCATTCTCGCCTTCGCGACCTGTTTTCGTCTTTTCTTCAAGAACCGCGTTCGCCCGTTTCTTGCCTCTTGTACAATGACACGCTCGTTTTTGGTAATACTGATAATTCTATCCAGCGCCTTCCTTGACAGACACAGGGATTTAACGCACAAGACGCCCACTCTTCACACGATAGTGGACAGAAGCCACCGATCAGAATGGTTCATAAAACACACTGGTGGCCCACTCTCAAGTATATTTTGACAGTGATATTCCTACAGACAATCCGGTGGGACATCTTCAGTCAAGCATATAAGGAATTGATGCTGATTTCTTCAATGATAATCAGCCGATAAAACTTCATGCATTTGCACACGGGCTCTCAGCTGGCATGTAAGTGCAACTAAGTGGACCATTGGGTTTTATTTTCTCATTCATTCCTTCTGCCTAGGTCTCCTACTACTGATGCACGCTGCTCAACAAGTAGCGGCAGTCAACTTCACTCAATGTCTGATTGACGTTGTGGCGAATGCGAATGCTACCCAGAATTTAACTGGTTTACTCAATGGCGACGGATACCCCGTTTCGTATGCTTCTGATACGGCGTCGATCAGCTACTCGCTGTGTACATCTGCCTGTGGGACTGGACAAGAACCTTTTCAGTGGTCTGTATTTTCGCAAGATTTCAGTGCATGGTTACTGCCCAACCTTGCATTGATTTCGCAGCTTCCCTTTGGGGCACAGTACAGGCTTGACAATCTCATGTCTGCTGTGCTTAACCGTTGGGTCACCGGCACTTGCTGGGTACTCTTTATTCATCACGCTCCTCAATTCTCGCTGGATTACCCAGCAATTTCGTCAATCGGCGAATTACCCCAATTCCCGTTCGTGGTCGCTATCTTGAGCAGCCTGCAGCAAGTCCCACTAAGACTCCATCTTGATCGCGTCCCCTCTCTCCTTGTCCTTCCGGAAAACGACTGCTGGTGGAAATATTTCTCTGAATTGGTGGACTACACACACACGTGGTCAATTGCGTCCGCAACCTCCATCGCTTGGGTCATTGTTGCCTACATCGTGAATGTAGCCAACTCACCAGCGGATCTGTTTTCAAATTCTATAGCCGACGGTGATCCCACTGGCTCACTGTGGCTGTGGTTGATTCCAATAGTCGCCGGATGGCTGCAGCTCTCCCCCAAATGCGATTACGATCGCTTGCAAACGGCTTATGATCGTGCCGACCGACATGCGCACCCAGGACCAGCAGGTGCTCGTATGAGAACGCCACCTGCGTTCACACGAAGACCTTTAACAATCACTGCTAAGGAGAAGGATGTGATGTCTCCAGACGAACTCCTTACCCCTCCAGTGTTTAATTACTCGCGTTCGCTGCCATGGGCGTCTACAGCCAACGCGATCTCCCTGATGTTCGAGGTAGCATCAGAAAAGGCTGAATGCCGTATTCCCGTTCGTTCTGGGAGCGAATGGGTCGAGTCCGACACTTCCGAGTCCATCCACCCCAGCAATCGATGTGGGTCCTCCGAGGAAATCGCCAGGTACTGTGCAGAGCCCTACTGTGCAGAGCCCTATGGTGCAGAGTCATTGGGTGCAGAGCCCTATGGTGCAAAGCCATTGGGTGCAGAACCCAGCCATTGGGCACCTGGCGTATTCACAAGAATGGCCATCGCTTCATGCGCTTCGCTCATATTGCAATGGGGAACGGTCGGATCAGCGTTTATAGCGGCATGGTTCACTCCTACGACAGTGCGTTTACTTGATATACGTGATATGTGGTCGGGTTGGCTAACTTCAGGCAGCGCATGGGGTGTCGATCTCTGAGTTACCTCCTCTACGGAGCCATATCGACCTTAATTTGGATGATGCTTCTGACGTCCAGTATTCTCGCGCACTACGCCGCAGGTTATTCCCATCGACCGTCGCTATCTTCACGCATTGCTCTAGCATTGTCGCACGGGCTGCGAAGGATGGGCAAAATATTAGCCATTGCAAACTCCATCTGGGTGGTGGTGGCGTGCATTTTCGTGTATTCCAGCTTCTACGATACATGCTACTGCAATTCCAGCGTGGTTAGTAGGGGAACGGGTGCATACGATGTGATCATCGAAACTGCACCCCAAGCTGCAGTTCTTAGGGCTGCTTGGATTGGCGCCGTTGCGATGGCATGTATCTCAGCATTAGTATTTCTTGGTGTCATGAATCTTTTATCGGACAGACTTCCGTTGTAGGGGCCGATATTTCTTGCAAGGTCATACCCGTTATCCCATTCGTCTTGAACATTATTTCTTATCACTCCTTTTATTCAACTTGAAGTACCCTTGATTCCACCCACCTCGGTGTCACTGTATCCATATTTGATTTGCATATCACTTGCTTGTCACATTCTACCTTTTGCCAAGTTGTTCGTTGTCTTTGGTGGCATATTGTTGTTTCAAAAATTGTTATATATAGGGCACGCAGATTCTTGCGATCATGTTCTAAGTTTATACTAATAGGGAGCAGCCTCACGTCCTGCCAACTTATGATCCAGGAATGAAATCAACAGCATTCCGGAGGAGGTTTAAACGGACGTATAAGTATGGACTTCATACATCTATGTCAGTAGATTGAGCAGTGATTAATCCAAACACCCTAAACTCCTGCAGCTCCATCCACCTACATTCGCAGTGGCTGAGGGCTAGCATTCGCACTTTGGATGTTGAGTACCGTACATTCGCTAACCTTGTTCCAGTTCAGCATGCTCCAGAGCTCCTTCGTATATTTCTCCTTGCCCCACACTCCGTGGTCGAGAAGTCAGTAATGCTCGTGAATACTGACACAGAATAGGGGATAGATCCTTTCACCCAAGTAACGGAGGCTCCTCGTAGAAGGGCCAGACGCCTGCTATATTGGCTTGCTATCATAAAAAGAACGCGCGCCATCCTGGCGGCTGCGCGGCGATGAGTGTAGCGTTCGTACAGGGGCGGAGGGGTGCGGTGGTGCAAGGCCCTGCGGCGTGCCTGACGTGGGAAATGTTGGTGCTACTAGCCAAAAAAGCCCTGTGTTCAAGTGCGTTGGCTGTGGGCCGTCGCGGAACCTGCTCTCATGAAGGTTGATCAGTTGCGACTCTCAAACGAGACGTACAAGTTGTACTACAAGGGAGTTTGGACGCGCAGCAAGGGATGAACCGAGTGGAGATGGTAGCTAGCGTAGGACCCTGGCCGCTCCCTATAGAAACTAGACACTCAGTCTCGATGGAACGGACTATATTAAGTACCTAGACACTATTAACACTGATACAAATGTGCGTTAGTGTCTAGTTGTAGTAGCGGGATAATGAAACGGACGTACCCTCAGTCTCGATGGAACGGACTGAGGGAAGAGGCGATACAAAGAGAGACAAGTATATATAAGAGTCTGGTTTGAATTCCTGTCAATGATCAATCGATCACACTCCGCTAGGACGCGTCGCGTCGCGTCACATGCACTCATGCACCAACAGATCCCCTTGTTTACAGCGATAATTAAGTCATACTCCGAGTCTGCAAACAGCAAACAGTCACATTCTTTCACTTCATGTTTCACTTTCTGATGACAGAAGAACCGTATGCAACTTGCAGGACGTACAACGAAATGCTCTCGAAAATTGACGCAGCGGCATGGATGATAAGAAAAAGTATGGACACTCGCATTCTAAGTCGGAAAAGACGTGCGTGATGACGAATTGCTCCGTAGTAGCCTAAGTACCTTCGAATCCGTACGCTGGTTTGCTTCTGAAAATTGGACCTTTATCGACTTTAGCTGCTTTGGCACATACATTTTGAGTCTGTTTCAGTACTAGGGCTCAGCGTTGCCGCTCGGGCGGTTCGATCATTTAAATAACGTCGTGGCGGCTCCTGTGACAGGTTCGATATCGGATATACCGACTCATCACGACATAACCTAACGCACGTCGTAGCAGGCTCTACTCCCTGTAAGCTCTGCAACCACCGACAGCAGCCTCAAGGTTATGGCTGGCAGTCCTCGGTCGTCGAGTTTTTCGGAGTAGTATTCTGTGAAATTCGCTGAATAGTCTGTGCGCCGGGTACATAGGGCTCCGACGCATTCATCCATCAAGACGACTCTGAAGAAAGGCGGGAGAGATTCTGGAAATCGTTTGGTAAGCCAACATGACTTTATATGCATGGTGACCACGGAATGCACGACCGTGTTTGCTTGATTCGTCAACTGCAACAAACTAGTAAGCTGTAAACTGGGAGCACATGCTTAACAAGCGACATAGTACTCAACCTTTCATGACCTCAATTCTAGGTAATGGAAAATCGAGCCTGAGTGGCTTGGAATTCACGAAAGACAATCATCTTCTAGTTGGACGGCTTTGATGTATTAAAATGACATTGCTATGGGCTGTGTTTGTCGTCATCGTCAGACCCTGCCCCATCTTCATCAGCAATGTCATTAACCATTGATGTCGTGGATGATGGCATTGTTGTTGAAGATAATGATCGACATATCTAAGTAAACGAGCATTTGCGTGCTCGTCGCTTCTGAAGACTTGAAAGGCCTTGCTTGTGTAACGTTTCCGGTCATCGGAAGTAACGTCGGGTGTGTAGGTTGGGTGCTGGGAGGGTGCTGGAGGCCTGAGAGCTTTAAGGAATTTGGAGAATTGGGGTTAGATCTTATGTATCGTGTGCAAGAAAGCAACATCGTCAGGAGGAGGGATTCGGAGGAACATTGACATATAATGGAACCAATGTGAGACATGAGAATAAGAGCGAGAAGGCAACAGGTCAACAATCTCGCGCTTTAAGAACAGACCTGGGTTCAGAGACTTTGAATATAGGATGAGCTCCTCGTCTGCGACAGCGAGGGGGCGAAGACCATGAGTGGGGAACTCCTCAACATCAGCCTGGAGCGTATCCTCAAGCTTCTCGGTCTTATTGCATGTGTAAAGCTCAATGATGATACCGGTCGTACCCTTTGGTGGCGCGCTTTAACTTGCTGGACGACTCTTGGTGGTAAGGGATCTCTGTTGACAGGGTTGAAGGACTTAGATGCACGTACACGAGTCAGTTAAGAAGTGCTTTTTGTGTGCTACTCCAGTTCCCGAAGTTTTCAACGAATATTGAAGTGCTTCACTGTGATGGTCCACAGTGTCATAGGTGTTGTTCGGACTCAGGCCGGTTCAATCGTTGCGCCAATATTGTACATCATGATAATCCATCGCTGACCTTGATCGTCTTGGAGGTCGTCATTGTATACCTACTACATATATGTTTGAGAAAGCATCAGGTATACGATGTTTTCTTGGCCATGAGTCTTGTTCCTGCGAATTTGGGCATTTCTGAGAGTGTTCAAGTGCTGGCAATGGTCAAAGACATCAGGAAAACCTCCGGTGTCTTTTTTTACTTAATGCCACTTAATTTCGGAGAAATGAAACCAAAACGTCACTTTTTACACTTAATGGACTTTCTCAAAAGTCAATTCAGCGTGCGCCCAATCTCACAAGTCACAATGATTCAAAAAAGTGGCAAAAGTTGAATTAAGTAAAATAAGTAAAATAAGTATTACACGGCCCATCTAGATTAAGGGGGGGGGGAAGGGGGGGGGGGGGATTTGGTGACGAGTTCTGAGGCCAGTTATGCTCGTCGAATTCTTCTTCGAGGGGGGCTCCAGTTGGCAGTTACGCTCGTCAAATTCCTCGATCGCTCGCTTGTGAGTGATGGTAGTTACGCTCGTCGAATTCCTCGATCACTCGCTTGTGAGTGGTGGTAGTTACGCTCGTCAAATTCCTCGATCGCTCGCTTGTGAGTGGTGGTAGTTATGCTCGTCAAATTCCTCGATCGCTTGCTTGTGAGTGATAGTAGGCAACGTAGTCTAGTTGTGCTCACCGAGTTCCTAAGACGCAATCTCAAATGCGTGATGGTCTGCGAATTTGTTCACGTAGAATGCTTGAAAAGCGTCATACGAATCATAGTGCTTGAGGTCGCGTGGGATGAACTGTGTTCCATAGATTGGAACAAGGTGTGCGGCGCGATAGATTGAGTCGACGTGGATGATTCCAACGAACGGTGAATTATCTGTATCAAATGAAGGCTGGACGATCCACATCCCTGTGTCTTCGTCGGGCCCATCGCTGGCTTTGTCGAACCAGCGTACTACAGCGCATGGGTACGAAATACCTTCAAATGTGAATGAAAAAAAACACATTATACGGGCTACCTCCATGCCCCCCATCCCTTCAACACCTGCATCCGTGTTAACGAACATGCAGTCATACCGGGGTGCTTCGTTTCTCCAAACGGGACAGGCACGGATGTGTTCCCGCCGCATGCCGCCAATCCCGCTGCGGTCACTGGGTGCATAAAACATTGATGACGCAGAGTTGAACACTTGAATTTTTCCATCGAATTGAGGACATCTTGCAAGCGGGATGTCAGAGGGAGCACGCTGGTCGTCTGGGTTTGCTTGCTCGAATAAGAATCGGCGGAGGAGGGTGTAGAGATGGGGGATACCAAGTTCTGTAGATAAATTAGAGATCGTGCATGCACATTTGCGTTCTGCGCAATGGGAAGGATTATATTAGAAAAGTATTCAATTGAAAATGTGAGCTAACTTACGAATCGTTTTTGCCAACTGAACGTGGGCTTGTACCAGCGTTGGGCTGTCGTCGATTTCACCCTCTTCGTTATCGCCGAGTATCGTAACGTCGGGGTTGGAAGGCAGCACCAAAAGATTGTCGTTGTCTTGGTTGGACTCGTTGGTGGCAAAAGGATCCTTATTCAAGCGCAAATGCTCTACCGCAGATATTTAGCACACGACAACACTTGAATGTACAGCGCAATAAAACTTACTTAATCTTTGAAGCATTGCAGACAGACAGGTGCCGTTCAACATTCCACGGCTCTTGAAATCCACGCGCGCTGCGGCAAGTTTATCTAAGCGCTGGTTTGTCACCAGCATTTGACCGAGTGCTTTGTAGCGACTCGATCGTCTCCACGGTTCCTTCACTGCCTTGATGTGCTTTGTCTCCGTGATTGACGAGCAAAGGCCATTCGGCGCACCATAAAGTCGGATAAGGAGGATGTAATGGGAGCACGAGTGTTGTCAAGGGAGGGAGAACGTGGAAACGACGCCGGTGGACTCAAAAATAGCCCTGTAGTGATGGAATCGGTCGAGAGCGTCCTGGATTTGATATAATGTAGATTCCGTAATGATGCTACGCCGTACGAGATAGCAGAATTCAAGGAATGCACGAAACGTGCGCACCACATCAGTTGGGACGTGGCCTTCGATGGCGGGTAAATAAACCTAGTAGATTGTTGTTAGTCTGATCAACTCGTGCAAAAATCAACTTGTGCAAAAAACTTACCTTCATAAGCGCTTTCGAATCATCACCTGTCCATTGTTTGAATCCTCGACCTTCTGGAAAGCGTCGAAGGCCTGCAAAGGAGGAAACTGCAGCAATTCTTTTATGATGTGAGTTTTGAAACATTTAATCAGGACAAATTGACCTACCTTCGGTCTATATCATCTTGAATTTTCTCTGCCTCTTTCTTACCATGTACGTGTACCAAATACTTTCCAACCCACTCGACCAAGTGATCCTTGAAGGTTCCTTTTATGAGTTGATGCAGGAGATCCGGTGCAATCAACTCATGTATATCAGCGCGAGGGAAGTCGTTTGTAAACGGCTAGAAAGGGTGAATCTCGGCTGCATTAGAGACATATATGAGACTTACAACAAGGTCGCCGACAATCCCGTACTCGTCCCACAGCGCGAGGGACGTTGCAACCTCTTCGATCAGCGCCTCCGTATGGTCACGACACCGACACAACGACTTCTCATCTAAATTCTTGCGGTTGGACATACACCTGTAGTACATTAGTAGTTAGTACTGAGGTAGAGGGCAGAGGATAAAAACACACCTGGGGCACCAGCCGCGCACTATACATGCTAGAAGAACCTGCTCTTCGTAATCTGCGATATACGGACCAAGCCCGTAAATCACACGCCGATAGTGGCCATCACCAAAGCGAACAACCTCTGGTTTGGTCATGCTCGGTCTCAGGTTCTCGAGAATCTTGGCGATGGATGAATGAAACAATTGTCGGCGATATTTCCGATATATTGCATCGGCAGCGTGCTCCTTTGTAGCTTCTCGATTGTAATTAGTACAGAACAACAGGAGGCATATGAAACTTACTTTTCGGCATAGCAAGGAAACCAACAATGGCAACGGCGTCACGATGTGCACGCCGGACGTTGTTGCGCACATTGCCAATCAATACGTATAAGGGATAGTAATCGTTCGCGCCAGTCGCCACCGAAACAGTGGTCTTATCAGATCCGAGTATAACCGGTACGAATGTTGAGCCGAGCGTATCCGGATCTTCACAAATTATGTCCTACCAAAGATTGTTAGTATGGGTCGCTAGAGAAAACAACAAAATAAAACATACGGCTTGATTCCAAGCCCAATCACCGGACATGAAGTCCTGCCATTGTCGTTTGTCGCCGTCAGCTGAGTACTCACGGAAAGGGCGGTAATCCATCTCTTTTTCGTAGTCGGGATTTCCCAACATATTCCGAATCACCTCATGGGGGTCACGGTACCACACATCATGAGACTGGTCCATCCAGGGTGGTACATCGCTTGTTGGCTTCTCCCCAGTGTACCGTACCTTGAACGATTGCCATTTGACATCGCCTAATGGTGTATTGTCGATCGTTCTATGCAAGTCGCGGCAGTCTGCGAACGGCGGCTTGTCGTCGTATTTCAGGAGGGTTGCGGCCCAAAGATCCAATAAAATGTTGATATCCCCGGCGGACATTTGGTTGCGCGCATACAGAAACTCCGCAGTCTCAAACTCGACACGATCCCGGTACGGAGTCCAGTCGTCGGGCGACTTGTCTGGAGGTGGCGCTGGAGGTGCACCATCTTCAAGGAAGTGTCCCATTGCATCACATGGACACGCTGATATCAATTCTGGTTAGTTGCAACACAACAGAAAGCTTCAAAGAACGTACCGTTTAGTTTAGGGTGATAGTTACGGTATAATCTATCACCTGGCCCGAAAAAAACAGTGTCTACGTCGACCAGATTGTTGGACTTGTCAAATGCCTGTCCCGGGTCAGACAAACCTGCTGGAAGGTCATTATTGTCCGCAGGGTAGTCGTTGTCGCCTGCGGGAGGGTCATTGGCTGGTAGTTCGGGCTCGTCTTCGACTGTGACAGTATGCGAGACAGTGGCTTGTCTAAACGTTGGGTGGGAAACGTTCCAGTGCTTTTTGCGCCCTCCTTGAGTCTTGAAGTAGCGAGCACAGTGTAAGTAGCCGCATGGAATTTGAAGTGCGTTGTGGTCCTTGCGCATACTCTGAGACATCCCAGCTGGAAGATAAACGACACGAGCACTCGACAATTGCTGGTGGAGAGGCGCTGGGGGTGTGTAATACTAAAAGTAAGTTCAAATCAGACATATTTCAACAGATGCCGATTAGTGAGCAAGCGCCACAGGCAGCGCCCATTGGGGTGAGACTTATGAGTTTTTTCAACCAACTTCTGTTACTTCCTTCTTGCTCCAGCAAAAGTACCATCCCTCCACCCCCAAGTCGCCCATCTGCCCAGTCACAATGTCTTCCACAGAAGCTTCCCGCCGTACCCGTGCATCGAATGCAACCGCCAGACCTGGAAAAATAGTGCTCGACGCACAAACCAAGAGGCGCACCAAGGCACAGAAGGCTGCTGACGATCTTGCCGTTAAAGAAGCCAAAGAAGCCAAAGAAGCGGCGGTCCAAAAGGGAGTTGAGCGCCTTGCTGGTATGCAGGTTGAGATGGAGAAGGTACAGAAGGAGTTACTCACCAACAAGGCGACTCCTGTTCGGCCCAAGCCAAAGGCTCGAAAGGCGACAAAGGCTACTGTAAAGGGAGGTGACAATTGCACTGATAGTGTATTAGATGACGTACCAGACGCTGATGTGGCAGAGGATGCTGCTGAGCCCGTGGATCATGGAACCTCGGGGAAAGGGAAGAAAACTGCTAAGAGAAGTGGAAAGAAATTGATCAGAGACGCTATCAGCAATGTGCAAAAGAAAATCAGCGAGTCAACGTTGATTGCAGAAGGCGATATCAATATCAATAGCATTGACGATAAGCCTAAGGCACGTGCTGATGGGAAAGGCTCCACGCCATCATCGTAAGATTTAGTTCTCCCACCACCACAATGTTGCTCCTAACTGAATCGACACTCTATTTTCTCAATCTTACATATAGCATCAACGCGACCACTCAGAAATTCGCACTAGGTGGCCGAGTGACCAACTGGGTCTCGGGGGTCAGGCCTGGACAGTTGGAGTCAGTATCCCACCAATCATCCCGCCAATCCAGCACTTCAACCCGAGCACCTCCAACGTCAATTTTCTCGCATGACACTGCTTCCTCAGCAGCAACCTCGGCTGCTCAGCCTCGGACTCAGACTCACATCCCCCCGCCCCCAACTCAAGTTGCTGATTGTATCCCAGAAGATGCCCTTACTGGTGGCTTTGCGGATGAGATTGACGATTCATTGGAGCGTGAGGCTGCTTGCCTGGATAGCAAGCAAAAGAAGGGGAAATCTAAGGTAATTGACCATGAATAATTGGTGCAGTCCGCTAACAATTTTCTTCACAGGTAGCCTCAATTTTTGACGAGGACTCAGACTGCGGCGGGCCCAAGGCTCCCTTCACACAAATACCATCAATAGAATTCGACTCGGACGATGAGCTCATGGATTCATTCACGCAAGAGGATGAAGACTTGCAGGAGCCTAAGGCTCCATTCACACAGATGGACGATCGCATAGCCACGGCGGCCCTCAAGCGGAAGGCAAGTGTCGATTCTGTCTCAGACGATGACGAGCAGTCCCAGTGGTCCATGGACATCGATCGTGACGATGTTGAAGATTTGATCGAGGACTTCGATAGTGAACCGCCACAGGCTAACCCTATCGTAGTGAAAAAGGAGAAGGTTTTGCGCATGACGACTTCGGTAAGTACCCTTGGAACTCAATAGTGTTTATTCTGACACTTATATAGACATCTGCGACCACCTCTAATGCCGACATCAAGCCGCCTGCTCCAAAAAAGGTCAAAGTTGAATCTTCCAGGACTCCACATGCCCAAGCCTAGGCTCCTGCCCGAAAACGCCAGCCGAACGTGGATACTGCACCAGAGCACATGAAATCACGCGGTGCGTATCGTACGGCTGACTTGCCTCCAGCGATGCAAGCGGACCAGCGCTGGGCCAAGACATTCCTCCCTACCATAATGATGTGGGCGGGAAGCTACGAAGACATCTGGAGCATTCCAGATGACGTACTGCTCCATCATGTCCAGCTCGTTTTCAACGTGGTATATCACGAACTCAAGATTGTCATTGTTCACGGCGGTGTGGTACATTTACTCGTAAGTTCGCCGATTTATGTCTAGCATTAACTGATGTTATATCTTCGATTAGACTGCACAGCGTATTTCAGAATGGCGGAGTAATTTTGGTTCAACGGCCATTGTGATAATCATCAACTTCTTGGCACGCAATTCCGACTGCGACTCCAGCGAACTCGCATCCTCCCTTCTTGCCAGCTGGGCGTTTTATACGAGGACCCCGATAATATCAACCCCCTCACAGCATATCGTTCACCGTTCCTACTGCAGCTGTATGGTAGAGCGCACCTCAGCGCCATCAATGGTTATGTGGAGATTCCTTCCCTCGACTTGGGAGCACTTGCAACGATCGGGACGTCACGCGTTCTTGCCCTTTCTGCTGTGGCGGTGAGTTTAATTTTAAATGCTTTAATCGCACTCATTTTTTTTCAGCTCGAGCGTGCTCTTGGTATGATCTCCCGCAAGGAACTCAAAGTCGAAGAGATCCTGTTGTCTGCGTCGAGAGGAAAGTTTACGATCAAGCTTCCCAAGGTCCTTAACAAGGCTACAGGGAAAAAGACCAATGCACCATTCTTATTTTTGGCAGCTCGCTGGTCCAAAGCTACTAATTCGTACATCAAGTCTATTTCTAGCAAACCCACTGGCTACGTGGAGGCTATGGTAAAAATGGCACGCGCTATTTTACAGGATGTTGCTGAAACATCGGGCTCGCTCAACGACTACGAATCGGACGAGGACGAGTGTGCTATGATCTGTAAGTTTTATTTATTCCGACTTCGTCTCGCTGACATCATATACTACATTGCTGCAGGATTTGTCTTCGAGTCGTTGTACCGCTGCCGCCGCCCTACAGTAGATATATGTCGCCGCGATCATCGCTTTTGCCCCACCTTTTTCTCCTTATGTTCGAATGGCTCCCAACTTTTCATTTTTGGGAGTCTGCTTAATCTACGCTTATTTCTACTTGTATGCCCCCCTTTCAATAACAATTGTGCCGCTTTGTCTGCTTTTTGTCTGCTTTTTTAAGCGAAATAAGTGTTGAAAAAGCGAATCTCCAGATATTGAGTGGGCTTTTTTAAGTGGCTCACGCTTTTCTCTCAAATGACTTATCGGTCGCTTTTCATGAAATTAAGTGACAAATAAAGTGAGATAAGTAACTTGTGGTTTTCCTGATGGACTCGGACTCTTGATTGCACTCAGAGGAGGCGTTGATGAAATGCCGCATAACCTTGGAGATTATCTGTACGTACATCCTGTATATCTGACATTACGACTCCCGGCAACAACATTGGCTCAATAAGGCTGTACCACGCTGTGCGTTGAAGATGGCAACTATCTTTCGACCACAAGTCACATCTGTGTTTGAAGAGCCCCTTCAGTGAATTCACCCGTCTCAGACGGGCAGCCGGGCGTGACAATGTACCAATAGAGACGGGCCACCCGGTGCCGGCCCATGGCAATAATTGTACCATGTTAGACGAGTGGGCCGAGGGGGTGGAGTGTCCAAGGCAAACGGATGGGCCGGGTGTATATAGTATAGATGGTAGTATAGCAATGTACTATATAGGAAATTATGAATAGTAGTAGTGAATCCAGTGTGTGATAGATGAGTGGGCCGGAGGAATGGAGTGCAATATAGACGAGTGGGCCGGGGAACTGGGGTGTGATGGAGACGAGTGGGCCGGTAAATGAGGTGCAATGGAGACGAGTGGGCCGGTACATAAGGTGCAATGAAGACGAGGGGGCCGGAGAATAGGGTGCAATTGAGACAAGTGGGCCGGTATAGCAGGTGCAATGGAGACAGGTGGGCCGGTATAGCAGGTGCAATGGAGATGGGTGGGCCGGTAAATATGGTGCAATTAAGACGAGTGGGCCGGTATAGCAGGTGCAATGGAGACGGGTGGGCCGGTATAGCAGGTGCAATGGAGACGGGTGGGCCGGTAAAGGAGGTGCAATGAGGACGAGTTGGCCGGTGTTATTGGGTGCAATGAAGACGAGTCGGCCGGTGATATGGGGTGCAATGAAGACGAGTCGGCCGGTGATATGGGGTGCAATGAAGACGAGTGGGCCGGTGATATGGGGTGCAATGAAGACGGGTGGGCCGGCATGATAGGGTGCAATGGAGACGGGTGGGCCGGCATGATAGGGTGCAATGGAGACGGGTGGGCCGGTATTATGGGGTGCAACAACGACCGGTATTTATGTAACCGGTTGCTCGTGGTAACATAGCACTCAATCCGGCGATTCCACCGGTGGTCTGATCATGTAAAATGGTTAAGATTTGACAAAGTTATGAGCCCTACAAGGGAAAGCCATAAATTTAGAGGATATTATGATATATTGTATCTAGACCATTGCAACCGGTATTTTTTGACCGGTATTTACATGACCGGTTGCTTGTGGTAACATAGCACTCAATCCGGTGATTCCACCGGTGGTCTGACCATGTAACATAGTTAAGATTTGACAAAGTTAGGAGCCTTACAGGAGAAAGTCACAAAGTCAGAGGATATATCATATCTAGACCATTGTGACTGGGA